GGAGCTTAGATCAATCAAAGGAGTGGAATCATCAAGAAGGGGAGTGACATTGGAAGGAATTTTACAAGACGAAAGGGAAGAGGTGCATGGAGAGGGGTCGGAATCAACAGAAGGAGGGAGACAAAGAAGACCGCGAGACCAGACAATCTTGGGCTCGGCGGTGCGCAACCAAGGAAAGCCAAGGATAAGTGGTTGATGTGGAGACCTGATCACATCGAACCGAAGGCGTTGCGAGACGTCCCCGAGAATCACCTCGAGTGGAGCAGTCTCGCGGAGGATGGGGCCAGACGACAGCGGCTTACCATCCACGCCTTCCACTGCCAAGGGCGAAGCCTTGGAGCAGGTGGGGACAGAGTGTCGAGCAACAAAGTCCTCGTCGATAAAGTTGCCAGAGGCACCAGAATCGACAAGTCCTTCGCACGACAGAGAATCACCAGAAGGAAGACGAACAGCGACGGGAACAACCAACGAGCAACGACGAACAGACGAAACACAAGACTTTGGTTCGGTACCAGCTTCGGCACCAGGGTTGCGGCTAGCACAGACAGTTAACTTTGCCGAGGGTTGGCAGGACAGCTCAGGTATTTGCACCTGTGGATGAGGTGCAGTTCCCAGTGACACCAGAGGTGCCACGGGTACTATGCCAGAGCTGAGAGTGTCCGCCGGTCCAGAGGCAAGGCGAAGCTGTCCGCACATCACTGCTTCCCCAGTACTTACCAAAGGCACCTTACCAATGTCTTCACTTTCGGAAGGCGGTGGGCACGGCTCCGGTTCAAGGCCTTCACTTAGAACCGGGCCTGGTCGTTTCCCGAACTGAAGTCTTGCACTTCTCCATCCTCGTAAACGATGGTGCGGATGATCCTCGGGCCGGGAGGTCCAGGGGGCGGTCCGGTAGCTCTGGTAGATCCAAACTTGACGGGGCAGTTTCGTACCAAGTGGCCCTTCTTGCCACAGTACAGGCAGAGTCCAAAGCGGCGGCGGCGTTGTTTCTCCTCGGCGGTCAGGGGTCCAGAGACGGCAGAGTCCACTTGCATGGGCTCGGAAACAATGTAGGAGGGGTGCGGCGGAGCGAGGACGGGCGCGGGAGCGATGGCGGGAACGGCAGCGGAGGCGGAACCAAAGGCGAACTGGGAAGACCGGTAGCGGGCAGGCGTGCTTCGGCGCTCTTGACGGCGCTCGCGGATTCGTGCATCGAGCTCGTTACAAAGCTCGATGTACTCCTCCAGATCTCGTGGCAGAGGGCGAACTCGCGAAAGTTCGTCTCTGACATCATCCGACAAGCCAAGTCGGAAGAACGAGATCTTTGCACCGTCGTTCCAAGTCGTATCGGCGGCAATACGAAGGAACTCGGATGCATAGACTGCGCACGGGCGGTTGCCCTGAGACAGTGTGGTGATCACTGACTCGGCAGTCCTGGCCCGATCAGGGTCGTCAAACACTTTGGAAAAGCGTTCTAGGAAATCGCCAAAAGAGTTGAGTCGGGGATCACCCATCTCAAGCATCGGAGTCGCCCACTGGAGAGCCGGTCCAGTGAGCAGACTAATGACGAATCCGACCTTAATCGGGTCAGCAGGGAACCGGTGGGGCTGCATTCGTATATACAGTTTGCACTGATTTACGAATGCCCGGAACCCTTGCCGGTTACCGTCGTAACGGTCCGGCATCTGCACGCTGTACCCAGCGGCAGGAGCATCGCGAGCTGTCCGGAGCTCGGCGAGCTCGGCCTCCAAGGCACGGAGGCGGTCCACGAGGGCAGGATCCATGGCGGGACTGGGACTGGGACTGGGAAAAAAAAAAGCGAGGAGGTTCAAGAACAGGAGAGCGAAGAGGGCTCAGACACAAGTGTGCTTGAGGTTCGGACAGGACTAGGAAAGGGGCGGGGCTAGGAGCGGAAGATACCAAGCAGGTGGTATCAGTAGAAGAGAGTTCGAACAAAGTGTGAGGAGTGAACAAGCGCAAGGACGAAGACCAAGTGCTTGGTATGAGCTTTATTAGCTTTTAGCCCCGAACACCAAAGAACAAGTTTTGTTCGAACTGGTGTTCAACATAGGCTCAGACATGCAGGGCTATTTATAGACCGGGAGAAGGTCGAGGGGCAAAAGTGGGCGAGAAGGGTGGAGCATCACAGAGAAGCGAGAAGGGGGTGCGAGAGTGGCTGGTGTGCAAGCGAGAGAGGCTTGGCACAGCCCGGGGACATGTGCCGAGCGGTGGGGGAGGCAGGAAACCAGTAGACGCGGGTGGCAACGGCGCGTGCTCATGCATGGGGGCAAACAAACACGTGGGGACTCATGATTGGTGCGGAGGGCGAGAGCATGCGGGACAATCTCATTGGTCCGTTGTGATGCTGGTCATCACATCGGCCTCCGTGTCGAGGGATCCGCCTCTGCTTCTCGATCCTGCCGCGGTGATACGCGTGCTCCGAAGCAGAGACGCCCGCTCTTCGGTTGCAAGTCGCAGTGACCCTGTGGATTTGCTGCAGCTCATAGCCGAAGAGCAGGCTCGGGATCCCGGTCTAGACAAATACCGTCGTGACCCGAAGTTCGTCTGGAATGGCCAGTACCTCACCTTCCAGAACAGGATTGTGGTCCCAGAGTCGTGCCGAGTTCCGGCGCTCAAGTCGTGCCATGACCCAGTCGCTGTGGGTCATCCAGGCATCCGACGGACTCTGGCTCTGGTATCGCGACAGTTTTGGTGGCAAACCTATCGGAAAGATGTCAAAGAGTACGTCTCGACGTGCGACACCTGTGCACGCTCGAAAGCTCCGCGACACAAGCCGTTTGGGTTCCTGTTGCCACTCCAGACAGCCGATCGACCCTGGGGGACACTGACCATGGACTTTATCACTGATCTGCCAAAGTCCAAGGGTCACACCTGCATCTTTGTGGTGGTATGCAGCCTCACAAAGATGGCACACTTTATGTCCTGGCGTTCACTGCCGTCGGCGGAGGAGACTGCGTCACTGTTCCTCGACAATGTCTTTCGTCTCCATGGCCTCCCCGACACAGTGGTTTCAGACCGAGGAAGTCAGTTCACCTCTCGGTTCTGGAAGGCACTCTGCACGCAGCTCGGGATCCAAACCAGTCTGTCCACGGCCTTCCATCCCCAGACCGATGGACAGACTGAGAGGGTCAACCAGGTCATCAACCAATACCTGCGCTGTTACACGTCGTATCAGCAAGATGACTGGGCCGAGCTGCTGCCGTTGGCCGAGTTCTCTTACAATAACCTCGAGAACTCGTCAACACATGCCTCGCCATTCTTGGCAACCTATGGGTTCCACCCAAGGTTCGAAGTCCCCGTTGTCGCTGGCGGCCCTGATGTTCCCTCTGCCACGGAGAGGGTTGAACATCTCCAGCGGAACCTGGCACTGTTGAAGGAGAATCTTGAGAAGGCAAAGTCTGACTACAAGCACTTCTCAGATCTCCGGAGGTCCCAGGCTCCCGACTTGCGTCCGGGCGATCAAGTCTGGGTGCTGACTCGTAACATCAGCACCACTCGCCCAAGCAAGAAGCTGGATTACCAGAGGATTGGACCATTCACCATCCTCGAGGCCGTCGGGACATTGGCTTTCCGCCTGGACTTGCCAAAGGACATAAAGGTGCACCCGGTGTTCCATGTGTCTCTTCTTGAGCCCTACAAGAAGAACTCGCTTCCGGGTCGGGTGCAAGCGCCGCCCCCTGCGGTGGTCATCGATGGGAACTTGGAGTGGGAGGTCGAAGAGATCTTAGACTCCAAGTTCGTGCGCGGAAAGCTGCACTATCTCATCGATTGGAAAGGCTACCCGGTCACCGATCGAAGTTGGGAGCCCGCCGACATTGTCTTTGCCCCAACGGTGGCCGCGGAGTACCACCGACGCTACCCAGACAAGCCTGGCCCCAGGAGAACTCAAGATGGAACACGCCGTAGTTTAAGGAGGAGATAGTGTGATGACCAGCATCACAACGGACCAATGAGATTGTCCCGCATGCTCTCGCCCTCCGCACCAATCATGAGTCCCCACGTGTTTGTTTGCCCCCATGCATGAGCACGCGCCGTTGCCACCCGCGTCTACTGGTTTCCTGCCTCCCCCACCGCTCGGCACATGTCCCCGGGCTGTGCCAAGCCTCTCTCGCTTGCACACCAGCCACTCTCGCACCCCCTTCTCGCTTCTCTGTGATGCTCCACCCTTCTCGCCCACTTTTGCCCCTCGACCTTCTCCCGGTCTATAAATAGCCCTGCATGTCTGAGCCTATGTTGAACACCAGTTCGAACAAAACTTGTTCTTTGGTGTTCGGGGCTAAAAGCTAATAAAGCTCATACCAAGCACTTGGTCTTCGTCCTTGCGCTTGTTCACTCCTTACAGGAGGTCACATACGGAAACGTCGTTGGTAGAGACGTCGTTGTCAGCTTGAACAGCAAATCAGCGGGGTAATCGCAGGCCACCGAAGTGTTCGCTCGATCTGATTACGGAAGCAACGTTAAGTACGGGAAGGAGAAGCGATGTGCAAGGTCGTCATTCGACAGTCCTGATTGCTGCGATTCGCTGTCGACGGAACTGCAGTGACTGTCCCCCCCCCATTTTCGGCCCTCTGCGACAGCATCCCCGTGTATGTTTTCCGACGTACTGTTCAAGAAATTTGCGATGCAGTCCGAATTATCTTCTGGGAAAGGTATGCGGGTGATGTTTTGTCTATGGCAAGCCACAAAAGCAGTCAGAGCATGGCCAAAAAACTCATCATGGCTCAGAAGCGCCTTTGCCATCTCGGCAGCGATACAACGTACGTGGCGCCCAAGACCGTGGGACTCCAGCAGTAAAACAGAATTGGATTCCGAGCGGCTATTTGACTGATGATGTATGCGTCGGCTCTCGCGGGATCCTGGGTGTTGGTCATAGTGTTCATTGAGGCAGAGCAACGATATGTGGTTCGCCGATGTGTGGTTCATCGATGTGTGGTTCGCCGATGTGTAGTTCGGTTGTCAACAGAGTGTTGTCAATATCTGCACTGCTACCGCACCAAACATCATCCCGAACACATGCAGCCAATAGCCAGGGATTCCAGGCTTGAATTGTCACGAACCATGTAGTTGACCGTGATGTTCAGTTTCAGTCCGTCAATGAGGCGCTCGCTGTAAAAGGGCGTGTATCCTGGCCCTGAGATTCACGCCGGGCAATTCACATATTCAGCGAAAACAATAAGCGAATGCAGCCATAGGAGAGACCAATCTTGCGGATGGATTGTCTCTCTCTCTGGATCGAGGATCGAGCCCGCTCGGCACAAAATGCCGCATATCACCGCCTGTATCGGCGTGCCTACCATAGGACAGAAACTCTGGATCGGAGGCAGAGCAGGATTAGCCTCTGGTCGTTTCAGCACTGACCAAATTGGTGCATTTCATGGATTGCACGGTGCTGACCGACGCTTACCGACACAGTGGGTGTTGTTGATGCACTGGGAAGGAACATCTGTGGGGCACGCAAAACCCAGACACGACAGATCAGATCGAACAGCAACGGGCTGTGTACTTTGCAACTGCACTGGCGCACAATTATGCGCGAGACCAGGCGATATCCGACGACATGAAGCGGGGCACTCACAAGTTCCGTTTTGACAGCCACCCGTGATGCCAGTGCAGGTCGGCTGGGGCGGATTGTTGATCGTCATGTGCACCCCCATTCCCGAGCGCGGATAGATCGACAGCGCCGCCGGGATCCGCAGCGACCTCCAAAAGTCCATGTAATAGTTTGAATACGCCTGAACAACCCTGAGGATCGCCGCCAGGAGAAGATGCACAATCGCGGTCGTTAGACCCGTATCGATCTTTGGCACACTCGGAACGCCGGCCCCTTCTCCCATGTCGGCTTGCATCTTGGATATCGAAGGGCTGATACTGCCCACCCCCAGAGAATCACTCACCAGTTTGGGACACACCATCCGATCTGACCCGTATATCCACTCTTGCCGGCATCGAGAATCGAGTGCTCGTACAACACCATTTGGTTGTAGTAGCTCGCTGCAACCATCCGACCAAGTAGCCTCAGTTTCCCGTTGCATGGTCGCCAGCCCCGCCGCTGCATCCTGGAACCAAAAACACAGGATCAACTGACCGTCGGAGGTCCACAGTTCGACAGCGGCGTCCACGATCTGATACTTGACGCGATTGCCGGTGGTAACTCCTGCGAAGGATGTAATTGTGGAGGGCACAAACAGCATTAAACACTCGGTCGGATGGGAGTCCGGCACACCTATGGCAGAGAGGCGTTTGAAGACAAGACAACGTGGTGACTGGCACCGGCTCAGCAAACCCAGAGCGAGGATTGTCTGCCAGCGATGTTACCGACCGCCAACATACTCCTTGACCATAACTTTGTACCCCAGTACTTCTCTGATGAGGATCTCGACGATATGGGTCGACAGTCTGTCATATTGGGCGGGCGCAGCATTGAAAGAGGCATCAGCGAATCGGTGGGGCTGTGTTAGCAGGGGGCATTGGTGGCGCCAGCGCACGGAATATTCTGTCTCATGACCGATTTCGCGAAGAGGAGCACTCGGTTCAAAGACCGATCGTCCAGCAGCATGAGGACTCACCGCGCGCTGTCCCATGCACCGCTCTCGAGAATGATTGTCCGCTGGGGCTCCTATGGGGCCGCGATTCAAAGATCCGCTGTTAGAGATGCACCATCAGGATCTCTCTCCGCCTCTGCATCCAACGAAACCGAGATGTGCCTCACGCTGCATACGATGTCCGCATGGCAAATCGAACAGGCCCCAGGTCCAAGTGCGTGAGATCCAAGCAACCTGGAGGACCATCCTCCTATCCTTACTTGGAGTCTGGGCGCGACCCCATCCCATCCAAAGGAGTTGTTAAGGCTCATGTTGCAGAACGAAGCATACGACGCGTTGAGGTTGGTCCAGTCGGACTCATAAAGAGCGCTGAAGCTTTGGGCCGAGCAGCGGGAATGCTCCGATATCCCATGGAGCATCCACAAGGCCGCACACGTAGCCAGATAGCGACGGAGTAGGCTGGACCCCATGGCCGGCCTGGTCGCTCGTTTCAATGGTGGAGGGCTGCTGGAGCCAGGAGCAAAGTTCGGCTGTGGAGCCGAGCAGAAACGGGAAGGCAGGATGGCGGCGATATATGCAGGGGACCGGTTGCCCCCACGGAAAACGGAGATATTGGAGCAACGTCCAAGAGAGCCCCGAATTGATGGATCGAGAATGAACACTGATGTATGGGAAGGGCATTCGTTGAGCGGGCGCGGTACCGTGATTGGAGAGACAGGACCAACCTGATGTCACGGCTCGCCTGGCAGTATGATGACGTCGTCTCTGCGAACGGCTCTGGTGGTCATCTCCAGCGATACCTTCCAACCGTGTATTGAGAGACGCAAGCCGAGTCTGTGTTTATCCGATGAGCGACTCGTATCGCAAATACTCTATTCAAAACCGAAGCAGCTCGAGCGGCGGGCGGATCACAAGCTCCCATAGAGTGGTGCATCATGTTGAAGTAACATCGAGACACATCGTCTCATTCGGACCAACACGACATAGTCGGATCATATCGCACACCCGGTCAAGTGGGCCAAGTCATTTCCCTGTGAGGGAGGAAGACGCAGGGCAAGGGCAATATCGCTGGTTTGGGTACCGATCAAAGCCGTCCAGCCAGATCGATCAACATCAACCGATCTGTGTGTGAAGGTGCCTCGTTTCAAATAAGTTTGCCGTGATTATCTGCCGTCTCTGGCCGATTCGACGGTACAGTTATGCACAGGCGGATGGTAGACTCATCAATTAGCGGGAGTATATTCAAGATCCAGAGAGAGAGAGAAATCGTCGATAAATCAAGAGCCAGGTGTCCCTCAGCTCACGTTTAGTCATCACAATTCAGATTATTACTGCCGGGATATCGATACGATGGATCCCATGAAGGCGATCGGCTGTTGGCGCAGCCAGCAACGACACTCGGGGCTTTGGCCACCCGGCTCAAAGCCAGGTGCAAAGAAAATATCAGGAAAAGGGGAGGGGGAGGAAACTATAGACAAGCTTACAAAGGACAACATTAGAGGCGATTAGAAGCAGACATCAATATCGGAGTAGCGTCAGCAGCAGAAACTACGAGACCGCAGCGTATTCAAATGGGTGAAGGCGGCTGTGCTCTAAAGCCCTCTGCCCAGCGGCGGCATACACTCTGACATCTCCGCGCTGACGGATCATCAAGGTAGGCCCCGATCTTTGACATAAGTTCCGCATCGAGAGAAGCCCAGTCATGAGTCTTGTTCTGTATCCGATGTCGTGATATTTCACCAGCTGCCGAGCCTGCGCCGGCATCGTGGCCCGGCTCTGGACGGGTCCGCGGTGGTATGAGTGGTGAGTTCTGGCTCTTGAACAGATCCCTCGATGTCGCGCTCGAGAGGGCCTCGAGCTTTGGGTTTCGACATTGTCGAAGGCTCTGCCTCTTTGAGGGCGACGGCGGCGGGAGCATACTGTGCGAGCCCGACTGGTGAGTGAAAAAGCGAGTGAGCGGGCTCGGACTGACGCAGGCACTTGTTGGCGTCCGCGAGGCAGATCGATGGAATGGCGAGTAAGGCACCGTGCCGCTGGGCTCTCGGACAATCGCTTGGCCCTTGGTCGGAGTCGTTTGCTGGGCGAGAACAAAGGGCAGCTGGTCGGGCTTGGGCAGATTGTGGAGGAAGCTGTATGTCGTTGCTGGTGCCGAAAGAACTTGGCTGGTGTCGGGATCATTATCAAAGGGCGAAAGTGAAGCCTCGGCACGGCTGGCTGGCGAAAGTGCATCTGTCGAGCTTGTGGTGCTCATGCTGCTGCAGTGAGTCAAGTTGGGCACTTGGACGGCCTCTTCGGAGGCATGCTTGCGGGGGTTCTCGGCCTCAGGCAGTCGCCTCTTCGATGCCGAGAGACGGGAGTGGATGGACGCCAGGGACCGAGCCGTACTGGGGGTCTTTGGCGCCGATGCCATGGTTCGAGGCGAGGCAAAGAGGGAGGGGGGCTTGATTGGCGAAGTCAAATCTAGGGACTGGAATGAACTGCTCTGGAAGAACGAGCGGATCGGTGTCGCTGGAACCGGGCGGAGGCTGCTGGCCTGGGCGCTGTCGTGCGGCAGCAGAGTAGCGAGCGAGTGCTGCTCGGGGTCGTGGTCGTGATGGTGTTGATTGTTGGTGGAGTGATGGTGATTATTGGCTGAGTGTTGTTGATGATAGTTGTGGTGCACATGTAGCGGGAAGGGAGATGCAGACGACGGAGAGTCCATGACGGCCAGCCTCTTTGTCTGCGGGGTGCTCCAGAACTCGAGCTCCTCGGCGGTATCGGCGAACTTTGGAGAGCGATGCTGCCGGAATGGCGTGGAAAGCTGTTTGAAGTTGGGTCGGGGCTTCTGCGGGGTCTTCCACAAGTTTGGGCAAGAGCGAGCATCATCGAGCGACAGACCGCCACTGCTGTTGCTGTTGCTGCTGCTGCTCACATCTCGATCAGGCACCGCCGACGGCGACCGCGGCCTCTTGCGAGCATGGGCGGGACTATTGCTGAAGGCAGCATATCTGTGCGAAGACGGAGTCGCGAGTAGACTTTGCGTATGTTCTATGGGTAGAGGATGCAGGATCCTGGGCGGTGTCTTGGGAGGGTCGCAGCGGCGGGTGTGCATCTCCATGACAGAACTGCTCGAGACGATGCTGGGGAAGCGTGGGAATCAATAGATGATCGAGCCGCACTTGTTTAAGGTGAAGCGAGATTTGCTTGTGTCAGGAACGAGATGCGGAGCTTGACGGCTGTGCGCCGGGAGAGTCGACGAGCCTGAGAGCTTCCTGGCGGTCGGTGGTTGAAGGTTGTCCGGAAAGTGGGACGGATGTGCGACCGCTTGGGAGGATGGTGGATGTGTGAAACAAACAGGACGACGGATGGACTCGCTGAGGTTGGGTGGTGCCAGGGATCGGCTGCGGCGCTACCACAGAGAGCGGATCGACGACAATGCTATATGCCCACACCGATGGTGTCGGGGTGTCAGAGCAGCAACGGCGCAAGACCAGGCAGCAGGGGTCGGGGAGTCGACAGACGCTCCACACAAGCAAAATTGCGGGGGGCAAGTGGATCGAGGCGAGAGAGATGGTTGCTCGAGTCGGGGCGGGAACGAGCTGCAAAGCCAGGCGTATACTGGTCCGGGTCGACGGAAAAGAGCGGCCGGTTGGCGAGATCGATGCTGCGAACGGCCGAGGGCTTCGTGCCGGGCAGGAAGCGCTTTGGGCAGGACAGAGGGTGCTGGTCGATGGGCCGACGATGGCGGGCTCGCTCCGCCGGGGCGACCCTGGCTTTCGCGCCAAAACCCCAGGCCAGCACGGGCAGCAGCATGGCAGCGGCACGTGGAGCAGCATCGATGCAGCGAATTCGACGGAGGATGCCCGGGAGTCTACAGAGTGCATCTGCAAGGGCGGATCGGGGTGAAGGCGAGGGCATGTCCTGCTGCTGGATCGACACAATGGCTGCCTGGGACAGAATGCCCAGAATGCATGTGACTTGGATCTCAACCGAAGGAGCGATGCTGATGCACTGCGAGCCGTGGCTGCAACTGGTGATCATGCAGCTGTTCCTCCGTCCCAGCCGAGTATCGGCTGCAGCCCAGCTCCAGAAAGCACTCGAGAGAGCGAATCTCGATGCTGGCCCATGTTCCCACGCCACACGCCGCACGTGATCGGCAGCAATCCACATGGTCCTGGCGCTTGCTTGCCCCTGGCGATGCGAGCCAACTCTGCCCCCATCTGGTTGTCCATCTGGTTGTCCATCTGGTTGTCCGTCTGGTTGTCCGTCTGGCCGTCCGTCTGGCCGTCCCAGCCGGATCCAAGACATCAGCGTCCCAGCGCAGCGACTCGACTGCATCCTCCCATCGCTGCTCCGAGCGAGTCAGCCTCCCCCCTGGCAGCACAGTCTCTCTGCTTTGACTGCACTCTTGCTTTGGCGAGTCGCTCGTGCTGGCATCGGCGGCTCAGCGATGCCGTGACCATTGGTCCGTGCTCGTCCTTGCCAAAGGCTCGCTCCCAACAGTGTCCGGATCGGCTTCGACAGCACGGCGTCGCCGAGGCCGGGTCGCATGGCGGGGAGGAGAAGCGCTGCACCCGCGACAAAAGCAGTGCGCCGTTGACCTCTGGCAACCAGCCCGGCTAGCTCAATCGGTAGAGCGTGAGACTCTTAATCTCAAGGTTGTGGGTTCGACCCCCACGTTGGGCGATATCTTTTGCGCTGCTTTCCAGCAGATACCGTTTTGCTGCTCTCTCGGCATCGTCATCGTCGGTGTCGATCTCGGCGCTGGATGCTCCCTCGATCTCCCTGAACCACCCGTCAGCAAATCGCAGCCGCCCCTAACCAGAGCAATCCGCATCGCCAAGGGCTGGGCGGCCTTGTGCCCCTGTTCGCTGGCCAATCAGCGCCCTGCAGGTGGCAGGCCGGCGCTCGGAGGGCTGCAGCGCCGCATCCTGTGGCAGTGCCCTCCACCGCCATTGTGTCGCTTCGCCGCCCTGGTCGGTCGCATCGCCATCGGCCGGTTGATTCTCCTGCGATCCATCTTTGTCCATCCTGCCATCGATCCATCTTTGTCTGTCCTGCCATCGACCGCTGATTATTCGTCGCGGCCATTCATCGCCCTCCTCGGCAGCGCCTTCTTTGCATCCGTCAACTCCTCGGTGCGTGCCTTCCGTTCCCGCCATGTCTCGCCGCTGCCTCTCGTCTCGCACCATCTCCAACGCCTTGCCTTGTGTTGCAGCCGCCGCCGGATTCGTTCCTTTCCCTCACCCCCCGACGCTCCTGCCCCTCCCCGCTTGCCTCTCTTCCCATCACCCGATCTCTCCACCCGCCCGTTTCAGAGCCCTCCCTCCCTCCCTTCCCCTTCGACCGTCCCCAAGACCTCATTTTATTTCGTTCTTCCTTCAGACCCGACACCGAGCACCAGTCCCGTGCTGCCTTCTGACTGAGCTTGCTTTCGCTTCCCTTCCCATCCCATCCTTGCACTTCTCCTTTGCCCTCCAGAACCGTAGCCAACAGCCCACAAGCAACCCACCATGGCCGCTGGACAGAACCCCTTCAGCATCGAGGAGGATCTCGCCAACCCCTTCGCCGATCCGTCCATCCAGAGCTCGCTGAGCACATCGACCTATGCGGCCCTTGGCGCCCCTCGCGCCAGCGACGACCTGCATTCGCATCCGGCCGCCGATTTCTCGATCCCAATGACTTCCCAGCTGCCGTCGAGCTCCACCTCGGCCTCGACTCAGCTCCCGACATCGATCCCGTCCAAGACCGACGCCGCCCTCTCAGCCAAAGAACAGGACTTGCTGAGGCGTGAGCGCGAGCTGGCCGCCCGGGAAGCAACCCTCCGCCAAAAGACCGAGGCGCTGGAACGGAGTGGATTGCACCCACCCAACTGGCCGCCCTTTTATCCGTACATCTACCACGACATTGACGTCGAGGTTCCCGAAAAGTCCCGCCCGCTGATGTGGAACATCTATCGCTTCTGGCTGGCGACCGTGGCCTTCCTGATCTTCAACATGTTCTCGTGCCTGACGCTGCTGCTCTCGCACCCCAGCAATCTGCCCGCTGTTGCCACGGACTTTGGAGTAAGCATCGCCGATTCTCGCCATCGCCCGTGTTTCGTCTGCCCATTGCCGCAGCTGGCCTGTAGCGTGATGCCGCGACAGAATCGGAGTTGAAGCCGAGCAGCGGTTTGGATTCGAACAATGCTCGCCAACTCACCTATGGGACTGCTCTCACTCTCTCCAACCCGCTCCTCTTCTCCAGGTCAGCATCGTGTACAGTAAGTGATCGGTTCCGTCGATGATGCAGCCGAAGCGATCGATCGAGATCGATGTTGGGAGCAGACCGTTTCTGAACCGACTGGATCATCTGAGGAGAGAATCACATCAATGGGAACGGCTCTCCATTTGCGCCACCTTATCAAGGAACCCTTGCCGGCTGCGTCGTGACAACGGATTCTCGGTTGTTCCGTGGATGTGCCCTGACATGTCCATCTGCTTCGTCCTGCACAGTGTTCTTTATCAGCGCCGCCTCGTTCTACCTTTGGTTCGTATTTTGCCACAGGCTGCAGAAGCGCAATCACTGGACCAGAATAGCCGCTCCTGTCTGAATAGCCACCCAGTGCAGTATTCGCCACGGTCGTGTTGGAGAAGGTCCAAACAGCAACCATCGCGCCCACCTGGATTGTTGCGTCCGGTTTCACCGATGCGTCCAGTTTCATTGATGCGTTCTTTGCTGCCTTGTCGATCGTGCAGGTACCGTCCCATCTACAGCGCCTTCAAAACAGACAACTCGCTCTACTTTTGTAAGTCTGGCGGATTCGGCCGACGCCGCGCGCCCAGCCCGATCCTCCCGATGCTATTTCACTGTCGCTGGGGCGTTGCTCGACCTGTGCCAACAATCGCTGATCGTTTCACTCCTTCTGCACCGCAACTCAGATATTTTCTTGCTCTTCAACGGCGCACACATTGCCTTCTGCTTCTACATGGGCGTTGGCATCCCTGGTGCTGGATCGGCCGGCTTTATCAACATGCTTGCGGCGCTTTCGGACGGCAAGATCGTCGCCGGAGTCTTTTGCATCATCTCCCTGTCTGGCTGGATCTGCGGTGGCCTCGCCTCTCTGTACCTCTGGAAGCAGGTCCACGACTTTAACCGCGCTGCTGGCCACACGCTCGAAGGTGCTCGTAACGAGGCCGTCAGCATGGGTGTTCGCAGCGGCGTCGTCCAGGTGAGTGTTCGCCGTGTGGCCGATATATGGATGCGGTGGATCATGTCGGGCAATGATGCTCTGAGGCGGTGCGCCGTGATGTGAGGCCTGTCGGCGTGGGAATGCGCTGCGCTGCAAGAGTAATGGTATGGGGATGCGGGCATGAGGAGTCATCGTGACGACCTGCTCGCTTGCAGCCCGCTCATCCGTTTCATGAATCATGCGTCCCCTCTGTACTGCAGGAGGCTGCCCGTTCGACCTACATCCGCAGCGACGACGGCCAGTTCTCGGTCTAAGGCTAAGGCTCAGTCCCCAATCCAGCGGCCGTTCCGACAGTGCCTCGACACTCTGTCCGTGGAACGAACATGTCGTTGCAAGATGCCCCCCTCCCTCTTCAAGACACCCCCGACATTCCTGGACAGTGGCTGTGGTTTTTGCGTGGTCGCTTAATCTATGGGAATCTATTGATTCTCTGCTTTCATGTTGCGGGTTGTATGGCCACTGCAAATCTGGACCGAACACGATGCGGCTCCGCGACCACAGCCATGATGCAGTGCAGGCGCTTGGGCGTCATTCTCTCACCCTCTGCTCGGCGATCTGCTCGGCGATCTGCTCGGCGATCTGCTCGGCGATCTGCTCGGCGATCTGCTCGGCGATCTCCGGTTCGGTGTCAGACGCAGTTCCCGGCTCCTGCAGTGCCTCCGCCCCGGGTCTTTCCCACAGGCGCCTCGGCGTTGTCGATGTGGTGTGGGGGGTGGAGAGCGCTGATGAAATTCATTCTGCTGGAATGAAACGCCGTCAGCTTCCTTTTCGGGCCACCGCCGGACCAATAAGGCGCGGGCGCCGACCAGCCCCGCAGCCTTGCTGTGGCCGAGCCTGAGGGTGGATGTGTCGCAGGCGAGCCCGCGAGGATCCAGGACGAGGCGAGGTTGGCTCCTGCCGACCGACGGGCATATGCAGAGCGCATGTTCCGGCGACGAGCAGACGCACGGCAGGCCGTGGACAGCTGGTCTGCGAATGCAGACGAGACGCAGACAGCCACGCCAGACATGTCCGGGCCTGGCAGGGTGCGGCTGCTGGGCCGTCCGAGGACGAGACGCCAGGGAGATCCCGCCGAGATCCCGCCGAGATCCCGCCGAGACGCCGGCGAGAGAGGTTGTGGCCGTGCTCTGCCACACACACACACGCATAGGTCGTATAAAGCGCTGCTGGTCCTGGTCTTGGCCCACAAACCCATCTCCTCCCATCCCAGCCCGTCTTTCCCCCCTGTCGATCCACTTCCAAAATGGTATGTCGTCGATTGCCTCTGGCGATCTGCTGTGCAGGCCGCTGCGGGACTGGCGCTGCGGGGTCTGCGTCCAGTCTGGGTCTCGTTCGGGCGCTCGATCTCGTCTCGCATCTTTGCCTTGCCTTGCCTTGCATTGCGAGTCCCGGCCTGCCGCTTCCGTTGCTCGTCTTCTCGCTTTTTGCGGGCCGCGGCTGTGCGTTTCCGGCCGGTTTGGTGTGCCATACCGATGCCTCTGCGCTATCTGGGGCCATCATGGGAGGGAAGATGCGTTGCGCCGGTCCAATGTCTGGCTGGAACGTCTCCCTCTCTCTCTCTCTGGTGTTTCCCGGTACAGGGCAGGGGCAGCCCTCTCTAGTTTGGCGCAGCCGACCCTCGCCCAGTAATGCCGCACGACCATCGATTTGGAGCCATCGATGTCCGAGCCGCAGCGTTGCTGGGAATCGTGCGGTCGCAGCGATTACGTGTTGGGACATGTCGTCGTTGTCGTTGTTGTTGTTGGCGGCGGCGATATCCGATACTTCGCTACCAAGCGATCGCCTCTGGCTTGGCTTCTCCCGATTCCGCCTGGGGCGCCTCGATCGTGCAGAACCGATCGCTCCGGACCTGGGCCTGCAAACCCGGCAGCGTCTCGTCCACCCTCTTGCTGTGACTCATCTTGACGCCTCCAGAGGCCGCTGTCCGCTGTCTGCAATTCCGGATACTAACCCCGGTCTCATTTGCCTCCTCCCCCCTCGTCACACTGCCTCACGTTTCATCACAATCGCATCTGCTGAATCGGATCCGTTCCTGTGCAGTCCTCCGGTGTCGGTGTCAGCAGCGAAGCCATCGCCAGCTACGATGAGATGAAGGTAACGCCGTCCTCCGATCCAATCCGGATCACCATGTCCCCGTCGAGGACGGGGGCGACCTTCCTGATGCTCGGCAGTGCCATGGCACCATGACGTCGTCGCGTATGCCTAACCTCGAGCCTCCTGGGGTCTTCCTGCGCCATAGCTTCGCCGCAAGTTTGTCTACATCATCTACAAGATTTCCAACGACGGCAAGTCGATCATCATCGAGAAGGCCCAGGAGCACATCCCCAACGCCTGCCCCGTCGAGACCTACAACACCTTCATCCAGCAGTTCCCCGTTGACGAGGGCCGCTTCGGTGTCTACGATATCGAATACGAGACCCCCGCTGACGGTGTCCGCAACAAGCTTCTGTTCTTCATGTGGTCCGTATTCCGTCTGGACGAGACTGCGTCGGCATCGTAGGCAGAGTGGAGGCGATTCACCCCCATGGATCCACTCTGTCCTGCCTTGGCGTGTCTTGATTTGCTCGAGTCGAGATCCGTGCTAACAGCAGGGCGCCCATTGCCCCCTCTTCATCTCGCAATCCTGGCTGATCATGGCGATGCAGGGCCCCCGACAACTCCAAGATCCGCTCCCGCATGCTCTACGCCTCGTCCAAGGCCTCGCTCCGCCAGCGACTGGACGGCATCCACGCCGAGATCCAGGCCACTCTCCCCGAGGAGCTGTTCCTTGAGGAGGTTCTGGAGAAGGTCGCCAAGGGTGCCATTGTCAACCCCCGCAAGGAAGAATAGATGCGTGTGCTTTAGAGGCATAGCATCGCTGGCTTCCGCTGGAGTGCTGCGGTGCCGCTGACCGCCCTTCTTTTCTTTTCCTGTGAATCCTTATGCATATTGTCTTGTTTGTCCTTTTGTTGTGGTGACCTCGTTCTTTTTGTTTTTTTTTACCGTAAGCTCAGAAAAGAAAAAAAATGAAATACCGGACCCACACTTCTCGAAGGAGCGAGTGTCCTGATTTCGCTCTCTCCTGGAATTGCATGCAGTCCGCCAGATCGTAGTCCGAGATCGCATGCCTCTGTCTTCTGCACAGCGGCGTTGGCCGATTCGCCGTTGGGCATGGCGAGCGGCTGATGCAGATGCCGTCAGTCTGATGTATATCCTATGACGGCTGGCGCAGATGGCCGCTGTGATGGAGCATCTCCCAGCCAGCATGTCCATCGTCGAGCGCTTTTGTTGGCGGCCTTGTGCGGCATTGCGTCGCCACCAGGCGATTTTCTCTCTCGTTCCGTCGTTCCCTCCATCCATCCATCCATCCGCCCGCTCGATCCGCCTCGTCGACAACCGATCCGTCCGTCGCCCCATCGCCTGGACCACCTGCCGTCGACCCATCGATCGTCCCTCTGACCGAGCCAGTCCAGTGGCATCCTATCACTCGCCCAATCTTTGCCGATCGATCAGCAATCGCCACACCAGCCCCGCTCTGCGATAACTCCGGGAAGGTGGGCATCAGCGGATTCGCTCTGATGACTCAGCGACACTCAGCGAGGCTTCGTTGGCTTCGTTGGCTCCGTTGGCTCCGATAGCACCCGGCTCGTGTCCAGAGCTCCCGTTCTCATCAAACCAGCCGTCTCCAATCGAACCCAGTACACTTGCTTGCCCCAAACCTCTGACATCCATCCATCATCTGCTCCTTCAAAAAGGAACGATTCAATGAAGTCCAAGAGCCAGGATTACGCAGCCTATCGACGTGAGCGGAACCGAGAGGCCCAGCGGCTGCTTCGAGGTGAGCCTGGCGCTTGCTCACGATTCGCTCGCTTGGTTTTCACCCGTTTGATGTCGCCCCAATGGCTTCGTCTGCAAACCCTTCAGGATCCACCGCCTTCGTCTTTTGCCGGTCTTCCACTGGATCCGGCTCCATTTGAACCCAGTCCCTGTCGATTTGAACATTGCCTGCGGTCCTCATCCCATTTCGTTCCCAGCATCCACGCCCAGCTCACACCCAGCTCACACCCAGCTCACATATCGACGCCATTCTTTCCTTTTGCCATATTCTGCCACTTGCCGGTACCACTGCCGTCTTCGATAATCCAGCACGGCGCACCGAAGAAAAGCACGATAATATCCGACTCCGACGAGACATTGTGCTCTACGAAGAGCAGCTCGCCAAGCTCATCGAGTTCATACAGGACGTGGCTCACCACCTTGATGAGGAGCCTGCACTGGAAGCTCGAGACAGCCGGACACCCGCTTGGTCTGAACAGAGGACGAGCCTCGCCAATGCGGCTGCGGGACTTCTCAGTGACCACAAAGACTTTGCGCTTCGTTTGTCTGGAACAGCGACCAACTCGGCATCGGTCACCGAGGCTTCGGCATCCACCTCGGCAGCATTGCCGACATCCTCAGCGACACTGGTGCAGGCACCAGAGTTGACTCTCACTGCTGCCGCTCCGATATCGCCCAACCGAGCCCTGCCGCCGAGTGGGTCGTCAAGTCCCCGAGACTCATATTCCGGCACCATCCTGCCTCCTCGTTCGCCAAAGCTATCTCGTGGCGGCCTACCTGTCGACTCAAGAGGGGAGCCCCATATGGCCGAATACGATGGCCGCAGCTGGTCCTCCGAGCCCGACGAGCGCCGCTCGCAGCCTCATGCGCCGGCGAAGCGTTCATTCCCCGGAATCGGATCCTTCAAAGCCGATCCAGTCCACCCACGACCACCGCCGTTCTTGCGGAGACGGACGCTCGATGACCCATCGGACCCAGCGTCGTCCCGGGCCGCCTCGTGCCTGCTGCAGATTGCGACCATCGGCCGGTCAAGTGGCTCGCCATGCGACATCCATCCGTCACCAGACCTGTCGGCATTCCATCCCTCGGCATCCTCGTCACCTTCGGGCTGCTCAACCACTTCGTTCCAGCACCCGAGCCATGGCTACGAGTCCAGTCGAGCCAGACAAAATGCATCGGGCTGTTGTCGGTCGGGCACCCCCATGCCTCGAGATCTCGCCTCGGCCTATCCGTACACATCTCCGGACAGCCGGATGTCGCTTTCTCCGGCTTCGACAGCATGCTGCCCTCCAACGCCCACTGGATATACGCTCTCGGCTCGCCAGCCGCATGCAGCTCCATCGGCGCGCAACACTCTGTCGCATAGATTTCCCCACCAAGGCGGCTCGCCAATCATGCTGCCGCTACCACTTCAATCGTCGGAATCGCCCCTCGGTGGTTTCTCGGAGGCGCCCTCTCGCTCACTGTTCACACCCAGACAGTCCGATGCCCATGCCTCGGGAACATTTGTACGGCCACCCGCCCCACCTCCTCCGCACGATCAGTATCCGGCAAACTCGAGGCCAAGCAACTTGGAGTTCCGCGCAACTCGCTCAAGCCACTCGTCCTCAGACCACCCATCCACGAGCCGATATCCTCCGGCCTCGGGGACGCAATGTCCTCCCAGCAGTGGCTCCTGCTGTGGGTCGCCATCGCAGCCCCGATCGAGCTTGACCGATGTTGTGGAATGCGCCAACACTATGCCGTGCTATGCACTCGCCGACAAGATCCTCCGTTCCGGCCACCGCATCGACATCCAGACGTTTTGTGAGGATATGAAAGAGCGGGCGTACTGCTACGGTGATCCCTGGAACCCAAAAGATTGGGTGATCCCCCCGGATATCCTGGAGCGATACCCGGAGCTGAAGTGACCGGATCGAAACGGCCGGACCGTCATGTTGCCGTGCGTGTCGCCGGCCCTCTGTTGCTGACCGAACGGCGGTCGCCTCGGTGTACCGATGTCCGATGTATAGAGTCTTGAAGCACGAGACAAACTGAGCTGAATGCAGCATTATTTGAAGCGCAGTGTCCTCTAGAATAGTGGGACAGCCGATATTGCAAGGGCGGCTGCAGAAGCTGCTGGAGGGGAGCATCTGCAGGATGCTTGATTGAGCCTTTGGTACAGCAAGTGCCCCGATGCTTGAGCGCAGGTTTGGATTGCTGACACCAAGCTCCGCCAACGCTTTCGGACAATGACCGATTTGCATGTCGCACTCCTGTTCCAGAAAACGCTGGTATTAGTCGTCCAGATTATGGCGCTGTTGTGGCAGCCTCCGAACATGTCGACCGGCGGGAGCAGTGGCGGGCACCCGGATGCGTTCAGTGTATACGTCTATATTCATGACCCGGGGCAGATGCGGATGAGCCACCCAGCGAGCACGCTGCAGAGGACCACTTCTGAGGCGCACACGCCGTCAGAGGCCTCTTCTTCTTCATCCGATGCTGATGGCGATTCAATAGTCGACAGCCCATCCTTGCCTAGGAGAACAGAACAAAAAGAATCAGCCATTTGGCGCTTGAAACAACTTATGTCGCACGAAGGCCCCAGGTCTCAGTGACCACGTATAGGCGGCGCCTTTCTGGGTCGGTATCTTACCCGTTGAGGTATTCGTCGATCGCCTCTGTCATGATCGGACATGGAGACGGGCATGTTGTCAGATGGCGCCGACAGAGGCTTGCTAGCGCATACACCATGAATCGTGTTGACGCTGTCTTGGCGACCCGCTGCATCCTAGCGATAAGAGTTGTTGGCATGCGTCTCCTTACCTTTGAGAGCCCGGTTTGGTACCAAGTCGGCCTCATCAAGCGGCGTGTGCGAGACGGGATCGTAGCCTCCAATGCGATCGAGATGCTCCAGGATCTCGCTGCGGTCGTACGTGATTCCCGCTGGGGTGACGACTGGATCGGTCATGACTTCAAAGTGAATCTTGCCCAGGAAGCAGTCAGGCACGAATCGTCGCTGATGGAGCCGCACGCACGGCCCGGACCATCGGAGCATGTGTGTCAGTCGTGGCCGCAGAGGCTGGCGATGTAGCGGCGATATGGGTCCGCTTGCTTCAGCGGGACGATGTTGCCTCACAGGACAGCATACCTCCTCTTGCTGCTTGCGAAGCACATCCAAGTCCTTGAACAGCCTCTCGACTTGCGCAATCCGCTCGTCCTGCGGGAGCACATACGGTCAGCACGTGTGTATCGATGCGGAGACGATCCGGGATGTTCGTGATATTGCCCCAATCTTATCGATCCACTGATGCGCTGGCCGTCCCAGCGGAGAGCCCTTGAGGTGGAACCAAACCAGACCCGGCTCTGCGTCGATGGCGCTCGTCCGCGAGGGCTTACAAGTTCTTCCGCGCTGCTCGTAGTGTCGGCCACATGGGATTGAAGCCTGCTCGATGCCGATGAGAGGGTCCACAGTCAATTTGGATGTCTCGCCGCTCTTTCACTTTCCCCGAGTGGCACTTTCCCAGCGTCCAGGCTTGCCTCGAATCTCGCTCGCGTACGATAAGCTGCTTCAGGAACGGGAGCAAGCTGTTCTCTCGCTCTCGGCGGCGCTGTTCGGCACGTTCCCATTTCTTCTTGCGCGCTTGGAGGTACGTCTTGTCGATCGATTTGACAAACGAAATCACTGCAAGAAAAATGACAAGCAACCGCAGGTTCGGCTCTGTAAGTCCAACAAGTGATGCTGCCGACAAGCGAGGATGGGTGAAGCTGCAAGGAGCATGGGCGAGCCCAGCGACGGCAACTTCCGCCGACCCGTGCACAGGAGAAGCATGCAAATGGGAGCCGACTGCCATTTCTCCGCATCGGGGCCGATTGCAACGCTGGCGCACAAGACTCACTCTTGGTTTCGATGGCAAGCTGGTGTGCTGTTCGGGAGTAAGTCCAGGACGCAACGAGGGATCAGGAAACATGCAGTATGCTTGGATGGCGCTCGGATGGGCCACCAATATGAAGTGCACAAGATCGCAACAGGTCCCGACACAGCAAATCGTTGGAGAGGGTGAGGAGCTTACCTTTCTCAAGACAGACGACCGCCCGTTCTATCGACTCATCGTCTTCCAAGAGTGCCTGCCCGAGCTGCACAATGGTTCGCGGCATCAGCCACCAGTCGATGGTCAGACTTGGAATCGCTGACCAGCAGGCATGGAGCCATCTGGGGTTGCGTCTGCAGAGATACATATACGTACAAAGTACCAAGCCTTAACTGAGACAGAGCCAGGCCAATGGGTTCAGATTTCTGATTCGGCACATTTTGAAGTGTCGCCTGCCGCACTCGTCGGCTCTGCTGTCTGGTGCGATATCAGTGCTTTGGCGATGGCTCCAACCTGCTTTCGGGTTCAGCTCAATAGCCCGCTCACAGTCTTGGCGAGCTTTGGTATATTCGTAGAGCTTGAGGCGGCACAGTGCTCGGTTGGTGTAGTAGACTGCATTGCCATTGTCATGGATCTGGATGTGCCGAAGCGTAGATTCCTCATGCAAATTAGCGCCGATGGAGCAGCGAGCGTGCTGGGACAGGCGGCAAGCACATCCGCAGGAGCCTGTCCCCGGAGTGTCTGTCCGTCGCTGTCATCGCCCGCAATGGCCAAAGCGATACTTGCAATGGCGGAGGTGTACGCCTGAATCGCTTTCTCGTAGAGCTGGTCCTGGAAGAACTGGTTTCCTTCCTGCTTGCGGAGCTCGGCGAGCTGGGTCATGGCTCGCGCAGTCGGCTGTGCTGCGGCCAAGAGATGGAGTTGTGTCTGGTTGGGGAAGGGACAGACTTTGAAGCACCCTACGATCTGGACGAAGATGCGAACTGGCACTATCATGGAACCGAGAAGAACCGAGAAGAACCGAGAAGAACCGAGAAGAACCGAGAAGAACAGAGAGGGCCAGAGAAGAACAGAGAAGACCAGAGAAGAACAGAGAAGAACAAGGACTCAAGCGAGATGGGCTCATGGAACCGACCCTCCCACTATCAATTATTTCCGCCCCCCTCGCGGCTGCTCATCTCGAATATGAATACACGCTGTAGACCAAGGCGCAGCAAAAGTTGGAATCCGGCCATGGTCGGTTGACGGCATTTGGTATCACCTTGAGCCGATTGACGGTGGTGGTGGGCGATTGGTGTGGAGGAATGACCAATTGTATCATTGTTGGAAGCTCCACTCCGATTGCGGACAAGAACCACCACCATCTGAATCTCTCTGGTTGGAAACCTAGTCAAGCGTGGCTGTGTGTCAGCGAGATGACATGATCGTTTGGCTATCAGGCAAGACTCACCTTGACAAGATGTTTTCCCACGACTGATTGAGCGAGCGATGCGTTTCTGGATCTGAATCAAGGACGCCACTGTGCAGTATCTCTGCCAGCCCAAAATGCGCTGGTTTTGAGGAGAATTTTTCTTCCCCAAGGGCAGAACCAGCCATCGTCGCTATTTTCACGCCAGATGGCTCCCCGCAAGAGAAAGACACCACCCAGGCGACCAAGTGGATCCAGAGCACCCACAAGATCCTTGGTCTGCAGGAATGGATGAGCACCACACCAAGTCCCAAGATCCCTGGGTTGGCTTCATTCCTGCAATAATTCGGCATGTGTTCGATGGAGACATGCTGGACAAACAGCTGTACTTCAGCCTGACCCGGCGACGGCGATTCAAGCGACTCGATCTCCACAGCAAGCGACAGCGCACTGTCCACGAGATGTGCAAGCAAGTCATCGACCAGGCACCAAGGGAGACCGAAGTGGTGATTGCCTTTGGGAATGCCTTGTGGAAACAAGGGAAGGGATACGCATCCAGCCCACGGAGACTCAGGTTCGTCAAGTACTTTGAGCAGTTCCACCACCACCAGAGACGACCACCAGAGACGACCACCAGACCAATCCGTCTCCAAGATCCATGTGTGCTCGGTGAACGAGTTCAACACATCCCAGGTGTGCTCACACTGCCGGGAATTCAAGCGACTCGAGAAGGTCGAGCATCTTGATATCGAGAAACTACACTTTGTCCGGAGCTGTGCAAGCTGCCATACGCTGTGGGATCGAGACATCAATGCCTCAAGGAACATGATCTCGGTATGCCAGTCGATCATCGCCACAGGAGATCGACCGGGTGTATTCAAAACTGTGCTCCCGAAACCAACCAAAACCACTCGATTGCCAACGAAGACAGGAGTGCAATGCCATGGCCTGCTCACTGGGGCCTACAGTCAGTCAGTGGGCTTCAGACATCTGAAGCCAGAAAGGGGAAGTGACTGTCCCGTTTCTTTCTGGATTGACTGTAAGTATCTCGCACTGTTGAGTATTTCGACAGTGGATGCCGGGTCGCCCATATTCTGGGCAGTCCACTTCGGGGTTGCCATCCCTCTTGGGATGGTCGATGAGAGGTGTTTGACTCCCTTGTGCAAAGTGTGTGTGTGTGTGACGGCGAGAGGCTTCTCGTCTTCCCTCGGGGGTCTCTCGCCAGAGACTGCTCTTCTCGCCGACCGAGGTGGCTCCGAGAGCGCGTTTTGTCGTTCTCGCTCATTTTTTTAACATGAATTTTTTCATAGTGTCCATGACCCTCGTCTCGATCTTCTCCCGCCAACCCGGGGGCTTCCGATGTCCGCACACGCACGCAGCCGATCAGGGTGGACGAGAAGTGTTTATATTGGACTCGCCGCATCGGAGGCGGCGGTGGCCAACCCTCGGATCTGGTCGCCGCCAAACTGGGACCAAGCAGTGCGACTGCAGGGGAGGGAGGGTGGAAGTGGAGGTGATGAGGGTACGTGTGGAGAGGGTTCCCGGCGACATTGTGGACCTGAGCGCCAATCCAGCATCGCTCGCCCAAAGCACAAGCTGCGCGAGAAATGAATAGACGAATGGATGCATCCTGGGGCCTGCTCTATGCCAAAAAATCCCCTTGATGTGTTTGGAGGAGAAAGTTCAAATGCATGCGAGAGGGATGGACATCATTCAGACGGAGGCTCGCTGGCCGGTTTGTCGCCAGATGCTGATGTCAATGTCGGTGTGGGTGTCAGCGCCGGTTTCGGCCGCTCCTTCGCTGCAGCAGTGGCAACTGTCGGAGAGGTTGCGGTGGCTATCGTTTTAGAAGCCGCTTCGACAGCGGCCTCAAGAGTTGTCTGCAGCGCTGCCTGGAGCTCCGGCAGGGATGGAATTTGCGTTGTCGCTTCGGATGCAGTCTGGGATGTCGCCAGCGGCTTCAGCCCCAACAGTGCCGCTGCCTGTTCCGCAATGGCAAAGGCGTCGACATATTTGCCGTTCGATCCGAGGGCATAGAGGCCCATGCCCGGCGGCGGGGGAGGGAAGGTCGTGCGGGAGAGGAGGATCAAGGCAGCCAAGCTTGCGGCTGGAGAAGAGCCGCAGAGCTGCGAAAGCAGCGCAGTGACATTCAGCGACGAGCTTGATGGAAACAGAGCCGGAACAACGCCAAGATTAAGCAGATCGGATTTCGCCGAGGCGCTGCTTGCATGCTTCGGCATGCTCGTGCCGGCCTTTGCGAGCGACTTGGAGAGCCGGGCAGCCGGGGCAGCCGGGGCGGTCGGAGTATGATCGAGTTTGTGCCGTTTCATCGCACTATCGGTGAGCTGGGGAAGGGGTCGTTTGGGTATTGTCGCGGCAGCAGGTTTGACGGCGGCAGGCTTGATGACAGCGGCTGTACTGGCGGTAGTCGACGTACCGGCCTTAGTCGCCACCGAGACAGGCGAAATGGTCGAGAGTATCTGTGCCAGATCTTTCTCCAAGGTGACCAAAGGCCGCTTGTCCTGCTTCTTGGAAGCCGCAGAGTTCTCGTGGAAGCGCTCCGGGGGCAAATACCCTCGTCGAGCAAACCACATTCCACATGCGTTACAGAGCGTCTGCACAGAGCCAAACAGTCAGTCGGATCGCCAGCCACAGTCGCAGTCACGATGTTACATACTCAACTACCTGCTCTCTCATGGCGGACGACTACTTACCTTGGAGCCGAGCGGGCCCTTTCGGCGAGCGGGTGTGTAAGCCCCAGAGAGCAGGCACCAAAGGCAGCGCCACCGTTTTCGGTCCTCTGTTGTAATGGAGCCAGATCGAGAGACGGTGTCAAAGTCAAGACGAGCTTCCAATGCCCACTTGTTGAGCAGCATGCTGAGTGCAGATGTGCCGAGCGCAGGCATCGCAGTGCACTGCACAGAGCCGCGCTTGTGGACGCTCGCTGCAGGAACGAGATGAAGCAGCCTCGACGTGGACATACCCGATATTTCGTATTTTTGATCGTGGTTGTAAGGTCGAGCGCTCGCCCCAAACCCGCGGTTGCGGCTGGGTCGGCCAGAGTCGGTGTGGTTCTGGGTTTCAATCTCTTTGAGCGAGTACTCTTCCATCAGCAGAATCTGTTGCTGCAGCAAGTACTTGGTGGGAATCGCACCCAGCTTGACGTTTTTGTTGGGTACTTTGAGAAAGTTTGGATTCTTGACAAGAGTTTGTGGAGGCATTCCCGCACCGCTGCCTGCTCCGACACCGGTAGCGCCGTCCGTCCCAGAGGCACTGGCGGAAGGGAATCTCATGCCAGGATCTGCAGGGCTACTTTCGATCGATAGGATCGCCTTTGAGACTGCAGAATTCGCCGAGTCCGTCTGCAAACCAGGCGTTTGGGAGACAGGCGCCTCGGCCGACGTAGTTGCATCCGTCCACATCGAGGGCGACCCTATCGGCGAAGGCAGAGCAATAGCTGCGTTGAACAGATCGCTCAATAGATCTTGCGACGAAAATGGCTGTGCCGTGGGGCTGGAGCAGTCGGATATCAGCGACACGGGGCTGGCCAAGACATCACTGCTCATCATCCGATCGAACTCTTCGAGGGCGGCATCGTCAAAGTATTCAAAGTTCTCTCCCAAAGCGCTGTCGAAGAAGGCCTGGTCGCCAAAGAGACTGGAAAGATCGTTTTTGATGCCGCTGGGTGCGTTCTCGGATAAACTTGAGCTGTCCAGCGTGAGGTTTGCAAACAACGCTGTGCTGTCGATCGCACACGTCGATCCAACGACGGTGTCGACGGGCTGAAGATCTATGCCGCTTTGACAGAGAGCTGGGTGGATGAGCAGCAAAGTCAGTGCTCGCTATGTCACGACAGCCGCAAAATCAAAGATGATGAATGCGCGGTTGGCTGCGATGCCTACCATCGATCTGCTGTCGCCTTTCGATAAATTCCTGGCATTCGCCCTCCGTGATCAGGCCCATTTCGCGAGCTTCGTGGAGGTCGTGTTCGATCTCTGTTGCGACATGGATCATCGAACGGACGACGATGCGTCGAGGCGTCAGTTATGTGAGAGTCTAGAGCCAAACGATGGAAAGTGTCTCTCCCTTGAGCCTCCATCAAACGAGCTAGCCGATTGGCACTGATCTTAGTCTCCGTTGATGAAGACGTCTGCGCTTCCGCGCGGGCAGCGAATGTGTAGGCGGGCGGTCAGCGAAATCTACCTTGAGAGCTTCGGTTCAGAATGAACGAGTCCAATAGCGATCGCTTGAGGGTCTGCAGCTCGGCAGCGTCGGCCAGGCCATCGGCAATACAAGACTCGAGTGACTTGAGATAAAACACCAGATTTCCTTGTGTCCACAGATCTATCGGGCCGGGTTGCAGAGCAAAGGGCACTCGCATTAGCGTCGATTCGCCCGGCAGGGCACGATTGAAGACGACGTATGCTTGTGGCTCTGCTGCAGAGACTTCCTCGATGGTTTTGACGCCCGTGGTGTCTGTCCTGTGCCTTGGCGGCTCCGACGCATCGAGGCAAGGCCAATGATGACGGAGGGCCGATCCGCTCACATCAACGCACGCACAGCTCGCCATTTGATATCCAATCGAAATAAAAGCAGGCACCAGCGCGGTCCACGCACCTCCAGAAAACGGGCTCGACTCTGCTGCAGCAGAGAACTCGGTGGAGGGGTCGATTGTGGTATCATTTGCAATTGTTTGTGAATCGATCATAGCGTCAAGGGAGATCGAGGTCGGATGAGGAAGAGAGAATAGCTAAAAACTGACTCTGAATCAGGTATAGAACCGAGATCGGGGACGGAGCGGAGAGAATGCAAGTCAGCGGAGGGAATCCAAAATGGCCAATATTTCTGGAGCGAGGCTGGCCTCGACTCGTGTGCACGATGCCGCCTCAATTGTCACCGCAGGCGAATGGCCGAGCAAATGCCCCCATCCCCTGATCGACCCGCTACATGCGCGCCAAGTGAGCCATACACTATCCATCCAGAGTGGGCTCGGCCTCCTGGGCTCGGAGAGCTCTGGGCAGGCTCGAATTGGGGGGAGGCGTGTGGAGGTGGCCTTGGCGGTCAAGGGCTGTGAGTGAGATCTGGGGGAAGCGAACAGCACGCTGGCAAGTGCGCACAAAAACCGGACCAAGCCGTCAGCCAGACACACGACGCATCCCAGCCACCGCCCCCCAGCGATCTTGACGGCCGGCGTGTGTCTTCTCACCTACCTTGCGTCGTCGTCGAGTAGTGTTCCGGCGGCCCGTTGCGGAAATGGAGCTGTCGATTGTCACCCAGCAGCCCAGCAGGCCGACGGCGGCCAAAAAAACCGATGCTGTCCCGGAATGGACAAATGAAATTAATTCATCGCTGGGCTGGCGGAGTTTGAACCACCGCTGCGCACGGGTCGCAGACAGACCGAGCCACAGACCGATCCAGCAACGCCGGCTGCGACTGTGCTGGTGATCGACGATCGAGGCGATTGTCGCTGAGACAATGGCCGGACCAGAGGGCATGCAGGCGCCCGCAGGCACAGACTCGGGTGCCATTCAGCTCGCCCACAAAGCCGATGGCCCCAGCACAAAGCACCATGGCTCTCCACAAAGCAATCGTACATCGCATGGCAATTCGCTCGGCGTCGTCCCTTCACAAAGTATGATGTCGTGTCAACCAGAGCCGCTCGTAGACGCCATCCGTATATCCCGAGCGTTCTTGTATATTTTGCTCTTGGACTCTGCACACACCCGCACTTGATCCCTCTTTCGACGACATCACCGATCTCTGCAATCGACCTGCATCCAAATCAAGCCCCATCAAGCTCCATCAAGCCTCATCAAGTGGACTCGGCGCCATGCTTGTCGTTGTCACATCCATTGGGAGAGTCTCACTGATATTTCTTCCCATATTGATAATGGTGTTGCTGTTGTGGATATCCAGGTATGTCCGGGTCTCGGGATCTCAGAACGTGCTTCTCGGGAAGCTTAACTTGAGCAGGACCCCACCTCAGACCGCCACCTTCCATAACGCAGCACCCTGGCACTACTCTTCTACCGAGAAAATCCAGTCGCAAAGAGCCAAGGGATACCGACCGTCTTGGTTGGGGCCATCGGCGGAATCATCACCATAGGAGGTCTGTCTTGTGTCTGGCTGCTGCTTGCTTTGATAGCTATGGCTTTGGTCGCCCATTTGCTTGCTGACCGCTCGCTCGCTGCAGGCAACCTTGCTTCTCAGAGCTTTCTGGATTTGCCGTGCAACATCCAGCTGTGGACATCAAATTTCGGCGTGGTAGGTTGGCAGGCATGCGTACTATGCCAATCGCAGACGAACACCCTCCCCAACCCAAGGCTCCAACGCATGCTCGTTTACGGGTCCTTATGCCTGCCAACTTTTGTTCGGTAGATACTTTCACTCAATGCACTCGTCATTCGAGCAATGTCGTACTGCGTCAAGTGTCGAAAGAGTTGCCCCGAAGTAGAGTCATCGAAATCGGATCTGATCAAGTCATCGGGCTGCCACCGCCGCAAGGGGCTGTTGTTCAGTTTGCTTACCCCTCTCGAAGGCGTGATTATGGTCGTCACGGTTGCTCTGTCCATCTGCACACTTATCATATCCGGGGCAGTGAATTCGGCAACCGGTCCCATCAGCTCCGACTCGACCTGCGCCGATCGAAATCAAATCGAGTTGATTCCGCTCACCGTGTTCATCGGCCTCTGTTCCACGGTAACGATGCCGTTCATCATCCATCTCTACCGAACATATCGTGGCCACAATCGGATACTCTTGGAGCTCGTGGTTATGATCGTTGCCTTTGTGATCGATGTGATCATCATTGTCCTTATTCTGTGTTTTGGAACCCGCCTGAAGTTGATGCTGTTCAGGATATTGCAGAGCATAGAGGTACATATGCAACTTTCTGTGTATCGCTGTGCTGAGCCCGATCCTCGGCATGTATCAGCACTTGTACAGCTGGGGCCAAAATCCCCGTTGCATGGCCAACTGCCGAGCTGACTCTGGTTGCATATCTATGCTCTGCTGAACACCATTGCAATAGCTGGTGCTTCCGTTTGTTGTGATCCATGTTTCCTCCGTGATGGCACCGGTGTACCAAATCAAGCGAGACAGATACTCAAGCTCTGAACGAGAGCTGCGCAAGTTCGCCAAGGTCATGGCCAATCCGCAGCTCTTTGATCATATGAAGCAAATCGCGGCTGAGCGTAAGTGCTTCGTATATCACGCGAACTCGGAATGGCCGAGAGACAAGCGAGCTCATCAAAGACTCGAGGAGTGAGGGAGATGGATTGCGCAAAGCCTGAGAGTGCAATCGTTTAGATGGCTTGATTACGGAGCGCAGGGCTGGTTCGTAGAATCAAGCGGTGAGCAGACTCCCCTGCCTCTGGGTCTCCTGATTGACAACATGTCCGCGGTCTAGTGTTCTGTCCTGAAAGCACAGCATTCCATGAGCAGTACACAGCGCTTCAGAACGATGTTCGGAAAGCATATATGGAAGCGAATCCGAACATGGATATGGTCTCAATTGTAATGTCCACGAGGCCAAGCGAAACCCTGTCTGTGAGCGCGACCGTCTCGTCCGATCAATCGAAAACAATCATACGCTCCGCTTCCAGCAGAACCATCTCGACTACTACAGATCCGGCCCTGTCAAGCCATGACGTACCACGGGACTGGCCGATCCCCAAGCCTTTGTTTGGGAGATTTGCAGGGCTGTACCAGACCTTTATCCGGCGCGGCTGCGCCCACGAAGTCAACCTCTCCAGCTCGGTGCGCTCTGATATTTTAGCTGTGTTCGAGTGCTTAAAGTCCGACGAAGACAAGGTCAAAATGGCTTCCAAGCTGGTTGTCGGCGTCTTTGACAGTGCCCATCGGGAAGTTTACTTGGACATTCTCCACAATCTCTTCCCGATATACAAGAAGCGATTTGGATGAATCCATAGATCCGTAGCTTTGGTGGCCGCGAGTCCCATGGCCGGCGATCCGAGTGGAATGGGCACCGCTAAAGCAAATCCGTGCCAGCTCCAAAGATCGCTCAACATTTGGAGCTAATGGCAAGTGTCTCGCCTGCATGAAACGAAGCACTGGTATGCACAATGGCCGCGGCAAGGGCGACAATCAATGGCCCAAATAGGCGCCCATCTGCTGCCGCTCCTGAATATACAAATGTCTCCCTTTACAAAAATACGATCACTCCATATGAGGAGTATACTGAGTGCATCTGCTTGGACTTGGTGAGGATGCATTCTACCAATGTCCAGCTAGAAAGCCTGATCTAAAGTATCATGATATTGAGTTCCTTAGATGCTCATCAAAACCAGGCGGAGATTCCTGAATGCCAGGGCATGTTTAGACACGCTGGGGACAAAAATGACCTATGTTCTTTATCAAACCGTGGCGATAGTTGCGATGCAGATATATAGAGTGTGATGAGGAGTTTTGACCAAGTGAGATTATGTATTGGACAAACAAGATATGCGCTGGGGAGGCGTACTATACATTTAGTGGCCGGCGGCAAACTCCTGGGCCTCGAGCCATCGCTCGGCATCCAGAGCAGCCATACAGCCCGATCCAGCAGCGGTGATGGCCTGGCGGTAGGTCTTGTCCTGGACGTCGCCGCAGGCAAAGACACCCTCGACGCTGGTGTAGGTGCTGGCGGCACCGTCGCGGACCTTGGTGACCAGGTAGCCGACCTCGTCGGTCTCGAGCTGGCCCTGGAAGATGGCGGTGTTGGGCTGGTGGCCGATGGCATAGAAGAGGCCGTTGGCGGTCAGGGTGGTGCGCTCCTTGGTGACGGTGTCCTCGATGACGAGTTCCTTCATGAGGCGGTCGCCCTTGGCCTCGATCGGGATCTTGTTCCACAGGACCTCGATCTTGGGGTGGGCGAGCATGCGGTCAGCCATGACCTTGGAGGCGCGGAGCTTGTCGCGGCGGACGAGGACATAGACCTTGGAGGCATAGCGGGTGAGGAAAGTGGCCTCCTCTACAGCAACAAAGTCGCGGAGAGGGAGAATACGGCACCGATCAGTTCAGTGGCAACAAGAGTCATGGCAACGATGATGGGAGCATGGCGTGTCCAGCGGGGAGTATCAGGACAACTGCAATCCGACTGGGAGTGGACTGCGGCGGACACTAACCCGAAGCAGAGTCGCCACCACCGACGACGACGATGGCTGGATGGCGTGAAGAGAAACAGTTGAGCATAGTTTAGTTGTCAGAATCGGAAGCGATCGCGTTGACGGAAGATATGGCTGCCACGACGGAGATGGAGATGGACAGATACATACGCTTGTTCCGGAAGATAGGGGCGGCACCGTCACAGACAGCGCAGGCCGAGATACCAGCCTGCCAGAAGACGTCCTCGCCAGCAATGTTGAGCTAGAGATTGCAAAGGAGACAAGACGAGAGAGCGTCGCATATGAGAAACGAGATCGATCGAGGACCCAGAGTCAGTCGGGGAGAACCAAAGGCTATTGGTAGGCACGCGATCAAGGCGTCCGCGGTGCATCTGCATCGCCTTGGTTGAGGATCGGCATGGTCTTTGCTTGGTCGGTGATGCTTGCTCAGCCAAGATTGTCGACGCCAGACATAGGATTGCGCAAAGCCGCCACTCACCCGCTTGGCAGTGGCACCGGTAGCAATGACGACGGCATCGGCCAGGATGGCCTGCTGGTCCTCGGTGTCGGCACCCTCGCGCCAGAGGCGGAAGGGGCGCTGGGAAAAGTCGACCCTGGAAATGGTCTCGGTGATGACGGTGGTGCCGAATCGAGTGGACTGCTGCTTCAGCTGTTGGGCGATGGGATCGACAGAGGCGAGGCAGGGTCAGCATCAGCGACGGAGGGATCTGCGAACGGGGGCACAATCCTAAAGAAAGGGGGGATGACCAAGGTACCCGTCGACCAGCGGTTGCATGGCGATCCCTGCGATGGGGAGGGGATACGTACCAGCTCCATGAGCTCAGGGCCAGAGATGGCATTGGGAAAACCAGGGACTGCGCGGAGGATTTGCAGCGAATTAGCACGACGGACGGAAAGGGTCGCTGGATATTCCAGCAAGCCGACATCAGAGCGATGGCGCTGCTTGGCCACTTAGAGTTGGCGCAACACAGCCGGCCATGATGCTTACAGTTCTCGACTTCGGTGGTGGTGGTGAGCTGGCCGCCAGCGGCGACACCTGGAGAAAGCACGGCGTGCAGAAAGTGTGAGCGGGAAGACTGCCTCCTGCTGCCATCGCCCATCCAGAGCATCGAGCGAGTCGAGCGACCGAGAGGCTGGGTCTGATGGGTGCAAAAAAGTGTCGATCTGTCGACGGCAGAGGCGGGCTGGACCGATGGCTGCCAGATCAGAGTCAAGCCGATCGTGTGGTGATGGAGAACAGGCAAATCGGACGACGGCTCGTCGGGTGGCCGCGAGATACACACCGGCAGCCATGAAGCCCTCATAGAGGACAGGGTTCATGTTGGCACGGGCGAGGTAGATGGCGGCGGTGTGGCCAGCGGGGCCAGAGCCGATGATGACGACCTTGTGGTGTTCCTGGGACATTTTGGCAATCTAGCAAACCGGAGGGATATCGTCGAGTCGGAACGAAGTCTCCACCACCCCTCTAAATACGGCCGTGCCAACCGCCTCGGCTTCGCATATTGGACCGTATCTCCAGATGGACTCTTGGCCAACCATGCTGACCCTCAGGAATTGATTGGTTCATGGTTCGCAGGTGAGGAGGTGGTGGGCAATCCAGCAACTCTGGGAGGTGGGCAGGCGCATCCTCCAGGAACGTGGTCGATCGATCAATCCCGGACGTCGGCTGATGACTACACCGATGACTACACCGATGACCACACCGAGACGCAAGGGACTATGGGGTTCTGATGGCCGGTGCTCCGTCACGGCGGCGCACAATCAAGAAAAAAAGAAGCAATGACAATAACAGCGCTGTACTGATGACTACAACGGCTGATGACTACAACGGCTGATGACTACTCAGGGCCTGAACGTGGTGCGGTGCACGTGTCTCTCCAGGTGGCGTGCAGTTGTGTGCGAGGCGGTGATGACTACAACGCCAAATGGGCCTTGCACGAACGATGACTGTAACGCCAAAGGGGCAGTGGGTGCACGGGATTGGGCAGGACAAGGAACCATCTCCGGCCTGCCACAACCAGCCCAGCGAGGCGAGCGGCAAGGCGGGCGACAGCCCCATAAATACCCCCCTCCATCTCCCCGCCTCGCTTCAGGGCCATACCCAGCAGACGGACGACTTCCGGCAGCAGACGACGCCTGCCCTCCTCGCCCCTCGAACCCCTCGCCCCTCGAACTCTCTCGCCATGAGCGGATCCAAAAAGTCTCTCTCTTGGCTCAACAAGCTTCTCCCGCTCTGGATCTTGATCGGTACGTTTCGCAGCGAGAGAGAGAGGCATGCCCAAGCCTGGCTGGTCCGCCCTTTGCCCGCCGCAAAGCCCTAACCCCGCGATCAACCCTATTTTGCTCGGTTTGTGCGGCGTCTGATTCCACGTGATCGGCCCTGGAATGCAGCCATGGTTACCGGCATCTTGCTCGGTAAATTTGTCCCAAGTGTCCAGGCCGCATTCAACCAGTCAACCATCGTCGATGTCTCTGTTCCAATTGCCGTTGGACTGCTTTGGATGATGTATCCAGTGCTTTGGTGAGTCCTTGACGAAGACTTGGTCGTGCTGCATCATCAAAGCCAAAGGCATCTCGTGATGCCCATGGGACTAACATCATGTTCAAATCGGCAGCAAAGTTCGATATGAAGAGCTCCCTCAGCTGTTCAAGTCACAGCACGCCGTGAAAACGATAACGACAAGCTTGCTGGTCAACTGGATCTTTTGTCCATTCGTCATGACTGCGTTCGCCTGGGCAACCCTGCCCGATCTCCCGGGCTTCCGTGAGGGCATTGTCCTTGTCGGCGTTGCACGATGCATCGCTATGGTAGGTTCCCAACTCGGTGCACCATCAAAAGGGTCCAAAGGACGAAGCTCATTCCCGATACTCTTTGGCAATAGGTTTTGATCTGGAACGAGCTCTCTGGAGGAGACACTGAGTGGTGTGCCATCATTGTCGCCGTCAATTCCATCCTCCAAGTCCTGATATTCAGCCCTGCGGCATACTTCTTTTGTGTCATCGTCGGAGGCGGATCAAACATCTCAATCGACCTTTGGCTTGGTATGTAGTTCTCGAACGCAAGTTGCGCTTCGTTGGGGCCAAGTGGCGGAAAGTCGCTGACACTGCAAATCCATCAGTCACCCGAAGCGTTCTCGTGTTCCTCGGCATTCCGCTCCTTGCGGGCATCGTGACAAGGTTTTCCCTTCGCCCAACCCTTGGCTCCAAGTGGTACGACGAGAAATTCCTTCCAGTTATTGGCCCCACCTCTCTCTTGGGCCTGCTGTACACCATCGTGGTCATGTTCAGCCTCCAGGTGGGTCTCGTCCCGCCTCCTTTGGAAATGCGCTGTGATGCAATGCGATCTCTCGGCTTATGTTTGACTTTGCTCACCCAGGGCAATAGAATCATCGACGATTTCGGCAGCGTTGCCAGGGTCGCAGTCCCGCTCGTGCTCTACTTTGGCACGGTTTTTACGGCAACATTTGCCCTGTGTGCTCTCCAACGCGTGCCCTACGAACTGGCTGCCACTCAGTCGTTCACCGCTGCCGGGAACAACTTTGAGCTTGCTATCGCCATCGCCATCGCAACATACGGAGTCAATTCCCAGCAAGCACTGTCCACTGTGATCGGACCGTTGATCGAGGTTCCAATCCTTCTGGGGCTTGTGCACCTCTCGCTCTTCATCAAAGACCGCTACGAATCCGTTCGTCAACGTCGGGCCAAGAATGGCGATCTTGAAGGTCAAGCTGCATCCGGTCAATCCGTTTTAGTTAGTGATCTCACTCACTTGGAAGACACAGTCAACATCATGCCTAACGACGAGAAAGCCTCATCTGGCAGCAGCGTCATCTTTGTCTGCCGAATGAACTCGTGCCGATCGCAAATGGCCGAAGGTTGGCTCAAAACACTTCGGATGAAAGCCCCAGCCGGCACCATTGGACGAGTCGAAAGTGCTGGCCTGATCGGGCAGTCGAGAGTCCATCCCGTTGCAATCAAGGTGATGAAAGATCGCGACATTGATCTGTCTTCACAGTTCTCCAAGGGAATCGACCGATTTAGCCCTTCCGATTTCGATATTGTGATTTCAATGTGTGGCTGTGGAGCGTCGGTCCCCGAGGAATGGAAGATCGGAAAGCGCTTTGAAGATTGGAATCTTGAGGATCCCGATGAGCAGCCTGAGGAAAAGTTTGTCGAAGTATCTGAGCAGATTCACGAGCGATGCCAAGAATTGATCGCCTCCATTTCCGAAGGCCGTGCACCAACTTACTCGCTCTACAGCGAGGCCGATGGCTGTGCATACCGCCCTCGGCCAAAGAACACTTGATTTGCCCTGTGTGCCGCTGTTGGCCTTCTCTTGGCTACATTGTAAGGATAACGACATCCCTCGCACGAACACATTGAGACACGGTGATGTTTGAGAATATACAAAATAGAGGCAGACTTGGTTTGCCGCCGGAGCATCTCGCACAGCTTCACTCTCATTGGGTTCCAATCAAGGAGTCAGCGGGTCTTGCAAATTGAGGGTGGCCCGATGGGCTGAGCGAGGATGAAGGCGATGGCTGCCGCACATCGAGAGAGCATCGAACTTGGGCGCAGAGCTCCGGTTTCAGTGAGATAAGCGGATGGAGGGAAACCGGCCGGCCAAACATGGGGGATTTCGATCGTTCTCCCACATGAATGCTCGCCAATCCCGCGCTGCCCCTCCAATCAGCCCCAGGACACTCGAAAGTGCGCGACATACCACTTGGCTCCCCCTCCCACCACCACGACGACTTTCCAGCCAGCAGCCCTCCTTTTCAGCAGGAGGCACCATTTTCTGAGCCAGCGGGCTTGCACTGTCACTTCACTTTTGTCGCGCCAAACTCACCAGCAACCAAGATCATATCGCAACAAAGCACGATGGTACCGCTGCAACACGAGCCGCCATGATGCTTGTGCGGTGAGCTTGGATGCTGACTCTCTCTTCTTTGCCCTGGATGTCCGCTTGGAACCATGGACACGTTCGTCGCGAAGGTCGACGCTCTGACTTGGTAACAGTCCCTCCCAATGCGGCCTTGAGTAATGCAATGCATCGACCGAGCGCACTGCAATAACTGCCATTTCCATGGATCTCAGGAAGGATCTATCGATGCGACAGATTTATGACTTTTACGGCACAAACAGCAGCGATGAAGGCATCAAGTACGTCCCTCGGCTGCTTGATGAATGCATCTCTCGGGACTTGCGGGTCTGGAGCGGTGCGCCTCGCCCTCCAGCGTATCGGGCCCGCAAACCAGCATTGCCTGTGTCTCACGCTTGCTTCTGGTTGGCGATGACATCTGGATCTACATGCTAGATACCTAGCCACCGTCTTTGAGATCGACCAAGAGTCCGAACGGAGCGGCATACTCCTGGATTTCTACTACTACAATCTGAGGTACCGTACCACCGACAGGCCACAGCGCTCGACAAACAATTGAAGTCATGGATTGCAGCTGAGCCATAAGCCGCCTCGCGTCGTTCATCGTCACTGCTTGGCGTGGCTATCATCTACGAGACCCGTGGATCACCATATCGATACTGAAGCATGCAAACCCTTCCGGCGTTGATCTGCCAGCTTTGCAAGACATCAAAAGTTCACGCCAGATAAAACCTCGGCCTTCTTTTCCATCATGAAGCAGACACACAACAGCTGTACCGGTGAGGATGCAGACCATCGGTAGAACGTATGACTCGCGCTCTCGCATGCCGTAGGGTCACTCACTGCCGTCTCTGCCCTATCCACAGCCTCGCCCTTTCTGAATCTGCAAAAAGACTACGAGGCCTTCAAGGGTCTACTTCTCAAGCACTCTGTTCACCGTCCACCGTATAGCCAGAAGGTGTTTTCCCTTGAGGACGTGAAGATCATTTCGGAATATGCCCGCAACACGTCTGTAGCTGCAATCGAGTCTCGCAAGGCTGAAAACTTGCTGGTTGGTCGCGAGCATGCTCATATTCTTACCACGAACCACGAACCATCATCCCATTCACAACATCCTCCGCCACCACCAGGTACTTTCGACATTACCTCATGTACAAATACGCGTTCACCAAGAAACTGAAGCTAGATCTCGTCGTCGACAATCTCGATATCACGCCCGTCGCCCTGTCTACCGAGAGTCTACCCGGCAAGATCGAGGGAGAGGTAGCGTTTCGAGTTGAACGTGCTTCTCTGAGACGGCGGTGGTTTGGGCGGCGGAGTCGCTCAAGCTCGGTGAATTATCGATCCTGATCGCTACTCTCATCGCGTTTCCATAGGTCGAAAGTACTCAAAAGATAGAAACGTCTGCCGCAAACCCCTCCGAGCTCCAGGCGACTGTTGTGCAGCCAGCACAGACCGCCGTGCCGCTTGTGGCCGACGTACTGGAGGCAACACAGGTGGCACCCCCAGCAGCCAATCCTCCCCCGGTCGTCGAGGCCCAGCCAGAGGCGCTCCCAAGCGATAGCAGTGTCGAGGCGCCATTGGAAGACAAAGCAGGCAAGTAATGCCGGTAGCGCCTTCGATAGTGGTCTCACGCCATTAATCAGCACGCCATGGTGTTGCCTTTGATTCGTGTTCAGGCGAAAAGCCAATACTCTCGCAGCAAGAGATCGTCGCCGAAGAGCTCCGCAGTCACGTCATGACAATCCTCTCTGGCAAGATCGACGAGCTGAAATCGGTGCTGATGGGCAAGCTTACGGCTCAAGAGGACGTGATCAACCAGAAGATCAAGAAGATCGAGGAGAGAGAGGAGGAGAAAAAGAAAGATCCAAAGGCAGCCAAGAAGAAGTAGATGCTGGAGCACGAGGAGGCACCTGGTTTTCCAGAGAGTGGTCGCCAGGGCGGTATCAATGGAGACTGTCGAGCGAGGGTCTATGGCGTCTTGTCCACAGGGTGCGCATTCGGGGCGGGCGAGCGGGATGAAGAAGATTCACTGTTTCCGAAAGGCGAGTTCGTTTGTCGAGTTCGCCTCTGTCGAACTGCGTCCGTGAAATACACCTTGAAATATGATAGGCTCCAGATGCATTCACGAGCCGAGGGAGAAGCGTCTCTTCAGTCGCCCGACCTACTTTGAACACAAACGGATCGATCAGATCATGCAATATAACGACTCAGAATGTCGAGGTCAATATTTCTCGACCAGGCTTCCCCGGGTGTCCCTGACGTTGATCCGTAGGTCTCCGGTGGGCAGGCTTATTCACCGAGGAAATAACTTTCCTGAGCCGTGCTGGGGTAATCGAGCATTACATTTTCCGTCAGGTTGAGATCTAGAACCTCGTTTGGAGGAGGTCCACCAGAGTCGATCGAGATGGGCGCAGGATTGGTGATGAGTTCTATCCAGCTTAGTGTTCGGGCTTGATAGGCTGGAACTGGATCGCCCCATGCCGACATATTCTCATGGCGTTGGCGAGAGCCATGTCCTCCCAGGTCAAAAACAGCTCCGTCAAAGGGCATGCCCTCCAGTAACCCGTTTTGGGCTTTTATCGGGCTCAAACTAAAAAGGCTCGCTCTGGGTAAGACCTCCCGAGAGCTGTGTGTCTGCTCTGTGTTATCGAATCGGAAAGTATTCGCATGATCAATTCAAGAGACACAAGAATGTGCCAGGATGGAAGATCATGAGACACCATCCGTATGGATCTCAAAATGGGATTCAGTCTGAATGCGCTGCTCCTGCGATCACTTGTGATCACTTGCACGGACCTTCGCTCTGCCCCAGATGGCTGCTTGGCGATCGTGGCCCATAACCGAAGGGTGAGGACACGGCTGATTGCTGGATTGACGGAGTGTTGGGGCGCTCTTCGATACGAGGAGTCGATACCTCTGGGTCTGGCGGTATCAGCAATAGAGGCTCCCGAACAACCGCTGTGGGACAGGCACAAGCATTCACGGATGGGTGTGCTTGGGGATGCTGGGTTTCGATATCTTCCCGGCGACCATCGAGGAGGTCCCGATCGTATTTTTTGTGCCTGAAAAATGTTGCTCGGCAGTAGAGCCGCTCGGCCTCCGGCTTATCGACACATCTGGAGCAGCAGCACAGGTATCGCGCAGCTTGCCGCTTCCGGTTGGGCTCGGGCATCTTTGACTCACACGGTGGGTCAGCGAGAATCGGACGGGCAAGTGATCGGCACTCGAGGAAGAGGTTGGCTCTCGCTCGTGAAGGATGGGAACTCGGCAAAGACGTGGCCAACGGCCGGATGTGATCTCAGGCAGCGAGATCTTGGTTGGACCGATTCCGCGCCGCCCTTCGATGGGACTTCGGACCTTGGAGCACCGCGGAGGTCGCCGTCCGAAAACTGGAGGCAGTTGGCAAGGGTGGCGAGGAGGATCGTGCGACGGTGGCAAGGAGCGGACTGAAAGTGCCAGTGCCTTGGGCGCAAGGTCGACACAGAAAAGGAAGGCGCTGCAACGGATTTGTTTGCCAGGAGGGATGGGTTCTCCTCCCGGTTTTCGCCAAGAATGGAAGGCGGGCTGCTGCGCATGGCGCGATTCCTCTCGGCAAGAAGGCAAAACGCGGTTTCCCTTCGTTCAGAGCACATGCCACATATCAAAGCGATTGATCGAGCAACCGCGCCTCGAGTTCATCATCTTTCCCACCATGAGCGACGAGGACATTGCGACGGTAATGGAACGAATCTTCTGTGACTTGATCCTGCTTTCATATGCCCGGGACTGATTCCCGCACCTTGTCCCCCCCCTCGTATCAATGCCTCCGGCATTCCATGAAATTCGCTGCCACTCGCTGCTCTGAGCGCTCATTGCTGAATCCCTGCGATGATTCCTCGTTCCTCCAGATTGAGTACTTTGCCCAGCGAAAGTGGTATCACCACATCCTGACGGCATGCGACACCGCTCTCAAGAAGCGCGTCGGTGATCCGGTTCTCCGGTTCTGGAGATGCGTCGCGCTGACGATGGATGGTAAACCCGAGATCGAACGGGATTGTGGGCAATAGAGTGGCCGAAACAATGCCACCTAGATACTGGCTAGGCTGTGGTATCTGCTGTCATTTACCGTAACTCGAGTATCGCTCATTCATGGTTCCACAGGCAAACCAACAGAGGCCATTCGAGAGCTTGAAACTCTGCAGGAGAAGAGAGACTTGGCTTTAGCATGCCCAGCCGCAATCATATTTGCTCATCAGCAGTGCAAACACGTCGGTATGCTGTGGTTCCTTTGTGTCTGCCAAGGATCTCTGCACAGCTTTCTGCAAAGCGATCCATCCGATGACGACACTGATCAAAGGGCTGACTCTGCCGATACCAGACCACGAGGCCGTCGAGGAACTTCAGGCGCGAATCACCATCATCAGCTCGTCCGGAGCGGTCACGGAGCGAGCCTTGCTCCAGAGCGGTCTCTTCCACCTGTATCTTGGATCCCCAGACACGGCAAAGCTGCACTTGAGCAAGGCTCAGGAGCTCAACTCCAATTCAAATGCCGCCCTCGCGAGCCTCGGCATGTACGAAATCAACAACAGTGATCCAGATGTGCAGAAGGCACTGGCTCTCTTTGGCAAGGTCCTGGCGCGCGCACCCAAGGACCTCGGTGCGCTTGTGGGAAGGCTCCGATGTCTCCGGCTCCAGGGATGTCAAACCTCAGGAGCACTCGAAGTAGCCTCGCAGATCATTGTCCACTACCCGGCGTTCGTCCCGGCGCATGTCGAACGAATGTACGTGCTTTTGGAAATGTCGGCATGGGAGCAGGCAGTGGAAGCCTCTCAAAAGCTGCTTGCACAGAGCCCAGACAACATTGATGGCTTGATCATGATTTGTCTCAACGAGATGTGCCGCGAGGGAGGTTCCAAGATGGTTGTGCCTTACATCAACTCGCTCAACAAGGTCAGTAGCCCTGGATCTGCCACCGCTGCTACTTCTGCTGCTGCTGGTTTGCATATAGCCCGCAACTCCAGAAAGCAAATATGCCCTCCCGAACAAGCACGACCGAGCCATGCCGAGATCAGGTCCAAATCCCACCTTGGCTTGACCCGTGCTAACATGCCTGATCTTGCCCGTCAACCATGATCTGAAATTCCCATTTCCAGGCGCTGCTCGGCGCTGAGCCTTACAACTCCGAACTCTACTACACCATCGCACGCTCGTTTGTGCGGCTGGCCAACCGGACTCCAGCGTGAGTACTCCCGAGCGTGCCGGTGCTTCCATGTCGCCTATCCACTAACCTCGGTTGGACAGTATCTTGGAGCAGTGTATTTCGCTTCTTGAGCGCGCCATTGCACTGAACCCCGCCAGCAGTCAGTGCTACACCGAGCTGGGATTCACGCAGCTTCTGCAAGGCAGGTGGCGCTTTTGTTCGTCGTTGATACAATCACACTGGGTGGAGGGCCGCGAGATGTGATCGACAACGAGACCGACAGTAGTATGTGCTGCGTCCTCATCCTCATCCTTTGCCCTCCAGGAAACCTCGCAAAGGCGAAGCAGTCCTATCAGCAAGCCTCGTCACTAGACGCACACAACATCCATGCATTAGAAGGCACGTTCAATGTCGCACAATGATGTCATCTCGCATAGTTCGGTACCGCTGATACAAGAGCTTGATCCATGACAGGGCTTATCCGGTTCCAGCTCTACAGCGGCGATTTTGATCAGGCGCAGGAGCAGCTCGAGATCTTCAACGAGATTCAGACATCCATGGGTGAGAGATGCTGCTTGTTGCATTCCCGTTCATTCTCATAACATCACTTTGCATTATTTTGCATTATTTAGTATTCTCGTTGCTTCGATCATACTGCATTGGTGCCGCATTGATTAACTGCATAATCGCAATCGAAATGCTAGAGCGATCGCCAGAGGTCGCCTACTTGACGTCTGTGTATGTGTGGTACACGAGACGGGATGCCGAGAAACGACTCAAGTATCTCCAAGAGGCAGTGAGTCTGCAAATGCGGCGCATACAGTCCGAGACCCTCAGGTATGACTGAAGTGTTGCGGGTGGGTGGCAGGTGGCAGGCGCCGAGTCTGAGATCATGGATGCAGATTGCGACGTCGGCTAAACGTTACCGGTGACCGACAGTCTCAGCTACTTTTACACCGTGAACCCGGATTTTCTTCTCGAGATTGTACGAGACTACATGGAACATTGCCCCTCTGAGCCTAAGAGGGAAGGTATGTTGACAGCAGCCCCAGGTGGGGACAAGGGATGGGCGCAATAGAAGAGGAGGGGGCATGTCCCGTTATCATTGAGAGTACGATCGGCTCTATCGAGCGTCTGACACGATCTCTCCTGCACCACTGCACAGGAGAAGAGCCTGATAAGCTATTGTCAACGGTGCACAGTTTGCTCGAAATCGTATCAAAGATTGTTCCGGGCTCAACCGATGCCATGTTTTACATGTCCAAGCTCAAGTTTCTCTCCGGAGACAAAATGGGTGCGCAGATGGCGGCGTCAAACTGCCTTAGAATCGATAACGGCTATTCAAAGGCAAGGGCGGCTGCATGCACTGGATTGTAATCTCAGATCCATCGAGCTCTTTCGAGTCGAGAGCATTCTCTGTAAGGCATAGTACCGTATCTGGGCACTGCTAATATCTTATTCTGGCGGCGGCGCGGCGTTCCCAGGCACATATATTGATGGGCCAGATCCAGCTCTCCAACAACCACCCAAAGTTGGCCATGCAGTCGCTCGAAATGGGCTTGAGCTACAACTTCGAGGTGCGGCACATACCACTGTTCCATATTCTCAAGGCCAGGGCACTCAAGATGCAGGGCTCGTACGAAGAAGCTCTGGCGGTACTGCAGGCTGCCATGAATCTTCCCGGCATCAAGGACTTTTCAAAGAAAGGTACATGAAAGTGGGATGGGGTATTGCTGCCGCCTGATGTCGGCGTCATATTTATATAAGGCTATGCTTACTGCCGCCAGGTGGAAAGCCAACACCGCAAATACGCGGCTCCGACACAACAGCGACAGCCGCCGAGCGGGTGGCGCTCTATTTGGAGCTGGCCAACACCCATGTCAAGCTCAAGAACATGGTACGTGATCCAGCCATTATGGTGCTCATGGCAACGCCAGCGAGGACCCAGTCGGCGCGACACTGTACTTGCCCGGAACGTCTGTGATTGGCAGTAGCTGCGATAGAGAGCAGCGGCGACTGATTGATCTCGGTGTCGTTCTTCTCCATCCATGCGTGCCCTGGAATGACTGCTAGCACGAAGCGGCCAAAGTCATGTCCGATGCTTCGTTCCTGTTTAAGGGAACGCCAGAGCAAGAGGCCATCACTGTTGCCAACGCCACATTTGCTCTTGAGCGCGGCGAGATCGACTCTGCCCTAGGCATCCTTGCAACTATCACGAGCGAGCAGAGGTACTGAATCGACGCATCGGACATACAGCGTTGACACTAGCGCCTCCATTGGGCTGACTCGATCATCCGGTAGTCACTTCATCGAGGCTAGGGGCATCATGGCCGATATTTACTTGAAGTACAAGAACGACAAGAAGCAATACGCTCGCTGCTACTCTGAAATCGTCGAGCATAGCCCCACTGTCGAGAGTTGCATGCTCCTTGGCGACGCATATATGAACATACAGGAGGTTGGTACCGCCCCGACTCGCCCGAGTTACGGACCATTCTGTTCAAGGACATTGATCTCGCTGCCTGTTGCTTGTGCACTTAGCCGGAGCAAGCGATCGACGTGTACGAGTCTGCCCTTGAATCCAATCCAAAGTCAGCCTCTTTGATTGGCAAAATCGGAAGGGCGCTGTACACAACGCATAAATATTCGCGGGTAAGCCATTGCTTTGACAAGGGCCGGAGGGAGTGGTCGTCGAGGAAAGCGCCGGCTACAGACAAACGACAGACGGAATAATGGTGTTCACCGCCAATCTTTGGACCGCCTGTTCAATCCCAAACGTCGCTGCCATCACTTTCTCTCAGGCCGTATCGTACTACGAAGCAGCGCTGGCTCAGAATCTCCCAGATGCAATTGGAATCCAGCTGGAGCTTGCAAGTCTGTACACAAAGCTCCGCCAATACAAAGATGCCGAGCGAATCATTGCCCAGGCCCTAGACAGGCAAAAAGGTCGGCCAATGAATATGTCTGGGTGCGAAGGAATTCCTGTCGAGTGCTTGCGCATCCAACAAAAATTTGCATGCCGCCCTCGCATTGGCTGTACGGGAGCAACAGCCTTCTGTGCTTCGTGCAGGCTATCGTATGGTCGAGCAAAGCATGTAAAACCGAGCGATCTGGATCAGAGATTCGGATGAGCCAAACACTAACGGTGCTCTGCTCATAGTGGATGAGATTAGCTCTGCTTCGGTGGACGTCAAACTCTGCTCCATGCTTGGCAAAGTCCACAAGGAGGGGCAAGACCCCAACAAAGCCGTCAGCGCACTGAGCCGTGCTCGCGATTTACAGATGAGGTAGCTGCTGTGAAGGCGCACATAACCCATAGCGCGGCTGTACTTACTATCCGTGAATGCTTGGTGGAATAGCATCATATCCAAGGACGTTTCAGCCCAGGGCAGCAAGGATCTGCGCCAGACGGCGTCCGAAATCTGCTTCGAGCTCGGTGATACATACGCACGGCTTCTCAAGAACAGCGAGCGTGCCTCAGCGTATTTCCACGAAGCTATCCAGCACAATCAGGAAAACAAAAAGGCAAGGATGCTCTCCGCATCAAATCGCATATGGAAACACGTGGCTGTTTTGTCAGTTTTCGTTCGATACACCCCTCTGGTCTGTTTGTCCACATGCGAGCAGCACTGTGGGTGGCTGCTAACCCGACAATCGCTCATCTGCAGGCGATGCTTGCCCTCGCAAAGCTGTACATTTCCAAGGGGGATTTGACCGCGGCCCAAAACCAGTGCTCAAACATGCTCCGAATGGATGTGGGCAACGAAGAAGCAACCATGATGATAGCGGACATAATGCTGCAGAAGAACTCGTACAGCTCAGCAGTCTTCCACTTTCGCCAGTTGCTGGAGAAGAATCCCACAAACTACTCTGCCTTACTGCAGCTCATCGAGATGATGAAGCGGAACGGGAAGCTCGACGAGGCCGAGCAATTTTTCGAGCTCGTTCAGAAGCATTCCAGTAAAGCGAGCCTGCACTGTGGATTCCACTATTGCCGGGGTCTATACTACAGGTGGGCGCTGAACCCAAATGAATTGGATTGGGTTGGATTGGATTATTGCAGTCATTTGCAATCCATATTGTAACAGGCATGCACTGGAGCCTGTTCTACTGTCGAAATAGTGACTGATGCTGTGGGTTCATGGCGTTGTTCGACTGGATTCAGATACTCAAACAACCCCAACGAGGCGCTCAAGGAGTTCAACTACTGCAGACGCGACGCCGAATGGGGCGAGCGATCGCTCATCCACATGATCGAGATTTTTCTGAACCCCGATAATGACACCATCGGAGGTGACGCCCTCGAGAGCGTTGCCGACACCAACTCAAGTGCCGACAAGTCGGAGACAGACAATATGATTTCCATTCTCACTGTGGACAAGCTGCTCAAGGTTGGATGCGCAGGGCTGGCTCTCGGAGCTACGTGTGTGCTCATGCAGCTATCGTGATGGCTGATGGCTCGTTGGCCTTTAGGAACTCCCGCAGTCTCCCAAGTCGCTCAGGACCCAAATCCTCGAAAACTACGCTGGCATGGCCACCCGACAGAAGCCAGACATCGAGCGTGCTTTAACTGGGTTCACTGCGATCCTCAACGTCGATAAAGACAATGTCTCTGCGCTGCTGGTAAGCATCATATCCCCTTGCACAGTCCAGTACCCGGACACTGCTGCAGTGCTCGCCTTCGTGAGCTCGCTGGTGACTGGCACTTATCCATACTGAATCGCGGTTGTAGGGAATGGCCACAGCATACTTGCTGCAAAAGCAGGCGCCCAAGGCACGCAATCAACTGAAGCGAATCGCCAAGATGGAGTGGAACGACGAGCTGTCCGACGACTTTGAAAAGAGCCTACTGCTGTTGGCTGATACATACATTCAAGTAAGTGTTTTAGACTGCATCCCTCCTACTATGTGGCCCCTCCTGCTATGTGTCCGACACACTTGGATTGTCTGTTTGCTTCCACCGGGCAATTCATTACAGCCAGACTGCTCGAAACCCGCTTCCTTGGAATCTTCAACATAACGAGCCTCATTCCACGGTCCTCGCAGGGAGGGAAATTCGATCTCGCCACCGAGCTTCTGAAGAAGGTTCTGTCAAAGAACATGTCCTGTGCCAAGGCCTTCGAGTACATGGGATATATTATGGAGAAGGAGGCCTCCTACAAAGATGCGGCAACCCACTACGAGCTGGCCTGGAAACTGCAGCGGGAGTCCAGCCCGGCGATCGGATTCAAGCTGGCATTCAACTATCTCAAAGCGAAGCGCTATGTCGAAGCCATCGACGTCTGCCACAAGGTTCTTCAGGCTGTCCCGGACTATCCCAAGATCAGAAAGGAGATCATGGATAAGGCGCGCGCGAGCCTGCGAGTTCCGTAGCCGTGCTTGTTTTTCAATGCGGTCGCTGCATGGTGTGCCGACGTATCGGCTTGACCGTCACAAGGCAGATGATCGTTGGTCCTGCGGGACGGCGGCCGAGTCCAGGCGTAGCTGCTGAATATACAGTTGAATATACAGTTGAATATGCAGTTTACTCAGATGAAAATAGGGCACATGCACTTCCGTTTTGTCGGCGTAGCTGTGATAGCCAGTGTCCAGCAGGCCTTTCAAAGGAGTCGTCTTGGTAGCCTCCGAGTGAAGACATTGGTCTCCACAATCGCCTGCACAAGATGGCCATCTTGCGCACCGCACCGATGTGGCATTCGATATTGTGCAGCTGCTGGGATTCTTCCGGCTCCTGGCAAAGTGGGAATTTGCGACGCTGGGCTGCGCTTGATCTCGACATGGCGCTTGAATCTTGACCTCCCCAGCGACAATCCGCATTCCCTACCCATCCTCTACCTCACCCTGCATCGATGGATCAACCTCCCCTCAGGAGGAGGGCCCGGCCTGCCGTCCCCCCTGGGAGAGCGCCTCAATCACAGCGTCCTGCTCGGTCCTGCCGGGGCTGGTGGACAACCGTCCAAGCCGCCGCCGTCGTCGCTGTCGTCGCCGTCATACTCTTCTCCGTTGTTCCTCTTGCTCGCCCACCGAATACCTCGGCTCCACACGCTGTCGAGCACCACGACACTGCCCCGTATCCAGTTCAGCTTCAGCAGCCTGTCTATCCAGCACCCGACGAGATGAGCGCCCACGGCAAACGTGTCGAGGTTCAAGTCTCGCATCATATCACCAACGACGAGGAATGGAAGCGTATGCTCACCCGCAAAGGCGTCCTTATCGGTAACCAACTTTAGCCCTCGCATTGGCGAGTCGAGAGGCGAATTCGTGCTGGGCTCTGTGGTCCCGCGTTCCTCGTCGAGCAAGTGCGATGTGCGGAGGCCCCGAACGAATGGCCCTCCTGAAGCATGGCCTCTCACGGGCTCTTGTCCATCAGCTTGGCTTGATCTCGGGCGTTGAGGACCGGGTTGGGATGCATAGAGAATGAACTAACCGTATTTCGTCGCCTTTTTCCGTTGCTGTCGTGGTCGCGGCTGCCGATTCGCCCATCGCATACCGGATATCGGCTGCCGCACGTAGTTTTGGATGTGTTCTGTAAGATTGAGAGCACCGGGTGTCGATTGCTGAGATGAGCGAGTTGCTCGGCCCGCCGACGCTGCTGCACTCTGACTGAACTGGTCAGCGGTTCAGCGCCTTGGTTGTGATTATGCGTCCGGCTGCCGATCATTCCTAACCAACATCGGTCCGACTGGGCATTGGCAGCGAAATGGGCTGGGCCCTGCGAATCAATGCAAAACATCTTCAAGCGCATGAAGATGGATTACGGAGAAGAACTTGCGGTCGTCCAGGTGCGTGTTCTGCCGCCCAAGCTCGATGGCAACCGCCGGACAGCCGACGGCAATGTGCGGGCCAGCAGGTGGCCGCAAATGCTCACATCGTCATCCTTGATCCCGTCTCCAGGCTCAAGCAGACGGAATCGCCGCGCTCGAAAAGTTCCGGGATCGATCCTGCCCGTGCTTCATGTTCTTCTACGTATGTATCGTTGCGCTGGATTCGGTTTCGGTTTTCTGTCGAGTGCGCGCACTCATCGTCTGTAATGCTCAATGCGCTGCAACAGGATGGTACTCTCGTCAACATCATCAAGGGGCCAAATGCCCCCGTTATCGAGCGCACCGTCAAGGAGCAGGTTGCGTTGGTCAAGAGCGGGCAGCCCCCAGTACCGGTAAGTCATTTTCCTCGGGTGCTGTGCGAGACACTTGCCGTTCTGGCGACCACCGAATCAAGCTGACACTCATGTGCGTACGCTTTACAGTACGTCGTCGACGGACAGATGCCCGGGCTCAGTATGCAGGCCAAGGAGGTGTCCGATGCCATCCAAAGCAACGCCGAGCTAAATGGCGGCGCCGATGCGGAAGAAACCCTGGCCATCATCAAGCCCGATGCGATGCATCCTTCGGTGATTGACGAAATAATGGAGCTGATCAAACGCAACCGCATCGAAGTTGTTCGCAAAAAGAAGATATGGCTCACCCACGACGAAGTCAAGGAATTCTATGTCGAACACCAGAGCAAGGCATTCTTCCACATCCTCACAAGCTATATGTCATCGTGAGTAGTGGCTGGCCGGCCCGGGACGCTCTTGTTGCCCAGACACCCCACAGCAGGCCATCGCCTTTCGCAGATTGGTAACCCGATGACCATCTGCGGCGTCGATCCAGGGCTCCCTGCATTGCCCTCGTTCTCAAAAAGGCCAACGTGATCGCGTTGTGGAGAGGAATGATGGGTCCAGCAAACTCACACCGTGCAAAAGACGAGCACCCCAAGAGGTAAATGTAAAGCTGCGACGCTCGTCCCGCGATTGCCAATGGGTGCGCAGATTGTAGCGCTGAGCGACATTGATGCCAACGGACCTACAGCTTCTGGCGTGTGTGCTGGCGATACAAGCTCAGCGCCGGAAGTCGATTGCTGGGCCACCATGTTCGATGCAGTGCCTTGCTCGCACTCATCATGCTCCCTCTTGTGCTCCCTCTTGTGCTCCCTCTTGTGCTCCCTCCAGCATTCGTGCCTTGTTCGGCACAGATAACCTAGTCAACGCAGTCTATGGCTCTGACAGCGCCGCATCCGCGGAACGAGATATCCACTTTATGTTTGAAACACCGCACGTACTCGAGATGCCGATGCCCGAGGTCACGCACTCCATGAAGGCGTCGCTCCAGAAAACGCTTGTGCTGATCAAACCCGATGCAGTTGCTGCAGGCAAGGTCGAAGAAATTATCGAGCGGATCATGTATCGCGGCTTCAAAGTCATGCAGCGCGAAGAGGTTTCTTTCACCTCCGAGAGCGCCATCCAGCTATACGAACATCACAAGCAGCAGCCATGGTTCGAAGATGCCATCATCCACCTGTCCAGGTATGTCATAGGCAAAGCCAAGATGCTATTGTGTTGCTCTGGATGCCCGATGCAGGCCTTGACGCATCTTCCTGACTCTGCAGCGAGCCTGTCATCTGTCTGGTGATCAAGGGCGATGATGCCATCAACGGGTGGAGAGAAATGATCGGACCAACCGATCCTGCGGAGGCGCGAGAGCAGTTCCCGATGAGGTATGCATTCTGTCGCTGCATTATATCCCCTGTATCCTACTGCTTCATTTTTGCACCCGGAATCCGATTTTGCATTGCCGTATCCGACCCTCTGGGTGTGTATGGCCTGCGTATTTACAAGGGCGGGTTTACCTGCAGCATTCGCGCTCTGTATGGAACCGACATTGTCAAGAATGCCGTTCACGGCTCCGACAGCATCGACAATGCCATCCGTGAGATCCAGCATCTGTTCCCCAGGGTTCTAGCACGAACTGGCTCGTTGGTGTTTGCCACACGGCCTGGCAGTGCCCGTGACATGTCCCTCGAGAATCTGCTCAATATGGAGCGAACCGTGGCACTCATCAAGCCAGACGCCTATGCTGCTGGCAAGAAGGACGAGATTGTCGAAAGAATCAAGTCAGAGGGATTCACGGTCGTGGCTGAGAAGGAAGTCCACCTGTCGCTCGAGCTGGCGCAGGAGTTCTATCGCGAGCACAACGGCAAGCCGTTCTTCGAAGATCTGACGCAGTGGATGAGCAGGTGATGCGCGCAGCAGTGTGGTGTGCATGCCGATTGGACGTCAGTCAGGTGGAATGAATTTTCATCGTGGTGGAACATCAAGCGTGTGAATTCCAAGGCGCAGTTGGGAACTCTGGTTGAAACTGATCCAGTCGGCCTGCTCCCGCTGTCGGACAGCTCGCCGATATACGCTATGGTGCTGCAAAAGGAATCTGCGATCAATTCATGGCGAGAGTTAGCCGGCCCTACCAACTCGGTGAAGGCCAAGGAAATTGCACCGAACAGGTACGTGCATCCTCGGCAGCCATGTATCCGACCAAGCAAACGCTTCCCTTGGCAGCCGACTGAGTGACTTCTCCGCTGTAACTTGCATCAGTATCCGCTCCCTCTATGGGACAGACGGATCGCAAAATGCAGTCCACGGATCTGACTCGCCCTCCTCTGCTGAGCGAGAGATCAAAGTCATATTCGGGGAAGAAGTCGCGCCGCTCCCGCCGAATGTGGCGCCATCCAAGCGAACCAGCCGTGTGATTCACGAGTCTGCCCGCCGACTGTCCAAAGACCTCCAAAGAACATTTGCACTCATCAAACCCGATGCCTATGGCGCCGATAAGAAGGGCGATATTATCGAGAAAATCAAGGCCAGCGGCTTCAACATCGTCAAAGACCAGGAAGTCCAGTGGACACTCGAGCAAGCGCAGGAGTTTTACAGAGAGCACGAGGGCAAGCCCTTCTTTGAGGGTCTCACCACCTGGATGAGCAGGTGAGAGGAGAGAGCATTGCCGCTGCTTGGAAGACCACCGGCCGTTTATTGAGCACTTTGATAAATTTCCGATCCGGGGCTCTAGCGCACCAATCTACGCCATGATCTTGGAGAAGCCGAACGCCATCTCGGCCTGGCGCGAGCTTGCGGGCCCGACCAACTCTGAAAAGGCTCGGGAGCTTGCACCTCAAAGGCAAGTTGTCTGCCGTCCTTGGCTATCCTTGGCCGTCCTTGGCTATCCTTGGCCGCCCTTGACCGCCCTTGGCCGTCCTTGGCCAAGTTTCTGACCTGTGTCCATCGATCCATGGACTCGTGTTTGCTATACAACAGTATACGAGCACTTTTCGGAACCGACGGCACCAAGAACGCTGTCCACGGCTCTGATTCAAAGCCGTCTGCGGCACGCGAGATTGGGCTCGTCTTTGGCGACGGGTTTATTTCCAAGGCGGGCTCGCTGGCTGTCCTGAACAGCGGAGACATGTCGGAGCTTCAGAGAACTGTTGCCTTGATCAAGCCCGATGCCATGGGTGCCGGCAAGAAAGACGAGATTATCGCCAAGATCAAGCAAGCCGGTTTCACGATTGTCAAGGAGGCCGAAATGCAGTGGCCAGAGGCAACCGCAAAGGAGTTCTACAAGGAGCACGCCGAAAAGCCATTCTATGGCGAGCTTGTTGCGTGGATGAGCAGGTGAGCTTTGGTTTCTATGCAGGGCATGTTGTGCACGTTGTTGTGGATACGTTTGAAGCGACATGACAGCCGCATATCCACAGCGTCCAGGGCGCCTGTCAGAGCTGCTAACCTGGCTCGGTACCATCTGTACTCGACAGCGCCCCGATATACGCAATGGTTCTTGAGAAGGAGGATGCCATCAAGGCTTGGCGGGAGCTCGCCGGCCCCACCAACTCGGAGAAAGCCAGGGAGTCCAGTCCAAGCAGGTAAGACTCAACTTTGTCGGTCTGCTTCCTGCATCACAGCGACAGCTGCGCCTCAAATCGCGAGTCCGGGCCGTCATTAGGTGAATGTAACCCCATCTCTCTTGATTTCCAGCATTCGTGCATTGTTTGGAACCGACGGCTCCAAGAACGCGGTGCATGGATCGGACTCGCCGACATCTGCAGAAAGGGAAACCATGATCGTCTTTGGAGACAACTTGCGTAGTTCGGTTGCAGCGAACTACGGTGTCCAAGGCGCCGTGTCCGAGCCAAAGCTTGAGCAAACTCTGGCTTTGATCAAACCCGATGCCTATGGCGCTGGAAAGAAGGACGGGATCGTCGCACGCATCAAAGGAAGCGGATTCAGCATCGTCCGTGAGGCCGAGGTGACATGGACTCCCCAACAAGCCGGAGAGTTCTACAGAGAGCATGAGGGCAGGCCGTTTTACGAGACTCTTGTGACCTGGATGAGCAGGTAATGCGGCACAGCAGACGCGGAGCTGAGCATCGTTGTCGTTCACAAAGACTGATCGCGGCTCTCTGTCTGCTCGCTGCTTTGCATCCAGTGCGCCCATATATGCCATGGTCCTGGAGAAGGAGTCGGCTATAACAGCTTGGAGAGCGCTGGCCGGACCGACCAACTCGGAGAAGGCGCGAGAAACAGCCCCAGACAGGTATGTAGTGCCTGGAGCCTGGACTTTGGCCCGTATACGATCCTTTTCGTCACTCCTCTGTGCTTGGCACGATTGTCGTGGGTGTTGGGCTGGAGTGGCGATGATCCTGATGCTGTGCCCTAACTTCACCAATAGCATACGAGCGGCGTACGGAACCGACGGTACACACAACGCCGTGCACGGATCCGACTCGCCAGGATCGGCCCAGAGGGAGATCGGGATTGTTTTTGGCAGCTCGGCGGCGCAGGGCCAGGCCGCACCGCAATCTTCGGGCGATCTGGCAGGCAAAGGCAGCGACAATGCCGCCGCTCCGGGCCCTGGGGCACCCACGACTCAGCCCAACTCGAAGGCAGGCTCCCGAGTGCTATCTCGATCGGATACAGGAGTGGACTCGAAGCTTGACGCCCCGATTGCCTCGGCCGACGGAAGTGCCCCTGTTGAAGTTGTCCCTTAGTGCGGCTCTGATCGGATGTAGATGCACGGCCGTGTCTCTGGGTCCACTTGGCAGAGTGTGATGCTTGAAGCGGGGCTCCGAGGCCAGCTTGCGATTCCGTTGCGGCCACCACAATACACATCCATTTGAAATGATATATATGTGGATTGCTGCTTCATTTCGGTTGTCCACCGCTCTGTAGACCATCGCTCTGGTCGCATCGAGCTCTCTACAGAGCAGAGGTAGAGTGTTCACAAATGAAGCAGAACGGCCGCTTTGCCCTCGGCTATGGTTTTTTGGGAAGAAATACACCCACACCCAGTGTCCGCAATAGCCATCCACCTGCAGGAACTAGGCAGAGTGTATTGAACCAAGCGACTGGCTCGGCTCGGCATCTCGATCTCGAGAGACGGCACTCTACATCAGGCTACACATGTGGTCAAATACATGCACCACACTCACGCATCGCGACGCCAATGTCCTCCACAACATGATATCTTGTTTCTGAACGGGCTGTATTCCATCGCAGACACGCTGGTCAGGTTCACAAACAGATCGGCGCATAGTTAGCCCCGATTCTGCCACACTGGGATCTGCGGTATCCGCTCACTTCTGGTTGTTGGTGTCGTTGAAGTTGACGGCGGAGGTCATGGGATAGAAGCGCGAGCCGCTGACAGGGAGAGATGCGAGAATGTCTCTGGCCGCCTTGTCCTCCTCGGAAGTAATGGCGACGGCAGTTGCGCCGACGTTCTCCTCCAGGTACTTGATGCGCTTGGTGCCGGGAATGGGGATGAAGTCGTCGCCTGTGGATTCGTGCGAGGACAGCCGGTCGATGTGAGCATCAGAATCGGGAGGTGAATAGCCACCCAACTCTTTCGCAGTATAGAGGAGCATGAACAGCATGATAACACACCTTGCGACAAGACCCAGGCAAGCACAAACTGGCTCGGACTGACACCCTTCGCTTTGGCCAGCTCCTCGAATTTCGTAGCCAGGTCGAGGTTCTTGGCAAAGTTGTCGCCCATAAAGCGCGGGTTGAGACGACGGACATCGTCTTCAGCAAGATCCTCGAGCTTCTTGATCTGGCCGGTGAGGAAGCCGGTGCCGAGGGGACTGTACGGAACAATGGCGACACCCAGCTCGCGGGCGGTCTTGAGCACTTCGTTCTGCTCAATGTCCAGGACCCAGGGGCTGTGCGAATGCGTGTTTGGTTAGGCAAGCAACAATGGGAACCGGAAAATGCATGCAGTGACTCAGGAGCTGCCGAATATGACGCGAAACAAGATGAGAAGCCGAACGGGCGGATATATGGAGGCAGTACCTGTACTCCATCTGGATAGCAGCAATGTGGTGGACCTTGCAGGCACGGCGCAGGGTTTCGGCGTCGCATTCGCTCATACCGAGATAGCGAACCTTGCCTTCGGCCACCAGCTCGGCCATGGCCCGGACAGTGTCTTCGATGGGGCTGAATGAAATGCAGGACGGATCAGCTCATCATACCGAGCGGCTCGGTGCGCTGGACTCCAAGCCACCGTGGGAAACGCGATGGAAGGCACAAGTCTCCCTGGGCGCGCTGAACGGCTGCAACTGACAATAGCCACTTACACAGTGGGGTCGGGGCGATGCTGGTAGTAGAGGTCGATGGTTTGGATGCCGAGTCGCTTGAGCGAGTCCTCGCACGACTGGCGGACATAGGCCGGGGCACCCGACGATCCAACGATGGCACCCGAAGCTGGATCGCGGATGATGCCAAACTTGGTGCAGAGGAAGACCTCGCTTCGGCGGGTGGCAAGGACCTTTGCCAAGAGCTTCTCGTTTTCGCCTTGGCCGTAACTGCAAAACAGGACGACGCCCCAGGGAATTCAGTTGTCGGAAGGATGCAGTTGAGCCCGCCCATGAGACAACGGGCAACGACACCCAAGAGCATACTTGGATCTACGACCCACAGTCTGTGCAAACACAACACTTACATATCGGCTGTATCCCAGAAAGTGCAGCCCAGGTCGAGTGCACGGTTCAGGACTTTGATGGCGTCCTCTTCCGAAGAAGCACCATAAAACTCGCTCCTGGAAGCACAAGGAGATATATATGAGCACGGAGAGGATAGTGCACGGGAAGCCGCACAGTGGTGTGGGAATGCGACTGAAATACCGGCAAAACTGAAAGTGTGACTCACATTCCCATGCAGCCGAGGCCGATGCTGGAAACCTGGGGGCCGTTACGACCGAGGGCACGAGTAGGGATCTTAGAGACGGGCGACATGGCAATTGATTAAGCGACGGGTGGAACTCAAGGTAGTAGAGCAGATAGCCAAAGTTGCGATCAGGGAGATGATCAGAGATATTATCAGAGAAGTGACCGGTGAGATCGAGGATGGTGTGGAGGGAAGGTGCAGGCGATGACCGACTTTTATATCCGGTCTGGGGTGGCCCAGTCGCCTTCACGGCGCGCAGATTCTAATCACAACGTCCGCTGTCAACGCAACCGATTATCCTGGCAGGGCAGGAGGAACATCAAGTACTTCGCCTCCCACAGTGGCGGTATCACAGACAGTCGCATCGTGCAGCTCAATATGGATTTGACGCTGCCACACAAAGATCGTGGATTGGCGATGACAAATGTAGTCGCACGACCTCGCACCCAGCCACGCCCAATGCTCGAGGGTGCCAGCAGGACCGATGTATGAAGCGGCACTGGTCAATGCTGGCTGGGCTCGACTTCAATCGCCGATGGCCTGTACACACGATAATGCGCAGGTATATACCGATGTGTCGGTATGCCCGTCTTTGGCCACGCCGATGTATCGCCGACATCTGAGGTGTCGATCAACACTAGTCGCCGGAGCCGGGACGGCCGACGAGGGAGAACCGAAGCGGCGACCGTTGGCACAGGATCGGCCACGTACTAGCTCCTGCTTGTCTGTCTGCCTCGGCCAGGATGCAATGCGTCGCCGGCGGGTCAAAGAAGCCGAGGTCTGTTGTCAGGAGGGTGGGGCCGCTTTCGCAGCCGACCACGACCACGCGCCATGGCGGATTGTTCTCCCCCTGTCCACGTGAGCGTTTTTTTCGCTGCACCTTGGGCGCTCCGAGACCGCGACGATGCCCGCGACAACGACGACGGCATCCAAATCTCGCACGGCTGCAAGCGCCTGTCCAGCACCCACTGCCGGCAACCACAACTCCCGCTCCAGCGCCTCCCTGTCGCCATGTCCATCAGCCTCGGCTTTGTGGAGCCGGTCGATCCGACCGATCCGCTTATTCCGGATCTACACAGCTTTCCCGACAAAGTCGGCGGCCTGCCGGTACGGAACTGGATGCTGCAAGTCGCCAACTGCATCCTTGCACGATGCCGCTCTTGTCGGAGGCTATGGTCGGAGGCTATTGCCCCTTGGTCAGACGTCCGCACCTAGACAGCGCTCAAGGGTGGCCGACAGTACCCCCTCAAGACCCACCTGCCCCCGAGACATTGCCTGCCTTGCGCTTATTCCCTGGTTTGTTCCGAATCTCTGCCCGGTCCACATGGCCTCCCGCATGGCCTCCCACATGGCCTCCCGCAATCGAAACGCATTGGATCGTTTGCCCCGCGGGATATATGCTGCCGCAACGAACCATCCGAATCGCAGCTCTGGCTTGCACCGATACCCATGAAATCCGACTCTGCCAAGTGCGGTGTTTGCGAGAAGATCATGCCGCTGCTGCTTCAGGTGCGCTGTCTGTGCATGCCATGGTCGTGTCAATGCAAGCTGGATAGCGGAGCCAAGTGCGGATGGATGGCTTGCATAGAAAAACAGCTTGCGTTTTGGGTCCATCCCGTTGGCTGTGGGCTGCTGTTTTGCTCCGCTGACAGCCGATCGTCTTGCGGCTGAATCGATTCGGCGGGCGGACGGACACCCACTCGCGCAGATGTATACTCCCGAAGACAACTCGGTAGATGCATTCCATCGGGTCGTCTATGTGTTTTGCTGCAAGAATGGATCGTGCCACAAGACTTCGTGGAAGAAAGCGTACGTCGAACCGCTGGCGATGGATTTACACGCTGGGTGGATGATTTACACGATGGATGGGTGCTGGACCGAACGAGAGGAGACCCACGATCGCTCCTCGCTGAATCCTCCGAAAGCCGGGTGCCCTGCAGCGCACAATCTTTGACGGGCAGCGGAGAGACTGGATTGTGCATTCATCCGCATCGTCATTCCACCGGTCTGCAGAATCAAAGTCTTCAGGAGCCAGCTTCCGGAAGACAACCCATACTACGATCTCGAAGCACGGAACGGTACGAGGCTCTTCCTTGCCCATATCTTTTGACCTGCCAGTGAACTCGTCAGGATCGGCAGCATGTGGCACTATATTGATTGGCCGTCGATCTTTCCATGGCATGACGATGCGTGTTTCATATCCCCACTCTCATGTGCTCAAACTCTCCCACACTGACCTGGTCGTGCTCCGACAGTTCCAATGTGCTTCGTGTGTGGAATGGACGGAACTAAGCGATGTGCAAAGTGCCAAGTGGCCCGATACTGCTCGCGCGAGCACCAACTGGTTCACTGGAATCAAGGAGGACACAAGCAGCAATGCCCGCGGATTGCCAAGGGCGAGTCCATCGACAACGACCAGATCTCGGCTGACTGGCTCGCCAAGGTGGTGTTCCCCGAATACGAACTGGTGTCCGAGGCCGAGCCGGATCCCAAAACGCATCGGTACGAGGACGACGACAAAGTCAAGCAGCTCATGGATGGCGCCGCCATCGAGGAGGCGGACCCAGATGAAGTCGACGAAGACAGCAAGGTCGACGTGGACAAGGCCTTCCTCAAGTTCCAGAAGCGGCTTATGATCGAGCCTGAGCAAGTAGTCAGGTAAAGCCAGGCTGCTCCATTGTCATCGCGACGATTCCCGCGTGATTCGTTCGCCAGGATGTCGCTCGCCGTTTGGAATGCAACTGAAGGCTGCATTGGGCTCGAGAGCAAGCCCGAGGCCGAGCCCTGGGCACAGGACGGCGACGACAGCATCTCACGCTGCTTGCGCCATCATGACGCCGCCAGATACAACCGCAACGCCGAGGGAGAGGTCCCGCCACCGCTGTGGGGAAGCGATATGGGCAAGCCAACCGATGCAGAAGTTGGGCTGTGTCTCCACTGCGGCGGAAAGAGAGAGTTTGAGTTCCAGGTTCGTTGGCCCTCTCCGTCGATGGCTTCGCATGCATTGGATTGCGAACCTGCCTATCCGGCCGACATGGACCCGAGTCGATGCATCCAGCTTGCTGTCGCAGGCGGGCAGCCCTGACTGTGCATTGGTTTTGAGGCGCTGCCCTCTGTGTACCATCGGCCTGCCTCCACGACAAGTCGACCGTGGCGGTCTCTAGACTTCTAGCTCAAGCACCGCTGTCCTCTGGGGTTGCCCAATGTCCATTTCCGCATCTAATTGTACCTGCGATATCTCTCCCTCTGTCTGACACACCGGCCCACACCCCCAGGTCATGCCGCAACTGCTGAACTATATCGAGAACGACCATTCTGCGACCGACTCACTCGACTGGGGCACGCTGCTGGTGTTCTCGTGCACCCAGAACTGTCAACCGAAGGATATGACCTACATCGAGGAGTTTGTTTGGCGGCAGGACTTTACCGAGAACGGATGGGGAGACTCGCTGCGAAAGGGACAGGGCGAGCCACCCAAACAACCATCGGAAGAGAACTGATGGGGATCATCAAGCACACTCTCACGCTGTCGCTTGTTCGCTCTGGCTGTCCATGCTGGTCGGAGGAAATGAGAGGAGTGATCTGATCACACTCGATGAATCGGAGCCGGACAGATCGCTCAGTCACAACACAAATAGATGCAATGCTGCTCTCAGGAAAACAGGGCAGTGCCCCACTTGCGCTTCTTCATAGCTCAGGCCCTGCCTGTTGTTGGTTCAGGAGAGCACAGCCCCGAGATACAACACACATTCGGCCATCTGAACAGCACCGTGGTTTCTTGATGCCAAAATGGTTGGTCTACCGGGGCGCTCGGCGTGTGTTCTGGATCTTGGGTCTTGGGTCTTGGGTGATGATGGAACTGCTCAAAGTACTCGGCGAATATGGGTTTCCGTGGGCTCGATGCACATACCTCCCATAGCATCCACGAGGCGTTCGCAAAGGCAGTCAAATTGTCTCTCCTTGAATGTGCTGTTTGGCCATGGATGGGTGTATTCGGAACTCAGAACAAAGCGACGCCCCAACTCAAAAACAGAATATCCCATTTTCGTTTTGGGCCCTCTTTGGTCCGTGCGTGCTTCGTTCGTTCAAAGCGAGACACCCTGCGATCAACGTCCTCGGAGCTGCAAAAGGCGCGGGAACGAGGGAGGGAAACATGCATTTGTGTGTATTGACAGAACCGCAGAGTGAAGCCGATCGACAGAAGAAGGGAGCGCAGATGAACGGGAGCGTGAAGGTGGAGTCGCTGGTTGGCGTATTCGATTCAGGAGTGGCTGATTGCGCCAGGGTGGAAGTAGGGACAGAGGAAATCGGGGTGTTAGGACGAAAGAAACACGAGTGTGCATAACGAGCCTGGGCGATGCAAAGAACCCAAGCACCAGCTCCGCGCGGATACTCACGACTACTCACGAGGACGTGGAGGTCGACGATGATGGGGCCGACGACTTGACCGAGTTGACGATCGGCACGATGATGATGACGAGGACGACAACCACAATAACGGCAATGATGATCTTGAGCTTGAAATCCTTCCACCACCTGTGCTCAGGGAGGAAGCACGACCGAAGATAATGCCGGTTAAAAACGCTCACCACTGCCAGCCGATACCGATACTCGCGACGACACCAGCCTGGCGATGCCGAGCCAGCGGCCACTCTGCGGTCTCATGCTTACATCTGCGAGCGGACCTTGGTTGCCCCGCGCTTGAACTGCAAGGCGCCCTGCTGGAGGTCGTCGGTCTTGTTCTGCAGCGTCTCGATCTTTTCGCCGCGGGCCATAACCTTCTCGATGTTGTTTTGCATGATATTGATGACCTCATCGACCTGGCCCTGGACCTGCGTTGTCTTGGGTGGAGCAGACATTTTGGGCTCGAAGGTATAACAGTTCTAGGTGTTTGAGAGAACGAGCTGAAAGGGGTGCTGGAGACGGACTGGTTGGGAGCGGACGCCGGAGCAGCAATAGCCGCAGGGGAGGGGAACAGGAGGCAAAATGGCGGGCAACACAGGGCAAAGGACCTTCGTCAGCGCAAAAAAAGGGAATGCGGGCCGAGTGGGTAACGATACAGTCGCCTGTTTCCCTCCCTCAGAGTGACGAACGAAGCGATGGCTATGGCAAAGCAGCCAACATTTGCATGGAACGAACAGCGAACAGCTTGCTGTTGAACTCTCGTTCGTTCCTCCAGATGGGCAGTATGCGGATGCAAACGACAGAGCGCAAATGCAGGCCCGTACCAGACAAGGCACACAGCGACACTCGATAGGTGAGCCGGATAGAGTTTGATTTTGCTGGAATCAGCTCAGGCTTCGATGGGGATGCAGACGCAAAGTGAGCAAGTAGCGGAGAGCGAGGAGAGACTTGCGGCGCTGGAAATGCCTCAGAGACAGATGGGCTCTGGCAACACACGGATCAGCAGAGCTCCCGAAAGAAAGGTGGACGACAGGAGCGCAGGTGCTGCGTGCTGACCTCACTGGCTGCAGCGATGTCATTGCCCAGAGCGAGTATGACGACAGAAGCGCTGCCGCTTCCAAAGGAAAGGTCGGATGGAAAGGCTTTTGTGTGTGGGGGGGTGATTGGGCGCTGGCGATTGGAGACCAGCCCGGGCAGCAGCGTTGCAGAGAAAGGAGCTGCCCATTTGCAAGCGAACAACGCCGACCCTATGAACTGCACGGAGACGGTACATCCTAGTCTGCTTCAGAGATGTGTCTGGGAGAATCGTGCTTGCACATGGAGGGCTGACGCGGCATGGGCGCCGGTGCCATGGCCCCGCCCATGAACATCGCGGACCTGCTTTCATGGGTGGCCCACGGCGACAGCGGCGATCGATCGATATTGCCCTGCGTTGACTGGCTGGTTGGCAGGGCGGCTGCCATCCATGATGCCTTTTCCGTCCTTGGTGCGACGGCCGTCCACGGTGGCTTGGCGAGCGGCCAGCCACGGCGCGGCCGGAAACCTTATCTGCCCTTGCGCGGCGCTGATTGGTGCGTCGCGGCGGGGCTGTGCGTCGTGCGCAGCCAACGCGGTTCCACGTGTGGCCGCAGCTGTGTGGGCGAAATCCGCTCGTGTGCGGAGGGACAGCACCCCACAGCACAGCGGCCAGACCGGTGGCTGTGCATCCGATTGGTGCGCTGCGCCGGGCCGCCCCACGCGTGCCGCGGGTGCGTGTCGCTGCGGCAGCCGGTGCACTGTGTGTGTGCTGCTCTGGAACTGGGGTGCAGACCCACTCTGACAACGGCCTGGACACTGTTCGCTGCACAACCGTGTCCGGCCCGCTGCGTGGGTCGCCGCGTGCCCGTTCGTGCGCAGTGCCCGTCACGGCGACCCATGCACAGGATCCCACGCCCAGGCGGCCATGTTGCCCACGCCAAAACACCGCAGGAAAAGATGGCCGTTCCATCCCATGCTTCTGTGACCGGGGCCAGCCACGGCCTCGCCAAGCTTCGGAATCAGCCGTATATAGGGCGTTCCTCCCCGCTGTTGCCGCCGATTCCCTGTTCGTTTCTGTCCGGCCTGTCGTCTCCACCACCACCACCACCACCACCACCACTCGCCATGCCGCTCCCGTCCCTGCCGCGAAAAGCCAGCTCGGCCCAGATCTCGTCCTCGCTCGCCAGCAGATCCCTCTCTCTGATGGGCCGTGCCTCGTCGCAGCAAAACGATGCTCCAGCGGTCATCCAGGAATGCCCCAGCGACCCCGAGCCCGTCCAGAAGCCACTCTTTCCCGGGCTGAAGATCAAGTTCAGCCTGCAGAAGCTCAAGACCAAATTTGACCCCGCCCCATCAAAGCCGCTCTTGGCCCCGCATCTCTACGCCAACGTCCACTGCGAGACCGATCCCCAGGAGCTCGACTGGGAGTTTTATAGCCCGCGCTGGAGGTGAGGGCCGTCGTTTGCCAGACACAGGTGTGCGGCAGCGGGTCGTCTCGCTGTGGATCTGCCAGGGCCGCTGTTGTTGCGTCTGCTACTGTTCAAGTCGCTGACCCAGGATCCCTTCATTCCAGTGGCGAGCTCGGATATGTTCTCGGCGAATCTGTCGACTCGGGCGCCTTTGCTGTCGTTCACCGTGGCCGAAAGGTCAGCGACCCCACCAAGCCCCTGGCCGTCAAGGTCTTCAAGCATGGCAAGTCACCAAAGGTCAAGCGCGAGATCATGGTGCTCCACAAGCTGCGAGGAGCCAAAAACATTGTCCCGCTGCTGGACCAGTTCTACTCGACTCAGGACGGCGTCCCCGAGCCGGCGCTCGTCTTTCCCTTTCTCGCCTCCACTCCGTGGGACCAGTGCGACCGCCTCATGACCTACGCTGACTTTCAGCACTACATGTATCAGCTGCTCGTCGCCATTGACGAGTCGCACTCTCGCGGCATCATGCACCGCGACATCAAGCCACAAAACATCCTCTACAACCACGCCACAGGCCAGCTGACCCTCATCGACTGGGGCCTCGGCGAGTTCTATCTGCCCGGCCACGACTACTCGCCGTACGTTGCCTCGCAGTACTTCAAGGCCCCAGAGCTGCTGCTTGGCTACCACTACTACGACTACGGCGTCGACATGTGGGCCGTGGGCTGCTGCATGGCCTCATTCATGCTGCGAACGCCGTTTGTCTTTGTCTCGAAGGATCCCCGCTACCAACTGCAGTCCATCATCCAAGTCTTCGGCTACGGCCGCTCCTTCAAGCGTCTGCAGGCCCACGTCGGCATGCCCTCGCACCGCATGAAGGGCTACTTCTCCGACCCCGTCGAGTCCTTGTCCCGCAAGGAATGGAAGTCCTTTGTGGACAGCGACAGCCAGGATCGAATGACTCCGGAGGCGCTCCAGCTGCTGGACGGGCTGCTGTGTCTGGATCCCAAGGCTCGTCTGACTTCGTATCAGGCACTGGCCCATCCTTTCTTTGATTCCTACAAGCAGCGTCTTGCTTGAACGCGGAGCATGTCAAGCCTCTGAACCCGCACGCTGCGGCTCGGCGGGAGACTCGCTTTTGCCGCGACCTTTTTCGCAAGCCCAGCCAACACATTGTCGGTGCCGTCGCTGCCCTGCAACACCCGCCATCATCTCCAGAGCATCCGTGCTCGGACGTCTCCCATCTGCAGTTCCCATTCTCCATCTGTTTTGTCTCTCCTAATGATCTGCCATTCTTCATCCGCGGCATACCCTTCCACGCACCCTGCAATCTTGCCCTCCTCCCTGCAATTGTCCCAGTCTGTATAGTATCTGCTTTGCAAAACCTCGCTCCAGTCTCATCTCATTGTACCCATACCGAAAAAAAATACACATAACCGGGCACTGCCCTCAAACCATATGTGACCGATCGGCAGAGTCGCCTCTCTCATCGGCTGCGCGGATCCTGGGCGTCGGCTTGGCCTTTTTCTGCGCTTCGCCCATGACATCCCCACGACGTTTCCATGGCCCGTCTCGCTGCCCCTCGCCCGCCTCTCGCCCGACCCTCGCTCCTCGCTGCCCCACTTGCCCTCCGGCTTTGCCCTCTGCTCTTCGCTGCGTTCGATCTCGACGTTCCGCTGTCCCGCCCACATCCCCGGCTCATTGTCGTCGTCTGCTCGGCTCGGGCTGCACCATGTCCCACAAGCACACCTCTGACCACTCCTCCGAGGAGTCTCCTCAGCCAGCCAAGAAAACCAGAATCAAGCGTGCCTGCGACGGTGAGCCCCAGCGATCCCCCCCCCGCCAGCAGCACCCACGACCCCGTCGCCTCCATTGGGGGTTGTCTGCGGCCGCTTTCCACCCGCCGCTCTCTGGGGCATTGCCGATGGGCATTGGCCCCGCTGTTTCCACAATCTGCCCCCCTGCTCGGAGTGACTCATGGGTCCCCAAATCCCAACCCGGCCTCAAAGCCCTGCTGCTCCTCATTGACCTCTGCCCCACATCCATGGCTTTGCAGCATGTCGGTCCAAACGAAACAAGTGCAGTGGAGAGTCGCCATGCCAGCCCTGTCAAGCGAATGGCATCATGTGCAGTACGTATCCGCGGTGGGATGTCTCGGTACGCTCGGGAGATGCAGCTGTCTGGTTGGCTCTGCTGCCTCGTCTTGTCTTGTCTTGACTTGGCGGCGGCCCTGGCCAATGCGTACATTCTGTCGAATGTGAATGTCCTGGCCGGCAATGCCATCGCTCAACAGCCGTCCGAGCTTGCCGGATGGGTGGGCTTGGTCGATGCTCCTCCATTTGTCATTTTCTCTTCCTTTCTTGTGCTGTTCATTCGTCCTCCAGCTCATCCCCAGCGCACATCATCGCCGCTTCGACTGCTTGGGCCAAACTAGACAACCTCGCTGACCGACTAACTCCCCAAACTACCGCCGCTCCAGCCTACTTTACGCCGCAGAAGCGCCGGGGACCCCCGCCCCGACATGCACGCATCTCCAACTCGTCGTTCCCTTATCCGGGCTCGTACTCGCAGGCAGACGTGAGCGGCATTGCCGCTGATCGCTCGTCCATGCTTGCCGTGGACTGGTCCACCGATCCCTTTTCGCCGTTTTCTCCGGTAACCAGAGCTCGCCCGGCACTGATACCCGGTCGCTTGCTGCTTTCAAAGCCACCCTGGCTGATCAATCGCACCTTTTGCCCTCCCTCCCTCGCTGCAGTTTGAGCGAAACAAGCCAATGCTGTGCGCAAGTAGGTCATGTTCCCTATGTCTCGTCCGGCACCAAGTGTGTGGAGACCGATGGCTGTCTATGCGCTGGTGCCCGGGTCATCCGGATGATACGGGATACCCAGACCACATCCGTGCGAGCCGGCTGCAAACCCGCGGAACGAAGCGCTAACACTTCAACGGATCCTGCGTCTCAATCATATGACTGAACCACCAACACTGTTTGGATTCGCTGGTCGAACTTTTCAATGTCACCACCAACTGTATCGCCATCGTCTCTGCCAATATCGCTATCGTCTCTGCCAACATCGATTGCCTTGCTGCTAGTCCACAACTCCAACGACAACTCCACCATCTTCTACGGCGGCACGGCCATCGGCGGTGCCGTCAGTATGAACCGCATGCCCCGCAACTCGCTCGGCGTCATCGATCTGTTCGTCTCCTGCCGAACAACCACGTGCTCCTACATCTCCCAGATCGACTCGATGCCCTTTGACCGCATCATGACCCGGAAAATCCTCGATACCTACTTTGAGCATATTGCTCCCTTCCAGGACATGATCGACGAGGCGTCTTTCTTTGAGGAGTTTGACAAGGACCTCCACTCGGAGGTAAGCTCGGGCATGCCCCCACCGCCGCCGCCACCCCCAACCAAACCCGTTGCTTTCTGGCACATTCGTGCGCCGCTTGCAGCTCCTCACTCACGACCCGTCGCCGACCGGTTGTCGCGCCAGCCCTTCTCCTTGCTCCTCACGACCATGTGCTTGGCCGTCATCATGGAGGCCACCCTGCACAAGGAGCTCGGATTCTCAGACATCAACGCCGCCCGGAGCAAGGTAGCCGATCGATCGTATGCCAAAATATCCAAACTCTATGACCACCCGCACATTATGGTATTGCAGAGCCTTATTTTGATGTGCGGCATCAGCGCTCTCCCGGGCAAGATCATCAAGCTCAAGGGCCCGTATTATCTGGGTAAGCCACCGGCTCAGGACTCTGTCGCTTCCAAAGCCGCCGATCTGGTAGCTCGTCGTTTTCAAAGTGGTGCTCGAGCACAACGCAGCAGGTATCGGCAAGTACACAGGCGCCTCACACAGTCTCGTGGCTATCCTAGGTCTGGCATGGGCCATGGCGATGGAGCTTGGCCTCCACATCAATATCGATAGCATGCGCAACCCGCCGCTGAATTCTGTATCGCGGCGGGCATATCGAGCGACGTTCCTCTGCCTCTACATGTACGACCGCTTCTCGTCGCTCGTGACAGGTCGACCCGTCGTGATCAACGATGATGGTGAGTTTATCGTCCGTGAACGCCACTTTATCGTCCGTGAACGCCACGTTTTCACCCCGGAATCTGTGCTGCTGCCTGGCTGCATACCAGATGGCGGCCGCTGCTGGCACTTATGAATGCCGCACAACATGACGCTAACAACCGCGTTCATTCCCCCCCCCTCCACATCCCGATTTGGCCGCTACCCACGGGTATCTCCGCTGCATCGCTGCATCGCCGTCTCATCAGCTTGGGACGATTCCATCCTCGAAGAGCAGTTTGACGAACGATATAGCGACCTCGTCACGTACGTCCGCCTCTGCCGCATCAGCGGCCGCCTGACCAACCTGATCATATCGCCGATCTCGACCAGTGCCGAGCAGCGATGCCGAGCCACCGAGATCGTGAACCAACTGCAGGATTGGTGGGAGTCGGTCCCGCCAAAGTACAAGCCGAAGCCGCAGGGGCGGTTTGTGATCCATCACCACCTGCACTCGCTCTATCACTCGCTCAACATTCTGTCACAGAGGCTGGTTTCTTCTGTCACGTCGCAGAGCTCGATCGAGAGCGCGCGGTGCATCGTTGCCTATCTGCGCTCTATCCCGCGCCTCCTGAGCTTCCCGAACCTGCCAAATCCGGACTGCAACTACCAGCTGCCGTGCATCTCGTATTTTGCCATGACGGCAGCGACGCTCCTACTCGAGTTGATTCTCAACTCGCCCACGCATCTGGAGGCTCTGAGCGATCTCAACGAGATCCTGATCACCCTCGAGCATCTCGGAACGGCCCTCGCCCTTCTGCTGCGCCGAACCATATTCGAGTGCATCCAGTGGAACACCCTCTATCTGCGGGCGATCAGCGGAGCAGCGGCAACTGGAGTTGTCTTGGACTCCTTGACCCTGAACAATCTCACGCAGACCTACCAGTCCATCATCGACAGCACCTCCTCGAACAGGGGCAAGCGAGCCATCGGCTCGATGGTCGTTCCAAGTGCACCGCCACCAGATGTCCTCGCCTCCCCTGCTCCCGAAAGGCCAAGAACCATGCGCGAGCTCTCGCAAACTCCATCGCTGTCCAACTCCGAGGCCTCCACCATCACGCCTTCGCCCAATCTGCCAATGACCAACCAATTTGATTTTGCCGACCTCCTGCGACCGACAGACTTTGACTCCAACCCCGTGGTTCGTATGTGAGTACTCGCGAACACCAAGGTCGTATACACTTCTCCCTGCACTTGATCCTAACCCTGGTGGTGTCGATATGGAGCAACTGCCGCATTCACTTCTCCATCGCCTTTGTCGATGCGACCTCGGCCCCCATCACCTCCGATGCGGTCTCGATAGCCGCCGGCACCACCGAAGCGTACCTTCCTCCTCCTCCTCCTCCCTCCACACGCGCTCTCCAAAATACAAAAGAATGAAAAACAATTGCCCGCAATACACTTTACTCAGGGGGAAATGGGACACCTGCCCACAACCCATATGTCAGCGTAGTATGTGATGGCATGCGTCCAACTATGTCACAAGAAATATAACAGATCACTTTGGCAGCCTCCGAGTGAAGACCACCGGGGCTCTCCGGTCTCCACAATCGACCTGCACACTGGTCTCGGAGTTGCAGAGGGACACAGCAACAGACCATGGGCCATGGGCCATGGGTATGGACTTGGAAATCGAGACAAGCGGTGCTCATGCAGACTGAATGGACGTCTTTGGATGTCTGTAGTGCTGGCCCCCTGAATGGGGTCTGCGTGCATTCCATCTCATCAGGGCTTCGCGGTATCGACGTCGATCGTGATCGGCGCTCACATATGTCTCATTGCAAGCCCGTTGTCGCTCTTTCACCGCATTGCATTCGACTGCACCAGTCTCTGCCTCTCCGTCTCTTGTCGGGTCAGACCAACCCATCATCGCGATTGTCTTTGGACCATAACCCTGCCGCCAGAACCGTTCCGACCCGTGCTAACGACCGACAATGTCATTCAGCTGGGCTGCCGTTGACCAGCGGGAGCAGCGACGCCAGCAAACGGAGCGAGAGCTGCGTGATTTCCTGTTCAAGCAGACACAGGACTCCAAGCGAAGGTGCGACGCCTTATATTGACCGTGGCCTTCCCCTGCCTCTCGTCTCTAGCCCGCATCTGACTGTTGAGATTGCACATGAGTGCCTGGTCGAGCAAGGCGCAGTGTCGACCACGGTGCCATGTCCAAAGTACTTGTGCGCATGACCGAATGGGAGCATGACTCCTTGGTCTTCCAGCCCCACCGATACCAGCGACAGGCCAACGCTAACTGGTCGTGCATATCTTCCCTACCACCAGAAAAGCCCAAGAGAAGCAGGAAGAGATTGACGCATACCGCCGCGGATATGGACCAACGGGAGCACCACCATCGCAGGTATAAAACCTGCGCGTCGGATCGGGTGCGCTGGCCCGTGGGAACATGGATAGCACGGATATCGTTGCAGGGATGCCGGCCAGAGTACCAAAGTCCGAATTTGCTCACAACTTCAGTCGCGCCATACTTCCGTTTCGATACTGACACTGACACCGACACTGACATGGCTCTTCTCTGTCTGCACCCTGGATTTACTCTGCTCACATCTTGTGTTATTCTCTCGGCATACCGTGTGTCGATTTCCTGCTTGTTCGCATTCCGTTGCCGACTCAGAGCCCGACTCCCGACATTCGCATGGACGAAGACCGTCTGCCACCTCAAGGAGCACCGGCGAACACCACTTTCAGAACCGAGCGATCTACTTTCCCGTCCGCGACGAAGAGCCTTGCTCCAGCCTCTGGGCCCGGATTCGCCTCGGCCCAACCGTCCAGTCTCACGGCAGGGTCAGGCCCTGGAGCCGGTCTGGTTCCGTCTCTGGCTGCGGCAGCCGCGGCCGCCGGACCCAACGACGAAATGCTATCCAGTCTGCGCTTCGCAGAAGAGTCCCTGCAGCAAGAGCGACGCAGCCGCGGCTGGCTCGAGGCCGAGTTGCAGATCGGCAAGACGCTGATGGCCACGATGAGCGCAAAACTCGACAAGCTGCAGGAGACCGTTGCCATGGACGGCGTGACGATCCGAGATGTCTCCAAGCAAGCCGAGGCGGCCGACCGGCGATCCCGCGAGGCAGCACAAGAGATGGCCAACCGGCTGGAACGGGACCAGCTCAAGCTGCACCAGGTCGTCGCCGACTTGGTCGCCAAGCAGCGGCACTGGGAGCAGCTCATGGAGGACGAAGAGGAGCGACACCGGAGCATGAACGAGGCCGTCAACTCGGTCCGGTACAAGCTGGAGGCATACTCGCTCCAGGCGAGCGAGGCCAGCGCCGAGATCAAGAATCGTACCCGGGACTGGGAGTTTGACCAACAACGAGCCGCCGATCTGCAGCGGGCCGTCAAGGAACACGACCATGCCTTTGAATTGCTCCAGAGCTCGCTCGATTCTTCGACCGACACTCTTTCCAAGCGCCTCGACTCGGCGATGCAGGAGATCCGAGTTCGCCTCGACCAGGACGGCCGCGGTCGCTTTGCCTTCGAGAACAACATGAAGGATCTGTACCAGGACATGAAGCGGCTGCTGCAGAGCCAGGAGCGAGAGCTGGGCGATCGACTCGAGTCCACCCGCCAGCTGGTCATCCTGACCGCCGACAGAGAGCGGCAGGAGCGTGAGAAGGGCATCATGGGCATGACCGACGTGATCAAGATGGCCGAGCGCTCGTTCAAGGAATCCGAGATGCAGCTGCTGGCCAAGGTCACAGGTCAAATCTCAGCCATCGAAAAGACTGTGGCCGAGGAGCGGGCGGCCCGGGCAAAGTTTGAATCACAGATCCGATCGGATATGCAGGAGGGCTTCCGCATGATGCAGCAGGCCATCAGCAAGAAAGGAGACGAGCTCCAGCTGCAGCAACAAGAGCTGAAGCAGGCTTCGGTCATGGCCCTGCGCACCATCCAGGAATCTGTTCTGCTGGTCGAGCGGTCGGGCGAACAGAAGCTCGCCGGCGTAGAGAATGTCCTCCGGGCCGAGATCCAGTCGAGGATGGATGGAAACCAGCAAGCCGAGCTGGACTTTGATCTGCTGCGCCAGACCGTCGCCCAGCTCGAGAAGCGTCTTGGCGAGGAGCTCGAGAGCGTTCGCCATGAAGAACATGAGCAGCGCGAGAGGAGCGAGGATGAGCTCAAGAAGATCGTGGAGCAGCTGACGCTGGCCAAGGTCCGATCGGTCGAGGATCTGGAGACGCAGCTTGGGCAGCTACGGAAGCGTCTCAAGGAGTCTGCCGAGCTTTCCCACGAGCAGCAGGTCGCGCTGGACAGAAAGCTGGATGATGCCAAGGTCCACTATCGCACCGAAATTAACCAGCTCGAAGGACGCATCGGCACCCAGACACAGCAGCTCAAGGCCGACAACGAAGCCATGCTTGGTCTGATTCAGGAGAACGAACTACTTGTGCAGCGGGCCAAGACCGAGATGGACGAGCGGCTCAATGCGCGGACAGCCCAGTTTGATCAGACCATGGAGATGTTCAAGGAGGACCTAGCAACCCGTGCAACTGTTCGAGAGACCCAGGAAGGCGAAGCTCGGCTTCAGGCATCCATCGGCAGCATCCAGTCGAGCGTGGAGCATCTAACAGCTGCTCTGGCCGAGGCCAAGGAGAACATCGAGACCAGGGCCACCAAGCGCAACCTGGACGATGTCCACGCCAAGCTCAAGCAGTCCGACGGTCTGATTGAGGCCCGCATTGTCCAGACCGAGGAAGCGCTGCTGGCCGCCAGGGAGGATATCTCGGCCCGGTCTACCAAGAAGGAGCTCGAGGCTGTCAGCGAGGCTGTCAAGGCGCATGCCACCGAGCTCCAGATCCGAGACATCGCCTTGGAAGAGAGAATCAACGCAACCCAGGAATTGCTGGCCGACAAAGTCAGCAAAACTCAAATGGCCGAGACCGAGAAGCGGCTCGGGGAGCAGTTCACCCAGCTCGAGGCCCAGGACATCAAGCTGGAGCAGTCCATCAGCGACACAAGGGAGTCGATCTTGCTCAAAGCCAACCGCATGGATCTCGAGAGCGCCGAGAAGAAGTTAGGGCGCCAGCTCGGCCAGCTGGACGAGAAGCTCGCTGTCGTCGACCAGTCTGTAGCCGAGGCCAAACAGGAGCTCAGCAAGGCCATGCGCGAGGATCTTGCCGAGATGGCCAACCGCACCAATCTGGCACTCGATGTCGTCGGGGCCAAATGGGAAGAATTCAACGTCGTCATCGAGGATATCAAGACCCGGATCTCGGAGACAGACTCGGCGCTGCGGAATCGCATCAAAGAGCAGGCCCAGTCAACCGACGTGCTGATTGGCGAGCAGACGGTGTCGCTCGAAGGCCTCATAGCGTCCATCAAGGGCCAGCTTGCAGAGCAGATCGATAAACTGGATGGCTTTCCAGCACAGCTCCAGGCGCAGAAGCAGTACTTTGAGGACTTTAAACGGTCCGTGCTCGGCGAGCTCCACGAGCACGCCCAACAGACCCAGCGCTCGGTGAGTGAGGTCAAGGATTCCAGCCGCTTCAAAGCGAGCATCAGCGATCTGGACCGGCTCCAGGCCACGATCCAGAGCGAGGTCCAAAAACTCAAAACGCAGATGGATGTCGATTTGATGACGCATGACCAGAAGCTTCAGAGGTTGCAGGACCAAGACAGCTCCATCAAGGAGCGGCTGCGGGAATTTGCCGCCGGCCGAGAGCGAGACAACCAGGAGTTCCAGACCCGAAGCCGACAGATGCATGAGAGTGCAACCAAGCGGATTGACAGCCTCGAGCTGCATGTAGCCGAGTACCCCAAGTTGATCGAGTCGCTCGTGTCCGACATCAGGCTGATTCGCAGCGACCTCGACGATCGTGTCCAGAAGGAGCTGGTCCGGGTCGAGCAGCAGGTTGCGCTCCTCAAGGGCCGGCTTCAGGACTGCATCTCAGAGCAGGCTGTGCAGCAAACCATCCAAACCTATCTGTCGCCCGTCAACAGCCAGCTCCAGCGCACGGGGGAAACCATCATGGATCTGCGTGGGACGATGGACAAGAAGTGGGACATTCTCAGCTCCGTCAACGCCCAGACGGCGCAAAACTCGATGCGCATCAACACCCTGGTCGATCGCCTGAGCTCGCAATCTTCGAGCGGCCCAAGCCCGATCGAGCCACCAGGCGCAGTGCCTTTCGCCTCGTCCAGTGTACGATCGAGCACGGGCTCGCTTGTCAAAGGCAGCTTCTACAAGCCGGCGCACCTGAGTTTCAAGGATGAACCCGCCGACCGAGCCCGCGGCCCGTCCTCGGATGAGGCTGACGGCGGGGCAGAGTCGACTGGTGACGATCTGACTGACCTGGAGAAGCTTGCCGACATGGCGACGAACGGAGGATTCCAGCTTCCCGCTGTTCCACGCCGGAGTCCCGACGGTGGCGAGCACGAGTACTAGGTGTGAATGCAGAGAATCAGAGCAAGTTACACCACGAATCCAATGTGCAGCTCTCGTTGGCTGCAGTGTTCACAACAAAGTCGAGCGCCTGGACTTTCCGGTTAACGACTGATTGCTGGATCCCCTGAATATACATATGGCTTGTCTGTGTGTTTGTGGGCGTCGGCACGAAAGTAGGGGTCAGATATGCATGTCGAGATGCAGCCGTCCGAGATTGGCTGGTGCGATCGAAGTGCGTGGTCCTGTTGGCACAACGGCGGTAGCAATGGTTCGGCATAGACCGCTGATGACTGCAGCCTAAATTTTTGCACAGCAGCCCAAGTTTCTGCACTGCAGCATATCGCCAATGAATGTGTCTCCTGTTTTGTTAGAAGAGTTGTATATTCTCTATCCGTACACATGTGATCCGCAGCAGCAACAGCCACTGATTGCGCGGTAGCGAGAGCAGGCCGTGTGATGCTCGTTAAACATTGTACCGATTTCGTTGGATCGAGCACGAATCTCGGCGAATCAATTGTCAGTATCATGACCATTTGCGTAGCATTTGTATCGCCATCGAAGCTTCAGGCTCGCGCCGGTGCGGAAACCATCGATCCGATGACGTCCTGCTCGTCGATCGGATTCTGTGCCGGCGTCCTGCTCGCTGTTCCGGCGGATACAGTGGCGAGTCTGGTCGATCTCCACGAAATGCAAACTTGGGGATCTCTACTGCTCGCGCTCGCTAGCTAAAGTTGATCACGATCGGCTTCCTGTCGTTCACAGCAATGTTGCCGTCGCCTTCGAACGTTCCTTCGAATGGCGCCCGGCACCGCCTTGGTGATCGAAGAAATTCGACATAGATGCGTCCCCAAAGATCCTTGGTGGGGTCGATGATGCGCTCTTCGCCCGTGTACGAAAACTCGATTCGCTCATCGTCAAACTCGTTCGGGTTGCGGTGGGGCCGGTACTTCGACTTGCCCTTGACATCCACCCTGCGAGTGGCGATCAAGATGCGGCCCCGCATCTCGACTTGAGGCGAGATGTGCTGGCGATACTCGGCATCCTGGGGTGGCTCAGGAGGAATGTACGCGGTGATGGAGTGAACTTCGAAGCATTCCATGCGCTCCCACCAGGCACCGTCAGACGGGAAGACCTGCTTCAAAAAGGCAGCATTGTGGCCCTCCTGCTGCTTGATGATGGCCATATCCGAGCGTGTCAGGCGCGAGCCGATCAAGCGCGGGTTGAGCCGACACAGGTCGCCTGGACAGATGCGCTCGGGACCCAACCGGAAGGCGGCCAGGGGCACCACCGCAGATCCCACTGCAGAACCTATCGGGCGGTCCAATGGGCTGTAGCTGTCGAGGTATCCAAACAGAATGTCCTTTGCGCCGAGTCCCGGATCAGGCTCGAGGACGGCCCGGCACAAGTGTTGATGGAGGTCCACGTCTTCTTCGGCGGAGGGAATGGCCCAGCTGGAGGAGAGATCGAGGGCCTGAATCACGGCGCGATTCCAGTAGACGTCCATGTCCTTCATAGTCGGCAGGTGCATCATGAACGGGATCAGCGAGGTTTCGGCCTTGAGCCAAAAGTTCCGAGGCCGCACGGCGCTCTCTTCGTCTGTTTCTGGTCTCCAGCTGCCGGCAACTTTCTTTCTCAGCGGCTCCAGACGAGTTGGGAAGGGTAGTGGCTCAACTATAAACTGGGCCTGTCCTTCGAGATCGTACTTGCGGAACATTTCCAAAAGGTTTTCCATGCTCTGGGGAAAGTCCGGACCGAACTCGGACTCATCCAGCTCCAACTCGTCATCCAGCAACTCTGTGGGGCTGCTGGACTCGGACAGAGCCAGCTCATTCGGCGTAGTAGAGGCACGGGATCCATCTGGGGATAAGGGCACTTGCGGGACGGTCGGACCGTACGAGCTATCGCTTGCAAAGGAGTCCCCGGAGCTTCCCGATGTGGACGAGGAGTCATCTTCATCCTTGGGCTCGAAATCAACGTCCTCCGAGTCAGTCTCCCAGATGGTAGGGTGCTCGACCGATGGGGATACCCGGAGAGCCGGGTGCTCAGTTTGGGTGTCTCCATCGCTGTCGCCGGCTGCGTTCAGGACGGACTCATCAGGGTTGGCGAGGCGGCGGGCTGCATGGACAACAAGAGCATCAGAATCAATGGGCTGCAGCAATATCCAATAGAGCGGCCGGTGCAACAGGTACCAGTAACAGCCAGGGCGCTGAGAGCAGATCGAGGCAGCATCAACGTGTACATTTCTGTTCTTCCGGAAGGAGAGGTGCCGCGCGGAGCGCATCGGACTCCGCATCCGAGCCCGAGTCGGAGTTGGATTCAGAGCTCGAGTCGCTTCCACTGCTTGATGACACGGGCGAGCCCTGGTCCTGAGGCTGATAGTCGGCGTCCTCGTCGTCGTCCTCATCATAATCAAGCATCTCGATCGAGTTGATGGTCATTGGAGGCTCCAAAGTGAGGCCCGAGTTGCTGTTGGGTATCGAACGGTTGCTCGTGATGAACAAAAAGCCATCGTGCTCGTCGCTGTTGCTGACGGGGACACCCGACGACGGTGAGTCGAGCGCAGCATGGTCAGGGAGCCAGTGCGAAACGGTCTCATAGGATTCCGGCGCCGAGGAGGCGCGGTTCGTGTCTGAGTTGTATATCTGGGCGGGGTCGAACTGGCTTGCGGCATTGTTGCCACCGTTGTCATTGCTGTCATTGTTGTCATCATACTTGACTCGCTTCGAGTTTGGCGGCTGGCTGGGGCTGCGTTTGCCGGTGCCATCTTGACTGTTGTCGCTGTTGTTGCCGTCGTCATTGCCGTCGTTGCTGTTTCTGTTGTTGTCGCGGCCAATGCCATCGACACCGTCGTCCGAGACAAGCACCGAGCCGTCTTCGACATAGGGCGAGTACTGGGCTGCGTCGGACTCGGGGTTGTTGGCGAGGCTGAGGGGATCGGCAGAGCTGGGGGAGTAAGATCCGTTGGTGGTCAGGCGGACCTTTCGCCGTTGGATTTCGTCGAGGATGATTTCGATCTTGCGGTCTGGATGCAGAACAAAGTCCGGATGGGCAAGCTCGGCGAGAGACGCGGAAAGCATTGCGCCTTCGGGGTTGTGGACAAGCCACGAGATGGATGGATGAAGCACATCTGTCTCGTAGAGACGGCGGATGACGCGGGCAGGCCAGAGGACGACCGAGTCGTGGTAGATTGGATGGACCAGTGGCGTCCAAACGAGGTCACCGGCTCGCATGCCAAAGCCCCATTTCCACCTGAGAGGGCTGCTGCTGCTGTCGACATCGTCTGCGCTGTCTTGGTCGAGGGTGGGTGGCGAGGCTTCGTCCGCGAACAGCGAGTCGCCACCGGGCGAGTACATGGGGTGGGCGTCGAGGGTGTCGGAAGCGAGGGCAGATGAGCAGGTCCGTGCGTGTCCAGGTCCGAGTGGGTCCGAGCAGGTCCGAGCAGGTCCAAGCAAGATCAAAGCCAAGTCCGAGTCTGGGTTCGCGCCGGGCTCGAACTCAGCACCAAGCGCCGCGAGGCGAGGACATACCGAGGGCACACCGAGGGCACACCGAGGGCACACCGAGAGGGCTGCTGCACAGAACCGCGCACTGAACGGCGTCGCACACGGTGCCCACTCGCTGGGTCGGCGCATATGTCTGTATTTGCACATATGAATTTCATCCCCCGCCCTCCTTTCCGCGTCTCGGTCGTGCTGTCTTGGTCGTGCTGTCTTCGGCCCCTCTCCGTCCCCGGCTCGGCTCCAGGTCTCTCTGCAGTCCTTGCAGCCATGTATACCACCCCGACGCCCTCCAGCGGCTCCACCGGCACCAAGCGCAAACTCGATCCTTCCTCTCCAGACCAAGATCCGAGTGCACTTGCGGATGCCGCCCGCCCTGGCCATCCCTCCGACCGTGAAAATGTACCCTCGGCTCGCATGCGATCTCCTACTGCTCTTTAAAAATCCTGCCCTGCCCTCAGTCGTTGCTCCAAATGGCCGGGCCGGTGCTCGGGCGACGCATCCTGCCGGGATTCACCGATCGAGCTTCCATCCGTTGCAGCGATCGGCATTTCCTGTTTGCAATCGAGTCGGCGATCCTGCCTCCGATCAAGTCCCAGCACTTCCACTCTTGAATCGACATTTGCGATTGGGCGGAGAATGCAGATTTCTAATCGGTCTATTTTCTCTCGGACAGATATCAACCCCTCCCTCAAAGCGTCAGGCGACTTCGTCGGGCTTCATCGGTCTTCTCCAGACCTTTGCCAGTCCCGTCTTCAAGCTTCTGACACCGTCTAAACCGAGAACCCAAACTCCGGCGTCCTCAGTGTCATCTCGCTCCGACGGGGCTTCGTCTCCTCCAACCACTTCGAGCTCGCCTGTTGAACCAGCGCCCAAGCTGATGAGCTTGCACAGACTGCCTCCATCAGCCCGTCCTGTTCCGGAACGCAGCGTATTTGGGAAGCCGCAGGACGAGGTAGCTAGATGCGCTTACTCTGCCGGTGTGGACTGAGATCGTAGATCTACAGACTCGGTCCACCCGACGGATGTGGGGTATCCATCCGTGTCCCGGCCGCCACTATTGAGGGCAACCCCGACTTGTGTGTAGTGATGTTATCGGGGACGCTGGAGCCGTGCTAACCTCGGCTGTTTTCCTTATTGCTCTGTGCTGTCCCAGAGCATCGCAGATGAAGTCGAGTCCCTCCTGAATCAGCACGGCCCTCTGAAGCGCAAGACAGAGGAGTCAGACCCGCTCCCCAAACCTGCCGAGTCCTCCGCTGCGGTGCCCTCCACCCGGCCCAACTTTGACGGCCTTGCCAGCACGCCGTCATTTAGCTCAAAGTTCACTTTCACCTTTGCTCCGCACCCATCCAAGTCCGAGGCCGAGCCCTTGGCAAATGTGCTGTCGGATCTGACACGCGAACACGTCGGCTCTCCTCCCAAGCGAACAAACGAACTTCTGGCGAGCTTCTTCAGTCGGAAGGGCGACCAAAAATTGACCAACGACGAGGCAAAGAAAATCATTGGAATCTTGCAAACCCAAGCCGGTGCGTCTTAATCCCAGCGTGAGGATGCATCTCTGACTGTTCGGCATCGGCACGCTCATCGCCAGAGATCGTAGACACACGACTAAGTCTGCTACTTTGCTTGCTCGTCTTGTCCCAGAGCCCAGTAAGGTCATCTTTGGCTCCTCAATCACCTCTGTTCCTTCAGCCACAGCCCCTCTCTCCTCCAGCAGCGCCCGCAAAGCAATCCTGGTATCTATCATAACTTGAAGCTCCGGCTTACTCCCCCGTCACTTCGCTGTGCATGTTCAGACACTTGAAGATCTGACATGGAGGATGCGTCGTCTCTCATGGAGGATGCATCGTTGTCGTGCGCCGCCCCAGCTTATGCATTCGTGTCGATGCTGCCCATCAGACCCCCGGAAAGCCCTCTCGATTCGCAAGCGCCACGGCAAAACCTCCTACCAAAGCCATCTTCCGGACGAACAGCTCTCGCCCATTTGGCCTCGGCATCGGATCATTGAACAGCGTGCCGACATCTGTCCCTGCACCCTTGACTCCCTCTACTTCAACTTCCTCTGAGAAGAAGGCGCTGTCAGCAGTGCTCCAGAGTGGCAAGCGCTCCAAAGTCTCCGACCCCGTTGAGGGTGCAGGTGACATCAAGCCCGCACCGGCCATCCTTGAGTCTCTCTCGGACCAAATCGCGCCGCCAAAATTGACAACAGGTACGCGAGAGATCCAGAGGTGAATCTCTGTCGTTGCTCGACCTTGACTTTCGCAACCTTTGCTTCACGACACTTTGGTTTTCTGAGCTGTGGTTGCAAGAGACAGTGCGTGGGATTACAACCTGCAGTACACCGCCTCCTGCACTGAGAAAAACGGACTGGGATTGCAGAGCATTGTGTGCGGATATGCGGGCCGATTCTTGCGAGTCCATCTATTGTGTGGCCCACGCTGTCGGTTTACTAAATTACGCTCCTTCGTATATCCACCTCATTCTCAATCATCTGAACGACCAAACCTTGGCTACAGCACCCAGATCTGCGACGGCGAAGAAGTTACTGGAGATTCTCGACAGCAGCGATGCCCCGGCTCAGGTTCGGGAGAACGTGTAGTGCCTTGCAGAACAGCCGCATCCAATCCGCCTCAATCTCATGCAAACGTGTCTCTGACTCGTCATTTGTATTCCAATGATTCGCCCACACGGGACTCATGTACCTATAGCCAATGAAGCCTCTGGCGTCTGTGACGCGGAAAGAATCGATGCTGAAAACAAACTCAAAGAAGGTTCGCCTCAACAACTTCTGGCTGTGCCTTCGTTGCCATATCATCAGCGCATCTCCTAATGCTTATGTCTCTGTGTTTCCAACATTTCCGCTGACCTAGATCGTGGCAAAGGTCATGTCGTCCATCGACTTGGATGGTGACATTGAGAAGATCAAACAAGCAGTGACTGAGTCGTCAGAGCTGTGGAAGAAACCCTCGGATACTCCCAAAAAGCTCCAGCCTGTTTTCTCGTTCCCATCGCCTGCAGTCGAGAAAAAGTCTGTCCAGCCGGTGGTACTTGTGACCGAGACTGCCCCCCTTCCGTCTTCAAGCGCAGCAGAGTCTGCAACATTCCGTGCATCCGAGGCAAGCAAAACCCTCGCTAGCTTCAATAGGGAAGCCAAGGCCTCCGAGCCCTCCTCGGTGAAACCATCCCTCCCAGCCTTCAGCTTCTCAACGCCCACTGCAAGCTTTTCATTTGGACAACCGCCGCCGTCTCAGTCCGACTTTCCAGCGACTGCAAAGAGCGACGTAAGCTCGATATCTTCGGCGCCCAAAGCCGATGTACCTGCATCGTCCATCCTCGCTCGGCTGGGCCCTGCTCCGATCGCATCTGCTCCACTCCCAGCTCCACAGTCACAATCACAGACGGTCGAGGAGTCGCTCTCCAAGGTTAGTGGTGACTTCTCGGCTATAGGCATAACTATGTGCAGCTCTGATAGGGAATCCAACGGTATATTTGCAAGCCGATGTCTCACTTCATTCGCAATCACTTCCAGGTTTCCTCCCTTTCCCATGCACAGCTGCCTCTGTTCTCATTCAGAGCAGTGTTTCCCTCTGCCCTGCGGTTCGCCGACAAATCGATCCGTGAGTCTGCGGCCCAGGCGCCGAGAGAGTCCCTCCAGACCTTCATTTTCGATAAGGTCAGCAGTTCACCAATCGCAGTGTCGGCTGCAACCTCTGCTTCCTCGGGGGGATTCGATTGGTCCAAAGCCGGCATGAAGAAACCCGAAGCTGAGGCTGGATCATGGAAGTGCAAGACCTGCGATTGCTCCAACAAGGAAGATGCGACCAAATGCATTTCGTGCGAAGAGCCTAACCCCAGCAAGAAGGCTGCCGCGCCAACGTTTGGATTTGGTGCTGCCTCCGTGTCTTCTGCACCAACCACTGCTCCCTCAGGGGGATTCGATTGGTCCAAAGCCGGCATGAAGAAACCCGAAGCTGAGGCTGGATCATGGAAGTGCAAGACCTGCGATTGCTCCAACAAGGAAGATGCGACCAAATGCATTTCGTGCGAAGAGCCTAACCCCAGCAAGAAGGCTGCCGCGCCAACGTTTGGATTTGGTGCTGCCTCCGTGTCTTCTGCACCAACCACTGCTCCCTCAGGGGGATTCGATTGGTCCAAAGCCGGCATGAAGAAACCCGAAGCTGAGGCTGGATCATGGAAGTGCAAGACCTGCGATTGCTCCAACAAGGAAGATGCGACCAAATGCATTTCGTGCGAAGAGCCTAACCCCAGCAAGAAGGCTGCCGCTCCGACATTCGGATTTGGTGCTCCCTCGACTATGTCGGCTGCAACCTCTGCTCCCTCAGGGGGATTCGACTGGTCCAAAGCCGGCATGAAGAAACCCGAAGCTGAGGCTGGATCATGGAAGTGCAAGACCTGCGATTGCTCCAACAAGGAAGATGCGACCAAATGCATTTCGTGCGAAGAGCCTAACCCCAGCAAGAAGACTGCCGCTCCAGCATTTGGATCTGGTGCAGCCAACTCCTCCACTGGCTTTAGCTTTGGTGCTCCATCAGGGGGCTTCACCTTCGGCAGCGGCTCCAGCGGTGCTGGCGGCTTTCAGTTTGGAAGCGCTGGCGGATTCGCATTCGGGTCAACAGACACAGCGTCCTCCGGAACCACCTTTGGTTTCGGTGTGCCCAAAACAGATTGAACCGGCTTGAGATGAGCGCGTGTAATCCTGGCCATCAGTGGGGCAACTTTATTTCAGGAGAACTCCCTTTTTCTCTTCCTCAAACTGCTTGTCCTATACCGTGAGCAATAAAACCAGACAGAGACTTGAACGGCCTCGGACCGCGCGAGGGGATGTCGGTGTGGGGTGAGCCATGACCGACTACAATCGCGGCTCTTTAGGCGGCAGCGGTCTTGATGCGAATGCCGTGCATACCCTTGATGTCGTCCTTGAGGATCTCGGTGACCAAACGATGCTGTTTGACGACGGTCAGACCCTTGAATGCCGACGACTCAACCTCAACCGCATACATAGAGCCGCATCCGCCTGCGGACAGGATGGGGGACGAGGCAGGAATTAGGATTGCTCCATGCTTGATCGCAGGCTTCCTGGCCAGCACGAGCGAGCATCCACAACTGGGCGGGGCGAATCATCCAGCCCATCGACTGCAGCTCCGTACCCGAGATATCGTCGACTCGCAGCTTAGTCGGGTTCAGTTGGACAGCCAGCTTTTCGTGCAAGAGCCTTTCGCCCGAGTTGTAGTCGGGATGCGGGGGCAGTGGCGCCGCCGACGCTGAGCTGAAGCTGGATCGGCCGAGTCGGGAAGGGCCGTTCCGCAGAGCACCTCCGATGGTGGATTGCAGACGCAGGTTTTGCAAAAGTCTGAGCATGGTGGTGTCTGATCTCAGCGGGCGAGATTTGAGATCGGCTCTGACTCGCTCGACAGGCCAAAAGCTCGTTTCAGAGTGTGTGGTCGGCCGAGGACCAGTGTGTGGCTGGCCGGTGTGTGGTCGGCTGATGACCAGTGTGTGGCTGGCTTTACACTGGCCAGATAACGGGCACGTGATCCTGAAGGCGCTGTGAAGGACATGAGCAACTGGTGCTGCAAGGGGCACCGAAAGGACTGAAGGGCAGAGGAATCAGTGCAAGCCCTCCGCCGCACTGTTGTCATTAAATAGCAGGGGATTGCAACAGCGCACTCGTTCCCATACAACTGCTGAGCAAATGAGCCACCCAGACAACGACAACGACAACGACAACGACAACGACAACGACAACGACAACGACAACGACAACGACAACGACAACGACAACGACAACGACAACGACAACGACAACGACAACGACAACGACAACGACAACGACAACGACAACGACAACGACAACGACAACGACAACGACAACGACAACGACAACCATGCGCCGCGACCCATGTCCATTTCAGATGCAATGCCAGCGCTGCTCAAAAAGCTTGACTCGCTCCGTCGCCCGAATGACTTGGGCCAATCCGGCACGCAGCCTCCGGTCGAGGATGAGCACGACGCATCCTCTCCATATCCCAGCTCAGCCCGCCTCAGAGCCCTCACACTCGACTTCCGCAAGAAGCTGCGCCGCAAAAAAACCCAGACCAGCATGCACTTGCTCCGAGCGGAATGGCGCAAGAGTCTGCTCGCGCCAGGGTCAGCCCAGTATGCGGCGGTCTCGCAGAGCCTCAGATTGTCCAAAGAATCGGCTGATTTCAGAATCGGGTCGCACTCGCGGGCCTCGCATCCCACGGCGCCCGAACGCCAAGTCGAAATTCGTCAAACTCCCGAATGCAACGGCAGCGATACCTACCAACTGCCTCCAACGCACCACGACAGCACGAACATCAGAAATTTCGCTGAGCAGACGGGCGGCCACCTCCAACTTTCCGCACAGGAGCCTCAGTCGATGTCGCATCATGAATATAGCGACCTTGACAACTTGGAGTGGCCATAAACCACGGCAGTCGCATTCGTGTTTCAGTTTCAGTTCTAAGAGACGGCAGCGAGCCAGAGCCGCTATGCCAGCAGCCCTCCATCGATGACGAGGTTCTAAGGACGATTTAGGTGATTATTCAGACCGATTGACCAATATAGTCTCAGCATTGGCAAAGATGCGACCAGCCCGGAAGAGCGGCTGCGCTTCAACGCATTGCAACGTACCTGACCGGTAACATAGGGCGCATCCAAAAGATACATCACTCCCTCTGCGACGTCCTGTGTAAACAAAGCCAGGCCAGGCCCAATTAGCTGTCGAGGCTTGTGCGTTAGTAGTCCCTGGGCTGCAAATATACACCAACCTGGGGGTGTCCGAACTTGCCCAGAGGAATTCGTGAGATATAGTGAGCTCTCTTGGCGTCGGATAGGTCTGCGACAGCTGATAATGTCAGTCCTTGCAATAGACGCAACCAAATGTCTTGTGGCATCCTCACTCTAGAAGGCGGACGATCGGCATCAGTTGCTCTAGAGGCTCCCCAAAGAATGGAATGAAGCTTACGGGCAGTCATGTCTGTCTCAATGAAGCCTGGAGAGACCGAGTTGACCCGGACACCGCGGCTCGCAAGCTCTTTGGCAAGTGACTTTGAGAAACCTGAACGCCAGCGGATCGTTAGCAGCGCCATTTCCTCATCGCTTCAGCGTCGGTGGGCGACTGAAATGCCTACCGATGACACCAGCCTTGGAAGCTGCGTAGATAGACTGGCCCTCGTTCCCAGAAACGCCAACGACCGAGGATATGTTGACGATGGATCCTGTGACGGCGACAGCGTGTCAATTGCAATCCTGGCCATCCCACTGTTGTTTCCGGATATCCAGTGCGGCGGGCCACCATCCCGACTCGCAGGCGGCTGTGGAGCCGAAGCTTTTGAATCGAGTCCAGCGTTCTCTAATCGTATGGTGCAACACATTTCCACTGAATACACATCGCCTCGAGCTCGGAATATCTTGGAATCAGCTGACACATAGCTCCGCGCCAACGATCACTACCTTTTCGATTCCGCAACATGACCTTGGAGGCCGCCTTGCACATAGATATTGTTCCAAAGAGATTGGTGTTCAGAACAGCCTCGATGTCGTTTCGTTTGGCTTGGACGAGCAGGCCGTCAACAGCGATTCCTGAGCGTCAATGGAAGGTTAGGCAAAGACCGAATGATACGGATGGGCAGCACAACAGATATTGGCCGCACAACCAATAGGGCAACATGCAGATCACTCGCAGCAGAATGGCCAACCTGCGGCGTTGACCAAATAGTGGACATGTCCAAGCGAGTTGATCTCCTATCGATCCAGACAAAGGGAGTGAGCTGTCGTCGATGAAAGCCGGCTCACGGAAGCCGGGACGGGTAGTATCTGGGAGCCGGTCGCTGATTATTGCAGGAAACCCACCTCCCAAACCTCGTCGACGCTGGTCTGGTCAGCAACGTTGCATTTGAGCGCAAAGAGGCTGCTCGCCGAGAGACCGGGAGTGCTCTCAAGCAAACCGTGCCTCGAGGCTTCGAGCCGAGCCGGATTTCTTGATATCATCACAGTGGCAACATTGTTCTCCAGAAAACGTCGGGCAATCTCCAGGCCGATGCCCCTCGAGGCCCCAGTCACGACAGCCAGCGGGATCTTTGTCATGCCTCTGTGGTTATGCTTGCTGCCGGAGGAAACAAATGCCCTGCGACTGGGTGGTTTCAGTTGCAATCCTGAGCGGGCTCTGTCGATGTCGATGTCGATGGCGATGTCGATGCCGATGCCGATCGATTCAGTGGGCCACATCCGCATGCCTCCCCGTCGCCACTGCCGTCCATTTCACATCGATTCGATCGGAGCAGCCGTGGACACGGCCGTGTGGGCTCACCTGCTGGATCGGCATCTGGATCTGAGCCCAGGAGAAACGCGCAAGCCGCCATCCACAAAGCCAGCACGGATTTCGTCACGTGTGCCGATGCTCTCGCCGAGAGCACCCCGCTCTCGCTCGGCGAGAAGAGAGCGAGCCAGCCAGTCGGTGGCTACCTGGTGGCTGGTTCGCCCAGAAAGGAAAGTATTTGCTGCGCACGAGCCCCAGCTTCTCGGCGAGAAAGAGGATGTGCTCTCGGATCACAACACAACCCTCGTCTGAACGAGCATCGAGCAAAACATCGTCCCCGACCCACCCCTCCAACGAGCCGACTGCCAACATGAAGATGGTCAGTGCGGCCGACAGCCCAGGCGGCTCGGTGCAGATCGGAAGCACATGTGGCTAACATGGTATTCCCTGCCACAGCTTAATGAGAGTGAGGAGACCGATGTCGAGGTCACTTGGGAGGATCAGGAGAAGATCAACACCTTCAGCAAGCTGAACTCTCGGCTCCAGGACCTTGAGGAGAATTACGAGGAAAAGAAGGTGCCCCGACTCGCTTTCTTCTGCCAGCGGCACTATGATGGTGATCCGTGGCGGGTGTGTTGCAGCTGTTGCCTCTGCGATCGACGGGCAGACAATCTGCGAAACATGCTGATCGTTCTTTGCAAATGGATGGCCGGCACAGAAGGAGAAGGAGTACCTCGAGGATCTAGCCAGCGAGCTGGAGCTTGCCGACGAAGACGAGCTGGTCAAGTGAGTTACCTGGCGCAAGCCCCGTCTCGGCATTGGCGGTACCATTGCCGCCTCCAAAGCGATGATCGCTGGCGTGCCCCGGTGATGGAGACCTTCGACAGCAGCCGCAAACTTCGATCCATTGGCGCTGACATCCTCGCTCCGCTCGATATACATCAACATACCATACCTTGCTGCGAATGCCAACGCCCCGGCCGCGCTAGGTTCAGAATCGGCGACTCTTTCTTCTCGATCCGGCTCGACGAAGCCCAGGAGAGAATCGAGAGCCAAGGCGCCGAGCTCGAGACAGATCTGAAGGCGATCCGGGACGAGCTGGAAGGAATAGAGTCCAAGATGACGGATCTGAAGGCCCTGCTGTACGCCAAGTTTGGCAAATCGATCAACCTCGAACGCTAGCTCTGCAAGAAATAAAGCCTCCGTCGTTACCCTCGCGCAATTGGCCATGACGATGCCACCCAGTGATGCCACCCGGTGATGCCATAGATGCCCGGCGAGCGGGGCACACCCACTCGCTCGTCCGATGCAGACACCTTGGGGCGGGTGTCGTTCCAGGATCTGTGCTGGGCACGGCAGCAGCGCCGCGCGGCTGTCCATGAGGGAATCCGGCTGAAAATAGGCGGGATCGGCCATCACATGCAAGCTGGCCCGCTATATGAGCAGCGCCTTTCCCTCGCCGAGCGTCGTCCAGCATCCTCCCAGCACCCCAGCCCACCGCCTTCCATCTCAGCCGCTTCCAGAACCAGCATGGCCCAGGGACTCACCGACGTGAAGCTCGAGATCACTCCGCCTCTGGCCAGAATCACGTTCTGCCGGCCAGACTCTTACAACTCGTTCCGTGCCAAGACGTACCAGGACCTCCAGGCTGCGATGCAGACCGTCGCCAGACGGGACGACGTCTTCGTGACTGTTGTTACTGGCGAGGGCAAGTTCTTCAGCTCTGGCGCCGACTTTAACGGTAAACCTCACGGGTCGCCCGGCCCCTATCACAATCGTGTCAACCAGTGCCAATATGCGCCTGGCATTCCGAGAACCACTTGGCCGGCAATTGACGATGGAATGCGCTGCTCTCTCCCAGACGCCTACAGCCCTGTCTCTGCCGATCCGATCGAGGTCCTCGAGACCTTTCGCAAGCACCTGGGCGGCCTGACCGTCGCGGTGACCCAGTCGTTTATCAACCATCCCAAGGTCCTGGTCATCGCCCTCAACGGGCCCGTGGTTGGCATTCCTGCTGCCCTCATCTCGCACGCCGATCTAATCTATGCCTCGGACTCGGCCTATTTGTACACGCCGTTTGCCACGATCGGGATCTGCGCTGAAGGTACGTTGCTTTTCCTTGGTTGTGAGGATGCATGCGACAGGGCCAACGGCCGGACAATCGCCCTTTCTGACAGCGCGATCCGTCCCTGGCAGGCGGCTCCTCCTTTGGATTCCTCAGTCGCATGGGCTTTGGTCCTGCCATGGAGGCCCTGGTAAGCGAGTGCCAGTCTGTGATTGCTCCTCTGCCTCAACTCCGATCGGCCATGGTCTTGCGAGCATCTGCTTAGCTCGGCGCTAACTGTGGGGTTGGATTGCAGATGTTTGGCCGCAAGTACTCGGCCCACGAACTCGAACGCTTCGGCTTTGTGAAGTGAGTAGCTACATCACCACGGGAGAATCGCTCGGCGAACCATTGTGCTGGCTCTCTGCTGCCCCAGACTGACTGCCTCCTGGGTTGCTTGCAGCCGTGTCTTTCCCGAGGCTTCGTTCCACGCCGAGGTCGAGAAGCTCCTCAAGACCAATCTTGCTGTTTCCAATCTGCCGACGCTCCTCAAGACTAAGGAGCTCACGCGCACGTATATCCGCAACCACGCAAACCTCGCCAATGCGCAGGAGTGGGACGAGGTGTCCAAATGGTGAGACCGGGCAACTGCCGTTGGGTGCGGTTGTCGCAAACGGCGATTGCGTTTGTGTTTGCCGTCGGTAAACACATACCCGCACCGTTCTCACGCCTCCATCCATGTGTACATTCTCTGCATGATCTGGTCATGCTCCATAACTCTCTAGCTTCGCGTCTGGTGCCCCTGCTGAGAGCTTCAAGCGCATGCTCCAAGCCAAGATGGGGGCCAAGAAGTCCAAGTTGTGAGAGATGCAGATGGCCCCCGGGCCTTGGCACACTTGCCCAGCGTTTGGGAGGCGCTCTCGGAGGCAAGCCGATCTCTCACGCAGCTCAACATCAGGAGCACCAAGCACGATGGTCCAAATACACTGACGTCGCACTGGCGGCATTGAACTCCATGCTTATGCCGAGTGCGGCTGTCCATACCAGCAGGCGCTTATTCTCACGGCGCCGCTTGCCCCTTGCGAGCAGTCTCTGGTAGAAACTGCCCTGGAGCAGCACGGATCCAGACGCCGAGGGAGGACGTTACTCGTCAAAGACCAGCCGCAGATCCCCGCGGCTGCGATCAGGGAGATTTGAAATGCCGTGTGAGCCCAGTCCGCCGGCCACCGCAGTTTGTCGGCCAGCTCGCGGTCTGATCGGCTTCTTGCCACCCCCACGCCCACCGATCGCATCGTCGCCGTCGCCCCATCGAGCCGCTCGTCCGTCGCTCGTCTTGCTCTCTCATCTTGCCGCCGTCTGGCCTCTTGCTGCGCGATTACAAGTCTTGCATCGCTGTTTGCACCCGCCCGCCCGTCCCCGGTTCCAGCGACAGCAACGTCGGGCCTCGCTTCACCTCTTCGCTTCGTTCTGGAGATCCTTTATCCTCAGCCAGCCAGCTGCCCGGGATCGCCTTCTGGACCTGAATCGCCTGGCCCTCTGGCCCTGCTGCCTCTACTGATTGCCCAACATGTCGTCGGGTGCCTACGATGATGTCCCCATCTTCCCCTCGACGCTCTACCCGCCCTCCGAGCTCACGTTCGCTTCGGTTCTTCCGTCGGCCCACGCGGTCCTGGAGGGTCTCTGCGCAAGCCCCGAGGGATGGGTATGTGGCTGCTGCAGGCTCGGTCCAAGCAGCCGACGGCGCTACCACCGCCCGAATCCATAACCGCCACACACGCTGGTCTGTTCATCGGGGCGCATTGGGTCTTGTGTGGCCATTGCTGACCGTTGCTATGGCTCCTCGCTCTTCCAAACCGTCTTCGCCATCAGGGTCCGTGGAGCGAGAGCCGTCTTCTGGACTTTACACCATGCTTCGAGAACGCGTGAGTCGTCGATGCAATCCGGCATCTGCGATATGAACATATGCGGATGGTCCACGTAGCAGATGATGCATATGCCGTTGCGTATGGCGCACATGTCCCCTTCAATATCGCTTGCGGTGCCAGAGGCACCGGTCGTATCGACTCCGTCTCACCCGGTTCACTGTCTCGATGCCCTGGTTGTGTGCATACAGGGTTCTGTTGACTATTCCCAACCTATTCCTGCTTGCCTTTGGAATTCCGAGGCTTGTTGGTCTCCTGAGCACCCCTTCTCCGTCTGTTCCGCGCGGAAGGATTTACCAGTCCAAGATGGTTGGTATCCGCCGGACCCGCCTCTGACCGAGCGCTTCGGGCGGAGCTGTCGATACTGTGCGCAAGGCGCCTTCGTCGCCGAGTTTGCCTTGGAGACGCTCGCAGTATCCCGATGAGATTCGGGTTGGGCTCCGTTGTGGCGGCTGCCGATACTGCTGCATTCGTCCGGTCTTTGGATGCTCACTGACTTTCGCTGTGCCTCGCCTACCTTGATAGCTGCTTGGCTTCCTGGCTCTGTTGATCTCGATTTTCGACTTTGCCTTTGTGTTTGTGAGCGGTGCATCGCAAGACGGCACTCGGATCCTCGCCGCCTCGCTCGCTGTCGTTGCCTATGGGTTTGCCCTTGGTCTGCACGAGGTCGAATACTTCAAGGCGCGCATCTCGTCCACGGTCCTGCTTCTCTTCTGGATGATGCTCGCGGTAGCTCTGTCACTCAAAATCCGAACGGATGTCCTGATCGGTGAGGATCCGGTTGTCGTGTACTCGGCAACATTCAAGCTGTTTCTGGCTGTGTCCATGTTTATCCTGGAGAACGTACCCAAGCCGGAAAACTACTACGTCTCTCTCGACGATGATCCGGTGAGATTCTTGTCCACGCAACTCGATGCGCCGTCCTGTGCTTGCGATCTGCATGCTTATTTTCATCGTTGTGCCATCCACATGCTTGTGTCCATAGAACGTTTCGCCGGAAGAGCATGCCAGCATCTTCAGCCGTATCTCGTTTCACTGGATGGACGCCTTGATGAAGCTTGGATATCGAAAGGACCTCGACATGGATGATCTCTGGAACCTGCGTCAGATCGACAGCTCTCGCACCAACTCCGATGCCTTCCAGCACGCCTGGTCCTCGGAGATGGAGCGAAAAGGGTAAGTTGCACACCAGCGCCGAGAATCCATCGGCAGTGGTGTTCCGGAGCTTGTGTCGGCCGCAGTCGTCGAAGGGGCCCTCCCCAACGACCACTGTGCGGGCTTGTCTGTGCACCTTGTCAAAGTGAATTCCCTAGGTGACCTTTCGATCGGATCTGGGCTAACGAGTCGACACTCCATTTCAGCCCATCGCTGCTGCGAGTCCTGCTGCGAGTCTACGGCCCAACCTTTGCCTCGGCTGCGTTGTTCAAATTCATTTTCGATATCCTGCAGTTTGTCCAGCCTCAGTTCCTCAAAATGATTGTGAGTGCATGTCTTTGTGCCTGTCGCAGTCTCCCGGTTGTGCAAGCGGAGAGTCCGTGTTGCCTCATGGCTTACCCTCGACGACATTCGCAGCTTCAATTCGCCGGCAGCTGGGACCACCCATCCGAAGCGAGCCCGCCCCAACCTCTGTATCGCGGCGTTTCGATTGCATGTACGTAGATAAATCATAGCTTGCATCGTTGATTTGTCGCTCCTGGCTCCGCCATCTCCCACCGCCACTGTCGCAGCGTATCAGTGGCTCTAGCATCCTCGCATCCGTCGTCGAGCACCGCGGTGGTCCGGTTGAATAGCTCGGTCATTCCGCAAGTCTGATATCGGTCGCTCACGCTCTTTCCGATGCGGGTGTGTCCCAGTGCTTATCTTTGGTGGCGCCCTGATTCAAACGGCTGTGCTGCATCAATACTTTCACATTTGCCTTATGACGGGCATGAGGGTAAGCGAACCAGGAATCTCGGCTGTTGACCAACTGACCGTCAGATACTTCCGGGCAGCGATTCCCGTGTCAGAGAATGTCCTCGTTGGTGGTGTTGTGGAGCCATGCTAACAAAGCACAACTACTTGCTTTCTAGCTGAGAGCAGCCCTGGTCACTGCTGTCTATCAGAAGGCCCTGAGGCTCTCCAACAAGAGCCGCCAAGGTTCCACTGTTGGTGAAATCGGTATGTTCCGCGGTGGCGCAAACCCTGGCTTCCTTTGGCCGGTTGCTGGATCGGAGTTGTACATGGTGCTGGGAACGGCGCAGCCTGGTTTATCGTTGGTGCAATCGCTGGCCACTAAATCAATGATGGTACTTGGTTCAGTCAATCTTATGGCCGTGGACAGCTCGGTAAGTGCCATCGCCTGGCTTGAGTTTATACAGCCCGACTCGCCGCCTTCCTTGAATCCAGCAGGACCATATTGGGCATGATCATGGCTCATCTGCTAATGCTCCGTGTTTCCGTCAGCGTCTCATGGATAATTGGTAAGTCACGAAGCGGCTTGCCTTGGGAGCTCCCTGTCGATAAATGCATCACATTACCTAACAGCCAACTTGTCCGCATTCGCATGGCACGAAAACAACAGCCAGTATCTGCACATCCTGGTACGCCCATTGTCCATGTTTACGCTTTCGTTCGACCAGTGCGTGTCCCAGATGTCGCACGTGCGCCGATACTGATGCCATCCCTCGTTGGCAGTGGTCCGGTCCTTTTCAGATCTCGCTGGCACTTTATTTCCTCTACGACACCCTCGGTCCCTCCATCTTTGTCGGTGTATCGATCATGGTATGATCTTGCGATACGCACTTGACGATCAGATACCTGTCTCCCGCAGGAAGCGTGGTTGCTAACAGAAATGCGCCATGACTCACCATGGCAAGATGCCTTTGTCGCCGCCTGCCTGTATCTCGTGTTCCTTCAGCTGGCATACCACTCACCCATAACTGCCGCATTTTCTCCGCCTCTCGGACATGCTGCTATCCTATGCACGTGCCATCATGCAGCTCATCATGATTCCCATCAACGCCTACCTTGCCAGCAAGAGCCGCGCACTGAATAAGGTTCAGATGAAGAACAAGGACAGTCGCACCAAGATGATGGTAAGGCGCAGACGGACGCGGCCTCAATTCGATGCGATGCTGCTTTGGCACAGTTGCTCTGACTGCCCCGCTGCCATTTGACAGGACGAGCTTTTGAACGGCATCAAAGTCATCAAACTCTATGCCTGGGAGAAATCGTTCCTCAAAAAGATCTACGAAGTCCGCGAGCGCGAGTTGCTGACACTCCGAAAGATGGGCTACCTGTCGTCGGCACAGAGGTGGGTTTAGCTCTGTAGACTCTAGCCCTGTGGTGCCGCATGTCGATCCGGCGTCTGTTAGCCGTTCTCATGATACGACACAATCCGGCTGAATGCGCTCATCTCCGTTTGCTTCTGGCACTGATGATGGTCTTGTCCCTCGGTCACCTTCATTGTGGATCAGCTTCACCTGGTCGTGTACACCTTTTTTGGTGTCGCTGACGAGTTTCTGGATGTACACGATCGTGTCTGGACAAACTTTGACTTCTGAAAAAGGTGCGGTAGTATGTCTGTCGGTCCGTCTTTCGCTCTGGATCGTCTGTTGATTACACATTCAAGCAATCGCTGATCGCAATGTGCCTCCTTTTAGTGTTCGTGGCTCTGTCGCTGTTCAATCTGCTGCAGTTTCCGCTCAGCGTGTTCCCCAACGTGATCAGTGCTACGATCGATGCCTCAGTGTCGTTCTACCGTCTCTATCACTTCTTCACAAGCGAGGTACGGTGCCTTGAGACGACGTCGTCGGTCCGGAGCACGGAAAGGCGTCGCAATCTGTGCGGAGCATACCGATCGTTGAAAATCTGCGCGAGCGAATTGGGGTCGGTTAGACTGCGCGCCGCTAGTCTCCCCGACTGATCCGTCGTAAATTGGATTAATAGGAGCTGGACAAAACGGCCGTTCTGCACGAGTCTATGACCGTCGCCTCCGCAAAGCCAGACCACCGAAACCGACTCATTGTCGACAACGGCACCTTTCGCTGGGACAGGCCAGAGAGCAGCTCCACCACCGAGACCGAGGCCATTCTGTCTGAAATCAACTTTTCGCTTGATGAGGGTCAGCTGATGGCCGTCGTTGGCCGGTGCGTTTTCCCATTCGACCCAGTACATGCAAAGCGAGCGCTGCAGGAGCCATCACATGCAGTGCTTTGTCACTAGCACTTGTAATGCGTCGACTAATGCCATTCCAAACGCCCCCCCCCCACGATACCATCAGCGTGGGAGACGGAAAGAGCTCGCTGCTCTCTGCAATTCTCGGAGAAATGTACAAGGACAGCGGCCTTGTGCGCGTCCGTGGCAACGTTGCATATGTGCCCCAGAACGGTAAGTTCCCACTCCCGTCCAGCTGCCATGTATTCTGATCCGCCGTGACCACTCTGATCGAGTATATCCACGACCTTTCAGCTTGGATTATGAACGCAACCGTACGAGACAACATCCTCTTTGGCAACCCTTACAATCCCCAGTTCTACAAAGGCAAGTTTCACAGTCGGTCGCATTGTCTGTAGAGAGCTGCAGTACTGACTCTTTCTCTCTCTCGATCCCGATAGAGGTTATCGCTGCCTGTGGTTTGAAGCCCGATCTTGAGATTCTGACCGCCGGAGACCTGACCGAGATTGGCGAGAGAGGCATCAATCTCAGCGGTGGCCAGGTTGGTTCCCTGATCCGTCTATCATGGCTCAAACTGCTCGTCTGCATATTAGATAAAGCCGCCCTCCCGATCACTGATTAACTGTGCGATGTATCCCTGAAATTTGCAGAAACAACGCATTTCGCTTGGTAAGTTGTTTGCGGACAGTTTCGGTCGCCCTGGCTTGCCACATCCCAAGCTCACCATTTTTCTGCCCTTCATCGTTGCATTCGGCTTCAACAGCCCGCGCCGTCTATTCGCGTGCCGATATCTATCTCCTGGGTAAGTCGCCGGGTGGCAGCAGTGTCGTGTGGCTCTCGATTTCGGTTGGTGGCTGTCTGTTGGCTGGTCTTGCCATGTCGTGCGCGAACTGATCATCGCATCTATCCATCGCCGCACCACTGTCGATGCATTTTTGTCATCGCTCTGCTTGATAAACCCATACATTCACCACCAACAGACGATCCGCTCTCGGCTGTGGATGCCCACGTGGGCCGGCATATCTTTGACCACGTTGTTGGTCCACACGGAATCCTCAAGGACAAGGCTCGACTCTTTGTCACGCATGGTACGGGCTCTCCGTCCGGGTCTGGATGCGGCTGGCTCGGCGCTCCGATATATCTGTGCTCGCGCGGTACTGATCCGTCCCTCCTCTCGTCGCCCCAGGTATCCACTTTTTGCCCAGTGCTAATGTCGTGATGATGCTATCCAAGGGACGCATTCTCGAAATGGGCACCTACGCCGAGCTGATGAACAAGCAGGGTGCCATGTTCAATCTCATGAAGGAGTACGGCAAGCGGCGAGAGGATACCAAGCACGAGCCCAAAGCCACTCTCGAAGCGAACAAAGGGCCCGAGGCCCTTGCGGCTGCACGGAAGGAATCTGTGCCTCAGGTCCCCGTTGCCCCCGTTGCCCCCGTTGTTGTGGCCGAGAAGGCCGCCCGTCCAGCGAATGCACAGCTAATCTCGAAGGAGGAAAGCGCCAAGGGCTCTGTCTCGTGGGAAGTCTACAAAACCTACGCCGAGAGCTGCACCTGGACGACTTTGGGCATGTACTTGGTTCTTGCGATCATCGGACAAGGCTTGAGCGTTGGGCAAAACGTGTTCCTTGCAGACTGGGCCCGGAGCAACGATGCCAAGAGAGGGGAGGGCCAGTCCGGCAACGACGACCTTCTCTTCCGGCTGGGCATATACGGCGCTCTCGGCGCTCTATTCTCGCTGACGACCGTTGGCCAGGTCATTTTCGTCTGGGTATACTGCGCTATCCAGTAAGTAGCGGCTCCGGCATCGGGTCCTGTCTCCGGAGCTCTGGGCAACGCCGGTGCATCAGAGCTAACGCATTCGTTTGATACTAGTTCGGCTCGCAAGCTTCACAAGGAAATGCTCGAAAACGTGATTGCGTGTGTATCTGCGTGCCTGGCGCCCAAGCGGGAGCAGCATGGGAATCGTTCTGCATGCGTGCATGTTTAATCGCCATCCAATCGACCACAACGCAGCGACCAGCGAGCGCTAGTTCACTGATTTTGTTTTGATCCGCGCGACTGACGTGGGCTCTTGGTTTCTCATCTTGGATAGTCTTCCTCAGTCGTTTTTTGATACAACGCCGCTCGGTAAGCACGAAGGCCACGCAGCCGTCGGTGCACGTTTGGCTTTGGGGGCTTGAAACCAGCCACTGACCGGCCCGATGGCCCTGCACAGGACGCATCCTCAACCGCTTCAGCAAGGACCAGTACACGGTCGACGAGGTGCTACCACGATCTTTCCAAGGCTATCTCCGAACCCTGTTTGTTGTGCTTTCGGTCCTTTTGATCAACAGCATCGGCTCTCCGCTCTTCCTGGCCTTTGTAATCCCTCTGGGTAAGCATCGCAGCCTTTCTGCGGCGATTCTCCGGGGTTGTCGATAGCTGGCTGTTACCAACCCTTTGTGTGCGGGGCTCTCGGCTTGCTGGTGTGGCTGTCAATGTCTGAATGTCTGAATGTCTGAATGGAATCTAGTCACCTTTGGGTCGCCACTGACTGCTCCACACGGCTGTGCCAGGCTTCCTCTACTTGTACTTTCAGCGCTTTTACCTCAGCACATCGCGCGAGCTCAAGCGACTGGACTCGTCGTCCCGGTCTCCGATCTACACCCACTTCCAAGAAACTCTTGGTGGCGTGACTTCGATCCGCGCATACTCACAGGAAACGCGATTCATCCACACCAACGAGGATCGCCTGGACTTCAATCAGCGGGCATACTATCCCAGCGTCAGCTCCAACCGCTGGCTCGCCGTTCGTCTCGAGTGCATTGGCTCTCTGGTCGTATTCAGCTCCGCGCTGTTCTCGGTTCTGTCGGTGCTTGTATTTGGAACCGTCTCAGCCAGGTGAGTCGCAAGTGGGATACTAGGTGTGGTGCGGGCCAGGCAATCGGTTTGAGGCGCCACCAATGCTGGAACCATGGACCGTTTGGCGGCAGCGCGTTCTCAGGATGCTATCGAGCGCACGGATCGTATAACCAAACCACATGCATCGCTTTGCGCACCGCGTTTGCGATCCCATCCACTCTCCACTCCACAGTCTTGTGGGCCTTACCCTCACCTATGCCATGACGTAAGTCGATGAATCAGAGCTAGCTTGTGGCTGTCCCGCGCGATCCTTGCTTCGACCAGGGTCGACTGCATGCTGACCCGGTTGTTGCCCTACGCGCTGGTCCGTAGTGTCACCCAAACGCTGAACTGGATGGTCAGACAATCCTGTGAAATTGAGTCCAATATCGTGTCTGGTAAGTGTTAGCGAGGTGGCTGTCGGGCGTTGCAGCTCGTTCACCTATTCCCGCCCTCGGATTGCTGTCGGCGCGCTGCCGGATCGCCCAACTGAAGACTGTCCACCCTTCAATGCCTGTCGGGACTCCAGTCGAGCGGATCAAGGAGTATATTGATGTTGCTCGAGAGGCGCCTTACGAGATCCCCGAGCACCAGCCACCCGCCAGCTGGCCACGCCACGGAGCGATCGAGTTCAAGAACTACAGCACTCGGTATCGCCCAGGTCTTGATCTTGTACTCAAGGTAGGCGCATCGTGTGCCGATCCCCGCCGCATCGAACTCGACTGGCCAGAACCCTGACATTACATGCGCGGTGCGGCTCACTCCTACCCTCACCATCCGCACAGAACTTGAGCTTCAACGTCCGTCCCAAAGAAAAAATCGGAATCGTCGGACGAACCGGCGCCGGCAAGAGCTCGCTGACGCTGTCTCTGTTCCGCATCATCGAGGCCAGCTCGGGCACAATCGCCATTGACGGCATTGACATCTCTGCCATTGGCCTCTTCGACCTGCGATCGAAAATCACCGTGATCCCCCAGGATCCTGTGCTGTTTTCGGGCACCATCCGAGACAACCTCGATCCCTTTGGCCAGTTCTCGGACGACCAAATCTGGCGCGCGCTCGAGAGCTCGAGCCTCTCGGGTCATGTCGCGAGCCTCGAAGCCAAGCTCATGAGTCCAGTTCTTCCTGGTAGGTCTAAGTCGGATCCAGGCTGGGGCAATGGTGGTTGTTCGTTGTGCCAGCTTCTCACCAGAGGCTACTTTGCCCTTTTGCGTCCCATTCGTGCAATGCCACTTGCTTCGGGCCGCACCGATGCGCCAGGCGGAGAGAACTTTAGTGTCGGACAAAGACAGCTGATATGTCTTGCCAGAGCTCTGCTGAGGAAGAGCAGCATCCTCGTTCTTGATGAAGCGACGGCTGCGATTGACGTTGAGACAGGTAGGCGCCGTCGGCATTTCACTGCGCGCCACATCGACGAACCTATACATTCTACTTGAGACGCTTATGCTGCTTGCTGGTCTCTCATGATACCACGGACTCTACCCTTTGCTCGTACATCGTCCCCGGCCACAGACAACACGATCCAGAAAACCATTCGCGCAGAGTTTTCCAAGTGCACCATCTTGACCATTGCCCACCGCATCAACACCGTCATGGACAGCGACCGGTGAGTCCGCTCTGCCTCGATCGTTCACCAATCTGAGACCACCGGGCTGCACGCACTTCGCAGATCTATAGCGATGTGATCTGGCCAAAGTGCTCGAAGCAGTATCTCTTACCACCGGTGCTCGCCCATGCTCTGTCTTTGTCCAGCATCATGGTTCTAGACCGCGGCCAGATCGTCGAATTCGACAGCCCCAAGACCCTTCTCCAGAACAAAAAGTCTGTATTCTACAGCCTTGCGCGTGAAGCAGGTCAAGCACACTAGTCCGCTTTCCAACCGCCACTCGACAGAAGCTCATTGCGATCGCCGTTAGGCCATGTCACCGATACGATTACTCTGATAGAGCAACCAATACACAGCTTCCAAAGGACCCAACATTTCTGCGGCCGATCTCAGGAGAGACAGCCGACTTGGCTGTTGGCGTTGCCCTGTAATCAGAAAGATGATTGTGAGCTGAGACTCGGTGGGACGAGGTGCTCGGAATCCGATCCTTGGCCACAACCGCTGCTGCAGTCGTCGCTCTGCCGGTCGAATGATCAGCAGGACTCTTACCCATGGAACTTCGCCAGCCCATCTGTCGGCAGCGGCCTTGTCTTCCGGGTTCTTCCAGCCCGTAGACGACTCGGCAACATCGCCATAGAGATCCTGCAGCATCACGCGCATGATGCGCTCGAGCTCAGGGAACTCGTTGTTGGGTGTCATGGGCGGGGGCGCATCGAGCGAAGCCGTAGCCGTCTGAAGGCGACCGCCGCGGCGCTTGGTCGGGGAAATCGGCTGGAGGTTCGGCTTTGAGCAGCATGCCTCGATAACCTCATCGAGGATCCAGTTGCGCAGGGTATAGCGCGGATTGACTTGGCGCATCCGCTTCATGCGATGGATGTCCTCCATGTCCATGCTCCCGACGCTCTTCCCGCCGGCCGTATCCGGGCCCTCCTCAACGAGTCGGCTCTGATACAAGCGGGCCCATTCTTTCCAGCGATCCACAATCTCATTGATCGAAGGGATGCCATCGTTCGAATCCAGACTGGTCCGGTCGGCAGCACCATTTGCTTCGGTTTGCGGGCTGTCAGGACCGTCGGGCCCATCGAGACTATCCGCGATTTGCTGTAAGGCTTCTGGGGGAGTGGTTTTTGTGAACGGAGCAAGCTCCGATGCTGCCGCACTTGTTTCCGTCATCCTGGTCGCTGGCCGAGTTTGCTGGGCAGTCGCTGGCTGGCTGGCGCCACTCATGCTGGCTGCCATCGCCGATTGCGGCACTGACGGCGTCTGCCGAGGCTCGCCCGTCTTCATGACCATCCTCTGCTTTTGCGCCGAGTTGATCAGTAGCAGCAGTGGCGGCGTCTTGATTCCGACTCTCCAGTTATTGCTCTCTGGGTCATATGTCGTTTGAGTTCTCATGGCGGCCTCGTTGGTCCGGAAGGAGCACAGGGCCCGAAAGAAATGGGTATAGTCGCATGCTGTGTCTGCGAGCAGGGCCAGGAGCGGCGCCACAAGAACTTCCATATCGTCCTTCCTGGCCGTCCGAAGCCCAAGCTTCTGCAGAGCACAAAGGATGTGAGCCAGAGCCAGAGCCAGAGCCAGAGCAGCATCGACGCTCGGCACATTCGCATCATGGGCAACTCGCTTCCCTGGCTCCTCGCTACCGGAAAACGAGGGCACACTCACCTTCCTCATTAGAGCCACATACGTCTCAAAGAACGCCGGCTCAAACTCTCTGAGGAGCTCGCGGACGACTTCTTCTCCTTTGACGCAAAAGTCATATTCGCTGTCATAGCTCTTGACACCCCGCATTCTTTGCCGTTCAATCCAGTCGGCATAGTCTTCTCGGCTCACGATGAGCTCCACAAAAGTACGCCCCAGCTTGGTGAGGTTCCAGAGCATGATGCGAGGCTGGCGCTCGAACCTGTATCGGCCGATGCGGTCTGAGCAGAGCAGAGCAAACACCAGCCGTCCAGCGACAGTTTTGATCAGCCAAAGCCAGCGAGCGAGTGGGTGCAAAGGGGAAACAGGTGCAAAACGAAACAGGTGCAGCGAATAGACGGCAGATACGATTTCTGAGGGGTAGCAGAGATACGCTTCGACTATTGTTCGAGATGAATCGCTCACCGGAAGAGTTGCAGACCCAGAATGGGTCGTAGCTGTCCATGAATCCCTGATTGCGTTCGTCGAGAGGAAAGCGGAGTGAGCGAGGGACCGAGTTTGGGTGCGCCGGCGCTTTGCTAGCGAATGATGTCCATTCATCCATCGGAGACGTTTGCATTGTTTGACAGGTTTACCCTCTCACACAGGACTTACAAACGGCCCATAGTCCATCGTGAACCCAGCCACGGACATGTTATCCTACGAGCGACAAGCGACACAAGGGCTGGTTCAGCAGTTGTATCTGGCTCTGCCTATCTGGTGCTGCCAAAAGCCGCCGCTTGAGCAACTCGCTGTCCTCCCAGGAAACCAAACAGACCATTCGACTGCACACAACGCTGCCCGACAGCACTCCGCTTGGGTCCGAAACGCAGGAACTCACCGTATTCATCACTCCGTGGCAGAATCCCACGGCCTGCCATGATGCTACGAGGATCGCAGACCTATGCACAATCTCGCGAAACAATCGAGCATACTTGTTGAGCTCGACCTCGATCTTGACGGTGTTCTGCAGAGCGGGATTCTTGGATTTTGTGACGCTGGCCTGCTTCTGGTTGGTGGTGCTCATCCGGACTGAGGTTCGGATGCTCAGCCGCTGCTTCGAGTCGATGATCGAGCTCTCTGGGCCTTCCCCATTGTCTTCATCGGGTCGGATGACATACGGGAAGATGTGCCTGATGAGGTGGTCGGCCAGATTCCGGATGCGCTCCTTCTCGGCCCGGTACCAGAAGAGCTCAAAGCTCCCGAAGCGCACCCATGTTGGACAGAGCCGCCCGAGGACTCCGGAGGCCTCCATCTTCTCCCTGTATACGGGGCGGGTGCCCCCGAGTATGTAGAGAGACCGAGTCGTCGGAATGCTGAGGGCGGCCATGAACTCGCTGCCCAGGAATTCACGCAAACTGCTGCGGAGAGTGGCATATCCGTCGCCAAAGCGGGACATGGGGGTCTTGCCGATGCCCTTGATGTTGAGTTCCCACGTCTCGCCTTCGGAGTTGACAATGTCGCCGACCGAGCAGGCACGGCCGTCTCCGAGCTGCCCCGCATAGATGCCGTATTGGTGGCCGCCGTAGACATGTGCCCACGGGCGGGTGTTGTATTCGGTCGTGAACGGCCGTGCCATCGACATGGAGTCGAGCGAGTCTCGCCGACACAGATCGCGTGAGTCAACCTCGAGAAGAGCCGCTGCCGACTCGGACACTGCAATCAGAATAGGGTTCGCCAGCGGCTCTGGGGTGATGTACGTATAGGTTGCGTTGTTGACGGTCCGCGGAAGGACTGCCGCCGCACCTGGTCCAGCGTCGCCCTTGGAGACGGAGATCTCCTTGGACTCTCGAAAATGCGCCAGCTCGGGCTGTTCGGCCTCGATTCCGCCTGGCGTGCTGCCTTGGCCCCCAGCAGAGCTACTCGCCCATGAGCTGGACGAGGAGTCGCCGGCCGTGTCTTCGGTGAGAGAGGCGCTGAAGATGACCTCCGAAAGCCGCTTCAACTTGACCTTTGCCAGACCGACCTTGGACATGGGGTCTGAAGGAGAAGGTTGAGAGGTGGGTGCTGTTGGGTGCTGTTGGATGTGTGGAGCAACACCGTGACCAAATGTCCGTCGACGCTATCAATCGGGCAAACTCGATGCAGGGCTCAAAGTAGTTGACCTCGAGACCAGCAACCCATATGCCACCTTGGATGGCTCCCGGAAACTGTCCGGAATGGCATCAACTTAGGCGCCTGCCTCCGATATGACAATGCCGAGCTGGACCATTGGCGTTGTTTGAGGCTGTTCGCCCGTCTGGCTCATCATCTCTCGCTGGCAGAAGCGACTGCCTCGCATCCGGGGGTGATGTGATTGGGCTCTGGTTTCAGGGGCAGCACCGGGCAGTCCCAATCACCGAAGCTCCAGCAGATGCTTCCGAACAATGTCCCTCGACAATGTGGAGCGATTGGGGGTGTTGTTTGTGGTCTGGGAGGTGCCGCACACATCCTCTCGCCGGGACAGGGCAATGGACATGGCATGTCTCAGTCTGGCCAGTTGCGTGGTGTCGGTCCAGGTGAGCCCTGGCCAAGAGCTCAGTCTCCTGGGTGCGATTGGTGATGCACCATGGCCCATCAATGCCGCCAACGCAATCAGAACCACTGTCAAGACATACAACTCATCAGTACAGCACCTGTATTCAAGGCAATGCGGAGGGCTGCCGACAACAGCGGCGATGGGCTAATGGCTTCTCACTGAGGAGCTGCTCGACACTCGTGTGTCAAGCCTTCCTCGTCCCAGCTGGGCATAGTTCTTGGGTGAGAGGCCTCCCACGACAGAGTCAAGGCATGTCAGCGAGGCCATGTTCGCGACATGCGCATGCTTCGCCCGCTGCGATCATGAAGCTTGGTCGACTCGCTCGTGGTCGTCATTGTGTGCAACTGGGTCGCCGAGGGGATCATTCTCTGCCGCCGTGGATGCAGATGCTTGTTGACCACCATTTGTGCATTCATCAACTTTGCCTTGATCGCTGCCTTGGCCGCCGCTTGCATTCGCCGCTTCATTTCGAGTTGATTCAACCACCCGTATCATCCCCATGTCGATGCCTTCTGAGTTCACTTTCGACTCTGTAGACATTGACAGAGAAATTGCAAATTCCAGTTCGACAGCGTCGAGCTGTTCCTTGGCCATGAGGAGGTAGGGATGGTCGGGAGTCGAGGTCGTAAAAATGTCGATAGCTTCACTGAGGCGCTCGCAGGCCACGTCATATCGCTGATTTGATGCGTCGATTCTGGCCAGACCACACAAGCATCTCGCGACAATAGGGTGGATGCGAGATTTTATGGTCACTGTGACCGCTTCTATCGACTCGATATAGAAGATGATGGCATTGTTCTCCTCGCCCAGAGCACTGTGGAGGTCACCGAAGGCTCGAAGAATCATAGGAGCCTCCAGGTCCGCTGGGAAGCCGTCGAGCATTCCGCGTGCCCGGTGGAGGTGTGCAGCAGCTTCGTCATAGCGCTTGAGATACAGCAGATCCTCGGCGCACCCGCGCATGAAATCGGCAGTGGCATGTTTGAAGTGCTCTCCATTCAACTCGCCGATTGCGAGTGCCTGTTGGTGATAGTCCAACGCTATGTCATACTCACCGGCGAGGTGATGAAGCCAGGCAAACTCATCAAGCACACAGGCGACTGTTGTGCTAGGCTGGGAGCCATACAGAGCTCTCAACATGTCCAGCGCAGACTGGAGATGGATGCGGGCTTCATCGATTTTGCCGAGACATCTCAGCGCGAAGCCAAGGTGGAGATGGCAACTCGGAATATCCTCTGGTGACAGGGTCTGACACTTCGTTATGATAGCAAGGGCTTCCCGGTAAAGCTGGAGCGATTTCTCGTACTTGCCTCGGAGGCTGTCGATCGAGGAGAGTCTTCTGAGCAACAATGAAATTTTGTAGTGCTCTCTTGATCCATAGCACTTGGTAAAGATATCCAGCGACTCTTCAAAGCACCAGTAGGCTTCATCGAGCTGGTCCTTTGCCCGTAGTGCGACTCCCATATGCTCGAGTTTCTCGCCCACATCCGGATGCACACGCGTTCCGTGAATTGACTCGCTGATGTCGATGGACTCTTGAAAGTGCCTTTGTGCGTCTGGGAGTCTCAGGTGACTCTCTATCGAGGCTATTGTCGAGAGCTTGGCGGCGATCTCGACACGGTTTGCGGTTTTGTCGATGCGGGTGTAGAGACTTACAGCCTCCCCATAGTGCTGAAGCGCCTCTTCATACCGACAGCGAGCAACGGCAGCAGAGCCCATGAACCCGTAAATCGAAGCGATCTCGGTGTGTTCCCGGGTTCCGTAATACTCAGTAAGAATATCCATTGCCGTTTGAAAGTGCTCTAGCGACTCTTCTGCTCGCTTCTGTTGGAGGATCGATAAACCGATGCGGGAATGGGCTTGTCCGATGATTTCACGGGCGCTGGGTCTACGCATTTGCTGAGCCAAACGGAGGACTTCTTGGAAGTTCAGCAAGGCCGATGGGTATCGACCCGCAGTAAACTCTGCCTGAGCGAGGTCGCTGAAAGTGCGGTATTTCGCCCAGAGGGCCGACTCTTCCTCGTTCTTCTTGCACTGATCGGCCTGATCGATAAAGCCTTTGATCGACACGATATTGGATTCATCGCCACCTTTGTGGATTTTGAGTTGAATTCGAAGGGCCTCCTTCAAGAAATGCAGGGCATCGGCATACCTTTTCTTGTTCATGTGCATCAACCCCATCAGTTTATAGAGCCATGCAATCTTGTCGTGTTCTTCAACCCAGTAGATTTGGAGGAACAGATCCAGGGCTTCCTGGAAGTATTTTTGTACATCATCAAATCGGTCAAGGTGGTAGCTTACACTCATCAGCCGGGTTAGCGTCTCCGAAGCTTGAGCCGGCATTTTCCCCCCGTTGAGCTTGATGTAGGTCTCACGTGCCTCTTCAAGGTTCGACTTGGCATCGTCAAAGCGACCCAGTCGCTCGAGAATATGCCCAATATGGCACAGCAGATGGGCCACGTTGGAGTGTATTCGCGTGTTGAGCACCTTCGTGACTATCTCCAATGACTCTTGATAGTAACGCAGGGAATCTTCACAGCGTTGCTCGACAGAAGCAATCACCGCCAAATGGTGTTTCAGGACCGAGACGGATTCGCTCGGACGAGCACCGTAGATCTGAGCCGCAAGATCGATGGCTTCTTGGTAGAGTGCTGCCGCCTCGGTCAAGCGACCCCTGAATTTTTCAATGTCTCCCAGTGACAGCAAACCCGTCAAAATAGCCGAGTGAGCCTTGTTTCCGTGGATCTTGGTTCCCTTTCTGATCGAGGACTGGTAGTAGTGTTTGGCTTTGTCATAGAGCTGCCGATCTTTTGACAGCCGAGCAGCTCGAAGTTCGAACTGGTGATGCCACACCTGCCCGTAGTTCTCGGGGATAACGTTGGAAATATACTCGTCAAGGTGTCCACTCAACGAAAACCGCTTTGCCTTGGGAGGATCGACGATGAGAGGCAGTGACGGAGGCACAGTATCGTGATATATGTTGGATAGGGGATCTGCCGAGTCCGGAACAATAACTAACGCCATGAGGACATTGCCGACAGCATCTTGGCACTCGGAGACGCGCAGATCCTCGCGATTCTGAGCGATACATCGAGCGGCTGCCTGAACGAGTGGGTGTGCGGAGTAGAGGTCGGTTCCGCTGCGACTGAGCATTCCGCACTCACAGATTGCTCGAATCAGAGTCGATCCTGTATAGCGGATGAAGCGACGGCCAACGGTAAGCCTTGGGCTGCGGAAGCTATATTGCCGATTGCTCAAAGTTAGGCTCCGAGATCGGGATTTCTCTTTCGTATGCAGGACTCACCATCTTTGGACAAACCCATCGCCTTTGCGATTTGATTGATCAAATCGAGTGGAATATCGCGGGGCGCGAGCAATGACACAGCATACACGAGCCGAACGGCGTCAGCACCCTCGCTGCGCTTGAGTAGGACTGAGATGGACAGATCCACAATCACCTGGAGCAGTGACTGGAAGTCGTCGTTCTGATTGGGGCCAGTTGGCGTCTGGATTTGTTTGAGGCGTTGCTCAATTTCGGAAAGGGTGATATTGTTGTTTTCGTAGAGCCGCGAGCAGATTTCAATCGCGGGCGGATAGCCTCTAAGCAAGGCGGCGATTGCTTCGATCGATTGCTGTTGTTCAGGGTTGGCTATCATGAGTGTCTTGATGCCTTGCCCATTTAGATATGCAGACGTAATGGGGGTTTCCCAGGGTTCGATGCAAAGTGGGCATTGCTTGAAGTTATCCAGCTTGGCCCCCAAGGCAGTAAGAAAGGGGCCCTCAGGCAAGGTCGACAGTCGAGTTGTCACAACAATATCGCCGTGGAAGCCAGACTCGGCGCATCCCGAAAATGCCGAGTCAACTACTGTCATGTTGCTGACATTGTCGAGAACCAGGATGTAGCCCGTATTCTGAGAAAAGTAGGAGCAGGCGTACCGGACTACTATGTTCGGGTTGATCTTGGGGAAGAAGCAAATGAGGCTGTCGAGGAGGGTCCACTCGGTTGAGCAATCGAGCCACACAAACAAGCTATAGAGCGTCGAGTCTCCTTTGATTTCCCGCTGCAGTGATGTGAGCTGTACGCTTTTTTGATTGACTTGGCCACCCATCGTGAGTCCGAGGAACTGGCGGGCAAGGGCAGACTTGCCGATCCCAGCAACGCCCGAGATAACGGCGCGGCCGGTCAGTGTGAGGTGCCGAAGGAGATGCTCGAGATGGAGCGTATTGACTCTGTATGTCGATTGGACAAGCATGGAGAGGGGCTGGGCATCGATAACATCAAGTGCGTTGGGCCCAGGGGATGGCGGCTTGAAGCAGTGGCCGAGAATCCGATAGACAATGCGATAGGCCAGGTCGGCGCGGTAGTCACAGACCTGAATCTGGCGCAGTCTGTGGAGAACCTGCTTCAGGGGCTCACATCGGGGATGATTCGGGATGAAGAGCAGGTGGGGCTTGAAGCTGATGATGGCGTCTTGTCCGTCCTTGGTTCCCTTTGAGGCCACAGCCAAGGGAAGAACTGGAAGTTGCCAGAGTGTGTTTTTCAGGTCGAGCACCGCTTTGATCTGGTTGAAAAAGTCGTCGCTTTCGCCACGCTCGGCCTTCTGCTTCATAATATCCACCGACTCTTGGCTGATCATGATGACAAAGGCACGGCATCGTGGAAGTGCCTCGGCCCAAGAACCGGCGCCGTCGGCCAAGGAAGGGACGCTGAAAATGGTTGCGGGGCGCTGGTGGCGGCGCACAGCTGTTGCGGTCAGCAGGGCTTTCAGGGCCTCGGCGGCCTCGAGGTCGGATTGGGAACCGGCGGCGACATAAAGGTCATAGCCGGGGCCGTCGGGCAGGCGGGAGGGCGGCTGGCCGGAGGCTGGCATGCGGACGCCAAGGATTGATGAGAGCTGATGAGAGTCGATGAGAGTCGATGAGAGTCGATGAGAGTCGATGAGAGTCGATGAGGAAGAGCGACCCAACGGAGAAATCGGCGAGGCAAGGGGGACAATGTCCAAGCCGAGGCGAGCGCTGCGATTGGACGGCAAGGGGACGCGACACCGATGCTGCATTTGGAAGGTGTCGCGCTGCTGTCACGCCAGCGACCGCAGCACCCGCTCATGCCATGGACTGCGCATCTCCGCGCTGCTCTGCCAAAGCTCGTCCCGCCGACCATCTGCCGAGCCATCCACCACACCATCTGCAGAACCGTCTATCGCATCATCTGCAGAACCGTCTATCGCATCATCTGCAGAACCGTCTATCGCATCGTCCTCCCTCCCGTCTCGTCCCAGCACGCCCAGCCATGCGCATGAAGACCAAGATCACCAACCCCGCGCAGTTCGCCAGTCAGTTGCGCCCCTCTCTGTGCAGCAGATCCTCACGTCCACTCTGCTCTGGACGATGCTGATGCGCTCGTATTCTTGATCCAGGAATGGCGATGACGCTGGAAAAGATCGCAAAGACGTGGATCTTGCGCCTCACACCAAGCGACGTCTACTTTATCGTATCCCAAGCCGACGTCGACAGCGGCATTCAAGTCTGGGGCTCGATCAGCACGGTACGGCCACTCCTTCAGCTGCTGGCAGTTCTGGTATCATTGAAGAGAAGGCAGATAGGCTCGATGGATCCCTGTGGACCATGCGCCCGGCTGATCGCTGCTCCATTGGCCATTCTGGTCCCTCCCAGAGCTTCATCTTTGCAGACTACCGGATCGAAAGTGCCAACGAAAACCAGATCTTTCTTCAACTCTCTGGCGAACATCTCGTGCGGTCCCTCAAATCTGCCCAGAATGCCACCGAGATCACCATGAAGCTGGCAAAGAAGAACTCTCTCCCCGTGCTCTCGTTCCAGATCGCCAACCAGGTGCGCGGCCGCTGCCTGCATTGACCCAGCAACGAGGTCTGCGTCCTCGGACTCGAAGCCACGAATCGGGCTAACGGGCTGCTCCTTGCCTACCTTCCCCAGAGTCGAACAGGAAATTGCGTCTTGCTGGTTCAAGACATCCCTGTGCGGGTGCTGACTCCGCCCGAGGCAGAAGAGCTGAAAGAGCCCCTCGTCCCTGAGCCGCACGTACACATCATGATGCCGCCCCTCTCCAGCATCCGGACGATCGCCGAAAGAATGAAGTCCATGTCCAACTACATCACCATCTCGGCCAACATGCGCGGTGAATTTGTGCTCAAGATCGACACCGACTCGGTCGAGGTCGAGACCTCCTACCGGAACTTGATCAACCCCGAGTTTGGTACGGCATTTGCAAACTGCTTCAGAGTCCGTCCTCAGCGCGCGTTATGCCGATCCACTCGCGATGGGACATTCATGGCAGCAATCGACTCGTTCTGTGCTTAGATCCATCTCAGGTCGACTCGTCTCAGCAGCCGAGCGCAAACCGAGACCCAACCCTCTTTGCCGACGCTCGAGTCGATGCCCGCGACTTTGTCAAATTTGTGCAAAGCTATGTGGTCAATCCCACAAATGTAGTATGCTGTGAGTAGCAAGCCGAGCCAGGAGCAAGCTGTGTCCGCGGCATCGGTCGATCGAGCTCTGGGTGCTGAGCCATGGCTGCTATGCGATGCTGAGCGGTGGCTCCACCCGAGAATTGAGAGCTGGCTCTGGGGCCGTGCTGCAAAGCTGATCGACCATCTGTCGGAACAAACAGGCATCATCGAAAACAGGGGCCTGGTGTTTTACGTGAGTGCATTTGCCGTCAGCCTGACGCAAACTCTTGGCCATTGCAAGTTCTATGAGCGATTCCGGGGTGCAGCGGTATCGGCGGCTGCGAGTACCTCTTTCCTCACACAGTGCCACCGACTTGGTATTCGCCATGACGGCAACAGGTTTACGTCGGCGGCCCCAACGAGAGCCAATGCGGCAATCTGACCTACTGTAAGTGTCGCCTCGCCTGCCATACTTGTGGACGCGGATATGCCTTGGCGATGCAGTTGACTGATCTGGCCGCTCTGCCATCTGCGGATTGCCCCAATATCCGCAGACATCCCCGTGCGCTCTCTGTGATAGCCCCGTTTCCTATCGAGCCCTCTCCCGTGTCCTGTGCGCTAGTGCCCTTGCGAGCCTGCATCCCTTTTCAATGGCGGGAGCCACGGGCACTGGACCGCATCGAGCCGATCACATCGAGCGCGCCGCGCCTGCGGTGCTGTTTCTGTTTTCTTTGGCCTCTTGCCCGTCTTGGCCGATCTCTCAACATGCTCTGTCAGCCATGATCGTGCGGCGCTTTCTGGTCCTCTCAGACATCCATTCGCACATAGCCAACCTCGAGAAGGTCATCACAGCGGTGCGGCGCCTGCCGGCTGTCGAGCGGTTGGTGTGCCCCTGCCGGCCGAGCGATGTTGCCGCATCCAGACTTATCGGCAACACTCTGGCTCTGACACCGTCCCCTCGCCTGCTTGCATCGACGCAGGCCCACTCTGACCTTGGTCCTCGGCGACCTCGTCAATATCAACAACAGTACGTCATCGTACGCCACAGGCCAGCCGCGACTCCAGCAGCTCATCAGCGACGCAACTGCTCGGAGCGCCGGGCTGGCATCGATTGGCGACGCGGACGACTGGATCTTGAGGCTGCAGGAGCAGCTTGTCGAAAAGGAAAAGTCCAGTTTCGCTCAGGTCCTGGAGCGACTCGGCGACCTGGGCTCGCCAACATGCTACATTCCAGGTGAGCTGCTGCTACTGCTGCTGCATGCGGGACGCAGCCTCCTCCCTGACCGAGTCCCACTTTGGTTGACGGCTTTCGTTTCTCGTCCAGGCAATCATGATTATATCGAGCTCTTTCGTGACAAGCATCCCGAATCTGGTCCGTTGGCAACGACGGGCCCGCCATACGATATGCAAGAGAACACCGCATTCAACATCCATGGCAGGCGCGCCGATCTGGGCTCGGGCCTCTTCGTCTATGGGCTGGGAGGATCCGTTCCCGACAGACACTCTGCCGATCTCTCGGTGGTGCAGCAATACGGTATGCTGCATGACGACGCTCCGGAGCAGCACATCACCTCGCCCCGACAGACCCGTTCGTGCAAAACAGCGCTTCCCCTGACGATGTATGCGCACACAGGGTTTCCATATACCGAGGCCGAGATGGAGGAGCAGGCCGAGTCTGTCCTGTTTGGCCAGCCAGAGACGGTTTCGTTGAATGCCCAAGGCCCTCTGACCACCGAGCTGTTCCAAACCGAGCCTGCACATATCCTGGCGACCCACTGCGGGCCGGCCTCGAGCGGTGAGTGGATGCAACCCGACTGCATGCTGGCTTGGAGCTGCAAAACATTTCGACTCAAGCACATGGATGGATGGATGGATGGATGATGAATGGATGGATGAATGGATGATGAATGGATGATGAATGGATGATGAATGGATGATGAATGGATGGTAATCTCTGCTGCTTCCGGCTTTACGGACACCATCGACGCTTCAAAGGCACGACCAGCAGGCTGTTCGATCCCTCCAAGATCCAGCTCGAAACAGGCAGCACGGCTCTGCGGGGTCTGCATCTGCGAGGACAGTATCCCAATGGCTTTGGCGGGGTCCTCTGTCATCTGCACGGACATGGACATATCTCATGGGGCGTCCAGCAGATGGGCCAGACAACCGTGATTAATCCTGGGGCGCTGCAAAATGGCCGATACGGCATCGTGACCTTTGAAAAGCTGGCGACGCAGTGGCGGATCTCCAGCATTCGCCTCGAGACGGTTGCGCCATGAGAGCAAATTGCATGGTGCAAGGCGGCGAGGTGCATCCGAACTGGACCATTGCCGGATGTATCCCGGGGTCCTGAATACAATCATATTTGCACCTGGTTCGACCGAGGAGAAGGGCCGGAGTGTTTGTGGGTGCCCGGAAGGCATGCGTCCACACCTCGTCCAGAACGAAGCGGAGGCAGCTTCGGATCGATGTTGCTCCTGAAGCCACAGCCGTCTGGGATCAGGCGCGGCTGGGTTCTGTCTCGCATCATCTTCAGTCGACCCTGCTTCAACACCAGGCGAACCAAAGATTCGCTTGATCAAGGACACCTGCGGCATCGATAACTGCATCTACTGAGCTCATGGCCTCCGACGCTGCTGCCGCCCCGGTGGAGGTCCCGCGGCCATTGAAGGAAGATCCCAAGATCCGGTTCCAGATGGAGCTCGAGTTTGTGCAGTCGCTCGCCAACCCGCTCTATCTGCAATGTAAAGTGCTGCATCGAGCATCTATCGCCAAGCGCCCGCAAAGAGATCAGCCGAACGGCTCATGCTTGTGACTCGGCCGAGCCCAAGCGACACCGAGGGGTTTGGGCTGAACATCTGCATCACACCGCATCGCATTGCATCGCATTGCATCCGACACGTTGCAGATCTAGCACAGCAGCAGATGTTCCAAGACCAGGCCTTCATCAACTATTTGCGGTATCTGAAATACTGGCAGCAACCCGAGTACGCAAAATACATCGAGTAAGTCGTCCGCCGGCCTCAGTTGCATCCGCTTGACAGGGCTCGTTCAGAAATACCTCGTCTGGGGAGAGGGCGTGAGCATCCATGATATGAGACGACGCAGCTATGCCTCCTGAACGGCGGCCATTGTTTCAGACTGCCATAAGACAAAAAGCCCATCCCGTCCTCACCCATATTTTCTCTTTGGATCCTGGACGGCCCCGTCTTGCGGCCTCCTGCTCTGCGATCGGGAACCTGATGCGCCGCGATCGGGGCTGATCGATCCAGATACCCCTTCAGCCTCGAAATGCTGGAGCTGCTGCAGAACCAGCACTTCCGATCGAGTCTGGCGAGTCCCGACACTGCCCTGCTGCTGCATCAGAAGGAGTTCTTCACCTGGATGTACTACCGCCACGATCGGGAAAAGCAGCACGAGGATAGTTTGGCAGACGAAGCGCCCGAGTGGGTGCGCAAGTTCCTCAAATCGTCGTGACGGCAATCTACCGAAATGCATCTGCAGCAGCCAGAAGGCCCCATGAGGCGCTCTTCCCCCCCCCCAGAAAGCCGTCTGCATGATGGCTCCACAGCTGGTTGTGTTGTGTGCGAGCTGCTCTTGGGATGCATCCATGGGCGTGCGCTGACAATCGCATGCGCTGCGGTGCAGTCGTCCGCCGCCATGCGGATGCAATACATCAGTGCAATCACAACCACAGTCGCAATCGCATGCCGAGGCGGCAGGCCCTATCGTCCGTGCTGTACAGCAGGGCAACTCCGAGAGCGCATGCGGCGAGGGCGGGATGCTGGTCGGCCAAAGGGCCCGCCTGCTTGCCAGGGCGGAAGCAGCCATGCTCTCAACCGACGCTTGTCTCTCATCCCGTCGCTCTGCGATCCGTCGATTTTGTTCTCCATCGCCCTCCGGCAGCACTTGCGTCTCCAGCCTCCCGACTGCGGCCACCGGGCATATTCGGCCACTCCTCTTGTGCCGGCGTCAACCGCATCTGCAAATCATCTCTTTCTCATCCCCGGCCCGAGCGACCCATTCGGCAACGACCAGGGTCGTCTCTGACTCCCACCACCGCTATTCTTCTGGCCCGGCTCGAAATCCTTTGTTGCGTTGCATGTCGTCTTACACGAATCCAAACTCGCTGTTGCGCTCTGTCCTGACCTCGATGGAAAACGTCGCCGAAAGCAAGCCGCTGACCTTTCCGCTGCCGATGACGCCGGACTGGAAGGCGGCCAAAACGGACGATGTGACGCCCTTTGACCTCAACTCCAGCCCCGCGCCAATCCTCATAGGCGTGACGGGCGGCAGCTCTGCCGGCAAAGGCGAGGTCTGCGACCAAATCAAGAGCATCCTAGTCTCGAAGGGTCTCTCGCCCGAGTCGATTGTGTTCATCCGGTATGAGCAGGCGGTCTCGCGCCCATATGGAATCGGCCGATTCGCGCAAACGCCCATGCAGCATAGATCTATCCAGACAAATGGGCGGGCGGTGATCTGGCGATGGCGATCGTCGAAGCAGCGCTTCCGTCGAGTTCATGCGGTTGCCTGAGGTTGCCTGAGGTTGCTCGCAATCGGGCTCGCGTTCATTCGAGACGATAGCGCAGGATGCTTGCTTTTGCAGCGGCCGACCAAAGCTCGGGTTCAGGGCTAACAGATGAATCGGCTCGGCCACAGACAAGAGAACTTTTACAAGACATTGGTCGGCGAATGCTTGCTGTCGGCCCAGAAAGGCGACTACAACTTTGGTGAGTCTGCTCGAGGAACTGTGGGGTCACAATGGCAATCTCGTCTGGGATGGCATGAGCAATGTGAGCAATGTGGGCAATGTGGGCAATGTGGGCAATGTGGGCAATGTGGGCAATGTGGGCAATGTGTCATTCTCACGCTCTGGTGATGCAGATCATCCTGATGCCTTCGACTGGCCGCTTCTCGAGTCGGTCATCAAGGACCTGCACCAGGGACTGCCGGTCAAGCTGCCAATCTACAACTTCAAGACATACGAGAGGTGCGATGGGGCGCTGGCGCAAACGCATCCGATTCGGTGCCCATCCTTGGATCGGCTCTGATTCATGTTGTTTCGTGACATCATGTATCTGTCTTGGGAATGGACCGCCCAATGGCCTTCTCCATTACTTTCTGACGCAGCATTCACTACGTGCACCTTACTGACTGATTGCATTCGTCTTCCATTGCCTCCGAACCTGTGACTGCATTCGCCACGGCTGCACTCGCTCCCATGGCCCAGATTGCCCGAAACCACGGAGATCTCCTGTCCTAAAGTGGCCATTTTCACCGGCATTCATATGCTCTACGAACGACACATCCGCGAGGCCCTGGCCCTCAAGATCTTTGTGGATGTGGACAGCGACTTGCGCTTGGCACGGCAGGTGATTCGGGATACCGAAGACCGTCACTCGCACAAGCTCGAGACGGTGCTGCTGCACTATGTCAAATTCTCCAAGCCTGCGTTCGAGGACTTTATACTGCCCGTAAGTGGCAGAACACTCTGCATTCAGCCGATTCTATTGACCCGGCGTGGCTCCATCCAGGGTCTGAGAGAGCACTCATTCTCGCTGCAGCTTTGTCATTCCATGCTTGAGATGGGCTCAGACTGATCGACATCCTCGCATTGCTTGGGTCTATATTGCCAGTCCAAGCGCTACGCCGACATGATCATCCCACGAGGCAAAGACAACGAGGTTGCCATCCAGCTGCTGGCCTATCACATCGTCGACACCCTCCAGCAGCGGGATCGTGAGTTCAAGGAGCGCCAGAGCGAAGCCGTCTTTGGAACGACTCGAGATTCGTCGGCACACCACAGTAGCCACAACCTGAGCCCGGCCAAGAAGCGCGTGTCGACCTCGCTGAGGATGGCGTCGCTGGGCGGATCGATCGAGGACTCGTCCTTCACGGCCCTTCCCAAGTAGCGAGCGCGGGCTCTGCCGAGTCAGAAGCGCAGGGTGCGGCATGACAGAAGGCGCCAGCGGCGGCAGGGATCGGGTGGAAGCGGTCTGGGGTGGAAGTGCACGAGATGAGCGATCCGAAAATACATGGCCGCAACTATCTGCACCTGACTCGGCAGAGACCGCCCGATCGCGGAATTCCCTCACTCGCTCATGGCATTTGATCGCGGCCTTCGTTCGTTCGTTCGCTCGCTCGCACTTTCATGGTCGCAATCAGCGCCAGGGAATGCCGGGATGGCTCAGCCCATGTGTGACGCACGCGATCTGTGCGACGGCGTGCAGCACAGAGTCACACGGAGGTGGAGCGAGAGCGGCGCACCTCGCCCGGCTCAACGGCGGCACAGATACAGCGGCGCGCGTGCAGCGAGAGCGCTCTCGCGGGGCCTCGGCGCCCCTCGGCGCCCGCCCGCCCGTTTTGGACGGCGTTTGGATCGCAATTGTGAGTTGTCTCGGCCAGGTCATTTCTTCTTCTTTGCCCTCCATCGCCTTTTCTTCTGGTCTCCTGCTCGCATCTCTCGTCTGGCGCCTGTCTTGCCGCTCCCCTCCCCACAAAGCACGTCCCCCCGTCCACCCAGCTCCGTCGACGTCCCGGCCTGCCGCTCGTCGTCCGCCGGTGACACCCCCCTGAAGCGGCCAATCTGCACGGGCCCAGCCCATCCACCCCAGTCCGTGACCTGTGTCCGTGACTTGCCTCCAAGTCCTGTCCGCCGGCTCTCGCTGCTGTCTTCTCCGTCCAAGCCGCCCTCGTCGCATTCAGCGCCGAACCGTCCTCGCCCTCCAAGCGCCTCGGTGGCTTGTGTTTGTCCTTCGTCTCCTTCACCAGCCGCGGGTCGATATCCACACGATCATCGATTCGGCTTCAACCACCTTTCCCGACCCGCACCGGATCCCCATCACCCATTGGCTGGTCGTTGGCCCCCCCGGTCGCCCTCGCCATGTCCAGACCCTCTGTGGCCACAAAGCTCTCCTCGTCAGCTCCAACCGCCACCTTGACTCCACCCACACCAGCACCCGCCTCGAAGGCATCGTCCAAACACAGGTCCAAGCCCCGGCCGATTTCCTCGGATCCGCAGCTTCTCCCCGCCACGGATGCATCAAGTCCCATGTCTCCTTCTTCGCCGCTGCCCTCCAAATCCGCCAAATCCCGGTTGCACCGACACTCGCTCTCCACCATCGACCTCAACAAGCGCACCCTCACCAACATGCCCACCGACAACGGTGCCGTCCAGAACCCCTCTCGACCCCGCCGCCCGTCCGGCAAGCTCTCTAAGAGCACCGACAAGCTGCACCATAGCCCCTTGATGATGTCTCCGCACCGTGGTGTCAAGGAGAATGCCAACCCAGCAACGCCTCCCCGTCGCCACTCCGATCCGACTGTCCATCGGCGCGATAAAGAGTTTGAATTGCCTCGCTACGAGCCCAGCCGCTTCCTCACCTCGGCTTCGCTCAACCTCTCGAGCATCTACACCCGCGTCGGTGAGTGGAACAGAGACAGCGGCTCAACGCCGCCAGCCGAGGCTTACCAGGGCTACGTTGTTCTCACCAACAAGAGCCCGAGCCGCATCCCTGTCCCGATCCTCAAGCAGCGTCCTACGAGTGCTCCGGATGACCGCTCACAAGCCTCGGCGACAGCGGCGTCTGGCTCGGCACAGACGGCTGCTTATCCGGAATTCGACTCTGCTCTCGCTGCTGCCCTCGGCAGCACTTTTCCGGATCCACCTGCACTCGTCGTCGGCGCCCCGCTATATCCGATCGACTCCTGCGACGGTATCGATGGTGCTGCTGCTGTTTCGTCCTCTAATCGAGTGATTGAAACACCTCCGGCTCTCGCATCGCTTCACGCAAACTTCCTTCAAGGTGCCGCATCCAGCTCAGCGTCTCCCACCGGACAGCCCGCATCCTCCAAGTCCAGAGCTGCTGGTCAGTCCGCCGCTGGTCAGTCCGCCGCTGGTCAGGGCGCCTCGGGCTCCTCTAAAATCCCAACAAACGGAAAGCGGCCGTCGACCGTCCCCGCAGTCCCAGCCAGACCAACACCGTCACCCACGACAGTATCAGTATCAAACAGACGGCCATCGCCCAAGCCCTCGCTCGCGTCCCTTCCGGGCGCAACTCCCAAGGCGGCAACCCTTCCGCGGGCCGCCAAAACCAGCCGCATGTCTCCCTCGCACTCACCCTCGCCTCAACCCCCCAGCTCGCCAGGCCAGCCCTACCCTGCAGGCACGGTCCGGGCATACGGCAAGCCCAAATCGCCACAGCCACAGCCACAGATCGACACTGCCCCCCGCGCGAATACGATAGATCCTCCGCCACGGCCACAACAGAGCAGCCAGTCTCCCACCAGCACCGTGTCTCCTGTCAGCGCGACCGTCCCGCCACCAATAGCGACTGCAGCAGAGCCCTCCAGGCCGGTGCCTTCCGAGAGCCTGCCTGCAGTCAAGAAGGTGCGGTTCTTTGAGTGGGTCGATGTGGGATTCACCCACTCGCCTGACGACTACGACCGCAACCCGATTGCCTGCGAGCCGCTCACTCGCTCGGGCGCGCTTGAGGTCATCCAGATGCGCATGGAGATGCGGCAGACCACCGAGCGGCTCTACCGCGCTCAACGCAACCAAGTCCTGGCCGCTGGTACGCCCGGATCTCCCAAGATCACAAGCCCGATGTCGCCTCGGCGCATCAGCCGCGACGAGGACGAATGGGACGGACACTGGAACGATGAAAACGACTTTGTCGACGACGACGATGATGAAGAAGAGGGTAGTGTGCAGAGACTTGTAGGTAGGCTGCGGCGTCAGCGCGAGCGCAAGCGAAACGAGCAGATTCGCGAGGAGCGCCGCGACAGCATGAACCTGCAGCAAGCCAAGGCGTCCGCCCGCCAGATCAACGATAACATGAAGACCCAGATGATGGGCATTCTTGAGTCTGCGCCGTCTCCGACGACCGCTGTCGGCTCGACCTCTGAATCTCTGCCAGCGGTACGGTCGCCTATCATGCACGCCTCCTCGCCTCCGCTGGCAGCGCTCTCACCGCGCACTCCCCAGGACACCATCGTTGTGAACCTTTCCAGCACTACCGTCGTCGTCGAGCGCGAGAAAGCACCAGGACAGCGCGTCGATGCCAGCCTCCGCCTCAGCCCCATCGACACATCCAAGTCTGTCATCGAGTCGCTCACAATGCAGCTTCAGGCCACCACCATCAGCTCGGCCTCGTCGCCGGTTATGCCCACGATTGTTGAAGAGGCTTCGGAGCATGCGGAGCAGCCTGCCGAGCAGAACGACGGCTCTCTCGATGGCTCAATCGACTCGTTCGAGCCGGATGCTTCCACCGTGAGCACCACAAGCAGCTCGCCGAGCTCGGACGAAGAGAGCCGCAACAACATCTTTGCCCAGCGCATCTTTGCGGCCTCACCGACTCCCGACTTTACTCCGCGCGACACTTCAACTCGGCCGCTTTCGAGCTCTGACGAAGACGATGAAGACGATCAAGAGCCGGATGACGCCTCCTCGCTGTCGTCGTATACATCGATGGTGTTCAAGTCATCGACAGAGTCGAGCTCTGCGGACGGTCCTGTCGGCATCCCCACTGTCGGTGCCGATGACGAGGAACCCTTCCGCGGCCGGTCTCGACGACGCTCCGACACTGACGGCGTGTCACTGCGGTACCAGCAAAAGTACGGCCAAAGCGATGTGTATCACCAACCGCCACCGATCCAGGGCTGGCTCCAGGAAGTTGTCATAACCAAGGGACGGAGCCTCAGCTGGAGTGGCCGGGCTTCCGCGTGTCGGTAAACTCGAATAGACGAATTGTTGCGACAGAAGCGTCCCCCACCGCTGTTCCAGGTTGAAGATGAGGGTCGGACCAAGTCGACACATCCTATCGGCATCGAGATTGTGGATCGTGGCGTGCGCCGACGTCATGCCTCTGCTTTCTTGGCCATCTGGCTGCAAGTTTCCATGACAGCTATTTGGTGCCTCGTTTCGCTGCAAGGCTCCTGTCGCAGTTCAGCTCGAGTTGATCGCATGCGCAAGATTTGTTCATACTCCACCGATAGACAGACAGCCCGGCTTGGCTTGGTTTGGCTGGATCGCATTCAGCTGAGGGCAGCAACGAAGATCCTTGGCCCATGCGGGGGCTGCCTGTGTTTGTGACCTTTGAAGACTACTCTGACTCGATCCGATCCGATCCTCTTCGATCCGACCTGATCTGCCACCACAACTTGCTCTGGATTTTGTCTCTGTCGTTCTGTTGCACGACTGCTACGTAGAACATACTCCTTCGATCTCCCTCTGTACTTCCACTCCGCTTCAGCCGATGATGGCACTCTTGGACGATTCATCACCCAGCCCCGCCTATTCAATCCTTGTATATACTTTCCTTTCTGTTCGTATACAAGCCGCGTGTCTCTTCCGCCCTTTGGTTTTTGCTTCTTGCTCGGGCTCTCTTAATCGCTTGCTCACTTTTGGCTCTGTGCCGTCGCTCTGCGGCCCTCCTTTGAATGTCCCAGCCTGGGCTGTCGGGCTGGTCTGTGCCCGGTCTCGTCGCCGCCGTCGTGTTCGCTGATGTTTTTTTGCATTTGTCGTATTCCTACCCTGCTCACCCCATGTCGTTGTCTTTGGTCTCCCCCGCGCTTTCTCTCCCTCCCCCCACTCCCCTCTCCCTCTCTCCGTTTCCTGCTGCTATTGCCCCGATGAGCGGTCTTGCTGCAAGCAAATATGGATAGAAATCAGACACAGAGCCTTGTCCGAGCTGCCGCGCCGCTCCTCGGGTTATGCGAGCTGAGGGTTATTGACTTTTATGAACGGTAAATACTTGTCCTCGAGCAATCACACGACCCGGTGACAATCTGGCGCATCTGGCTCGCGCATCCGACGCCGGCCAAGCCGATGCTGCTCTTGGGGGGGGGTTTCAAGGGCCGGTCGCATGCACAGGGCGATGGTTGTTGCCGCTCCAGACGAGAGTGATGCATTCAATTTCAACCAATGGGAACGGGACAGGAGAGCGATTGGACGATATCATGACGAGACGCACCATGGTAGCGAGTATCCATGGGTGGCAAAGACATTGCCGGAACACATCTATTTGCGGAAGCTCTCGAGCTGATCGTCCTTGGACTCTGCAATCATCTCGCGCTCGTCCTGGGCCTTGACGTCGAAGGAGATGTGGGCTTGGTTCTGGAGACGCCGGCCAGCCACGATTCGAAGATGCCCAGAAGTCACATCGCAAGCGCACAGGAGTGCACGGGAGTGCACGGAAAATACCACAAACCAACAACGCAGTTAGCTCGGGCTCGTCGAGTAGTGACGGGGTCGCATCTTGCATGCATCGCGTCCCTACCATCGGGTTATCGGGTGACTTTTTCCACTTCTTCTGGAGCTGCTGCTTCAACTGCGACAGACGCAGTGTCGGGTTCTCGGCCTGAGGCATTCCAATGAGGCAGTTTGATCAGGAAGGAGAGCGACGGCAGAGATCCGAGCAGCAACTTTCCCGCGGCACCACGGCGATGCGGAGGGCATTCTTTGGCAGACAAACAGCAGAGCCAGAGAACTCACCTTGAGCAGAGGCATCTCTCGTTCCTGTTGCACGATTCGGCATTCCGAGAAGAGATCGGTGAGCAACCTCCCTTCACATCCAGCAACGCTGGGCCAAACACTTGCTCAGAGAGTACAAGGCGGTGCCGAGCCCGACATGTCCATAATGCACTCTGAAATACGCAGTTGATACCTCAAAGACAGCCCAGGCGCTCTTCATTCTCTTCTCGGGATGCCGCTCGATGCGATCCGAGCCGCTGGCATTGGTGCCGGCCTCGGTGGTCGTCAGGCTCAGCAGATCCAGGGCATTGTCGATGCCGCTGGCGCTGTACTCTGCAAGATCGAGCATGTTGTCGGCCTGGAAGTTGTTGATTTTTGCTTCCTTTGCAGCGGCTCTCTTGTCGGCGCCCTTGACTTTGCCACCGCCTGTCTGCTTCTCTTCGGCATCCAGCAGAGCGTCTCTGATTGGGATTCATGGCCACAACAGAGACAGGTAAGCCCGGTGAGTCGGGAAAAGCAAGTGGCCACATAACTGGGCTTTGACACTGATACGATCCAGTATTTCCGTGCCCCATTTGCTCTGGGGGCTTGGGTCTTACCGCTCGGCTTTCTTGGCCAGGGCTTCCAGCTGCCAAATCGATCGGACATGGTGAATGGGCATGAGCACACAGCCAGGAGCGAGCCCATTGCGGATACGCAGAAACCGCGACGGCCTCTCCGCCAGCACGATTTCATAGCGAACGCAGATGCCCTATGGACTGCCTCATTGCGGGATGTTGTCCGAGGGCATGGGCGATGGGAGCGGGCTGCTGCCTGGAATGCAGATCGAGGAGAGCGACCAGCTGCGGTCTTGCATACCCGTTTGCGCTCTGCTTCGTCCTTCTTGCTGCCGTCCTTGGCGCCCTTGGACCACTCTGCGGCATCAACCTTCTCCTTCTCTTGGGCCTTCTTCTTGTCCTTCTCGGCCTGGACTGCGGCCTTCTTCTCCAAAGCGGCTGCGGCCCTGCAACCGCACCCACCAGCAGCAGCAATTCTGGCATCAGCATCGGGACAGGCAAACAGGCTTGTCCATGTGTAGCCGCCCGCGCAGGCCCTTCCACAACAGCGCACCGCCGAGCCAACTCACTTTGCGTTCTTGGGGGGCATTTCGCGGGACGCTGGCTGGGGTCTGATCTGCAGGCGATCTGGCTTGCTGGGTCAATCGATGAGGATGCAGCCCGATCGACGTTTGGGCCGAGCCGAGTTGTGCCGCGGAAAGAAGCATTGCCGGGTCAGGTGAACATCACGGGTGCTGCGCCACAGCATGTCCAGGTCGCTGGATCGAGCTCGACCGACTCCAGGCTCGACACTGCGTCTCGCCCCGGGTCTGCCCACCATCGCATCTGCTTCATATCCGCGCCATGCTCGAGCTCAGTCTGGTCGTCGCCGCTGAAAAATCCACCTTGGGGATCGGCGTGGACAACCGCCTGCCCTGGCGGCTGCCATCGGATATGAAGCATTTTCTCGCCCTGACGACAGGCGGCTACGGATCGGCTGTCGCTCCAGGCCCACGCAGCGCCGACAGTCTCGACAACGTCGTGGTCATGGGTCGACGGACGTGGGAATCGATTCCGGCAAGGTTCCGCCCGCTGACTGCCAGACTCAACGTTGTGCTCTCGAGTGATCCAGAGTTCCAGTCGTAAGTGCACCAAGCGGATTCCAGGAGCTGTTTCGTGATCATCGGTTTCTCCGGGCCAAGTGCATTCGCAATGCGCTCGGTTGACCAACCTAGCTCAATCTTGGTCTCGTCCCGGCAGCAAAACCGAGTTGCCTCCGCAGGTCCATGTCTCTGGCTCTTTCGACAGCGCCCTCGAGTATATCGAGTCGCTTGGCATCTACCGCAATGTCTGGATCATCGGTGGCTCCAGCGTATACGCGGCCGCCCTGAGCCATCCGCAATGCGCCCGCATCTTCCTAACCCAAGTCACGCCGCTTGGACAAGCGATCCGATTCGACACCTTCTTCCCCGCCATTCCGGAGGATCGCCTGCGCCTGGCCTCGGACGACGAATTCAGCTTGGCTGCCCCGGGCGCACCGCAGACGCCGATCACCGAGAACGGATTCGAGTTTGCATACAAGCTCTATGTGAGGATCTAGACAATGGCGCATGCTCGGAGGTGGTGACGAGGTCGACGTCAAGTTTGTCTTGGAAGGCACGGCCGTGAAAACACAGAGGCTGATCTCAGAGCGATTGGCTCGCACATGAAGGTGTTTTGGTTGTGTCAGTGTCCAGCCGATGGGCCGTAATGCATCGAGAGCAAACCCCGGGCAGGGTGGACTGACAGCATGCCGATTGCCGTCAGCGAACGATTGCGGCAGTGGGATATCGACGGAAAGATGGGCACAATGTGACAAGCAGCACTAGAGCAGTAAAGCGAGCCACATTACAGCGTTTCCAAAATGAAATGGGACACCCCCGTTTTTTGTGCATGACTGTGTGGTTTTCTGGAACCTGAATACACCCACCCACTCATCGCATTCATGGCCAAGCAAGTATGTCCAAGGAGACCGAAGTGGTGATTGCCTTTGGGAATGCATCCTGGAAACAGGGGAAGGGATATGCATCCAGCCCACGGAGACTCAGGTTTGCCAAGTACTTTGAGCAGTTCATACACCACCAGAGACGACCACCAGACCAATCCGTCTCCAAGATCCATGTGTGCTCGGTGAACGAGTTCAACACATCCCAGGTGTGCTCACATTGTCGGGAAGCCAAGTGACTCGAGTCACCCGAGCATCTTGATATCGAGAAACCACACTTTGTCCGGAGCTGTGCAAGCTGCCATACGTTGTGGGATCGAGACATCAATGCCTCACGGAACATGATTTCGGTATGCCAGTCGATCATCGCCACAGGAGATCGACCGGGTGTATTCAAGACCATGCTTCCCAAACCAACCAAAATCACTCGATTGCCAACCAGGACGGGAAACAATCTGACGGCTTGCTCACTGGGGCCTACAGTCAGTCAGCGGGCTCCAGACATCTGAAGCCAGGAAGGAACTGTCCCCTTTCTTTCTGGACCGACTGTAGAAACAGTGAACGAACTATAAAATGGGACACCCCTGGTATTTTGAACAGTGGCTGCATATCGTGCGCTGGCTGCGGTCTTCCCTCGGAGGTTGCCGGAGTGGTCGGCTTGTATTGCAAATGGCCTCGAGCCATTTCATGCCACATGGTCGAGGGAAATGAATCATGGGCATGGACATGGGCGTTGAATGTGCGCTTCAGTCCCCCCTCGGAAAGGAGAATGATGATCAATTTGGATATGTACAAGGCGTCGATGGAGCCCTGCTCCCAGTCCTGGTCGTCGCCAAGGCACTCCCGGTCGAGGTATGGATGGAGTGCCTGGTGGCCCAGAGGAGTGCTGGCGAGAGTTCCATGCAGGGCCGATGCGCTCTCGGCCTCGCTCTTGGCCCGGTGGCTGTGAGAGGAGTTTTAGAGCGACAGCCGAGCCCGAGTGTGCGCCATCAATTTCGATGCGAAACCCACCTGATAAGGACATCATAAGTGGGATTTTCGTTGCGATAGGCCCAGTCATCCTGAGGATGCGATCTGAATGAGGCGGGCTCGCTCATTGCTGCGCTCTTTGATGGAGCGGATGAGAGCAGAGGACAGATGAGGTGGATGCATATATAGGCACCCCTCGATGGGAGGGGATCCACGGCACCCCCTGTCCCGCGGACCCGATCCAGAGCGGGACCCCTTGGCCATGTGGGTCGGTCCTGTGTCCATCCATGGTGGCGATAATGCAGTTCCCACATTTCCGAATCAGAGCATGGATGACTTGTTTGAGCCCATCCAACCCTATAAGTGCTGGTGCTGATCCATCCCGTCTACAAGAACAAGGGATCGCCCCTCGACCCCGCAATGTACAGGCCGATTGGACTGACCCAGGTCTGCCGAAAGGTTGTCGAGCGAGCACTGCTGCCGTTGCTCAACCGAAAGCTCGGACTGATGGACATTGCCCAAGGTGGATTCCGGGCCGAGCGAGGCACCCTCGACCAGATCTTTGGCCTGGACACGCTCATCAAGGACCGCCAGCTGGCGGGCGAGGAGTACTCCCTGGTGTTCCTCGACATCAAGGCGGCCTACGACACTGTCTGGAGGGAGAAGCTCTGGGACAAGATTGAAGAGCGCACCCCATGTACGATCACCCTCAGGCTCTTGAAGGCCATGTTCGACGATGTGAAGATTCAAGTCGTTAGCAAGAGCCGTCGGTTCAATCCGGTCTGGCTGCAGAAGGGACTGATCCAAGGATCGGTCCTGAGCCCGCTGATGTTCAGCGTGTTCATCGACGACCTCCCTGGGAAACTCCGGGCAGACGGTGGAACGACCCTAACCACCACCCGAGGACGAGCCGTCCAGGTCAACTCACTGTGGTTTGCCGACGATGGGGTGCTCATCTGCCGCCCCAACCAGACCCAGCGCCTCCTCGACATCTGCGAGGCCCACAGCATCGAGAATCGATACCAGTTCTCGCCCCCGAAGTGCGAGGTGATGTTCACCGAACAGCACCCAGAGAAGGATGCCAAGGTGTACCTGTACGGCAAGGAGCTGCCAGTCGCCAAGGAGTTCCGGTATCTCGGAGCCATCGTCGACATCAACGGCTTCAGGATGGACCGCCAGATCCAGAACCTCACCCACAAGGCTAGAGGTGCCGCCGACAAGCTGGTGAAGCACGGAATGAGCCTGGGCCGATACTCGGCCAAGACGGTGACGAGGGTGTTCAAGACCTGCGTTCGGCCCATGCTCGAGTATGGACTGACCCTCGAAGTGCTCACGAAGCAGCAAGCCGTGATACTCAGACGAGCACAGATGCACTGTCTGACCCGACTCTTCAGAGTGGTGCGGAACACATGCGTCGTCTCAATGCGCATCATGCATCGGATGTGGCGATATATTCAAGACACGAGGTGCTCGTCAAGATTTTGCAAGCTGTCTGGCTCAATTCACTGGGTCTATTTTGCGCTTCATGGACTCGGTCGAGGGTCTCGATCAGCTCAGCACCATCATGGCACCGAGCGTCACAGCGATCATCCAGCCCGGGGAAGCAGCAGCACCGCCCGACAGGCTCAGTGCAAAGGGCAGATCGTTGGCCCGGAGGCTCGCTTGGTCGGCCGGGGTGGCTTTTGTGGACTGGGTTGTCGCCGTGGTTGCTGGCGGGTCGGTGACCGAGGAGCTCGGCTGTGTCGTATCGACTTTGTTACTTGCCGACGCAGGCGCAGTGCTCGAACTGGTCGGTGAGGGCACGGAGACCACCAAGCTTGGTTGTGTGGTCAAAGGTGAGACTGTGCTGGCTGGCCAGGCGGTGGTCGTCACTCGAGTGTTCGATGGAGTGGCGATGGGATCCGGAATCGGGGATGTGGCTGGGACACTCGTCAGTGGCAAGGTTCCAAGCGTCGTCCAAGTTGTCCACGATCGGCTGTCCGTCGTTGGCGTCGGTAGAGGCGTTGAGACGGCTATACTGCTTGAGATCCCGTCTGTGGCCAGGGTTGATGTTGCAGAGGACTGAGATGCCTGGCCGGTGTTGGATGCACTCTGGATTGTCTCGACAGTGGTTGTTGAGATCGTTAGGGCAGAGGTGGTCGAGCCGAGCGGAGGACGGCCGGGTATCCTGGCTGCTGTCACCATCAAGAGGCCGGATGACAGTATAATGGCTGCGAGAAAGTCGTGAGCGAGCATCTGGTGTGGAAATGGAACCGAGAGGATGTGGAAGCAAGTACCGAAGGTGGAAGCAAATACTGAAGGTGGAAGCAAGTACTGAAGGTGGAGCAGATGGTGGGAGCAGACAATCTCGACACTCTCCAACGGCGCATCCAAAGTCAGGTCGGGGCTCAGTGGGGATGACCGCAGTTCTGACTCAGACCGCACCCAAAATAGCAACAGATCCGCTGTGATACTCCTGGCTGGTCTAGTTCTGTTTTCGTCACGACCATGGTCTATTTCTGCCCAAAGTGCCGCCAGGGTTTTGTCGACATGCACGACCTTGTCGAGCACCGACAAAGAGTCTGTGAATGCCCCCTGGAACTTCGTATCTGCGACTGCGGCAAGGCACATCGAACCCAGACCGACACTGAACAGTGCGAACACATGTGTGAGGGGCATTTGTGTGAAGTGCATTTGCGTCATGAGCCAGGGTCGCCTTCGACACGGAGCACTCCGATTTTGACCACTACTGGTTGTCGCTGCGATACAGATACCGCTGGGAAAACATACCACCACATACCCTGCTGTGTGTCGGGGTGTGTCCTCGAATTCTCCACCATCGACGAGTTTGAGCATCATTATACTGCTGTGCACGGCAGTGCGCCAAGCTCGCAGCTTGGTGGCGACCGCTGTGTGCCAGAGACGAGCAGCGGCGACGCAGTACCGCCGCTGCCACAGATGAGCCAGGACCCAAAGCTGATTTGGTCAGGTACGGCCGTTGTCAGCATCGATGACATGCATCTTGGGACGCATCGATCAGAGTGATCCCTCCAGTGAGTCATGGTCGACTACTGCTGATCAGCACACAGATCCAAGTGTCACAGAGCACGACTCAACTTGGTTCTCGGGCCTCTGCCGGTCGTCCAAGGAGCTGTTCCAGGTTGGGAGTTGTCTGGTCGAGATGCAGGTGCTGGATGAAAGGTGGGTTTCAGACGAACGCTGGGCCTGGTGCTGTGGTGCCGCCACTGACATTTATACCCTCGAGCCTTGATCAGGCGAAGTGGCTCTTCGTCACTGAGCGATCGAGAATATGATACGCCAGACTCGCGCCGGCTGCTGTCTCTGGTTCTTCTCGAAGCCAAATCGTCAGGCATTGTTGCGTCAGAGGATGAGTGCTATTACATCCTCTATGGTGCGCTGATGCCGCAGCGCAACTCGGTTCATCTGAGCGCCGGGCTGATTGCGGGTGCGCTCTGCCTCGTTCAGTCCGGCGAATGTTTGTCGTCGCAGATCTGCCTTCGTCGGTGCAGCTTGGGGATGCTCGATGGTGCGAGATGCTGCAGGCCCGCATTCGCGACGATGCGGCGGTTCTCCACATTCTCTGGTATGAGCCATGGAAAGCTGAGAAGATCCAATAGCTACTCGGATAGTGCCTCCATTCCTCCGGACACTCACATCCACAATATCTCTGCAACGTTCGCGGGGCATCGGCCCGAGCCAGCAATCCGAACCACGGACGAGTCGTGGGAAACGACGCCATCAGCGCACTGCATCTCGGCGTTGTTGATTCCAAAGCCCGCACTCTGGCTCGCGGACAGGTTTGTTCCAATGGTATTGGTGGTCAAGAGTCCGTCCCCTCGAACGCCGCCATGTTCTCATCTGATTCGTCTGTCGGATTGCTGGAACAAGAACCAGAGCTCTGCTCGTGGTGCGCTCATTCTGCACGAGCTCACCGTTCAGAGCCCGCTCTGCCACGAGTGGACCGTATCGGCATCCAAGCGCATCCGGTCTGTGACCTCTCAATCCGGAACCGAATCTTGCGCTCCGACGAAGAAACTTCGCCTGCTTGTTGGAGACAAGTCCCCGGTTCAGATTCCCGCCCACAAGCCCCAACATGGCGGATCTTGGCCAGGATTCTTTGTGAGGTACCGCACTGGGAGGACCTCAGCCACCTCGGTCCGGAGTCCGCAGAGTCGGTATTACCTATCCCTACTCTGACCATGAGTGTCCGTCGTCTGTTTCAGTCGAATCGCTGGGCTTGTTTCGTCCGTGATCGAGATGTGCGCTGCCCCATTCAACCAAGCAACAGGCAGCGATGATGCGCACTAGCCGACGTGATATCTGACATCCGCGGAGCGAGGCCCTCCAGGGCAGTAACCAACCGGCCAGTGTTGGAGAGTTTGATCAATGTATATTTCAATGCATTGGGCAAGCTTGATGTTGCAGCGCCAACTCGATCTCAGGTGGCTGCTTGTAACGAATCGCATGCAGCCGCCATGCACACATCTGCGCCTCTATACATCCGGTACATTCCACATGTGTATCTGCTCATTCGTAGAGCCGATGGTCCTCCCTCTTGAGTCTCTGTCCAAAGCTCAACAGCGCCGTCAGGAGTACCTGCTTTTCGTCCATGTGCGAGGTTGGATGCGTCGGACTTGTGTTCTGCGATGCGAGTCTTTGTGATCCATCGTAGAGGTCCTGATATGATTCTTTCATGAGCTCAGGGCTGGGCAGCGAGTCGGCATATCCGTGTGGCCAGGATGGGATGTCTGGAGCCGGCTGGCTGGGGATGGGCCCGCCGCAAGTCCCTTCGCCGGAGTAAGGAGGATTTGGAGGCAATGCCATCGGTGTGCGTTTGTGTCTTTGTCGCCTCCGGGAGCACGCTCCATGTTGTTCACCAACGGCCATTTCGGGGCGATGATCGATCCCGGTGCTAGATCCAGTGCCACACTCGAGCAACTCCGAAGGATCGGCAGAGCGCAATGTGTGATGAGCGCTCGGCACTTCTGCATCGGCGCATATGCGGGGAAGAGGCTCGATGGGAGTGGATTGCATCGGATCGTTGCTATCCAGATCTCGCTGAGCAATCGCTTCGTGTGATGTGTTGCCGCACGAACCCGCCAGGAGGCGGCTTTCCAGCGGCGGCGATCTCTCTGAGCGTGGTTCGATGGGCTGAAGAGGCTTTTTGTTCTTTGTAAATGCCTGTGCGCTTTGAGAGGCGGCATCTGATACCCGAGTCGTCGGGCCACTGTGTTCGATTGATTCATGGGCGTTTTCGTCGCTGTCGTGCCCCAGGTCACTTGTATGCTGGCTTGGCGGCGCTTGTGGCATTTCAACGACCTGGATGGAGGTGCGCTCAGGATTCCCGCTGCTTCTCTCGTTGCTTGTGCGGCCAGCTGTGCCTGGCACCGGCTTAAATGTTCGCAACTTTGGAATCTGGCTGAGTGCTCGTTTCACTTTCGTTGGTGTTTGTGTCTTGTGGACGCTTTCGTTAGGAGCATCATCCAGTGCGTCGCTGTGGTCTTGATTTTGGATACCATGCAACCGGATCTTGCTTTCTGTGTTCTGATGGCGCTTCTGGACAAGGGAAAGTGCTTCGTGGGCACTGTGTTGTTGAGATGGAGTAGTATCGTTGCTGTTTGCGGCCTGGCTCGGCCTCGCTTGAGGTCGATCCGGAGTTACTTTGTCCTTTATTGTGCGGACAGTCGAACGGCTTGACGGGCCGGAGCTTGCACCAGTTTGCCCTTTTCTGGTCCCGCTCTGGTGATGCTTTGCGCCACTGATACCAGGCCGAGTGACGCAGAGCCCCTGTTTTGGCTTTTTCCTTTTACCTTGTTTTTGATCGTCCTTGGCACTGGCGTGACCATGTCCATCCAGGGAGTTGTGGTGGCTCTGGTGATCCGCCGTACTTGGTCCCTTTGGGGCGGGAAGCGAGCCCTGCGACTTTGGAGGTGTCTCGGAAGGCTCAACAGGGTCCCTGAGGGGGCGGCACGACAGATTCGACTCGGCGCTGGCCTCTGGTCTTGGAATTTTGCTTTGGATAACCTGGGCCGACTTTGCCCCCTCCGTCCTCGTATCGACGGGGTCTCGCAGGCCCATAGGCGCCTCGAGTGACTGATCTGACCCTGCTTGCGCTCCGAGCTCAGGTCGATTTTGTCCTGATTCCCCTTGAAACACCTCCCGGCCCTCTTGTTCCTTGAGTTTCCGTCGCTCTTCTTCTTGCTTCTTCCTCTTTTCTTCCACCTGCGCCTCGCGATATCGCTGGATCTCGAGCGCTTCCTTCCTCCGTTTCTCGTGGTCAAGGTCATCTCCGGCAAAGAGACTTCGTTTTCGGCCATACACATTTTGCTGGGGCATGGCGGGCGGGGATGGGGCTGGCACCTCGGTTGCTGCTTTGGGCGGGACTTGATCCTCGTTTGCTGTTTTCTCACGGTCGGTGCGATCGTTGGCATTGATGCTGGGCCGCGGCGCTTCTGCGGCGGCACTTGGCTGCTCGGCACTTGGGCTGCAGACGTGCTGGATATTGGTGGAATATGCACGAGGCTCACCACCCCCGCCCCACCGTCGCTTGCTCCAGAAAAAGTCTGTCGGAGGGCTGGATGCAGATGGGTTCGATACGACATGGATATGGGCCTCGACCAGCGGCGAGACACTGTCCCGGACCTTGAGAGCGCAACGAAATGAAGCAAGTTCAGGGCTGGGACGTGTGGATGACAGCCAAGCATACACATCGATCGAGCACTGGCCGTCACATCCGCCAGGCTTGCCGAATGGCAGCTTCCATTTGCAAGCGTCAAAAGTGCTTACGCCAGCCAGCACTGCGGTTATGTTGCGGCGCTCGAGCTTCTCGGCGAGTTTTCGCTGTCGCTGCTCGTTGGACTGCCGTTCTGCATCCGAGTAGTAGAATGAGTGTTTTGGCGGAAGAGCTCCGTCACATTGGCTGGCGTTGCTGCCGCGCAAATGGTCTATCGACATCATGCAGACGGTTCCTCTGCCACAATCATGCCTTTGACTGCGTTCGAGCTGCCCATCGGTGCTCGGAGCGACGATCAATACTCCGAGTGTCTATCAATGCAGCTCTCCCACCTAGATCTGCAAGCCACTGCCGGCGCGCTGCCTCCTTGTCGACGATTCCGTTCATCGTTATCTGGATGGATTGTGCTTGTTTGGAGCTTGGGGTGCTGTCCGGGTCTGGGTCTAGGTTAGCCTTGATGCGGCAGGTTGGAGAAAGGACTAGCGACGAATGTCGTGAGAGCAACGTCGAGAGCGGCTGCTGGAAATCGATGCTGCTCGCCCCAGTGCTTGGGCAGGTTTCGCCAGCCATTATCGCTGCATCGTGGTATGTCGGGCAAATATTTCCGATATGCATGCTGTCCCGAGGCCGACAGCGGGGAGATGGGCTGATTGGCAAGCGACCGGCCAGTTCCCTCCCCCAATCACACATGCAGCGCCGGCATGGCTGGGCCCTGCAGGCATGTCCGCCATGCCCTCCGGCATCTGTCGATTCGCCACTGCTTCAGGTCTCTGCTGTCTGGGCCGATCAGGCCGTCGTTCTGCGCGTGACCGCTCCAGACCCATTTGACCAAAACCAGCTCGTCCATTCTTCTGCCTCGCATCCGCATCGTCCCGCTGCCCCGTCCGCTCGTCTGCACTGCGGTGCTCCAGCCCAACCACCACCCAGTCCAGCATCGCCGTTGGCGTCCCCTGTCGCTCAACAAGCCGACCCCTGCCGGCTGTCTCGCCCGCTGCTCTGGCCGATCATCTGCCTCCTCGGACCGCACAATGAAGTCGCTTGCGCTCTATCTCGAGTCTCTTCCGCAATGGAAGAACGACATGAAGATGCAGCACTACTTTGCCAGCTTCCCGCCTCGGTCCGTCAACCCCCACGCCTACGATGAGCGCTTGGGGTTCTGGAAGGAAGTCATCGGCTTTGCTGTCGCAAACGCCCTGCTTGACTCGGCAACGCACACAACCCTCACGGCCGACGGTCTGAGTCGCAAGTTCAACCGCAAGAATTGCGAGCCCATCGGTCTGGCAACGGTTCTGGTAATCTTGGAACAGACCAACTATCTCCATTGGATGCCGTCTGTCCGTTCTGGGGGGGGGGGCTTGCCCACCCTGCTCGAGGCGGCGTCCCCGCTGAGCCGTTATCGTTCTCGGAATCCTCACTGGCCTCGCATTTCTCCGTCTGCACATTCTTCTTGTCGACCAACGCCGCCCCAAGAGCGAAATGAAGGCCTCCAAGGAAATCGTTGAGCTCAGCGAGTACATGAGCGAAGCCGGCGTCCTATCGTGGGTCATTGGCAATCTTGTGCTGGCGCCATTGCGCTGGGGCGTGACGCAGGTCTTGGGCACCAAGTCAAGTCCACGCGAAGTCTCGGGAAGATTCGTCTTGATGCCGGCAGTAGCGGTTAGTTTGATCGCCGCGGCAGCACCGAGTAATGCTCAAGCAGGGACAGGGGCGCTGGTGGCCATAGACTACCTCAGGATGTGGGTGGCAGTAGGCGCAGCTCCAAGCGATGGCGCTTCTTGGGTCGGCAGTCTTGAGCACACAGTGACCATGTGGATGTTGCCGCATCATGCGCTCGTTTTCAGGGGATCGCCGAGCGCATCCGGTCGATTCACTCCGAAGCATCGTCGTCGACAGACCACATCATGACCCTCGAGCAGTTTGGAAGTCGCTTCAGCAGTCGCGCCAGCCCCAACAGCGAGGTTCCGCTGTCGGGCGAGGATATCTCCATCGTTGTTCGCTATCTCGAGCAGCGCATGATCATCAGCACCGACTACAGCGAATCGATTGGTGTGGTAAGGCCGCCCGGCGATCCTCAGCCAACAGCAGTTGCTCTGGCTTGACTCTGCTCGCAATGCTCATCAGCGATGCGCTGCCACGGCCCCGCTAGATCGTCAAATTCAAGAACCCAAAGCATCAGAAACTGTTGCCCATCACCGACCTGGATCGCAACATTGTCACCATCAAGACCACCATCGACACGCTCAATCAGCAGATCATACAACTGGAGAGCAAAGAGACCGAGTAAGTAGCCCCGCGAGCTACGCTGTGGACCTGGGATGCTGAGCTTTGTGAAGCAGGCGTCAGGCCACAGTGTCCCGCCAAAGTGATGGCAGACAGCACCTACTGATGCAATTGTGTGGAATCGGGCGACTCAGGTTAACTCGCCAGGCGCAAGAGCGAGTGCGAAACCATCAGCGAGTGCGCGCGCTGTTTTGTCTGAAGCAGAAAAAGGCCATCCAAGAGGTGCTGCACAGGCGAATGGAGTCTCTCAACTCGCTGGTCTCGATCATGCTCAAGATCCAAGGTGCCGAAACAGACGCAGAGGTAAGTCACCGCTGCGGCGCCACCAACTCCCGCTCTCGCCTTTGCTGATTCCAGCTTCTGCTTCCCTATCCAGATCTTTGCTGCTTATAGCGTTGGAGCAGATGCTCTCAAAACCGTGCTCAACCAGAATGGCCTCACCGTCGAGCGAGTTGACGACACCATGGGAAAGCTTCGCGATGTGCTTGCCAGTGAACAGGAAATCGAAGAGGCCATTCGCTCGGGGCAGGAGAGCCTCCACGGCACCAGCGGCATTGACGATGACGAGCTCGAGCGCGAGCTTGACCAACTCCTGAACCAAGAGCAGGCCACAGAGGCACGGCGTGCCTCACCACAGAGCCACCTGCTGCATGCACTTGAATCCCTCCCTGCACCATCCGCTTCGGTGCCTGTCACAGAGGCGCCGTCGAGCAAGCGGGACAGGCTGGAGATGCCTCTTGAGGCCATGTAGCCGGGAGCGCACCATTCGCCCGCATCACCAACACAACTATGCTAGTCCCTTCGATGACCCTGCCGAGTTGTTTGAGCTCGCTGTCTGTTGCCTTCTTCCCAGCCCAAGTGTCGCGGGACCCACAGACCAGACATACTGCCGTATTGGCTTGGAGCACGCATCCACCATCGCTTCGCATCCATCACTTTTGTGTCTTTTTGTATTCAAGTGCCGGGTGACTCTCTGTTTGTCCAGAGCCAAATCGCTCAAGAATATAAAGAGAATCGTCTTCTGCAAATCGCCTCTGGGCCTTAAAGAGATTCCACCGCCTGGGCAGGCGTTCGCTTCACTGCAGGAGTCATATGCCATCCTTGCGCCGGTGGCTGACCAAGCAGCGAGCACCGAACCCAAGCTTTTGCAAATGCCTTGCATCCACCGGACGAACTCAGACTCGGCGTGTGTATGGCCGCTTGCTGTGCCAAACTTGGACAGAGCATCGAGGCTCAGGGCCAGCATCCAGTATCCAGTGCAGCCGAAGCGAAGGGTTTGCGGTCTAATCGGTTGGCATGGTCGATACGCACCGCTGTTGATATATGCAGATCCCACAGCGAGCTCGGCTGTGGTTGGCCTGTCCGGGTGCGACTGTCTATGGTCCCAAATACTCGATGAGCTCCTGCTGGAGGGATTTGGCATCATCGACCTCAAATTCGCGGATGCTGATGATCTCAGGCAGGCCGCAGAGCTCGTCCGCCGCTGACGAGCTCGATTCTTCGTACTCGAGACACCGCGTCAGATCAATGTCCATGAGGCAGTCCATCTGCGCGAGCTTGGATTCAAAATCCCTCATCGTCTGCAAAGGCCGACATGTGGTCAGCATCGGGAGGACGGGCATTGGATGCACTCTTCATACGACGCTGGCTGGCCATCGTACCTGTTCCGCCCTGACTCGGTTCACTCGGTTCTGGGCCAGCAGTTCACCCACAGAGAACCCGAACTGGTACATCAGTGCCTGGTTGAATTGGTGGGTCAGATCGCATCAGTACGCTCCCTCGGAAACGGCGAGCCATCGGTTCCAGGAGCATAATGGACATGGGTCACTCAACTGTGTCCCCCAAGAAGCCGCGCATCATCGATGTGCCGTCATCGATTGTCACAATGAGGCTGAAGCCTGTGCGGGTGTTGACCTTGAGCTTCTGCGATGAGACAAAATGGCACTGAGCACACCGACGCTGTTAGATTACCGAGTCGCGCGAGCATCGCTGCCGAGGAATAGAGCGACAGTCAAGCCTTGAGGAAGCCTCACCTTGACAGTGATAAGCTTGACGAGTCTGTGGATACGATGTACCAAAGCTTGCAACTGTTAGGTTCACCAGTATCGTGCTATAAGCTCGTTACAACCAGGAGCACCGCCATCCAAGCACGCAAGTGCGAGAAAGCACACTCTCGGTCTCGAAGTAATCCCTCAGGGTTGGTTGGCTGTGGTCACCATGCTTTACCTGGACTCGATCACGCTATTCAGATTGGCCAGATACTGAAACGGGAATCGCTGCGCTGACTGCTGGTTGCTCGATACAATTCCGCCCAGTTGGACTGGTGAGTGGAAAGGCTCTTTCGGCAGCGACGCCTCGGTCTTGACAGGTGTTTGGTATACTGAGCGATGCGCCGGTGCTGCTTTGGTTGATGGTGGCCAGGTCTCGAGCTCGATTGTGGCCACCGAGCGCGCAGGGCTTGAAACTGGTTGATCGTGAGGACAGTTAGAGCCACAGGCGGCGGGCCAGTTCCTCAGATACGGCGATCTGGTGGACGGGTTGGACGAGCCGAGAGAACCGGGGCTCGCTCGGCTCGCTTCTTCGCAAAGTTCACCATACCTGCTGTTGCAGATTTTTTGCTGGGCGAGCCAAGGTCAAGACACACCACATCGTCGATCTCGCCTGCCCTCCGTTTTGACGGAATCGCATCGGCCGGAGAGCCCGTTGCGGCGTCGTATGGGCCGTATCGCGATTCGTGGGAACTGAGTGGTGATGAAAGACTGATTGCTGCACCCGGCGCTGTTCTCGGGGCTGAGGATGGCTTGGCTTGTGTCGGCGGCGTACAGTCGGACTGGGTCGCTGCTTCGATTATGCTGTCGATCAGCGAGAAGTCGACATCGGCAAAGTCGTCGTCGTCGTCGTAATCACAGTCGTCCAACACGGTGGGCATGAAACTTTGCATCACCGGCTGGGATTGCAGCTGCGGTTGAGACTGAGGCCAGGGCTGAGACCGGGTCTGGGGCTGGGGCTCAGAAACCGAAACCGCAGACGGCTTTGGCTGCTTCTTTGGGGTTTTGAGAGTGCCTGCCTTCGGCATAGCCGATATCGAATCGGCCGGCCCAGCGGATTTGCGGCCCGCTGGCTTAGAATCGGCATCGACGTCCGAAGCTCTGCCCGATGATGCATCGCTGTCAGCACGGCCCACCACGGCATATGCCACTCATTCAAAGTGCGATACAAGCTCTGGAGCCCAGCTCCCGACGGCAATGTCTACCTGATGCACTCGACTTCTTGCCGGAGCTGGAGCTCCAGCCGAACCAGCGCATCGGCGAGCGATTCGGGCGGCCCACCGAGCAGCTGTGTGTTGTCTGCTGTCAGCAGCAAGACGCTCCTCTTGACTGTTGCCCCTTGGACGAGCACCTGAAAGATGATAGCATCGATGCTCAGAGCGGACTCGAATACTGCCGACGCTGCTCCCGAGTCACGCTGTCGCTTCCGCTGCTCCCGAGTGACGCTGTCGCTTCCGCTGCCGTACCTTGGCTCCGGGAGGGGTGAAGAGCTCCAGGCCATGGACCGGCCTGTATTCAATCGCACTGATGTTTCGAGTTCCATCGGTGAGGGTCAGTTGCAGCATCTTCTTCGGCAGAGATCTGAGGATCTTCTCGGGGTCGATGGGAGTGCCGTCGGCCTGGGCCGCCTGCTTCGCCTGCTGTTCGGTGATCTTGTTGTGCTGGGAGAAGACGGACTCGCCAATGTCGCGGATGCTAACGATCTGCAACAGACACGGCTGCAGCACGAGGCCCTCGACATCGGTGTCCTCAGGCAAGACGGGCAAGCCGACTTGCGCGAGGTCCGAGATCAACAGCTGCTGCAAGACACTTGCAACGAAGGTCTCGGTATCAAACTCGGGATAGCTTTCGAGAATGAACTGGACGCACTGCGGGATCCACTCGGGATGCAGCGATAGAGGGTACGCGGCGAGCTCTCTGGTCGTGAGCTGCACCAGCTGGTCGGGGCTGTAGGCCATATTCCGGTCTGCGGTCAAGGCGATCAAGACCAACAGCACAGGCCACAGCCAACGAACAGCAACGCGGGTGCAATGCGAATGCAATGCGAATGCAAAGTCGGCCCAACAACGGGCTCTGATTGGCCCGCGGCGCGCAGCCAGGACGGATTGTGCGCAGCCAGGGCGGACGGATCGTTCTCATGTTTGTGGCATCAATTTTTTCCGGCCCCTCGCGGCTGCTCATCTCGGTCACCTGAAAGTCACGTTGTATGTGGCGCAGCAAAAGTTGGAATCCGGCCATGGTCGGTTGACGGCATTTGGTATCGTCTTGAGCCGATTGACGGTGGTGGTGGGCGATTGGTGTGGAGGAATGACCAATTGTATCATTGTTGGAAGCTCCACTCCGATTGCGGACAAGAACCACCACCATCTGAATCTCTCTGGTTGGAAACCTAGTCAAGCGTGGCTGTGTGTCAGCGAGATGACATGATCGTTTGGCTATCAGGCAAGACTCGCCTTGACAAGATGTCTTCCCACGACTGATTGAGCGAGCGATGCGTTTCTGGATCTGAATCAAGGACGCCACTGTGAGCATCGCTCCCTGCCCAAAATGCGCTGGTTTTGAGGAGATTCTTTCTTCCCCAAGGGCAGAACCAGCCATCGTCGCTATTTTCTCGCCAGATGGCTCCCCACAAGCGAAAGGCACCACCCAGGCGACCAAGTGGATCCAGAGCATCCACAAGGCCCTTGGTCTGCAGGAATGGATGAGCACCACACCAAGTCCCAAGATCCCCGGGGTGGCCCCCTTCCTGCAATACATTCGCCATGTGTTCGATGGAGACATGCTGGACAAACAGCTGTACTTCAGCCTGACCCGGCGACGGCGATTCAAGCGACTCGATCTCCACAGCAAGCGACAGCGCACCGTCCACGAGATGTGCAAGCAAGTCATCGACCAGGCACCAAAGGAGACCGAAGTGGTGATTGCCTTTGGGGATGCATCCTGGAAACAGGGGAAGGGATATGCATCCAGTCCCAGGAGACTCAGGTTTGCCAAGTACTTTGAGCAGTTCCACCACCACCAGAGACGACCACCAGACCAATCCGTCTCCAAGATCCATGTGTGCTCGGTGAACGAGTTCAACACATCCCAGGTGTGCTCACATTGTCGGGAAGCCAAGTGACTCGAGTCACCCGAGCATCTTGATATCGAGAAACCACACTTTGTCCGGAGCTGTGCAAGCTGCCATACGTTGTGGGATCGAGACATCAATGCAGCCAGGAACATGATCTCGGTATGCCAGTCGACCATCGCCACAGGAGATCGACCGAGTGTATTCAAGACTGTGCTTCCCAAACCAACCAAAACCACTCGATTGCCAACGAAGACAGGAGTGCACTGCCATGGCCTACCCGCTGGGCCTACAAGTCAGTCAGCGGGTTTCAGACATCTGAAGCCAGGAAGTGACTGTCCCGTTTATTTCTGGATAGACTGTAAGTATCTCGCACTGTTCCTTGAGTATTTCGACAGTGGATGCCGGGTCGCCCATATTCTGGGCAGTCCACTTCGGGGTTGCCATCCCTCTTGGGATGGTCGATGGGAGGTGGTTGACTCCCTTGTGCAAAGTGTGCAAAGTGTGTGTGTGTGTGCAAAGTGTGTGTGTGTGCCGGCGAGAGGCTTCTCGCCTTCCCTCGGGGGTCTCTCGCCAGAGACTGCTCTTCTCGCCGACCGAGGCGGCTCCGAGAGCGCGTTTTGTCGTTCTCGCTGATTTTATTAACAAGAAATTTTTTCATAGTGTTGTGCCTCGAACCATCGTCCCAAGCCCACCACATCCGTCAAGACTGCCGAGCAGCGTATCCAGCAGCACATTGGCAATCCAGACCCCGACCGCACCACTTGATAGCATATTAGGCGGTGTAATCACGGCTCTGCGTTTAGGTACAGCTTTCTGTCCAGAAACACCGGGAAGATGTTGTTGAACATTTGCAGATAAATCTCCTGATGGATCTCGTCTAGACAGTCGGCTGGAATCGCAATGTCGCTGGTGAGGAGTTTCTCCACGTCCATATCCATGAATGGGCTCATGATTGCCTTGATCGTTTCCCGGTTCCAGTGGGCAATGTTGAGCTCCTGCGAACATCCTGGCCGGATGTATGCCTTATACACCTTGATGTACTGCAGAGCCAGAGGCTTTGGCAGAATCCATTTCTTTGGCACAAAGTCTCCGATTTGGCCCTCGGGTCCCAAAGTAACGTTGGCTGCCGATGACTCTGCCGTGGATCCTGACGCCAAGGATATCAGCGACCGCCCAGGCCCATCGGCCCTGACGACATCAAATCCCGACCGACTTTCGTTGTATGCCGTCCGCACCGACTTCATTAGCTTCTTGTAATAGTCCAGGAAGTAGAAAATCTCCCCGCAAAATACTGTCCATGGCGACATGCCGCCGGGTGGATGGCAAGCGAAACGAGGTGGTTCAATGTACTGCGTCGGTCGCCCCCGGATGCCCACGGTACGAGACCACACCTGACATCACTGTCCCGAGCCATGCAAATGCAAATGCAAATGCAACAGAACTCGCCCAGGTGGCTTGCAGGCCCAAAGACTCACGCTCGGTGCACAGCTTCTCGAGCTTCTCAAGCGACTCTTTACTGCTCATGGCCAGGTTGAAGCAGTCAAGGGTGAACTTGAACTCCAGCTTGCTGGACTTGCGCTGGGTGTTGGTCAATCTGATCCGCTGCAAAGCCTGGATACTCGGGATCACCACGGCCTGCAGATATGATACCATCAGGCCGAGTATCAGCTGGATGAGAATGCCAGATGCATTAGTGAGGCCCACGATAAGCGCAGCTGTAGCAGCCCTGAGTCATGCAGCAGTTGTGCATCCTCAGCATACTCGACAGAGCATGCCGAAATGACAACACTGCGCCGCCGACGACATTACCCAGTAGTTTGCTAAAAAATAAGACGTAAACGAATGGAGCTCCTCGATATACTTCAGCTTGATGCTCCAGACCAGATACATGCTCATGCTGACGACGTAGATGACTCCGTTGGTGATGAGCTCGATTCGGACTGGATGCTCAATATCGAGCTTGTAGAGCAGATATGAGAGGTACGGCACTGCGATAAAGGAGAATCCACACAGGACCACTATCGAGGGAACAACCTTTGGAAATTCCTGAAGGACGCCACAGGTCCCTGTTGGGTTGGTGGCATAGACAGAGTTGACGATGCACTGGGCAAATATCGTGAACGCAATAAACGCCAGGCTGATCGGCACAGATCGCGCAGAGACCGTCTTCTGTTCGATGCTGATGGACAATTTCCGGAGAGATATTGCCGACGTCAGCGGCCTCCGTACGATCTCGGCACTCATCTTGTTCAGCAGCTGGATGGATCGCACCACAAAGGTGGTTGTGAACAAAGCCTGTTCCCACGAGTTTCCGATCCGGTGCATCCGAGCCGAGCTGTTAGATTCGGATGATGCAAGTCGCGGCCTCGATTTGCCAGAGAATGCGTGGCGGAATGCTTACACCGAAGGTGATCAACGGGAGCATCGCAAGGTCGCATGCGATTTCCACAACATTGATGACAAACAGGGCTGGAACATGGCGGACGCCCAGACACGATTCGTTGAGCATACCGGAGCGATTCGTGCGGCGCACTAGCCTGACTCACAGAGAGTAGTTGTTCACTCCCCCAAGCCAGCACGACCCCATTCTCCACCATCACCACAAGTACTTGCACATCGCGCTCACCAAAGACCAGCAGCAGGCCGCTGAGCGATTGCAAGCACAGAAGTGGCCAGTTCCTGCTCTGTATGACCGAATCCTGCCTGACATAGCAGAGGACAAGAAAGCTATGGAGGCAGCCCAGACCGTCAGTCACCGAGTAACAGCTTGGCACAGGGTTTTTGTGGTGTTCCGGCGTAAGACTGTGGCTCCGTCCGCGGTATCTGCATGCTCGACATCGTCCATCTGTGCGGCGATCTGCAACCCAGACACTGGCTTCTGCGTCGATTCGGATTCCTTACCTAGCTATCCAGACTGTGCAGACGATCCCTGTCAGTACTGCAGGCAGAATCACGGGGACAGACATTTCGAAGGGTCGAACGAAAGCGATGTTGGCTGGTCCAGCGCTTGGAGAGCAACGAGCCCTTTCACCAGTGCCGGTCGGCTTCAAGCGAATAGCGATGCGTGGCAGTCGAGGGCAAAGTGCGGTGGGAGCGAACCCGGAGAGCGGCCCGAGCAAGAGGCTATGAGCAACGGAATCGAAAATAGTGTGTCTAGACAATACGAGACGGTCTTGGAATAGGCGACGCTGGGACCCGATCAGTCTACAGGTACACAGGTTTGAGACAATGCCGGATGCAGAGGTGGTTTCTACGCTCCTGCCACCGAGCACACTGTTGGTGTATGGGGTCTGCTCGCCGAGTCCACAGCAGTCGACCGCCGCCCGTCGCCACCAATCCGCTCTCAATCAGTGCTCCATACACCTCTGCATTCTCGCTCAACGGGAGCAGCAAGCGCAATATGAAACAGGCCCTGTCTATGCGTATGCAGATGAAGTGTCGCGGCAATGCGTCTGAGGCCGTCTCGGAGTGCAGGACATCCTGCTCTCTGACAATGTGACAATCGTGATCACTCGGATTAGCACAAATTGACAATCGTTCTTTCTGGGCCGCAAATGTGCTCGTCGGCCATCGTTCGCAGAGGGTATTCAGCTGCACCACAAAGAAATGCACTGCACATGCAGACGACGAGTCCGAGCATATCAATCCACTCACACTGCATTCAGGGGAAATGTGACACCTGCCCACAATCCATTTGTCAGCGGAGTATGCGATGGCATGCGTCTAACTATGCCACAAGAAATATAGCATATCACTTTGGCAGCCCCCGAATGAAGGCCACCGGTCACAGTGCAGCGATGCGGAAATCGAAGGTGCTGTGTTTGGTCATGAATGCGATGAGTGGGTGGGTGTATTCAGGTTCCAGAAAAACCACTGTCATGGCTCAAAACGGGGTGTCCCATTTCATTTTGGAAACGCTATAAGCGGCCTCATGGTGCCAGGCGCTTCCTGGACATGCTGCTTGGACCGATTCGGGTCTGGAGCTGCACGGCATGCTGCTGGGCAAGCACCTGGTTCGTGTTCAGACTTTGACGGCGACTCCCGTCACGGACAATATTCTCACTCTTTTTTGGCCAGCCGATGCACCTCGCCAGACCACACCATGATCTGAAAGCCCAAGACGAGGAATATCGTCCCCAGCACGTCCCCGAGCGCGGTGATCAGCGAGAAAGCATAGTTGTCTGGGTCGAGTTGCATGGACCACAGCACCGAGATCAGGCCCCGCGTCACGATGAGAAGAGCCATGCCCTGTAGTGAACATGGGTTAGCAAGTGCATCCGAGTCGCCATGCTCTCGCATTTTGCAGGTACGGCTGCCAACCCCACGCCTGCTTGCCCCAGACACATTCACTGCTCATCCTTCTGGCAGCCACATTCCCACTGCCGGCCATCAACGGGCTCCGATCGACAATCAGCTCCAGCAACACTCATACCACTGTCACCGATACGGTCATGTACATGACTGCAAAGAGCAAGCTGATGTTGGTATTGCCCAGGTTGGTGGCCCACACGATTCCGAGGAACATGGCTTGCACAAAGATGTTGACCGTGAACAGAGTAAACGGCGCGTGGTCCAACTTCATCGATCCGCTCTTGTGCAAACTCGTCGAGAGTCGTGAGGCGTAAATGCACGAAAAAGTTCCACAGATGCCTGGAAAGCCATTCAAGTGCCGACAGGCGGTCAGTAGAGCGCTGTGCCAGTGGTGCACAAACACTATCTTGGACCGCAGGGTCCTTGCCACAACGCAGACGCCACTCTACCGTTCATGACCGGAACCAAGATAGCGAGGCCGATATAGGAATCGAGGTACTGCTCCAGAACCATGCCCGCAAAGGTCGATATCAGCATGGACGCCACGAGCGGGCTCCAGCCAGTCTTGAGCACCTCGCGAACGTGCTGTTGACGGCACAATGCAGCAGAGCAAGTGTGTTAGTTGCGGCGAGCGCATCTCTGCAAAAGATTCACTCGGAAAGAGGTGCACTCGGCACTTGTCCGCAGGATGTCGCCAGGGTGCGGCTCAACCCACCTCGTTGTGAAGAGTAATCCATGTCCACACCGGCAGCATGCTGAGGACTGCCACTATCAAAACAATGGAGAGCGGCGATTCTGCATAGATCAAAGCGATGCCAGTTGAATTGCCCAAGCTGTCAATCGAAGGTGTGCTGCCCAGTCAAACGGAGCTGGTTTCTCAGGACGGTGACCTCGAATGTCACTTGCAGCCATGTTGACCCACCGTGGTATCGGTAAAGCAGAGTGCTGAGCCCGCCAAAGGTCATGAGTGTGATGAGATCGCCCAGACTTGAGGCAACCGGTGTCGCTGGTGCGATTGAGGGCGGATTAGTGCCGAGCCGTCACCATCCGCGCAAATGCTCAATTGAACAATCGAGCTGCATGGCATTTACCAATGTTATCTGGGTCTAGATTCACTAGCTTGCAGACGATGACTACCGCGCAGGTTCCGAGGCCCAGAGACAGACTGGCGCTTGTGGCCGTCAGGATGGCCGAGGCACATATCAGGGCCGAGTTGGCTGCGCTGTTGAAGTGATAGTCGTTGGAGATGAAGCTGAGCAGGATGCTCCATATGCTGGCGATTCCGGCAACGCAGGCTGCTTGGATCTGGACAAGAGCAATGTTGCCAACGACGAGGCTGGTGCGAGATGCAGGAAGGTCCAGATGGCCCAGACTTGATGCCGTTCCGAGGCGAGACGCCAGATTCATTTCTGCCCAAGCAGGGGGTCGTCAGCGGCGAGGCACTGGGGAAGCAGTACTGCTTGCCGTTGCGAGAAACGAGTGGGCATGCCGCAGTGTTGGGGACTATCGTCGGAAGCAGCAGCGAGATCTTTGACGGTCTGCTGGCAAGTTTCCTGCTTCCCGGCTGGATAGCCCCTCGGCATTCGTCGATATCGAGCGGCGACAGCCAGCGCACGTCCGAGCGCCCTTGAGGGGCCGCTGCTTACCGAGGTTTCCTTTCAGGCCCAGCAGCGTCGGTAGTAGAACAAAAAGCTCGGAGACATTCGTGAAGGCATCCCAGGTCTGGAGGTGGGACTGGTGAGCTCGCTGTCCAGGCGCTCGGAATGGCGGGCTGAGCTGCACCGACGCTGGAATTACCTGAACTGCATTCAGAAGGGCGCCGGTCATCATCAGGCCACCAAGAGACATCAGCACCGACGGTAGCGACTGATACAGACAAGACAGAGAGGCAATACACAGCGAATGAGCGAGCGAATGGATGGGCAAGCAGGGGACCGGCGAGCCCAACCAAGCGGGGTGAGGCAGGACCACTCGACATCGCCAGGGACTTGGGAATCCTCTCGATCAGCAGGCAGACGGACGCCGTATAGCGCTGATATAAACGAACCTCGGCCACCAGTTTGGACCAGCGGTCGGTGCCGACAGCAGACTTGCCGAGCTTCTCGTCGACATCCCCTGTTTCGAGGGTCGGATCCGCACGGCTCCAGTCTGCGCCGCCGCCGCCGAGCTTGTCTCGCTGGCGCAGACCAAAGTACCGGCTCTCGATGTAGTCTGGCGAGTAATAGGACGCCATGCACGATGCGCTGGATTGTTTGCTGGAGCCGGCAGCGATGCGATGCGATGCGATGCGATGCGATGCGATGCGATGCGATGGAGAGCGCGGGCCTGGCCAAGCTGTCTTGCGGTTCTCTGTTCGAGAACGAACATGCGCAGCAGGCCGTGGATCCAGACTGGGTGCAATGCGAACTGGACCGACAAGCTCAGGGGAGCGGGGCAGGATGCAGCTGATGACGGGTGCTGGTTTCGGGGGAGGGGCAGCATGCCGTGTTGCGCTGGCCTGGTGGTCTGCGGTTTGCGAAGAACAGGTCGGCGGCTCTCACAGACAGCCTGGTTCTCAATCGGCGCAACCTGTGTCCATTCATACGATGTCGGCGCTGTCTCGATACATCCGTGTGCTATTTCCAAGCCATAGCAACTTCACTCGACGACGATGCAGAGCCGACTGGCCAGTCCGTCGGCAAATGCATCGCAGCATCATGGGTTCATCGTGATGTGCTTCAGACCAATGTCAACCTCGCCAGCATCGCGACCTTCCAGTGTGCCAGCACACAGCAATTTCGGAATGCCGGCATCGCACGCGGTGTGGCAGCTTCATGCAGCATGGCTCCGATGATGGTTTGGAGGCAAGGCGTGCCTGGGCCCGACTACCATGGGTCCCGCCTGGGTGCTTGCTTCTCATCTGGTGTTGAGTGTCCGTGCCTGCGTGTTTACTTGGGTCGCGGGTGTCCCGTTTTTGTCCGATTCGAGCGTAAAGTTGATACCCTGTTCAGACTAGGGGGTTAGATCCAGCGAAAACGACGCCGCTGCCACATACAGCGCGACTCCGACCTCTCTGGCCCACAGCGCATCGTAGTCACCTTGCTATCCATAAAGGCGCAGAGCTGCTTCAGGTTGCATTGGAGACTTGTTGCTTGAACGAGCTGCTTCAGCACAGCGGGCAAATCAAGAGGCTGCAGGCGATCCATGCTGTGTGAGTATCCGATGGTGCGTCGGTCTGGGCGTCGGTTTGGGGCTGTGCATGCTAGACTCACCTCGTAACGCAGGATCTGATCGTAGATGGACTCATTGTCGATCAGGAATCGATAGATGTGGTCGTGGAAATCGATCACCTCCGCGCTAGACATGACTTTCTTCTGGCGACTGCGAGTGACCCGGGTGGGTGCTGTTTTGGCTGGCGCTGCACCGTCCATGGAATCGGATGGGAGGGGTTCGTCTGCAGGTCTGCGCTGGGCCTTTGACTGTGAGGACAGAGGTTGCTGACTGGCACTTGGTTGGCCGCGATGAAGACACTCCCATATGGTTGTCAGTTCCTTGACCAAGCTTGCTTTCCCGATGGGCCCCAGCCCGTATCGCGAACCGAGTCGCTGTTGCGAGAGTATCCAAAGAACCGTCAGGGTTGCTGCAACGACAGCGATCGCGCCATGGAGTAACATGGACACATCATGCAGATGAAGGCAAGCGTCGTCATTACCCGTAGCTCAACCACAGTCATCTTGGAGTAATCAGGCATGGCTTCATCAGCCCCACCGGATTCACGATCTTGGCTCGGTTCGCTGCCTTCATCGAGCTTGCTTACAAGGCTGGCTTCGCCATTTCGACTGGACGGACAAGCTCGGCTGGCCAGGTTGGACGCAGTTATGTTCGCAGATACACTGGCCGCACGTTGATTTGACGGCAATACCGACTCTTCATCTAGCGGGAATGAATGGTCCTGCAAGTTTGCCAAGGACGAATCGTGCCCAGGACTTGGCTGTAATGAGTTGGCTTGGGGCTCGGTCGCCCGGTGCGGCGAACTGGACGAGTGTGCTATGCGGGCCAAAGAGCCTTCGAACACATCTGAGCGAGCTTGTTCTTCGTAGTACCAGTAGTCGTCGTCACGAGAGCCGGGGTTGAGCGGAAGCAGCTGAGGCGACTCGGCCACGACAGATTCACTGTCATCCAGCGGCGAGAGCGAATGAGCTCTCGCTCTTTCGGGCTGCGGTGTCGTTACCGTGCTCAGAGGAGGCCCAGCTGCCGGGGCGGGGGTATTTTGCGCCTGGCTCGACTGAAATGGTGTTTGAATACTCCAGGACAGCGGGATGTCTTCATGGCGATCGAAACGACCTAGCTGTGGCGCAACAGCCTCGAGTATGTCACTGTCCTTCTGTCGACTCTGCATGGGCACAACATCGCGATGATGTCTCGCTTCTTCCGGATTGCCATCGACAGGTATCTCAAGCTGGCTCCTGCTGAATCCTGTCCGGGTGTCCAGAACGCAGATGCTTTCACGATCAAGCTCGGGCTCAGGGTCCGATTCTTGTGTGTCTGCCTGCAGGGGCTGCACTCGGACTCTATGACCAGGTGGGCTGATGGCATCGGTTGTATCTGGATCGGGCTGGTCATCTGGCGGCGGAGTGTCGACAGGCATTTTGATTGCCGCTTCCTCATCGTCGCTGACGAGGTCGATGAAGACTCCCGGATCGGCTGGCGCACTGCGAATGGCTTGGATCAGGCGATCTCGCTCCTCAATTTTCGACCTTGCCTGGGGGGCGGAAGTGACAAACAGCCAGGCGGCCCGGTGAGTACTGCTTGTCAAGCGCACAGATGTGTGGCCTGATCGAGCATCGGATGAGCGCCCGTCTCGACGTTCCGGGCACTTACCCACAGCCGATGCTCTTCTTTCATCTTCATGATTTGAACCTCCATCTTGTCGTACGCACTCTGGATCTCCACGTCGTACTGGAGGATCACCTCGTTGATCCTGCGCTGGTCATGGTCAAACTGGCCGACGCCCACTTCCGGAGCCAGTTCCAGGACTTGGCGATGCTCAAATCCGGGGGACTCGGCGGCCTGGATAAGTGTCGTCTTGAACGCCGTATCGTTTTTGCCTTCCTGCTTGCCACCGACTGCCGAGAGGGACCACAGCATCGGATTCGAAAGCGACTGGTTCATCCGCGGGGGCTCGGGCTGGCCGGCGGAAGATATCGATGCGACCGAGTCCGAGAGGATCGACGAGGCCCTCGACTGGGCAAAGGCGACGGCCTCTTCCACTGGCAACAACTGCATGCCCGGGCGCTTGTGGGCCAAGCTGGGCCCCTCTCTCCGTCGCGGCTGTCGATCCCTGGCTGATCGACCTTTCTGGCCTGCTTCGTGGGCGGCACTGCTCGATGTCGGCTGGTCTGTTGTCCTCTTCCGTGATCGCTTGGCCGGGGCTTCTGCAGAGCTGTCCTTTGCCGGATTGCGCTTGGCTCCCCTCTTGCCCTTTGCGACAGCCGCCATCCCAGGCCGGCCCAGGATGGTGGCGACCTGGACGACGTGGTCGAGACCGGCGATCTGCGATTCACTCATGTTAGCGAGGGCCGTCTCGGGCCCGTCGGTGCTGTCTTCGTCTGCAAAGCTGAGCAAGTCAATCATTGACGCTGCGCTGCGGCCAAAGTGCTTCATACAGGCCTTGATGTGTCGAATGCGCCTCTCCTTCTGCTTGACGGTCAAGGGTTGGTTGTCGGTGCCCTGGTCGACAAATCGGACCGAGCAGCACGGGCAGTCGGCGAGTCGCTCGATAATATCGAGCTGCTGGTCGAGGCTTCTGAGGCGCCGCTGCAGCTCTTCGATCGACTGGCCATTCGGCTCGCCGGACGGCGTTGGGCTATCGGGGATCTCGAGGAAGTCGGGCTCGGCAGCTGCATTGGACACCTTTGGCGAGGTATCGAGGAGTGGGGACGACGACGTGCCAGCGGCTGGTGCGGCCACAGAGACAGACTCTCCGGTGAAGCAGCCGTCGAGACAGAGATTCATGTGCTGCTCCTGCTCAGGCCGGCCGAGAAAGGATAGGTCGAGCTGGCAAATACCACACGATGGGCCGAGTCCGGCGATCTTTGCAGTAGACGGTGTTCCGCCACGCTGTTGCGACAGCGACATCCCAGCGGCTTCCGGGGCAGCGAGGGGGAGGAGCGCAGCTGAGCGGGTTGGCTGGGAGAGGCTTGCTTCGGTATCAGGGGCGTTGCTGGGAGGAGACATGGCCGCAGGTGCGGAGAAGCCCTCTGGTCCTCGGGCATTGGACTCGATTCCCAGGACCAGGCAAGAGTCTGGAAGGACAGATCCGCCAGGAAAGCGAGCAGCGAGAAGAATACGCCCTCGGCCGGCGATCTCGCGAGGTGCTCCGGAGCAGACAGACAGCCCTGCGGCGGCGGGCCATTGCCATGTCTGGACTGCCCGTTGGATGCCATCGATGCCATTGATGCGATGCAATCCGTGATCGCCATGCATGCTGCTGTCACAGTGCCCCGGGCTGGCGCCGTACTCCTCAACGGACTCGGTTCATGTTTGCCCTCGTCCTCGCCCTCGCCCTCGCTCCCGTCCTGCGCGCAGTCGCCATGGCCAGAATTCCGCATGGGTCTGGGAACTGCGAGGCAAGAAGCATGGCTCGTGGGAAGTTGCCTCGCTGGAGCTGTTGAGGGGCCCACAGGTTCGGGGGCGGCTGGCTGATGCACACATCCGCCCCCACGATCAAGCGACGCACTCGTGGGCCAGTTGGACAACTGGTTGGGTTCTTGGAAGCGGCGGGTACATTTGAAACGGGACACCTTCACGCAGGGATGATTTGTGAGGGTTGTGTGGGCTGTGAATCCGACGACCCTATATAATCCGCTCGCCGAGGTCTTGAAGTGATTTTTCTGTCCTGCGCCTTCCTCCCTCACACAGGGACACATAAGGAAATGAGTAGATCCACTTGGCCGCTGTTGGCCGGGGGTGTGATATGATCGACTACGTCGTGTTTGTCCGAATGAGACGATGTATACCATTTTTTTCTTCAACACGCTGTACAGAGATTCAATCGCCATGGCCAAACATCGACAACACAAGAGGAAGGGGCGGGGGCTACGGTAGTTTAGTGGCGAGCATCAAAGGCGCTGAAGGCGTTGGCGGGAACAGGGGCATCAGAGTAGACGGGGCCCTGGTTGCCCTGGTTGCCCTGCTGTGGCTGCTGGGGGGCACCGTAGCCGCTGTTCTGGGCTTGGGGCTGGACGTGGGGCTGCTGGGCATGTTGTTGCTTGTGGGGTTGCTGCTGGTGCTGCTGCTGGTGCTGCTGCGGCTGCTGCTGGGTATGAGGAGCAGCCGGGCCAGACGACTCGTAACTGGAGTACTGCGAGTTGTTGTTCTGGGGCTGGCCATAAGAAGAGCCCTGAGGAGCTTGAGGAGCCTGGCCATAAGAAGAGCCCTGAGGAGCTTGAGGAGCCTGGCCGTAGGAAGAGCCCTGAGGAGGCTTGTTCTGGGGTGCTCCATGGGAGGCCGAGTCGAACTGATCAAAGGCGTTGGCAGGGACGGCGCCCGAGGCATACACAGGCGCCGGCTCGTTTTGCTTGGGGCCAGGGCCAGCGTTAGGAGACTGCTGTCCGTAGCCGCCCGAGGGAGCCTGGCCTTGATTGTAACCCGAGTAGGACTGGTTTCCAGAGGGGCCTTGGCTCTGACCGTAGCCACCGGAAGGACCCTGGCTCTGGGGACCTTGGCCGTAGCCACCAGAGGGACCGTGGCTCTGGGGAGCCTGACCCTGGTTGTAGCCCGAGTAGGACTGGTTTCCAGAGGGGCCTTGGCTCTGACCGTAGCCACCGGAAGGACCCTGGCTCTGGGGACCTTGACCGTAACCGCCAGAGGGACCCTGGCCATAGCCACCAGAGGGACCCTGGCTCTGGCCCTGGCCGTAACCAGAGTAGGACTGGTTACCACCGCTGGGGCCTTGACCATAACCACCGCTGGGGCCTTGGCTCTGAGGACCCTGGCCATAACCAGAGTATCCACCGGACTGGCCGCCATAGCCAGAGGGTCGCTCGTCATCGTATTCTTCAGATCCACCGGGTCCACCGGGTCCGCCGGGAGCAGCGCCGCCGCCGAGCATGCCGCCGAGCATAGAGCCCAGGTGCATGCCAGGGAACTTTTGGTCGACCACCTGGACACGGCCGAGCGGACAAGAGAGGAGATCGTGTCAGCCCTCGATGCAGAAACCGGCGATCGCTAGGGTCCTGCACGGCGTGCATGACCATTGCACTGCACCGAGCGTTCCGTTAATCGCACGCAGACTCGACACCCAAACGATGCTGACGAGCCCAGGACACAACCCCCCAGGCAGCCGCCGAAAGGGCCCATCAGAGCGGCCCGCCAGCCAGGGTGCAACTTACGCCTTCGATGCCTTGCAGAACCTGGGCGCCGATGGGGTTATCGAACAGCCCGCGGTCTCCGCCTTGCTGCTGCTGCTGCTGCTGCTGCTGCTGGTAGTGTTGCGATTGCTGCTGGTTGTAGCTCATTCCGGACAGAGGCTGTCGAGGGTGCGGGTGCTGGTTGCTGGTTGCTGGTGGTGGTTGGGGAGATGTGGTGGTGGGGGGCTTGCGGCGGCTTGCCGGCCCTGAAATAGGGCGTCGGTGGCGGCGGCGGACTGCTGACATAAGCGCCGTGTCCCGTGCCGCTGGCTCGAGTGCGGGCCGAGCCGGCTCGAGCCGCCTGGCCGCACAGCCCTGTCCTGTGACCGCATCGGCGCCCAACGGCCTGGTCTCGCGGCCATCGGTCTTCTGCATCCACCCCACCATCTCGCCTCCCCCCCCCGTCTTCCTGATCCGCTCTCGGCTGCAGAACACCGTCGACATGCCCGGAGGTACTGCCGTCTGCGTCCTGTTGGTTGCATCCGTGTGTGCCGTTGGACCTCGTCGGCCCGCCCCCATCGCCATGTCCGCGGCATGTCCAGGATCGCGGATACTGCCACGAGAAGCAGCAAACGGAGCAGCCCCGATCGCACGGACATCTCTCTCTGTTTTCCATCCTGCAGCCTTCTGCTCGATAAACGAGAAGGATCCCTGTGTCCCCATGCGATGTTAACGGTGCTTCTGCGCGATTTCCGTCCGTTTCTGCCTCGGATGCATTGCTCCCCTAACTCGCTCCCCCCCTTCCGCCTCCTGCATCCCAGGTCCAGACGAATGGCTCGAATCCATAAAGGAATGCAAATACCTGCCTGAGCCAGACATCAAGAAGCTCTGCGATATGGTGTGAATGAGCGAACGGGCGAACGAGCGGAGGCTGCACCATGATTCTCTGTCGTGCTTGTGGCTGAAGGACAACGTCGAAATCCGGGGAGCGATTGCAAGCCGCGGCTGCATCATTCTTGTTGTGCAGATCGCTATGGGTCTTCTCTGCGCTGTCTGCAGTCCATCTGCCGCACCCAAGCGCCTGCACACTGGGCTGCTCTTCGCTCCACATCCGTCTGGAGACACGGGTACCCGAAAGTAACTCGTGGCCACGCTCCGTGCGCTTCTCGCCAAACATAGGTCAAGGAGCTGCTGATGGAAGAGTCCAACATCCAGCCCGTCTCGGCCCCCGTTACGGTCTGCGGCGACATCCATGGGCAGTTCTACGATCTCCTGGAGCTCTTCCGAGTAGGAGGCGAGATCCCAAACACCAGCTACATATTCATGGTAATGTCCGAGCCATCGCCGCGTGGGACCCGCTCGAGCCCAAGGATCGTGGACGCAAGGCTCTGCCGCCTCTTGATGCTCTCCCAATCCCCGAATGCACGAAGCCGACGCGCTTACCCTCTCCTGCGGTATGCACAGGGTGATTTTGTCGATCGCGGATACTACAGTCTCGAAACGTTCTCCTTGTTGCTGGCCCTCAAGGCAAAGTGAGTCGCTCCTTTCCGATGCCGATCCCAGAAACCCGACTCTCGCCGTCGAAACTCTTTTCCCGTTGCAGCTCTGTTCTCGGCATCGAACCCACAGCGTGGCTCGCTGCATTCAACTGACTGCGGTGGATCGCAACCCTAGATATCCTGAACACATCACGCTGCTGCGAGGAAACCACGAAAGTAGACAGATCACCCAGGTCTACGGTTTCTACGACGAATGCCTGACCAAATACGGAAACCCGAACGTCTGGAAACACTGCTGCTCGGTGTTTGACTATCTGACGCTTGCTGCGGTACGGTGCACCAACAGTCCGTGCTTTGCCGCGCGGCTCTGCAAAGCAAATCGTCTGTGGCTGGCGGTCGCTGGCCGACACTAACAACACATCCTCTCGGCAGATTGTCGATGGTCGTGTTTTGTGTGTGCATGGCGGGCTCTCGCCTGACGTCCGCACCCTCGACCAGATCCGAACCATCCAACGCTGCCAGGAGGTGCCGCACGAGGGAGCGTTTTGCGGTAGGTTCTTGACCAGTCCAGATCCGCCGATTCAGTCGATATCATGCCAAACCGGGCACGCCATGCTCATATGCTTGCACCGTTGCTGTATTCAGACCTGATGTGGTCGGACCCGGAAGACATCGAAACCTGGGCCGTCAGCCCCCGCGGTGCTGGCTGGCTCTTTGGAAGCAAAGTTACGCTGGAGGTAGGTTGTTGTTTGGCGACAGCGGCACTGCCGCCGCAGCAGCATGGCAGTGTTGCATTGGCTCTGTTGCGGATTCCAGCCTCGATGAGGACATGCCTGTTTTTGTACTAACACCCGTCGCTGTTTGTGCGAATCACACAGTTCAACCAGGTGAACAATCTGCTGCTGATTGCGCGTGCCCATCAACTCGTCCAGGAGGGTTACAAGTACATGTTTCCGGACGACAACTTGGTGACGGTGTGGTCGGCGCCAAACTACTGCTACCGCTGTGGCAACGTGGCCTCGATCATGGCCATCGACGAGGCCCTGAACATTGACGAGTCGTCCTTCAAGATCTTCTCGGCCGTACCGGACCACGACCGTGTGGTCCCGCCTCGTCAGACTGCATCCTATTTCATGTAATGAAGCAAGTCTTGATATGATCTGGCACAGAGATCCGGCGCTCTGTCGATGGCGCCTGGGACAGGGCGTGACGAAGGTGGTGGCGAGTAAGCATGGCATTGCCGCTGGACGATTCATGGCGAGGATGAGCACACATGGTACCGTCGGCTGCGATGTGATTGTGGGGCCGTCCCGCATTCCGAGATTGCAAAGACAAGCCAAAGGACTTTTGTTTTATTCCTGGGGCTGTTGCAGAGCCACGCACATCAGTCGGAGCGATCGCTGGTTGGTGCAGCCGTGTAGCCATGGTGGCCTGCAAACATCGAGGCCGGCTTGGCAAAGGCCAATGCGATCCATCCGCCGATCAGACAGAGTCCACCCAGAGGCGTGACCGGACCGAGGAAACGGAAGCGGGCGGGGTTCAGCACCAGCAAGTAGATCGATCCCGAGAAGAGCGTGATGCCCGTAATGAAGAGGCCCGAGGACAAGCGGGCGGTGGGGATCTGGGAGGCGCCCAGGAGGACAATCGAGTGGTAGATTTGGTACTGGGTGGCAGTCGACCAGCTGGCGATTTTGGATGGGTCCTGGATGATGCGCTTGAGCCCGTGGCTGCCAAAAGCGCTGCATGCAGCCGAGGATCCGACGGAGAGAAGGACACGGTGAGCGATGATATGCCAAAAGGTGCGAGCAGCATTGCCGATGAGACGACGCAATGTCGGCGATATTCCGCTGCCGTGCCGGCGACGAGAGAGGCATACCCGAGGATCACTGCCGATGCGCCCAGGGTGCATGCCGTCACCCACAGGGCCGACGAGACTTTGACGGAGCGTTCTTCAGGCGACTGCATGGCTACATGAGCGGACATCGGTAGACCCGGGTGAGTCCGGGTTGCGTCTGGGAGAAGCGGGGGCTGCAGCAGACGGCCGGACGGAATACCTCTCGAATCCGGGGATGGTCGTCAGGGAGTGAGATGCAGGACAGGGTCGAGCCAGGGCCAAGCCAGCTCTTGCGCAGCCACAAGATCGGCATTGGCCTCGGCGAGAGCCTGCGAGAAGACTGCCCGCCGATGTCGGTGTCTTTGGCAAGCATCTTGGACGAGGATCTTGACGACCACCTTGACGAGCATCTTGACGACCACTTTGACAACCGCCTTGCACTCCCCCCCCCGACAACGTCTCGGCTGTGATCTCGGCCGCCCACCCTCGCCATGGTCAACACCGCCGATCTGTACTCGCTGGCAGTCGCCCTCCGCCAGGTCGGATGCTCGCTGGCATCCCTGGGCCAGAGATCATGGACCATCCATGCTCCCATCGTCGCCCGCTCTTCGCTCACACGATGGGCTCCCGGCCCTGCATCGCTTGCCCAGCATCCGTCGGGTCTGTCAGCGGTCGGCAGCCCTCCAAATGCCCTGCAAGACAACCGCCCCAGTGCTCCAAGCTCGCCAGCCACGATCCAACATGATACGGCATCCGTCCGCAGCCATTCCGATGCAGATCGCAGCCAGCCGCCCGCACCCGAGCCGATCTCGCCTGCAGCCGAGCCAGATATCCAACGCAAGGTACGGACACGCACAATAGCGGCACTATAATCGCAGGACTGGAGTCGCTGGCTCTTTGACTGCGTTTGCCCCTCTTTGGCAGAGCCTGCATTCAGCAGGAGACTCCAAAAGCAAGTCCAATCCTTTGGCCTAACCAACCTGGGCTTGTAAAACACAGACGACCCCACTGCTTCCCCGGCCAACGCTCCAACAGTCCAAGGTTCCATCGTCGCGATTCGGTCGAGTGTTTGAGTACGGAAGTAAGTTCTGAGGCAGTGCATGGCCGCCGGGATTGTCAAGCTCTGTCAGCTCTGTCAGCTCTGCCGGCTCTGCCAGAATCGATCATGCCATCCAGATACATGTGCTGATCGCCCGCATCGCTTGGTCAACAGGTCTCGCCGCATCTGTGAGTGTCGGTGTTGCAGGCGAAGCTCTGAAGCGCGCAGTGGGGGCTTCTCAAGAGAAAGGTGAGTCTCTGCTCCAGCCACGCTCGGAAACGCTTGCCATATTCTGAAGAATGAATCTGGAACAGCATGCAGTTGGCCTCGTCGATTCTGCGCCAATGTGTGCTGCAGTGCGATGCTCATATCCCTTGCCGTCTCCGCTGCATATGTGTCATGCGGGGAATCGTCCCTGGGGAACCCAAACAGGCTCGAGCGTGGTGCTCAACTCCAAGAATGTCGAGCGAATTGTCAATAGCCTATCTAGGATGCGTGGAGCCGCGCTAAAGCTTGGGCAGATGCTGAGCATCCAGGGTAAGCGACCGGACGAGCCGGAAGAACTGTGGACAGAGGCCGGCTGGGTGCGAGAGCCAAGGAAGGCGGGTATGGCCGTCACAGAGCCATTTGTGTGCTGGTACAGACTGGGTCGGCGGAGGAGTATTACCAGTTTGCGATCATCGATATTCACGTTTCGGCGACGCTGGATGCCTCAGATTCGACCATGATACCGCCGGAGCTAGAGGCGATCCTGCTCAGGGTTCAAAACAGCGCCAACTACATGCCAGACTCGCAGCTGGAGGTATGTCGCCGCCAACATCGGTGGAACCCCGACAGTTGCTCGATCGAGCACGAGGACGAACAGACAGGCTGCTCCAGTCCTCGCCATGAACATGGAGCTGGCTTTCCTGGAATGCTGATCGCTAACATTGCCCATCACAGCGAGTCATGAGGACCGAATTTGGAGACGAGTGGCGATCGCAGTTTCAGTCCTTTGACAATGTTCCGATTGCGGCAGCTTCGATCGGCCAAGTGCATCATGCCGTGCTGCCCGACGGCCGCGAAGTGGCCGTCAAAATCCAGTACCCCGGCGTCGCCGACTCGATCGAAAGCGACCTGAACAACCTGCGGATGCTGATCATGTTCGGCAACCTGCTGCCGAAGGGCATGTACCTGGAAAACACAATCAAGGTTGCGCGGATGGAGCTGGGCTGGGAGTGCGACTACCGGCGCGAGGCCGAGTCTGTGGAGCGCTTTGCCGAGATCATCAAGTCGGATCGCCATCTGCGGTCATTCTTCAATGTGCCGCGAGTGATCCCGGAGCTGTCCTCGCAGCATGTCATCACCACCGAGTTTGTGCATGGTCTGCCTCTTGGCAAGGTCGCCGAGATGAGCCCCGAGATCCGCAACGAGGTAAGTGGGAAATCCATAGAGCAGCCTGGAGGCGATGGCGAGGTGGGCATGAGTGACGAGCACCGGCGATACCTGTGGCGATCCTATGGCGATCCTGTGGCTCTGACAGTCGTCCGCATCCTCTGCAGGTCTCGCAAAAGCTTCTCAGGCTGTGTCTTTCGGAGCTGTTCACATACCGCTTCATGCAAACCGACCCGAACTGGACCAACTTTTTGTACGATCCCAACGAAAACAAGGTTCGTTTGCCGGCTCGCCCCGATTCTTCCTCAGCTCGGTACTTGCATAGGTCATATGTGGTGCTGACCGAGACTCCTCTCCGCCATCGACAGATCCACCTGCTCGACTTTGGCGCCGCGCGAGAGTTCCCCAAATCCTTCACAGACAAGTACATGCGACTGCTGACAGCGGCCGCGAATGGCGACTTCAAGGGCTGCGTCTACTGGTCGGAGCAGCTGGGCTTCCTGACAGGGCTGGAGAGCGAGGTAATGCCGCCCGTATCTGTGGTGTCAGCGTGGGCAGGCAGGGCCGGCCTCGGGATCCTGCGGATGCAGATTGCACATGGTTCCGGAAGGGCGATGCCTGAAACACAAGGCACGGAAAGTGGGCACACGGAGTGGGCTGGCAAATCATGGATGCCGACATCGGATCGCTGACCATCCACACGCATTGCTCCACGATGGCGACGCTGCCAACGCCGACTGGACGCCGGGCACGATCGACGGAGAGCAGACGATGCAACGGGCCCACGTCGAGTCGATCTTGGCTCTGGCCGAGCCGTTCCGTCAAGACGGCGCCGGGCTCTTTGACTTTGATCGGCAGGACATCACCAATCGGGTCCGCGGGCAAATCCCGGTGATGCTGCGGGAGCGACTGACGCCGCCGCCGGACGAGACGTACTCGCTGCACCGCAAGCTGAGCGGGTTCTTCCTGCTGTCGTCCAAGCTCCGGGCCAAGATCGACTGCAAGAGCGTCTTTGCGGAATTCCATCGCAGCTACCCGTTCACCGACTGAACCGACCGAACCGACCGAACCGCTGAGCAAGAGTGGGGATGCGAGGTGCATACAAGCACCAGTGTCGCAAATTCAGGGCATCCCCTTGGTGCAGTCCACCCGGTGCATCCCGCTGTCCAGGCTCAAGACGAGGCCCACCAAGCAAGAGAGAAAAAAAGATTTGTTGACGAGATGTACCTGAGTGATGCACGCCGGGTCCGATCTGCACCGAAGGGAGGAGGGCCGAGAGCGCCGTCACATGCCGGCAAGCCTCTGGCAACAAAGCCCGGACTTTTTTTTCCACTCCTGGAGGAGGGTTTCGCTGTGCCGAAGGAGCGCAGGGCGGTGCGACGAGGCTTGCTGTGGCCGATGGTGTCGACGACGGAATGGTGTCAACGATAAGACTGGTGTCGACGAAAGGTGCAAATAGTGTCTCGATCAAATGCGGTTGCCATTACACACATCCAGCCGGCCGCCCGGCCACTTCGACACTCGCAATAATCACCCCATTCGCATCATGCACATCCATTTCGCCCTATCCCAGCCCCGTGCATGCTCACGGCGGCCTTGTCGCCGTGACTCACGCTCGCTCCTTCATGACCCAGCCCGCGCCCGGCCCCGTCCATCCACAGCCCCCCTCGGCTCGCCATTTTTTTTCCTCCATGGCCTCAGGGATGCCACGTTCGCAGCCGCCCCCGATATATAGGCTGCCCTGCTGGTCCTGGTCCAAGCCATCTTCTCATCCACTCCGTCTGCCTCTCGCCGCTGCCTCCGTCTGCATCTCCCACATGCGCGCCACCAGCACATCCGATATCCTGTCGCACTTCACGGCTCACGCCGATAATGCCGAGCGTCTGCTCGACACCCTGGCCTCCCACGACAATCCTGCAGGCCCTGCCCATGACATCCGCGAGGACCTCAAGGCCGCCCGCCAGGAGCTTGGCGAGGTCAACCTGATGATCGCCAAGCTCACCGCTCTCGTCAAGCAGCAAGCCAACATCATCGATCAGCTTATGGACCGCAGGCTCGCCGGTAAGCATCCTCTTGATTCGCGTTCAAATGCCCCCTCCTCCGGACTGCCATGCTTGCTGTCGGACACATGCGCCAGCCAGCTATGCAGCCCCTCTCGCATCTCGCATCTCGCATCAGGCATTCCCACTGATCCCACTGATCCCACGATGCCCACTCTGACCGAATCACTCCGTTTCTCTCATGTCCCCAACAGCCACTGCCTCACAGACTGCCAAGGCAGCCATCCCAGCCGCCGAAAAGCCGCAGCCAGCCAAAACCATCGATCCCATCCATGACTTGCCCCGGCAAGTCATGGTCATCGATCTGCTCGAGACCCCGCAGCCCCAGCGAGTCGAAGTCGTCCTGCCCACCGATACCCAAGTCCGCGACACCCTTGGCCGTTCTGTCTACCACAAGCACCTCTTCTCCACCCCCGTCGGCGCCGTGTGCCTGGAGCGCCAACTCAAGCGCCGAGTCGACGACATGAGTGTCCAGCAGGGCCGCGCAGTCTCCAAGTCACAGTACATTGACCTGCTGCTTTCGCACGTCACCGAATGGCGGAAGTCTGGCACACCCCAGTGGATGTCGGAGCTCAAGCTGAAACGCCGCGGCCACTCGGGCAGCCAGCCATGCTCCGTCCTCGACTTTTTGGAGTACCTCTTCCACACCATCCAGGACGACGTTGCTCAGGATGTTCTGGCCTCCAACTCGACGCTTGTGAGCGGCTCGATAGAATCGATTGTCAATGTCAAAGAGTCCATCTACGGCAACATCCCGAGCACCCCGCTTGACGCTGTTGCGCCATCGGTTTCGACCAACGATTCGGAGGATCTATGTATGTACCCACACTCTTGTCGCTGGCCGCCGTGACGCCCATCGCAGACCAGGATGCTAACCGCCTGTGCCTTTGCTTGCAGGGGGATACTGAGTCCGAGCCACTGATACAATTGGACAGCGCAACTGCTGCCCCAACCGAAATGCACCCCAGTTCTGCCGCGCGGCTCCATGACGGCCGCGATCTGTCCATGTCCTGCGACGGCACTGCGACTCTGGCGGCTGTCGTGGGCAGCTGCTATTTTGCCCTCCCGTTTTTGATTGTTTTTGATTGTTTTTGATTGTTTTTGATTGTTTTTGATTGCTTTTGATTGCGGTTTTGATCATATCGTGAACTCTCAATAGAAGTCCATCGCATACCATTGCGTTCCCACAGTGCGGATGTGCTGGTGCCCCAGATGCGCCGAGAATGCCAGCGAGGAGCCTCTCGGCCCTCCTCGCCCTCCTCGCCCTCCTCGCCGCCTGAGTGGCTGCTGCCCTCGTTACGTAAGCAGCCCGTCTGTGGCCAGCCACGTCGAACGTGGCTTCCAGGCATTCTGCATCTCGTGTCGGAATCTTGCTTGTCAGCCCTGTCCCGCACCAAGCAAAGGCAATCTCGTCTCCTGCCGGGTGCCTGCCCTTCGATCGCCTCCGGCCTCCCCGTCCCCCCGCTCCCCGCCTGTCCTCCCTCTGATCGAAATGAAGTCGCTCTCGACCATTCTGGTCCTTCTGCTCAGCGCGGTCTGTCTGGCTCTGGCCAAGTCGAGCCAGGGATCGAGGGCCCTGGTTCTCTTGAACGATCTGGCCGAGGCGCCTGCCTATTCCCAGTTCCTCAAATCACTCCAAGGTACAGTCAGCGCTGCAGATCGCCTTGGCGACTGACTGCCACCGGGCCTCGCTTCTCCTCGGAACGGCCGAGAAGCATGGCCAGCCATGATGAGTCTTGCCAACTCCGACACGCCCTCGCTCATCCGATGCATATGCTGTCGACCCACTCATCTTTCTGTCCTGCCCGATACTCGCGAATGCCGCCGATGGCGATCCATGTGGGATCAGATCGAGGCTTTACCCTCACCGTCAAGGCCGGCGCCGATAAGGACGTTCGCCTGGTTTCGCATGAAGAGCGAGTCGTCGATCACGTCGTCATCCTGTCTCCCAAAATCTCAAGTGAATATCGTTTCTGACGTGACGATCCGGTGTATTGCTGCAGCACATTCGATCTGTCTGCGCATCGGCGTGGCGAGGGAGGGTGTTTTCTGCTGGCGTGTCGGTCGCAGCGCATGCCCTGGCTGATCACACAGTCAGGGCGTGACTCTCGTGCCCAGGGTTTCGTCTCAGATCACACCTTTGCACGGCTCACAGGATGCACTGCCGCGACAGGGTCCGAGCCAGAGCTGATTCCCATGTTCTCATTCTTCCTTATACCGCTCTCTGTGGACGTTCCGGATCTGCCAACGGACTTGTCGCTGCGAATTGGCCGGTCTGCTCCAACTGTCCTGCCGGCACCGCAGCCTACGGCGGAGACATCACGGTTGGATCGCTCATCGACTTTGTCAGCCGTGGCGGAAACATCCTCGCCGTCAGCTCTGCGGCCCAGTCCGAGTTCCTGCGAGACTTTGGCATTGAGTTCTCGGTCGACTACGACGACTCGCAGACCCGTGTCATCGACCACTTCAATTTCGCCAACCAAGATGCTCAGCACACACTCGTGGCCGCCAGCCGTCTGGTCTCCTCCGCCGCCATCGTGCCCTCGCTCAGCGCTCCTGTTCTTTTCCGTGGCGTCGGCCATCGTCTCAACGGAAAGAACCCTCTGATCGTCCCCGTCCTGACCGGATACCCTGGCCAGACGTACTCGTGGGACCTCAACGCCAACTCGGAGCTGGACCCAAAGACTGTCGTCGCCGGCGAGGAGGTTGTTCTTGCAAGCGCCCTGCAGGCTCGCGACAACGCCCGTGTCGTCTTTGTTGGCAGCAGCGACCTGTTCACGGATGAGTAAGTTGGCCTGTGTTTTCGTCAGCTGCTGCAGTTGCGCCAGTCACTCCTTGGGTAACTGGCCGACCACGATCTACGCTCATCGACAGCTGCCCCGACTGACCAACACATCCTCGCTTTGCAGGCTGATTTCGTCGCCTGTTCAGGTCGGCGACAAGACGTAAGCATCGCTGTGACACTCTGGACATGTGGAGGACAACCGTGTGGAAGCGTATAGGCGCCTGTGTGCTGCATCTCGCTGTTCGCGCTCGATGGGATGCGCTCTGACACCTCTGCGCTCTCCAGCTACGCCAAGTCGGGCAACCTTGAGTTTATCACCGAGCTTTCCAAGTGGGCTTTCGCTGAGAAGAGCGTCCTTCGCATCAAAAAGTCCAAGCATCACCGCGAAGGCGAGACGGAGCAGCACGGCATTTACCGCATCAAGGATCAGATGGTATGTCCACGCCGGAGATTGATCCACGCTCCTGCTCCTGCTCCTGCTCCTGCTCCTGCTCCTGCTCCTGCTCCTGCTCCTGCTCCTGACTCCCGTTCTGGCACTGATCTCACCCACACACACACATTCCCTGGTCCCCAGATCTACCGTGTCGATATCTCAGAGTACCGTGATGATGTCTGGCAGCCCTTCCACGCTTCGGATGTCCAATTCGAGGCCCTGATGCTCGACCCCTATGTCCGCGTCAACATGAAGGAGACTGCGGTCTCGCACGATCCCACCGTCTCCCGCTTCACGGCCTCCTTCAAGCTCCCCGATCAGTACGGTGTCTTCACCTTCAAGGTGGACTACCGACGACACGGCTACTCGTGGATCACGGCTTCGGATGTGGTCGAGATTCGTCCCTACCGCCACAACCAATACCCTCGTTTCCTGAGCGCCGCCCTGCCTTACTACGTCAACGCCTTCAGCATGATCCTGGCCTTCTTTTTGTTTGCCGTGGTGTTCCTTTACAACCGCGAGCCTGCTGGCAAGGCCAAGCAGCCCGGTTCCGCCAAGGCCAAGGCCAACTGAGCCGGCCTTTACACCGTTGTTCGCACCGGTGTCTCCAATAAACACAGAGGCCTCAATAGGACAGAACAGCACGGCGCAGTACAGCACAACGCACCTGTTGCCACGATGCACTTGGATGACCCGGCTACTCACGCTGCCTCCAGTCGGTGGCGACCATGATGCGGGCCGAGGTACTTCCGTCCAGGAAAGTCACGGCACATCCCTAAATCGCCGTATATTGGTATAGAGCCCTCGTCGGCTCTTGGACGTCGCAGGGAAGACGTGCGAAAGAGAGCCAGCATCGGGTCGTAGGAGCAACACAGCTTGTCTGGCTCTATGGGGCAGCGTGCTCATCCAGGTCGACGTCCTTGTCCGTACCAGAGATGCTGAAGATCCGCTTGAACCACCCCTGAAAGCTCTTCTTTCGCGAGCTCCGAGTCATCCGCTGGAGAGAACGCACCGTTTTCCATGGCAAGTCGACCGACGGAACAGAAAACCCCAGTGCCGTTAGCTCGACGAAGAGGTCGCCCGTCCTAGATGTGTGGTTGGTGGCTGGGGACGGTGATGAAGCGGTTTGCCGTGCAAGGCTGTGTCGGTCGAATCTATATCTATCAAGCAACACCAGCAAGCTTACCGATTCTGCTATGTTGGTTATTGGCCGAGCCGGTTATGGACGGCAAGGGAAAGCCCAGCCCGCACAGAGTCGACAGAAACAAACGGCTGTTGATATTGGATCGCAGTCCAGTCAATGGCCGCCCAGACACCTTGCCATCAACATACCTTTGCTGCTGACGTCGCTTCTGGTCCCGTCGCTACAGCGCGCAGCCATCTCGTCCAGATCGCCGTTTGCGTCCATGCTCCTGTCGATTTCCTCCTCGTACAGCTGCTTGAGGTACTTGATCATTGTGGTTTTACAAGGTATAACGTGCGACGACTTTCGCTGTTCATGATCAGAGCCAGATCCCGACCGAGATCGGGATCGAGACCGAGACCGGGACCGCGACCGAGATTGGCCTCCTGAGCCAGGTCGAGACCGAGGATGATCTGCAGGGTTGCCGGAGCCCTTGTCGAGCGCCAGGTTGGTTGTCGAGTGGTTGTTCGGGCTCTTGGATGGCGTGTCTCCGTCTCCCCCGCCCTCATGACCCCCAGCGCGGCGCTTTTGGTAGGCAAAAGCCATGATCGGCTCAGCCTTGAAGCCCATATCTGTGGCCTGGAGAGAGGGATGCTCGAGAATATCGCCAACCGAGATGCGCTTTTGGGGGTCCGTCTGAAGCATTTCTGGGGGCCAGAAACGGAGCCGAAGGCCCGGATCAGAAAAGGTGCGATGCTCCGAGCCGAAACGACAACGGCAGCGACAGCAGAACCAAGCCCGACCCACGCTACCGCATTGGCGATGGCACTCACCGGCAATCAGGGTCTGGAAGCTGGGCGGCATGTCCTCGGGGACCACATACCGGCCCGCAATAATCTTCTCATACAAGCCCAGGATGTTTCCCTCTTCGTTGAACTCGAACGGATACTTGCCCGTGAGCATATTGTACAGAACAACACCGCATGCCCATACATCGACTGGGCCCGAGCAAAGCAGATGGTGAGTCGCTCCAGCGGCTCTACACCAGACAACTTTTGACAGCGAATCGAGGACGAGGCAGTCGAGGACGAGGCAGTCGATGTGTGGGCGGTTGCTTTTGCAATCGGCGACACCCCAACTACAGAAGGCAATGCAGCTCACCCTTCTCTCCAAGACAGTTCTCCTTGCCCTCGGCCACTTCCGGCGCCAGGAATTGGTGCGTCCCCGCAAAGGTTGTTATCAGCATGTCGTCATTGTCGTAGGATGTGAATTTCTACAAGAGCGAATGGATCAGCGAGGTGTTTCGGAGAGAGTCGGCACCGCGGGCGCCCATCCACACAGCTACCCATGCGACTCTGCTCTGCGTACTTCTGCAATGCCAAAGTCGGATATCTTGAGAACGCCGTCGGTCGTAATCAGCATGTTGGCGGCTTTGATGTCCCGGTCTGGCCACGACAAGCGAGCAAGTCAAGGCAGAAAATCCACTTGGTCAGGCGGCGACGCACAAATCGTTTGTCGATCCTTGGTGCGATATCCAGCCAAGCAAGAACGCAATTGACAGGGTGTTCTTGGTCCTTGGGCTACTTACGAATAACACCTTGCGAGTGCAGGTAGTCTACGCCTTCCATCATTTGCACAAAGAAGCTATTCCGTCCGGGTCGAAAGCAACGGGAAGGGTCACTCAGAGCCGGCCGAACCGCTCCACAGGCATCCCCAAGACACTCCTGATAAATGCGAGACTCCAAATGCACACACCCGCCACAGATATCGACCGGGTCCGAGTCCTGCCTAGCTGCCTAGCCCCCCAGCGGCGCGACTTACTGCTGCGCCCGTGGCGGAGGAAGCTTATGTCCCGCCGACTGTTCCAACAGTGTCTGCAGAGAACACGGGCAGTAGTCAAAGACTAGATACCACTTGAGGATGGTGACCCAGCGCTCCTGCTCCGAGTTGTCCTCGAGTCTCCACAAGATGGGCTCCTCTTCGATCGTCGCGAACCAGTTGAAGATTCCGATGTTGCCATCCTGATCCTCGACCTTGCAGTAGACATCGACAAGCGAGATGATATTGGGATGCCGAAGCTTTTGCAGCATCTTGATCTCGCTGAGCAGAGCAAGAGAAGAGGTAAGAGGCGAATTCCAATACCATGTATCCAAACGACCGTTCCTCTGAATCTACCCCAAGCCACAGACCCGGAACAGGAGCAGTAACAAGTCACCCTGCCGACTATGAAAATGCAAGTGAACCTGGCGGCCGTGGGTAAACAGCAGCCTCGGCTGTTCGCAGACTGAGTACTTGCCGTATCGAGTTCTCGACTCCGTTCGGCACTCTCCTCAGGCGCTTCTTGTTGATGATCTTGACCGCTACCCGCTGCAGCGTTTCCGAACACAGTCCTTCCTTGACTTTGCCGAATGCGCCTGAATTGTGGGTTGCCGAGTGACCGCTTAGCCAAGTGTCGAGCGAGACTGGCGAGCGCCGTACAGCCAAGAAGGAGCGGACTCCCCACACGTATATATCCATGAAGAAGCCAAATCTAGCTGCCCTGTGTCTCTCCCAGTACCACACCGTCCCCACACCCCTGGAGCCAGTGCTGCAACAGCTTGATACGGCATTCACGCCATGACGACGCCATCCAGAGGCATCGAGCCAGCGACTCACCCTTTCCGATTTGGTCTCCGAGAAGATACGGCCCTATCATCTTGATCTTGTTTGCCTCTGCCTTCCACACGACTTCGGACGAATCGATCTTGTGAATGAAATTGGAGCTCGAGTGGCGTTGCGAGAGCAAGAGATACTCAAAGTAGTCTGGGTTGTTTCGGCACGCCTCGTCGATGGGCCCCACGACGGATATCGGACGGGAGTCAATGGGCGAGTCTGCAGCGGCGGCCACAGCAGCAAGATGGTTCTTTTCGGGCTGGACAGACTCGTCAGGGCGGACAACCTTGGAGAGCCTCGCCTCCTCGGGGCTGATCGAGGGCAGTCGGTTCCCACTGGTGGACATTTGGTTTGGCTCTCGCACGCTTCCCAAGCTCCGGAGCGACTGGTTGTTCATGGATACGGATGCGACAATGCTCTGATTCGAGACATGCAGCGGCGCCTGCGACTCTCTGGGAGAAGTGCTGCCGCTGAGTTGGCCACCGTCGGAACCGAGGATGGGCTTTACATCGACAGTCACGGACTTGCGCGGATGGAGGGAGATCTTGACCCGAGATTCGACCGAGTACTGTGACGTCCGCGACGCTCGCGAAACCACCGAGTGCTTGGAACGGACGACCGAGGTTCGGCCCACGGGCTCGATGAAGGTGCCGACCGAGCCGCCGACATTCTGCTGCTTTTTGATTTGGGCATCGACTCGAGCCTGGTTGCCCTGGAAGGTCGCTCGCCGGCTGAGCACGGCGGCGGGTTTCTTCCGCGGAAGCGATCCCGAATCTGGCCGTGTATCTGGGGCTTCGCTGCCGACAAGCTCCTCGCGAGGGGTTGATGAAGGGGGCGTCGGGCTGACGCTGATTTTGTGAACATCAGGAGCCGACCGCGTCGGCTGTGCACGAGCGTCTCCTGAGCCAGGGGTAGGGGCCGCACAAGGCGCACCCGCTGCCGGAGCGACCTGGGTACTCTGAGGCTCTGGAGAAGCGGCACCGTGAGGGTGGTGGTCATCAAATTGGGTCGTTGGCAAATGCACTGGGTCGTCTGGCACACTTCTTGGCCGAAAGGGATCGGCGTGCGTCTCGGCCTCGACAGGAAGTGAGGGGGATGTATCGCTGGCAAGGCCTGAATAGCAAGACGGCGGATGGGTTGGCGATACAACGTCGCTTGAACGAGGCGGCGGACCAGCCATGGCTGTGGAGGGCGTCTAATGAACCGAGAAGCTGATGCGTGGTAGTGATAGCCTGGCGAAGCAAGGCCGTTCTGCTCCCGGAGAAAAGAGCGGCGAGCGCAGTGATGCGAGCAGCCGGGCTTGCAATGCGGGCGGCTGGGCTTGCTTGCGATTCGACGGTGCTGGATCAGGCTCTCTCGTTGTTGTATACAGAGCGCCGTGGATCACAGATTCCTGACGACGCCTGCTGGTCTCGATGCTGGTCTCGATGCGGATCTCGATGCGGATCTCGATGCGCAAACGCACGGACAGCATCGCTGCCGTGAGATCTGCTGCCGTGGGATCTGCTGCCCTCATGCCAACAGCCGACGATGACAACCGACGATTGCCCAATGCGCAGTCGCGGAGAGCGGGGGTTTCAGGCCCACGATTCCCAGACCAACACCCACCCATCTCCCTCTCCATCCACCCCCAGCCAGCCGGCCTTTGGTTCTCCTCGGCCAGCACACCAAACACACCCAGCCAAGATCTTTTCCAGCATTTGAGAAATGCCCACAGGACGTCCACAGAGAAGCACGGCAAAGTCCGCGGTCACTTCAGTTGCTGTCACAGGCAACTCGTCGGCGCTGGCAGGGAGCAAACGCAGCCGGGCCAAGACCACCGCAGCAGCGACCAAGGGAAGGAGCAAAGGCAGCGGACGAAAAAATCGGGCAGAGTCCGAGTCAGACGAGGACAAGCATGATGCGGCCGCCAGCGAGGGCGACGAAGATGCTGACGAATACCATGACGACGACGACGACGGTAGCAATGACGACGATGCCGGTGATGGCGAGGAATATAGTGACGAGGAGCCGCCAAAGAAGAGGGTCGCTCTGCGCAAGTCACAGTCCGCAAAGACCAAGACCCAAGCTATCGAGGAGCATATCGACGAAGACGGCGTTATCCGCATCACGCTGCCTCCTCGGCCGGTGCCCAAGAAGAAGGGTCCTCCGGGCACGATCTACGACTTCACGCTGGATTTTCTGCACGGCCTGGCCGAAAACAACGACCGCGAGTGGTTCTCCATCAACGAGGCAAGTGTCTGCTCGCAGATGGTCATGCTGCATTGGGTACGGCAGTGGCGGCGTCTGATGTCGCTGACGGCTCCATATCGATCGTGTGTGCGTTTGCGTGGATGTGGACTGTAGAACCGGTACAAGGCTTCCAAGGACAACTTTTGTGAAGCGATGCAGGTCATCATCGATGAAATGCGCAAGCATGATCCGACTATCATGGAAGTGGCGCCCAAAGAATCACTTTTCCGGATCAACCGCGATGTCCGATTCTCACAAGACAAGAGCCCATACAAAACGTGTCTCTCGGCGTCGCTCTCTCGCGGTGGCCGGAAGGTAAGAGATCATCGGCACGGCCGATGCTGTGGGGCTCGGCAGGCAAGGATGTCGAGGGATAGGGCAGGCAAGAATGCCGAGAGATAGGGCGGACACATCAAATGCACGCTGGGGCACATCGGCGCAGGGTAGCGTGTGCTGGCGATATCCGAAACGCTCAGCTCTGCGCTTTGCCGCATGCCTCGGCAGGGCGACTATGCGCACTACTACATCCACCTCCAACCCGGCAACGAGAGTCGCATCGCCGGTGGCATGTGGTGTTCCGCCAAGAGTCAACTCGATGCCATCCGATCCCGTATCGCCGACGACCAGAACCCGCTTGACCAGGCGACCAAGCACAAGGACTTTCAAAAGTACTTTGGCAAGGGCGGCATCCAGCTTTTGATTGACAACGCAACCCGATATGACAATGTACTCAAGAAGGGGCCGGCCGGCTATCCCAAGGACCATCCGAACATCGAGGCACTCAAGATGAAGAGCTTTACGATCTCGAAGCGATTCACAGACGAGGAGGTGCTGCGCGTAGGCTTTATCGACGAAGTCGTCGCAGCCTTGAAGAGCCTCACGCCCCTGATAACTATCCTTAATAGCTGGTCGCGATGAAGCTGGGGACTCGCAGACCGAAGCGGGGGCCATTTGGGGCCGACAATCCATGTGTCTCTGCATTCTGATCACAGCCATTCTGATCACAGCCATTCTGATCACAGGCATTCTGATCACAGGCATTCTGATCACAGGCATTCTGATCACGCACACCACCGTCGAGCGACATTCCCCTTTGCCGCGGGTGCATGCGGTTGGTTTGGATTGCCTGTAGCAATTTTTGTATTTGGCACTGCATGTGGCATGCCTTCTATCGGCGATGCGCACAATATTTGTAACTTGACGTGGAGTCTGGAGATCATAGAGATACCGTTCATGATGGCACGCCGTACGACAGATGAAGCGATATAATTTTTCTTTTCTTTGAAAGACCGACGAGGGAACGAATGAAGGCCTCCGAGGCGGTGATGTATAGGTGGAAGCTTGGGTGATCATCAGAGTGGACAATTGGGTGCATGTGGGAGTGTGGTGGGGAAGAGTGGTGGGAAGGAGTGATGGGGAAGAGTGATGGGGGGAGAGTGGGCAAGAGCAATGGGCTGCGTCTTAGCATCGGGTGGGGCCGCGGTTGTTGGGCAGCTTCATGCACTTGAGGGCGGTGTTGTAGTGAGCGATGCGGCTGGCCTGGTTGGAGGCCCCGGGACCGCCGTTGCACTCGAGAGCGCCATTGATCTTCTGGGTGGCACTTGCATAGGAGCCAGCGCCGCAGTTGTTGACGTTCCAGAACCAGACCGAGGTCTGCCAGGAAACAGAGACGCTGCTGGCAACAATGTCGGGGTTGTTCAGGAGGTCCATGCCGATAGCTTTGCCGGCAGCCTGGTAGTTGCAAGCCCACGAGAGCTGCATGTAGCCTCTGGGGATGGATGTGCAGATACGCGTGTTGGCGAATGAAGGTGATAGATGCAGAGACAGAGCCAGGGCATGCCCAAACAGCAGCTCCGCTTTGGTGCCGAAACTGAACGACAGCACATGCCAAGAGCCAGCAGCAGAGACAAGGGCCAGCAGTACAGCCCTATCGGCGCTGCAGTATCAGTCCCCAGGAGAGCAGCAGCAGACTTGCGTACCTTCCGTAGTAGTGCTTGCCCTTGGGGGTCTTGACACCGCACCATCCAGGTCCATCGAAGGAGGTGAGGCAGGAGCCGCTGAGGGCGCAGTATTCGCTGTGGAAGGGTGACGGGTGGTGGCCGTTAGCAGAGCCTCACCGCAGCCCGAGCGGCGTGCTGGGATTTGCAGCAAGCCCAGCGTCCATGGACGGGGGGATCTGGGCAGGCCGGCAGGCAGGCAGCGGCCGAGAGCCGGGCCGAAAGGCTGCATACGTGGTGGCGGTCAGTCCGTTGCTTTCGTGTCCGACTTGGCCCAGGAACATGGCCATCTCAGGGCGAGAGGTGCCAAGCGACTTGCCCTTGACGGAGGAGATCAGTGCACTGTAGACTTGCTGGCCGTTGGCGAGGCCGGGGAATATGCAGTTGAACTCGGCCGAGGTGAGCACGCTGGCGCTGCTGCTCGACGACGACGGGGCCTGGACGAGCTGCTTGGCCTTGTTGGTGGACTTGCGCTGGCTGCGCTTATCGAGATCGCTGGCCGCGACGTTAGCGGCCTCGGGAACGACTGCAGCCAGCGCGACATGGCAGAGGAGTGCACAAACGAGCAGCAGCAGCAGTGACTTCATGGTTGCGAATAGAGACGGGGAGATGCGGAATGCGGCTGGAAGAGGGGAGACAACGACGAGGACGGCGCCAGGAGAGGCGGTGAGCCCAGAAAAACAGGAGGATGCGGGCACCGGAGAGGACGGGCTCGCTCGCCACTGTCTGCGATGCGAAATGAATGCGATATGAGAGGCGCAAGCTGTGGCTGGCCAGAGAGGCTGCGTGTTGGGCAACGTGCAATGCCCCTTGCGGCGAATGCCAAAGGGCAAAGGGAGGAACGCAAAGGGACATGTGTTGGCATTGTGCTTGGAGGCAACGGGGTGTATGGACAGACAACTGAGGGGCATGCATCGGCGAGGACATGTCGAGAGATGGCAGCAACCAGCAGCAAGTAACAACAACCAGCAGCAAGTAACAACAACCAGCAGCAAGTAACAACAACCGGAGCAAGTAACAACAGCCGGAGCAAGTAACAATAGCTACATGGCAACAGCAACACCAGCAGTGGCCCTGGAACAGTTGGGGCGACGCGCTCTGTACATCGGCTCACGGGCACCAACCTTGGTCCAAGCTCGGCAGACTCGGCTCCCCTCCCCGCGACGCGCGACGCACAAACTGCTTCTGCCCAGGCGCGGTGGACCCGCCTGCGATTGGTGCGGCTGGGCGAGCAAGGACCAGGGGCCTGCGTGTGTCCGCGCCTGGGCCGACTCGGCGCGCGGTGCCGCGAGATTGTGGTGGCGGTGCGCTTGGTTGGTCGAGCCGTTTCCCACGCAGAGCAGCCCGCACAGAGCACTCCTGCATCGCCCTGTCTGGATTCTACACCCACAGAGGCCATTGCCGCATGTCTTCCGCCTCCTTCTGTCGCCGTGGAAGTTGATGTTCAGCACGGATTGGTGCATCTGCGGTCATTCGCAGATTGTTTGCAGGCGCTGTTTCCAGAATGCTCGATTGACGATGTGCGCGCATTTGTTGTCGACCATTGCAGAGGCTTCAATCAAGCTGCGACTGCTCGCCCTGACGTTTGTCGATCTGTCGAGCCCAGCCCAGCCGAACCTCTGCCGCAACCCAACAGATCAAGGCACATGCATCCGTCGCTGCTGGGCTTCAAACAGGGCTGACCAACCCTCCTACCGTCGCTGGACTGTCATCAACATCAGCATCGACAAATGAACACATCTCCCCATCGTCTCGACCAGGTGCCCGAAGAGCCCCACGAAAAGGACCACTCCGAAGAACCTCCGGGCGATTCAGCCTCCTCGCGGGGCTCGCAGAAGGACCCTTCCCACGCCCGCGCAAACCGATCGATCCTGCAGCGAGCCGAGTCCAGAGGCTATGCCTCTCGGCTACCGCCCACCAAAGAAGATGAGAATGAGGCATCGTCGCCCACGCCTCAGTCCTCTGCCGAGCCATCTCCGCCTCACAGCGCAGCTCCGACCGGCTCCAAGCTGGCCCTTGGTCGGCAAACATCGCACTCCCATCTGGGAATCGCCGCCCTTCAACTGCCGCACAGCGGGCTTCGCCGACGGCCTTCGACTCTCGACGAGGATCTCTACGAAGTCGAGGATCCCGAGCTAACTTCGCAGACTCTCTCCAACAATACCACTGCCCCGGGGACGGCTCGCGGGGAGCTGAGCAAGCGCTTCAGCATCCAGCTGGATGATGAACAGGCCGAGATCGAGGCCATTGCCGCAGCGGCTGCCATTGTCGAGACGGGTAATGCGAACGGTCGCCAGCATATCCATGGCTAATACTCTCGTCATCCGATTGTGGCTGCAGTATCTGTCCATCTGCCGACTTGTGTCATTGTCCATTTCATCGCATGCCGCATGCACTGTCTTCATGCGTCTCTGATACACCGCTCGGCTGCCACTTTGCTTCTCTGACTCCCAGAGGGCGTTGCGCAGGCTGTTCAAAAGGTCATTGCTGCAGCTGAAGCCCATTCCTTGGCTGCATCAAGGGCCCCCACAGCCGGCCTCTATCGCTCCACCTTTGCCGATGCTGTCTCGAAGGAGCGTCTTGCCCACCGTCCCAGTCTTCCTGCCATCAGCCCTAAAGTCTCCAAGAGCGAAAAATTCAAGTCGCACGACCGAAGCGATGCCATGGGATTCGGCAGCACCGTGCGCAGGATCAGCGTTTTTGACATCGACCCGTCGCTGAACATCAAGGCGGCCATCGGGCGGTACGATCCATATTCGTCTGAATGGGGCAGTCTCCGCAAGCTGAACCAGGCCGAGGAAAGCCTCCCGACCGAGCCCTGGTCCCGAGCGCCCAAAAACCGCTTTCTGTCATGTGGCAATGTAAGTCCGGCAGGTTCTTCCGCGGGCTATGGTTCAGTTTCTTTGTGTCGCAGACTTCGAGCAGGATGCTTAGGCTCCATGCTTGCAATTGCCATCTTGGACAGGTCGAGTTGGGTCCTGGACACTACAACCCGCCCCTGCGGTACCTGGAGAAGCCACCGAACCAGCCATCGACCGTATTCATGAGCAAGGTCGAGCGGTTTGTGCCTTCGAAGGACGGAACAAAGCTCTTTGAGCATCTTGCACCCGGTTACTACAGCGTGAGTGAATCCCAGCCTGGTATTCGCAGTGTGAAGTAGCCTGTTCGTCGCACCGACAAGGGCATAGGAACGCATGATCTAGCCCATCCAAGGCAGATTGATATTCACAGCCAAACGGGCTGTGTAGATGGCAGTATGGTCGCTGGTGAGCGATGCTCCCTTGCCCACCATGTATTCGTTTCTCTGGATCCCATGATGCAGAGCGAAGCAATCAAAATTCAAACAGGTAACAACATCAGCACCGATCCATCTCTGGGAGACGAGCTGCTGGAACAACAGATCCGATGGGCTAAACCGCCGCAACGGGCATCCTCGCAGGCTTTGTTCCCTGGGTGAAGAGTGCCAAAGACCATCTCGGCCGAGTGCTCGAATCCGACCACTCGAACTTTTATGAGCCGCCGACAATGTGCTTGGGCAAGGTCGAGCCCATTCCGTTGTTCTCTGAAGCTCGCAAGCGGGTAAGGCTGGCATTCTCTGGATATGCTGCTCCGTGCCACGGAATCGAGCCGATGGAGCCTTCAACGGATGCCATGCATTGCGTCCCTGTCGATTCCAATTGACCTTGTGCCCACTGTCTGCTCTCTGCAGAGAGACAAGTCGAAGCGTGATGATATGAGCACCCCGTCCAGCAACCGCTCGCCCCTCAAGCTCGCCCATCCGTTCAGCGAAGTACGTCCACTTCTCGCTCCCAGCACGCTGGGTTGCTTTGCCTGTTGACCTCGCCTGCATAGCATTGCCAGTATCGTGGTGTTGGTGCGATGGATGCATTTATGGGCCACCATTATGCAGACACGACTCCCGACCAATCCTGCCGATGAATTATGGATCTCGCCCGAGTTTGTGCTAACTTTTGTGGGTCACCGTGCTCGCCAGTGCTATTTTTCCAAACCAGCACCCCCAGCCAAAGACTCAAGAGAGATCAAGCTGCCGTGATACCGGGACTCGTTCTCTGAGCTCAGCGCTCGAAATGCGACCGTCACATGCGTTACGCAATATATAGTCACATTGATATATTTGCGGGTTTGAACAGTCGGTACAGGTCGTTTGTCGGTCGGCTCCTTACCATCCCAGCGAGCGTTGGGTTCCGCCAGCTATAGCGTTTGAAGCCGGCCTTGGGGGCTCGGCTGTTTGCCCGACTTTGGACTCGGTCTCTGGCTCTGCATTCTTGCTGTAAACCTTGCGGATGGGCCGGGGGCTTTCGGTGATGCTCTGGAGCGAGAGATGGCTCGAAGACTCCTTCATGACCTTTTTGGATATTCCGGCCATGTGCGAGACGCAGTTCATGAGCTTCACACTGCCTTCCCACTCGTAGTCGCCGTCGGGTTTGGTCGCCTTTGCGATGGTGAATCGGTAGACGCCCGTGTTTTTCGGGAATCCAAGATGGATATCGCTAGGGATAAAGTTGAAGTTGAGCTCCTGCAGAAGATGCTGCGAGAATGCCTGAATCCACCCGCCGTGGGTCACCACCAGGACGTGGACCTGTTTGAGTTTCGGCATCCCGCTTCGAACCGAGCAAAGAGACCCCATCGACGCCATGCTGGCTGCGTCCGAGAAGGGTGCTTCCTTGAGCTTGGACGTCTCCTCGGGTAGGGTCTGGATCGACTCTAACATTTCTGCGTGCGGTTGGATGAGATGCTGATTGATAATGTCGCTGTAGAAGTTGGTGACTCGCTCGTAGAACTCAGTCTTGGTCTCGCCGCCATGGCCGCCTATATGGTCGTCCAGATGTACGTCCTCGATTTTCAGGATCTGCTTTGCGTCTGACCATGACATGCCCGTCAGATCGCCGAGGTTCTGGAGCGGCCTCGGCCATATACGAGCGACCCGACGTGTCAAGGACCAGAGGCCAGAGGCCAGAGACCAGAGATCCAGCTGTTAGTGCCTTGGTTCAGCTGGCTCGATATACGACACAGCTGAAAGCAAGCTCAATGACCGACCAAGCCAATTTCACCGCGAACATCCGAGCCAGAGCATTATCAAGGCTCCAAATCATCAAGACACTAACGCAATATCAAGACATTGGGCCTGTCCTGGAGGGACAATCACATTGGGCCTCAACCCGGCACCCGACCTCACCTTTTCTCTCAGACGCTGCTCGACTGTCACGGGGGTGGATGGGTGATGCTTCCGAATCTCATCCGTTGTCTGTTCATCGCAGAGCGGCAACACCGGCGGCCCACATCAAGGACACTGGTTAGTATCGAGACCAAGTCGGCCGTGAGATTGCTGTCGCCAGCTCTCCAGACACCCGCAAATTCCGACTCTGCTTCATCCCCTTGGTAACGCCGTTGCACATGAATCCATTCTGCTCTCGGACCTGAATAGCTCGTTGTAAGTCGCTGGTGTATATGTGGTTGAAATGGTACTTTCTCAGTCTCCATCCGAGACTCTCGGCCTGTTTGATTCCCACGCCGCTGAGTGTAGTGTCTTGGTGGAAAGTCACCAGGCGTCTCGGTCAGGTTAGCCAGAGAAACCACAGAGGAATCAAACTGGACTAGGCAACTCAGACATCCAGCAAGTGCAAGAGCTGGCGTGACCAGGTTGCTGATGTGCCGCTACTGTTACATTTGCTCAGGGTTTTCATCCGCAGCCCCGCCGACATTGCCATGTCTTTACCTGACTGTCCTTGCAATACCCGCGGGATCTTGGTATCCAGATCGGTTTCGGCGCTGCGGACACACGCCGGGGGGGGGGCAAAATGGATAAGCTGGACTGAAAATGGTCCTCGGGATCCAAGACCGACCGGGCGAGTGGGCGAGTGGGCGAGTGCGTGGCAGGACAACGAGCGCTTACTGTCTGACCAGAGTCAGCACAAGGCAGACATTCTTGCCGAGACCCATTTGCGCAGTGTTGGATGGCTAGAGGTCAGGGTCAGTCGATGGGCTCAAGTCTACGGAAACGAGGTTGCTATGGATGCAAGTGCTGCCGGTAAAAAGCGATGCTGGAAGAGTCTCGATGCAGTCCGAGCGGCAGCCTCCTTGGTGGAAACTGCGGCGGTGTGGGCCTCGATAGGCAACGATGCCAACAGCCACGAACCGATTGCGAGTCAACATTTGGAAAATCTCGTCTGCGATGGATTGGCTGCGGACACGAAGCGATTGTTGATCTGTTTGGCAACAGATCCACTTGCCCTCGCTGGCGAGCGGCAATGTGTTCGCATTGACGGCGTGATTGGCAGCCAATGCAGCTTTTGTGCTTGTCTTTGGATCAGTGTCCTTGAGGGCACCAAGGTGCAGTCTGCACAGCGGTAGACATGCCCGCATCTTGATGGGAGAGAGTGTACAGCGTGTTGAATGATGATGGGGCACATAGGCTCATTCGGACACAGACAAGAACGGCCAAGCGGGTCAAATCATTTCCCCAGGTTTCCGCTCTATGAAGTCGGTCCGGAGCAAGTCGCCGTCGCCCTCAGAAGCATGGCGCTGTTCGTTTTGCGGACTCGCCAAGCAAGCAAACACATCTCACGATCCACACAGTTTTGCAGAACATGCCCCATGCATTCTTGCAGACGCACTTCTGGTCTCGATCAGGCCACCGGCCTTCGTCACACATCTGTGGTCCTGTTCGCAGTTCATATGCCTATGCTCGACAGGCTCTTCTCGCTGGAGGCGTATTCGTCGCAAGACGGCGATCGGCAAGTGAGTGTGCCAAAGACGACTTCGGAGAGTGATTCGTTCGACTCGCTTCGTGCTTCGGGCGAGAGAGTGACCTGGCTGGGCCGGCCGACAGCCAACTGGCTCTTGGTTGGCTCAGGGTCAAGGCCACTGGGACTAGTTGCTGGCGCCGTCCTGAACTTTTCCACCACCTGATTGAGACGAAAGTCTCTCGTTCTGGCGGCTGCGATGTAGTACTTTGCCTGCTCGGCAAGGCTGGGAATCAGCATTGGCTTGAGCCCAGCTTACCATCGTTTCGGCAGCATTCGCCCTCTAGTACGCTGTCGACAGTGATAATGGCCATAGTGGTGCTTGGAACCCACCTGCAGATCCTCGTATCGCTGAATGACCGAGTCCTTTTCGACCTGCAGACTACGGATTTCGCTATTCAACTCATAGACCTGGTCGCGGAGATCTGCCACGATTTCCTCGAGGTCGCTGATCTGCCAGAGTCCAGTGCAGCAGTCAGTGTCGGTCCGAAGCTTCCAACCAGCTCCCTTCAGATACATCGCCTCACCGTCTCCTTCATCTCTTCTTCGCGGCTCTCGTGGGAATGCTCGATCGAGTCGTTCATTGCCGTCACGTAAGCAGCTGTGTCAGACACATCCACCAGCTCGGAGGAGAGATATTCGATCTTGCGACGGTTTGCATCGACCTCTCGCTCGAGCTCCTGATTCTGGAGCAGCGATCCCATGTCAGTACTGCCAGCGTGGTGCATTTGTCGCATCGGGCGAGTGGCCGCCAATGTGCAGCTCGCTCATCCAGTCTCGACTCGTAGGGTTGGTACTCCGGAGCGGATCAGGTGGGTCGCAGTTGTGTGTCAGGAAAGAGCGATATGAAGTATGGGGGATCTGCACTTCGGTAGTCGCTGACGAGTGCTCGCCATCTTAACTCACATTCTTCTCAAGAAAGGCTATCTTACGACTGTACGAGGCCTGGATGTCCTCGATCTCTTGGTTGTGGAGAGTGATCAACTGCATCGATTGGATGGCAGGGTTATCGGCAAGCCCCTGAGCACCAGCGACCCCGGCACACCTTGTTGAGATGAAGAGTCCATCCTCGTCCTCTCGTTTCTCGGTCGTCTTTGCTCCGACCTTCCTCTCCTACCTGGCTCTGCTTTCTTGCAAAATCTTCCTCCATCGAGACGACGCGCTGCATCAGCATCCGGAGTTGCTCTGGGTTGCAATTGGAAGTCAGATGCCGCCCCATGCCCGCTCTGCAGGCTGTTGGCTGCTCCTCCATCAAGAAGCGTCCGGCTATCCAGCGAGAGCCCACCTACCTTTCAGCACTTGATTTTCCTCGGCCATGTCGTCAAACTTGCCTCTCCTTTCCTCCCACTTGGCGTGAATGTTTGGCGGCATTGCGGTCGTCAGGTTAAAATCGGTTACCCACTGGAGCTAGGTCTGCTTGCTGTCTCCACGGCAGCAAAAAATTCACACCAGCGGCGCAGGGAGGTTCTGAAGGGCTCTGTATTCCCCCAAAAGCCCTGAGAGTGTGTAAGCTCTGGGCGCAAGCTTACATGTTCCCAGATTATCGATGTGTTCATCTCTGCGTCTTGGGCTACTTCTCTGGCCAGCACCGCTGTTCTGCTCTATTGGCAATATTGCAGTCGACTCGAATGGCTCTCTGCGACTACCCATCGCCGGAGAAGGCGTATATATGGAGGAGGAGGGACAATGAATGTTCTTGATCAGCGAACCATGCAGATCCAATCTGCTACTCCACTGCCGTTGACATATGTGCATGATCGAGGATCTGTCACATCGCCGCCTGAGGCAAAACAGAGCGCCGGTCTGTAACCACTCTGCCCGCTCGAATCATTCTGTTCTCAGGCAGATGTGTCGTGGGCAAGTGCGCTGGGACATGTCACGATGCCACTGCATCATTTCTGGAGAGCACTAGAAACAGCAAACTAAACAGCACCAGCCACAGTGCCAGTTGCAAGGATTGTGCTAGAACCGCAAATATGGTGGTGTATTGATGAAAGACAGTTTTGTGGATATGGCGTAAAGGGAGGAAGGCGAGCATGCGGGTTTGGTGCAAGGTGATGCGGGCTATGAGCCAGGGTCGCTGGGCAAAAGACGAGGGGCGAGGGGCGAGGAGCAAGGACCAAGCTCGGCTGCCTCTAGATGCCAGAAAATCCCCGAGTCGCAAGAGCCGCTCGTGAGTTCAGATGGGCCTGCGCCGGTGCAGATTGTCGGATTCGAGTTTGGAGGAAGCAGAGGACGAGGCGAGCGATGGCCAACAGCAGCGTTAGTCGATTGTATCGACAGCACCACATGCCCAATGTCCCAGATAATTTCCTCGAGACGCTAGTCGCCCCTCACAGCCACGCCATTGCCCCCCCCCCGATACATACCTGGCACAGGCTGATCAGGAAGAGAATCAGATACAGCGCGGCCGCCATGAAGCAAGCATGCCCAACGGCCTGGGGATCCGACGGAACCTTGTCGGGCTTTCCTTCCACCAGCTCGTCGACTTCGGCTTGGTACAAGAAGCCCAGGATAACCTTAGAGCGCGAGATTGATTTGTTCAGGATCGATTGGGGCACGTTAGAGAATATCCCGATTGATCCTGGCACCAACCGCCCGCTTGTCGATCCACCTGTTCATCGGAGAACAGAAGCAGACACCAGAGGGCGGCATATGCGGGGGCAATCAAGTAACGGGAATGCTATTCGTCGGAGCTGCTGCCTCGAACAACGCATGGCGCTTCCTTGATATCCCATGTATTTGCGGCGCCGATGCCACAGGCTCTCCGCTGATATCGGCCGCATGCCCTACCAGAAAGACACCGCCGAACGCGCTGATGATGGTGCACATCACCGAGTTGGCCTGGGAGCAGAAGATGAGACCCATGGCGACGATACTGCAGCGCGGGGATGGGTGTGTCGTAGCGGAACGGAGGCGTCTGGGCTAAGGAAGCGGGCCAGGCGGGGCTGAGGTGGGCTGGGATGAGTTAGACAGCTCTGTCGGAGGCAAAGATGGCGCTCAAGATGAAAACTCGGCCAGCCCCAGAGAAGGCCCAGGGCAGTGCGACGTCATTGGTCACGTGGACGCAACCGGGACGGAAGCCAGGGCGGACCGAGGCCGCTGGTGAGACGATACGAGCCGGGCGTGTCCGGCAGGGTGTATGGAATCGATGCATTTGGTTGTAAGCGAGAGATTTTGTATTGCATTTGATACAGCTCTGTGAACAGACAGATGCTCTGCCGCTCACGGAAGACAGCGACCAAAGCCTGCCTTGCCACGACGCAAGGGCGGCCAGGGCAGTCGGAAAACACCAACGATCGGCTGCCGGAGAACGATTTGGGCGAGGTAGGGTGAAGCGGGCATCACTTGCGGTTCTTGAGAAGCGTGATTCTCTCACATATGTCATCTGCAGCAGCAGCAATGGTACGTGGTCAGTCGATAAAGTCAGTTCGAACCAGAGAGGAGAGAGCTTTGCATCGCAGATGGATGCTTTCCCAACACGCACGGAATACATACGAGCTTCCTTCGGCGACATGGCCTCGAACTCATGGCCCTTTGGATCGCCGCTGGGACCTCGGCTTGCCACAAATTTGAACACAGGGCTGTTGACCGAGACTTGTTTGCACGAGATTACGTCGGCAACCGAGTAGGAGAGCTGTACGGAAGAGAGGAAGACAGTCGAATGAGCCACTGACCTGAAGCAGGATGCCACGGAACCATATGCGACCATCGGAGTCGATCTGTCGGGCGACTGCAAAGCAACACCCAGCTGCGGTACTGCTCCCGCCTTACCGTCTTTGTTCGGTTGAGAATGCTCCGGTTCTCCGCCGATAGGATATAAATATGGTCGCCATCGATAGTAAAGTCTCGCTCGTAGCGCGCCCCGACAAAGTTTTTGTAGTAGACCGAATATCGCTGCCAGGTGAGGTCAGATGGAGAGGATTTAGATATCGGCTCTTGTGGGCTGCATCGTCCATATCGACAACAAGCACACCGACAGCAAACGGTAATACTCTGCCGACGAGCGAAGCTGCCCCTCACCTTAAACTCGTCGCCGCGCAAGTCGAAAGCGTCGACGGTGTCGGCGTCGTTAGCCTGTTCTTGGGAGGCGCCAAAGATATCGCCGGCTGTGTCGGAGCATAAGGGATGCGGGTGAGTAAAACCAAAGCCACAGGAACCCGGGCAAGCTCGAGCGCAGAGCCCGGTGGATACATTTCGGGCAGGCCTCTTCATAAACTCTGCAAAAATAGTAAAAGCGTGCGGTCTCACGCAGCCATCGGGTGCGCCGCTCTCCACCCAAGTGCGCAACTTTGGGGACAGCTATACCTCCTCCGTAACGCTTGTGGACACCAAACTCGGTAATTTGCGCCTCCTCGAGGGTAATATCCATCGGCAGCAGCGTTTTGTTGTCGACCAGCTTCAGTACATACTCCTTGGGGTCGTACTTCCATTTGCGGCAAATGTAGTCGAACACATCCTTGATGAGCATGTTGGATGCGAAAGGGATCGTCGTTGTCTGCTTGACGGTCAGCGTGGAGTACAGGTTGACTTTGAGGAACGTCTTCTTGGTCGAGGGCGCGGTCGTTGTTCCCGTTGTTGCGACTTCCTGCTTTTTGGGTGCTTTAGGGATGGGGAAAAGTCGAGATTGCGCCAGAGTTAGTTCTGGTGCTGCCGGGCGGCATACATTTGGGCTTCTAGCTATTCCGAATCGGTGGAGGTACTCACCAGGCCGCTTGTCTGAGACGCACAGCTCAAACTGCATCGACCCAAAGGAGGCAATCTTGCGGGTCAGATCAAGAGCCACTATCGGAGAGCAGAGCCGGGTTTTGGTGTTAGTGCTGTAGCCACCCGATGCTCCTCCACGACTCCGTCGTTGCATCTGAGCTTGGCTGATATTGCGAGGCAGAGGTTGCAGCGAATGCGGTTCTGCTGATGCGATATAGTTCCAGTCATGGGTACTGACCTGGAAAGTCGTCATCGATCCGGAGATACCACGCGACAATGCTGTCGAGCCCGTAGTTTTCGAACTGATCGCTGTGCTCCTCGTGGAGGACATAGAGCGTGTATCCCAGAGCTTGCTCGGTAGTAGAGTCAGGCTTGATCTGAATCAGCACCTCATCAGGCAGCGAGTGCAAGGGGCTGGATGGGATTAGGATCTCGAGTTTGAGCGAGTTCCTTTCGCCATTGGCGCGCTGTTGAACGGCGGGATTATGGAATTAGAAGTGTAGCAAGCATATGTGACGCTGCGGCTGAACGAAGTGGGAGATGGCGCCGACAATGTCGAGAAGACGAGATTCCGCGCCAACAGTACCGAGAAGGCCTCAGCGGCCGCTCCCGCGCTGTTCGACGATAGCCCCATACGACACCCAACAATGCCACAAAATGCCACAAAATGCGGCATCGATTCAGAGGCTTCGATCCGATTTGATATCTCTGGGTACCCACCAGTCCATAGAACTCGCTGAAAGGATTGTCCGAGTCGGCATTAAAGCTGAGCAGCGCACTCAGCTGCGATATTGTCTTGTGAGCAGTGGGCTTTGCTGTGTACGCGGGCTGTAGCGGCATCTTCCGGAAGGCGCTTGGTGAGAACTCCTTGGCCACGGCAGCAGTGCTTTCGGTTGCCTTGGAAGCGTCCTGGCCAGACGACACTGGTTTCTTTGCCACGGAGACCCGCGGAGGCTCTGCAGGTTGGCGAGCCCTCTCACTCGACCCCTGGGTTTCAGTCGGGCCCTTGTGGACATTGAAGCTCCGAATGGCCTCCACTTCCTCCTCAATATCGCGACGCTCGCCTTCGTCATCGTCAGAGTCGCTGTCGTGAGCACTGGCAACGGATATCAAAATGATGAGTTCCGAGAACGAGAATACAGCACAGCCTGATGAATCGGCAGTTCGTTGCTAGAAGCAAAGCAGTATGGAGCTTACACATTCGCCTTTGCAGCGTTTGACTCGAGAGCCTCGGAGGGCAGCGCAGATGCTGGAGCATCGGGGACGAGGCTCTGGGCCTCCTCGGGCGCCTGGCTATCAGGGTGCTCCGACCGTACTCCGTGCTCCGGAGCCCTTGACGGTGCCTGAGTGTTTGTGATGCTCGCAATGTTCTGAGCGTTTCCAAGTTGCCGCGGACTAGAGCCGGCAGACTCGCCTGGTGTCGACGGCTGTGCAGAGGGCACTCGGAAGTAGTTTGGGCGGATGGTTTTGCGAGACTTGAGCGGCTGGTCTGAGCCAGCAACCGGCTCCAAGTCGCCCTCGCCTGTGGGCTTCGACACCGGCTTGGGCTGGGTCACCGATATCCGACCGATGATTTTGTTCTTGACGTCGTCCTGGGCCCGATCCTCCTGCCTGGCTTCGTCGTCGTCGTCGCCATCGTCGCTGCTGTCTTCGTGGAAGGGGCTCCAGTGTTGCTGCTCGCGCAGCTTGTCCTGCTCCGTATCTCGCTTTTCCTTTTCGCTCAGATAGAGTTGGTATCGCTGCTCCTGCAGGATCCGCTGATGGCTCTGGAGCTCGCGCTGCTGCTGCATGCGCTTCTCGAGCTCCGCTCTGCGTGCCTTTTCGACGTCGGACGGGTCCAGAGCAAAGTCGAGCGGGTCCTGGGTGAACTTTCCGATGCTCTTGGCAATGACCTTGCGTTCGTTGACGCTGAGTCTACGTCGATCGATCGGCTCGAGAAACTCGTCGGACGAAGCCTCGGGGAATTCAGCAAGCACATAGGGGTTTGTTGTAGCTGTGGTATTGACGATGCGAGCCGAGATGGGATCATTTTCCAGCAGCAGTGAGATGCGCATCGAGTATATCTGCGACGAGCCCAAGAGACGGGCAATCAGTCTGAGGCGACGTAGCGGCATTGGCGAGCGAATCTTGAAGACGATGCGTCAAGAGATGACTGGGCGCTGGCGAGAAACACCTCACGGATAGACAACTCTCATTTTCTCGGAGACGCAGCTCTATTCCCGGAGATAGATAGTGGGCCTCGGCGGCCGGTCTCCGGTTGTCGGCCATACTCACGATATAATCGGGGTCTGTGATGAGGGCCATGCTGACGACGGAGCTAGCGGTGAGCTGTCGAATGTGCCCGGTGCTACAGGTAACTGGAAGAAGAGCCGCAAGGCCGAATAGCGCCGCTGATGATGGGGGCGAGCAGGCTGGACGGCGCTGCAGGAGAAGAATCTGCGATGTGCGGCTGGATGAGGCAAGAAACGGCCAGGGACAGATTCGCGCGAGGGCCTGGCTCGACACTCCAGGGCATCACCCACCCCCCCCCATCAACCAAGGCTCAGCCATGACAGACAACCACAGGCAGTGACCGCCCCGGACAAGAGCGCCCGGGTGCTTCGTCTGGTTTTTATTCTGTGTGCTTTGCCAGGTAGTCGAGGGTGCTCGGAGCAACCCCGAAAGTAGGCGGCAGCGGAATGTGCTGCTCGAAACAGAGCACTCGGACGAGGGCTGCGTGGTGGATTGCATGGTTTGTCGCCTGGCCACATGGGAGAAATCGATCGGTTGAGCAGCCACGGACAAGATCACCTCGCTGCTGTATGAACTCTCTAATCGCACAGGACAACCGGCAGTTCAGCTGGGCGCCGTCGGAGAGAACCAGAATATGGCGCACGGGAAGCGACAGAGCGGCGATTGCGCAAACCGACGGAATGAAGAGCGGATACGTACGAACCAGAGCTCTCGGCCATACGTCGATAAGAGCTCGGATCTCGGTTTGTCTGGTCCGGTTTGGGCTCGAACAACGACAGGGGTCGTCAATGCGATCTGCATCTGGCACGATCTGATGAGCGTCTTGACAGAGCGAATCGCCGAGTCGGCAGCTTCGATGTTCTGCTCGGTCAGGATCTGGCGGCACGGGAAGCGAAACACACAGTCAGGATTGCAGATGGGCTGAAGGACGACTGCAAGCCAGGCTCGATCTCTGGAGGAGCTGTGAGCCGGACAATCACCGCCAGAGCGCAATCGATCGAACCTCCCGCTGCCGGCTATCGTAGTCGATGGTCCACCGGCCAGCAGGGACGTCCTTTCCGACCGGTGTGGGCATATGCTTGTATATCAGGGTAAAATGATCGAGGACATGCCGGAGATGCTTGCCGATGGTCGAATGCGGGATGATGCTGGATTTGGCGACAAGCGCATCGCTCGCAGACAACCGGATCGCCTGCAACAGGGTCTCGAACTGAGCCAGCAGTCCTATGGCCGAGTCGTGGACCAAGCAGTGTCGGAGAGCGGTCTCGTCTGCGCTGGACATACGATGCAGTCGAGATCGGGGCGAGGACGGTCGCAGACACGACCGCCGCAACAACGGCGACATGAGATCACAATCGCTGGGATGATCCGCTGGGCAGGCCATGCTCATGCGGGACCAAAGCCCTCCTGGGCGGGAGCGGCTTGGCCAGGGGCACTCGCACTTCATCTCGCCCCGTCCTGGTCCTCTGGCCGCCTTCCAGACAGAGCAGACGATGGAAGCCGTCTTCAAGCAGCTCGGCGTGATCGCCTCGGCTTCGTGGGGTGTGGCCAAACGCATCATGCCCGCTCGTCTGACCTCGCTCGCCGAGACCTCCGAGACATATGCCTTGGCCTTTGTCGAAACGGGCCAGGTCCTGGCATCGCGCTATCCGGTTCTGAAGGTAGATGCCGAGCAGAAGGGCGGCGCTGCGGACAGCGGACTCGGGCCACCAACCACTACTAACCCGCAGCTCCCGCAGTTCTTCATGTCGACGCTGCTGGCCCTGCTGGCTGTTCCTCTTGCGGTCTACGCCATTGCCATAGTGCTCCTGTTTGTTTGCGTGGTTGTTGCGGCCGTGGTAGTCGTTGCCATCTTCAGTCTGCTTGGGGCGGCATTCCTCGGTCCAGCCTTCATGCTCTCGACATGTGGGGCCATTGGTATCTCGATGCTCTACGCAGTGGCATTCAACTTTCGTCAGATCGAGGGCAAGAATCAGCCAAAGTCCAAACCCGAACGTCGCTCAGCAGCAGCGGTGACCGAGTGAGAACGCGGCCCAATCGATTCAAGTGGTTTCGGCAGAAGCGAGCGGCGATGGGAAAATGCAACGGTCTTTGATTTCTCTGCCTCTCGGGTCTCGGCGATGAGCTGCTCTTCCGGCAATGCGTCCGGTGCACAGCAGGTTTCAATGTGTTGCTTCCAAGAGACTTGCCCGATACAATGTTGTACCTAAGCACGTTCGCATACTGAAATGGAGCCATTTGAGGTTGGCGGTCCATCTATCGCTGGGCTCCGATCACATACATTCCGATCCCGCAGGCTGGCCGTCCTCCGCTCGTGCCTTGTCTTGGTTCATTCTCAAAGCTGACGTCAGGGTGCTGGGCAGAGGAAACCGCCTCCAGAAATGCAATTGATCATCCCACGCACAGGGTTGACCAAGGAGGGCTGGTGGGAAGTGGGTGACGCTGGCATCAAAGTGCGCTGAATGATGTGATCCGATTCAGGAGAAACAGGACACACTGATTTCCACTTGGATAGCCAAGTCTGAAATGGCCCGCGGTTACAGTCGGTCCAGGGGCAGTCACTTTCTGGCATGAGCGACACAATCTTACTGAACTTCCGTAGGCCCCAGTGGGCAAGCCGTGCGATTGTTTCCCGTCCTGGTTAGCAATCTCTTGGTGTGGTGCATTCACTCGACCCTCTGAACAGATCCATGGTTTCCCGATATCAAGATACTCGGCCTTCTCAAGTCGCCTGGCTTCCCGAAAATGTGAGCACACCTGTAGATCGAGTCGCTTGAATCGCCGTCGCCTAGGTGGTGTCTTTCGGGGAGCCATCTGAGGGAGAAAGCGTCCTTGATTCAGATCCAGAAACACACCACTGAATGGTCATGGCCAGCGCGCGATGTCTTGAATGACAATATTCGTCCAACGACCAAAATCCGGGGTGTCCCGTTTTTGGATCGGATGTAAGAGACAATCGGACATCAAGGGATCACCTTGGCAGTCTTCGCTTCAGCAGCCTCCAGCGAAGTCACCGGACCTCCACAATCGTCCCGCACACAATACCACGACGGTCGTGTGAGAAACGGTCCAACACTGGCACCCGATTCGATCTCAAGAGGAATTGGGTCCGAGCCACCGACGGCAGTGATGGTGGGTTTTTCCCTGATATCATTTTGGGGATATGTATTGAACTATTCAATCAGAGGCATGATTGGCAGTGACGATACCACTCGGCTCTGCATCCTGCTATGGGACAACTGTGGCCCATGGACTTTGACCACATTCGCTGCCGGACCGACGGGACACTTCCCTCTCGGCGATTTGCCTTGTGGCTTGCCTCGGCGACCATCATTCCGACGACCATCGTCCCGACGACCATCGTCTCGGCCACCACCATTTCCCAACCACATGCATCCATCAGGCAATTGCCTTCTCTGAGCAATGCTGCGTATCTTTGGGTCTCTCTTGGTTCTGTGGCTGCTCTCCATCTTGGCCGACATGGTCGATGCCGTGCATCATGGATCCGTCGCGGTCAAGGTCGGCCTCATTTACGACATTGACGATCCGATCGACTTTCCCGAGAACCCGTATCTCCTGACGGCAATGCAGATGGCTTTCAACGAAATCAACAACAGCTCGACGATCCTGCCGAGTGCGTTCATGCGCCATTGACGCTGGTGCATGCAGACCCTTTCGCGTCGCTCGTTCTCATGCAAACCTCCGTCCGTGATCGACGCCATGCTCACCCAGGACCCAATATGACCTTCATTGTGCTCGACGAGCAGATGTCACGCTACTGCCTGTCGTCGGCAGCAGCCGCGGCTCATTCAGCGACGGAATGTAATGGTTCGAAGCTCGCTCTCTCGGCCTCACATGCACTTGCTGCACTTGCTGCACCGAACTCGCCACTCACACGTGCGGCTCCTTGCCGGCGTTCGTTCCAGCGTCAGTCTCCTCGATATGATACAAAACGACGGCATCAATGCCGTGATCGGAGACACAACCAGCGAGGTGGGATTGCGTCCGCCCACGACGCTCTGTGCAAATCTCGTTGGATCATCGACTCACGCCTCTGCCATGTCTTCAGCAAAGCGAATACGAAGCAACCATATCCAGCTTCTATGATGTGAGTCTCGCTCTTCAGAGACCCGGCGACTGATCTGCCTGTTGCTTACTGACCTCGCTGCCCATCAACAGATCCTCCACATCGGTCTGTTCACCTCCGCAACCATACTCACCAACAGGACAGCATACCCGGTACGGTTCCAGCCGCACGCAGCCTGACTGCTTGATGGCCCGATGTCCCGATGTCCCGATGGCTCGGTGGTTGCCTCACAGGAGTGATCCCACAGGGGCCGTCTAACGCAATAGCCGTCTCACCGAGTTGTGCTCGCAGACCTATCTCTCTCTTGTTGAGCCCAGCATATACTATCTCCAAGCACTATTCGCCTTTGCCAGAGCCATGGGGTGGCGATCGGTATGCACCGTGTTGTTGAACAGAGCTGGGGTGCCGTGAGTGATCCGAGTGTTCCAACTGTCCGAGTGGTCTCGCCTCGGGGGTGAATCTCTCGTGTCGGCCGACTGATCTGCTCATCCGGCAACTCACAATCAGGTGGCTCTAATGTACAGTCGTGAGCCATTTGGAACCACGGGTAAGCATGCCAGTGAACCAGCCGCTGCAAATGTCGTCTCGATCTGTGGGTCGTATCGAGTTTCCGAGCAGAGTGGATTGCCAGAGCCGAATCATGTTCACGAGCACGGACGATTGGGACACGCCACATTCACCCATGCGTCATGTCCTGCAGCAAGGGACGATGCCAAGTCCGTCGCCAACGCAATGGGATTCAATATCGTTCTCGAGCAGGTGGGAACTGAACCCGAGCCGGTGGAGCGACGGACAGGGGGGCACTGGTCTGGCCTGGATCTCTGGGCCGGGATCTGGGCTCTGTCAAACAACCCCGAGTGCCCAGTCCCAGAGTACCCACAGTCCACTGCCTGACTGCCTGGCTGCCTGACTGCCTGACTGCCTGACTGCTTCATGACCCGCAATCGCCACTAGGGATTCTACGGACCCACTCAAGGGAACCGCTCCGACCTGGCCATTCCTCTCGAGAATCTCCAAAAGTCAAGGGCAAAGATCATCATCGTCTGCGCCATCGCCCAGTACACATCCGATCTCTACTACATGGCATATGAGCGCGGCTTGGTGGGCCCAACATATGTCTGGATGGTCAGTGGCGCCGTCGGCCCGATGTCGGTGTTGCTGAGCGGGGTCGTCCAGGATGCCTTCCCAGGTGCTCACACCGAACCATGCAGGGCCTCAACATCCCGTACTACAGTTTTTTGAATGTCTCGTGGTTCAGCGGTGATCCGATACAAGCGGCACAGGGCTACATGTATCGTACGTACGTTCTGTCAGCATCCGTGTTCGCAGATGGCTCGGCACTGTTGCCTTATGATGTCGTGCTGATGGAACGCACCATTTACTGATCTCAGCCTTCCATGGTCGCTATAACCCTCAGCCTCTCCGAATGTCACGAACGGAGTCGGGTACAACGAGTTCAGCAACAAATGGAACAGCATGTCGCTCCAGAACGCAACCATGTATCCGCTGTTAGCGAGTGACGAATGGGATTGGGGCGTTCGGTATGATGTCGAACCAGTTGTGCACATGTCGCAGAGCCGATGATCCGATCCCGCTCCCACTCTGTCGTTGAGTGAATCGGTGCAATTGCCATCTTTCTCATGCGAACAAACAACCTCCCATCCGTCTCAAGAGGGGTTTACGACGCCGCTTACATCATGGCGCTGGCATGGGTAATACTCTGACGGCACAGTCGTGCACAATCGTGCACCGTTGTGCACAGTCATGGAACGGTGGACACTCAGCAGCGAATCTGCGACTGCTCACCTCCCTGTCGACGGTTGTCTCACAGACCAACCTCACTCGGATCTACCCGGACACCCCGTTCCTGCAGCTGCTGGCGACCAACTCGACGTATCCCTTGCGCGCCGTTGGTGATCTGATCTACGACGGCGCATCGGGATACTCAATCTTCAATGCCAATGGAATCGTGGAGGTCGGTGGTCGAGATCGTTGTTGGACTTGGTCCGATGCTTCCTCTGGCAGAGGCAGTGCTCTGTCCGCCCAGCCGGGTCGGTAATGATGATGATTAGCGGGCTTGAGTGTTTATTGCTATAACAGCTCCGCCATCACCATCTGTAGAGACCGTATGCGATCATTTCTCTTGTGTGCCAAAACGACACGATGAATTATGATTACGTGGCATACTACGAAAACGACGAGATCATCACAGACTGTCACACGTGTCAATACTACAACTTTGATGGCTCAACCAAGGTGAGTCATCCAAGGCGGCTCATCAAAGGTGGATGCGGAAAGGTGGCCACCCCTGAGACTGGTGTCTGGGCCGTGGTTGCTGATGGGCCGCATCGCTCTTGGCAGGCCACTGCTAACATCCCGGTCCATGCTCTGCGGCGGTGCATCGACGACACACCTGCTGTTCACAACTCGCTCGGATGTCCAGGTTCCCTCCGACTCGCTCTTTGAAGGTGAGGGCCGACGCCGTCGCTCGCCGATGCACCACGTCCACAGACTAACTCCTCAGACTAACTCCGCGGACCACTCCACGGATCACTCCATGGACCACCTCACGGACCCGCTTCAGTGTGTCCGCCTGGATGGCAGTCGTATTCCAGTGAAGTGGTGTCGCAGCTCTGTGTCCCATGTCCTGAGGGTATGCCTGGACTGCCTCGCACTCGGAAGATAAAGCTCTCGACGAAACGCAGACAGCACCCGCATCGCTGCGGATGGTCGACACATAGACTCTGCAGATAGTCGACACATTGACCCTGCTGGTGCTCACAGATCGAATCCATTGCCACAGGAACATACAATCTGAACTCCAATTCGACCTGCAAGCCCTGTCCTGTTGGCGCGGTGTGCCAGAGTGGCAGCATCATGATCGCCAAGGGCTATTGGTACAACGCAAATGCCTCGGCAATCGATTCCGCATTCTATCTGTGCGATGCAACCGCAAACTGTGAGCTCGTTGGTGCCCCACGGCCGCTGCTGGCATGCTGCTGGTGCGATCTCGATGGTGCAGATACTCACAATTCTGCCTTGAACAGGCTGTCCAAACGCATGTCCGATCGGTGGTGGAAACCAGTGCATCCACGAACACAGCGGAGTGTATGTATCGGCAGGGACTCGATCGAGATGGCGCTGGGAACACGAGGGAGGTTGGGTCGGTGGTATGGTCGCTGATGTGATGGATTGGATCGGTGATACGGTCGCTGCTTTGAGGGTCGATGACAGAGTGGAAGTGAACAGCAGCACATCCACGCACAGCAGCACATCCGTGCAGATGCAACCAACGGCGATGGCGACAACGACGGCTGACAGCTCGGGACTCTCCAGGCTCTGTTCGCAGTGTCCCAGCGGCCAGTACGAATGGGGTGGCCAATGCACCCACTGCGACAGCCTCGGCAGCAACATTGCTGTCGGAGTCGCGGCATTTGTTGCTATTTTCGTTGTCGTCTGCATCCTGTGTGTGATTCCAACATCCAAGGAGGGATTTCTGGTCGACCTGGTAAGCATTCGTGTTGCGAGTATGCGGCGAGTATGCGGCGAGTATGCGGCGAGTATGCTGCGAGTATGCTGCGAGTATGCGGCAAGAGCGGCAAGAACATCGCCGTGGACCCTGCGGCGACTGGCTGTCTGGCAAGGATGGACATGCTCCATGAACTCACGCCGTCTCTGCATCCATCTCAGATATTTGTGTACCAGGTTGCCTACCTCCTGGACTTTGACCACACAACGGCCCTGTCTCGAGCCCTGGCGTTTCTGACCCTGAGCTTGAACATCCAAAGTGGCGGAAATGGATGCATCCTCCCACTCGACCAGTTTGCCAAAATGATCTCGGCCTATGTGATGGTGATGGCGATGGTCGTCTGCCTGGGACTGTGGCATGTTCTGATCCAAGTGCTCAGGAGTCCGAATCGAGGCCCGCTGGCCAGGAGGGCCTGGAAGACGATAGTTCGGTGGTTTTCGTACCTCGACACCAGCTTCAAACACTCGCTGACTCGATCGGTCATCGTCTTGGCGCTTTTCAGCTTCAGTCTGGTGTACAGCACAGGTGAGATGCCAGCACGGTCGCCGGGGGAGCGTGGTCGAGTGAGCAATGTCGACGAGGGAGTGGTTTCGACGGGTGAATCGAATGGGTCAGTGCTTTGAATGGGTCAGCACTTTGAATGTGTCGGTGCTTGCATGAGGCGATGAACTGACCAGTGCTCTCCAGCCGTGACGATCCTGTCCTGTCGGGCCATCGAGGGGTTTCCATCGGTCGTCTGGGACTATCCGTCGGTCCAGGTGCGTTGCCGCTGCTTGCCGTTGCTTGCCGTTGCTTGCCGTTGCTTGCCGTTGCTTGCCGTTGCTTGCTGCTGGAGTGGAGGCAGTGCGTTTGAATCGGGTCACTCTGGAGTCGGACTGATCTGGGATCGATTCGACTCGACCCACCATGCCAACACCACTCCCACCACCACCACTCTCACCGCCACCACTGTCACCATCGGCGGATCGGATGCCAGTGTTGGACCGATTCCCACACAACCGTGGCGGTGTTGTCCGGCATCATCCTGGTCGCCCAAGTGATTGTGATCCCTGCTGCAATCTTCCGTCGGGGATTTTATCAGCGAGACAAAGAAAGGACTGCAAACAAGGCATCGACGCTCATTGTCCGTCGCAAACACAGCGAATCGAATGTGCCCTCAGTCGAATCGGAAGTAACGGATCCATTCTATGATCTGTACAGCTGCTACGTTCGACGGTATCGTTGGTGGATGTCGGTGGACCTGATAGAGCGCTCCATGATCGTCGGACTGCCGCTGCTGCTCCGTTCGACAGGAGGTGGGTATCGGCCACAATGGCGCTTGTACATGGCTCGGCGGGATGTCACATGGTCCTCGAAGATCATCCAAGACCGGCCATGGTAGTGACGCCGTATTCCCACCATCTCAGCCTACACGCCCAGATACGCAACACTTCTCATTCTGTGGATGTTTTTGCTTGTGCGGTATGCAGTATGCAGTATGCGGACGTGGCTGGGAACCGTCGCTGACACCAACAGGCATTGGCGAGACGACATGTTGGTGATGTGGTGGGGCTCGCCGACCATTGGCAGGTCGTCTGCCGCTGACATTATGCCCGACCACAGTACGTTTGTGATGCCATACAAGCTGGCGGCTGACAACGCCGTCAGAATCGTCGGATACATGGCTTTGATAGTCGTGTTTTCTCTCGAGCTTCGTCAAAAGTACCTCCTGGATCAGTATGGAATCGAATCGACTGACTCGCTGGTCGAAGAGACAATCGCAACGATCATACCCTGTGTCCTGCTGGTGCCCGTCAAGATATTCTCAAAGATACCTCCAGAGAAGAAGAGGAAGATCGGCAACACGATTCGCTCGATTCGTTTGTCTCGTGCCAAGACCATCGAAGACAGGGTGTGATGCTGGAGTGCAGCAGGCTCACGCCGAACAGGCCCGCCGATGTGTGCTCTTCACATCAACCATGGTTTTCAGCGCAGTGATCTGCAGGCTGCAGTGGGTCGGCCGTGTGATTGTTCCCTGTCCCGACTGCCGCTTTGCAGAGCAGCCTTGATATATACTATGCATTCGATCCTCTGGATAGCTCTGTACAATTGCAATTGCCGTGCAATAGGGAATTGCGATGTAGAGGTGGCACGCAACATACTCAATCGTGCGCGGGGCGACTGTGGAGGTCCAGTAGTTTCACCGGATGCTGCCAAGTGAGGGCTGCCAAAGTGAAGGCTGTCGAGATGATCCATTGATGGACGATTGCCTCTTGGGCGCAGGCCATCACGCACTACTGAGTGTCAAGATCGTGGCCGACCAATGTGGCTCCAATCAATGGCTACGCTCCCAGGGACAATCTGGGCCAACGGATTCGCCGGCATCCCTGGGCTCCGTTGATCCGAAAGAAGCCAGGCGTCCCGCCTTGCCCTCATCTCCTCTGCATGTCCCATTTCCCTCCGGATTGCACATTTCGCCAGGAATGTCGGACACGCCCACGAAGGCTGCGGAAGCAGCCAGTCCTCAGGAACTGCGGTACCCCGCCCTCTCCTTTGAAAATGCAACGGCCAGAAGCATCGACACATCGTGGACAGCGCCAAGCATGGCGGTCGGCTCGCCGAAATCCCCCACTGGGAAGGTCGATACCGTTTTCTACCAGCTGTCAAGGTCGGAGGGGTCAAGCTACGAGTATTCGCTCGCGTACGAGGGAGCTGATCAGAAGGTGACCGTGGCGGGACTCAATCCACTGACGACCTACACGTTCAAGCTCAAATTCCGGTTTTCCGAGGCAGAAGAGTGGCACAAAACGTCGGTCGAAGGCTCGGCATCGACGACAGGTGCGTCGTGGCCTTCGTTCTCGCGTGTGCTGATGAGTGGTTTCCAGAGCGAGCAAAGGCCAGAGGGCGCTGCCCTTCCGATCTATTCGTGGTCGAGACGATGTCGGGGAGAAGTGGATCGATGATGCTCTCGATTAACACCGTCCACCTATACCGCTGGCGCCTTCCGGCGTATTCGTGTGCTGCTGGCTGCGATCGACCGCCTCTCGCTCGGGCAGACGAGAATCTGGTCACCAAGGTTACGACACAGCTTCTGCGGGCGATTCAAGACAACAACGACTCTGCTGTGAGCCAGATCCTCTTCCAGCATTCCAAAATCATCAATCTCGATTCGCGGGACAAGTACGGCAAGACGCTGCTGATGGTGAGCGTTCCCACCAGAGCGTAAGCCGGCGCGTGGGAAGCGATGCAGACCAGGCCGAGATGGTGCTGGATGTCCCAGCCCGATGGGCCCGGATGCGGGAGGAAAGCGGCGGTTGGCTAATCATGCAGATTCACTTGCGTGCACTCAGGTTGCCTGCCAGAACCCCAACACCGCAGTGGTGACCACCCTGCTCCGATACGGCGCCAGCACGATCTCGACAACGCAGAGCGGCAAAACCGCGCTCTCGCTGGCAGTCACCTACGACAACCTCAAGGCCGTCCAGATGCTGATTGACTATGGCGTCGACGTCAACTCGGTGGACCAGGGCGGCTCGACACCGCTCATGTGGGCCTGCGACAACGCCAATTCCAACAAGCACGGCTTCCAGATCATCGATGCCCTCGTCAAGGCCGGGGCGCGGATCGATGCCGAGGACGGCACGGGCCAGACGGCGTTCGATCGCTTGTGCTTTTCCTCCGGCAACGTCATGGCCGCCCGTTTGCTTCTGCAGAGCGGCGCCAAGCTGATCCAGTACCCTGATCGCAAGCACAGTATGACTTCGCTGATGAGTGCCGCCCTCAACAACCACCGCGAACTCTGCCGGGAGCTCATGTATCAGTGGAACGCGGATCCCTTTGCCACGACCGAGCATGGATACACTGCCAAGAGCTTTGCCGAAAGCAAGGAAAACACAGTGGTGGTGGAGCTGCTGTTCCAGCGCATGAGGCAGCTGGAAGCAGATATGGCCAAGGAGAAGCGCGAGTCGGATCTGTCCTTCATGGCGCCACGAGCCAGTACAAATGCCAAGTCGGGGACGTCGGCTGGGATGGGCGGCTGAGGGTTCCGCCGCTGCACGACGACTCCAAGCGAGGTCGGGGAGCTTTCGAGTGCTCTGCGTGAGATGGCATGAGCTCAGCGATCGGAACAAAGGCAATATATCTCATCCAAAGGAAACAGAGGATACGGCCATCCAGATTGATTTGTTGATTGTGGTGCAGAGCCCACCAACTGGCCCGTTTGCTCGCCACCACTGCTTCCTCAGGCCGGCATTGAATGCTGGTGATGATGATGATGATGATGATGATGATGATGATGATGATGATGGTGGTGGTGGTATTAATATGATAGTATTAATTACAGCGTATTCGGGGAGGACGGGAGGCATCCACATGTTCTACACAAGGGTGCTATGGGTTGAGAAAGTGTGCCAGAGGAGGGGCACGCTCATCAGCACCACTATGTCCTGCTGTGGTTCCCGCCTCGGTCGTCGAGTAGCTCATCCACTTGTCCCATGTCAAAGTCTTCCGTATCCAGGTCAAGGCGATCGTCGCCACCGTCATTGTCGTCATCGCGGTCGTGTGGGCCTAGTTCATGCTCGAGACTGAGTAGCGCCATTCTATAGCTTTGCTCGTCGTCATCGTCGTCCTGCAGACGGCTGTAGTTGCGGCTGCCAAAGGCCAGGTTGGTCAGGTGGTGGGTGAACTGCCGCCAGCTGCCAGAGCGGGCCGGCGGTAGTTGGAGAGAATCGGGGTCTCGGTGCCCCTGGGATGGACGCAGCAGCGCCATGACCTTGACGTAGTTGTACATTCCGATGCCAAGCAGACTGATGACCAGGCCGATGACATTGACGGCATTGAGCCGGTCGTGAAAGACAACCATGCCGGCAATGATTGTGATGATTTCCTTGAAAACCCCTGCAATCGAGAAGGTCACGACGGACGTGTGCGAGATGAGGTAGAACTCGAACATGACCATCACAAAGGCAAGGACGCCGCCCATGATCAGGATCAGGCTTGTCTGCAGCGCCGTCGCGAACTGGGCATAGAAGGGCGAGGCAAACACCGCCCCGAAGCCCTCGACGATCATGGAGGCTGCCATGAGCGAGATCGCCATGAGCGGCGCCAGCACAACCGAGGCCGCAAACGGGTTGCTCATGCCGATCGATTCCTTTTCCAGTAGGACTTGCGTCAGGGCCCAGCGCAGGCCCGATAGAACAGTCGCCAGCTGGACGAAAAAGTAGCCGAGGGCGTCGAACTTGGTCTCGTGGAGGACGGTGAGGAGAATGCCAACAAAGATGGTCAGGATGATCAGCGTCAGCTTCCAGGTGGGCTTCTCGAGGCCGAACAGAAAGGCGAACAGCAGCACAAACACGGGCGAGGCTGACTTGACCATGGTGTAGAACGTCAGGGTGATGTGCTGGACAGGGGAGGGAGGAGGCAGGTCAGGACGGCGGATCGACATGGTACAGTCAGAGACAGCCATTAGCCAAGTCGCATGAGGACGAGATCCCCTGCGTGGGTGAGGACGACTTGGAGAATGCTGCCGGCAGGTCCCATAGCCGAGCGAGCTGGCGGCTCGGGGACGCAGATGCAAATGGCACTCGAGGCGAATATCAACGACGAGACCTTGCCTTCGCCGCGCGGCCAGCAGCTTACCTGCAGACTGCTATTCGACAGCCCGATATCCAGGCCCGTTGCCATGCTGCAGGGCAGCACCCTCAAAACGTAGTCCCGCAGAGATGGGAGCCGGGTCGGCTTCATGGACGGCAGGATGCATGTCACCACCAGCAGCGAGAGCACCGACTGCATCATCATGTGGATCATGGTCGTGAAGAGCGGAAAGTGAAAGCCGTAGTGGTCCTTGGAGAGCAGGAACTTGTTGTATATCGCCAGACAGAGCGAGGTGATGTACCAGCCGAGGATCCTGTGGTGGGTGGCGAGAGCAGACAACAGGACGCACCCGATTCGCAGCGGAGGCGAGCGTCAGAGACGGTGCAGTCTCATAGCGTGACGAGACGGCCACAATAGCGGCTACAGACGAGGATCGAGGAGCCAGAGGGCTCGCTCTGGGACAAAAGCAAGAGCACGAGCAGAGCAAAGCAAGAGCAGAACGACACAATAGCCGCCAGGCGACGATCGAGGTCGACAGGGCAGCTTCCTGGCAGCCGAGCAACCCCCGGCAGTCCACGGCATCGGGTCCAGAGAAAGCGCCTTACAGTATCGCAGCAATGGCAGTCGAGCGGTAGAACTCATAGGGAGACATGTGTTGCTTGGTTCGGGGCGATGGGCGAGACGAATCAGTGGCCGAGGGCGAATGCAGCACCGAGGCATCGTTGATGCGAGACATCAGATCATGGTCACCGGCCATTTCTTCTCGGGATTCCCAAAGACGATGATGAGATGAAGGCGAGAGCGGCGCCTGGCAGCGATGGCAGAGGCAGCGACAGATGCAGCAGCGGCCGAGAGACGACCAACGGCAGGAAGAAGAACCGATCCAGCACGAACGGGCCGCAAAGGAGGCTGAGCCGCATACGCCGGGGCGGATTTCGTACCAATCAAGCCGCGGATATCGACACTCTTGTCCATTGCATCCGGCCTCGCTCGAAATCCCTCTTCCAGCCAAGACCCGTCATCTCCTCCCACTCGCTCATTCTTCGAAGCAGCCATGTCCACTTCCGACGACATCATTCGCCACATCATCCAGGACATCGTCGCCCGGTCAACGACGGCGCTCAAGTCTCGTCGGGATGCGCTCGCGACGCACTACGCAGAGCAGCTTTCTGACGGGAACGTCGGCCTGTCGCTGCATTCGATTCATCCTCCGCTGCCGATGACTCCGATCCCGGGAGCAAAGCATCTCTTCACCTCCATTCATTCGCACACTCAAAGCACCGTCATCACCGAGACCCTGGCGGCATTCATGGTCCGCGCCGTCGTGCTCGATCCGCGACACGAGTTTCGAATCGACCAAGACTTGTCGCGCGACGAAGTCAGCAGGCTCATTCAGGCAGGTTGCTTGGGCGTGCAAGCGGGCCACAGTGAAGTGCATGAGCATCAAGGAACGATATGGTTGCGGCCAGATGGGAACCGATGGGCTGAGCGGCAGTTCGAGCTGACGCCTCTCCTCTGTCGTCGACTCGGGTATGCCTACAGATCGCCGTGGAACTCATCCTGTCCCTCAACAACCCGGTCATGGAGACCGTGAAGATGCAGGTGTACTTTGACACCAACTTTGCCGCACAGGGTGAGTATCTGGCCATACGACCGTTCGTGCGGACCGTGGTCACTGCGTACTGCACATCAAACAGCCACTCACCAGGGCCGCTATGTGGGCGGGGTGCGGATGTATCTGCAAATCACAGCCGAGTTCCTGCATCGCGAGAAGATGGTTCGCATCAACGCATGTGCTCCGATCCTCCGAGAAATCACCGAGGTCAAGACAAAGTCCGTTTCAGTCTATGAAGGTGGGTGTGACTTTTGGATGCTTTATGTGTATGCGGGAAGGCATGTATCCCTGTGAACAGTGGATGGATGGGCACCCCTCCCCATCGTATCGGAGGAACAGTACACTCTGACCTGGGGTTATTGAATACCGCGCTCGGATGCTGGGCACACTGTTGATGCACCACTGAGCGTGCTGCTGCTTCTCAGTTCTCTACCGCAGGATCGTCTCATACATCATGATTCGAAGCCACGTCGGCAACCCGATGGACATTCGTGTCGTTCGTGAAGCCACAGGTAAAGCCGAGTCAGCGAGCGGGCCGCTTGTGGCATGTGTGTCGCACTGCGAGTACGTTCTGGTCAATGGCAGCTGTACAGAAATCATCGACCAAACCGGCGCACTCATGGAGGGGCCGCTTCGCTGTCCGGCAGCGTCCCATTGGCGGTCTGGCACAAGTACCGTCTCGCGACCCTGTCGACTCACACTCGCCCCTCTCCCTCTCCTATTTTGCGCATCCACTTGCTGATGAAATATCGACTCCAGCCGCTTTGGAGTCCGTCTTCCCGCAGAGCGAGCTGTCGACCTTCATCTCGCTTGGACGCGCCGAAAAAGAGGCCCAGCTTAACGGACTCTCTCAGCTCGTCACTGGCATTCGTCTCTTCAACAAGCATCTCGGAAAGGGCGGCGAGTACATTGAGAGCTGTAAGTCCAAGCGCCTGCCTATGTTGATGAAAGAAGCGCGTCGCTTGCCTCGAGAGGCTCATATCACAGCACAGTTGGCACAGCTTCTCCAAAACGAGGCGCTGATCGTGCTTCGCAGGGTCATCCAAAGCGTCTCCAACTTCTCGCAGTCCTTACTGGGATATGAGTTTGTGCTTTGGAAGGACTCACATAGTTTTATGTGTCCCACTCAACGGGCTGCTCGATGTTTGTTCTTGTGCCACATTTGCAGTGCCGGAGATCTGCAACGAGGAACTCATGGATCTGTCGAACCTCATTGACAAATTCACCAAAGAGACCGAGACACTCATTCGACTCTATACTGGTAAGTTCGGTATGGTATGGCATGGTGTGGTTTGATATGGTATGGTGTGGTTTGGTGTGGTGGCGGTGGCGGTGGCGGTGGCAGCGGTTCCTGGCGATCCGCGAACGAGCCAAGAATATCGACACCGACAGTCAGACTTGGTTGCACGGCCGTCCTGTGGCCCAACTGTCGGAAGGAGTGATCGCCAGGCGAGTCATGCCTCAGCCCAGAGATACACTCGCATTGACCCTGTACATCGGCGGTGCGGTGTTGTGGTTTGTGATCTGCAGCCATCATCGACTACATGGAAAAGACCCCCCAGCCTGTGATGGGAATGCTGACGCCCGCCCGAGTCAAGTCGGCGCTGGTCTTTCGTCGACAGTACTTGATGTACCTCGATGCACTGCAGGTATACCCGTGCTGGATCGAAAGCGAGGCGAATCGCTCACAGGATCCACTATTGTCTGGTCACCCTGCCTCCCCGTTTTACGCCCTGCTGGCGTGTGTGGAGGGGGGGGCGGGATACCAAATCTGCGCAATGTTTGTCTGCCCGGAGGCGCACTGGTTCATCGTCCATATGGCGATCCATATGGATGATGTTCTGTGGTGACCAGCACCCTCGACCAAGCGATGAACCACATTGACATGTCTGTGCTGACTGAACAGGAGCAAGCAAAGTACAGCCGATCGACCCTGGGCAGCCTCAATGACAAGCACGACCAGACGATCCATGATTTACGTGCAACGTGCAAGTCCAAAACAGCCGTCCCGGTCGACCAAGTTTATGTGAGTTGCGCATTCTGGTGTCAGAGAGCGTGAGGAGCGGCCTCTGGTAACTGCTTCAGGAGGAAGCAACGCACGCATCGATAGAAACCAGCAACCCTCGCGGCTGAGCCATTTTCTCAACTCCCTCCCCCAATTCTCTGCTGAATGACGGACTACGCCGTCTCCAGCCTCAATTCATCATGCTGGCCAACCTCTGGAACTGTTGGCTCGACGAGCTGTTTCTTCTTGCCTTCCGGCGTGGAATCCTGGACACGATTGACTACCATTCCAAGGTGGGTTCAAATCATCATCATGCTGCTGCTGCTGGTGGTGTCGGTGCTGAGTGCTGAGTGCCCGTGTGGTATGTTCATTCCACCACCGACATTAAGGCCAGCCGTGCTGACGCACTGTGCCAACGAGTCCCCGTCGGAACTGGGTGGAGTAACCATGTGCGGATGTACGTCTCTCGATGTAGTCCTTTGTGGTCGAGATCACGGAGGAAATTGGCACTGCAGCTTGAACCTTTCCTGGGCGATATCGAGCCACCCGCGTCACTTGGTAAGGACCAGGAGTGCGGTACTGCCATCGCGGGCAATCCACTACGACCTCGACTAGGACTCATGGCGCCCTGTCCTCGCCCTGGCAGAGAGCAACATCATCTCGGTCGCGACGGAGCTGATGGTGATTGTGTCGGCGATCCACAAGTCGATCGAAGTGGTACACCCTGGAAATACCACACACTACTATCGACTGCCAGTGGAGTTTGGCGTAAGTTGAGGATGTGTCTGCTGCTGTGACGAGAGCACGGTGTGATGTAACTCTGGCCCTGCATTTCGCTCCCCCTCCCTTCCGCGCACCCTCGCAGGGATACTGCCCTTACACCCTGGTCAAGCGCGACGGCTTGGTGTCGAATGGCAACCGGAACATTGGCTTGCTCAAGTACCGCGACCGACTCTATGCACTGGTCTCGATCGAGGCCGCGAAGGAGTTTTCCAAGTTCCCTGATCGGTGAGCAACAGCACTCAGCAGGTGTTGGTTTGTCGGAGAGCGCGTTGGGCAATCGATTGAGGATGCTCGTGGATTGAACGGGCAATCAATCGACCAAAGCGTCGGCTACTGAATCAGCCTGCGGATGAGCTGGCCAAGCAATGAGTCTGTCGGATGGAGGAGGGGTGAGCGCGCTCACACCTGAGGTCCAGGCTATCGTGGTCGGTGACCGGAGTGACGGTCTGTCGGCAGGCTCTTCGACTCTATGCTAATGTGTTTGGATGTATCGTGGCAGGTATATCGAGGGTGTTCTTGAGACGGCCAAGCGCTCGCCAGACCTTGTTCAGCTGCTGCATTTGTACAACTACTTTCCGACCGTTGAGGCACTTGAGAGTGTAGGTGCTGCAGTTCGTCGTTGCCGGTTCGGCGGACAGGGGACGTGGAGCGCGGGAGAGGGGCACGAAGCGCTGGTGTGGGCATGGTGTGGGCATGGTGTGGGAATGAGCCTGGACGGCCTCAGCCTCGGCCTCGGCCACTGACTCGATCGGTCCAACAGGCCAAGTCGTTCACCCGCCAGCGCCTGCTTGGACAAATGCCCCTCGTTGCCGACGCCAGCACCCAAGTGGACACACATATAGTCGACCACCACGTCGATCTTAGATACAAGTGGAACGAATGGGACTTGCGGCGCCAGGGCCTGATGCTCGTGAATCTTCGAAACAAGGTCACCAAGAGCATGCAAACGGACGTGAGCGTCTTTCGGCGCGAGAGCGAGACGCAGCACTACGAGCCCAAGTATGTTTTTTTGCCGTGTGCCGACAGTGCTCTGGATGCGGGAGGGTGTGCATTCGGGTCGGTTGACCGGCGCTGACCGATGGAGGGGGGGGTGTTATCGCCACCGACAGGACGCAGACGACGCAGACGTACACCGAGTCGGCAACGAACGTGCCGCGCAAAGTCAACTACGTTGCTGGATTGCGAGGCAAGCCGGGCACGTACAAGAGCACATTCAAAGTGGTGGATCTGACCCTGGACTTGTGAGCGATGCGAAACAATGGCCCGATGCGCGGGATTGCGGGGATGCATTTGGCGAACACGGCAAATGCTGGTGGTGCTACGACGACACACGAGCAGCCTCGCAGAGAAGGAGGACTGGAACAGCAAGCAGACAGACGATGCAGCGGCCATGGAACTTGGAACATGGGATGCGCGGGCTGGGTTTGTTTGGAGGGATGTCGGCCTGGCAGATGCGGCCCCTGGTTCGTGCAACACGGGTGGGTGAGGCTGGCACAAGTCAGTGCAAGGGGGCAGAACGGTGTATGGATAGAGGAGATGACATGGAAAGAGGAGATGGCATGGGTGGTGAGGATGGCATGACAATAGACGGCATGGTAATAGAGACGACATGGTAATAGAGACGGCATGGACGGTGGTGTGGCGAGTTTGACCACCAGGGCCGCTCTGGCGTTGGAGATGTTGCCTGGTCAAATGCGTCTGGGATGTCAGCGAGTGTCAGCGGGTGTCGGCGGATGTCAGCGAGCACAGACACGATGTGCAGGTGACTGCGGCGGCAGATCCGCCAATCGGGCATCCTGTGACCGGCTGCGCCACAGAGCGATGCACACGCAATCACGCGGCTGAGCACGCGCCGACATAACGCTATTGCGTTACTGTGTTTCAGCGGATGTACCACCGCGGCGCACGGGGTGTGTCTGTGCGACTGTGTCTGTGTGACAGTTATGGTGCGACTGTGACTGTGACTGTGCGACCGCTGGTGCAACGGAAGTGGGTGTGACCAGGTGCGACCGAGTGCGAGTGGGTGCAAGTTGGTGCAGACCAGTGCAAGTGCAAATCCAAGTGCGCGAGAGGGTGGATTCGAGCACGAGAGCCGGCACAGCACGGCTCTGTCGGTGTGCGTCTGTGTCGTCCATTGGGCTCCAGCGAATCATGTGCATGCGGGATGTCGCACCAGGCCGCCGATCCGGGCGGCCCCCTTTGCGGGCGCCCTGGCAAGGGCTGGCGGCGCGCACGCACCACGCCGCCGGTCTGCCCGCCTGGCACCGCTGCATGTGCGTGGCCGCTGTCACGGAGGCGCTTGTTACGCGATCTAGCCTTCTCGGCGTGTTCTCGGAGTGTTCTCGGAGTGTTCTCGGAGTGCTCTCGGTGTTCTCGGTATGCTCTCGGCGGTCCCATGTCTGTCGATGCAACCCAATGCAACCAAATTCAACTCAATGCAGCCCAATCCAATTCAATGCAGCCAATCCAATACCTCCCTAGTCTCCCACCTTCGCATCCGCCCGGCGACCCGCACTGGCATGACCTTCTCGCTCTCGAGCCCAATCACGCGCTTGCTGTTACGCCGCTGCCTGGCCGCGCGTCCGGCCTCCTTGTCGCGCCTGCCGCTCCCAAGAAGGGCGGGCGCCAAGGTGGCGTGAGACCGTCACACGAGCCCTCCAAGTTTCGCCGTGAAATCGCCCAAACAGAGCCGCCGCGACGAAACGTCCAAGGCAGCATCTCGCACTGCATCCAGCACTGCACCTCGCATTGCGACTCGCACGACGATCGCACATGGCTCGGGCTATGCGACCTCATGCGGGCTTTGTCGCCGCCGCTGTTCCCTGGTGGCGAGTCACGTCGATCTGACGACAGCATCGTCGCTGCAATCAAGCCCAGCAGCGACTTTGGCGGCTGGCCCGCGCGGTCCTCCACAATGCCAATGGCGGCGACGTCGGCTGGCGATCGGCGGGCAATCACGCAGCAAATCGGACTTGTCAGCCCAGGCGGCAGCCCGGGAGACCCACACTTGCCCTCAGAAGACGGCGCCTCCTCATTTTCTCCGGAATGGCCCGAGCTGCTGAATCCTGGATCTGCATGCGATGCTGTGGTTGTGTCTGCACGCGTATTGAGGCATGAATGCAATGCAATGAGAGTCGCTGTCCAGGCGCTCATGGAACTCCATCAACCAGAAACCCCATCAAGCAACCCCACCAGACCACCAGTCGATCATGCTGTTTGGTCAGAGTACTCGCTCTGAGTCCCTCCCTCCCCGTTTGACTCGGTTTCCCGCGCGAGCGGCCAGGCAGCACGGCACAGCCCGTACCAGGCCCGCAAGAACTGACCCCCCTCGCTGTCGCACTCTGTGATTCGTATGCGTCGCTGTTCGCGGCTGCCATCCGATGTTACCCCGTCCTGTTCACGGAGGCAATCGGGCGCCTAAATCGGCTCTATCACCTTGGTCTGGCTGGATCTGCTGTGACTGTTGCGGCTCTGGCTCCAACATCCAGCCTCGACCGGTGCCGTCGTCAGCAGCGCTTGTCCTTGAATCGTTTCGCTTGGTCTGTCGATTTAATCTGCCGACTTGGTTCCTCCACCCACCCCATTCAGCACCATCCCATTCAACACCACCCCATTCAGCACCACCCCATTCAGCACCACCACTCGTCTATCGATTACTTTCTCACACCCTTCCCTCGCAATTCATCCGTTTGTCCATCCCAATTCATCCACCTCGCCGTCCCAATCGGCCTGCACATCTCTCTCGGCTCGCCCTCGTCCCTTTGCCTCTCACGTCGCCCGGGCCCCTCCATCCGGTCCTCAGCCGTCCTTGCTTGCCCAAACAAACTCTGTCGGCTTGCCTCCCCGTTCGATTAGTCGTCATTGCCGCCCTTGTCACGTCCCTGTTTGTTGCTGCCGTCGACGCTATTCCCGATCCGGCTGCTGTTACTGCCCGACAACCGCACCCTCGCCTGCCCTCTGACCGCCCTCTGGCTGCCGATACCGACCCAGGTGCGTTTGCGTGTCTGTCGACCCAGCATTGCGTCGTCTGCGATGCCCAGCGACCCCCCCCTCGCCCATGTCTCGGTGGTCGCTCATGGCCACCTCGTCGCCCTCGCTCGTTACCGGCCCATTGTCGCCCACAGCCCTTGCCATCCCGTCACCACGCACGTCCGCGGCCTTGCCTGCATCGGATGCTGCCAAAGATCGCCAGCCGCTTTCGGCTGCCCGCTCGTTCGGCCTTGCTGGCTCGCGCCCGCTGCGTTTGTTGGTCGGTCCAGGCTGGCATCGCTCCGCCCTTGTCGCCCTTTTGTTTGCACTCCAGACACAAACACAGTCGGTCTGCACTCCTCCACGCCCCTTGAGCCGGCATCCCATTCCACCCACCCGTTTGCCCTCCGGCTTCTTGTTGTTACTCCTTCTGCACTTGGGCTCTGGGACTCGGCGGTTCCCCCCCCCCAGAGCCCGCCTTTTAGCCGCTCGCTGGGCCGGTCCTCTTCCTCCCGTCTCTCGCCTCTGTCCTTCCTGCCGTCTTGGGGAAGGAAGGCAGCCACATCTTTCCATCCTCACCACCCCTCTCCTGGTGCTCGTCGCCATCGCTGTCTCGTCGGCTCTCCTCTGCCGCCCCACGCTTCCTCCAACCCAGCGATTTGCCGCCGATCGCTTGTTGCTCGATCCAATCCAGGTTGCTTGCGACGCACTATCTGGGCTCATTTGTTTATCACATACATTCCCGCTGCCAGCCGCATACACCCTCCTCCTCCTCCTCCTCCTCCCAAGCTCGTCTGCCTCCGCCTATGGATCCCAGCGAAGAACCCAAGCCCGTGTCGCAGTGCTGCTACAATTTCCCCGGATGCTTCTATCCCCCGTCGCACTCGACAGCGTGCCGTCAAGCCAAGTACCGCAAGAAGCAAGTGAGTCTTGTCGACCGACCTTTCCGCTTCGCTTCGATGCCACTCTCCCTTCCCTCTGGTCGTGTTGGCTTGGTTGTCCCGGAGACGGAAACGATGGCTCGGGTCGCGAGCGTCCCGTTGAGAAAGTGACCTGGGATCAGACAACAGTCGATTCCTGGGGATCGTCGTCGTCGCAGCGCCGGGCCGGTGGTCCCTTTTCTGTCCCTCGGCCCAGCCCGATACCCGCCGACCTTCTCTCTGCACATCCAGTTCCCTGCTCTTGTCCGCTCTGTCGCTGTTTCCATTCAGTTGGTGTTACTGCCCCACTCCATTTCCACCCCCCGGGTTATTGTCTATCGTTTCATACGTTTGTTTCGGCGCATCGTTGGCAAACCCCCTCCCTCCACTTTCTGATTCAGCTGGATCAGGCTCCAAGCTCCAAGCCGATCTCAGAATCACTGTCCTGTATTGAGCCAGGCACAGGCCGGGCAGCATCGTGCTCTGTCCTCCGGTGTTCGGAGGGGGGGGTTCCCTCGATCAGTGTCCATCGGCTGCCATCCCGCCCTCGCTACTGATCCCTGCCATCTACCGAGCCATCGTTATCCGATTGGACATGCGCCCTGTGGTCTCCGATCCGATCTGCATCAGTCCGATATTATCAGGCTGGCTTGCTCCGGTCTGATCTGACAAACCATTTCCCTCATCCGCAGAAAATCCTCAAAGAACGCGAGCGGCAGCAACAGCGGCAGAAGGAGCTGCAACAGGCGAGCCAGAGTAGTTTCAGCCCAAATCCTTCCATGGGCTCCGCCGACGAGGCCTTGTCGGGCTTGGCTCATGCCAAGAAGCGATCCAGAAAGGTGAGGCCCGTTCTCGTTGGCCCGCTCGCCCGCTTGGTTCTGCGCTCGTGTCCATGGGTCGCGGTGGATCTGGCTGCGTTGTGCTCAGCGTCGTTACCAGAGCCAGTGATCGCTCGAGTCTTGGTATTCTCGATGCTCGCGATCCGCCGCCTTGTATCGTCGGCAGTCTTATGCGATCTGGCTGCATCGCTCGTCTCCTTGCACAAGGCCCGCAGAACGCCCTGCATGTGCCAGGCACAACCATGCACAATCGGCATCGCTAATACACCGCGACTGACGCTTCTCTTCCTCCATCGTCCAGGACGAACACGACTTCCACCCGATCCTCCCCAATCAGCTGCCTCTGGCCCCACGTCCGACGCACCCGCCCGAGCCCAGCCCGTCGTCGTCGTCGCCATCGGGATATCCGCTTCCCCGCGGAGCATACCCGTCGCATCACCTGTCTCCGGGCCATATGCATGCTCTCTCGGCTCGCCCGGCTCCTCACACTCTTGCGCCGCTGTTGACCGATCGAGAGACGCTGCTCTCGGCTTCTCGGACACCGCGCTCGCACGAGACCGGCGATTTCAAGCCGTATCTGCCCAGCGACCGGCCACCGCCGTCCCACTACGGCAGCCCTACCCGTCGCCTGAACGACCGTCCAGCCGAATACCTCTCTCCCGGCAATCCCACGCAAGCTCCAGCCAAGTCGGGCCCGCCCTTTGGATATCCTCCACATCAGCAGCAGCATCTCGTCGATCCGCTCCATCTCCGGCTCCATGATGATCCCGCGCTCTTTCGCAGCCCACGACCCGAGCGCGACGGCCCCGCAGACTCGCCCGGCATCCGGATTGACGACACCGGGCCATTGCCTCCGATGAACTGGAAGGACTACGACCGACAGCCGGCGTATGCTTCGCCAGCCCCGTACCCCAGCCTGGAGCGCGGCGACTCTTGGAAACCATCGCCGACTGCGAGCGGCAGCCCAAACCAGCCGTCCTTTGAACACTCGCACCCACATCCGCAGGCACATTTGCATGCACATTCACAGGCACATCCACAAGCCCCGTTACATCCACAAAGCAAGCTGCCGCCTTTCCATTTTTGCGACGATGCCTTCCTTAGCTCCATCATCGGGCGACGCCTCGACCATTTTGCACTCAAACCCAAGGACTACCGGAAGATCCAGGACGAGATCATCCCGATCCGCGAGTTTGACCGCTGGCTTGACGAGGAGCTCGGCACCTGCCCGCCCGAGGTCTCGAAAATGTCCGAGGTGGTGCGCGGCCTGGTTTCGCTCTACAAACAAGCGCAGGAGTCGTCCCGCATGCGAGAAGGCGGCACCGCTCCTCACCAGGAAGCCTGGGGCAACCCCGAGTTCCCTCGTCGGATGCAGAATGCTCTGAGAGGCATCATTACCCTCCAGCTTTCGTGTCTGCTGTCGGCCCTTCGCGAGTCATGCCCTCCGGCTGGAGGCGATCCCAGGAGAGCACCGCCGACCCAGCGGCTGCTCGCCTCGTGTCCACCGCACGATCCCGCCCTCGGCCGCGCAGACATCCCTCCAAACGTGTCTCCTCGGCTAGACCACCATGCTCCGCTCGGCGGCCACGGTGGCTACATTCCTCGTCAACACGATCTCGATGGTGAATCGGCTCGCCCAAACATTGCTGCAGAAAGGCACGCGCTTGTCCCTGAGGTCAAGCCAAGCATCGCCAACGGCCCCTTCCACGACAAGCAGCAACAGCAGCAACAGCAACAGCAGCAACAGCAACAGCAGCGACAGCAACAGCAGCATACCCCCTCGCACTTCTCGGACCCAGCTCGCTCGCCGTCGCGGAAACATCCCTGGTGGGATGAATCTCAGAACCCCGCAAGTCATCTGCACCCAGCTCCGGCTCGCTACCCGCAAGCTGGCGAGCCCTGGGATAAGGACCAGTCGATCACCAGTGACTACATGCCTCACGCGCCGCAGCGAGAGCCTCCAAAGCACCTCGTCGTCTCGGTTTCTGGCCCTGCTCGGATCGCCACCACACCGTCGCCTTCGCAGACGCGCGACTCGCACGATGACCTGGACTCCAGCCGCCGATCGATCGCACACGACCAGCGCCAGCTTGCCGCCTATCCTGCCCAGCCACATGCTTTCGACAACGGCAAGTGGACGCCGACATCGCTTGCTCCTGAGCAGGCCCGTGACAGCCAGGGTCCAGGTATCGGTGCGTCTCCAGCCGCAGCGACAGCAGCAGCAGCAACCGCCGCAGCAGGGGCAGGCGCCTCGGCCTACTCGCACGGCGATGGTCGTCAAGCAATCAACTTTCAGCCCTTTGGACCCGAAAAATATGTCTCACACCAAGCCACACGGCCGCTGGTGAGCTCCGATGGCCAATGGCAAGTTGAAGGGCGGTACCCGAACGACGACGAAGACGAGACGCGCGGCCCAAAGGACGGTCCCGAGCCCCTCTATCGCCCGAGCCATCCCCAGGACGACTCGGGCAGCACCAACATTGTGCCCGGCAGTGCGCGGGGCGGCTCTGAATCCATGCGTGGTCCCCATGACTCGATACAAGCGCCGTCCTCGAGCCCTGCGGGCCTGGGTCCTCCGGGACAATATGCGTCGACCTCCCCACACAGTCCCACGCAGTCGCTGCGGATCTCCAGCACGGGCTACCATGCACCCCAGCTCCGCCCAGGTGCCTACGACGCCCATCCACGCTACTACTCGGACCCGAGCACAACTCCAGCCCAAACCCATGGCCAAACCCAAAGCCCAAGCCCAAGCCGTGGACCTGACGGCGGGCATCACTCAAGAGCCAGTCCGTCTCGAAGTCAGGGGCATAGTGCCCGGCCACCGACGTCGGGCGATCGAGAACACCCTCGCTTTGGGCACTACAACAACGCGGATCTCTTGTTGGGCCTAGCGTCGGCTGCCTTCGAAGCCGAACGACTGGCCTCGATTCCTGGGTCTGACCGCTCGGGCTGACGGCGGCCTTCCGGTACCTGTTCCCCGCCCGGGCCTTTGCTCTCGTCCTTGGCCAGGCATTCGTCGGACTGCCTCCTCCTCCTCCCCAGCCCCGTCCCTGAGCTTTCATCAACACACTCGTCTTGCTTCGTCGCGAATATCTCTGCCCCCTCTTCCTCCATCCGCGAGCCTCCTCCTTGCGTGTACATAGATACATATGCCAAATGCGTTGCCCGCACTTGCTACCCTTCTTGCTCTCTATTTCCTTCTCATTTTGCTACGTGCGTGTCCTATTCTTCCTCGCCGGCACAGCCCCACACCCTCCTTCGCCGTCGCTGGGGCTCGTAATCGTCATCAGTCGCTCTGCCTCGAACAAAAGTTGAACCTGCTCAAGCTCCGGCCTGCTCCGTCTCCCATCCATCCACGCACCCAAGCGCAAACACAAGCACACCACCCGAAGCTCCACAGACATCGCGAGGGCTTCGATAGCCCAGAGGGGTTTCTCTCTCTCTCGTTCCTTTTGTCGCAATTCGCACTGCGTCCCGGTTCTTCCGTCAAGCACAGGCAACCTCCAGGGCACCAAACACATCGCCGATCGTTTGGCCGTTGTGGCGTGCGGACTCTTGTCCAACGACATGGGATCTCCCGTGCTTTACGTCTTTGGCGATCTTTCACTTCCTCCCCCCGTCGCTTCTATCTCTTAGACCCTAGAATTCTCCACCATACACTGCCCGGTGGCGTCATTATACTACATGAAGGGGAGTCGGGGCGCTCATCTACATTTAGGCCGCTCGCCTCGAGTCCCTGCGTTTCCTGCCCCATCTCCCCAACCTTACTCCCTCGTGTCTTTGTCATTTGTTGATCGCACACCCGTATACAGCGTTTCCAAAATGAAATGGGACACTCCCGTTTTGCGCTATGACTGTGTGTTTTTCTGGAACCTGAATACACACCCACTCATCGCATTCATGGCCAAGCACATCACCATCTTGATATCGAGAAACCACACTTTTTCCAGAGGGTCGAGTGAATGTATCACACTCATACATCGAGGCATCAATGCCTCAAGGAACATGATCTCGGTATGCCAGTCGATCATCGCCACAGGATATCGAGCGAGTGTATTCAAGACTGTGCTCCCGAAACCAACCAAAACCACTCGATTGCCAACCAGGACGGGAAACAATCTCACGGCCCGTCCGCTGGGCCTACAGTCAGTCAGCGGGTTTCAGGCATCTGAAGCCAGGAAGGAACTGTCTCGTTTCTTTCTGGATAGACTGTAATATAGAATGTATTGCCATTACCCTCGAGCGTGGCCATCAGGTCTATGTGGGAGGGTGGAGAAGTAGGAGACAGAAAATCGCCTCACCGCCCACTCATGTATTGCTCGACTTGGCTGACAAGCTCGGGCTTGCGTTTCATGGGCTTGATCCGGACCGACGTCAGGAATCCAGTCAGCTGGGCGACGGTCAGGGTCTGAAGCTGCACACACCAACACAAGAAACCGACAGCGGCAAAGGGAAGAGAAAAGTGAAGGTTGTGAGCACATACATCTCCGCCGCAGCAGTGACGTGCGACTCGACATTCAAAGGCCGATGCCAGTGTCAAAGAACCAGAGGAGCATCCAACACAGCACCCGCACTGTCTCTGCCCACCCACACACACCGTTTCGGCTTCAATGTGCCGCTTGATGGACTGAGCGTCCGGGACTTCGTTCTTGGCTCTCTTGGCCTGCGAGTCTTCTGCGTCCGACTGGAGACACAGTACATCGATCTATGCGTCAGCACCACGATATCTCGTGCGAGGGAGTCAAAGAAAGGAGGCGAGTCGGCGGAGGACCTGCCCACGACGATGAGCGCGACTGCGGTGACTCTGTTGAGTCTACAGTATCTCACCTGTCGTTTGAGCCCGGCAGTCAAATCGCCGTCTGCCTGCCCCAGATCCTCGGCATCCAAAGCCATCAGCTCCTGCAACCAGACATTCCCAGCGCATTCGATATTAGTGCTGCTGCACGCCGAGTGCCAACTTGTATCTGAGTGCCAACTCTACAAGCAAATACAGACCCGTTTGAACTCTTGGATGAGCTCGCCGGCGCGCTCGTGGATCTCTCTGGCCTTTGGAAGTGTTTGATCTGGATGTGCAACGAGGTCGTTTCAATGCCGATTAACAACCACCACCACCATCACCATCACCATCACCATCACCATCGCTGCTCTCAAAGATGCCACATACCGTTGAACTCCTCGGGCAAGTCCTCTTGGAGAGCCAGAGCCTGGAGATTGGTGTAGTGGATCTGAATCACTGGTTTACATCCACAAGAGAACAGCAAAGCCACCATCGACATATCGTTAGCTGTATGGGCAGCAGTATTATATCCATCTCTTCTGCACTGGCCGCACCATCGAGCTGATCGTGGGATGAGGGAGATACGCCATAGACTCCTACCCGGGTTCTCATAGTTCTTCCCGTCATAGGACTTGATATTGAGCTTCTTGATGATCTTGTTTCCGATCTCGGCCAGCGCACTCGAAGCTGTTGGGGTGAGGATCGGATGGTTTGTCAGCATTCAGGCACGGACAAACCAACGATCGGCTGCATTTCTGGCAATCCAGGAAGCAGCTCCTGACTTTGGTTTGCTCGTACTCACAGTCCTTGAGAATAGTGGGGTGCACGACAGGCATCTGTATGTTGCGCAAGTCATCCGCATACGGCATCAAGATTGCATGGAACCCGCCAGGCATGCTCTCGGTTTCTCTCTGCAGGGTTAGTCGGCGGAGACCCGAGGGTGGTTAGCGGATCGACACAGCTAGATTCACTTTTACACCCACATCCAAGCTACTGGCTTTTGCTCCGTGGGAAGATCGTCGGTCTTCAATCCAAAGCACACACACCTGAGGGACAAGTGTCACCAACCGCGGAGGAGATCGCTTGCGAGCAATCAGCGTGCAGAGAGCCACTTTGTTGAGGCGCAGACACGAGTCCAGCAGATTTGCAAACACGCTCGAGCTGCCCGAGTACGTCTGGGTGATTAGAAGGCGTCAGGAGGTGTGTCGATAAGGAGTGCATACACACGAGCAGGCAGATACAGCCTGCACCCTGTCATGGCGACCAGCAGTATTTGCACCGGATATCGCATCGGCCGAGTGGCTAACAGCCTGGTAGTGTGTACGTTCGCTTACCGATTCATCGGGGAAGATAAAGTACGGGCGGTGGATATTGTGCTCCTCCATCAGTGACTCCTGCGGCTTGAATCCCAGCAGCTGCAGCTCTGTGTCAAAGAATCAAGCACACGGTCCGGCGCTGGTTAGATCGAAGACAAGGCAGTCCATCGAGCAACTACTCGAGCAACTACTCGAGCAACTACTCGAGCTGCCCTCTGTGCTGTGTCGGCGAGGCCGATAGGCACACTCCCGCTCGTCGATACTCACTCGGCTCGCCAAAGTATCTGATTTCGGAGAGCTCCTGCTTTGAAAACACGGCGGTGCGCTGCCCGACTGGGTAAAAGTAGTCAATGTCGTCCGGGAGGAGAACCGATCCCGTTTGCTGGCATACGAGAGCGGTCGGTCAGCAAAACGCATACTGTGCCAAACTCGGTGCGCGGCGATGGACGGGTGTGTACCTCACATATCCAAGTTGTAGCGGACTTGACCTCGCGGTTGTCTCGCTGCGAGAGATAGACAAACGAGCCCCGCTTTTGCTCCATGATAAGATTGTAGCTGTCCGCCCCACCCCCACCACCCGGCCGCCCATTTCACGTCACAGGCAAAGAAAAGGAATATAGTCAGCGACAGGCAATGAAACTGGAGACCAGAGTAAACTGCACCGTGCAAAGTGATACCGAATCGGGGCCAGCCGGGTCTGCCTTGGGAGGCTGCTTACCCGGCAACGCCGATGACAATGTCTGGGGAGATGTGCCAGGGCACGCGAAAGATGGTCCGCTTCTTGTTTTCCTTGCGCTTCACAAGATCCTCGAGCTGGGCCCACTTCTCGATCATGTCTGGGATGGCCTCCTCGTCGGCGCTGTTGTTCGTCTCGGTTAATTTGAGCAGCGGCTGCTCAGCGACCCAGTTCATCGAAACATGGCAGCCGACTCGTCAGTGTACGCCAATCCAAGGAATGAAGGCTGTCGATGGGATGAACCCGATTGCACCCACATAGCAAGGATTAAGCAAGCACAGGAAGAACCGAGTGCAACAAAACACAGCCTCTCCTCGAGATGCCCCACGCCCTCGCCGGCAACCTCGCCCGGCGACTTACATTCCAGAACGGGCTCCAGTCGAACACTGCCCCCGGCAGCGGAAACACATGCAGCTCGATGCCCAGATGGCTCAGATCGGATGCGCGGGTCAGTGCATTGGTTCTCAGCTGGTGCTCGCCGGCGGGGTTGTCGCTGCAGGTGAAGATAAAGACTCGTCGGGAGGCAAGCTTCACTTTGCTATCGGCAAGTTGGAGCGGCGCTGGTCAGGAATCGGCTTGATGACGCAGACAGAGCAGCACAGCCCTCAGACAGGCAAACAGCTAGCGTCGCAGCGCCAGCCAATGCACAAGAAAGCGCCTACTTTGCCGAGAAGACGTTGGAGCAAGCCCACAGAACCTCGTGTATCTTGTAGTCGTCCGACGAACCAATCTCCTCCTCAAAAATACTGGGATCTGTTATCGTCGGGGTCAGCGAAAACGGTGTAAAACAGATTGTTGAGCAGTGTGGTGAGCCCCCGGCGGAATGCACGCACAATCTGGGAGCATCGAGACCGAGAGGAGGCCCTCGGCGATCCTTGCCTTTCACCATTTTCTCAAGATGGACGATTTGCTGCACATCGGGGATATCCAGGTTTTGCAACAGATAGATTCCGCCAAACTTTGTTGTGGGCTGGCGCTGGGCTCTCTGTTGGAATGAGCCATTCCCGCCGCCATCAGGCCCACAGCGAGCAATACGATTAGCAGGCTGCTAGGAGACAAGACTCGACGAAACGAGGCCGAAGCGGTCCATCGCTGCTCTCCGCCCGGGCCAGGCCCTGATTTCGACAACTCCTTGAACTTGCCGTGCCATAGAAGAGGATGCCCGAGAGATCCGAGTCGCTGACGATGATCTTGCTCTTGAGACAGCGTGCAGCGCACTCGAGTGTCTTTTTGAAAGGTATCGCTCCGTCGTCGGTGGGGACAAACATGCGAGGCGAAGCATCGATGACCCAGAGAAGGCCATCGCGGTTGGTCTCGAATGCGTCCTGGATGAATGGGCGATTGGGGGCGTTGATTTCCGATCCATTAGCTCATGCCTGCCTTTACTATGACGGCTGGAGGCATCCCACACCAAGTAGAGGCATCCTGTACCAGGCAGCATGGTGCGCACTCTGAGCATGACACGGCTTGCGAAGCGAGATCCGGCCCAGGGACATACCTCGGCAAAGTCCAGGCCATCACCGGCGTCGCTGTCGGCGTCGTCGAACGAGCTATACGGGGGCATTGGCAGTGCTGGCTATGGCAGGAGTGGTGCTGCTGGTGCAGACGGCGATGGATCTGATGGCTCTGATGGCTCTGATGGATCTGATGGCTCTGATGGCTCTGATGGATCTGATGGCTCTGATGGATCTGATGATGCCAGCAGCAACAACAACCCAACCCGATCCAAGACAGTGCTGCGCACGTGCTTTGCACAGCCGCGACTCTGTCCAAGCGATGTGTTCGCGCAGATGTGTCCATGCAGATGCGAGGACAGGCAGGTGCGAGGGCAGCTCCGTGAACAGACTTGGTCCCTTGAAACTCAGCGAAGAGGGCCGGGTGGAGCGAGACATCTTCTCTGCACGAACTGTATTGTATGCTGTCGCATAGTGAGGAGTGCATGGCTGCAATCCAACCACCGTCCCAAACCACAGGTCCATGACAAACCCGCTCTCAGGCTCGTCGAGAGGATTTCTTCATCGTGACGTTGCGGTGGTATTCGTCCAGGAAGGCAAGGTACTTCTGGGACGTCTCTCCCCAGAAGACACGGTCGATAGGGATTACTCCGAGCTGGATGGTCGAGTCGAATGTGGAGCCGAGTCAGGGATCTTTCGCTGGCCAGCGGCCGTCACCACATCACGATCTAGCCTCGGCCAGCAGTCCACTCGGGAGTGCCAAAGTGCCCAGCCCCTCGGAGCTCGGTTGGGAGGACAAAGACCACACTTACATCCATAACATGTGGGTTGCATTTGCACGCCTCAAACGTGAGGCCATGCGACGGAATGTCTTCGGGGCAGTGCATGTATCCGCCGTGATTGTAACCTGGGCCGGGTGCAGGGAGATCGGTATCGAATGAGACACGCACGTTGCCAAGCCCGCCAGAATCAAAGACGGCGCATCCGATCGACGCTCAGAGATGCTACCCACCAATGTCGTAAAAGTAGTGGACCTCGGAGGGATCCATGAACAGGCCGACGGCGAGCGAGTGCACCGGCGCATCCCCCCACCGCTCGGTGAAGAACCCGCCCTTGCTGTCCAGGAAGTAGAAATAGTCTTGATACTCCCGGGATCTGAAAAAGTCCAGGTCGCCGATCTCAAAGTTGGACCAAAAATGCGCAAGGTTGTACTCGGACGGGGCGGAGGGATCTGTTCGCTCCCGCTCAAAGGCCCGCAGATGGGGCGGGAAAGGCAGGTTGCGCACACGGAGATATTCCAGCGTCGATGGCCAGAGCGTCGGAATGGTGCTCTCGATCTCGCTGCCGACGATGTTGAAGCCATATCGCTTCTTCTTGACCCGCATGAGTTCGAACGGATCGTAGTTCAGAGGGCAGTAGTAGATGACGTCGGGCTCGATCTAAGTCAAAGGAAGCATCCCTGGGATATGAGTCGCGGAACGGGTTCGGGCGGCAGTGCCGAGCAAGATCAAGCAGCGGGCCATGATCAGAGCGGGGGCACTGCAGACCCAGCAAACACCGATCTCCCCGAGCGCTTTTGTTGCAGCGGACAGCGATCATCGGCCCAGACGGAGCGGGCTTGAGCGAGCTCGCCAACTGACAGGAGGTACATGGCACAGCCCCTGGTCGCTGAGAGGGTCTTACCCGCCAGTAGTACTTGAAGGACTTGAGAGCCGGCTGCACCGCCATGAAGCCCGAGTAAAAGCGGCACATGTAGTGGTAGCTTTCTTTCCTGGCGTTTTGATCTGGGTGGTTCTTGATCGAGTCGAGAAACTCGGCTCGGTCCCAGGTGGGCGGAAGCGACCAGTGCTCCGGCGCCAGCTGCTCAAAGTAGACGGGAGCGCTGGTTGCCATGGTGATGGCATCCTTGAATCCCTTGTCGAACGGCTCGTTGTTGAAAAAGTAGTACGGATACTGGTATTTCGCATTGAAGGTGGCTTCGAAGGTCCGGAGCGTTGAGAGCGCCCCCCATCGCTCCGAGTTGCGCACCAGCATGACGATGCATGCGTTCTCCTGGCCGATAGACTCCCTCGGCTGGGGCCGGATCTCGCCAGCGAGCACCGAGCCCCCGGTGTCTGTGCTGGTATTGTATCGTGGACTCACTGCAGGCGGGCGAGGCAAGTCCCGGTAGACCAGAAATTTGACGTTGAGAATGAATGTGCTGTAGAGCAGGAACACCATAAACACGACAGAAACCCTGAACAGGAATCGGAAGATGTCGAAGCGCTGTTTCATGGCGTCTGGCCTGGTCGAGATCAAGATGTTGGCTGATCGATGGGATCTGGCTGTGATCGAGTGCAACTGCCGAGGATACTCGACTCGATGTCTGCTCGAACTGATTCAAGGCCGATCGTGGTGACCTCGACAGGGCAACCGCCCGCAAGACTTGGGCCAATTGTGGCTCCGCTCGCAGCCGCCAAGCGGCTGTTGAGCCCCGCTGGACCCTGTTGGCTCCAAATGCCCCCGCCGGGCAGACGCCTTTGCCCGCCAATTCATTCGGACTCGATTGATCCGTGGGAGCGGCGACGCGCCTTGATATCGCCTTCGTGAGAACATTCCCCTCCCAAGCACAAGCCGTGGTCGACTGAGGCCGCAATCGGGTGCGCATCCGCTCGCATAGCGTCCCAGTTTATCGCTCAGCAGTTTCATCGGTATATGTCGACGCAGCCGGCATGGCCCAGTCACCTTTCCATGCCAACATGGACGGTGCCAGATCACCCGTCCCCGAGAACCACACCGAGCACGACCGCAAGGCGAAAAAGCCGATCCAGCTACACATTGACACCATTCCCCTGCGAAAAGAAGAGCATCTCGCCGAGGTGCGCAAGGAGTCCGATCTGGTCACTCCCTCCTCCCGCACCTCGATCGACCCCGCGCTCCCGACGGTGCTCAGGACAACTGCCCGGGTCTCGCTGCTGTCGACGCCGCCGCCACCACAGGCCCGACCCCCGTCGTCGCTCAGATCCGTCGAGTCTCCAAATATAACAGTATCGTCGCTGCATACGGGTAATCCACCGTCCGTGGCATGCAGCCCCCCACCGCCGATTCAGTCGCCAAAGGCGGTCTTCGTCGACGCTGCGATCGACACCCAGACCGACCATGAGCTACAAGAACTCCGGGAGCTCGGTAAGGATGTGCATTGGATCACCAAGCACCACTCCAGAGAAGGCAGCGACGAGATGTGACGGTCGGAACACAACACGGGCCGCCCAGCGATGCATTCGTCGTGGACTTGATCAGTATCTCTAACGCTACTCCGGTCTCGGGTTGCGCTGGTGCCCTGCATTCGTGCACTCTGCCTCCCTGGCACAAGTTTGGCGCCAGAGCAATCTACTGCGTTGGTATCATGAAAAGTACCCCCAGCACAACCCCTCGGAGCTCGTGCCGCTCACTACCCTCGAGCTGGAGCTGGAAGTGAAGCGCCGCCATGACCCGTTCCGCTACGAGCTGATCTTCGAGGTCGCTCGAACAGCGTTCCGATCCTATGACGAGAAACTTGGCGACATGGAGGCAGCCAGCAAGGCCAACCACAGGGAGATACTGGACTATCAGTCGACCTGCGAGAGCGTACGAAAGGAGAACGCCATCCTCAAGAGCCAGAGCGACGAGCTGCACAGGCGGTGAGGCATCCCGGCCGAGAGGGTATCAGGCGGCACCGTCGCTGTGCCATATATCGTTTGGCCGATTGCCGAGTGTCCAAATGATCAGCGGCGCTGACATTGGCGGGTCATCCGATAGGATCAAGGAGCTGAATGAGAGAACGTGTCATGACTGCCGAGAGCACCAGAGTCAAATCGATTTGTTGAAGGACGAGGTTCTGCAGCTCACAGCAGAAATCAAGCGCAATGAGCCGATTGTGACTCGAGGTGGGTGCTTGTGCTGATGGTGGGAGACTGCCAGGGGCGGAACTCCAGGCCAAGGGAATCTCCTCCGGGTAAATGCACCAGCACCAGCACCAGCTGAAGGCAAAGCCACATTCGTGTGAGACCAATATCAAATGGAGCTCTGTCGAGCCGATGAAGGGACTCACACTGGAATGCGCTGCTGGATGTGACGTAACGGCCCACGCCGACAGCCTCTGATCTTCAGAAACAAGCCCTGACCCTGACAAGCCACCTGACTTCGCTGCAAAACATGGTTGCAAGCCAGTCCGAATCGATCCAGACTCTGACTGACCAGGCACTCAAATGGGAGACCGAGTACAACGAATGCAGCGGCAAGCTCTCTCGGGCAGTAAGCTCGAACAAGCAGCTGCTGTCGCGGTCGATTGCTCTTGAGAAGATGTTTGGCGAAATGGAGAACAAATTGCTTGACTATCGGCGCGAGCTTGACCGCAGGAAGAAATGGATCAAGGAAAACGAAGGGATCGTGGAGGAGTACAAGAGGTGGGTGGTGAGAAGCAAGCGGGTTCGTTGCAGCCGACGGAGAATACACGAGCCAACCAAAGATGGAGAGACTGGCAAGCTGAAATCACTCGCTCATTATGATATCAAGCTGCATAGAGGAATTCGAGATTGGCAAGGGCCTCGTCACCGACACAAACAAGGCTCTCGATGAGGACCGGCCGTTGTTCCGAGGTCTTCTGAAAGCCCACATCAAGCGACTGTATCGAAACATCGAAGGTGGGCAGTCGTGTTCATGGGCAAGTGCTCCGCATTGGAGAAACAGCCCATGTCTACGCGACATTATCGGGTATCGGGTGTCGAGCATCGGGTATCGGGTATCGGGTATCGGGTATCGGGTATCGGGTATCGGGTATCGGGTATCGGGTATCGGGTATCGGGTATCGGGTATCGGGTATCGGGGTGCAGTCCCTGATATCGAGTGGATCAGAGTCGACAGACCCCAGCACAATGTCGCCATGGCTGATCTACACCGAATCGTGTCCGCTGACGGATCGGCGTGGGCTGCTCAGATTTGAGGCGGCAGCTCGAGAGTCAAGACAAGAGAAGCTTCAAGCTCGAGAGCTCGTACAACCAGTTCCTGCGCAAGTACATGCACGATGTCGACGAAAAGGACACGCTCCTGGAGGTGGGCAAGTCGCACCTGAAGGGCATGATCCAAACGGTATGTTTCGCAGATGAAGTGCAGTAAAGGGACAGGCGCTTGCAATCCGCATCCCGGAATACTGGCCCTGAGAGATCGCTGGGGCTTGTGCACCAGCTCAGCGACGATCGGTCTGCAGAACCCGTTCAAATCCATGGGCTGGCCATTTGCATGGTGTGCTGATTTCCTGCCGTAACATCGTCCTCGATCCAAGATGGAGCGAACCCGAGATGAGCGGGATGCAGCTGTGCAGAGGGCTGAATCGGCCACAAAAGAGACGCTGGAACTCTCCGAGAAACTCAAGCACGCGCTCACACAGCGAGACGGCGAGATGTCTGGTATCATAAAGCAGTAAGTTGCATCGGTGAGATGAGGGCGGAGGACTATCCAGGGAGATACCGGCGCCGACTCACATGAGCAGCTGATGCAGGTCCAACGACAAGATGAAGGAGATCCGGGAAAACTACGAAAGCGAGCGGATGCGGCTCCACCAGCAAATCGATCAACTACGTGGCGAAAAGGTCGAGCTGCAGGTCAGGAACAAGATCAGCTCAGCGCCGCCAAACGCACGCGGGCCTGTCTGATGCCGGGTGATGGACGGCTCCGGTCGCTGCAAACTTGGTCTGTTCAGATTGATAATCGGCGGGCGCCCTTGACTCGCAGGTCGAGGTTGGCCAACTGCTGCGTGACAAGAGGGCAACCGAACTGGAGCTCGATGCCTCGAAGAAGGTAAGTCCGCATTCGAGGCTGATGCCGTCGCCTGTGAAAGCCAGCGGCCCTGTAACAAGATATCATGGTGTCCGTTTGGGAGCACGATGTCAGGGCGACGAGTGCTCGCATCGGCAATTTGTAGCCACAGACACCTCATAGCGACTGGCGCAACATATCATGCCCACCGTGTGCAGATTGCGGCTCTGGGACGAGACAAGACGAGATACGAGCCAAGTCCAATATTTTGACAATCACGGTCGTGCGTATCGGCGACGGTCTGTCACTCAAATGTATGCGATGATATCTCAAACAAACAGGGCGTCCCGTTTTTTCTTGGAGCTGTATTGAAAATCCGCACAAGAGGGCGCAAACACAAATGCTAGGAAAAGTACAAACTGGAGCCATGCTGGCCGTCGTGGGAAAGGAGGCTTACTGAGCCGTGCTGAGCGAGGGATGCTTGACCAAATAGGCAAGCAGGTCGACCTTGGTCACAACGTGTCGGACCTCAAAGTCGCCGCTGGCACCGGTCTGCTCAGTGACGACGGCCGAGGAGTGCTTCTCGAAGAAGTGCGACAGGGACTCCAGCGGAGTCTCCGGGGTGATCTCGATATACTTGTGAGACTTGCTGCTGCTGCTAGCGCCGCTCTGGTTGAAAAAGGAGAAGAGCGTCTCGGAAACAGACGAGTCGAGCGAGCTGCGGCCGGAGGCGATCTTGGCCAGGACGTTTCCAAGAGTCACCAGGCCAACGAGCTTCTTGCTGTTGGAAGAGGAGACGACAGGGAGCTGGTCGAAGCCGTTGGATTGCATGATGTCGACCGCCTGCTTGTTGGTGGTCTGGAGCAAGATGCATCGTGTCAGCGGGCGAGGCTACCAGAACGACGGTGCCACAGCAGGCACTGGATCGCCCTCCCCCGTCTTCCACAACGACCGCAGACAAGAAATCACAGCCTGTGGCTTACCGATTCGGGGACGGTGATGGCCTTCTGGAGACCGAGGTCCTGTGATACATGGATAATAGTGCGCCGGGGTTAGCACACCCATCCATCCGAGCTTCACCAGCGCATCGCATTGTCGTCGAGTGAGCCCCTCGCCGACTCGTCAGTTGGTCAGCGAATCGGCACTGGCAGAAGAACAGAGCCACACTCGAGCACAGGTTCTGCACAACCGCCACCGCCCGCGTACCTTGATCTTGGCACCGCCCCACTGCAGCTTCTTGTCCGCTTCGGCCTTCTCGGTGGCCGCATCGGTGAAGCCGTTCTCCTTCATCCACTCGTCGCTGTAGATCAGGCACAACACCGTCAATACCTATTCGCACCCGATGGAATACGTCGCCCACTGCCACCAACGGTGCGAAAGAAGCCACCGACTCACCTCAGGAACTTGGTCATGTAGTTGCGGACAGAGTCCGGGAGGATGACGACGACACGCTGGCCCTTCTTGAGATGCTTGCAAGCCTTGAGGGCACCAACCAGAGCGGTGCCGGAAGAGCCACCGCACAGCAGGCCCTCCTCGCGAATCAGGCGGCGGGCCATGATGAAGGCCTCCTTGTCGTCGGTCTTGACCCATTCGTCAATGTACTGGCGGTTGAGCACCTCGGGAACAAAGTCGTATCCGATGCCCTCGACGGCGTAGCTGTGGATGCCCTCCTTGTTAAGCTCGGCAGGCAGGGCGAGGATCGAGCCGTTGGGATCAACGCCGACGACCTTGATGCCGGGGACCTTCTCCTTCAGCTTCTTGGCAATACCAGCAATGGTTCCGCCAGTTCCGGCACCAGCGACGAGCATGTCGATCTTGCCACCGCACTGTCTCAGGATCTCTTCGGCAGTGCCTTCGTAGTGGGCAAGCGGGTTGTTGACGTTGGAGTACTGGTCGGGAATGAGGGAGTTGGGGATCTCCTTGTTCAGGCGTCTGGCGACACCTGCAAGTCGATGCGCAGAGGAGAGTGCAGGAGACTTAGCCACAGCAACGGGCAATCAAGCCAGCGATGTACTCGACGTGCGCGCGGATGGAATAGCCGCCAATCCATGCTGAAGCAAACGATGCGGTTTTGCCAGACATCGAGCTGAGTGGACGGGTGCTTACCAATATGGGAGTCGGGGGAGTCCCAAGCAGCCTCGGTGGGAGTTCGAATGATCTCGGCGCCAAGGGCCTTGAGGACATCAACCTAGATGATTATCGGCCAGAGGGGGAGCCGCGTGGTCAGCCGAGAGGCGGAGATACAGATTGGGGCCGCAGGACCGCAGGGCAGCAAGCAATACCTTCTCCTTGCTCATTTTCTCGGGGAGAGTGATGATGGCTCGGTAGCCCTTGACAGCGGCGGCCAGAGCGAGACCGATGCCGGTGTTGCCGGAAGTGGGCTGTTTGGGGGCAGTTGCCAGGTGAGTGGGGGAGCAGATCATTCGGGGTCAGCCAGACCGCCAGACGCCTTAGTGTCGCTCAGAAAGAATAGCTGACCACGGCAGAGCTCTGGCCGATAGCGGCAGAGCCAGCAGCGGCGAAAACCGAGTGCACCCAACAGACCTCGATGACAGTGTAGCCAGGCTTGAGGCGGCCGTCCTGCTCGGCAGCCTCGATCATGCGCTTGGCAATTCTGTCCTTGACGGATCCACCAGCATTGAAGAACTCGCACTTGACGACTGAGCAGACAGGGGCAGGTCAGCCATACGCACCGACGATGCGGCGAAGGCAAGGACGCTGCGATCTGGGCAAGAGGCGTTCATCGCGGGGTTTGTGCAATCGGAGGCTCACCAACTTCACACTCGATGCCGAGCGACTGAGGGATGCGGTTGAGACGGACGCACGGGGTTCCGCCGACGTGCTCGAGGATGGTATCCAAAATACGGTCGTGCTCAGGGACGTGGGCCATGGTGCGTTCGTTGGAGGAATCAAGCAGGCAGGCAGATGGAGGCAGATGGAGGCAGATGGAGATGGTTGACGGATGGCGGGGCTGAAAGAGCGACGCCGCGGCTTTTGTGCAAAACGGCTGCCGCCAATGGGGCATCGCGAGGAGCGAGAACAGCCGAGAGCAGTCGAGAGCAGCCGAGAGCAGTCGAGAGCAGTCGAGAGCAGCCGAGAGCGGCCGAGAGCGCGGGCGAGACGGCGGTGGGGACACGCACACACCTTGTCGGCACACACACACGCCCCACCGCCACGCCCCCGCTGCGCACACACAGTGTGCTGCAGCACTGCACTGAGTGTCACGTGATGGATCTCGCCACCGCACCGCACAAAGACGCAAGCCGTGCTGCACGGCGGCCCTGATTGGCCGGCGCCAGACGGCTCTACCCCACAGCCTCTGATTGGCCAGTACCCCACACGCCCCGAAATCGGCGAGCCTGCGCGTGCTTGTTTTCCCTGGCCATGGAAGCAGGGGCCATCCAAGGTCGCCCGATCCCACTTGGGCAACCCGGGACTACTCGGGGACGCCACCGAACAGACCCGGCGTTGGGGGAAGACGGACGCCGGCATGTGCAAATGTATTGTCCCCACGATCTGCGGGCCATGCGCGATGTCGGCCACTGCTTTGGTCCTGAATTGCACGATATCAGCCGTGTTCAGAGACAATCAATCGATAACAGGGGCATCACATCGCGGAAGGTGCACTCAGCCCAGCTGTGAAGATGAGAGGCGAGGCGAGAGGGGGAGGGTATGTGGGGAAACAGGATCGGCCGGCCATGCTCCTTGATCTGGAGACATTCCCAGCGGCGCTGCGCTATTTGGAGATGGACATCTTGCTGAACTCCCCTTGGGCGCCCTGGATGTTGAGGCCAAGAACAAACTGCACTTGCCCCGTTGGCTGTGCGGTTGGCTGCAGGTAAAGTGGCTGGCTTTCCAACGACGGCGTGGCGCTCGCGGGCCCGCCCATGATGCTGTCGGAGCCAACTTGCAAACCAGCGTCGCCGTTGCCGCCAGTTATAAACCCCGACGTTTGACTGCCGATCGACATGCGGCCGTCCGAGTTGCCAGAGCACTCGCTCAGCCTGAGGTCGCCGTCGCCCATCTGACTTGAGCCTTTCGTGGGCGTGGACGGGAAGGCCGATTCGGTTCCTGTGAGACCGAGCAGGCCGAGAGAGTTGGTTGTGTGGTTTGCTGTGAGACCCACGGGTCTTGATCCGAAGCCTATCTGATGAGCGAGGCCTGACCGGACCAAGCCAGGCCCGAACAGCAACCTGAGGCTGACGATGCATTGGCGGTATCGGGAGTGCACCAAGAGACTGCCACGGATGATTCGATGATGTGGACGCTGCGTTCTCACGCCTTCCCAAGTACATACCATTCCACGAGGGGGATCGCTGGAAGAGCGGCCCGTTGCCGTTCAACGCCATCGGTAGAATCCCAGCGAGCGGAATCGGGAGCATCGGCGGAGGCGTCCCGAGATGCTGGTGAATCAGGCGTGGCGACGGCGTGTTGTTCCGAACAACCGGCGAGGCAGTGACTCGATGTCGTTTGTAGGGATCGAACCGGGGCTCGTCGCCGCAGCTCACTGGAGAAATCCAGTATCGTTGTCGCATCGATGGAGAGCAAAGGACGCGCAGACGTGACGAGTGGTGTCAGCAGAACAAAGGTCGATATTCGGGCACATTGCGCGAATGACTTGCTGCAGACACACCAAGCCCTGCGCAAAACCTAAAGGTGCGATCGGTGCGATGGGGCATCAATCAAGGCCATGCCGAGAGATCACCGCTGCTTACTCTTTCTCTTGCCCTTGCGGTCGAGCTTGGGCGACAGCACTCCACTAAAGGGAATAATCGGAGACATGGTCTTTGGCGAGCAGGGCACTCCCTCCAGAAACGCGCTTCGGGTGCTTGAAATGAACTGCAGCCGCATTGAAAAGTTGGTGGTTAGTGTCGAAGGAGCACCACGAAGACTGCATCCAGGGAGGGCAACTGCAGGAGACGGCAACTTGCATTGGCTTCGGGATTGAGTCTGGAGGGCTGTACGGGCTGCGATGAAGGGCTCTTGAGCTGCACATATGAAAACGATGAGCTTGACGACAGCGTTGGCGGAGGCACCGAGACCGTCGGAGGAGAGAAACAGATCTCCTGCACGGCCAAGGATCGAGGAGACGTTGTTTCAGCGCCGCGGGAGATGGCCAACAACATGTGCGTGGCAACCGAGCCGACCTGCGACCCATCAGCGAGACCACCAGACCATGCTCATGCGCATGCGGACATAACAGGCTCGCTCATACCTCGGACATGGCTGTGCCGTCGTCGTTCGCACTCGCGTCGGAATCGAGGTTGACGAGGCTGGGCCGGTGGGCAAGGGAAGTGATGGACGGAAACGGCTGCCCCTGTGTCTTGATATTCTCCGTGACAACTCGTTCGTATGCGATTTCGGTGTCGAACGGCCGCATCTCGTCCTATCACAGGGACTGAGTTATTGCTGTCGCCTCGGCGATCCGGGGGTGCTGCACCAAGCGGTCGAGTACATACCTCCAACAGCTGTGTGATGCGACTGAGGTTCTTCATTCCCGTCTGACGAGCATGGCAACGACGCAGACGATAGTGTGAGGAAGGAGGCTCTGGGATCAGCAAGCTGCATCCGCGTCTGCTTTCTGTCGAATGCCCAAACGCCCAGGCATGTCGGGCATGTCCACCAAGGACGCAATCTCTGGCTGGCTAGAAGGGGAATCGACGAACCTTTCGCAGTCCCTTCCGGGAGTTGCTGCTCCTTGGTGGGCCAAACGATGACTCGTCGCCGCTCTGGCCACTCCACCAGCCGTCAACGGCCATGTCTTCGGACGGACCACCGTCTCGCTCGATGTAGTGCAGAGAAGCCATCGGAGGGGTGGTTGGTATCGGTTCGCTGTCGATCGAGGCAGCTGCAGGCAGACCAAGGTCGTCGTCTCTCGCTATGGAGCCTCCGTTGCCAAAGGCTGAAGCCTGGGCCACCATCGACATATTGATCGGGGGAAACAACACATGGCCCGACGAATTGGACACCGATCGCAGTCGCCCGCGAGCGGCCCTTCGGGGCGTCGAGACGTTCCGGGCAGGCGACCTGATTCTGGATCCGAAGGTGTAGTCGCCAGACGAAGGCCGCTCGGGGCCTCGATGCGTCGACGGTTGCTTTGGTGTGCTCGGCGAGGGTCCGTCTGACGATCGTTGCGAGCTGCTCTGACCGTTGCCAGGGCCGTCGAACATGGACTCGTCGTCGTCATCGTCGTCGACCGAAGACAATCTCCACGACTGAGTTGGGTGTACCGGCGGAGGCATCGGGGGATTTGGATCCGTCGGGTTTGGCAACTGGCGAGATGCCAGGGAGCTGGGCTTGGACGGCGTCGATGGGGGTTGCGATGGAGCAAAGCGTGCGCCCTCGAAGCCAGACATGGATCAGATGCGCAGAGCAAATGGAGGAAGATAGCGGCGCCGTGGTAACGAACAGGAGGCAGGAACAAGAAGCAGGAGGCAGGAACAGGAGGCAGGAGGCAGACAGATGGTGCCTCTGGCAAGGGGTTGCGGTGCAGGCAAGCGGCACCGTCGTCGAGCAGCGACAGCCGATGGGCTTTGTCGCCGAGGTCGATACGCAGCAGCCTCGATCAGGGACGGCGTCGGCGGGATATGGCCGTCTCGATGGCAAACCAGCGCAGGATGATGCGATTTGCGGCTGTCCGGGACGCAGGGCAACGAAGCCGACGATTTCCGAGCAGAAGCGGGGACGGCTCGCACATCCGCCCTGGTCGCGTGGATTGGCTTTTGGCCCAGAGCGTCGCCGATCTCGACTCTGGCCTCCATCATCCAGCGCTCCCGGCCATCATGTCAGCACAACCCTCGGCACCGCCAGCGACCACATCTTCATCGGCACCTCCAGCGACCTTCCATGCGCCGCTCGAGACCCCCTCGTCTGCCGCGATCCCGCAGGAACTGGGCGATGCCAAGCGAGCTCCTCGCGATGCCAAGCTGGTCTCGCTGCTTCTCCAGGCCATGGATCTGGACGACTACGATCCGCGGGTCACCACACAGCTGCTCGAGTTCATCCATCGCTACACCCTGGATATTCTGGCAGATGCACAGGTCTTCAGCGACCATGCCCGGCGATCCGACATTGACAAGTCCGATGTCCAGCTGGCCGTGCAGGGGTTGGTGACCCATTCATTCGTCAACCTGCCCTCCCGAGACGTAAGTCTGCTGCCTCGAAGCCCATCGCTGCCCCCTGGATCGTCGTGGTGCCATAGCTTGCGGCTGTATGCCGGCTCTACTGACGCTCTCTTCACTGGATCCACACCCTCAATATCATACTCTTCCTCCAAACGCATTGGACTCGATCGCAACGCTTCGATATTGGTCGCCGCAAAGTTCCTTGCCGATCTCGCCCGCAAGAAAAACTCGATCCCTCTGCCCCCTGTTCCTGAAAAGTTTGGCATCCGTCTGCCCCCCGAAAAGTATTGCCTGATTGGATCCAAGCTGCAGGTCGACCACCACAAGCTACCTCCAAAGCCTGATCAGCCCGGTGCGAACGTCACCAAGCCCTCCTCAGTCCTGCTATCTGTGTCGTCGTCGTCTGCGAATCGAGGCGCATCGTTGCAGTCGTCCTCAAATCTGGCAAAGACGGCCAGTCTCCCCACTGCCAGCGTGACAATCCAGAACCCTACGCTTGCTCTGTCAGCGCACCAGGCTGCAGCGGACGTCACCGCCAGCCGGGTCGATGCCGACGAGGATTACGATATGGAAGGTTGGTTGTCCCAGATATTTCATACGTCTTGTATATCGCCAGCCGCAAGTTGGACAGGCTGGGTTGGTCTTGGAGACGGTCAGCCCTGTTTGGTTCCTCTGGGCGGATCTGGCCTGGCCTAGGACGAACAAGTCGGTGGGCTCGCGCATTTTGGGCAAGAGCAGTGATCATACTGACGATTTAAACATCATAGATGCGACTGATGACGCTTCAAGGGACATTGACAGTTCGAACGACAAGGCTATGGAGGGATCAGGTAGGCGGTGCCGCTCAGCCTGTCCAAGGTATTTCTGAAATGCCGGCCTGAAACGCTCCTGCACCCACTAATCCATGCTCTTGGCATGCTTCAGACGATTTGCTGTTCTAAAGATGCTTGTGGCGGTGCCTGAACTTGGCCTGAGACCTGAGCAATGCCAACCACCGCGGCTTGGACATGCCAAGCGCTACGAGCGCAGCCTGAGTACTGGATGGGCACACATATTGTGCGGAGCCGGACAGCAGGGCCTGTGGCTTGTATTCTGATTCCACCTTGGGCCTGTCGCTGTGTTGGCCAGCGGTCCGACAGGCAGATACACTGAATAGTATTACTTTGCGAGAGAAACGCCGGGTTTCCACCATGGGATTGCAGAGCGGGAGGTGGGATATCCAGAAGCATATCAGGCATATCCCCGAGGCAAAGCAGAGCACCACAGAGGCCCGAGATCCAAAGTGGCTCGGCGGTCTGCTCCAGTTCGGCCATGATCGCAAGCCCGATGCCCCATTCCGACAACTCCGAGCGAGCGCAAGCGGCCGCCCTGTCCCAATCAGCCTGGTGCCCCATCGAATGTCTCCTGAATTGGTCCGTCCTGCCGGCCTCAAATTCTCCGTGACATCCAGACCACCCTATTCGCCTTGGACCAGCCACCTGCTTTCCCACGGCCGCATCCTGTCTTCCTCCCAAGGAGCATCGTGGCGACCAGCACGTACCAAGGCAGACAGAATCAAGGCATACCAGCGAACGAAATGACGTCTCCAGTTGACCAAGAGTTCGAGGCCGGCATCCGCCTCATTCGCGAGGCCTTCACGAAGAAAGTAAGCGATCGCGACGGTCGCTCGCTCGACTGCACGCGTGTCTCCACATTCTATGCAGAGAGGCCGAGCTGCAGAAAGTACCAAAGGAGGCGCAGCCTCAGGAGGGGCGGGAGGGAGCACCAAAAGCAATTGAACCTTTCTCTGACGATGATGGATCGTGGGGCTCTTGGATATGTAATGCGGATACGACAAACGATAGCTCGGCATGAAGGAACTCGAGCTCATTCAGATGCGGGGCGAGCTCAACCGAAAAGAGGTCGAGATCAAGGTATGGACCGGAAATGCATCGAACCGCCCAGACACACTCGCGCTCATCGGCACCAAGGGAAAGGATGTGGTGGTGGTGGTGGTGGTGGTGGTGGTGATGGGAAGCTCATTCTGGCTGGCAAATGCTGATACGAGGTGGTCGGCTGTCCGTCGACTCGGTAGGATCTCACGAATCGCCTCCAGCAGCTCGAGACTCAGCTCTCAAAGTCAGAGAAGCGGATGGCTGAAGTGTCGCGGGCGGTCCAAAAGCTCACAATATTCAAGCAGAGTGTGATGCAGTCCTTTGGGGACGATGACGACTTTCGAGGACTCATCCAAACGGGGCTCGTCAGACCCATCCCCCAAGTTCCCACCAACATTGGAATCACACAGCAGGAGGTACGCTGCGCGACGTGCAGCGTGCAGTGTGCAGTGTGCAGTGTGCAATGTGCAATGTGCAATGTGCAATGTGCAATGTGCAATGTGCAATGTGCAATGCTGGATGCCTGAGCCAACTACTCTTCTCCTTACATTCCTCATTCACGAGGCCCCCCTCCAGAACCCGACCAGGCCAGTCTTCGAACGAGCCACATGTACGTGCCAGCGACATTGTTCGTTCCGCTGTCGTCGCATTCGCCACCCTCTCTCCGCTTGCCACCAATGCATCTCTTGCCCAGTCGAACTTATGTCTGTGTTCCAACGCTGTTCTCTATGCATGAATCGAAACCTTGCAGATGACAGCGACGCCACAAACCCAGCAGCGGGCTCGATTCACCAGGGATATCTCCCGCTGAGCAGAATGGACAGGTACCCTTTCTGACGTCGCCGCATCCGACCGTTTGCGTTCAGGGGGTTAAATATCGTCACCCCTCATTCAATCATCGCATGACATTCCACCATGACATGCTATCGCCGACATGGATTCCATCACGATCTCGTCGTATGTTCCTTCTCATATCTCCTCTCGCCACCTCAAACCATCGCTGCTTTGTACGGAAGCTCGATCGAAGCTATGGGCATGAAACCCATGCAGGATGGTATTCCTCTGAAACAACAGATATCCATGCAAAAGACCGAGCTATCCACGGCCGAGCTTGATAAAGCCGGACTCACGCAGCCCACCCAGCCATCCAGCAGCACCGGGGCCTCGCCAGTGTCCAAGACAAACGAGCTGCTGTTGCAGCAAATCCGAGCAGGCAGCGGGAACCCCAACTTGCCCGCCATGAATCTACCACGAGACCGGTCCGTGACCTTCAGTCCCATGATCCAGAAAGAATCCGTTATGGAGCCGGCACCATCGACGGCAATCTCCATGTCGGCATCGTCGCTGGGGGCACCAGCACCAACCAGTGGGACCATGCTGGCCGACACAGCGAGCTCGTCGGGGTCGGGGCTCATGTCGCCGAGCGGACAGTTCGTGGACGGACGTGAGTTCTTCAAGAAAGCCAGAGGCACTTTGTCTTATGATGAGGTATGGCTGGCTTGAAGCAAACGGACCTTTTGATCTGCACGATGGCAGCCTTGGACTGCATGTCTGCTTTGGAGGTTTCGTCGGGCAGACATGGCTGGCAGTAACCGCAGCCCATCCCCGCTCCGCAGTTCACGGGTCTGCTCATGAATGTCAAGGCCTACAACAACCGCGAACAGAGCCGCCAGAAGACGCTCGAGACAACCTCCGATATCATCGAGCAGCGCCATCCCGAGCTTTACAGCGAGTTTGTGCTTCTGCTCACCCGCTGACAGCCATCGGTACCGTGTGCCGGAGCGGTACGGTGTTGAATGCACAGAGTCGGGCATTTTCCGCCAACACCCATCCCAGATCCACACGACAACCAGCCATCTTGGTGCAGATGTCGATGCTCTGGTGCACGGTGCATCTCAGAGCCGGAGTGCAATGTCTTTGGACATATTGGATGGACACACGTGTATTCAGAATCCAGAAGAAGATAAAGAGCAATCTGTCGGGGACTGGAGCAGGGCGTCCCGGTTCATTTTGTCTGAGTTGGAAAACAAAGACTCCGAAAGGAGGGAGAATGCATCGCAACGAGAAGTAGGATGACGGAAGTAGAGAATTAGCACGAATATGGATTGGTGGGACTGACGGGCTCAGCGATGGCGTGAGTCTTGGGAGGAAAGCTGCGGAGAAGGTGGGGGAGAAACAAACAGCAAACTAGTTTTTACATGCAGATGATGTGGGATGAATGACATGGGTAGAAAGAACGTGGGGGGGGGGGCAGAAGCACGGCCGAGCAATAGTCCTGCATCAGTGATCGATGCTTTGGACTACCAACAGCAGAGCTGAAGCCACAAAGCGCCTCGCGCTCGCCGGGGGTGTTTAGGGCTTTGGGCTGCTCGGATGGATATAGATGCAGTCCTTGCCGTACTTGCAATCCGGATAGAACCTGCAGCGAAAGGGATAAGCCGAGTCAGTGTGCTGAAGGCAATGCGGCTATGAGGCAGTATCCTGCACGACGAGTCGGCACACTCACTTGCACAGCTCCGTGGGGTGGTGATAGCCGCAGCCGGACTTGTTGGCGCACTTGTCGCCAAAAATGCACTTGGTCTTGCTCATCAGAGCCTCGCGCGCCTGTCGCTTGGCAGCCTTGGTGCGCTTCTCAGCGGGGGTGCCCTCGGAATCCGCCGCAGGCTCTTCCTCATCCTTGGCCGGCTCGGGCACAATTTCCTTGACGGGTCTCTTCTTCTGGGACTTGGGCACCGACAGAGCGGGTGTCACGAACTCAAACAGGGTGTGAGAGGGAGGTGCGGCAGACTTGTCTTCGTCCTTGGCGGTGCTGGCGCCACGCTTGCGGGTACTGTTCGAGCGGGCGAGGTTGGCAACATCCTGCGATGAGTTGGAGCGGACGTGTCCGTTGGCCTTGGTCTGGGGCCGGCCGTTGTACGAGTTTCGCTTCTTGAGCTTGGCCTCGTCGTAGAGGCTGCTGTCGTAACTGCCTGGAAGGCGCCAAGAACCAGAAGCAAGTCAGCAAGGAATCAGCAGCGAAATCAGGAGGCAAATACGGGTCGTGGGAGCCAGGCACTCCAACCAAGCGAAAGTGTTGCCCGGCATGTTGCCGCGACGCTAGCGCGCACCACGGCCACCCAGACTGCAAACGTGCGAGAACCAACCTGGCACAAACTCCATCGCGTTCACATTGAAGGAGGGAACAAACTCAGGCACATAGGGCTTCCAGGACCCTCCGTTCACGACGGCTTCGGCATGGTCGGCGACGTAGTACCCATTGGCGTAGACAGACGCTTGGGTCATGTCGTCCATGACTTCGGGTGTGGAGTGAGCGTGGTGGAACTCGGTGGGTTCAAGATAGTCCAGCATCTCGGGAGCGGCGTCGACGGGCTCGAGCATTGGCAGCGAGCCATGCTCGTCGCCATGTTGAAACTGCGCGTGTTCAGACACTTGTTCCGGCGCAAGCTCTGGTGCTTGCACGGGTTCTTGGCTAGGCTCCGCAGCAGCCGGCTCATGATCTGCAGCCGACTCGGCCACGATATGCGCAGTGGGGCTGTCGACCTCGACAATCTCCCTTGTAGCTTCGACAGCCTCAGCAATCTCGACAGGCTCAAGAGCCGATGCAGTTTCTGTCGCTTCGAAAGCAGTGGCCTGCTCGATGGTCTCAATAGTGGCGGCAGCCTCGATAATCTCGACAGTTTCAGGTTCGATCAGATTGCTCTCGACAACCTGAGGAGCCGCAACGGGCGATGACGTGCTGATCTCCGAGTGCGCTCGCGAATCGTTGTGGATGTCCTCTTGAGTGACAAAAGACAGGTGCTCCTGGTCGATGTGGGCATCCTCCTCGATCTCAGCCGCATCAATGACAATAACAGACTGGGCTTCGACCTCAATGACCTGGATGCTTTCCGTCAGGCACTCGACGTTGATGCTGGTCACAGCGTCGGCAGTCTCTTGCGGCACCGCGGGGGTGACGGGTGTCTGGCCCATGTACGGCGTCGCGGGTGTGGGCACAGCCTCGAGAACGGGCTCGGTCAGGTCTTCGAACGAGAGCTGGGTGGCGATTGTCGTCTTGACAGGCGACTGCGGGCGAGGGGGGAGATCGACCTCCTCAATGCGCTCCGTGATCTCGGTAATGTCGGCTCTGGCCGAAGACGGCTGCGTGGCGTTGTCGATCAGCGTGTACGAGTCATGGCGCACAATCTCGTAGGGGTAAGGCTGTTCGTCCCCGGAGGCGACATACCCATATGTGCGTCGCTCGTTGATGTCGGCGTACATGGGATGCGAGAGGACCTTGGAGGCGGCAGCGGCATAGGACAGGACGGGCTTGGCTAGTACAGCGGAGTCGGTAGGCGCATCGGACAGAGCCCGCGGCGCGAATGTCGCCTGTGGCTCGGATACAACCGAGGCAGGCACTTGAGGCTCCGGGGTCTGAGAAACGGCATCCGCAACGGGAGTCTGGGTGCTGGGCGATGGCGAGGACAGCTCGCCGGTGCTGTTGTAGATCAGAAACGGGTGCTCGCCCTCGCTAGTGCTTGATACATAGCCGTAGTAGGAGCGCTCGTGGACTTGGGCGTAGATGGCCGAGGACTGGTGGGCGAGAGCCGGTCGGTCGGCCTCAGCATGGGCTGCTTCGGAGCGGGTGGCGGTCTCAACGTGGGACGTGGTTTCAGCGCCGGTGGTGGTAGTGGTGGTGGTTGTGATCGTGGTGGTGGTGGTGATGCTGGTGGTGGTCTCAGCACGGGCCGTTTGGGCTTTGGTTGCGACTTCGACGGTAACAGTCTCGGTTTGGACACTGGCCTCTGACGGGATCAGAATGGGTGTCGACTCAGGAGTAGCCTTGGTCAGCAGATCGACTGGTGTATCTGATACAGCAAAGCAGCAAGGAAGCGGGACCATGGCGTCAGTACTATGCCCCATGTAGCGAGGAGCCGAGACAGAGCCGCCACGCAGAGCAGACAATGCAGCCACACACGCGGTGGGGATACGGACCTCTGGCGGAAGTGTCGGACTTGTCGGATGAGACAGCGGCCGGGGTGGACACGGACAGGACGGCCTCAATCTCCCTGGATTTGTCGGCAACGGCCTTGGCGATCTCTTCAAACTCGACTGAGGGATTGGCAGGAGCAGCCGGCTCGGCCGACTCAGAATCGACTGATCGCGCTGCGACGGACACGCGGGTCTTTGCGGACGATCGTCTGCGGGTGCCCCGAGGTGTGGTCGCTGGAGTTGAGGTTGCGGACGAGGAGCGACTCGCATCGGCTGTCTGAGACGAACGCTTGGCGGACGAGTCCCGCTTCTTGGTGTCCTTTTTCTTATCGGGCTTGCTTGCGGCGAATGCGATGCGCTGGATCAGCAAGGCAACCGCGACGGCGGTTGTCAGGGCCAGCAAGGCTCGGGCAGTGGGATTTGTGGGAAACATGGCTGGGCGGGAGGCAGTGGCGGCACGGCAGCACGGAGCAGTCAGGAGCCCAGAGGTCGAGACGATGTGCAGACGGAGCGACGGGGTGGGATGGATCGACGGATCTGCGGGCCCGATGCGAGGATTTCCAGGATCTGGATGGCACAGAGGATATACGGGAGCTTGGGATCGAGCTCCGAGGGGGGTGTCGCAGGTGGGAGAGGCAAGAGCAAGCTCGCAATCGGCGACAGCGGCGGCGACGGCGACGATAGTGCGATCGAAGGCGATGGGCGATGGGCGATGGCGATGGGCGATGCAGCAGATGGCAGCGCAGGCAGGCTGGATGATCAGACGGATCGGGAAGACCAAGAGGGGCAAAAAAAAGGTGACGGGAAGTGATGGCGCGGCCAAGCCACACGGGACGAGAGCGCCGCGAGACGCAGCGAGGGGGCACCGAGGTGCGGGCGAGAAGGGGGCCGAGAAGGGCGTCGGACGGCATGTGGGACACGGTGGCACAGCGCATGGGCCATTGCCCAACACAGAGGCATTGGCCAAGCTCCACAGACTCTGCACAGACTCTGCACAGCCGCTGCTTGCGCACGGCCGCAGGCGATTGGCCCGGCGGACATGTCTTTGTGGTCGCACTGGACAGCACGTGATCCGGGCAGCATTCATGTTCATGTTCATTCCCGACCCGCAACAGCACCAATCCTAGCACCACCGCCAGCACCAATATTAGCACCACCACCACAGCTACACATGCCCCATGACAACCGAGATCTTGATCGTGTGCGGTCCTGGCGCAGCCGAGTCTGTCCACACCTTGAGCAGCTTGCTCGACCTCCAGCCCCAGCTCTGTGTGTTCTTGAACAGATCGGGCTTGCTCTCCAGGATGAAGCACTGGTCGGAAATGAAGCAGTACAGCTGAAACCAGGTCTGCACCTCCTCCCGCCGATCGACGTAGACCGAAACGCGATGTGAAGCTGAGGCATGCGGATCTTCGATTTCGGGCTCCTCGTCCTGTGCCCAGCGCTGGCTGTGCTCGGCCACCGAGTTTATGCGCGGCATGCAACGGGTCAGTACCATTGGCTGTCTCTGTCGCTCGGCAGCATCGCTATTGCTGTAGCGGCACTCGCAGGACCACATCGCAGGATACTCACAGATAGATACCCAGCTTGCTTGATCCTTGCGCGACAAGCTTCTGAATATACACAATCCAGTACGAGCTTGTCGAGGGTGATCGTACCGGGTCCATCGGGTCGAGACCCAAACAGACGTCACAGGCAGGGCAGTGTCAGTTGCGACGCCACAACAACCATTCCCGTGCATGCACACCGAAGGGCTCGTCCGCGAGCATATTCCCGAGCCGAGCTTACCCGGCGTAAAACTGCGTCTTGGAGTATACCCGGTCACCCCGATGGATGCGGTTCTCATCGGCCGCCTCGAGCGAGAACCGAAACGGCGGGAATCGGACCCGGCTGTGGGCATAGATCGAGCCCTCCAGCACTCCGGACACCTGCTTTTCGTCAATTTTGTCGGTGTCGCCGCTCGGGATGAGGACCTCGCTCGGGCTAGGGTCGCTGGTGTCCTTCGAGACGTCCACATCGTACTGAATGCCCAGGGTTGTGATGTGTTCTGCTGAGCCCTCGATCAGACACCGAAACTCTTGCTGCGTCCAAAATGCCTTCTCAAGAACATGGGCCGGGGCGAATCCATCGCCTCGGATCTGCAGCAGCTGGTCGAACCTCATGTGCGAGTAGACCACTCCGTACGAGAGCATGTCTCGAAAGGTGGTTTCCTCGCTCTCGCCCTCGCTGCCATCGCTGGCGCTTGTCGAGCCACTGGTTTCGCTTGAATCGGACGATGCCAGCGAGAGGGACGAGAGATCAAGGGCCGAGTCTGCAAGGGAAAGTGGCCGATGGCCAGTTTTGGTCCGGTCCGAACGTTTCTGGCGCAGCTCAATGACGTCGCGGATGAAGCAGTACCGCTCGTATTCGGACGGTACGCAGAAGCAGTCCGAGGCAACTATGCGCTCAAACCAGGACAGCGGCAACTGCGCGAACACTTCCTTCAGGTCCGCAAAGCCCTCTCGACACAGAAACGTGAAGATGGCCTCGATGATGGCGTCGCTGTTGATGCCGTAGTATGAGGCGACGATAAAGCCGATGCTGTCCACGACGGTCTCCTTGGTGATGCTGTCGATGATGTATGTGGTGCAGATATCAAGCAAATCCGAGTCGTTGAAGTAGGAGGCTGCTGCCATGATGCTAAACACATTCTTTGGATGGAGCCGCACCTCGAACTGGCCGTAAATTCTGCGGCAGAAAGGTGGCGTTGAACAGAGCCGAGAAACGCAGCAAACTCAGAAGGTGCTTCGCCGATATTCGATTGCCCTCGGCGCCAGACATCCATGAGCAAGCCAAGCTCGAACTTTGACAGGACGGGGGAAAACCTACCGGGCAAACACAGCATTAACACCCTCCAGGGTGATGTGAGGATCGTCAAAGGTCAGGTTGATGGTGCGTTTGTCGCTCTCGGCCCAGGAGCCGTCGAGCATCCCAGCAAAGAACGAGTTCTGGACGAGGATAATGCGATGCAGCTGGTACTTCATGCCGAGGGCCTCGATCGTAACATCCGAGAACTTGGAATTGAAGAACCCGCGCTTGTAGATGCCCTGTGTCATGCGCTTCATCTGCTCAAAATGGCACATCCGGTCGAGAGTGTTGGACTCGTAGTCCTGCGTTCGCCGGATGAAGGTGCGCTTCGGCAAGTCGAGCAGGGAGCCGCTGTGAGAGTCCTTCATGGTGCGAGGCGGGCGATGGACAGATGCGGGCAGGGAACGGAGACAGAGATTGGGCCCGAGACGGCACTGCAAATGGGAGCAGCAGATGCACGAAAGTGTGCAGAGGGCCAGACAAAAGCAACAGAAGGGGCAGAACGACGGTGCAGGACGGGAGACAGGAGGGCGAGATGCGTGGCAATCGGGCAAGCTGTGGGAAACAGCTCTTGTCCCACACATTCTATTTTTGGCATCGGCACCGCCACAAGCACGCACGACTTGCGGCATGCCCGTTTCGCAGCCAGACACCTCAGCATGCGTATAGCCTGTGTGGTTTGAATGATATGGCCGGCTACGCCTGTTTTGTTCGAACGAGACGGCGTGCTCCATTGTTTTTCCAATGCGCTGTATATGTCGTTGGCCTGTCGACGGACAATGCAGGCTCCCGCCCCAGATCCGGCGTTGGAGCCCAGCGAGCTGCCTGCCTTCCAATCGGCGGTGATACCAAGCCCCGTCCGAAACTTCGATCCAGCGGGTCTTGTCGACAGGCCGATCGATCCGGGTCAGTCGAGACAATCAATCACAGACACGCGACCGGAAGATGCGCCGGGTCGGGCTTGGGCAGCATCGCCCTGTCGCTGTCCACCGCTGCCCAACTCCATCAGCAAATTCACCCGGCCAGCCAGCCTGCCATCATCACTCGGCTGGTATAACTGCCCATGTGAGGTCTTGATGACAGCCCAAACCAAGGCAAAATCCACTCCCATCGACTCCCTGGAGCGGCCATCGCTACGGCTCTCGACCGAGGAAATCGAGAGCCTCCCAGATGGCTCCGAGCCTCCCGGCTTGTCATGCCGCCACAATATCGATGGCCCCTTCGACATCCCTGGGCTCGAGACTATTGCTCTGCCGCTGGCTCCGCAGACATACGGATACATACCATGCCCTCTCGATCCCCAGTCGTCGCTACCGCCAAGGTCCACAGCCAAGACCCCAAAGAAGCCCAAGATGCCTGTCTCGAAGCCCAAGCCGATGTTAGCCCCGGCTGGCTCTGCACACGGGTCTTCTGCCCTTTCACTACCACCTCCGCCGTCGCCGCCGCCGCCGCCACCCTCCTCAACCCGCAAGGCCAGCTTGCCGCTGGCACCGCTCGAACTCGGCCAGTCGCTGCACTACAGCAGCCTGAAGCCTCGCGAGTCTCTCAAGATCCCGATCATCTCAGCCCCCTTTGCCGATGTTGAATGGGTAATACTCGCATGCCCATCGTCGCCGAGACCAACCAGCATTTAAACGACTCGGGCTTCGTCACCGCGACCTTCAGCACCTCGCTCATAGTGCACAGCAGACTACATCACCATGTATCCCCTTTCTTGAACCATCTTGCTTCACCAAGCACCTTGATTCCCACGCCCCTCATTTGTGATGCCAGAACCTCCATCTGAACATGCACCAGCCTGACACTCGCTGCGATGCTAACCCGGCCGTGGGCTTGACCATCTTCACCATATGCTTGACCATTTTGAACATGTGCTTGACCATTTCGGCCAGGTCCGCAACGCCCGCATTGCCATGGCAGCGAAACCAAAGCGCGGCGGCGTCTCCGAGAGCAACCTCACAAAGTCCGCATGCCAGCCAGATTACTTCCACTCATACGCCGAGGTCAAGGTGCTCGACACCGAGAGCCATCACCTGGCCGTGCTCCTGCCCCATCGATACACCAAAAAGGTTCCCCTCTTCGGCAGCATTCCGCGGTTCCCCGTCACCAACAATCAGGTAATGGAGCAGCAGTTGACAACCAGCCTCTCCGGGACGTCACTATGTCGCTCCATCCGCCCTTCGCCTCGGCTTCCCATCACTCTGCCGCAAATCGTACACTCCTGCTCACAGGCTTCTCACTCTTGGTTCAGAGAAGATTGACGAGCCATCGCCTGAAGCCGCTGGATATGGATTCTCACCCTGCTGGGCCAAGCCTCGATCTGCACGACATTTGCGATCTCGAACCACCCTCTCGGCCCTGGAACTCAGAGGCTCGAGCACCGACCGACCCGTCTCAACGTCCGGCAACTTCAGGCAGTCGTCTTGCACCCCTCCCAGCCAAGAATCGTCAGATCGTCGTCGCTTCAACCTATCTCGCTGCACCACCGGCCATCCGTCAGCTAAATATGCCTCATCCCCAGGCTTCCAGGTCCGAGCACCATCAGCCCACCTCGAACCCACCAGAGATCATCGGCACGGCAGTTCCAGCTCGTTCTTTGGCGAAGCTGGGGGCGTCAAAAATTGCACAGGAGCACAGGACAAGGACAGATCTCGGCCTCCGGCTGCAGCGTACGCATCCGCTAACCAAGGCGGCTCAGTGCGGATACCCCGCCAGGGATCAGCAGGAACTCCTCTCCAAGATCATGGCCCGGGTGAGACCCAGCTGTCTCCCGAGAGGCGGAATCCCAAGTTTATCTGCGTCTCTGGCTTCCTGTCCGCGAACCAGCGGCTCGGAGAAGATGGTGACCCTTGCCAAGGCCGCTCCTCCGTTCAGCAACGACATGACCGAAGTTACCAGCGGCTGGGATATCCAACCGCAAGCCCCTCACCCTTCACACGAGCCGCTCCACGAGTCATATGGGACACTCGGCCCAGTCACTAGGGCCACATCGCCCGAGAGCGAATAGATCTGCGTATTTTTGCAGGATGATGCATGGCCTCGGATCCGGGAAGGACCAGCACCGTCGATACGGATCATAGCTGGGACCCGGCAGCAGTGTACTTGACCGAGCTCCGTCCGTCGCAAACGAGGCTCTCCCTGGACCGGTGTGTTCGAAAGCACCGAGCCGCATGTGGGGTGCTCTCAGTGCAGTCGCTGTTCCCACCAGCAACGTATCAGCGATGCATCGGCCAGCGTATCGAGCGCCGGGAAGGCCTGATTGAGCTTCGGCTTCCTCTGTGGAAGCCGCTGCGTCTTGCCTCTTGGCTCGATGTCCACCCGCTCATCCGTCCGCGCAGATCTCACGCTCATCTATCCTGCTGTCCCATATCAACCTCGCATCCACGTCATTTTTGTCTCATATTCACCTCGTATCCGCCTCACACTCTCCCGCTCGGTCCGTATCTGCTGGCATTCATCCTCCCGGCTCGCCTTTCTTCGCCCACACAACGCAGCCTGTCGCCGACACATCGCCATTCCACCCGCGCCAGACATGAACGACTCGGAGGACTCCATATCCATATTCTCGCTCGTCCCGGCAGTCTATGTGGTTGCATGTCTGTATCTGCTGCCGTTTGGATCGACATCCGTCCGCATCTTGAACCGGCTGTTGGGCAGGGCACCGCCGCCGTTATCCACACCCGAATCTATTTTGCGAGAGCCGCTGCTTCCCTACGAGCAGTACGAAAGCCTCACCCGCATCGAGTCGTCCCATTCGCTGCTCGAGGAGCGGCAAGCTCTCGGATGGTCCCCGGCTCGGTCGCTGCAAGACCCATGCTTGATCGATCTCGGGACATGCGGCATCTGCGCCTTCCAAATCGCATGGGCCATCCAGCCTCTATTCCATATGCAGCGACACGGAAGCGAATACCAGTCTCTACGGCTGCCGCTGCTCATATTGGTCTCGGTGGTTTCGTGGGTGAGTTGCTTCGGGAGGCATTGTGCAGGTCCGAGGTGCGGGCCTGCAGTCGGACGCAGAGCCAGACTAGTCATCCCCAACAGCGAGCGGGATTCGCCCCGCTTCCAAAGCTCGCCGTGTCCTATGCGCTGACTGGATGCTTGGACGGACTTGATGCCCGACATGGCCAACTGACATCAGATCTATTGCTCGCAGTCCGCGGCCCTAGCCATCAATCTCATGTCGTTGATGGCCTTTTCCCTGGCCGAGAGCATCGTGGTGTCCTTCTGGATGACTCCGTTCTACCTCATGATGGGCGTGACGGAGCTGCTCGAGACTTACATCCGGCACCCCAGCGGCCCCGGGGATCTAGGAGCGAATCCGGTGTGGCATTTCGTTGCGGCTGCTGTGTCGTTTTTCCTGGGCATTGTCGGGATCTGCCGGCAATGCTCCATTGTCGCTCCGGTGCTGCCTCGTCGCCCCATGAATCGCCAGGGCTGTCGCAGAGCGACCGACACTCTCCACCGAGCCACTCGCCCACCCGAGCCAAGCGCCTGAGTCTGTCATCTCCATTTTGTGAAAATCGGGCCGACCAAGGCGTGGGCCGATCTGGAGCTGGAGCTGGAGCTGAGGCTGGAGGTTTGTGCTGAGGAAGACCGTTTGATGACGAGGGAATGCTGCCGTTGTCGATGGCGGCCAATTCAATAATACAGTCCTTCCAGAAAGCTATGTGACAGTATCGCTGCTTCTCTAGCATCAGAGCCCTGAAGCCTGTTGAAGTTCCCTAGCCCTCGGTAGGCAGGCCGGGTGATTGTTTCCAGTCCCGGTTGGCCATCTCTTGGGCTTTGTTGGGTTCGGGAGCATCTCCTTGAATACACCCGGTCGCTCTCCTGAATATCATCGGGGTCGTCTTTGGTCTCTTTCGTGCCGACCCGATGCAGCCGCCGGAGTGCTTCCGGGCGTGCGGGATGACTTGCTGCCTTGGTGCTCATGATGACGGCCATGGCAAGCGTCGGGTGCCCTTGTGGGTCTTGCCGGCCGAACCTGCCGGGCCAAGCCAGGGCCTGTTCTTTGCCCACCAGCAACCCTCTTCGACACCATCACATAGCCGTATCCTCGCATATCCACACAAGCGCATCCCCGCATCACCCCCCATCATTGCATCATGAAGCCGAAGCAGATGACGCCCCTGAAGCTGCGTGGTATGCTCTGCGCGCTCTGCGAGGACAGACAGCTGCTCTCCAGGACCACGCAACTCACCTCTTCCATTCCTCTCGCCGATGCTCGGTTTCGTGCCGCCAGTCGGCCAGTTCAATCTATGCAACCTCAACAAGGCCCATACTCCCTTCTACAACTTTGCCCATGGCTATACCGACGAGCAGGTCCACGCCAAGGTTGAGTGGACCGCAAACCAGCTCCGTCGCATGAATGCCTCGATCGTCGGCTTTGAGGAGGTTTTCCACGAAGAGCCGCTGCACCAGGCTGCCGAACTTGCCGGGTACGATATGGCCAAGACAACGCTGCTTTGCCCCGGCACCGACGGCACCCAGCCCTGCGTCGGGCTCCTCAGCGTCTACCCCATCGTCGAGTGGTGCTCCATCACTGATTTCCCGTCCGAGTGCATCTTTGACCTGAGCGCCGAGCAGGATGACGACCAGCTCGAGTTGCCTATGAAGACCTTCCAGAAGCCCGTGCTGCGAGCCGTTATCCAGCTGCCCGTCGATCGGACCATCACCGTCTTTGTGGCCCACATGAAGTCCAAGCGACCGCTGGTGCGGTGGCGGGACCGCTTCGATCTCAAACAGACCGCAATCGGCGGCGCTTTGGTGAGACTGCCTCGATTCAGTCCGCATGCACCCGCTCCCGGAAGAGTGCAGAGATCCTGCGATCGATAGATGGAACACTTGGTCCGCGACAGCCCATGTTAAGAGCCCAATGCTAATGTTGCACTCCTCCGGATACCACAGTCCTTGATTATCCGGGCCGCAGAGGCGGCTGCCCTGCGATGCTTGCTCATTGACGAAACTCGCGGCCGCCCGTCTCCATGTGTCCGCGGAGGCAATCCTCAATCCAGAAGCAAGCATCGGCAAACGCTCGAGGTCAAGACCGCAGCACCCGCTCGCCGCTCACGCAGCCGCTCTGCTTCGTCGGCCCGATCCGATATCTCCGGCGTCGATGCCGACGAAGCCATCCGAACGACCATCCTGATCGGCGACCTCAACGACACGGCCCACAGCGTGTCGACCGAGATTATGTCGGGAACGCATCCGTGGAAGAAAAAATCGTACGATGAGCGCAAGATGACCTACCACTCGCTGCTGAGCTCAACCAACGACGTCCAGATCCGGGCCTCTGACAAGGATGTCACCTATACTCACATGTACGTTTGGCGGGGGGGGGAGGGCTCGTGAGCACGAATGCTGCAGTGGCCGAGACTGCTTCCACACAAACGCCGTGCGAAACCGCTGACTTGGAGCATCGCCTTCGTTTCCAGCCACAACGGGCGATACGATGTCCTCGACCACATCCTGGTCTCGAACGATCTCGTCCGCGCCAATCCCAACCACATCGGCTATGTGCAGTACCTGCAGCACTTCAACGACCATCTCATCGACGCGACGCTCATGGAGGACGACGACAACGACGACCTGCCTCTCAAGCTTGCCCCAGCAGATTCATATGCTCCCGACATTGCCTTGCACGCTCTGCACGCTCTTGATCTGCACGACCCGGCGGCATCATCCAGCCCGCCCTCGTCTGGCCCCACAACTCCCAGCAGCAGCAGCAGGAAGGCTGGGCACAAGCCCAGCCCCTTGCCTGTTCCGCGGGAGAGCGATCACGGGCAAGTCATGGCAATTCTCAAAATCTATCCGCCGGGATGGAACTCCGAAGCCGAGCGGCAGAAGATGATCCAGATGGGCTACCAAAGTCCGACGGAGATCGAGGTCCCCAACATCATGTAACCCCTGGGGTGCGCTGGGTGCTAATGGCGGCCGGCAAGTGCGTATCTCAAGACCTTGCCCTCAAGGTGGTGGCGAATGCATGATGCGATATGGACTATTCATACATACACGACAAAGAAAGACAAGCAATGCAGCGATGCGTTGAGCCGGGCGGTAGACAGCCGAGAGCCGAGAGCCGAGTGGTAGACAGCCGAGAGCCGAGTGGTAGACAGCCGAGAGCCGAGTGGTAGACAGCTGGGAGCCGAGTGGTAGATAGCTGGGAGAGCATCCTCCGTATTCAATGCAGAACCTTGACAGTAAGCATCAAGCCGTTTCGGTCGGGTGCCACCACGACCTGCTCGGCCTGGGCCGGCTCTGGAATGTCGAGGATCGACACATGGATTTGCTGCGGCGGTCGAGAACCGCATTGAGATGGGCGCGCATAAGCGACAGAATGAGCGGACAAACGGCAGTGAGACGCAGTGCTCTCGCTTCCCATGCTTGGCAACAACAAAGAGGCGGAGAGAACTCCACAACATGGACCTACCGGCTCCTGTGCGGCATTTTCGGTCCAGAACAGCGGCAGATATGAAAGCTTGGCGACGTTGCTGGCATGGATCACTCGGAAGCGCACGTTGGAAGGTGCTCGGCCGTTCCACTCGGTGACCATGTGCAGGATTTGCAGCTGGAAGATGAGCACGGCAGCGATGGGCAGAGCCAGGACGACGGTCGGATCCACGACGAGAAGATGGCTGTGTTAGCAATCGGTGGAGAGCAACAGCCACACAGACATGGACCATGACCCGACATGACCCGGCATGACCCGGCATGGGTACCGGGAAGGCGCCACCATCGGGCCGTCGCTCTGCAAACGCAAAATATCGGCCAAGGACATGCGACCGATGGGCACGGCAGCAGGGTGTTGTGCAGCCCTACCTCAAAGTCATCCACAAACTTGGAAAGCCACAGACGCCCGATCCAGGGCTGGATCAGCAGCAGCAGCGCCAGGGCGGCGATGGCAGCCGCAGCAGTCCAGAGGCGACCATCGTAGGCCAGATATCCCGCCAGCAGAATAAACACAAAGGCCAGAAGCGAGCCAACGCCCAGCTGGACGACCTCGATGTTCTTCTTCTTGGCGTGGGCCATCGCCAGGAGCGAGTTCAGCTCAGAGGCATGCGAGCGATGCAGGGGCGAAGGGACATGGTCTGCCAGCGACGGCGGGAGGTCGAGCGAAAACACCGGGGCGCTCTTGAAGGTTGTCGAGACCTCGGGGAAGATCATGATGGTGGTTCCCTCGGGCGTGATCATGCGCGATGGTCGGCGGCGATGGGTATACGACTTTTGGAAGATTGTGATGCGTTGGGATCCAGCCAGGGCAGCGACATGGGCAGCACCGATGGCATGCGAACAAGCAGGTGGGAAGAGAGACGGCCGGTGAGCCGAGACAGACGGACGGGCGGATATCGGGGGTCGGCAACGTAGCGCCCGGGCGGCAGAAGCAGACGGATACGCACACTCGAGCCCGCCGATCCCGGGCCCAGCGAAGGGCTGAGCAGCGGGGAGGTCTCAGAGGCTGATCCGGGATCGAGGAATCCGAAGGAGCGGCCCAGCGACGTGCCCAGCTTCTTTGCGGAGGTGGCGATCGAGAGGGACTGGCCGCCATCGCGACTGTCGTTCGGGTCCAGGAGCGAGGGCATGCTGGCAATCAGGAAGACTTGGCCAAAGGGTTGACCAAAGAGTTGACCAAAGGGTTGACCAGGGACAAGAGAGCTGGCGATGCCAAGGACGGGCGCCGCTCGCATTTTTCTGGCTTTGCTCCACCCGCAGCCCGGTGCCACCGAACACGCCGGTGGTGGATGGGCGGACTGCTCCAACGAAGGGCTCGCCGAAGATGTATCCAGCCGGAAGTTTGTTTTCTGGTATGTGCATGTCCAGCCAGAGCACCCCATCTGCGATGGACGACCGGATTGAATGCCAGTCCAAGACCAGCCGGCTCAGGACCAGCCGGCTCAGGACCAGCCGGCTCAGGAGCTTGCTGGCCCTGTCCAAAGGCACCACCGGCAGTAAGCCGACTAACCAAGAGCCCGCTGCTCACATCGCTCGCATCCAGAGATAATATAAGAAGAAAAGAGAAAGACTAAAACAGGTGTGGCCCAGACCGCCACGAATCTGAAATCGACACAAAGTCGGTGTGCAGAGCACCAAACGGTCCGGCGACGTAGATCATGGCATCCTAGACACCACCGCCGCTCCGCTCGGCCTGGATCGGTCGCTGTTCTTGGCTCTGGCCGGACCCGAGCAGCTTGGCAAACTTGGACTGAGTGCGGCTGTCCTTGATGGCAGCCAGAACCTGGGAAGCAAAGCGACAAGTTTCATCAGCACGCCGTCAGCACAGCATTAGCCGAGGGTGCTCCGCGCACGGCTTTCGTATACCTCGAGAAACTCGTTAAACTCGATCGTGTCAGCCTCGTGGACTTCAATATGCTCCAGTATCTTGCGAATCTTGCGTGTGTCGGTTGCCATGTCGAGCTTCTTCAGCACCCCATCCAGGTCGCGCCGGGGAATATGGCCGTCGCCCAAGGCGTCCTTCTTTCCAAACTCGTAACGGTATCGAGCCAGCTCGGAGGGATGGAACGAGTGCCGGGTGTAGTCTGTGACCTCAAAGTCCTCCTCGCTTGATCTGTCGGCGTGGGAAGCCGTGGTTGCACCGAGGAAGAGCTTGGTGCCAGCTGGCAGGCCCATCGTCGTCAGGAACTTCTGGGCCCTCTGGAACTCAAGAGCGCTCCGCTCCTGGTTCCATCCAAGCTCCTCGCTCATGATCTCGATCACCCTGGGAAGGCACTGGTTTGCAGCTTGGGCGTTCAGGAAGGCCAAGCGGATCCGTCGGGCAATCACGTCCTGGCCAGATGCACGAGCGTCTGTTAGCGCACGGCGAAGTACTGGGCTGACATGGGCTGCCTCGGCGAGACCGATCTGCCATCGACACTCACCACTGCAGTGCAGGCGTACTCTCTCTGTACGGCAAACCGAATCTCGGCTTCGATATAGGGGTAGTGGTCCGACAGTCGCTTTCCGTAAACCGGCCACCTCTTGCCGGTCAGAGAGGCCAGTGACGCAACACCCCAGGCGCGGTCTCCATAGCTGTCGGCCAGGTGCTGGGCAACCTATAGGCATGTGTTGATGCGCCGCATAAGTATCGATGCCTTGCAGCAGCTGCAACGAGACCACCCACGCCTGATCGCCGTCCAGGACCCACCTCTGTTTCCAAGCCAAAGTGCTGGATGAGTTTGATGAACATGGTCTTGGACCAGCTGTGCGAGCCGATGAGCAGCGTGCGCTCGGTGACGCAGGGGCCTGTGGGCTTCAAATCTTTCCAGCCAAATCAAATCCGTTAGCGACAAGGCCGATCACGGCAAAGTGCCGAGTCCAGAGGAACGGCTGCCAATCTGCAGCAGCGACTCGATAGCAAGCCGAGACACCACCTACCAAACACCTCAATGGCCTTGTCGATTGTTTCCTGTGCCATGGCGCGATACGTTGTCCACTTTCCGCCCGCAATCGTCAATAAGCCGCTGTCGGAGACATGGATCATGTGGTTGCGGACGAGGGCCGCAGTGTTCTTGGCCGCAGGGTCTCTCACAAGCGGACGGATCCCCGACCACGCAGCGAGAACATCTCCTCGACGAACTTTGATCTCTATGACGATTTGATGGTTGGCAAGACCGGTTAGGCCATCGGCGCCGACATTGATAGCGACAGCGGCATTGCTACATTGACTAGAGTCCATCCAGGGTCACAGTAAGCCACACGCTTGGCAGCCGCACCTGGAGAGAGGTAGTTCTCGACTTCCTTGAGGATCCAATTGATATCCTTCTCGGTTGGGACGGGGTTGCTGGTCACATTCGTCGGACTATCTGCAAGCGATCGCCTGGACGTCAGCAGCTGCCCTGGGTGCTAACAAGTACATACGGTTGCCCGGCGAACTAACCTGTGGTGCCGGCAACGACATTGCCTGCCCAGGGAAGGAAGAATATGACCCGACCGTCGCTGGTGGCAGGGTCGATGAGACCCATATGCTTGGGACTGTAGTAGTTTGGCAGGATGATGTGGACTCCAGCGCTTGGCGAGACAATGCCGGCAAGCTGGGGCTCATCCATTTTGCGGATGCCGTCGGTGAACGGGCCCGTTGCGTTGACCACTCCCTATTTGAAGCCGCGAAAGTGATATTGGCGCACTGCTCTGTGAACTGAGCCCGGCGACGGACTGATGGCATGCGATGGTGCACTGGTGGGAGATACTGATGGATGGCCGACATGTACTCCCGTTACTTACCTTTGCACGAACAGTCCAGCTTTCTCCAGTGAGCGTATCTCTGACAACGGCGCCGCAGATCTCTTCTTCGCCGAGAGGCCGGCCGAGCAGCGTTCGGGCACTCTGCCGCTTCCTCTTGACGAGCTCAACGACTTCGACGTGGTTGGCGACGGTCGCGCCATGGGCAACAGCGGTGAGGATGACGGCCGTATTCATGCGAGAGTCGTTGTGGGCACCTAATATCGGCCGTTGTCCAGGATATTAACGAATGGCCATGCCCGCGCTCTGCTCTCGATCACTCTGGATAATCCCACAGGTGTTGTCGAGCAATGCCACAGGACAGGTTATGCAGGCTGCCCATACCGTCGTAGTAGACGATCGCACCCTTGAGTCTGTCTGTCTTGAGCATCGGGAAGACCTCCAGCGCACGCTTCTTGCTCAAGAAATACGAGATTGGCATGTGGTCGCCCCGGGCTTTGGCCAGAGCGTCGTATGCCTTTGCCCCGGCCCAGTAGTACGGGATCTTCCACCACCTTGGATTGGAACAGCACGGCAGAACACCCGAGGGCACCCCCGTGTTAGTAACTGAAGGGTTCTGATGGCGACGAATGCCGCCTCGACCAGTCTCCCCGACTTGCTGCCTCAGTCCCCCCGTGAACGGCGCAGGTACAAGCGACAGAGGGATACGTACGTGTAGATCGGGAGCATAATGGGCAACTGGTAGGCGAGATACGGGGCAATCTTGAGGAAGACTCCTCGCTCATGCAGCGCCTCGGAGACGAGCTTGTATTGCTCATAGTCCATCTCCAGGAAAGCCTTCTCCAGATAGCGCACACCGCCATGAACGAGCTTGGTGCTGCGCGATGAGGTGCCTGGCCGTGAGAGATGCGCAGACAGGGCGAGGGTGATGAGGAACGGAGATGAAGAACTCTGTCATGACGAGTGGGGGGGGGGACCCATATATCCACAGGCCGGAGCGACGACGGCGGGCGATACTGTACCTGAGGCAAAGTCGTCTCGCTCGACAAGGGCGACCCTGAGTCCACGAGTAACGGCGTCCTGCGCAAGAAAGAGTAGTAATCGAGCAGATGAGAGGACATGGCCCGAGTCGATAAGGCTGCCTCGCGCACGATCAGCCTCCAGGAGCCGCTGTCTCGCCCGCCATGTTTCGATACACAGCCCGGCGACATTACCAGTGCGCATCCAGCGCCGGTTGCACCTCCGCCGATAATCAGCAGATCAAACGGCTCGGGATCGCCTCCGGTCACAGCGTCAGTCGCCGCTTGGCTATCTGAAGGTGCCGCGCTTGCAGGATGCTGGCCCTTGAGACGGCTGATCATCTCGGCTCTCGATGGCGGCGTCCATAGCGAGTGCGGCATCGAGTCTTGGGCACCGTTGCTGTGGATAAAGTATCCGTCTGTCGCAAGCGGCTGAGGCCGCAGATAGACTGCGATTCCATAAGCCAGGCCGCACGTCGAGGCCGAGACGGCAAGGGTCTTTGCCGCGAGTCGCTTCCACATGGATGAATGGATAGATGAATGGATGCAAGCGAGTGGCAGAGGCCGACGGGCAGATCGGGGCGAGATGGGCTCGAAACCGAAAGGCTGGACGAAGGGTGGGAGTGAGGCCAGCCAAGCCAACGACCGAGGGCAGCAGGCGGGAGAGACGCTGATCCGAGAGGCGGGATGCTCGGCATTTGCCGGGCAAAAGGGTAACAGCGGGCCTGGAGCTTTTCACATGATCGCAGCCTATCGGCGTGCGCACGGCGTATATCGGAGCCGCTGGCCGATGGCTGCTCTGGGCGATGGCGGTGAGTATTCTGAATGACGCTATGTATATTCGGGATTGGAGGGGGGGAGAGCGGCTGCTGCCTTCGGAACCAAGCTGTTCCGTTTCACTTTGTGAATGCCGAATGAGGTTCGTATGCTGAAAGAAGTCTCGGTGTCGCAGCCGGGCAGGAGCATGACGGCCGTGCAGATATGCTGCGGTTGCATCATATTCGACCGCCGATTCTAGAAGCGGCTGATGTCTCGGCCGAAAGCCCACGACAAGAACCTGCAAGCCATGTCCATCCAGGGTCAACTGCAGCCCCACGAGACAGTCCTGCTGGTCTCCCAGCAACCACACCAGATGTGCCCATGTCTGCGTCTGGAATACATGCGCTGTGCCGTACCAGTACATCGGAATGAGGATTTTGTTCTTGACCGAAACACTCTTGGTTAGATATGCGCTTCTCCAGACTGCGACCAAAACAACGCTTGGTTAGCACGGTCCGTGAGGGAGGTTGTCGTTGTCGCATCTGCAACCGTCCTCGCTTGGGCTTTGGCCACCGAATTACGATAGAGGCCTGCGCCAGTGACTTACAGATCCAAGCGAGGCGACCCTTGAGATTGCCTTTGGAGCTAAAGTCGATGAGGGCACTCCAGGCGCCAGTGTAGACCATGCTGGCGATGTGGTTGTAGGTAAAGGGCTGCAGGGACCATCGCCGCGGGCGTTAGATGGCTGCTAGTGGGGGGAATCCTGGATTCCCTGCCATGATCGTCTCCAGGCTGGCCCGTCCTACCTTCAGCGTCGGCTTTCCAGCCACCTGCCGATTCAGGTGGTAAGTGAGCCAGCGTCCCTTCTGGTCAGCCACCTGAGCCGTTGCCGGCAGGTTCTTGTCCTTGATGACGGCGCAATCGCCGATGGCGTATCTGTGCAAAGGATGGCATCTCAGCCGAGCGAGCGTCTTCGAACGGATCGATTCGATGCTTGGCCTCTTTGGGTCTTCGGGCTGCTATTATTGGTACTTACATGCCATCCAGCGCCTGGCCGTTCTTGTCCAAGATGGTCAGGTACTAAACCAGCGAGCGTCGTGTCGCGAGAGCAGTTGGATAGATGCCAAGCCAAGAGTTAAGAGCCGAGTCAAGGGTCTCTGCAGTCAGGCTGCCGCCGATATGAGTGCCGACTACGATGGATGTTTCGCGGTTACCTCGTTCGTGATCACTCGGTTTGAGCGCTCTTCCTTCATGACGCCGCCGAGACTCTCGCCCAGGGGTGTGGATGTGATTCCCGTGGCCCAGATTAGTGCGCCGAACGCTGCGTTGGACCAGTCATTATCAACGTAATGTCAGCCGCCTCATTCAGCATTATGCCGGATCGGCCAAATCCATGAGTGTGGCCAAGTAAGAGTCATGGCATTACTGAAAAGGCCAGCCACGACGTCGCGTGCCCGAGTAGACTGCCCAACTTACGAATCTGGGTATCATCCTTCAGCACTGAACACAACAGATGCATAGGAGGAGGCGGAGCTGTCAGTCGATGAATCAATACACTCATCACAGCGATGCAGCAATCTGGCATTGGCCGACAACGCATCCTCGAGCCTGCAGCTCACCCATGAGGTTCTTTTTGACTTCCTTGATGAATGTCTGAGCAGAGAAAGCAGCCATGCGTGTAAGCACATGCCAAGTGTGCATACTGTGTGCATCACATCGAGCACGACAGAGATGAATACTGAGCAGAGCGAGAGGGCTCGTAGCAACTCGATTCCAAAGACAGGGCGAGGGTGGACCAAGAGTGTGCTCTCGCTTTACCTTGGTCTTGATTTGAATGCCCTCACGTCGGAACTTTTCAGACGCATCTGTACCAGAGGTAGTGGCATGGCCAGTGTCAGCGTTCAGCATGAGAAACGAGCGCAGTTCTGTCGCAGCGCTGAAGTGCTGTCATATCGGCGGAGTGGCAATCGCGCAGTCTGACTCAGTACATTCGGCAAGCTCAGCTTGGAATCCGCCGAGAATCTTCTCGGCAACGTCGTAAACCTGGCCGTGGATGGAGCCGTCGGGCAGGTCAGATAAGTTCCATATGCCCAAGCAAACTCGTGGAGCCAACGATATCTCGTGAGTGCATTGCATCAACATGGCAGGGCCATGCAAGTTCGTCATACCGATATGCGAACTGCAGGAATAAGGATGAGGATGTAGCATCAAGTGGGAAGCAATGAACAATGAGATGGGCGCTCGCGTCGTGGTGCTCGCCGAGACTCGACCTGTTTGGGAGCTAACAGCGTCCACTACCACCACAATTGATTGCGGCGGGGTCGTGCCATGCGTGTGGAAGCTCACCTTTGTTCTTGAGCTGAGGATAAAGTTTTGAGAGATCCTCCACGCAAAAGTCATGCACTGAGGCGCCATATGGGTGAAGGTCAGCATCCAAGTCGGTGCTACGTCCGGGCCGTTGTGCCAGCAGAAAGATGCGCTCACGGATTCTTACATTCCGCAGAAAATTCTGTGGGAATGAGGAAATACAGGTCAGTTCGCTGCTAACGACCGGCTGCCAGTTCACCGCAAAGCCCGCCCGGCTGATGAAGATACGAACCTATGCCAGTTGGTCCGCCTCCAACGACAGCAAACTAGAAGTAGACATAGGGTAGTGAGTAGAACGGTATCAGAGCCGGTGGCAGCAAGCGTCGATGGTTGTGTTCGAGCCGGGACTTACATGAAGCTGGTCAAACGCAGGCAGAGGAATTGAGCAAAGGCAGCCGTTGGCAGAGCAATGTATGATGACAATCAGATGAGGCTCTCGCCAAAGGTGCGGAACTATCAGGGCACTCCGTTGGGCCACCGTTCTCATGCGCCGATGCTGCATGTGATGGTGTTCTTACGAGGTTTCGCTGCTGTTCCTCGGTCGTGTTTGGCTCGGATGCTTGCTCGAAGCCTGCGAAGGCGGAGGCAGCGGCATGGGCATCAGGGCCGATCCCGGTACGCAGAGCCAGTGTAGCATCGTGCAAGCTGCGGTCGTTTGGGCGAGCAAGGTGGCAGGTCGATTCTGGCTGACTTACATTCGATAATCCGGGCTCGGATCTTACGCGCATGGTCCACTTCCTTGAGGAAGAATGCGTTCTCGGCAACCCCGGGGATGCCGAACTGAAGAAGACAAATGCCAGCCGTGAGCGAGTCAGTCGCCAAACTCGGCTTTCAGCGGGAGCATTGGCTCGAGGCACATAAAAGTCACCACGGACAGATCAGGACGTACTGTGTTGGACTTGGCACCGACAGCCAGAACGAGCTTTCAGGAGAGAGCTCAAGGTCAGTCGAATAACGGGCTCCCAGAGGACACCATTGTCGGAATGCAGAATCCAAAGACAGAGCCGAGTTGCGGCGCTGACGGGCACCATGCCATCGTTGGGTGGACGTGGGGACCTTTGCCCGAGCACACACCTTGTCGAATGCTATCGCAAACGGGGCGTCTTGGCTTTCGAATGCAGGCCGGCAAGTGATTTCCTTCTTCTCAAAGTCGATCTGGTCGCAAGTGGCTTGGTGAAAGCTGATGCCTCTTCCATACGTGCGGACGGGCTAGAGGTGGCGAGCAGCCAAGCACATCCGTAGGCGGAGTGAGTAAATGCCGTGTATGCTGTTCATCTGCAGGACTGGTGGTGATTCAAGAAAGTACCTCGGTGATGGCTCTGTATTCGAGAGTGCCCACAGCTGTGCTGGCAAGTAGTGGGGTGAATACAAAGTGGTTCTGTGGAGGAGAAAGTCGATCAGAGAGCCGCGGTGAGTTGGGGACGTTCCGAGTGGGATGACAGATATGCAAGCTGAGGCGAGAAATGCACAATATGTGTGGAAATCCACAGAGAGCAATGTGGGCAGAAACGATCCATCGCACGGCTTGGGTTGTGGACACATACCCTTGGCGAGATGACGACAACGTCGTAGTCCTTGGTGTTGACCTCGTTGATGAGCTTGAAGCCTGGTGGTTGCGATTCAGGCGAGGAATCACCAGAGAATGGAAGATTAAGCTGCGATCTAGATTCAGCCATGGGGCGGAAGCAGTCGCCGGTGACGGTGTGTGCGGACGGAGCTGGTGTCGGCCTGGTTCGGTTCTGGTGTGGTACTTGCAGCCGAGTTTGCTTACCAGCCCATCCAGAGCCTTTGCAGTGAGTGAGACAGCAGATTGGAAGAAATTGGGGGAGAGATAAGCTTTAGCTGTGCTAGGCTGTGGCGCTTATGATCCTGCAGCTGCTTCGTCGGGCAATATCGCAGACTCGAGCAAACTCGAGCAGAGGAAGAGGCAATGTGCGGAGTGGAGATGGGTGTGGCTGGCCATCGGCTATTACCGAGAATAACGAGGCGTTCTGGTCGAGGAGAGAAACAGGGAGCAATCAGAGATATGGGCGCATCCTGCATGATCAGCGGCGTCGGCCGTGATACTTTTGCTCTCGACATCACGACAGCGATACCTCGCTTGGCCGCCTGGGATGCCAGGGCTCGCCTGAGTATGCGTTGGGGCAGGATGCTTGCAGCCAGGGCGAGGACGGGTTTCGGCGGCGAGCGGTTCATTTGAGAGGCGATGCGATCGAGGAGGGCTGCAGGACGAGCGGTGGGCGGCTGCGTGTGCTGGCGGCTGCTGCGTGCTTGCACAGGGCCAGATGGTGGATAGGTGCGATGGACGGGGTCGATGAATGCGATGGATGTATTTGAGCGGCCTGCCAATGCGCTGCCAGCAACAAGGGCGGCCCCAGGCACAGCCGACACGCGCCTGCGAGCTTTGGCTCTTGGCCTGTTCGCAGGCGGCCGCAGCGCACCGCCTTGGTTGCTTGCTTGCGGACTGGGCCAGAGGAGCGCCGATGCTGGATCTTGCTTGCGAGTGCCAGATCGAGATCTGCCGGATACCCAGGACGCCAAGGAGCTGCTTGCGGCTGGTGAACGAGACTCTGGGACCAGTCCGCATTGCGGCTGGACTGTGCATCGGCGCGAAGCATCTCCTGGCTCATGGCCCCGGATTCAAAACCCATGCCCGGCTCCGTCATCCAACCTCGTGCATCCCAAGCCGCACGACTCGTTATCGCCACCAGCGCACACATCACCATCGCCCGCCTGCCACGCGCTCTGCTGCATCGGTTTGGGTTCAAGAACCACGCCACCACCAGGACGGCAAGGCACGGCGCACAGAGGCAGGTCCGGCTATGGATTGGAACAAAATTACTCGGCAACGAAGAGGGCGCAAGCCATGCGCGGTAACAAACGCAGCAAACAAACAAGACAGGCAGACAGACAGACAAACGGGGAGCACAGTGGCAAATTTACAGTTCGTCGTGCTCCTTGGAGTCGGTCTTGGCATCGTCCTCCTCCTCCTCCTCGGGCTCGAGAGGAACGCTGGAGCCGTGGACGGCGCTCTGGTGCAGGAACTCCAGGAACGAGTCGAGGGTGCGGGAGCCCTCATAGGGAACAACGGTGTTGTCCTTGGCCTTGACGAGCTTGATGGTGGGGAAGGCCTCGATGGTGAAGCCAGCACCGGGAGGAATGTCGTTCTCGGTGGCGTCCATCTTGGCAATGACAATGCCCTTGACGTCCTTGAGCTTCTCGGCGAGCTCGTCGTAGATGGGGGCAAGCTTCTTGCAGTGGCCGCACCAGGGGGCATAGAACTCGATCAGGACGTCGTTGGCCTCGTTCAGAACAATGTCCTGGTAGTTCTTGCCGACAACAACCTTGACGGGCTCGTCGTTAGTCTCGGGGATCTCCTGGGACTTGAGCGAGGGCTCCAGCGTGCCAGAGACAAAGTCGTCGAGGTACTTGGCAAACTCGTCGCCGCCAATGGTGAGGCTCTCGTCGAAGGGATACTTGGTGTGGTCCTGGGTGTTCTGGATGACGAATCCGGGCCACTCGCCCTTGAGGTTGAGGTTTTTGGCGTGGCCGCCAAACTTGGCGCCATCGCAGTAGACAAAGCTGACCTTGCCCTTGTGCTTCTTGGCCAGCTTCTCGACAGCGGGGCCGAATTCCTCGCGCTGCTCCTTGGAGCCGTAGAAGAGGTAGCCCAGAGGGACACCGCTCTCCACATAGGAGGCATAGTTCTCGGGCGAGATCTCGTCCATCAGAGGGATGGAGTTGGCCTTGACAAAGGACAGGATATCCTCAGAGGTGAACTTGCCGTCAAACTCGTCCTTGCCCTCATCAAAGGTCTTGTAGAGGGTCAGCGAGTCCTCTCCCTTGGCATCGATGGTGACACCAAAGAGGTACTCGTTGCGGTGGGCCTCGGCAACGGCCTCGTAGGCCTTGTAGGCATCCGAGGTCTTGCTCTTGAAGTTGGCGACGAGGACAATGCGGTCCGAGGCAGCAAACTCCTTGACGCCGTCAGCCTCAAGGACGGAGAGGGCAGGGAGGGCCTGCCTGAGAACAGGAAAGAGCGAAAAGGTCAGCTCGACTGTACGGTGGGGAAAGCGCGCCGCCATACGGTGCAAGCACCCGAGCGACGATCTGACAGAGCAGGCACATTACACATCGCATATCGCACATCGCACATTGCATATCGGGAAGCGCGGAGCTGCCGATCACTTACTTCTTCATGAAGCTGACGATGCCATCGGACTTGCGAGGGCCCTTGTAGGGGATCGAGTCGGCGTGGCGGAAGACCTTGAGAGTGGGGTAGCCCTGGACCTTCTGCTCCTCGCAGATGTCGGCCTCGGTGGTGCAGTCGACCTTGGCCAGCTTGATGTTCTGCTCCTTCAGAGTGGTGGCAGCGACCTCGTACTCGGGGGCCAGAGCCTTGCTGTAGGAGCACAGAGAAGGGGCGATGAGTCTGCGAGCCTGCAGCGGCCGGCTGGCATGAGCTGATCACGATCACAGGCTGCCAGACTTACCAGTGGCCACACCAGGGGGCATAGAATTCGACGAGGGAGAGAGGCTCAGTCTTCAGGAAGGAGGCAAAGGTATCTGGCGGAGACGAGATCGGCCGGGGTTAGCGCAAGGATGATCCAGCACAGACTACCGCCAAAGCGCATGGCAGCACCGTCGAGACGTCGGTAGATACTCGCACAGCGACGGAGCCAACGGCGCGGCAGAGGCATGCTCATCGAGCAGTGCAAGCAAGTCAGAGATGAACCCATACCCTTGTCCAAGGTGACGACATCGGAGGCGTCCTCCTGGGGCTGATCCTTGGCAGCAACGAGGGCGGCGCTGGCGGCGAGGAAGCTGACGGCGGCAGACAGGAACTTCATGGTGCGAGATGGGGGGGGATATGAGGGGGGGAGGTTGGGGCGAGACGAAGCGGAAAGCGGCGAGCTGGCGGGGCTATCTTTATAGCCAGAGCTGCGGGGCGATCGACACGTCAGCTGGCCCAGCGCCCCCCGGGAGGCGGGTCAGATGGCCACGAAATGGAGGTGCGATGCGCTGATTGGCCGGCGCGCGGCGCACGCTGGTTGGCTGCGTCCAAGTCACGTGGGTGATGACAAAGCTGGGCTGCTGCGCGCGGCTCGAGCCGGATGGATCCGCAGTCCAGCCAGCCAACCAGCCAGCCACGCCCCAGCCGCTGCCCGACTCCGCCTCGTTGCATCGGTCGCCAGGGCTGCGCCGGACGCTGATCCACACTGCCCTGATCGCCTCTGCAGCACCCAGCACCCAGCACCCAGCACCCAGCACCCAGCACCCAGCACCCAGTCGCCATGGCCGTTCCCTCGGAGCAAAAGCTCGCCCAGTTCCTGAGCTGGGCCAGAGCCCACCCATCCATCCACATCCGCGCGTGGGATGCCACTGCCGCCAAGCTCTCGAAAGTGGTCCGCGATGGCTCGACCAAGCTGCATGTCATCTCGGGTGAGTCGTCCAGCCGCAACGGGTTCAGAGCTTCGGCGCCTCTTGCCGAGAGATTCATCGGCATTCGGGCGCATCTGCATCGGATATGGCATCGCCACGGTCCACAGGCGGCTGAAATCGCATTGGAGACACACCATGCCTGCATCCGATGCCAGTATGCATGGCATTGATTCTACTCACGCGGTGATCCTTGAAATGTATGTGTTTCCTGTCGCTGGCGTTCGGTCCCCCCGGCGGCGTCGGCATTCAAGACTTTGACATGACCCTCACCTGTTACTGGGTGAACGGCCAGCGGAACAAGTCGTCGCATTCAATCATCTCACGATCGCCGCTGATCCCCGAGTCGTTCCGCAAGCGATCCGAGATGCTCTACAACAAGTACTATCCCATCGAGATGTCGCCGACCGTGCCAATGGCCGAGAAGGTGCCCGCAATGATCGAGTGGTGGACAGCGGCTCATGAAGATGTTGTCCAGCTGAAGCTGGCAAGGGCCGACATTGCTGTGATGGTCAAGGATGCCGAGATTCCGCTGCGCCGGCGAACCGATGAGCTGCTGATGCTCTGCAAAACCCTGGAAATCCCATTTCTGATCTTTTCAGCTGGTATCGGAGGTTCGTATGCGCTTCTGTGAGATGCATCGGCCAAGCCTGCAGCCGATGCGGCTTTGATGGGCCGAGGCGCACAAGCTGATGCAATGCTGGACGCCCATCCAACCTCGGCCTTATCCAACCTCGGCCTTATCTAACCTCGGCCTTATCCAACCTCGACTACCAGACGTCATCAAGGAGGTCTTTAGGCAGCAGGAGCTCTATAGCTCCAACATGCACGTTGTTTCCAACACCATGATCTTTGACGAGCGCGACGTTTGTGTGGGCTTCAAGACGCCTCTGATCCACACCTTCAACAAAAACGAAGGCTCTGTCAAGGGATCGTCATACGGAAATGTCATTGAGCAGCGAGTTAATGTGGTATGGTGAGCGTGGATCGTCGATCGTGCGAGGCGGCATCCATGGTGCAGGCGGCAGGTTTCGGCCCCATAAACCATCGCTGTATAGGTATCGCTTATCTCGAGGGATTGGAGGCTGACTCGGAGTGCGGATGCTCTGCTCGCAGATCTTGATGGGCGACTCGCTCGGTGATTTGCGCATGTCCGAAGGCCTGACACACGAGAACCAAATCGCCATTGGCTTCCTCAACCACGATCGCGAGGTGCTCATGGACCAGTATCTGTCGAGCTTCGATATCGTTGTGACCGAAGACGAGTCCATGGAGTTTGCGATCAACTTCCTGAGCTGTTTGCTGGACTGAACAGCGTCTTGCATCGATTGCGACGTCGGCGTCCGCTGAAATGCCGACAAAGTCTCCCAGCTTCTCCACCCAACCCAGGCTGACTGATGACAGAGGCGACTGTAATATTCATTGGGTTCTGAATACACACCCGTACACTCACCATGACTGCCGAGCGGCGAGCGTGCGCGCTTTGGTTTGGTGTGGCCTGTATGTGATGTTGTGTGGCTCCTCGGTCGTGGGAACCGCATGGCGGCTGCATGGACAGCAGCGACAGAGCCGAGGCACAGACCAAGCGATGAACCGAACGGGCCGAGCGTCACATCAACCATCGGCCGAGTCCCTCACAGCCGCGCAAGCGTCGATCGCCCTCATGCAACCAGGCGGCCGATCGTTCATCCGGCGTTGTATTTTCGGGGCTGGGTGCGTTTGTGCGTCCCACGACGCCCGTTTTGTTGGTGTGCCCGTTGGCGCAGCGAACAAGCCCCGACCCAGCTCGCCCCCCAAAACCGCCCCGCTTGCCCGTTCCATCGTTCTGCCGGTTTCATGTTCGTCGCTTGCACATCGAACGACCCTCCCCCGGACGCACGCCAGACATCCCGCATAGCCGCAGGCCAGCACCAAGGCCTCAGAGTCCGTTCTGCCCAGGACCACATCCAGCCCTCCCGCTCGGTCGTCGACCGCCCAAGACTCGGCCCAGCCCGTCACCCCCGCCGTCGTCCGCACTAGCCCGCCGTTCTCGCTGTGATGCTGCGACGCAAAACCGTCTCGAACGCCCGGTCACCGACATTCACTGCACAGTCGCCGCCAGCGCCTAAACCGACCACCCCGCCGGCTCTCGAAACACATGTCACGTCGTTCCTGAGAGAGTCAGAGAAATGCCATGCATGTATCTTTGCCAATAAGGTGCGCCGGTCCGGTCTTCCGAAGCGGGGCGCCCTGGCCATTGTCGGAAACATGGCCCAGGCCGAGGCTTGGTGAGTTCCCAGTCGTCCCCAGTCGTCCTTCCTGTGCTCAGTCGTCCTTCCTGTGCCCAGAGGCTGTGGCCGGTCGCTCGCTCCAAAGTCGTCGACGACCTGCTTGTCCGCCATCGCCTTCGAGTCTATCGGTGGCTCCGTCGAAACCGAACTATCCGCATATCGACATCATTTTGGACTCTGTCCAGATCGCTCGCTGGCCGCTGACCTGACCCACTGGCCGCTAACCGATTTGCTCTGGTCAGCATCTTCTACTTTAGAAACCCCAAGAGCGCCGAGCGCCAGTTTCGACTCAAGGCCGTTATCCCCATAACCTCGTCCCTCAGGGTCAAAAGTGCGTCTGCCGCATGGTTTGTTGGACGCACGCCTCCAGGCCAGTGAAGCCTGCATATCATCTGTCGTCATTACTCATCCCTTCGATCCGCGTATTTCCATCACAGATTCTGTGCATCCGCTGAACCGGTCGGTTGGTGGGTATTCCTCCAAGGCCTGTGTGATCGGCCGGACGCCCTTGCTTCTTGCATGCTCTGGACTATGGTGCTGACTTTTCCTCCAATGATAGAGCAAGTTACGTTTGTCAGCCAGGGCCAGAAAATCAAGTTTGAGTTCACCAGCAGCAATGAGTCCACCAGCTTCATGACAGAGCTCAGGATCTTCCAAAACACCGCAAGTACGGGCGTGCCGGGAGCGACTCTCAGGGATATAGACGAGCATACCGCCGCTGCAATGGCCATGCACCCATTCATGAGCGACGGCCTGCTTGGCTTGGCGTCTGTCTCGCATCATTCAGCTGACTCCTGCTGCTCCACGGTATTGCGTCCTTGGCCTTAGAGAGCCAGTCGGACCTCGGCGACACTCACCTCTGGGCCGGGTCTTATATCCGGTTTCTGCCGCATAGCAAGAGGCAGCTGTCCAACTCGGGTGAGCCATCGCCAGTCGTCATCAGTTGTCGTTGGTCGCTGTCGGTGATTACCAGTCTCCCGCCTCTCATTGGCCGGTGCACTGTGTGTGCCCCGGAGACATTCTAACCGATATCGCACCATCACAGCTATTGCGAAAGAACTTCGGCAGCGAGAGCGCGAGTTCTCGACGTTTTATCGGCGAAAGTGAGTTCTATGTCGGGTCCACAGGAACGTGGCTGATAACAACGCAAGGCGACGGCCAGCAGCACATTCTGGACTAACTCACCCAGTACCTCACATTGACGTATCCGTCACACCACTCGAATCGCATCCAGACTCTTTGTCGGCACGTGGAATGTTAACGGCAGGGCCGCCTCGGAGCCGCTGGAGGCGTGGCTCAGGACCGCTGCAGCGGATCAACCTGATATATATGTACTCGGGTAGGTCCTGGGGCGCTTTGACGAGGAATCGAGCACAGTGCCAGCCACAGCGGTTGCATACAAGCCTGTTCCCCACACAGAGCAACTGCGGTTGCATGTGAACCGGCACATGCGCAGCGATCGACGGTGCGACTGTCCGCCGGTGCGACTGACGGCGGACCAACTTTTGCCTACAGATTCCAAGAAATGGATCTTGCCAAGGAAGCCTTCTACCGGGTCGATTCAAAGCGCACAAACGAGTGGCTTGATGCCATCGAACGGGTGCTTGGGACCGGCTACTCACGGGTGGGTCTTGCCTGCCTCTGTTCACGACGTCGTAGCATTTAGCCGGTGTTATCGGCTGTATCAGCGGAACGCCAGTGACCCAGTCGTGTGCTTGGCAATTGTGTTCTTGGCGATCGGGTACTTGGCAATTGTGTGCTTGGCGATCGGGTACTGGGCAGTTGGGAACTAATTCACTCCGTTCCCATTGATGCAGGTCGATTCCAAGCAGCTCGTTGGTCTCTTCATCGTCTGCTACATCCGGGTGGACTTGCGCCCTCTTATCAGCGAAGTGGGCTCCGACGGCATTGGCACGGGTGTCCTCAGCGTGCTCGGCAACAAGGGCGCCGTCGCCCTCCGATTTCGGTTCCAGGACTCGTACTTTTGCTTCGTCAGTTGCCATCTTGCCTCGGACCTCTCGCAGATGCACGCACGCAAGATCGACTACAAGAAAATATGCAAGCGGCTGACTTTTCTCAACCCGGTTCCGCCGAGCCGGAGTGACTACAGTGCCGGGGGATTCGGACCCTGGGTCTGCAACCTGCACGACGTCAAGCTGGGTGCCGGAGGACCAAAGGATCTGGACCATTTTGCCAACGATCCTGGAGTATATGGCTCCGAAATGCCTCCCATCCGCGTGTCGTCGGTGTCGTCGGTGCGCCAGGAGCCCATCGCGCCCGCTCGGAGCTCGTCTCTCCAAGCCAGTGCCAGATTTGGATGGATCGAGAACCCAGTGATCCGCTCACCCCCACGAGAACGAAACACAAGCCTGTCTAATCTGCAAGAAGAAGAGGAGCATGACAGCGACGACGCCGGGAGCATCCAGGGCAGCCCGATTCTGGGCGAGCATGAACTCGTCACGAGCCTTGGCAAAAGCGACGATGACGACGATGATTTGGTCTACAACTTTGACTTTGACTTTGACGACCTTGATGAAGAGGACGAAGAGGACGAGGATGAAGTCGAGGACGAGGACGAGTACTTTGAAGATGACAAAATCAACCCGAATGTGCCTCCAAGCTCGCTTCGGATCAGCAGGAGCCAAGAGGGCCTGGTTCCGCTCGATCCAAGATACACCTACCCCCCAATACCGCAGGATAGTGCTGGTGAGGATGCCGCGGTGTCCCAGGACAGCCCAGTCATCAGCCCGACCAAGAGTATGGAGCGACGGCGGTCGCGGCAGCGCCTGTCGGACTCGCACAACGATACAATGAAAACAAACCCCAAGCCTGCACCTTCGCTTAACATGAAAGTGCAAGAGTCCATCTTTACTATTTTTGACTGCGAGTAAGCCATCTCATCGCGGCTGTTGACACAGCCTAGCACAAGTCTACATCGCTTCGCATGTGGGCTGGCTTACTGTTCGTGGGCGATCCATGCTTACTGAGTGCTTTGATTTACAACCTGCACTTTCACATCAGCCACTTATTTTGGATGGGCGATCTGAACTATCGCATCGAGCTCGACGACCAAGAGATCAAGCAAATGATCGAGAGCAACGACTTTCAGATGATTCTCTGCAGAGACCAGGTATTGACAGACCGGCAACGTGTGGCAGGATGTCAAGGAGCGTCTGCGTAGATGCCACTCCGACTATGCGACTATGCGACTATGCGACTATGCGACAAAGCGGCGGCAGTAACATCTGCAGCGTCACATTTTGGCTGGCTTCTGGGCCATGAGCGCCTCTCAGGACGCGGCTAACGATACATGTTCGTCTGATCTCCAGCTGACGCACGAGAGAACGAGTCGCCGAGTCTTCCACGACTTTGACGAGGCCCCGATCGTGTTCCAGCCGACATACAAGTTTGACATTGGCACATCGCGATACGATACCAGGTAAATGTGTGCGCCGAACGAACGCTTTGGGACATTGGCTCCTGTTTGTGTGCGACTGCTACCTGACATAGCAATGCCCTTCCAACCGTTGCCAGCGAGAAGAAGAGGTCGCCGGCGTGGTGTGACCGCATCCTGTGGTTCCGCAATCCGCTCCACTCGGCGGAATACGACGAGAGTGGTGACCCCTGGCTCAGGTCGATCTGGTACAAATCGTGCATGGACCTGTCCCTGAGCGACCACAAGCCCGTCATGGCGCTGTTTGACATCAAAGTGCGCAGCCTCAACGAGCAGTTGCTGCGGCGCATAGAAGACGACCTGCGGACGCAGCATCTGAACGATGGAGACGGCACCATCGGTCGCAAGAAGACGCTCAAGGTGAGTCGGGAACACGGCGCAGTGCCCATGCCCATGCCCATGCCCATGCCACACCAGGTCGTGTATCTGCGGAGCTAACATGGCTGCGAACACTCCTTGTTTCAAATCCCAGATGATGGCCAAGAAGGTGCAGCAGTTCTCGCAGGACATTCGGAACTCGATACGGTGATGTCTCCCCTGTTCCAGCGGGCGCGGCCCAATCCCGGCGATTTTGAGGCGGGTCCTGAATACAGTTTGTCCAGAAAGAAACGGGACAGCCCCTCTCTGGCATCAGCGCCGGGTCAGGCCGGAGTACAGCTGTTTGTCCAGCATGTCTCTATCGAACACATGGCGAATTTATTGCAGCGCATTTTGGGCTGGCGGCAATACCCACAGAGGCGTCCTTGATTCAAAGCACTGAATGGTCATGCTCAGCGCGATGGTATTGGGTAACAAACTATTTGAGCAATGGTCAAAATCAAGGGTGCACCGTTTTTTACTGGATCGCCTGTAACATGCCTCATGTGCTTTGAGCTCTGCTTGCCGATGTCTCCCGGCACTCGCATCCGCACCGAGTGCAGCTGGCATCTGCTGCCATCTGCCGCCATCTGCTGCCGTAACCCCCCAGCCGGCGACGGCGAGTCAGCCAGGCAAGTCTGTCTGCCAGCGCCCTTGGCAGGGCAGCCCACCCTCGATGTCGCCACAGCCGGGTCTCCCCCGCCAAGCGCGCCTGCCCGACGCATTTCAGCGCGGCGACATCCACCACAGGCCAAAAGTCACCTCTCCCACCTGCGCTTTCCGCTTGCTGTCCCTCGCCAGCGCCGAGGCCGAGCCAGCTGTCCGCTTCTCGCTCTCCAGAGTCTGCCCCCGCCCGTTTCCGCCCACAATGGCCCAAGCTGACACCCGCCCAGATCCCAACGAGACTGTCTTGGCGGCCGGCGCCGATGTCGTCAACGAAGACACCCCTCTGCTGCCCGAGAACAGCGCTGACAAGCCTCCAGCACCCGCAAGCACAAAAAGCTCGTGGCGGACCCAGCTTGCCGAGTTCCTCGACAGCCCGCGGGTTCGACTGGCGGTCATGATTCTGGTCGTCGTCAGCATGGTCTCGGTCACGATCGAGCTCATGCTCTCGATGCTGTACCAGGAGGAAGAGCAGGACGCTATCGACCACCCTGCGTTCATTGTCATGGAGTTTATCTCAGATGCAGCCATGTGGCTCCTTCTCGGTGAATTCTGCGCCCGTGTGGTGGCCTGTGGTCCGCAGTACTATTTCACCGACTTTTTGATATTCTTTGATGGTAAGTACCTGTTGCATGGGCTCGGTGGCTGCCATCGTAGCAGGGGCTCGCTTTGGCCCTGGGCACCTCCCTGCCCAACTCCTGCCATTGCAATCGCTGCCGACTTGGCGACGAGCCGGAGCGAAACGATGCTGCTGGTCCAGTGGCAATCAGCCCGCCGAGTCGCCCATGCATGGGTTGGGTTGTTGCCGTTGCCGCCGACCTTGCCCAACGACATGTCCTCACACCTTTTCCGTCCCATCCTGCACCAGGCTTCGTCACCGTGGTCTCGTTCACCCTCGCTGTCGTCCTGCGTGGCATCCTCGGCGACGCTGCCGTCCTTCTGATTGCGCTCCGTGTGTGGAGAATCGTCGACTTTACCCAGGCCGTCATCGATGCCGTGCAGTCCCAATTCGACTCCACCATCGAGACGCTTGAGGAGGAGAACAAGGAGCTCAAGGCCCAGATCAGCGATGTCGAGAAGCAGCTCGAGATCGCCACCAACAACCCTGACATGGACTTTGAGGCCATCATCGAGGCGCACATCTCTGCCAAGCAAGCCTCTGTGGTCATCCACGTCGAGGAGCAGGACGTTTCGCTCGGCTTCTGGTCGGTCCAGCGCTCCAGGCTGATTGACTTTTTCGAAAGCAAGCAGAGCCAGCAGATCATCATATCCCTCATTGTCTTTGACATCCTCGTAGTCATCCTCGAGCTGTTCATTTCGCTCCTCACCGAAGCCGATACGGATCCAAAGCATGTGTTCCATCCCCTGTTTGTCTGGCTCGAGTGGGCTTCCATCGGTATCCTGGGCCTCTTCGTCGTCGAAGTGTACCTGAAGTATGTCGCCTACGGTGTCAGCCGTTACTATGACGACTGGCTTGAGGCCTTTGACGGTAAGCAGTCCTGCATACTCTGGACGACGCCACCACTGCTCTGTCGTTGCGTTGCAGTCCTGTTAGCGCCTGCTATCCTTGGAGGATGCTCATGTGTGATCCAGAGCAACGTCGCCATTGCAATCAGCTCGTTGCAATCAGTTCGGTGTGGCTGCGTGACCAGCCGAACCGAGCTACATCCGCCACAGGCTGTATCTGATACTGATGCCATTCCCGTCCCTGCTCTCCAGCCTTTATCATCGTGACTTCCTTCTTCCTTCAGCTGGTGCTGCGCGGCTCTGGCATTGCCGACGACATTGTCGCGCTCATCATTATCTTGCGTATCTGGCGAGTCATCCGTATCTTTGCCCGTCTCGGCGACACCGTCGAGGAGAACTTCCAGCAGTACATCAAGGAGCTCGAGAAGGAGAAGGTCGAGCTGACCCTCCGCCTCGAAGCCCTCAAGGAGACCATGGACAACACCAGACAGACCCGTAGCATCCGCTCGATCAAGTAGAGCATACGAGTGCCGCCCTGAGTGCGACGGCACCCAAAACTTTCGTATGCATCCCAGTCTCGCCCACATCCCTCGTCTTCCGATGAGCTCGAATGATGCTGTTGGGCCGTTACCCGATGACTTGTGTGCAAAGAGCGAGGGTGGGGGCAGTCGCTGCTATATCTGAGATTATCCATGCTGTCCGTGTCGGCGCAGAATAGATGCAGATTGTCCTGAGATCGCAGGAATGCAGTCAGCGTCCACTCCTCACCACGCCCCGGGCGGGTGTCGCACAGGCCGGCTCGGCACCGACAATGCGCGCAGCAACAAAGGACAGCAGTGCTTCGATTCGCCCTCGATCCGTCTTCGTCGTCCATCATCGAAAACTGCGATCTGAGGTATGCGAACAATAGCCTGCACCGACCGACCGGGCCGACCCCGCCGACCCGATCCCTGAGATTCTCCGCCGCCGCCACCGCCGCTGCTGCTGCTGCTCCAGTGGAGCAGATCGAGGCGGCTGCGTCCGACAAAGCCCACTGACGGTCTCTGCACGCACACACCAACGCTTTCGCTTCGCCAAGGAACGATGGAGGCAATAGCGCCCATACTCCTGCCCACGGAGTTCTGCCGGGCGGCAGTCCAGCTTCGGATCCTCTCGTCACCTACGACCCGAGAGCCATCAGGCAGCGTTTTGGTGGCCATCATCACTAACGACAGCGGCGGCGATGAGTCCTGGTAGGAGCGTTGTCGACACCGGATGCCGCAACAAGCGCCCGGCTCGTTCTGCTGCCATCGTGCTCGTCTCTGCGAGTAAATCTCTGTCAACGGTCTGCGGCAGGACGACGCTGAGACCAGCACTGCCGAGCTAACCGGAGCGGCCGTTCGGCTCATGCGCCGATATGCAGTCTCTTTGTTCTGTCGGCACGCAAGCACCAGGCATTCGAATGGTCCGACAACGACAATTCGGCTCCTGCAGCGCGGGAGGTCCAACAATGGGAGCTTGAAGCCTCGCTTCCTGTCCTCACCGACTTTCAATTCTCAATCGGTAAGCCCAGCTTGTCCACGGTCTTGCGATCTGTCGTCTGCTGGACGATGCGGCCGCCGCCTTGCAACCGAGAAGCGCAATTCAAGCCATTCGTGGGCCGCAGCGAGCAAGCGGACGCCCGTCATCACATTGGATTGGCCCACCGAGTCTCTGCACAGTCCCTATGGCTGGTTTCGCTAATGTTTTCCCGATGATGACCCCCTTCAGGAGAATACGAGCTCACTTTCCAGAGCGGGAGCGACAAGCCGTACATTATGGCCTCCGAGAACACCGATGCCGTCCAGACTTTTGTACAAGAGCTCCAGAGCGTCGTGTCAACCTGCAGTACGTTCGCCTCACGCATCACCCAGCGAAACCATCCGTCGTGATCTTGGCGTGCCTGGCCCGGGTCCTCATTCGTTGTTGCTTGCATTCTCAAAGGGCAAAACAACTACTGCCGCGGAGGAGCGTCGCACGCCTGGCACGAAGTATATGCAAAGAACATTGCGGAGGGAAAATATGTCCAAGGTAGGGTTCACCTAATCTCCAAGCGGGAGTCTGGTGCGGGCTGGCTTCGGATGGCTCGGCATCAAGCCCTCGGAGCGTGTCCCTCTCAACGCCAGTACTGACCAGATTTCGACAATCCACCTTGCAGGCGAGACAGAGAAGGTCCCGGACGCACGTATGTTGGATGTGTGTCCACTGCTTACGGGCCGAGCTTCAATTCCGACGATAATGTGACAGCACAGCTGATAGTCTCATATCCGCCGCTGCAGAGAGACGAACCAACCCGTTCCTGACCAGCGACGACGCCTTTACGGGCAACCTCAAGCACCTGAAGGATGCCTGGCTCTCGCAACGCTTGAGAGAGAAAGAGAATGTGTTTTCGGAGTATACCAATGCCAGGTATGTGTGCATGGAACGCTGTCTGATGGTCGCGAGGACGCCCGGCGCCGGTGGCTATCTATGTGTCGTGCATTTGAAAGCTACACTCGTTCATTCGATATCAATTGTCTGTGGCCGTGTGGACGCTGAATCAACCCAGGATCTTCATGGGCACATGGAACATCAACGGCAAGGATCCGTCGAGTTCTCTCTTGGAGTGGCTTCAGACCAGCGACGATGAGCAACCTGATATTTACGTGATTGGGTAACTCTCTGCAACCCAAATTCTGCTTCACCGGCTTGATGGAGATATTCTGCATAAGCTCGCTTGAGCGACTACGGCTCGCAGCATCAAGACAGTCGTGCCACACTGGATCCAGTTCTGACAACGACACGCCATCATTGACAGGCTGCAAGAGCTCGATCTGAGCACCGAGGCTTACATTGTCGCAGACTCGTCCAAGAGCGATATGTGGTCAAATGCCATCTTACAGACAATCGGGAAGGGACTCTATGTGCAGGTAACGCATCTGCTGGCCGCCCAACTCGGTTTCATCGAAGATCGGTCCTATACTCCAAGCCCACTGATGTACCAAGTCCACTGATGTACCACGTACACTCACACTCAATCCTGATCAAACCTGGCAGATTGCCTGTAAGCAGCTGGTCACGCTGCTGATTGCTGTCTTTGTCAAGGCCGAGCACCTGGACTATATCTCAGAGATCAGCACCGAAGTCGTGGGAACGGGCATCCTCGGTTTAATGGTACCGTACAGCGTTCTCTGATGGGTGGCGAGGCAGTCCTGAAAGGGCGAGTGAGAATGATGGCATCGCGGGCATGCGTTTGTCACGGGACTGGTGCTAACGATGGGCGTAATCTCTCGGGACAGGGAAACAAAGGCGGCGTCGGTGTGCGTTTCCGTTTCTACGACTCCTATCTCTGCTTCGTCAACTGCCACCTTGCCGCCGACACGAACCAGGTGGCGCGCCGAAACCAAGACTACGCCGAGATCTGTAAACGGATGCTGTTTCTGTTTGCACAAGGGGCTGAATCAAAGTACAGCACCTACTACAACTACATGCATTCCAATCCGTGGGTTGCTGGCTACAGCGACTCTGCGGACGATCTCGAGGTGGTAACGTCGCCAACGAGTGGATTTGTTGCAAGCCCCATCACATCAACAACCGGCGCCACAGTATTCGACTGCGAGTGAGTCTATCCGATGCACGATGTGCACGATGTGCACGATCAGCTGAGCTGGATGCTTGAGCGCTTCCCGACTTCTGGATGTACCAGATGCAGCTCCCGGGATGCAGCACTGCTTCCAGCAATGGCATGCCAGGGATGGAGTGCTTTGCACAATGGCGCGATCATATGGACGCAACCACCACCGCTTACCAATTGTCATCTCTTGACCTCGGACTGCGTGCTTAGCCATCTGTTCTGGGTCGGTGACCTGAACTATCGCATCGGCGTTGGCGACATTGTCGCGCGCAAGTTGCTGGATAGCGAAGAGTACGAAGAGCTGCTCATCTACGACCAGGTAGGGCGTCAAGGCGGTGCTCGATGCAGTGCCTTCCATGAATCTGCTTTTGCACTCTTCAAGCAGACGCCTTGCAGCGCTGTCTTGCTCTTCCCGTCGACGCCTCAGCTAACTTGCTCCAATCCTCGCCTCTTGCCCAGCTCCGCATGCAAATGGCTGCCGGTAAGGTGTTCCGAACCTTCCAAGAGGGCTCGATCAAGTTTCCGCCGTCATACAAGTACGACATTGGAACATCCAACTTTGACTCGAGTGAAAAGAAGCGCATACCATCGTGGTGCGATCGGATCCTCTGGCACAGCAATCCACTGCACCGAGACGACGCCGAGTGGCTTTCGTTGCTCTGGTACAAATCGTGCATGGCGCTGACGCTCAGCGACCACAAGCCCGTCATGGCGCTCTTCCAGGCCAAGGTAAGGCTGCGGCCGGTATAATCGATTCTGGTATGGAATATGGTGTGCTGATGTGTTCTCGGCGGGCCGACCGTTTAGATCCGGTCTATCGTCAACGAAAAACTCGTCAAAACGCGCACTGCGCTGATCCACGAGCTCGACAAGCTGGAGAACGAATCGATACCGGATCTACACGTCAGCACCAACGAGATTGTGTTTGACAACGTTCGATTCCTGGTGCCCCAAGCCAAATCCATTGTGATCGAGAACCGCGGACAGGTTAGTACAGGCGACGGACATACTGCGCAAAGCGGATCTGCGCTTGGCCCGAAGCGCAGGATGCTGGAGAGCCGTTGGTTGCTAGTACACAAACCCGCGGGACTGATCAGCTGCGGGTGGATCCATGCAGGTCATCGCCAAGTACAGCTTTGCCCCCAAGATTCCCAGCTCGGCGCCGTCGAAGCCCTGGTGCTTCATCAGCCCATCCTCGAGCATGCTCCTGCCTGGAAATCAGATCAAAGTCAACATCACTGTGATTGTCAACAAGAAGATCGCCGAGGAACTGAACTTTGGCAAGGACTCGCTCGATGATATTCTGATCCTGCACACGGTCAATGGCAAGGACACTTTTCTCAACGTGACGGGCACCTGGCACGCCAGCTGCTTTGGATCTGATCTGCGGCTTCTCTCGCGGATCGAAAGCCGCCCCATCCGCGAGCTCAACAGCCAAGACTGCAAGATCCTCATGAGCAAGATCGATTCCGAGGGCGAAATCGAGCAAATCGAGGCGTCGGCGGACGAGGCGGTTGCGCTCCCTCTGGTTTTTACGCGGATGATCGGGTTTCTGTCCGAGCACGCACTTGGAGTGGTAAGCCTAATCCCGATGGCTCTCGTGCATCACCGAGGAAGTGCAGCTGGCGCTAACCTCTGCCTGTGTCTGCAGGAAAATGTCTTTACGTCCTTTGGCGACTCGGAGGTCAGCAATTTTATCCGACTGTGTCTGGAAACGGGCCAGCCGTTTGTTGCCAGCGCCGAGACAGACTCCCGAGACATCTTCCGCAAAGGCAAGGATATCGCCGTGCACTCGATGGCCGAGACACTGGTGACATTCCTGGACTCGCTGGCTGTCCCAGTGATCCCATCCCCGTTGGTCGGACAAGTCCTCGAAAACTATGCCGCCTTCCGCAGCTCCAAGGAAGCTGTGGGAAAGTACCTCCCCAAGGTCCATGCGCTGGCCTTTGTTGAGCTTGTCAAGCTGCTGCGGCTGTTGCTGAAGGAGCAGAGCCCGGCAGGGACCATTACGATCGATAAGCTTGGTATGTATTCATCCATGCTCTGTTGCGACCGATGCTTCCGGAACCCGGAGTGCACATCCCGCGGAAAAGTGTCGGTCGGGAAAGGACGGACGCCGAGAAAATGGCAAATTTGGCATCCCACCCGACAGTCTCCGCTGACGTATGCGATGCTCACGCACATGTTAATGCCTCGCTTCAAGGGCAAGTCTTTGTCCCGGTGCTGTTCAAGCCTGCGGCCGAAGCCGATGCTGGATCCAAGAAATTCGCTCTCGGTGCATCGCCGAACCTCTCCCCAACACGGAAAGCCGCAGCTCGGTCATCGGGGATCTTCTCGGTGGCTGCATCGCTGTTCTACGGCTCGGCGGGAGTGGGTGCGGCCACCGTCAGCCCTGCAAAGAACGCTCTCGCAGTCGAGGCAGGGGTGGCGGCGACCCAGCCGTCCCTGGGAAGAGGCGAGAAGGACTCTTTCACGACCAAGGCAACGATCTTCTTGAGCCACTTCCTGCACGACGAAAACCCATTGTGAGCCGCGTGCTTGGGGCTGCATAGCGATGTCGACTTGGTGCGACATTGCGGATGCAACGGGCATGATGGCGGGCTGGGAGACTGAACAGAGCTGCAATCCAACACGCTGGATCGAGGTGCATCTCGATCAGACTGCTTGCGACGCCCGCGCGACAGGATGCCTCAATTGCTCCATCATCCATGAGCGGGTGGGGGTTGTCCCAATGGCCCAGCCGTCCTTTGTCCGAAACTCAACACCAGCCGATGCCGCAATGTCGGTCCAGTGCCACTCCTGCTCGATCCAGTGAGGTTTCCGGATTGACGTTAATCGGGATGCATCCAGCCGCCGCTGCAACTTTGAGCTCCACGATACGGATGAGCCCTTGAAGGACAGATTGCGACGGAGGACTCGGACAGTTTGACTGTGGTGATCCGGATCCATAAGGCTGGGAGACTCTGCAGTTCTGGTCCTGTTGTGGGTGATTGGCTGCAGCTTGTGAATCCGTCGCAGTCGGTCGTCCGAGTTCGAGTCCAAGTCCGAGTCGTCGAGTGCCGAGGCTGTCGGAGAGCTGCCGATGTCAAGAGCGAAGGCGAGAGATGAGCAGATGCGGAGGAAAAAGAGAAGCAGCCGAATATGCGAACATTGTATATTGTGCTGTTTCTCTACTGCGGCAGCAGGGAATGCTCGGGGGATGGGGATGGGGGACGGGGAAGGGGATGGGGAACAAGACATTCCCATCAAGACACATCTTGGACCTCGATCCTCGAGGCAGAGGACGAGAGAGTCGGGGAATGTGCCCGCAAGATAGCCGATATAGCCTGGCCAGCATCGTGCTGCCAACGCGCAGGTACAAGTGCCAGGGAGAGCGTAGGAGGGAGAGATAGGACGGGAGGGGAGGGGAGAGGCACGGACAACGCCGGGGATGGGGTCAACGAAACGTGGACAGATCGATTAATGGTGGGGCTCTTCGTGCTTGAGACGCTCCTCACGTTCGTGCATCCATTTCTGCCACTTTTGACGCTCCTCTCGTCCGGGGCCTTCGTTCTGATACCAGTAGTCGTAGCACAGGTAGACGGCAAAGGCCGAGGCACCCAGACCAAAGCCGGGGAACAGGGCACGGACGCGGTTCTTTAATGAGAAGAACGAGTGGTATCGCCAGGCATCGCGGCGGGCCCAGGGGTCGACAAAGCCCTTGGGCAGCGAGCGGTTCAGGATGGGCGGGTTGACACGCCACAGGGCGTTGGGGAAGAGGGCAAACTCGGGCTTCGGGAAGGTCATTTTCGATGTGCAGGCGAGGCCGGATCCTGGAGCAGCGGGCGATCGATCGGGGACGGGGTTGCGCAGAGGGCCGGCTTGCTTGCTGGCTGGCTTGCTTGCTGGAGCAGCGACGATCGCAGGACAGGTCTCCAGAGACAAAAGTCGATCATCGAACCGACAAAGCCGAAAAGAAAAAGCGCAAACGGGCCGGGCGAGAGCCGAGAGCGGCCGAGAGCACACCGAGAGCGCGCCGAGAGCACCTGCCTTATCGGGCCGGCTCGAGCCGGCGAATGAAATTAATTCATTTGCACAGGCGCTTTTTTGTTGCTTCTCCGCCACAGAACCCAGCCGAGTGGCGGCTCCGATTCCCACAGCCCGCAAGCGACCTGCAAGCGACCTGCAAGCGACCTGCAAGCGACCTGCAAGCGACCTGCAAGCGGCCCGGCATCTCCCAGGCCCATACACCCACGGCACCGCCCGCACCCGCACCCGCACGCACCTACGGCTCCGCTGCAAGATGGGAAAGAAGAAGGCATTCATCGACAAGTCCAAGGCCGTGCACTTCCAGGTCGTGCACCGGTCCCAGCGTGATCCCAAGCTGGCCGACGAAGATGCCTCCAAGATGGTCCTGAAGCCCGTTGCGCCTTCGATGAACGTCGTGAAGGTGGGTGCGCCAACGCAAGCCATTGACCAGCGCAGAGAGGGCCTCGGGAAGAATGGATGCTCAGAGACGCAGCTGTATTCAAGCCAGCGACAGTAACGCTCGCTGCTCCTCTCATGGTGCCCCAACCCGGTCATGTCCGGCCATGATGATCCCAGAAAGGACGATATGACCCCAAAGCCATCGCAAACGACCTCGCCTCGGAACACGGCGAGGGAATCTACTACGACTTTGAGGCCTCTGACTACGATAGCGACGAGGAGGAGCTCAAGTTTGACGACGACGACGATTATGGCGACGGCGACTATGATGATGACGAGCAAGACGACCTGGACGACGACGCTGAGCACGCTGCCGAAGACGACGATGTGGAGCAGGATAGAGAGACCGGCGTTGCCAATACCAGCGAGCCGACGGCCGATTCAGAGCCAGCGGCTGCCAAAAAGTCTGAGAAAAAGTCTGTGAAAGCCTATGCTGCTCCTACCGCACGAGCAGCCAAGTCCCAGTCCAAACTTACAGAGTAAGCAGCGGAATGTAGCTGTCAGCGGAGGAACGAGCGGAGCCATGAATTGGAATGCGGTCAGGGCCCAACAGATGCCCCTGCGACTTCTGCAAGCCCTGACGGGGTTTTGCTCACGCTCAGGTGCTGCAGCCAGAAATGTCCGTTCCGCTAATCAGTCCCCTCCATCTGCAGTGGCACTGCGGCCAGCGAGGATGCCGCCATGTACGGCATCACCTTTTCGGACATGGGCTCCTACGATTATCTGCAGCATCTCAAGCCCATGGGCGAGGATCCCAGTGCCGTGTACATCGAGGCCAAGTCGTCCAAGAAGCCCCAGAAGAAGAGCGGCATTCAGTTTGTGGTAGGGCATGCATATGCGGATATCCACAAGTTCACACCCCAATCTCCCTGCAGATGTGCTGGCGCCAGTTTGGTGGCCGTGAGGGTCATCCAACCAACCAACCGGCCGGTGTGTCGCCCTCAAACATCCCGATCCATGACCCCATCCTAATCGGCCTAATCCTCCGATACACTTCCCATTCCCAGGACGAGGATGCCGCCAGTGAGATCGCCTCGACAGCGAGGGGCTCCAAGCGAAAGGTCAACTTTGCTCTGCCGCAGGATGTCCTGCCCTCGCGCTATGAGAATGCCGTGGGCATGCTTAACACCGAGGCCGCCGTGCCGATGATCGAGCTTGACCCGATTGTGCGAGACGCCATGTATGCCCTGGACGACGATGCGTATGTCGAAGACGACATTGACGACTTTTTCGACCTGCTGAATGCCGAGGAGCTCCCCGACGAGGTTCGCACGGAACTCGAGAAACGGGGCGAGCTGGATGAGGAAGACGACGACTATGACGATGAGTATGAAGATGACGATTACGATGGCAGCGGAGCCGAGCGATACCATGAAGGCGACGAGCAGGAAGCCTCGAGTGGCGACTGGTTCAGAGAGTTCCAAAAGTAAGCCCCTCCCCTGTTGTGGCATGCATCTGCTCAAAGGCGGTCCGTACACCTTGGTGGATGGTTATCCCCTCACCGAGCTATGCAGATGCATTCTGCAGATCCATCTCTTCCGTGCTTGGGATCGCCTGGATCTTATAATCGCCACCGTGGCAGAGTGCGTATGCCTTGAATTGATCCACCGCCCCTAATTGACCCATCCATGTCATGTCAGATTCAAAAAGGCACAGAGGAACCTCTCTGACGACGGCGAAGATGGACAATACAGCGACGACTCGGGCACAGCGCGCGGTGGGCCCTCTGACCGCAAGACTGCCCTGACCAACTTTTCGATGACATCCTCGGTCATGTTCCGCAACAAGCATCTGACGCTGCTCGACGACCGATTCGATAAGGTCATGGAGGAATACTCAGACAACGAGATTGGCGAGCTGGATGAGGAGCACCCCGATGTTATTGGCACGGTCTCGATCTCGGACCAGCGACTGAACGATCTGATGGATGAGTTTTTGGACTCGACCGAGATGGTGGGCAAGCGACGCATCGTCAAGATCCCCGGCGGTGCCCCACTCATGGACGACATCCGCAAGGGTCTCACCGACGAAGTCGATATTCGCAAGGATGTCGAGCGAGTCATTCAAGAGGACGAAAGCCGCGAAGACAACGATGATGATATCGAATGGCTGCGGACCGAGAAGGAAGAGGTCAACGACGGATGGGACGCTGAAACCATCCTGACGACCTACTCGAACGTCTACAACCGACCGCACCTCATCAAGGACGGCAGGGTCAAGATCCGAATGAAGAAGGGCTTCCCTGTGGCAATCCACGAAGAGCTGCAGGACATGTCTCTCAATGACACGGCCGGCTCGGAACAGCAACCCCAGACGGCGTTTGAACAGGACAGCGAACAAGAAGATGATGCTGAGGGTGAGCGATGCACTGCATGCCCGGACGGCGTGCTTGGTAGTCATTGATATTGCCGCAATATGGCCAAGCCCAGTGCCCTCGCTCTGTTCCAGCTGCGGCCGCTCATGCATGACCGCGACAATGCACCATGGGCAGGCGATGGTTGCTGTCGAATGGCTCTGGCTCATCTCGATGCCCCCACCGACCTGGTGCTTCAGGCCGGCGATGCTAACTGTGTATCTTTGTGCTCATCGGTTCCCATCTGCAACTGCAGCGCGTATCAACAAGGGTGCTAAGCGAGACAAGAAGGAGACCGCCGAAGAGAAGCGACGACGAAAGGAGCAGGTCAAGGCTGAGAAGCAGGTATGTCATGGCATCCAGGCCCCAAGGGAGAGTTGCGTGCGTGAGTCGCTGACCCGTTGTCGCTTGCGGACACAGAACCGGAGGATGGAGAAAAAGTCGACCAAGACGGCCTTCAAGGAGGAGAAGCAGCGACAGGAAGCCGTTGCGATCACTCGCGAGAAGGCGGGCAAGTTCATTCCCCTCTAGCGACTCGGCAAACCTTAGCCTGCACCTTGACTCCTCGTTCACGACCGCACCCCTCCCCCCTTTGTGGCATCGTAATTGCCATTTGTATGTAACCAAGTCTTTCATGAAACACGCGACTGTCCTGTCCTGCAACAAACTGAAGCTCATCGACCACCCGCAGCGGCTTGGTGTTATCCTGCCTCGTGGGTTGGCATTCCAAAATCGAGTATGACTGTGTTGGGCCGTGCGCAAAGGAAACGGTGCTCAGGGAGCGACAGGCATATGGCTGTGCTGATGGTCCAGCCACCGACACCGCTCTCGCTCAGATCGAGCGCACTCATGGACATGGAGCCTGCAGATAGAGCGGGTGTGCATTCGACGCTGTATTGGTAGAATGATGGAGATATGGCTGTCCCTCTGCAGAATGAGGGGGGGGGACATCAACGGTCGGACCCAGGGGTAAAGCCTCGCTACGAGCCAGTCGCCTCCCTTGGGTTGCATCAATTACAGGAACGGCGGCGGCAGGGGGGGGGAAGGTGGCGGCACCGTCACAGGATGCGCTCAGGCAGAGACCTCCTCGACAGAGCTCGACGGAGCCTCCTCAACAGACTCGACAGACTCGACAGACTCGATCGATTCGATTGACTCGCCACGGGCAACCTTGGCGGCAAGGGCAGCGATCTTGGCTTCGGCGGCAGCAATGTTGCGCTTGGTCTGCTCGGGCTGGCGGTCGATGAAGCTCTGCTTCTTCTCCTCGAGGTTGGCGATGGTCGAGTCGATCTCCTGGAGAGAAGTGGGCACCTGGACGTTGAACTGGAAGAACTGCTCGACCGTGACGATATCGAACTTGAGGGGCTTGGGGGCCTCGGCCTTGGGGGCGGCGTTGGCGGCCTTCTTGCCCTTGCGGTCCTTCTTCATGACGAGGTAGTCGTCGTCGCGATCAGACTTCTTGGTGAGAACCTGGGCACCTTCGGGCAGAGAGGTGTCGACCTCGCGGTTCGAGACGTTGGCGGATGCGACGGCCTTGGCAGGACCGGCCTTGGGGCCGTCCTTCAGAACCTGCAGGACCTGGACCAGGGCGTTGATCTGGTTGATTTCCTCCGAGAAGGCGGGGATCTCGGCGTTTTCGCGCTCCTTGTCGGCCTCGATTCGAAGCTTCTCCTGGCGGTGCTGCTCCTGCTCCTCCTTGTACTTGGCCTGGCGGCGAGCGTGGTCCTCGCGCTGCTGAGTGTAGAAGACATCTCGCTGCTGCTTGAAGGCAGCCTTGACCTCGCGCAGTTTGTTGAATTCGGCGTCCAGCTTGGCCTTGGCCTCTTTCTTGGCCTCGAACAGGGAGTTGCGGTTGTCCCACTCCTTTTGCTTCTCGGAGTTGAGGGCGTTGAGCTCGGAGCGAGTGACGGTGTAGGCGTCGTTGACGGACGTGCGCTTGGGGTCCAGCTCATCAAGGCGCTTTCGGAGCTGGTCGATGGTCTGTTGGTCCTGGTCAACAGAGGTCTGCTGGGAGTCGAATCCCTCAAAGACCTTCTTGCTCTTCTTCAGCTGCGAGATATCAGAGACGACCTTCTTCTCCTCGTTAAGAGAGAAGCGTCCGGCCTGGAGCTGCTTCTCGAGATCGCTGCAGATGGAAGAGACCATGTTTGAGGGGAGGGCACAGGGGTGCCGGAAGTCGGACTGTGAGAAAGGGAGGACGCAGACTTTGGGGAGCTGGGACGACGATCGCGCAGACACCAAAACTGCCTCTGGTCCAATGAACCGGACTCGGACTCATCCAAGTGTCTGAATCAACATCCCGAAGCACGCACTGCGCTGTTGAGGTTGGATACGCACGCAATCTGGGCATCAATGTCAGCGGCGCTCTTGAAGCCGAGCTTGTTCTTGGAAGCCTTGACTTCGTCAGTCTGTGGGCATTGATATCCGACAGCCAAGAGCAAGGTCGTTTTAGATTGCCACAGTTGCACGGAAACCACAACGAGAGCGCGAACAGCCAGATTAGATTGACCATCGACGGCAAGGCGTGTACAGATCGACACCGGGTTATACTCTCAGCCACTGTCGAAAGCCGTCGCCTGCTCTCGGTGAGCGCCTTCAAGCTCGATGCGAACGCGCCCACGTATGGCCACACAAGTCACTCGCCCGCTACGTACCTTCTTGCGGATGCTGGCCTGGAGCTTCTTGAGCTCGTCCAGGATCTTGGTGCGTTCGGCGTTCAGTTCGTTGCGCTGGGCAGTCAGCTCGTCCAGTTTGGCACGGAGCTCCTTTGTGCGCTCCGAGGCGGATCCCTTTTCACCTTTGCCGTTCAGGGCCTCAGATGCTTGATTCTGTTCCATGAACACGGGCGGATGGAGTTAGAGTTCTGCCGCGGTAGACTTGACCACGAGTCCCACGCCAAGAACACAGAGTTGGGTGACCCTGAGATCGTGCAATCAGCTCAAGGACAGCTAGCCGCATGCCTCAGAGGACGGACGACAATAGGCACGCTGAAGATGTGCAGCTGGTAGAATGCAGTACAACCAAGGCAGCCGACGCGGCCGATGCGACCGATGCAGCCGACGCAATCAAGGACGAATCAGGAGATCGAGCGGCAAGACCACCCAGACTCAGCCAGCAGACGAACGACTCACTAATTGCTTCTTGTAGGCTTCAATATTGGCGTTGATGACAGCGATTTCCTAGATGAGACAGGAGCAGCGGGATGAGAGACCAGACCAGACCAGACGAGACCAGAGCGACAAAATGCGATCGCGGATCGGGTGCCAGAGATCCGAGACGAGATCGCTCGATTCGGACGACAGAGCAGAAGAGCCCGATTCCGAAACGCAGCAGCAGAGAGGTACAAAGACAGGCCCTCCAGCGAGGACAGACGCTTGGCATCGAGCCGGCCACAGCAGCCACAACGAGTCGAGCGAGCGAGTGAGCGAGCAGAAGCAGAAAGGAGAAGGGCCGTACAGCATTGTGGGCATCCTGATCGGGCTTCGGGACTCTGGAGCGGGAGGCCGAGGCGGCATCGACGTCGGTGGCAGGCATAGCGATGAGGCGGACACGGCAAGAGGATCTTGGGGGGAGGGTAGCGGGAAGAAGAGGCGAGTGGGAGGATGGCCCCTGGGGTGTGAGCGAGACAGAGGGGGTCAAGCAGGACGATGCGCCGGTCGATGCCTCAAAACGCAGAACTTTGGCGATCATCGACGGCCGAAAAACGACGGCCAGTTCTGTGCGCGCACAGAGCGAGACGCGGCGAGGTGCGGCGAGAGCATGGCAGCTTGTCATTTAGACTGTTCTCTGTGCAGCGAGGCGCTGCTGCTCTCGGCGAGAGCACCTCTTGTGCTGCCACCGTTTCCTTTTCGGGATACCCACTCGGATCGTCGCCCATGAGCAAAGGCGTGGGCTCATGGGAACGCCTGGGCATGAACGAGGTGCGATGCGGGGGGAGTGAGCCGCCCTGCTGCCACCCAGGACCAGCCCGTCTCGCGAGAGTCGTCGCACGCCGCATCGGCGGCCAAGGATGCATCTTCTCTGTCTATTGAGCCGGTCGGCCGGATCTGTCTATCGAGTTTGCGGTCCCAAGGCCCACGATCCCACACATGCATCGGTTTCCTCCCGCCCTCTTTCCAGCATCAGCAGCAGCGGCGACGGGCGCTATCGGCTCCGGGCAAGCTGCTGCTGGGGCCGCTTGAGAGCAGGCGGTCGAAATCCCATGCGCTTCTTGAGCAAATCTTCCTTGCTGGTCGCGACCGAGGACGATGGTGACTGGCTCTGCGACGAGATCGCATCGGAGACGCTGCTGCCGAGCGACGCCATCGATCGGCCCTTCTGCGGACTGAGCACCTGAGAAGATGACCGAGAAGTCACTGCAGAGCCCGAGTTGGAGGGCTTGGTACGACTGATGCTGTTCTGCCCCTTGCATATCGGGATGTGTCTCTTGGCCGCCTCCTCGTTGAATCGCCGCTCGCACTTGCTACATTGGATGTAGTCGGGGTCAGGTTCGGACGGGACAAAGACGGCACCAACGCTACCGGCCGGAGATCGTGCGGCCCTGACCATCCGGATAAAGTTTTCGTGCTTGATCTTCCAGTTGGATTTGGCCTGCTTCGCTGTGGTCGACAAGCCGTCGCCCCCAATCTACCACCGACGATGAGTATGCACAGCCGTGAGCAAACCCGCTCGCCGTGGGAAAGGATGACTCCAGGCCCCACAAGTACCGGCAATTGGGTGCGAGGGCCGTGCAGACAGACAGACAGACAGACAGACAGACAGACAGACAGACAGACAGCCCTCGATTCGAGTTGGTGCCTTGGGTCGAGACTTACACTGCGATTGGTCCTGTCGCTCAAGCCCAGCTTGGACGAGCCCTTGCCGAGACTTTCAAGGGTATACTTTTCATTTTCGGTTCCCTTTGAACGGGCCTTTTTCGAATCAAACACTCTTCTGGAGGCGCCCTTGGCCGACTGGCAGGCTTTGATGTGCGCCAGCTGTGTGCGTCGTTTGATGGCCATAGCCCAATTAGACGCTAGCCCCCGCTGCAGCTGATCCTTGCCAACATCACAATCACGGCCGCACCACAACAACATCCACTGGGACGGCTCCGGCCCCAGCGACAGACATAGCCATGTCTATCCTGTTTGCATCAGATGCATCAGATGCAGCAATCTCGGCGGGTTTACCGTACCAGTCTGTCCTCGTGGAACTTGCGTCCGCAATATTCGCAAGGGATGCGGGGATGTGCATCCTGTTCTGCTTGGGCAATCTCGCTCTCCACAATCGTATACTGACCCACAGGCAGCGGCGCATCATCGCTCCGGCCTGCATCGGCCCCCTGCGACGCCTTGATGTCCTTGGCAAGTGATGAGGGCATTGGCCCCTTGGAAGACGGAGGACGGGAAGAGGGCCGCTGTTTACCCGAATTTTCGAGTCGCGGCATCATCGAGAGAGAGCCGATCTTGACAGGGCGAGGTGGATGTGGTGAGGCTCGGATGTCGTTGCTGGAGGCGGTCTTGGAGTTGGGCGGAATGGGCTTTGGACTCGTGTTGGGTGAGAATAGAAGCTGGCGCGACGATGGCCCACCATTGGGATGGATTTCCTGAGACGCTCCCACGGACGGCTTGGACGGACCTTTGCACATACGCAGATGGCTGGAGAACTTGATTTGCGGGATGTTCTGGAGACCTGTGATTCAAGTGATAGCGGCGGCGGTGCCGACAAGGGTATTCAATGGCGAGTCCGTGTACTGTCCAAATCCGAGCCTCACAACGAGCACTCCCACGCGGACTTACAGTTGGTGCAGGGATGGTACATGGGCGACGCCCCGACCTCCATCTCAGAATTCCGGCTTCGGAGGCCCGGTTTGATGCTTCTCCGTACGCAACTGCGATAGCCCAAGCGATAAAATTCAGCAAGCGGTAGTTCTCTTTTCGAGACCACACCAAGCCACGAAGCAGTTGGTGGGATATATCAAGCAGCGTCCGCATCCAGTACAGCGTCCGTGAAGGCATCCCAAAGCCGACGCAGGACGCGTAAGCGGAGGAGCCGAACGACACGGACGACTTCCAGCGGCACTGTTACGGCCGCGGGCTCGATGCTTACTCTCGCTGGTGGGCTGGCAGAGAGGCTTTCCCGAAATTCTCGCCACAGATGTGGCATAGCCGCGTTGTGGAGCTCGAGGACCGCGTCAAATTGGAGGGAAAGCTGATCATGGTGGCGATTCGCGACGGGAGAGGTGCAGAGCTCTGCAATCAACGGCAGCAACAGGTACTATCCGCAGGAGCGAGACTGTCGACAGTTCGGCGATGGCGTGGCCGTTCGGGTGAAATAGAGAGCCGAGATCGATGAGCACGCTGCGGTGGAGATGGCGAAGCCGATGCACTTGCGCGGGGAAGTGCCTGGGATGGCTGCTGGGCGGAACGACGATGCAAGGGCTTTTGGCAAATGGAACGAGAGAAAATGCTGGATGTATCACACCGCTCGGTCTTTTGCTGATGGCGTTGATTGGGGCTGGATGGCGAAGCACCCGGTGGCGCATCAGGGACAATGAACCCGCTGGCGAGCGTCAGCACTCATGACTGTGGTTGGTACATTCGGGCTCTCTGTCATCGCGCCCAGACCCGGACGGTGGTGGAAGAGGCTCTCCTCAGAGAAGCTGCACAGCAGGGTGTGTATTTGAAAGTATACAGTGCCAGCTCTATACAAAATCTTGGTACCCACTTATCACCGTCCTGAGCGATTCCAGCGCATCGTCAAACAGACACTGCGTTTCGGCGACGGCATCGCCGGCGTGTCCGGCGCCAACATATTTCTCGTACCAGTGCATGTACGCACCCGCCTTCATGGTGCGCTCGCACTTTTCGGCGAGAGAGACGAGATACGGCAGCGTCTCGGTGCTGTTGAAGCAGAGCGATATCGATTTTTTGGCGGATTTTGGATCGAGGGCTGGAGGCAGAAGGACGCGTGAATGTCGGCATGTTAATAAAGCCCGGCATATTTGGGCGAAACAGCGCAGGCTCCGTGGCCGGTGTGGTCAGCCGCATCGATGGGGCTCAGGACAGAGTTTGCAGCAGCTCCAGAACCGACCGTGAAACGGCGCAACCAGGGTGTCGCAGAAGGCAGGATCGATTGCGGCACCGAGCTTGCTCTGGATTTTGCTTGTGAAGTGACTTGCCCGCCGCCAGTAGTCCGGGCCCTGTGCTCCACGGATGTAGATACGCGACGACAAGCAGCTGAACGGATCCATTGCGAACCCGCAGCGATGCATCGAGTGAGACCAAGGCGAAGCAAGACAATGCCATCGCCGGAACGAGCAACGACGACCATTTTGCAGAGCCGTCTTGGCTAGGCGATCGCGCCAGTTGGCATTGGCGATGCATCGGCGTTCGATTTGGATTCTGCTTAATCACTTACTTGCGCTTGACGCCTGGTGGGCTGATCCCCAGATTGCGGATAGTTCGGCTTGTGATTTCATCCCAGTCCGTAAACACATGTACATGCGATCTGCGCCCAGACGAGGAACTGTAAGCTTGGGTGTGGGGGCTGCAGTCACTGCAGCGCCGGACTTTGTCAGGAATCCAGCGGCGAGCCAGCCGGAGCCAGTAACCGTCGAGAGCACTACCTGTTGGAGTTTTCAATGTGGCGCGACAGATACGAGGACGCAAACGACACCAGCTTGCACGTCGGTAGCGGCGTCATTCGTTGGATAAGGTCCCAGCCGTCGAACGGGGTCGGATCTCTGTACAAGCGAAGAATCGAAAAGCGGACGCACATATCAGCAACTGGAACCAATGCGGGGAGTCGGCTGGAGCTCGATGGCCGAGGCTGGATCGGTTCAGAGGGGCAGAGAGGGTACCTACTTGAGCTGCATGGCAATCTGCCCATCCTTGTATTCGGCAGCATGCAGGGGCAGAAGCATCGTTGAAAGGCAGTGTGCGAGATACCCATTCAGATCGTCCAGGCTAACCTTGTCTGTCTTTGCGCTGCCTATGAATAAACAACATTGCGCCCTTGGTGAGAAGCTGCTGCTGATCTTCCCCACGATGAGATACTATTGCCAAATCATCCCCATGGTGAGGTGTGTTGTCGCCACTGCAGTTTCAAGTGCGAGCAAAGGGCCCAGCATTTGCACCTTTGACAGGCGTAAGCCAGTGCAAAATCGCACCTCGATTCACATAGTGTGTGAACTGCCGCTGGATAGACGACATCATCATGTCGTTCGGGAAGAGGCCAATAAAATCCGAATGGCTGTCGTTGTGATGGAGGCAGCGAAAGCGGTGAGTGCCAGAGCCGACTTTGACCAGCGACATGGACGAGCAGCCAAAGACGGAATCCAATGCAATCATTGAAGGAGCGACAGAGAGGATGCCCACCGTTGCATCCATGAGAGCGATAGCAGTGAATTGTAGTGCTGCAGGGCCGTCTCGCCCGAGGCAAACGGAACCACTCTGTCTTCGATAACCAAACCGGCACGTCAGTACACCGAGATTCTGTCCGATGGCCGGAGTTGCTTGCTGCTGGATTGTCGTGGCTTTGGAGCCAGATCATCCTTCTTGTATCGATCGACCCAAGGCCTCCAGCCCATGCACGCTACTTGTTGTGCCGTGTCCACCCATCATGCCCAAGAAACATACGCGGAATTGAAGATATATCCTTTGAGGTAGTCGTCGCGCAGACGCTCGACAAGCCTGGAGCCAAAACCCGAGCCGGTGCCTCCGGCAATGCTTGGGAGGGAAGCACGAAGCAGGGAGCGAACAACCGAGCGAGCGTTAGAGTCGTGTGGTCAGAGCAAGACAGGAGTGTCGTTGTGGCTGTTGCAGAAAAGCTCATTCATCCGAGACAGCGCAAGATCGGCCGCCTGTACCTGTGAATCAGCATGCATCCATCATAGCTCGACTGTGCCTCGACCGAGCGGCGATAGCTCTCCAGGACGTTTTCAACATGGCCCTCCAGATCGGCATACCCAAAGGCCCAGTTGTTTCCACGCCCGGACGAGCCGCCGTCGACATAGAGGGTCGGAAAGAGCGTCTCCGAGTTCTCTCGGAGGTGTCTCTGCCAGGTCTTGCGCTCGGTATCGACAATGATCTGCTGGAACTTTGACAGCGGGTAGCAGAGCGAGTTGCCGGGGAGCCTGTTCGGATGCCGGCGCAGGAACAAGAACGATTGCGGTTGGGTTGGATTGGAATTGGGGGGGGGTGCAAGCGAGACGGCAGATTCAGCCCGCCATTGTCGAGATCGATCCAGGTGCAGATGCAGATGCAGATGCGACACATGTGGAGGTGCGGGCCGGCCAGTCGTCCATAGATTGCGGCCTGAATTTACGATCGATGCATTACTCTGACTCGATCGACTTGAAGAGCGACTGGCCCACTTGGATACCGCACTGAGCGACGGGAGATGTATAGAATGCGCATGTGGAAGATATCGATGGAGTGGTGGTGCGGTCAGAGGATGCCTCAGCAACGGCCGATCATGGCGCAAGCCAGGCGAGAGGGCTGGCAAGGATACCTGTCCAATCTGGAGGACGATCATCGCAGCGTCTGGGTCGGATGCTCGCTGGTTGGATGGAGCAGCCCGTCGGGGAGTGCAATCGAAAGATGAAGGGAAGAGCAGCGGATGGCGAATCAAGGCCACGATCGAGATCAAGTCCGAGATCGAGAGCAAGGCAGCAGAGACCGCCAAACATGATTCCTCGCGCTCCCGCAGTCATCATGAACGGGACTGGCAAGTCGTTGATGCTGGACACATACATGCTGGTACGATGGCCCCCACCACAATGCGGGCTTTGTTTGGCTCTGACCAAGTTGTCTGTATTGCAACATCGAAAGATACAGATGTGGAGGAAGGAGAGGGAGAGAGGGAGAGACTCGACCAAGGGAAGCATGGAAGAAGAAGGAAAATAAGGAAAAGTGATGAACGAGAAGAGGCTTGGAGGGTCAGAGTCGAATCCGAGAGGAAGATAGGGGGGGAGGAAGAAAGTAAAAGAAGGGGGGACGGGAGGAAGACGCTGTGATATTCCAAGAGACTGGATCATAACGCCATATCTCCAAGTCCAGGTGTGAACGAGTTTGACGAAATGTTGCAATGGAAAAGGGACGAAAGGCACACGGCCGAGAACGAACGAACGAAGGAAGGAAGGAAAGGGGGGAGGACAGCGACGATTGCTGGCACGAGAAGCCAATGCACCAGGAATGACAGCTGGCGCCGTGGACGGGTGGGGGTGGGTCAGTGGAGTGGGAAGCATGCTCTCATCTATCGCGCAGTCTGATAACCTGGATCGGATCTATGATAAAAGCCACGGTGAGGGGGGGGGCAGTGTGGGGCGAGTGCTTGCAGAATCGTCCAGCCGGACAACTGGAGAGGAAAGCCCGATGCCGCGGCCAGAGGGCGGTGAGAGCCGGCGGAGACGTTTACTGCTCCTTCGAGAAGGTCGACTGGAGCTTCTCGGTCACGGTCTCGGCTCCATCGACAACGGTTTCGGAAACAACCTTGACGGCGCCGGTGGCAGGGTCGACGACCGAGGTCTTGACGATGCGGTAGGCAGCGGACAAGAGTCCCTCGCTGCCTTCGCCGCCGGCGACGGACGTGGAGGTGGTCGTGGTGGTGGTCGTGACCGTCTCGGCGGGCTGCGAAACGACCTCGGTGCCATCGGCGTTGCGGACAACCTTGCGGGTTGTTCGGACGACGGTCTCGCTAGCCTGGCCGGAAGCGTCGCCAGCAGCCTGGGCGACGTCGCCACTGACCAGGGTGGTGACGACCTCGCCTTCGCCAGTCTGCTTCACAACCGTGGTGGAGGTGGAGGCAGAGCCTTCACCGAGAGCGGAGGGCACGACGGTGCGGCGGGTGCGGGTGGTCGAGGTGGAGGTGGTGCTCGAGCCCTCAGCGGCAGCAGGGACAGAGGACGAAGTAGTCGTGATCGCTACAGAGGCGCCCTGGTCCTCGTTGGAGTTGGCCTTGACGACGCGGCGAGTGCGGGTGGTCGAAGTCGAGGAGGTGGTCGATGCTTCGGCGGCGGCAGCAGCAGAAACGGGCGCGGCAGAAGTCGTGGTGGTAGTGGTGGAGGATCCCTGACCCTCATCCGAGCTCGTCTTGACGACGCGGCGGGTGCGGGTGGTCGAAGTCGAGGTGGTGGTCGATGCCTCGGCAGCGGCGGCGGCGGGGACAGCCTGGACGCTCTCGGTCACGACAATCGATCCCGAGGGGGCCGCTTCGTACTCCACCTCGGTGATATCGCGCACCTCGACCTGTTCGGCGAGCTCCTCGACAGCACCCTCGATGTTCTCGCTCACAGCCTGCTGCTGTTTCTTGCGCTCCTCCTCGCGCTCCTTGAGACTCTTGAGGCTTCCGACGCTGGAAGTACGGCCAGGGAGCGAACGGTCACGATCGGGGACTCCGGTGGCCGAGAGGACTTGGATCGAGCTCTGGCTGGTCTCCTGGGCACCCTTGGCGATCCAGGTGCCGCCGCCGACCTTGGCAACCTTCTGGCTCGGTCCGGACTTGATCGGGGTGAGGAACTTGATCGGGACCAGGCCACGCTTGCGACCCTGGGTGATGTTCTGGGCACGGGCCCATCCGTCACTGTACTCTCGCTCGATACCAACAAGATCACCAATGTCGATGTTGAGCTCGTCGGACTGACGGCGGCGGAAGGTCACCGAGGCAACGTGCGAGGTGGGCGCGGGAGGAACAAACTCGGTCAGGTCGGGGGCCTGATCTTCGACAGGGTGGAACTCGAAGCTGGTGTCGCGCATGCGGCGGTGTCGCTCCTCCGAGACTCGGCCTTCGAAGCTGGGACGCTTGGACTTGTCGGTCGAGTATCCGGCGACGGCGATAGCGCTGCTAGCCAGGCTGGCGAGGGTGCTTTGAACACCGCTGCGGGCAGAGATTGAGCCAATGGGATGGAAGATAGGGGATGCACGATACGGATGCACGATACGGATGCACGATACGGATGCACGATACGGATGCACGATACGGATGGAATAGTCAGGATGGTGTTTCCAAGTCCGCGATGATGATGACGATGATGATGATGGTGATACGGGTGATCGGATGTGCAATGCTGCCTGGGCAAACAATCGCAGATGGGACCATCCCAAAGCCAAGCTTCGATGCACGAGCGCTCGATCGCAACACGGGGGGAAGTGCATCAACTCACCTCACAAACGAGCTACTGGTCTGCTGGTCCTGGTTGACCACCGAGACATCGGCCTCGGAGATATCGGCTTCTTCAATGACGGTGCCATCGGCCTGTCGGACGATGCGGCGGCCCTTGCCAGCGGTGGTGGTGGTGGTAGTGGTGGTGGTGGTTTCTTGCTCGGTGGTGCTATCAGCAGGAGCGTCGTATTCTTCAATGGTGCCATCGGCGAGCACACGCTTGCGGCGGGTGATAACGGTCGAAGTCGAGGTAGATTCACCGCCAACGACACCCAGGGCGACTTCCTCAGTAATCTGCTCCGTCTCGGGGCCATCAGGAGCATCGTACTCTTCAATGGTGCCATCGGCAAGCACGCGCTTGCGGCGAGTGATCACAGTTGAAGTGGAAGTGGATTCACCGCCAACAACGTTCAAGGTGGTGCTGTCGACGGGCAGCTCGGACTGAGGGCCGCCGATATCCTCCGATTCTTCAATGGTGCCATCGGCGAGCACACGCTTGCGGCGGGTGATGACAGTCGAAGTCGAGGTGGACTCACCGCCAACGACACCCAGGGCGACTTCCTCGGCAATCTGCTCCGTCTCGGGTCCAGCAGGAGCGTCGTACTCTTCAATGGTGCCATCAGCGAGCACGCGCTTGCGGCGGGTGATCACGGTCGAAGTCGAGGTCGATCCGGGGGTGCTTTCGACAACCTGGGCGTGCTCGGGGCCGACGACGACCTGGTTTCCGGCGGCATCGGTCTTGACAAGGACGCGACGGACCTCGGTTTTGGTGGTGGTGGTGGTGGTAGTCTCCTGCTCGGTGATCTCGTCTTCGTCCTCTTCGCCCTCCTCGGCAATAACAACGGGAATGACACCCTCGGGAGCGCTGGGGCCGCCGGGGACAACGGTCTCGTCGGTGCCGGTGGTGGTCTTTCGGGTGACCTTGGTGATGGTGGTCGAATGGCCGACGTTCTCCTGCTCTTGCTGCTCCTTCTCCTTGTGAACAGCAATGGCAGTGCCAATGGCGGCTGCAGCGACGGCGCCGCCGACCAGGACTTCAGCAACGTGGCTGTGGCTCGTGGTGGGGGCCACAGGCGCCTCTTCGCCGCCAATGATACCGGTGGTGGGGAGGAATGGCTGTTCATTGTTCTGCGGGGCGAGGGGATACGATTCGTCGGGGACGTCGAGTTGCTGGGGTGCGCGGATGGACTTGGAAGAGCGACGACGGTTGATCACGGCCGAGGCAACACCAGCTCCAGCAGCAGCCGCAAGGGCAGCTTCGGTAGTGGACACGCCGGAAGGAGCGCCTGCACCATAGCCGACAGGGGCGGCAGGGGGAACAGAGCTGTAGCTGGTGGGGCCGCCGTAGGCAGGGGTCTCATTCGAGCTGTACTGGTAGCCGCTGTGGGGGCCGGGATAGGTCGAGTCCGCAGGGATGACGCCAGTGGTGGGCGCGAACGGAATCGAGAGACGATGGCTGTTGGTCGGGACAGCGGGGAGCTCTTCTTCGATGGAGGAGATGGGGACATGGACAGGAGCAGGCACCACGGTGTCGGGGGAGAGACCCACATTTCGGTTCTCGGCGATGGCTTCGTTTGGCTTGGGCCTGGAGTTGTAGCGGCGCACAGCGAGGGCAATCAAGGCGACGAGCGCGAGGAAGAGGATCGTGCCGCCGGCAGCACCCCAGGTGGAGGCAGCGTTGTTCGAGCCGATGATGTCAGGAGCGATGATGATAGGAGTGGCAGTGCCAGAGGCGGAAGAGCCAGAAACAGAGGCACCGGAGATGGAAGCGCCAGAGATGGGCGAAGGCGAGCCTGTGGGGGCGACGGTAACGACGCTGCCGGAAATGACGGTGGTAAAGGCACCAGAGGGAAGCAGGGTCGTGGGGGTTCCGGAGATGACAGTGGGAATGCCGGTGACGGGGACAAGGGTCACGACGCTGCCAGAGACGACCGAAGTGAATCCGCCAGAGGGGACGGCTCCGCCAGTGGGGACCACACCGCCAGAGGCAGCAGTGCCAGAAGGAGAGCCACCGGAAGGAGAGCCGCCGGAGGGAACACCGCCAGTCGGAACACCGCCAGAGGGAACATTTCCTGTTGGGGTGGTGTTGCCAGGACCGGGGACAGGGGTCGGGGTGACGGGTGTATCAGTGCCAACAGGAGCTGGGGCGGAGGGAGACAAAGGATGTGGCAGAAGGGACAGAGGTCGGCCATGTCAGGGGAATCGCCGACACCAGGAGGCAACGGAAGAGAGAGCAGGGTGTCAGTATCGATGGGAATGCAAAGCTGGCTGGCGGACCATATCGACGCGAAGATGCAGTCGGCAGGAAGCAGCCAACGGGACAGGTCCGGACGGAGACAAGCAGATCGGCGAGGGCCGTCGACCAGACACGAGCAGAGACATGGATTCAACCTGGGGTGCCAGTCGGGGACGGAGTGAGGGTGCCGTAGTCGTTCGTGGCCCAGTAGCGCTTTCCAAGGACAGGGTTGGGAGCAGCATCGACGGCCACCACAACGGCTGCCAGAGCAGCGATCGCATTGGGGAGGGCCATTTTCTTTGCCGGGAACAGGGAGTGGGGACGAGCGAGGCCTGGGAAGGACCAGCAGCGGTGAGCATCGAGATCGCCAAGGACATAGCGCAACGGAACTCGGCGGATGGCAGCCGCAACGGCCACGGCCACGGCAATGGCAATGGCAACAGCAGAAATGGTAATCCAATGCCGGAGAGAGGCAGCGGGTCTTGGCCGACCGGACACGAACCTCTAGTAGCAGACGAGTCTAGGAATGGGAGCGAAGGAAACGGAAGAGGCAGAGACGAAGGCAGGCGCCAGCGGCCGAGGACGAAAAGCGGAAGAGAGCGGGCGAGGGACAGCAGGACGATGCTTGCGTTTGCAGCCACGCGGGCAGCACAGAACAGCGATCCCGCCTGGCAAGCGAGCGGTCGCACAGCCGACGGTGGGTGTGGTGGAGCAAGAACAACGGGGCCAAACGTGGTGTGGTGCGGTGTGGTGGATGAAATGCGAGCGCGAAGGCGTCGAGAGCGCTGCGAGTCCGGCGCCGCCTATGCGGATGGGCCAACTGGACCAACTGGACCAACTGGACCAACTGGACCAACTGGACTCTGTCCCGATGGACGTGCAAGTTGCATCAAGACATCTCTCCATGCGACAGGCTCTCGACGAAACCAAAGTGCCCAACACTGCATCATTTCGCCCAAGAGGAAACGCTGGCAGACAGGAACTGTGGCCGGCCTGGCATGCAGCAAATGGACGGCAAGTGCGCGACGCGCGGGGTCTGCAAATGGAAATCGGTGCGACATGGGATGGACGCGTCTCGCGGCTGTGGCGCGACGGTGGCGCGGTGTCGCAAACACGCCTGGCCAATGGCGTGCGCGGTGCCTGGTTGCCTGGCTCGATCCGCAGTGCAGCCGGGCCCAGCCAGGATCGAGCCGGCAGTGCACCGCCACAGAGGCAGTGCGGTGCGTAGTCGCACAGGCGTGGTACACAGTGGCTCTGTGCGCGCTCCGATCCACCCGCGTGTTGGAAGGGGCCACCGCTGTTTCTGTGGGCTTGTGCGCCGCCGCGTGCACTCACGAGATCTCCCCCACCCTCGTCGCTGGCCTGTCGTCCGCCAGCCATCTTCCCGCCCCAGCAGCCTCTTCCGTCTCTCCCTGGCGTCGTCTCATCTGAACTCTGTCCTCCCGAGTCTCTCTGCCCAGGATCGCCCAGCCCACCGTCCAGCGTCCTCCTGCAAGACTCCCTCGCCGCACCTCGCTTGTGCTGCCTCCCACCATCTCTGTCCTCCGCCCACGCTCTTCCTGCCTTTTGGCCCCAGGCTCTGACGCCAGCCCATCGGACCAAAGTGCCTCGCTTCTGCCTCTTGCCCGCCCTGCCAATCGCAAGGATTCTCTGACCTCGTTGACGTTTGCCGAGCAGTCCCGCTGCCCACGCCTCATCCGCCTATTTATTGTTATCCCCGGAAACAAGTTTTGGAAATGGATCTAGACTGGTGCCTCGTCTGCGACAAGCACACCAAGGTGAGCCCTGGCCATCGGTCTCGCTCCAGGGGTTCCAGTGCCCTGACTCTCTCTGTACCTGCGTCCCGGTGTTCTCACACCTGCTCGCACCTGCTCACACCTGCTCACGCATCCCACCGACTCGCTCGCTCGCTTCCTCGCATGTCAGGACGGCCTCTATTGTTCCGTCGCCTGCCGTCTCGTCGATATGGAGACCTCATCCCGGTTCTCAGACTCGGAAGAGCACCGCCACGACCAGGCCGTGCCGATTAAAAATCCCCTCAGGATCAAGACCAACCGGTACGACGACGATGCCTCGCTCCGGCGACCCAGCCGCGATGAGGCCAGCCCGCGCTCCATTCTGAGATCGGCCTTCGACGACTTGCTCGATGAGCCCGCAAGCAGCCCCCAGCGCATTCCAGACATCAGCTTGCCCTACACCTCGACCGACGATCACGTCCCCGACACCCTCCTCCAGCTCTATCGCTTCAACAACATCCGTGCTCGCCCTTACAACAAGATCCGCCCACGGCTGTCCAAGGAGTGGCCTCCGCTGAACAAGGTCCCAAAGCCTGTCCGGTCAAAGGCAGACCCCAACCCGGACTCGCCCGTGCTTGGCCTGGTTCCGGACCGGCCGTCCAAGCCGCTCCCGCTTCAGCAGCCCGTTGCCCCCTCGCGCCGTGTCTCGTTCCGCAGATCCAACATCAAGTTGATTGGATAGATGCGTCGGCCTAACGGACATGCTTTTGCTCACCACATCCTCTCCAAGATCCCATTCCACCGCGATCGCCGATCATATGGTCCCGGACGAGCCCCTGGCTGCTGGCTACTCTCTTTTTTCTTTCGTATCCCCGTCTTTGGTCCCTTTGCTCTAACATTTTTGTAGATATCTATTGCTGCGCTAGTGGACGGAATGTCCACCGTCTCGTTCCTACTTTCCTTCCTTATGATATGGTTTTCTATTGTTCTCCCCTTTGGACCCTTTCCAGCCTCCCCCCCTCCCTCTCGCCTGCCCATAAGCCCCCTCCTTTCTTTGTCCTATCCTGCTGTCGGCTCTCACCAGTCGAACCTCCCTCGATTCAGCCTTCCAGCTCCAGCCAGTCAACCAGCCAGCGGCCGCGCCTCAGTCCCATCCGCTCCCGTGGCCTCATCTCTCCCTCTGGATCCTACAGAGTTTGAACTCCAAGAACGCACTGTCGGCGTCGACGTCGCGCCGCCACTCAACCAACCAACCACCCAACCAAACCCATCCCTCTCAACGCATCATGGGCGCGACTCATATGTCTTTGAATGTTTTCTTCTGGTTTCTATCACCTTTGTCTTTTTTTCTTTCTTCTTTTTGTGTCTCTCCATCGGTCCATCAGTGCAGACCAAAGTTACCTCAGCTCCATATCCCAATTCGAAGAAGGAACAGAAAAGAAAGAGAAGGAAAAAAGAATCTCTCCTCCAATCCGACCCTACAATCCGACCCTACAATCCGACCCTACAATCCGACCCTACAATCCGACCCTACAATCCGACCCTACAATCCGACAAATCCCTCCCTCCCTCCCACCAAGAAAGTACGAAAATGAAAAACCGAACAACCGGAGCTATGAATTCTATTTGTTTTGTTGCTGCAGTTCGTTTCTGGCCAATCCGTCAGTCCAAGCGCCAAAGAGAAGACAAGAACCAGTTTGCTCACCCACCAACCACACAGCCAATCTACCTTACAGCCGACTCCATGTCCTCCCAAATGGAGTTTCGTCGCATTGACCGAGCGATACGATGGTGTGTTGGTACTTTGCCGGTTCTTGGCCTCACTCAAATATAATCCACAAAACGAAACGGGACAACCTTGTTTGAGTCCGGGCTGTCGCTCTTTCCGAGTCCTGAATCCACATCCCATCCATCGCTCATATGAGCATAGCGCAGTGCAGCGATGCGAAAATCGAGGGTCCTGTGTTTGGCCATGATTGCAATGAGTGGGTGGGTGTATTCAGGTTCGAGAAAAACCCTGGCATGGCTCAAAACGGGGTGCCCCATTTCATTTTGGAAACGCTGTAAGGGGGTTCCGATAATGTCGGTGTGTAGAGGTTTCTTGGAGTGTCTGTAATCCATATCCGGATGGCTCAGCGAGAGAGAAACGAGGGGGGAGTCGAAAGAAAGCAAAACGAGTGGTAGCATATCAAGGCAAGGAAACGAAGTTATAGAGCTGGAGGAAAGTGGGTGTGGGTCTGCAGAGACAAGACTTGGTGCGGCACCTGATCCGGTTGTCTCTGAGGAATCGTGGTGTGGGCTGGGTGCCTGAGGACGATGGAGGATCGCAAGAGGCTGACGATTTCGATATCGGCTGAGGCCATGCACTCGTCCGCCTAGTGGAATCTGGATTATTTTGCACGCAGGACTGGGAAGCAGACGAGGAGGATGAGCCACATCGCCGAGCACAATGCCGAACACAATGCCGAGACATATCGGTTCCATCAGGACAGATCGGCAACGCAACCACTCACATATGTATCCGCTAAAGACTGGTAGATAGGGCATGATCACGGCCGCCAGTATCAGCCCGCCCGTCACAATCAGGAACGAATAGATAATGATCTCGTCCTTGTATGAGCCGCGCTCTGGAAACGAGAGTCATAGAAGCCAGAAAGCGTTAGGGGGTGAGCATCATCCGAGGGAAATCGAAGAGTGCCGGACACCAGAGCATCGGAGGCAGGAGTGGGCGGCCTTTGGAGAGCGAATTGCGCATGGCGTTGCTCGCTTTGCATCGCCGAGGCAGGCCAAAGCTGGTTGCAACAGAAGGGGGTTGGCTCCATCGATTCGACATGGTGCAGACCCGACCCGCTGTTCCAGAGAGTGTCCAGAGAAGGGGCCTGGATCCTAGAGCCGAGCCGGGAATGACGCTCAGGATGGACACTTACGGAAGCAGTTGACAACCCAGTCCTCGTCCGGCGGTGCGTGGGTCTTCATCGGGGGAGCGGTCGTATGCGGCTCGCCCTGGGTGCTTGTGAACGACAGGGACGCCGTCGCTGAGGACGGGTCCTGGGGCAGCACCGGACGGAAGCAAGCTTTGCTGTCGACGCAGTATTGCTTGGTACAGGAGCCGCACTTGGGCACCGTCAGGATGGTGACGTTGGGTGGGCACGAGCACTTGCAGAACAGGGTGATGTTGGCTGAAAGACAGGTGTGCACCACGCACAGCAGAGATAGGAGCAGAAGCGGGACAGATTTCATTGTGGCGGGACTGCAGTGGCCGGGGAAGGTTGGTGGTGGTATCTTCTGGGCTGGAGAGGCAGAGGACGGCAGGAGAGTCGGTGATGGCGGCTGTCGACGGCGATGGATCGTCGGCGTGGGTGTTGATGAAAGCCAAGAACAGCGGCGGCCCTCGGTCGGCGGCGAGCACAACATGAGGCGGACCACAACCAATCCCGGGCGCATGGATGAACTTTGATCACTCTGGCATCAGCAGCAAACAGCACCGCCCAGAGCAGGAATGCATGGCGATGCTCGCTAATACAATGGGTGTGTACAGCGGGTGTATTCCATGCATCGGCAATGTTATGGGAGAACGACAAGCATCCGTGGTGGACATTCAACACAAAGTATCAAGTGCCGGGGTGTCCCATTTATTCATCGGATCGCCTGTATTAAAACCCCAACATCGGCCGCCATCGGACCCACCGCACATCGCCGACAGCCAGTCTGCAGCATATCGGATCTGCAGCCAACGATGCTGATCCTGCTCCAACACTCAACGATATTCATCTCGGCTCGTGCCTTGGCTTCGTTCGAGCAACGCCCACATCCCCGCCTCATATATCCCGCAGCTCGCTCGCCAGGCCGATTCCCTCTGCAAACACATCCGTCGCGATATGTGTTTGAGTTTGTTTGTTGTCGCTGATTGGGACCGCTGCCGAGCCAGCAGCAACCAGGTCCCGCAGCCAATGGCCGCCGCAGACTGACCCAGCCGACACAAGTCGTCGCTGGCTGGGCCGCGATTGTTCGCCAAAGGACCGCACCTTGGTCGAGCATTCTTGTTTGAGCACAAACAATCGGACCCTGGCTCGACAGTCGAGTGCAATCTCTCCTGAATCCTCCTCGGTGCGCTTTGCTGGAGGGGGAGGCCGGCCCCCGGCATACTGTCGCCGTTCTTCTCCCACGCTCGGCCTTGCCGCTTCCGTCGGCGGCTGCTGTGTGTGTCGGGACGATACCAACAGATAGCGGCAGTGTACATTTTAGCATTTGTTGTCTCGCCCACCTCTGCTCCTGACTATCGCTGCTTGTTCTTCCTTACTCGCCGACTACGGCCTTTTTTTTCGCACACCTGCGCTTCCCGCTCGATTCCTCTCTCCCGCATCCTCACTCCGAATCGAGATTGCGCACCACTGCCTGCCGTGCCCTCCTCCCTCTCTCCACCCCGCCATCCCTCTGCCGATCGGCTATTGTTTCGCTTTTCGATTCTTGAGAAACATCCAGGGTCCTATATGTACAACCTCTCGACCAGCCCTGGCAAACACACACACACACACAGCTCTAGGCTCGCCTCGCATTTCTAGATCCAGGGTCGTCGCCACAGTCGCAATCCCTCGCAAGGTTTGAAGTCGCCATCGGCTACAGCACTCTGCTCGACCCGGTGCAGTTGCGTCGACCACTGGGCCTCGTCTCTGCACTGTCGTCTTCTGCCAGCTCTGAGGGGGAGGTGGTTTTTGCTTCGACCTTGCGCTCGCTCCGTTCTGCACTTGCACGGCTCTGGGACGGTGCTTCTAATCCGCCTGTGTTGTGTGCATCGACATTCTCGTTCCCACGGACCATCCTGCTTCCGCATCGACCACCGCCGCCGACTCCAACACTACTGCTTTGTCGGAACTGGCATCCATCCTCTACGAATCCTGCCCCGGACCGATATCTTCAACTGCGACATACCCGGCACTGGACATTGGCCTTTCATCCATCCATCCATCCGCTGTTCGCTCTCCAGATTCAATCTGCTCTGGTGTCGCTCACCAACCACACAGTGCACTTGAGCTCGTTCTGATCGCAGCAGTCGGCTGCCTCCGGCCCTCCAGCCCATAGCCAAGATCCCAGCGTCTTCTGTCCGCCGTTCCCCTTTCCAGTACCATCCGTCTTTCGTCTGCTCTCATAGGAAGACCAACCTCGGCAGTTGCACCCTTTGCAGCCACGACAAACACTCTGCCAGTGGCCCTCGCCTGCACTCGCCTCTGTTCACTTACATCGCCTCTGTCCACTTATATCCACTTGCACTCATCTGCACTCGCCTGCCCGTGTCTGACATATCGATTGAATAGCTCTATGATCTCCATCTCCAAGCAGTCTGCATTGCAACGCTCCAAGGACAGTTCCAGCCTTTCCACCGTCGATAGTACTGTTGTCTCGGACAGCGACGATACCCTCCCCCGCTCCCACTCGCCCGCCTCCTCGGCCTCAACGTCGTCCCCAAACGGTACCCTCCCCCGTCCTGTCCGGGCAGCTCACTTTCCGTCCGCGCTCCAGCCCCCCGACGCCCGAATGTCTGATGTACATGCCATGATCGAGCCCAGCCACGGCGACCTCGCCGCCAACCCGCTGCTCACCGACCCCATCATCAAGCAGCTCCTCCAGAACCGCGGCCCTGCAACCGACGTCACCGAGTCGTTTGAGCACGAGCGCCAGCTCCGAATGTACAATATGCTGCGACATTCAAATCACTACAAGCGCGCCCAGGTTGCCGATGCCAACTTCAAGTGGGCCAACGACCTCAACCAGGCCTTGGACGATATGAACATGAGCGACGTCTCTATCGCCGAATTTGACCCGGACCGCTCGGTAGCCTGCAGCGTCACCCCAGTAGAGGATCCAGCGGACCATGGCCGCCGTCCCAAGGTCGAGGCTCGCAGTACCGACACTTTGGCTTCGGACAAGGGCACTGCCGGCCCTGCAGGTCTGTTCTGCTCACCAGGCCCACAAGAACCTGCTGAGCGGTCAAACGGACGGCTCTGTCCCGGAGCCTCAGTCGAGATGCGAGTGCCGCCCCATAACAAGGGCCGTCGGGTGTCGTTCAGCCAAAAAGTCAAGGCCTACCAAGAAATCGAGCCCGAAGACAGCCCGAGTACCCTGGCCGCTCTCTGGGCTCTGAGCACAGAGCGGGAGACCAGTCAGTCCAAATCATCCAGCCATCCAGCCTCTCTGCCCACGATCGGAATATCGCCAAAGTCGCCGGTGCTGCTAGCCGTGTCCTCCGATACGCTGTCGTCTCGCCGTGGCTCGCTCTCTGGATCGGTGACGATCGAGACCGAAATCCCGCTGCGATGCGACGACGGTCCGATGCCGTTCATGATCCACAACCATGCACACCCTGCCACGATCGGTTCTCACGAGGGCTCGCACCGGACCATTACTGCCGATGCCGAGGGCCTGATCCTCAAGCAATCGACAAGGGCCGGGACAGCACCTCAGGAAGAAACGGACTCTGGCCGGCTATCGGGCGAGCACGCTGTCGGCCAAAAGAAGGGCCTCAAAGGTCTGGTCACATCGACCCTCAAGAAGATATTCCATGGGCCAACGCAACAGTAGCCACTCGGAGGGCTTGTGTTCAACCGCATGGGGTACCGAGATTGCAGGATGGCTGGTCTGCTGTATTGACATCGATCCATGGACCAGGCATCACGCTCACTGCTCTCCCCTCTCCTCCACGCAGGGAACGCCTGCACCACAACTGGGGACGCTGGCCGGTTCACCAAAGTTGGATCGCAGCCAGCGAAAGGGGGGGGTGGGGCGGGTGTGTGTCGGCTGGAGCACCAGATACAGCCCGCCCCTCGGCGAGAGCGAGCAGCCGAGTACCTCCGTTTGGTCTGTTGGCGACCGATCGATGTGGCGACATCGAATCTGTTGGTGCTGAAAGCCAATGTTGTATACCCGTACCTGTATCTGCTTATTACAGTCTCTACAGTAAAGAAAAACCAGGACACCACTTTTTTTAGATCACCGACCAACTGATACGCTGCCTCAAGGTATCAGATACTGCAGTCGGCACTCGGAGGTTGCCGAGGTGATCCCTGTGATTGCAGAGGGCCCCATGGAGATGTGGTCCTGGGCGAGCCGTGGGAACTGTGGTGGTGTGTGTTGGCTTGCAGCAGCCCAATCAGCTCTCGCTTGCATCCTTTGCCCGCATCTTCCCGCTCGCCATTGCTGTCCAACCTCCCCGCCTCTTCCTCCTGTGCGATGGCTGCAGCCGATTCCTCAGCCCAGGATGCCTGGGCCGCCGCCCTGCAGCATCTGCGTATCCATTCCGAGAGCACCGACTTGCCCACCACTCGGTCGCTTGCCTCGCCGCTGCGGGCCCAAGCAACCTCGATCAAGCGGGTGTCCAAGTCGCTGATGTTCATCCATCTGCGGATCGGCGAGGTGCCGCTGGCGGCGATCGCCAAACGAGCCAACTTTTCCGATTCGGCCCAGAGCGAGCTCGACCATATCCACCGGTACCTGCGGGTGGGCGACTCGATCGAATGCGAGGGCCCATTGGAGTGGGACACCCGCACCGACCCCAAGAAGCTGCTCTTCCGGATCGAAAGCGTCAAGATCGTGCAAAAATGGAACGTCGAGCGGGACGGCGCCTTTCAGATCGAGATGGAGCTCCCGCCGGCAGCGTCTCGATCGGGTCTGTCTGTGAATCTGCCGCAAGATGCAGAGCACGGAGTGATATCTGATCCACAGGCCGGATCACCCCGGGACCCACAAGATTTGCAGCCGGACCAGCAGCGCCTGGGCGAGCGCGGGCCATGCAAGTTCTGGATCAACACCGGCCGGTGCCCCGTCAAGAACTGCATCTGGAGGCATGAGGAGGGCGAGGCCCTGCAGCGATCCAAACGAGCCTACCTACACGATCGGCTCAAACGGCGACGCATCGAGCTGCCGGCCTCCCAGAACGACCCCATCCCTTCGGCTGCCAAGGCCTCGCACCACTCTCGTGCCCAAGTGTTTGCCCGCTGGATCGTCGAGACCTTTTCTCCGACGACCGAGCTCAATCTGGGCATGGGAGTGCTCGACGTTGCGGGCGGTCGCGGCGATGTCTCGTTCGAGCTTGCGAACGGGTTTGCTGTCCGGAGCACCCTGATCGAGCCCAGGGCCGTGATGGCCACCAAGCGACAGATCCGGGCTCAGAGGAAGCGGGAAGAGGTGCTCCGGACAGAGCAGATCGCCGGTGCCGAGCACGACGAGCACCACGAGGATTTGGTGGATGACGACGGAGCTGGCGATAACGATGATGCCGACGACTCACAGCATGAAGGCGACCAACGTCAGATCAGCAGCCCGTCAAGCAACCCACCTCAGCCCAAAATACAGCGAGAGGCCGCATGCGAATATGGCAACCGCGATGATATTAACAACAGTGGCAACATCAACATCAACAACAATGACGATATCAACATCAACGACAATGACGGCATCAACATCAACAACAATGACGATATCAACATCAACGACAATGACGGCATCAACAACAGCGGCGGTGTCCGCCTCTTCCAACACGTCCAGCAGCGTTTCGACCTTGCTCTGCAAGATCCACTCCTTGAGGCCCGCCTGCGGATGTGCTCGATGCTGGTTGGGATGCACCCTGACCAGGCCACCGAAGGGATCGTCGACGCCGCTCTCGCCTGGGGGCGACCGTTTGCTGTGGTGCCCTGCTGCGTCTTTGCCAAGGAGTTTCCAGGCCGGAGGCTCCGCAGCGGAGCGCCCGTCAGCACCGTCGACGATCTGGTTGCCTATCTGTGCGAGAAAGCCGATGGTATCCAGACGGCCCATTTGCCGTTCCATGGTCGCAATCTGGTGGTTTATCGGCTGAAGTGAAGACGAGCCACACGATGGAGACGTCATATAGATGCAAGATGGAGATAATGTGACAACAGAATTCAGCCTCGACGACCCGACGATCCTGGGAACTCGATCATGTCCGCCGTTCCATGAATCGCGCCACGACAGACGATATGGACACTTCCTCCTTTTGCATCTGAGTTGGATCGAAGCAGGCGGGCCGGGCTGGAGTGAGTGGTGAGCACGCTGTATTGCACGAAAACGAGGGATGCGCAAAGGAAGTGGGGGGGTTTGTACATCGCCGCCGCCATGGGTCAGGCATAGTATGAACTTGGATGACAAAGAAAGCAAGAGACGACATGAGGACATGGGGACATGGGGACATGGGGAGGCATCGGGGCTGATTTCGGGCACCACGCACAACATATACAGGTCCGGGGGGGTTTTTTTTTCACTTCTGAGAAGAGCTGATAATGTTCATGATCAACAACAACGAGGCCGGTAAGGGATGGAAGCGAGAGGAAAATGGAAGCGCGAAAGAAAGATGACCAGCAAGGGCAAAGGCAAGATGGAGCGAGAGAGAGGGGAGGGCCAAACAGGAATAGAGCAGAGATTCATACGTCTATGGCAGAGCAGCGAGGCAGTGAAAATACAGGGAGTGGCCGGCACCAGGGTCGAAGGCGCCAGCAGCGCGGGCATATCCATAATAGAGGAGAGCCAGCACAGTCGGCATAGCCAGCGGCGGCGGATTGAGGCTATCTTGAGACAGACTAGGATTGACAGTGGCGGCAGATCCCGGCCACAGGCAGCGTGGTGATGGCATTCCAGACGCTTGAAACATCGCCCAAGCGCCCTGCAATGATATTCGAGGCTGCAGCGGTCGAAAGGAGGCCCCGGCACCGCTTCTGGGAGGGAGGCAATGTGCACGCATGGCAGCGCTAATTCCGCAGGCTGGAGGTCCGCATCGTCCTCAGTTTGACCTTCAGTGCCTGGCGCCGCTCGGCCACAGACTGGTCGTCCATTCCGACTGTCTTGGGTTTGGACGGCTCGCTCGCCGATCGCGGCTGCTGCTCGGGATGCCGCTGACTGAGCAGGAGGTTCCTCCTCTTCTTGAGCTCCTCGTTGCTGGCCAGGAGGTTGTTCTTTGTCGTCTTGGCAACCTCGATGGCCTCGTGCAGGTGGTGAACGTGCTCGCCGAGCGTCGTGACGCCATCCTGCATCTTCTTGAGACGAGGAACAACCCAGTTGTTCTCGGCCACGAGGCGATTGCAGCGTTTGCGCGACGAGCGGTACAGATATTCAAGCCGGGCCTTGCGCGCCTTGAGCGACGCCATGCTAAAGTCGTCCTCGGGTATCCTCGAGATGCTGGAGACGGACGAGAAGATAGAGGCTCGCTTGTCGTCAAAGGGCAGCTCGTCCAGGTTGAGGGCGGTGAAGGCCTGGGACAGCGGACGCATAGGCGGCGAGATGGGCTCGCGGGCATCTTCCTCGTCAGGCGAGTCGATATCGGGAGGCGGCACAAAGGTTTCGGTGTCCTTGAGGCCCTGGAACCCCGGCAGCGTCGAAAGGCCGTCGACAAGCACGCCGAGGTTGCGGATCAGGCTCCGTATCCGGCTCGAGTAGGACCGCTCCTCGATGGGGGTGTTTTTGTTGAGCACCAGCAGTGGATGCACCAGCACCGGGTTGGCATCGGGGGCATACTGCAGGGCACCATAGGAGTGGCTCCGGGAAACAGACGGTGTCTCGGCCGAAGCCGGGATAGCAGCCCCAGCGACCGAGCTGGAGGCAGCCGGGGGATTGCTCGACGTCAGTGCCGGCAGGGCTTTGCGGCCTTCAAGTGCATTGGTGGTGGTGAGCAGAAAGTCCCGTTCCCAGATGAGGGGCTTGCATTCTGCCTGGATCTGGTCCAGTCTCTTCTCGAGAGTAGCAGCCTGCTGCAAAAGACTGGCGATTTCCTGCCGCAGATAAATGGCTCGAAAGGACAGGCGCTGCTTCTCCTGGGTCGCTGTGGTAAGGTTCTGCTGAGAGTCGGCGAGTTTTTTGGAGAGGCGTTGGCTTGCGGCCTTGATTTCTTCGGGGGTAGAGGAGGCCCTAGCGACGGTAAAGCGGGTCGAGAGGTTTCGAGAGGGTTCGAGAGGGTTCGAGAGGGTTCGAGAGGGTTCGAGAGGGTTCGAGAGGGTTCGAGAGGGTTAGTTGCGAGTGCAATGGACGGCGCAAGATGAAGTAGATGCAGCAGGGAGGAGCGATGCACTTGTGCTGTTCAATCGCGGCGATAATGCTCGCAACCGAGAGCTGGCTGGCGGGGTCATGCATGGTAAAGGGCATAAGATCTGGCCGCGTCTCGGAGAAAGCGGACACATCCGAGACACCCAGGGCACGAGCAGGCGGGATACGCACGAATCGAGGCGGCTTTCGGTCGACCAGCTGGCGGCGCTGGAGACGCTGAGAGGCCTGGGCATGTTCCGGAGTGCATCGAGGCCCTCGTTCCAGCTCTGATCCTCTTCCCAATCTGAGACCGAGGCAGCATCGGTCAGGGCGCCGCTTGGATTGATGCCGACTTTGAAGCTGTCAAAGAGCATGATCGAGTCCAGGACGGGCTCGGACTCACGCCGCCGAAGCTCGAAAAAAAGCGCATTTTGCATCAACGCAGGGCGGGTGGCTGTGGGGCTGACGACCGACGGCATTTCAGCGTCGTCGAGAGGAGGCCGATCGGGATACGGACGCCGGACAGGCGGCGGTGAAGGGAGCTCGGCCAGGTCTGAGTAGGACTCTGCGTCGAGATAGCCCGAGGACGTTTGCAGGCTGGAATCGGAGGACATGGTTGTGGAAAGCGGCGACGGGTTGGTGGTTGGAGACCGAAAAAAGACGTGGGCAGCCACGCAGTGTGCGGGGAGATGAGCCCTGGGAGAAAGCGGGAGTCGGCGGCTTGCAGGACAGCAGGGAGCAAGCAAGACGACGGAGGCCGGGCTCAAGCGACAGTCCAGCAGCGAGATTCGGGCAGAGGCAAGCAGCGACCCGGAACGATGGAGGAGCGACGAAGAGCGAAGAGCGCCTTCAGGGCCCGGTGGTGGCTGTATCCGCGCGATGGTCTTGGTCTGTTTTTGGTCTTTGGGCGTGCTGTGCGATGGCTGCGCATTGGCTGGGACTGTGTGGGACTGTGTGGGACTGTGTGGACTGTGCTGTCAGGCGGTGGGGGGCGTGGTGCGTTGTCACTGTGGCTCGGCCTCTTGTTGCCGCCTTGTCCGCTGTGGCCGTGTTGACGCGCCTCGTGTGACATCAGCTGCTGTGGCCGGCCTGTGGCGCTATTCTTGGTCTGCCATGTCGGCGCGGCTGTGCGCGCACAAGCCTGGCGTCCCTCCATTCCTGGACCGCGTGCGCTGGCTGTTGCACAACAGCAACAGCGGCGGTCTCCTCCACGCGTCCACGTGTCACTTGAGTGGCGCGGCAGCCACCTCACCGCCACAAGTTCGCCTCGCCGTGGCTGGCTTGGGTATGGCTGGCTTGAATGTGGCTGGCTTGTCTGTGGTTGGCTTGGTTGTGGCTGCACGACTTCCCACCAGCCAGTACTCGGCATGGTCCTTCATTTGCCCGACTTTTGATATGAACAGCCTCGCATGAGCACCTGCACATTCTTCATACTATGGCTCCACATGCTCCGACTCTACACTCCGACTCCACATGCTCTGGCTCCACATGCTCTGGCTTCATATGCTCTGGCTTCGTATGTTCTGGCTTCATATGTTCTCGCTCCTTTGGTAATGCCTCTGTCGCACCGGCCAGACTGCTGAAGAAACCATCAATCCCAACGACGATTTTTCTTCGCTCCCTGCACTTGCTGCCCGTCCACCCCCGTTTCTGGCCATTCACATCCCGTCGAGACCACTTCCTGACGGCTGCCTGGGCCAGTTCTGTGCGCGTCAAAACCATCTGGGCCCTCCATCCTATCGCGCGCTTGGCACTCCCCTCCCTCCCTCCGTTCCTTCCTCGATCACTCGCAACCTGCTGCGACGGGCATCTCCAGCAGCAACTCGCCGTCCGTCATGTCTTCCTCCGAAACCACTCCCTTGCTCGGCGAATTGTCGCAGTCGCCTCAACAGCCGCCACTGGCCCGCCACAAACCATCTTCCAACTCTATGCTCGTCAATCGCAAGACCCCGTCGGACTCGAAGACGTCTTCTGCCAGGCAGTCCGTCGTTCTCAACGGACAGCCCACTCGGGACTACACCTCCCCGTTCGAGCATCCGCGGCAGGACGTTTGCATTCCGTCGACGGGCCCGTCCTTTGGCATCAACTTTGATGCGATCGAGGATCACTTTATCCAGAGCCGCCCTTCACTTCAGCGATCGCCGCTGTTTGTCCCGATAGAGGACGGATCGGCAAAGGTATCGCAAGCGTTCTCCCGGCACCAGAAACCGTCTCAGCTGCATCAACGTCGATCTCTCAAACGAGCGCTCGCATCGTGGCTGTCTGCTCCTTGCCTGGCCAGCGCCATTCAGCCTGTCCGATCGCTGCCGTTGCTCACGGCACCATTCACTCCGGCATGCTTGCTAACCCATCTGCTCTGTCATCGCCTCAACGACAGCCTTCGAGCGAATCCATTCTCTCGACGCCCGGATCGCGGTTCATGTTCTACTCCGACAGCACAGGCACCATTCATGGTGATGCCTTCGAGACGCTGCCGCTCACCGAATACAGCATGGGCATCAAGGATCTGCTGCTCTCCAAGCCCTTTTGGCTCGACATCTGCAACCCAACCCCCGACGAGATGCAGCTTCTTGGACAGGTATGATCCTTTTCATTTGGATTTGGATCGCAGGCTGATCCGCCAACGGCTACTTCCGCCTCATGGTCCCGTCAATATTGCCAGCCGCACTTTATCGGTGCCAAGCTTCTCGCGCGATCCGGGCAAGAGCCATGCCGCTTGCCCATCCCCTGCCCCATCCCCACCGGCATTGACCTGTCTATCACTCTTGCCTTATGCCGATACTTCCACAGCTCTTTGGTATTCATCCGCTCACTGTCGAGGACATCCTGACGGAAGAAACGCGCGAAAAGTGCGAAACCTACTCGCACTACTACTTTGTATGCATGCGCTCCTTCGACCCGGACTTTGATAGCCCGTACTTTCTCCAGCCCATCAACTTTTACATCATTGTGTACCGGGAATGCGTTCTCTCGGTAAGTGCGCTGCCGAGCAGATCCTGCCGTTCACCGCGAGCGCCAGCCGGTCCGTAGGTCTCCTTTGATTCTGGATCAAGTCTTGATGACCTATCGACCATATCCTGCACCGGTCGCTGTGACCGATTGCTCAGCTTGGAGCCACCTATCCATCGTACATTTTCATTCTGCGCACTGCAGCCGGGAATCGAGGCATTCTGACTGCATCCGACCGTCGAGTGTGGTGCCCGAGTCTAACATTTGTGTCATCTACCCACGTTCCAGTTTCACGAGCATCCCGTCCCACACCCGAATAGCGTCTTGCGCCGCATGAATCAGCTGAAAGGCTACGGACTGACGATTTCACCTGGTGTGTGTTTGCGCCAACACAACCCATGCCACCCACTTGCCGCCGCCCTTCATTCGGGGACATGGTCGTGGCTGGAGTGCTAGGCGCTCGGGTCTATTAGCCCATCGCGCCTTCTGGCACCAACATTTCATCCACTTGGCCTGATATTTGTTGCCCCGACACTCATCTCCCCGATGTTGCACTCCTTGCCACAGAATGGATCAACTACGGTATCATCGACGATATCACGGACTCGTTTATGCCAATTCTCCGCTTCATCGAGCGCGAAGTTGACGCCATCGACGATCTTGTGCTGATCCTGAAGGAGAGTGAGCAAAGCGACATGCTCCGGCGGATTGGAACGGCGCGCAAGCAGGTGATGCAGCTCATGAAGTTGCTTATGAGCAAGGCGGACGTGCTCAAAGCCCTCATCAAGCGGTACCACGAAAAGGTCTCGGCCGACTCGGAAACGGTTCTCTATCTCGGCGATATTCAGGGTGAGTGGCAACACAGCATAACGACTTGTTCTTCGAGATGGCAGCCGAATGATCAGGCCGGCAAGCAAATGACCAGGCCGAGAGTCGACTGCCTGAGTTCATGGATCCCCTCGCTATGCCCGCATTACTCATCTGGTGGTGGTGATATCCAGATCATGTCATCACCATGCACCAAAATCTGAATCACTACGAGAAGACCCTGGCACGCTGCCACTCCAATTACCTGGCCCAGATCAGCATCGAAATCACACAGTCGTCCAACCGCACGTCGGACGTGGCCATGAAGATGACGGCGCTCGCCAGTATCCTGATTCCCCTGAATCTGATCACCGGTAAGCTCTGTGCGCAAGTCCGTGCTTGACTGGAGCCGGTCCGATTTGGCGTTGCTGCGGGCTTGGTCCCAGTACTCTAGCGATGCCGTGCAACTCGATGCGATGCAATGTCGTGATGAAACTGCCGGCTCGATGCGATTTTGGCCATCTCTCGAGTCCGTTGCTGACGTTGCAGGGCCGCTCGCCAAGCAGCTGTGTTTGATTGGCATACATGGGCCACTGCAACGCCCTTGCTGGGTCACATTGCAGTCCAGGAATACTCTCACCTGCTTACTGTCCTCGTTGCTCTCTGTCACTCTGTGCCATCGCTGTCCTGTAGGTCTGTGGGGCATGAACGTCAAGGTGCCTGGACAGGACGAGGACAGTCTCGTGTGGTTTATGGGGATCTTGGCTGTCATGATGGTCATTGCCTCAGGCACCTTCTATGTCATCAAGCGGTTCAGGATGATTTGAGAACCGCGTTGTTGGAGGCGATTGCTCGAGGCTGTGTCGAGAAGATACAAGGGTCCCAAAAGCGAAATGGGACACTGTGTTTGGGCCAGGGCTGTCGTTGCTTTTCTGGCCCTGAATACACACCCGCTCATTGCGACTGGCCAAACAGTATGTCCAAGGAAACCGAGGTCGTCATCGCCTCTGGCAATGCGTCATGGCGTCAAGACAAGAGCTATGCATCCAGTCCTCGGAGGCGGCGGTTTGCTCGGTACTTTGAGCGGCGCAGGTCGATTGTGGGGACAGGAGAGCGACGGGAGGCCATCATTCAGATGTGGTTTGCTGAATTGCATGTGGCTCTGTTGGACGCAGGCCATCACAACTACACCAACATATGGTTATGGGCAAGTCTCATTCCCCCCTGAGTGCGATGTACAAGGAACCCAGTCCCGCCCATCAGACACATGTATCGATCTTGTGCGAGCGATCTTGCCCGCCTGGAAGGGGGCAGTCGAGTATCCAGCACCCAGGTGCTGGGCGATTTGTTGGCGGGATCGTCGTTCGCTGGGCCACATCGATCGTCCACGGAACAGAGCCCGATCGGTCTCGAAGTGCATCCAATCGGGGGGGGGAGGCATCCAATCAATATCGGCGCTTCCCACGATCGCACCCAGCCCCGCTCACCCTTGGTCATCGGCAGCGCCATTGGCCCGCGTTCGCCCACGTGCCCCCGTTGGATTGCTGTCGAGATTTCAACCGCCGCCAAGGCCCAGGCCAGAGCAGGATTTGTGTGCGATTTGCGTGCGATGGATCGCCCGGGAGGCAGCAATCCTCTTCTGCCATCGCTGCTGCGATTTCGACAGCCGACCGTCCCTCCCTCCTCGTCCGGCCAAGCACTATAAGGCCTCTGCAAGCCCGGCCTCGGCATGTAAGCTGTCGCTCCTTGGTCTCGCCAGATCGGTGTGCGCTTTCGGACACCCTGCTGTCGCCTTCGTCGTGCACCATCCCCGACTCTTCTTCTTCGGCCGCCTGCGTTTCTTGCTCCTGGCAGACTCTCCCTCCATTCTGCGTGCTGTCGCCGTTGATCCCAGCGCTCTTCAGCACTGTTTTCGTGTCTGTGGCATCGTCCTGCATCTCCCGGTCCGCTGGCCTCTGCTTGTGCTTGCACGCCTGCTCTCCCACGCACCCAGTCCTCTCTGCCTCCTTCTCCCTCTGTATCCTCCCAAGCACACCTATATGCCGCATTGCCCACTCCAGGATCAGGGGAGCAGTGTTGTGTTGTGTTGCTTGTTTCGTGTTTTGTCCATCCTCTCCAGTCGATCGTGGCTGCTGACTTGCCCAGCGAGCCAGCATTGTTGATCCTGTTCTCCTCTGATCGCGTAGCCCCAGAACCTCGTGCACTGCCATCTGCATCCCAATGGCCCCCCAGACACCATCCCCGCTCTCGTCCTCACCATCAACATCGGCATCGGCATCAGCATCGACATCGGCATCGGGGGAATCGACACCGGCCTCGCCCGGAGCCGGTGCCGCAGCCGGTGCCGGTCTGTTTGCGACGCCCGTTCATGACTTTGTCTCTGCCATCGAGGAGTTTGACTCGTCCAGCCTCTTTGACGGCTACCGCAAGATCTACTCGGCCAAGGGCTTTGACGTGTACAAGCGCCCGTGGCCTCGCAATCCGAATCTATTTGAATACAAAGTCCACGGGGTCCTCAAGAACGTCCCGATGAAGGTCCTGGCTCGAGTGTATGTCTCCCTCCCCCTCTCTGTTCGCCCGGAGCTGTTGCGACTGTGGCCGACTCGATTCAACCCTCTGGGCACCATCTGATACTTGATGCGTGTGCTGGCTTGTGCTGGCTTGTTCCGCCGTGGGCACATCCTAACCCGAGCCATTGCCTCCCTCACCCGACCCTCAGATACATCGAATACGAGTATCGCCGCACCTGGGACGAGAGAACGGCTGCTGCCATACGGATCAAGGATCTCGAGGAAGACCCGCCGTCCAAACAGAGCCCACCGGTCGCCCCGAGCCTGGACCAAAGCGACCCCTGCAGCACGTCGCAGTTCAAACCGGGGATCTTCCGCAACGTCGTGCCGTATCCGTTCCCCCTGTCACATCGCGAATATGTCTATGCCCTCAAGCACAAGCATATCCTGACCCCAAAGTCCGAGTACGCTATCGTCATCGGCCATGCCTACAGGCCCGACGAGGAGCCATCGGCACAGCCGACAAGCCATCCTGTTGCCGGCGAGGCCAACTTGCTGCCGGTGCAGCCAGGCTATGTGCGGGTCGACACCTACCACCAGCTTGTGGCCATGCGCGCAACCCCGGACGGCAAGAGTACCGAGGTCATTGTCAAGTATGTCGACGATCCCAAGGCCAGCGGCGGCCTCTTTGGATTTGTCGCCAACTGGGTGGCCAAGGTGCGCCTGCCCGGCTTCTTCTTTGGCCTGGAAAAGGCCTGCGATCGCTTCGTGTCCACCCACCCGCAGCTGCTGGCGACGGGCCCAGGCAAGCAGTGATCCAAGCCGCGGGCGAAATCCTCCTCATCCAATGCGGTTATACTATGGCCGCCTAATCTGCTTCCAGGTTCTCCGATTACCATGTTGGTTTTCTTTTCTTTTTTTTTGGCGGTATCAGTTTTGTATTCAGTCTTCCTCCTCCCATGAATCTTTGAGACGATAAAGAAATGAGGGTATCAAAGAATCTGGACTGGCGCTCTCAGGGATATGGGTGGGTCTGATGCGGGCAACAGCGACTCGTCTTGGTGGCTTTGACCATGGGACCACGGCCCATGGGGATGCACCCAAACCTTGTCGATGTGGCTGCCACGGGCCCAGCCCAAACAACACAGCACAGCCACGGAGCGATAGCGCCCTGGATCGCCGCTCGCCTGCCCGCTCCTTCTCCCACCTCATCCGCATCCACCTCCACATCTGGATCTGCATCCGCACACATCTCCACATCTGGATCTGCATCTGCACTACGTCCATCTCCGAACAGCCTTGCCTGCAAGCCATGGCCGCCCCCAACCCCACCCTTGACGCGATCGAGGCCGAGATCGGCCAGCTCTTCTGCTTCGGCTTCCACGGCCATGAACCCACGCCCGAGATCCTGGACCTGATTCGCACTCAGAAGCTGGGGACGATCATCTTGTTCTCCAGAAACGTCCGCAGCGTCCAGCAGCTGCAAGATCTCTGCCACCAGCTGCAGCAGACCGCCCGTGACGCCAACCACACCCAGCCGCTGCTCATCTGCCTCGACCAGGAAAACGGCATGGTTCGCCGTCTCGGCAGCACCGCTACCTACTTCCCCGGCAGCATGGCTCTCGGAGCCACTCGGTCGGCCGAGTGGGTCGCAAAGGTCTCGGAGGCGACTGCCAGGGAGCTCAAGGCCATCGGTATCAACTGGAACTTGGCCCCCGCCATCGACGTGAACAACAACCCGGCCAACCCCGTCATCGGCGTCCGCTCCTTTGGCGAAGACCCGCACGAAGTCGCCCGACTTGGTGTGGCCTTTGTCAAGGCGCACCAAGACCAGAAAGGTAGGTTTGGCCGGGCCATGGACGATAGTGTTGTCGAATGGCATTGCACAGCCCGGAGAGCGACCGGGCAATCATCGGACGTGAGCAGGTTCTAACGACCGAATCGCCTGTATCGCAGTTGCTACCAGGTAACATGCGCATGTCCTTTTCTCTCGCCCGTTCGAGAGAACAACCCGACTCAGACCACCGTGTATCATGACAAAGGAGCTTGGTCCAAATGGCGCTGCGACAAAAGTCAATCTGCGCTGCTGTCGTGGCTGTCTGCATCGCCAGAGCCAGAGCCAGAGCCAGAGCCAGAGCCAGAGAGAGCCAGCCTAACGGACATTTCGCTTTCGTTCGCATTGCCAACTGCACTGACCGCATGCAAATTGGGGCGGCGCCTTACTGACTGTGGGCTCAATCTCGATACTGTCCATCACGGCGCCGATCAACTTTCGGTGGTCACTCAAAGTATCAAGCATTTCCCTGGACATGGAGACACCGCCGTCGATTCCCACCACGGCATTCCCATTATCGAGCGCACCGTCGACGACCTCGAGGAAGTGGAGCTCATTCCCTTCAGGCGCGCCATCGCCGAGGCCAACCCGGCCTCCCTCATGGTAGGCCACATCCATTTGCCCAACATCATGACGGAGGAGTACGAGGACAAGCACCTTCCAGCCTCCATTTCGCACGACATCATCACCAAGCTGGCGCGCGAGCGCCTTGGCTATCGCGGCATGATCGTGACCGACTGTCTGGAAATGGAGGCCATCTCCGAGACCATCACGGCCGAGCGTGGCAGTGTGTTGGCGCTCAAGGCTGGCGCGGATATGGTCATGGTCTCGCATGTCCTTTCTCGACAAATTGGCTCCATCAGTGCTGTCAAGAAAGCCCTGAGATCCGGAGAGTTGAATCTCGGTCGGGTCCAGGACGCGATCGCCGCCGTCAAGCAAATGAAGGGCGAGTACACCACCTGGGAGACGGCCTTGTCCCGTAAGTACGAACGAAGCCAGCGTAACGATGGGGTAGAGAGAGTGCTGTATCGCCTGGATCGATCGCGCTGTTACCGTTGCGAGACACAGGAATGTGCTCACGGCCCTCACTGCCGCTGTGCTTTCTCCCGCAAAGGCCCCAGCCTGGACGTCATCTCGTGCGAGGAGCACGTCAGACTCAGCAACGAATGCTATCGAGAAACCACGACGCTCGTCCATGATCGCAAGCGCCAGCTTCCTCTGCAGCTCGCCCAGGATGACCAAATCTTGGTCTTGGCCATCGAGATCCCCACGACGCTTGCAATCGAGGTTTCTGTTGATCCGCTCGCGGTTGCCGCCGAGTGCGTGCGCAAGCGACACCAAAAGGTCCAAGCCATCCGCATTCCGTTCTCGCCAGAGTCGGTTCAGGGCACCGCCATCGACTCTGAGATCCGACAGGCCATCGCCGCCTCCAGGGTCATTGTCAACGTCAGCGGCAACGCCAACATCAACCCAAGTTTCCGGATCTACTACGAGAGATATCTCGCGGACATTGCCGATCCATCCAAGATCCTGGTTGGCATCGGCGCGTGCAATCCCTATGATGCTCCCGTCTACCCGAACGTGGGCTCCTTCATCAACACGTACGAGTTCAACCCTCCTGCGCTGGATTCGGCTGTCGGGTTGGTCTTTGGCGAGTTCAGCAACCACGCCGTCTCGCCCGTCACCATTGCTGGATACACCGAGGCCAAACCAACCGCCGCGGCATTGTAGAATGGATCTGTCGTCACTGCCGGCTTTCTATGCTCACCAAACGAGAGGCTTGTCCGCGCACCGACATGGCTGCATGAATGCGGCTCTACCACCAGGGCCCGCTGCTGGGCTGTGGAGGCATGGTCCATACCACGTAATATACATTTGTTCAGAGCCGAACGGGAGACTATCCCTCGACTGTCATCCGCCGAACCTGCGCGGGGCTGTGCCGTCGATGCGATTCGTTCTTCAGTGGCATCCAAACACCGTCGGCCCATCGATATTCCTTTTTTGTGTTTTCACAGGTTTTTGCATCGATGTGCTCACTTTGTTGTGCGCTCCTGGCGTGCTGGCATCCGACCACCATTCTGGCTGTGCATCGCCCGCTCATCTGCCTGGCTCGCTGTTTTCCTCCGTCGCTTCGGCTTCCAACCGACCCGCTTCGTCGGTGTGGAGCTAATGAACATCCGCGTCCGCATTCCTTCCGCTCTGAATTGGGTTCGGCCACTACCGACTTAGGGTTTGGGGCGGCGACAGGAGAGGCACCAACAAAGTTGTCCTGATGTTTGTCAATCACGGCATTCCGACCGAAGATGCTCTCGACCCTTTCGAACAGCCGCCCGCGGCTTCCATGGGACCGCGGCCGCTCTCATAAAAGAGCGGCGGTATATATTCGCTCGGGCGGGTCTGTCGCAGCACTCGGCCTGAGGGCAAGCCAGCCGCCTCTTCCTTGCTTCAGTTCCCACACCCCCTGCACTCGCCTTCCCACAGCCACGAAGCGCTATCCACACTGCTCCCTCAGGTTCCTCGACAGCCCTCGCTCGAGACATGTCCTCCGGAAATCCCAGCCAGCCCACCAAACCCGGGGATGAGATGTATGTCGCCCCGCCCAGAGGCCTGCCCTCAAAAATCCAACTGGTGGAGCCCATGGCGATAGAGGTCGGGGTGGGGTCGCCGGGCCACATATCCACCACACAGGCCCAGTTCAATCGAATGGAGCCCGAGCCTATCTTTCGCAGACAGACACTGCCTCGAACAAAGTCCGCCAAGTCGGTGCACTCGGCACACTCCCAGGGGGCCCAGAACCGGGGCCTCCTTGCCCAGACCGACCTCAGCAAGCCGGACTGCTGGAGGGTATTTTCATGGATGGTGACGTGCTGTTGTCCTGGGTTTCTCCTCGCCAAGGCCGGACACATGGACAAGCCCAATGTGCAGCAGGCCTGGCGCGAAAAGGTCGCCCTGTGCGTTATCTGTTTCTTGATGTGCTGTGCCCTGGCCTTTCTCATCTTTGGATTCACCTCGGTCGTCTGTCAGCAAGAGCCCTGGGCAAAGAACGTCGGCAACTTTACGCGGCAGCAGATCGTCCAGCAGAACGGCAACCGGGTCTCGGTCCACGGATGGGTCTACGAGATGACCCCGGACCTGATCGCTCGGCACAAGACCCTCTACGGCGTCGATATCTCTAGCTATGGCAGCCAGGACGTCTCGGACATGTTCCCGCCCGACAGCTCGGTCTGCAACGGCGTCTTCAAGACCTCGACCAGCGCCGGCAAGGCTGTGCTGTGCAGCTTCTCGGCCGCATTCTGCCACTCCCAGGACGACTACAACCAGCTCGGCGCGAATCTTGTTGCTCCGCTCCAGTATCCTTGGGGCGACATCGCCAACGTCACCGATACCCAGAAGCTCATGGTTCTCGGCGACATGGTCGTCGATGTGAATGCCTATCTGACTGTTGCAAACAGCAGCCCGTTTCTCGGGGCCTGGGCCGACGCAGCCATCAAGGCACACATTGGCCGCGATGCCTCGATTGCCTTCCAGGGATCCAACATGAATGTCGCCCAGTGCCTCGTCGGAATGTACGGCATCGGCGTGCTTCAGAACGAGTCTCTGCGCTGCTTTATTTCGGATGTGGTGCTCAACGTCTCGCTTGTCGTGATTCTGGCGGTTGTCTTTGTTCGGTTCTTCCTGTCGGTGTACTTCCAGTGGTTCATCTCGCAGCGCCTCGGTGAGTCTGTCGTGTGGGTCCGTCGCTTGGGTCTGTCGCTTGGGTGTGCATCGATATTTTCTTCATGTGAACGCAACTTGCTGGTCACGAAGTCTCTGTGTGCTGTTTGCCAGATCGCATGCAGCCAGATCGCATGCAGTCAGATCGCATTCAGCCACATTCTGATCAACTTGCCGTCTGGTGTCGCTGCGCTTACCAGGTATGATGAAGGAGAACAGAGAATTCCACAAGAAGCTGGCCGAGAAAAAGAGGCTCGCTAACGGTGTGGGCGAGGCCGTGATGCGAGCCAGCAAGCCCTCCAGTCGCCGAGCCAGCCGATCATCCATCTCGAGCCAAGGCCACCCCTCAGAGGCCAGCTCTGGCGAGCAGGATGGCCGCTCGAGCCGCACGGCCTTCGATGGCACCGACCCTGCTGTCAAGCGCGAGTCCGTCACCATGTTTGATCAGTCCCGCCGGCTTTCGATCCGAGCCAGCACTTTCTCCAGCCCTGGCTCGGGGCCCACCCTGAAATCACCGGTGACCAACAACATCGAGTCTGAGTTTGGCGAGGAGCTCTATACGCTGCTGCTGGTTACTTGTTACAGCGAGGACCAGGAGGGACTGTACAACACCATGTCGTCTCTGGCTGCAACGGCCTATTCGGATCAAAAGAAGATGCTCTTTGTCATAGCCGACGGCATCATCACCGGCTCGGGCAACCCCAAGCCCACTCCAGACATTGTCCTCGACATGCTCGAGATTGACCCGGCGTTCGAGTTCCCGCCCATGCCCCTGTCGTATCTCGCGGTTGCGGACGGAAGCAAGCGACATAACATGGCCTGCGTCTATGCCGCTTGGTTCAACTACGAAGGCAGACGCATTCCAACGATCCTGATTGTCAAGACAGGTACTCCGCGGGAGCGCAACGGTCCCAAGCCCGGCAACCGCGGCAAGCGAGACTCGCAGATGATTCTGATGTCGTTCCTCAACAAGATCACCTTTGACGACCCCATGGTCCCGCTCGAGTACGACCTGTTCCAGAAGATGCGCCATCTTATGGGAGTCACCCCCGACAACTTTGAGATTGTGCTCATGGTCGACGCCGACACCAAGGTGGCCCCGGACTCACTCGCAAGAATGGTTGCCTGCATGGTCGACGATCCGCTTGTCATCGGGCTCTGCGGCGAGACCCGCATTGCCAACAAGACCGAGTCGTGGGTCTCACGCATCCAAGTGTTTGAGTACTATCTGTCGCATCACCTCAACAAAAAATTCGAGTCCGTCTTTGGCGGCGTCACCTGTCTGCCGGGCTGCTTCTGCATGTATCGCATCAAGTGCCCCAAAGACGGCAAGTGGGTCCCGATTCTGTGCAATCCCGAGATCATCGACACCTACTCCGAGACGGTGGTGGACACGCTGCACAAGAAAAACCTACTCCTGCTCGGAGAAGACCGGTTCTTGACGACTCTGATGCTGAGGACCTTCCCGCACCGCAAGATGATCTTTGTCCCCAAGGCGTTCTGCAAGACGATGGTGCCAGCCAATTTCCGGGTGCTGCTCTCTCAGCGGCGGCGGTGGATCAACTCTACGATCCACAATCTCTTTGAGCTCGTTCTGGTGCGGGAGCTCTGTGGCATCTTTTGCTTCTCAATGCAGGCCGTGATCCTGCTCGAGCTGATCGGCACGCTTACGCTTCCGGCAGCCATCATCTTCACAACGTAAGAATCGGACGCGGTTGAGGATGCGGCTTGACGATGGCTCGGGATGCGGCTTGGATGTGACTGATGTGCGGTCTGGAAGAGTCGGGTGTCCTCTGGCGCACACGGCCAACTGACCGCAACTTACATCTCCACATCACCATTAGTGTCTTGATCATCATGAGTTTCTACCAGGGCATCACCGGAGGGGTTGCTGCCGTCCCTTGGGTTCCGTTGGCGCTCCTGTTTGCCATCCTGGGTCTGCCGGCCGTCCTGATCCTGCTCACCAGCAGGCGGCTGGTGTACATCTACTGGCTCGTTGTCTACCTGCTCGCCCTGCCGATCTGGAACTTTGTCCTCCCCGTGTATGCCTTCTGGCATTTCGACGACTTTTCTTGGGGCGAGACGCGCAAGGTCCAAGGAGAAGGTGCCGACGGCGGCCATGGCGAATCGGACGGCCACTTCGCCGGAAACGTCAAGATGAGACGGTGGTGCGAGTGGGAATACGAGCGCAGGAGATTGCAGCGCGAGCTGTATTCCGAGCCTCGCGAAGCAATCGGAGCCGCTGACGGCGAAATCGTCGCAGCGCCAGCTCGAACATCCTCAAGCCGCCGCATCTAGAATGCAAGAGGATAGCAGATGCACTACGGACCGAGGCGATGGCACTTGGAGCATCTCTTTGTTGGCGTTTCGGTGCACAGCAACAACCTGTATCTTGTGCGAAATCATTTGGAATATACAACCTCCCCGACTCAACACCATGGCCATGCCGTGGGTGGATCTGATTCTTGCAATGAAGGCTCTCGTGTCCAAGCCAGGCCGCAAGAACAAGTGCACAAGCAGACGGGAGAGCGTACTCCTGGAGATGTGCTGGCCGAGCGAGGGTGTCGAGGACACTGTTCCCAGTCTCAGGAATATTTGAGCGATCATGATTGGGGACGTCGTCTCTCAGCGACATCACCATCCACACAGTCGGTGCGGATCCCATAGCGCCAATATTTGACGATTCAGTCAGGGGGGGGGATCGACTACATCACAATCAGGCGACATCCACGACAAGCTAGCCAGGGATGATGGATCCCAAAGCTCGTCCTGACAAGCTATATCTCCCGCACCTGCTCACCCAAGCGGCAGTTCTGCATCCTTTGCATCTCGATCCAGCATGCCGCTGTCCCTGGGGGAAGTCAACGACCGGATTCGCAAAGTCGAGCTCGAGCTCGATGCGCTCCTGCGGCTGCGAATGGAGCTGATTCGCCAGAGCGATTCCGCCTCGCCGCTTACTCCTCCTCCTGCTCCTGCCGCTGCCGCTGCCGCCGCCTCGGCAGTGCCCGTCGTCGCTATCCAAGAGGAATGCCCCGACTCGCCGCAGCACACGCCGTCGTACTCGTCCTCGCATCCATCGTCGCATTCGCAGACGCCAGGGTCCGGCAGCCTGGAACGGCGCGATGGATATGGCCCTTGTCCAGGAACACCCAAAGGCGAATCCCACGCTCAAGCCACCCATGCCCCCGTTTCGATACTGATCCAGCGACTCGCCAAGCAGCATGCGCTCGAGCACAGCGGACGACTGGGATCTCATTCGCTGACGGCAGATAGCACCGACCTCGATTGCCAGACGGCCCATGTTAGCGAGATTCACCTCTCGAGCAAATCGCTGGCGACGGTGGAGAGTACTCCTCGCGAAATCCAGTTTTCAGAGCCGCCGCTCACCTCCAGCACATCCAACGAGCCTCCTCCGATCGCCGAAATCTCGTGCCTCAATACCAGCTATAGCACCATAGAGCGGCAGTGGACCGCCATCCCGGCCCCATCCCCCGTGCGGTTCGGGGATCAGCTGCCGACGTTTTCGCCCGGGTCGCGGGTGGTGGCCCTTCTGCGGTCTGCCACGATCGTCGCCCATATCTTCAATTTTTTCGTCATTACGCTCTCGCTGGCTTGGCCCTGCAGCTTCATCAGCCTGCCGATCGCCATTCTGAACGCCGCTGCCGACTTGATCAATATGGCCTACTGGCTCGCCTACAGCTTGCAAGAGTACCACGACGAGTACGGCATTCTCAACACACATCCGCCGCAGATCCTACGGTATCGGTTTGCCCATGAGCATATTGGCTATCAGCTGCTTGGATCTATTCCGGTCGACATGGTCGTTTTGTGCGCTGCATTTTCCATGGGGACAACTTGTGATGTCCTGAGGTAGGTCTCCGACTGCCTGGGTCCAGGATCTGGATCCCGCACACCGGCCGGCCATCAAAGTGGGAACCGCAAGACCCACGTCGGCGGAATGCGGAGCAAGCGACCCAAAGTCAGAGAGCAATTGGCCCCTCTGTTCTTGGATCCCCTGTCCCCTTGGCCCCCCTGTTCTTGGCTCCCCTGTTCTTGATCCCCCTGTCCAGGTCTCCTCGCCATAGTCGAGAGCGACTGGGCCACATTCAACCGGCGACACCGTGTCCAGACATCGCAACGGCATCGTTGAACGCCTTCGACGTTTTTTCTGCTGGCGGGGGGTGAGCCTGGATCTCGACGAGATCGTATGCGCTGACCACGAGCACATTCGTCTGCTGCTTCAGCTCCGACTTCAACCTGTACAAGCTCTACGCCATTCTTCGATTGCTCCGGATCTTTCCGATGAAGGTTATGGTGGTGTACTTTGTCGAGTGCGATATACCCGGTATTCGGTCCCATTTCACACGACTGCTGAAGAACATGGTCCTTGTCATCCTGACGGCCCACGTCTCTGGGTGTTTGTTCTGGCTGCTGGTGAGTCGGCAAGCACACGCAACCCTCGACGTCCATCCTTCGGGAAGCACTCGTCTGGTGCTCGAGGCACATGCCAGCAGTTGCAGTGTGCTCAGGGTAGTAAGCTCACGTCATGTGCGCAGAATCTAACTGGCGGTACAGTCCATTTCATGTCACTCCTCGCAGGCTTGGGTCTACACCGAGAGCCTCGTCGTCGACAGCGCGGGGCGGCCCGTGCCCTTGGAGAAGCAGTATCTTCTCAGCTTCTACTGGGCTCAGCGGGCGCTCTTTTTCTATCCCCGAGACGTCACCGAAGATGCTGAGTATGTCTATACGATCATCGAGACTCTGGTGGCAGCCATGCTCTATGGAGGTGTGTTTGGGAACATCTTTTCGATCATCAAGTTCCTGGACACATCGACGATTGAGTACGACGAATGTATGTTTTCCACTTTGCGACGGCATGGAGTGGCGATTGAGAAGTCATCTTGCTGTGGCTTGGTTGCAATTGAGCTGTTGCTGTCACACTCATGCCGAGCTGCTGCCCTTGGACGCCACAGTGGCCGAAAACAAGTACAAGATGAAGCAGCTGAGCGCATACATGGCCGAGAAGCAGTTCCCACCCAAGATGCAAGAGGACCTGCTGCAGCACTTTGACAACGAGTTTTGCAAGAACAAGGGCATCGACGAAAAGACGGTCTTCGATGGCTTGCCCAACACCCTGCAGCAGGACATTGCCAACTTTCTCTATCTCGACCTCATCAAGAACGTGCCGCTCTTCCAGAACACCGACCCGTCCTTCACCACCATGCTTGCCAAGTGCATCCGACCCATCTCGATCATGGGCGGGCAGTTCATCTTTCGCAAGGGCGACGAGGCCACCGAAATGTACTTTATTCGAAGCGGCGACGTCGAGATCTGCTCCGAGGACGGCGGCATTGTATTTTGCAAGCTCGGCAGCGGCCAGTACTTTGGAGAGTCGGCCTTGGTCGAGAGCCGCACCCGCACGGCCTCGGTGCGGGCCGTCGCGGATCCCAATGCATTCCGGGCCGTTGTCGAGCTGTGCTTTCTCACCCGGGATGCGTTCCAGCACGCCCTCAACATGTACCCCGATGACCGGGCCAAGATCGCCGCCTCGGTGGAGCAGAAGCACGAGGCGGACAAGCGACGGAGGCTCGACGAAATCGTTCGGTTCAGCACCGTTGCAGACCCATCAAACAAGTCCGAGGACGTCGCGGGCTCGATGTCATGGTCGGTCAGCAGCGAGATTGACGAGGCATACAGCGGGCGCGAAAGCTCCATGTTCCACCCGACGGATATGAACTTTAGTGGCGTCTTCCGTCCGCGGCGAAACAGCAGCGAGGATCCTTCGGTTCCCGGCCGTCGTTTGAGTACCCGCAGCTCTGCGACCACGGAAAAGTGGCAGATGGCTCGAATACTGTCGCCAACACCGTCGATGACCCGGAAATGAATGTGCGGACCTCCAGGACAACAAACCCGGTCGTGCATCAGACACGACGATGTTCGGTGGTGGGCATCTACGCTCTGCATTCCGTGCTACGGCCAGATCGGTGGAGATGAGCCACGGCCATGGCGGAATCCCCCTCTCCGCCCATTTGTTCATAACAGAATTCTCGATATCTGCTCACTCGGATACGGAGTACAGAATGTTGATAAAGGATTAGGAACGGTTCACTATATTTGGGGCGAGGAGGGGACGGGCCCATTGGTTGCTGACGGCGGTTGGGTAAGAGACAGTCTCAGGTCTAGCCCGAGCTGTTCCGATGCTGGAGGAAGGCCCGCGCATGTCGCAGCTATTCCAGACAGAGCACCAAAATTTGATCTGGGATGTGGGCGGATAAGAGGGAAGGAGAGAGGGAGGGAGGGGCAAGGCAATAATACTGCCTCCGTTCATAGATCGCCAGCCGCATCCAGATCCAGGGGGATGTTATCGACGGCAGTCAGGTCCAGGATCTCGTCGCAGCCAGTCGTGGTATCTGAGGCAGGGTGGCTGTCATGAGCGTCCTTGTCGTCTTGGGGGCTCACCGCATCGGTCTTGATCTGGGTCAAGTCGACGCCCTCGTCGCAGGAAGCATTGTCTTGCAGATAGCTGAAGAACTCTGCCGCGTCGCTCGATCCGTCACTGGAAATGGTCGAGATCGATAGTGGGCGGCCCCGCGACAGAGACGGCTGCTCGACTCTGGCCAGCTGTCCTGTCGCCCTGATCTGAAACCCTTCGTCTCTGCCGGCATGTCGGGCTTGGCGTCGCTCATCGGACAACGTCGGCTGCAACTGGATTGCCGGTACCGACGGCAAAGGCGGCACCAGTGAGTGGCCGGACCAGCTGGACGAGACGCCGGGAGAACGAAGGTCGTAAAAATCGGTGGTGCCATGGTGTCTGGGGCTTCGCCAGGTTGTCGACTGGCCTGCCTTTGAATGGTGCAGTTGATTTCCGTACCGGTGGACGTCGAGTGAGAGGGGAACCGGGGGTGTGCGGAAGGCCGAGCCGCCCCCTGTCAGCGACGATGCACCAGCGGGTACCGGAGGAACACTAGGCACCGCACCGACAGCCCGAGAAGCCATGCGGGGGTCTCTTCCATCGGGGTTATGTTGTAGCTGAGGCTGGGAGTGCGACAGACGGACGACGAGACTGTCGCTGTCGCTCTGCGAAGCCTTCTTGGTCGGGCCAGAGCGCTGGACCGCGGGGCTCTCGGTCTTCAGGTACTGCGACAGCAGCGCCAGATCCGAAAGACGACGTGACTCTGCCGTGGGCGAGGGCAGGCTGCCATTGGCGGTGGTGCTGGTGAGGGTGGACTTGTCGTCCGAGCAAGCAAGCGTTGAAGCCGTGTCGCCGCCGGGGTCCACAGAATGCCTTGGGTTAAACAGACTGGCGAGGCTCTGGTTCGAGGTGTGCTTTTGCTTGTTGGGCGGCTGCGGACCCGGGTTCTTTGAGCCTTTCGGGACAAGCGGCCAGTGCTCGGAGCGGCGATTGCGATTGTTATTGTGATCCAAGGACGGCTGCGAAATCGAAGGGCGAACGGTCTTGGGGCCGGGAGTGCCAAAGCCAAAGGTGCTGGCGCGGCTGCGGGTCTTTGGCGGAATGACCTCGATCATGTCGGGCGCGTCTGGGCCGGAGGGAGGGTCATTCTTGCGAGGCAGCGGTATCAGGGTAAGCGGCGAGAGCGGGTGCAGGACTGGGGTGGTGGGGGGAGGAGCCCTGTCGAGCGACGCAAGCGACCCATCGTAGTAGGATGGGATGCGCTCGCCCGACCGGGGCGGCATTCTCGCACTGTAGAAAGAGGCGCTTTTCTGGACGACGGGGGCGCCGGCGAACGGAGAGAGATTTGAGGAGGCGGATCCGTTGCGAGGCCGGTTGGAAATGGCCGCGGCATGCGAGCCCGGCATCGAGGGCAACGGCGGTACGGCTTCCCCGAGGCCCATCTCACCTGTCGATACGATCGAAAAGGACCGCTTGGACAGCTTCAGGCTCTCGGACGAGGCCTTGGCCGAGAGCGGCGACGTGGCAATGCGAGCATCAAACTGGACGTTGCTGAAGCTGTGCTTGCTCTTGCGCAGGGAGCCGTGCGGTGGAAGGCCATAGGGCAGCTCCGAGCTCGACGGGCCCGAGGACGACGATCCGGGAGTCGTCGGTGGTACTCTTGGGTGATCGTCCGAGGCGTTCCAAGAGGCGTTTGGGTCGTGGTCGTGGAAGGTTCGGACGGGCGAGTGCTCGTAAGGTATCCATGCCTTTGGGTCGCCCCGGCCATACCGAGACGAGGTGCCTGGCCGCTGGAGGCTGGACACATGGCTCTGGAAGGCGGGCAGGCTGCTGGACTTTGAGAGATCCGGCGAGGCAAAGAGCCGCTGAGGTGGGGTCGAGGACATGGAGGGCAGCGAGGGAACAGGTCGGGGGAGGGAGTCTCTTGAAAACTCGGGAGAGAGGGATTCGGGCGCAGCGATGTAGGCGCGAGCAAAACGGCCGGGTGATTTGCTCAAGGTCGAGACCGGAGTGGGGGGCTCGCTGATGATTTCGACGGTGTGGAAGGAGGAGGTATCGTCCCTGAGTGAGGGCATAGGCTGGTTGTCGGGGTTGGGGAAAATGTGCCGCTTCCGGTCGACTGAGGACGGCGACAACGAGCATGAATGTGAGGACGAGTGGAGCGATGGATGCGAGTGGTGGATGCAAGTGGAGGATGATAGATGTAAGTGATAGATGTAAGTGGTGGATGATAGATGCAAGTGATAGATGCGAGGGCGATGATGGATGCGAGGAATAAACGAGGAATGGATCGGACAAGCAAGCAAAGGCAAGCAGACCCGCCGGGCTGGTGGGATACAGGAGCGGGAGACATCCGAGATATGACATGCGAAGAGGTGTGATGGCACACCCGAGGACAAGTGTCCGATGCAAGCGGATGGATGTCCAGCACCAGCACCAGCACCAGCACCAGCACCAGCACCAGCACCAGCACCAGCACCAGCACCAGCACCAGCACCAGCACCAGCACCAGCACCAGCGACCTGCAACGGCTACTGCAGCAACTGCATCGCCATCAGCAATAACAATGGCAATAACAATGGCAATAGCCAACGGCGACATGCTTACCGTGAGCCGAGTTCGGAGCAGAAGTCGAGCGCTGATCGAGCGAGGGCGAATTGAGCGACGGCGACGAAGCCGAATTAGAGGCGGGACGCATAAAGAACGACCAGAAGCCGCTCTGTCGGTGGTTGGTGGTGCCCGCGGAGGTGAGGTGATCTTCGTTGGAGAGCCGGGTGTGGGTCAGGTTGGCGGTGAGGATCGACGGCGGCGTGCTGGGGAGGGGTCTGGCCGAGGTGGGGCTTTCGGCATCGGGGGACGACGGCTCGGTCTGGTTTTTCTTCTTGCGCCGGAGGCCCAGGAAGCCGATGCCGGCGACGACGATCAGCACGGCGACGACGCCGGCGACGGTCAGGGCGATCTGGTGCGTCTGGGCCGGCCGGTGGTCGGCGAGTTGAGCCATGGTCAGAGCCAGAGCCGGGGATGCGCTTGTGGGGAGCGGGTGGACTGGACCAGCAGAGGAGACGAGGACGGAAGGTGGAACTGGAGCTGGGATGGGATTGGGATTGGGATTGGGATGGGATCGAGATGGGATCGGGATGGACGGCGGGGGCCACGCAAGCGAGCGCAAGTGGGCGCAAGGCCGTGCGAGAGTCGACGGGGATGTCCTCCGGCGAGGATGATGGAAGAAAAACCCGCTCAGGGGTAGTAATTTGGCGATGTTTGGGGCGACCAGGATTTCAAACGAGCGACGGACGGCGAGCAGAACCAACGCAGCCACGAGCAGGAACAAGCTGCGATACAAGGCGGGCGAGCGGCCACATGGAAGAGGCGGGCAAGGGAGCGCCGCTAATGCACTGGGCAGACGGCGATCCGTCCGGGGGGCGCACGGGTGGTGGGGCAAAGGCCGAGGTATGCTGATCGCTGAGCAGTAACATCCGCTTTAATATGGGGGCAGCCTTGAGTTTAACAACCAGTTTAACAACACCTGTTTCGGCATGCTGAACAACACGCCGAACAACACGCTGAACAGCACCTATTTCAACAACTGATGCCGTCGCCTCTGGCATTCGCCGACTGCCCATGTATCCCCACCAGCTAATGCAGCATCCCCACGGCCGCGGCCGCACAAGGCCGCTAATGCAGTTCGCAGACCAGCACCATCCGTCCGCGCTCGCTGCACCCGCCCGCCGCGCACAGACCCGCTGTCAAGGACGGGTCGCCGGCCCACCGCCACGCCGTCCCCACCCGCAGGGGCACCCGTGGCCAGAGCCGGCGTCTGTGCGTGAGTGCTGTGCCCCCACAAGGTGCCGGGGCCGCTCCAGGCACCGGTGTGCGATGGCATGAATCGGCATTCATGCGTGCGATCATGAGTCGGCGCGTCGATCCAGCACCACGCCTCAGCGCAGATCACTCGCTCATTCACTCCATTCGTGGCATTCCAATCTCAGTTTCAATTTCAATCCCAATTTCAATTCCAATTTCAGGTTCAATTTCAATTCCAATTTGGTTACATTCGCTCCATTTGCAGATCCACATTCCGCAACAGGCGGTGTTGGCTCATCCAAAGTAGTTCTGCCTGCACACCTGCGCACTTGCACGCACGATCGCTTGCTTCAGATGTCCGCCGTCTCATCCACGCTGGGCATTGATGCTCTTGGTCGTCTCGCCGATCTCGTACCATCGCAGGCTCTGCAGAGACGCATTCGCCTTCTTGGCGGTAGAGTCGTAATTCGGTGACATGTAGCACCCGTCGTTCATCATCCGGAGAGCGATGCGGGCAATGTTGCGCGAGTCGTCCAGTCCGCAGTGCTCGCGGCCCTCGAACCTCATCTCCAGCCCGGCCAGCATCTGGCTCAGATTGCACTTTGTCCGATTGTAGAACAGCTGGTACTTGCGCCGCAGGTTGATGAACTGGTGAAAGTACGGCGGCGGAAAGAGCTTGCTGATCGTGCATTGCTTGCGGACAAAGTCACGAATGTCCCACGGCCCGTCGCAGATAAAGAGTGCGTCCTCGAACGGATAGGGCATAAAGTTGACCATCCACATCTCAAAGTGGTGGAGCACCGTCTCGAATGGCTCTGCGACATCCACAAGATCCTGCCGAGACAGACCAGGGCGGCATTCGTTAGATCCGGCCCCTGGCAAGCATCAGGCTGCCGCGGATGCGTGCCTTCGCTTGGTGCTCGTACCTGGGTGATGCCCGTCAGCGTGGTGCAGAATTCCGACAGAATGGGAGAGATCCTGGGCTTGACATACTCTCTGAAGTGATCGACCTGCATACCAAAGTTCAGACGGCACTGGTCATTCCAGGCACAGCCGCTCGAGGCACAGAACCAGGACGGGCAGACGGAGCACCCACACCCAGGCGGAGCAGTGCGGGTTTGCTCGTGGCTCAGACCCTGAACGACGATCTTACAATCTCGAGCGTCCGAGCATCAATCAGCACGACAGGAAACTCGATGATCTCGTGAGGAAAATCTCGGCCACCGTCTTTCTCGCATGTGGCTTCGACATCAAAGACGCAGTAGTATCGATAGGGCTGGCGCACGAAACCACTGGGCAAAGGGAAACACGATGAGTGCAATCAGTAAACAACGCAGATCAAGACTCATTTCGACCCGGCGAGTCGAGGCCATCATAATCGCCCCCCCCCCCAAGACAGCAGATCGCGGAGGCCTGGCATCTGAACACCTCAACGCCGCCACAGCCAACCTGTTGTCGTCAGAGTCGGGGTTCTGCAGCTCCAACTTCATTCGCTGGCGAAGGGCCTCGGCAACCTCGTCGCTGCGGGCAAAGTCCTGGTCGGTCCAGCCGCGCTCGATGCGAGCAACTCGGTCTTGCTGGTCCTTTATGTTCTGGACATGCCGGGCCTTCTCGGTGAGCTCCTCCTCGGCCTTCCTGGCCTTTTGCAGCTTCCGCAGCTGCTTTTGGAGGTCCTGTCGGTTGCCGCGGGGAAGCGCACCAAGCTCGAGGATCTGTGCTCGGAGCTCATCGACGACTGGCGATCTGGACGACTGCGTGGTGTTGTCTGTTGCATCGGCAGTTCCGTTCTCGTCATGTTGCTCCTCCACAAGCTGCTCGTCTTGGACAGCGAGAGCCGCAAAGCTATTTTGGAGGCCCTTGAGCTGGTCGGCGTCCGAGGATCTGGCGGATTTCTTGGGCATCATCGGCGGTGTCTCGAAGGCGAGCGAGATTCGGGGCAGCACTGCACGCCGGCCGTCGGGCTGCTGAAATCCATGTGGGCCGGCCTGGCACCGCCGCCTGTCCCTCTGGATGACGCGGAAGGCCGAGTCACCGAGCCCAGGTCGCCGCAGCCCCTGGATTGAAGCGGTGGGGGTGTGGTGCTTCTCATTGCCGATTCCTGCGACACGGGATATCGAGAAGCCACAGAGATGTCCACCTCGTCCAAGGCATGCACCGCACTCCCGCATCGCGATATCAGTGCCAGTCGATGCCCGCCCCAAGAGATCGACCAGGTGTATTCGGGACTGTGCTCCCAAAACCCCAACCAAATGCACTCGATCGTCAACAAAGACAGAGGTGCAATTCCATGGCCTGCCCACCAGGGCTGTCGATCGCGGTGAGGGACACTCAGGGACGCACTGTCCCGTTCGTTCTGAACATGCTGGAAAGCCGGCACTGCACGCATCCGCCATGTCTCTCTCTGCCAGACCATTGCCGGTGGCATCGGGGCATATCGAGACTCCCGGCTGTCCGCTCAGCTCTTGATCCATCCATTGTCGACGAAAAAGTCAAAGATCTTGCCGGTCTTGTTGACGTCGATCTTGATGAGCTCCCGGGCTTGCCGCTTCTTCAACTTCCCGTTGCGTGCCTCGTACTCCCGCAGGATCGTCTCCTTGATGACCATGTACGCCTTGGGCAAGATCCGCAGATGCGAGCACAGCGCCTTCTCGGGGGGTGTGAGGAGGTCAACGCCCTCCGACGCCGTGATATCCAGAGGTGTCGCAGGCCGTCGCCCTGCCGCGCTGGTTGGTGACTGGGCTGGGGGGACGAGTGCTGCGTTGGGCGATCCAGGGACCGAATTGCCACGGGCAGGGGTGCCGGTCCGCGACGGCACCAGGAAGCTCTGATGGAATAGCCGGGGAGATGGACGAGATCCAGTCAGCGATCAGCTACATTCTCTACCCACCGCGGGCGTGGTTCGCAGCTGCGGTCGATGTGTGCGGTTACATCAGCGCTATCGTGGTCGCTCCTCGTCGCCGTCACCATCGACGCATGGCATCACACCCCGCGACGCATAGCGTTGCATGGAGCTGCCTGGGCCGGCTCCGTGCCAACAGTCCCTACCTCGCCCTTGATGTCATCGACACGGCTCCGTGCAGAATGCCGCGACGGCGTGCGATCCAGAAACAGATCCCGGGTCATGGTCTTGTAGCTTGTTGTCTTCAGTCGTCGGCCGGGCATCAACATTAGACCACCATCCATCTGTCTGCGGACAGGACTACTCTCGTTGTGCATTTCGTCTGCATCGCTCGAGCAGAGGCCCTACATACCCGCGCCAGCTTGTCCTTCTCGTACTCGGCCGCTTCTTTGTATGCTGTGATGCCGGCCCGGCGGTATTCTTGCAGCTGCGCGATCCGCTGCTTCAGGCGCATTTCATCTGGTGCCCATCATACATGGCGTTAGCTACACCAGCTGTTTGTCGATGAGATCTGAGCCGCCCGCTGCCGCGACAGGCCCTAGTGCCGAAAGAGGCACCCGGCTGTCTCGCTGGTCGATGCATACTATTTAGCCCGTCCATCAGTGTCTCAAAGTCGTCTAGATCGAGCGCAGAATTGGGCAAGGCGGTTAGATGTCTGACGGCTCGTATTGATCATCAAGGGTACACCCGGCCCGTTCATGCAGCCGCAACGTGCAGGGCTCAACCACCTCACGGACTACACCGCACCACACGCAGCAACGAGAGAACAGAGGGTCATGGATGACAATGCGGTGGCGATCCAGGCGATCCAGGCCGCGGCAGCTGATGTAAAATCGGAGCTGATGCAGCATCCGCGCCAACTTTGCCACAGTGTCAAATGTGCTTTGTGCTGCATAGCGGGATGAACCTACCGGCCGTCTGCATCTTTGCGTAGACCCGCATCTTGGCTGCTAGCTCCTTCTCTTCCTTGGGCCGCTTCTTTTCCGCCGCTTGGATCTGTGGACGACACCATCAGCGACCATCCAGGTTCAGCACCATCAATTTCACTGCGCACGCTCACACGTCGGCCCCACCTGTCGAAAGTTGAGCAGCTTGCGCTCAAACATAAACTTTTTGCGCTCCATGCGCCGATCCAGAACCCCGTTGTAGATATTCAGGATGGTGCACTTGAATTCTGGAGGTTACGGAGGCAACATGTACATCAGCGCCTCATGAAGCAAACTCGGGACGTCTGTCGTTCGGCGGTGCAAGGGCATACCCATGTCTTCGGGCAGATCCGCGTCCTCAAACACCATGTCCTTGACGATTTGCTCGGCTTCGTTATCGTACTCGGCGTCAAACTCCATTCGCCCAGGCATATATCCTGCAATTTCGTGGTTTGCCGGCTGACTCGACATGGCCGTTGACTGGGGCAGGGCCGAGTCAGGGTCGAGGCAGGCCGTGTGGCCAAGAAAAGTCACGGTGAGCATCCGGAAAACGAGAGAGAGGGAGCCAGGCATCTCGTCGCATACCATCAACACAGAGCCCTGAGCAGACCACGAGCGAACGTACCCTGTTTGCCTTCTGCGTCAGTGCCGGTTTGCGCTCTGGCCTCGTGTGGGTTGATTCATCCGACAGTCAGTCGATATTGCATGGGGCATGTGGCAGCGATGGCCATGTCCATCATGTCCACCATGGCGCGGGTGATCACCATGTCGCCCCCAACAGCCGTGGCTGTAGCCGAGACATGCGGCAATCGTCTCACCTTTCGGGCCGACTCGCCGCTGCATCCCCGAGAAACTCCGGGATGGTGTCTGGGAAGGTTTCAGCGACAAGAACGAGCGGTAGGAGTTATATGCCAGCAATGCAGTCATCCGATCGGGTTTGCCTCGAGACATCCCCCCGCTAACGAGTCAATGGAAACGAGGCCCCAGCTCCAAGGGATACGGGTGCGCAGAGGTTGCTGTCTTACCGGCGATGGCCATGTTGCCGACTGGATGTAAATCTCGTTGTAGTGTTTGGCGCATTCCAGCTTGTTTTTTGTCCCGATGTGCTCCGAGATCTGGTCCCAGTTGCCGAGGCCAAACAACTCCAGGCCCTCGACCAGCATAAGTTCCTCCTCGGCATCCCATTCGTCGTCAAAGATGGAGAAATCCAGCATTTCCTACGATTGGTTTTGGGTTAGAGACGTGTGCAGATGTCGCTGCTTGAGCCCATGTCGGCTCAAGCAGCAACTTGGCTCGTTCAGCCCCGGCATCCGCCGAGCCGTGGAGAGCCAGCGGCGCATGCGGCACAGATGCAGGGAAGAGTGCAGCGAGGTTGTGCAGGAGCTTCACTCAGGTCGGCGCCAGAGGCTCTCTGGGCACGCACCATGATCCGGTAGCAGTGAATGTTCCGATGACCTCCTAGCTCAACGCCCCTGGCAAAGCAGTCCAGACACAGATCGAAATCCGGACATTCGGCGCAGCGGATTCGGATCATGTTTGTGATGTCGGTCTGGCACGAGTCGCAATGGTATTTCTGTCCAAAATCCTCGGCCGCTGCATGCCGCCCGCACATCCAAGGAGTGCATCCACCGGCGTCGATTGTGGATTGTCGATTGTCGATTGTCGAGCCCGCGTCGAGACAGATCCGCAGCCGCACGAGACGACAAGGGGGAAGGAATGGTTATTGCCAAACTGGAACTGGACGATGCAGCCAACTCCGTCATTGATGTCTGGCCCAGTCTCACCGCCGACTGCCCCTCTCCCCAGTATCCAAGACCGTTTAACCCAAGGGCGAGGACATGGAGGGACTGTCCGGAGGCGGAGGAGAATGCAGCACACAAATCGGGGCCGCATGGAGGAAGGCGGTGGACGGCATGGGCACGCGGGCCCTCATCCGCAGAGATCGTACCATCGGCCTGCTGCTCGTCGGCAGAGGCATACTTGCGCTTCTTCTGGATGACGGTCATGGTGCGATCAGGGCAGGCATCGGAGATCAGCAGCAAACAGCGGCAAAAAGGTCTGGCGGCTGTCGTGCGTGGGCTGGCTCGACTGGCTCGAGCGACACGTGATGTTCCGGAAAAGGCAGGCCGTGCGACATCGCAGTGTTCGAAGGACGAAACAGTGGGAAGCCATCAAGCGATGCTCGCAGCTTCAGAACGAAGACTGCATGGTGGGCACATGGGGGGGGGGAGCTCACGCCAGACAATGGACATGCACAGCGCTCCATCCGACAACCGTGGAGCATATCCGTGGGAATGTGTTTTGGCTCGCCGACTCGACAAGCGAAGGGACATACATCCCTTGCCGAAAGCACCGACCACCCGATCCCGCTCCTCAGTAGATTGACTTGCGCTTGGTCCAGCTGCGCGATGGGGCTACTGTGTGCTTGAGTATCGTTTTGGACGGGCCGGACTGGCGCTTGGCCTCGGCCCTCACCTTGATCAGCGCTTGGCACAATGTGTCGAGTCAGCCACTCGCCCGGTCCTGATCGTGCTGCTACGACTCACTTTCGATGTGCACATGCGCCAGGGAGTCCGCTCGCATGCGATTCGGTCTGTCCGTACCTCTGTCCAACGCCAGCTCAATCATCGTTCTGCATTTGATCATGCACAAGAACGGCCATGTGGCCTGCTCGCCCTTGGTGATCCAGTACTGCATCGACGCATACGTTGGATTGGAAAAGAGTGTATAGAAATCCTGCGTCGAAAGACACCGAGAGCCGTTAGACCTCAGGACCTGCAAAGCCAGGACATGCGTCGATTGTGGTCCGGCGCATACCATCGAGGAGGCTTGTGGGGAAATGGTGACGTGCCCCTCGAACTTTTGATCGAACATGCCGCGGATGACGGGTGGGAGCAGCCCGAGATGCGAAAGCTATCGAGTGGGTCCATCCAAATATCAAGGTAAAGGTGTCAGTGTCTAGTCGATGTTCAGAGTCGCTCGTGTTGGTTCGGGTGCGGCTGCTCATGCAATCGTGATACATTCAAGCCGTCGAGCCGCCGGTGTGGTGCTCTAGTCCTAACCTGCGAAAGGCGGTGTCGAATCTCGGAGGCGATAAAGATGGAGATCTTTCCGGTCAGGGTCGATACCCGCTCCCTGGGCGTCTGCGGCCCACGGGCCAGAAACGGTGCGATGTAGGGGCTCGCTTGCGATAGGATAAAGTGGTTGGCGTTGAAGAGCTCCGAGAGCCGGGTTTCTGGTGTTTCGCTGGAGATGGGGCGAGATGATGAGCCGTGCGGGAACGGGTTGTTGGCCGTTGGTCATTGAGCTCGACGATATGGCAATGCCACACAACATTACAGCCAGCAGACGATTCTCCGGGGCACGCCTAGGAGTCCTTACATCTCGCTCTGGATCGGGTCCCATTTGATCGCTGGTTGGTGCGTGGCAGCACATCATCCATGTGCGCATCAGAATCATATGTGCATCAGCTCGGGGGTAGGGCTCAATGCTTTCAGCACATCGGCGACGCAGGTATCGCGGTCAAGCCTTGTGCACGAACGGACGAGAGGCCAGTGCTGCGGGCAGTAACGCATCAGACCCAAGTCCCACGGAGCGACTTACCTTGCGGGCTCCAGTTGACAATGTTGCCGTGCTTATCTTTGGCCAGAAGGACCACGACATCGTAGAGGCCAACCGACGCCGCTGAAGCGCAAGCAGCACTCCAGATGAGCTGGAAACAATCCAAAGCAATTTAAGCCACATGGCAACGCCGTGCTGGTGACGGGGAGTACCCTTTGGATGCCGTATGCAGCGGACACAGCACCGCCCACACATCCGCATGAAACCCACCACGTTCGGAGCCGTCAGGTAGTTGAGCAACTTTGGAACCTCATTGTTGCGCGATGAGGCCACAGTGATGTTGAGCATCCGCTTGGTTCTCTGAAACGCTTCTTCAAAGGTGATGTCACCCACGTTGCTTCGGACACAGTCTTCTAGTACCTTGACGTCCATGAGATATCCTGGCCGGCAGAAGTGCAGAGTCAGTCTCTGCCGCACCTGCGACTCTCAGCTGCCGATCGTATCTATTCGGTAACTGTTGTGCCCAGATGACATTCACCGTGTTTCAGGAACCGAGTAACCTTCCGACGCACGTTGCCGCGCGACCCTTTGCGCGCAAATGCCTTGAGATTGATTCCATCTGGGCGAAAAATGGACTGAGGAGCAGGACGACGCCTGTTAGAGATTCGAAGAAGTGTGACGCAAACCAGGACGCCCACAGAGTTGCTTGGGCTGGATAGACGAACACAACGGTTCTCATGCCGGGGTGACGGCTTGGGGCTGCTTGCCACGCCGAAACAAGTGACGAATCCGACTCACCGGAAGCTCCTCATCCGTCCGGATGCACACCAAGGCGGCGATGAGAGCGCCAACTGAAGAGCCGCTGACGATTCGCGGCAGTGAGCCGTGCTCAAAGAGCGTCTTGACAACGCCGAGGTGGTAGAGCCCTGTAGCAGCAAGGCGCCGTTAGAGCCACAGACGCATCCATGCAGAGCTCGCATTGCGGCAGAGTAACGAGGGCTACCGAAGGTTGCGCCGCCATGCAGCAACAGGGCAGTTCTTCCAAAGCTCTGGCGAGTGTCGGTGAAGAAGTCGATCTTTTCCTGGATCGATAGCTCGTCAATGTCGCTGTCGGATATGTACTCGATGTGGGCCACGACTTCATTCAGGTAGTCCTCAATGAGTTTCTTTGTCCTGTATCGCCAGTACGGGTGAGTCGAGCGATCGGCATTGCCTTCCGGGTCCAGTGGAAGGTATGTCGCCACAAGCACTGAGATAACGGGTCGCTAGCCTGGCTATTGCTGCTGTTGAGCCCTCAAAGCGGGCCATCAAAGCGAGCAACTCGTGCCCACCCTATGAACGACCGTCGGAAGAGCTTGACGTCCACCAGCCCACCAATGTTCCTCAGCAGTCCTATGTTGGTAACGAAGGATCAGCCGTCTGAGTCTTCATTCAGCCGTCAAGCCAAACCCAGCGATGCTACCCCGAAACCGGCTGCACGCTGTGGCGACTTGAGCGTCGGGATCCACATTGCAGCCACAGATTGCCTGAGCTGTATTCTCACAGAACCTACCCGATCGCAGCAAGTAGATCATATTTCGGATGTCGTTGCGCTGCCGCACTTCGCGGAGATGGCGAAGCCTGTCCTGAATCAGATTATAGTCATAGTCTTTCGATTTGACCTTGGCTTTCCATCCTTCCGCTCCTTAGAGCGATGCAGCAGTCAGTGGTGAGTGTGGCGTCTGCATACTGCTCGGTCCGTATCATCCCGGAAACGCTCGCACGAGCCGGTGGTGTTCGCTCGAGTACCTGTGATGCTGGATGCAACAACGCGAGTAAATGGACGGCTCTCGATCGGCTCTGCTCCGATAGATGGCCTGATAATCGGCGCAGGCAGCCAGTCACAAGCAGGAACCGCTCAAAGTGCAGACTCACATATCCAGCTGCTGGGCGGTGCTGAGCCAGGTTGCATAGTCGGTGGCATTGTGGAGAGCCTCGCGGAGGACCTGGTCTTCCCTTCTGTCCCATAAATCCTAGCCATGTCATCGTTGGGGAGGGGTTTAGAGGGCTCTGGCTGGATCTGCGGCATCCAGAGACGGTTGTTGGGCCCGTGTGCGACATGATGTTGCTTGGCCATGAGCGACCTACCCTGAGCCAGAAAACCCATGTCTTTCGGAATGGACGGTGCAGCAAAGAATCCAAAGCGCCAGCTGTCAGAAGAGAGCACGCCAGACAACCGCCCTCATATGCTGTCTATGGATGTCTGCTGGGGCGACATCGACGCCATGGGAATGCACTGACCAGCCAGAGCATCTGCTGGATCTGAGTCCTGGAAGGAGAACAGTTGGATGCGCAATCCGGCGCCGTTAGCGATGCCCAGGCAGAGCAAACGGGCCAACGGCAAGGGCAAGCACATACCACAGATGCCGAAGAATGTCGAGCAGCGCCATGGTGTTCCTGAAGAGCGTATGCAGCGGTTCGGGCTGCGCTGGTTCAGCTATCGCGAGCGAACCTGCTGTCGGTTCTGCTGTCGGTGCTGCTGCCGGTGCTGCTGTCCGAAAGCCTGCAGCAGTCGATCCGGAGATGCCTCCGATGCAATGGCGATTGCTCTGCTGCCCGCCTTTTGCTCGCCCGGACCAGCAAACAGACCCTGATTTCACGTGGAGGTCGCTGGCTCGGCCAGAGGCACTTGGCCTGGTGCCCTGGAAGAAGCAGTGCGGTCGTGATCACCAACAATGCGCCTGCAACCGGCAACCGAGGATCCCCGTTGTCGACTTGAGGGGGTGGGCGCAAAGCGTACCGACCCGTCTGTCCGTCCGTCCATCCATCCGTTCGCGCAGTGCGATGCGATCAACTCTGCCAATGCGATGAATCTGCCGATGTGATGGTGTCTGTTGGTGAGGCACATTGGCCCCGCCCATCAACACAGCTGGTCTGGCCGAGATTTGTTCGCCCACAGCAATGTCGTCCGTCGCAATGTCCATACAACCTGCAGACCGTCCAGATTCGCGGGAGCCTGCTTGCCGGTGGTGTCGCTCAGCCCATTGACCTATCTGCAGACCGCAACCACCACGACCACCAACAGCCGCACCCGCCGTGAGCACGCTGGCCACAGCGGCCGTCGCACACCCCCTTCGGGCGAGAACGTGCTTTGGGCCTGGGCCGGCACAGGCGATCGAGACGGGCATGGGCAGCACCCTCGCCCCTCTGGCCCCGTCCATCCCGGCCTGCTCGTCTGCTCTGCCAGCCGTGACGTCTTCTCCTCTTTCGTTTGCCCTCCATCCGCGGCCCAGGCGCCTCCTGTTGTTGCTGGGCTGGATCGCTTTGTCCCGAGGCCTCTATCGCCGCACCCACCAGCCCCACTTGCTAGTCTGCTCCTGACATCCCCCACTCTCCCCCTCGGACCATTGCCCTCGCCTGTCCAGCCCAACGAGATGATCGGCTCCACGGTGAGTTTTGAGCTGTGTTTTGGAGGCCCCTCGATTCTCGACCCGGATCGCCGCTGTCGCTGTTGTCTGCGCTTGCTCCCCAGGATATCGAGCAGCCAGGATACATCGCTGACCCACTGCAACCTGCTCTTTCTGCTCTCATCCCTCTTCCCCGACAACAAAGAACGCAAGCAACGGTGCTATAGCACCATCGGGTACGCTCGTCGTCGGCCTTTCCGCGAGCCAGCACTCGACGGCGATTCGTACTGTCGCCTGTCGCTTGTTGCCTGTTGCTTCGAACCCACCTCCAGCCCTGCTTCTGAGCAGCCTAGACTTATCACTCCCACATACGTTCCTCTGGCAGACCATCGCACCTTTGCCCCTCGCACGGGGGTTCGCCACGGCAGCGTCGATACAGAAGACTCTGTCGCCGAGTCTATTGTCTTGTCGCCGCCGGTGGCTACCAACCGATGCAAGGGCTGCCAGTTCCCCCTAGAAGGGTTGGATGTCACCTCCGAGTGGCATTCGGATTGCTACGAGATTTACTCTGTAAGCCGCCGCTTGTCGACGCTGTGCCGCTGGCTGTCGCTGTCACTGCTGCTCCGAGTCCCCGGTGAAAGAGCGAGCAACCAAGCAATATCCTGTCGAGCTGCACCGGGCGACCCTTGGCGTGTGGAGCATAGACCGAGATGATAAGCCCGTCTGCCGAGATACTGATTTGTGTCTCATATTGGGCTTGGTCTGCAGAAATGGAGGGTCCAGGTACTCTTTTTCCAGGACTTGGCCTCCCTCGACAGCCTTGGTAGGTCGCTGCAAAGCAAACCTGGTCGCTCACGGCCATGAACTCGGATGCATGCCCGGCCACTGCCAGCCAGCCATCCAATCAACCAGCCAGTCCGCCGGACCGGCCGATGCCGCCATAGCCACACTCACCCGGACCAAACATCTGTCTGCAGACATCGAGGCTCGATCGGACTACCGCAAAAAGATCCACTACATACTGGTGTGCCTATCCAACTTTGAGGAGTCGTGCGAAAAGTATCTCGTCAAGTCTATCCACTATGCCTATAGGAGGCAGTTCCCGGAGTGCTTTTTGCAGATCAGCAAGTTCATCTCGGCCGTCGAGATCCTGTTTGTCGCCATGGAGGATATCGATGCCCAGCTTCGGGCCATGGGCGTATCTGCGCCATCGACAGACCAGTGTAAGGAGATTGCCGGGAAGCTCAACAACTTTATCCAGATCGTCAATGCCGTCCCCGATGCCGCCAGCGAAGATATGCACGCTCGACTCAAGAACTTTATGCCGGATGTCATCCGCTGGGTGCGGATCCTGCTCAAGCATTCTGCCAGAATGGCGTTTCAGCTGGTAAGAGACTCGAGCACCAGGCCCGTTGGGAGGCCTTCTACCGACTTGGAATGGCGAACACAAGCCTCTGCAGCTCCAGAGCACGCCGCTCCCCCGTCCAACTCACCTGTTCGCACCTTCCACTCCCTCCCTCCCTCCCAGCAACGCCTCTCGAGCGAGTTTTCCACCATCAACTGGTACCTCAATCTCGTACTGGTGCAGCTGACCGAAGCCGACGAGTCCGAGTCCGCAAAGCTCCAGCGTCTCCTGCGGCTCCCCCGGCCCACCGAGCGCTGCCAATACTGCCAATACTCTGTCACTCCGCCGTACATTTGCCAGGACATTTATGTCTGGCACAAGAACTGCTTCTTCTGCGTGCTCTGTGGCACCAGCGTCTCCGAGACTCTGAGCAGCACCTTTACGGATGCAAATCGCCAGGTCTACTGCAGCAACCATCCAGAGATCCGTGTCCTGTCGAACCACTTTGGCGTCGTCCGGCCGCTGGAGCATTGCATCAAGATTCTGCGGAACATTCTCTGCAGCATGTATCTGACTCGTATTGCTTCATGTGAGTTCTTCGTCGTGTCTGTACTTTCACTCGGCTGTATCGCTACCGCCATCCGGTCCAGGCTTGTCCGTCGCTCTGCTTTCTTCCTGAACCGCTCTGGTCGTGCCATCTTCCCTTTCCTTTATCTCAATCTGCTGGCTATTTAGCGTCTGGCGAGCAAACGCAAGCCCAGTCCCTCCGAAACCCCACAGTCCTGGTGAACTCCCGTCCCACTCCGGACCTTCCAAACCCATACCAGCGCGATCGGTCCAACTCCCGCGATCTGCTCGAATCAGCCACGCCCTCGACGATCACACACCGCCCTTCATGGGACGGGCAACGTAATCCATTCACCGAGTCGCTGGCGGGCCCCTCAACCGCTGCCCAGCCGCTGACTCAGTCGCAATCACAGCCGTTCACCAGCAGCCTAACTCTGCGGACACCCACGCCGACGGCACGACCAGGTGCGAGGTCAGCGACGCCGTCGAACCGATCGGTCAAGTCACAGGCACGCGAAGGCCCCGACCACACCGACATTATTTCGCAGTTTGAGGCACCCTTGTTCCGCCGCAACCTCGATCGCTCGGCCTCAACCACCCAGTCCACAACCCTCTGGAGCAGAATGACGATGCGCAACGCCCAGACTTCGTCTTCGCCGCCGCAGTCTTCGGCGATTCCAATGGCCCCAAGCCACTCCGTGCCTCCCCCCGTCCCCGACTCGGCCGCCACGACACAGTCCTCGCCTTCAACGAGCTTCTCGATGACCGCAACTCTGCCCGAGACGGCTGTCGAGCTGGTTTCGCTGGAACAGGAACTGACTCGTGCCCTCGCCGAGCTGGCCAAGCAGCGTTCTCCAAGCGAGAAAGCCCTGTCGATCCGGGGCACCGATTCGGATGACCGTCAATTTTCCAGAGAGACCTCCCATCCTCTCGAGACATCCTCGACCGTATCGCGGTCCAATGGACTCACCACGGTCCACCAGCAGTCCTCGTTTTCCTCCATCAGCTCGGCCGACTTGCCCTCAAGCGACTTTTTCATGGTGATGACCTATCCTCGGTCTCGACTCGATGCAATCGCCGTCGCCAACGGCTTTGGTGGAGCTTCTTACTGATGCGACGTCGCTTGTGATTGGTTGTTCAGGAGGACTTTGATACCAGCTTCCTCAAGACAAGCTCGCGAGGTGGGCTTCGGGGCGATAGCTTGGGTCATCAGGGCCGCCACAAGTCCTGTCCTGATGGGCGAATTGGCTTTGCATGCGCATCTGCTGCTCCGTACTGATGCTTGCCCTTGCACCAGGCTATGCCATTGCCGAGCTGCTCGACTCGGAGGCAATGTACTGCAACTCGCTTGGTGTGATGCTGCACTACTTCAAGGGCGGTCTCCTCAAAAGCCAGATCGTCAAGCCCCGGGACGCCGATCTTATTTTCCGTGGCATCGGTAACGTGGCTACCGCGACTTCTTTCCGTGCTCCCCCCCGTGCGCTGGCCCAGTCTCATTTTGAGATGGGTGCGTCTAGCAAAGCAGTGCCTTCTTGATGGCCTGATCACGTCTGCGGGCAGATCGGAATGCGCAATTAACATTCTCATCAACCGTGGCCACGCCGCCGGAAACACCGCCGACTTCCAGAGGATCTCTACAGTTTCCACAAAGAATTCCTGACCAAGCTTCGAACCCAACTCGGGCCAGAGCTGTGGGAGACGGAGTCGCCCAGGCTCGGACCCGTGTTTCTGAACTATGTGAGTTACTTGGCCAATCGCAAATGGCTGGCTGATGACCCGGCGAAAGCACCGTGGTGCTGATGGTCTCTGGCGCATCACTCGATCCACGCACTCAAACTCTTCTCCCGCACATCCCTATAACCTGCAGAAAGCACGACTCGCGGACCTGCTGATCAACTTTATTGACGTCGGCCATGTGTCGTATCGCACGATCAAATCGTACGAAAAGAACCAAGAGTACATTGACTTTATGAAGGCTGCAGCAAGATCGGAGCAGACGGGCAAGCGCGACTTGAAAGACTTTATGGTGCTGCCGGTGCAACACTCGCTGCGCTACTGCCTCCTGGTCAAAGGTGAGGACTGATGCCGCTGCTGAGTGGCTGGCAGCCGGAGAGCGTCGATTGGAGGGATTTGTCAACGGCACCATGCCATCGGACACTGAGCAAATCCTCACCGGCTTGCCTACATTGCTTCTGAACCCGTTTTGACCTGCCGTTTCTCTGGGCACACTGGGCTGTGCGTCCCCCAGCCGTCTTGAAGCATACGCCCGACCATGACCCGGACAAGCAAGACTTGGTGCTGGCTGTGGCTGCCATGGAGTGGCTGGCCATCACCGCCAATGAGAAGAAACAGGAGAGCGAGGAGCTGGTCGGCATGTTCTTGGCCTATGAGATGACCAAGCACTGTCCTGCGACGCTCATCCAATCGCGGCGACGCATGATGTTCCGATGCGACACCTCGGATGTGCAGCGCAATCGCCAGGTCCACTTGTTCCTCTGCTCGGACTCGCTGTTGATTGCTCAGTCGACTCTCCGGCGGTTTGTGTTCCATGCCGGAGGGCAGCCGCCAGAGGGACAGCCCTACTCGTTTGTCCGCTGGCTCGACTTTAGAGACATTGTGTTTATCAACGACGAGCTCTCTGCTGGTGAGAACGGGTGATCCAACCGGATGAGCTTGCACCCGCCATCCCGAGAAAATCGACCGAGGCATGGGGGATCGCTTGCCAGCACAGCAACGCTCATGCTGCTTTCCCATTATTATCATTATTTCTATCGACAGACACTGTCAAGATCTTGGCCATATTCAACTACGACTCGTCGCAGCGCACCCTGACGTGCCCGCCTGTGCCGGCCGAATCCCGCGATATCAACCTGTATTTCCGCTTCGATGTCGGTGTCGACCCAGTCAAGGCGCGCGAGACGTTCTTGAAGCTCCTCAAGAGCCAGTGGACCAAGATCAAGAGTGCGTAGGCCGTTCAAGATCCGGTTCCCAGCGTCCTGTTTCTTCCGGCGCTGATGTCGATGCCGTCGGGCAAGATGATGGGCAGATGTGCTAATCCGGAGGGACGATAACCCATCATCTTTTCCGATCCCCACTCTCACCCCATTCACTCACTCACTCACTCACTCACTCACTCACTCACTCACCTTGGATAGACTGTGCGGAGTGATATGTATCCCCCCCCCTATCCTTCCATTTGCTTGCTTGCTTGACAGTTGATGATAGGCGAGCTCGGCTTTGCCAGCAGTGATCCCCGGGGTCTTGGCGAACAAACGACGGTGGAGCTGTGGGAGGCCGTTCTGCTTGCCGGCACGAGCTTTCCCCGGTCATTCCGTCTCGCGGCAACCAGGTCCTCCGATCGGCAAACACCGCGACGCTGTTGGCAACCGCAATGGACAATGCACAACCATCTTCTTGCCCAAGGCTTCGGTGTCTCTGTGCAGTTGTTTTTCCTTTGATTTCCCTCCCCCTAACCTATTTCGCTTTGCTCCTCTGTATTTGCCTTTCCTATCTTTCTTCTGATATCATGTTTCTGAGTGCCCTTTTGGGAGGCTCTATCGATCTGTGCTTCTGTCTCCCTCTCCTTCTCTTCCCTCTCCCTTTCCCCCGTCTCCGCTCTTGGGGCTCGGTGTCTTCCTTGTACCAAAAGATCAGTTGTCGTGTTTCTGCTGTCTCTCTCGGCTTCGTGCGGGACATTATCGCTGCTGGGTAGAACGCCATTCCCGTCGTTCGAAAACGCCGATCTCCACATGCACCCGCTACGGAGGATCGATAGCCAAGCACGCTCCCACAGAATGATAGTCATGGGTCAGAGCGAGGCTTTCAGGGCGAGGGGGGGGGTATCCCCGTTCCTTAAAAGGGCTGTATTCTCATGTTCAGATATCCGGGATGGGTTGATAACAAGCAGACAGGCGGGAGCAAGAGATTGAGGCGAGCGGAGAGCGAGGATACGGACGAAATGTGGGAGGAACAAAGAGAAGAGGGAGGCGGACGGGCAAAGAATCCAAAAGGAGAGTACGCAAGAACTCGATCAAACCACGGTTGAATAACTTAGGTGCACCAATTTCCGGCAGGGCCGCAGTCTTACGAGCTCTGGGCGGCAGCCAGACGAGCCTTTCGTGCTGTTGAAGCGCAGAGACACAGGAATGGTCAGTCGGGGACAGGGTAGCGAGACAGACGCTGCACAGCACAACATAGCCGCTGGGTACTCAGCTCAATCCACCGGCGACAGAGAACGAGTCACACATACCAATCTCCTTGTTGCGGGTGATGGAACGATCGCACTGGTTTCGCGAGGCCGGGTCGCGGATCGAAAGACCGAGTTTCAGGAGACTGGCGAGGGACAAGCGGTCACAGCGATCGAGCGCCGTCAGGAGAGTGGGGCAGAGGCGGGGAAGGGTGAGTCTTATGCCAGCACACAGCACGTTACTGGCTACAGCTCAGCCACATATGCATGCCCGACGACGGCCGGATCCAGGAGCAATACTGACGTGGTGTTCTTGGCGAGGGCCTTGGCGAGCTCCTGCTCCGCATCAGTTCCAGCAAGCACACGCTGGTTGGCTAGCCGGAGATCCTTCAGGGTTTGGTTGACCTCGAGCATGCTGGCGAGGGCCTTGATCTAAACAGAACCGGAGTCAGTGTCAGTGTCAGAGACAGGTATTCTCGAGAATGTCGCTGCGGATTGCTCTGATGCGCTCGGGGTAGTTGGAGCCAGCCAAGAGCAGCCAAGAGCAGCCGATAGCCCACAGCGCACCACCGTGAATCGCACCGACTCCAACAATGGCTGGCAACTTACTCCTTGGGGAGCAATCTGGTTGTTCTCGAGGTTGAGGACCTCGACGGACTCGTTGTGCTTCAGGCTGCTGGCCAGGTCGATGGCGGTCTGGGTCTGGATCTTGGTGTTGGCGAGGTTGATAGTCTTGAGGTGGGTGTTGAAGAGCAGCGCGGAGCTCAGGGCGGCGCCGTGCTGGGCGGTAAACATGGTGCAGTCCTTGAGGTCCAGGTCGGTGAGCGAAGGGTCGTTATCGGACAGCAGCTGGAGCGAGTGCAGAATCTCGTCCAGGATGGGGTTGGTGGCACGGACAGGAGAATAGATGGAGCCGACCGGGACGGGAGGGCCGTCCTCGATCTTGCGGGCCATGGGAGCCGGGGAGAGAACCCTGGCATCGGGAACAGAGCCGCGCAGACGCGGGGTGCCGGGAGGAGAGAGGGGCGACGAGACTCGGCTGGTGCTGAGCTCGTCCTTCAGCTTCTCGAGATCGCGCACAGCAATGGTCTCGGTCTCGATGGTCTCGGGAGGGGTGGCGGGGGAAGGATCACGAATCTCGTGAACGGCCTCGGTCTCCACCGCGGCCGGCTCAGGCTGGGCGACTGTTGTGGTGGTGGTGGTGGTAGTGGTGGTAGTTTCGGCGGTGGCGGTGCTATCAACGACGACGACTTCCTCGACAACAGTTTCGACAGCGATGGGGGCTTCAGCAACGGCCACAGTCTCGGCGGTTTCAACGACAGCAGTTTCAACGACAGCGGGCTCGGCAGCAGTGGTCTCAACGACAACGGTTTCGGCAGCAGTGGTTTCAACGACAACGGTTTCGGCAGCAGTGGTTTCAATAGCAGCTTCCTTGACAGCGACTTCCTCAACGGCGGCGGCCTCGGTTGTCTCCACAGTCTCCACAGTCTCCACAGTCTCCACAGTCTCCACAGTCTCCACAGTCTCGACAGCCTGGGTGATCTCGACAACCTCGACAGTCTCGACAGTCTCGGTGGTTGCGGTGCTGTCGATCAGAGCCTCCACAGCTTGCTGGACCTCACGGCGGGCTTCTTCGGCAGCTTCCGAGTGGGCAACGGGCACCACCAGCGATTCGGTCTGGGGCTCGACAGCAGCCGCAGCAGCCACATCGGCCACGTCGACAGCAGCGGGCGGGGCCGCAAACGACTGTTCCGAGAGAGCGGCCAGCACGCCGAGGGCCTCGTTCTTGGCCGCTGCAGCGACCTCGACGGAGGGCGACACGATCTGGTCGGCGGCCTGGGGGACGGCGATCTGGTCAGTAACGGAGGTCATTGCAGATAGAGGACAAGGGTAGCGAGACGGAGCGAGGCGACGGGCTGGACGGCGGGAGGTTGAGCAGCCGAGGGCAGGGAGGCAGCTCAGCGGTGGCGGATGGAGATCAAAGAGTAAGGGAGCGGGGGGGGGCGAGCCCAAGACAGGCGGTGTTTTGGGACGCAGGAGCATGCTTGCCAGGCCGGGCTGCTGGCCGCACGGGCTCGAAAATAAGGACACCAACAAGCGAGCGACGGGCGAGAGGGAGGACAGAAACCGCATGTACAAGACAGAAATAGCGAGTGCGGGCAAGCACAAGTCGCACACAACGCGGCCGCGCGGGCCTGTGCGATGCCCGCGACGGCACAGAGCGACGAGCCACGCCACCGACCGAGGCCGGCCAAGGCGGGAGAGCAACAGCGACGAGCGATGCTGAAGTCGAGTGGTATGAAATGGTGTCGGGTGGAGTGGAGTGGAGTGGAGTGGAGTGATATCAAATGATATCAACTGGAATAAAACGATATCAACTGATATCAACTGGAATCAACCAGCATCAACTGATCGCAGAGGCATTATCGGTGGGCCAGCCGGAAAGGCGTGGGAGACGACGCAGACCAGACCAGACCAGACCAGACCAGACCAGACCAGACCAGACCAGACCAGACCAGACCAGACCAGACCAGACCAGGCCAGACCAGACCAGGCCAGACCAGACCAGACCAGACCAGTTCACCCACGATCGATCGCCTCCGGAGATGATAGAGTGCACGCCCGCTGCCCTTTCCTCTCCGTGATATCCAGCACGATCCGTACCTGGCTGCTGCTGCGCTTGATGCTGGCGAATGACTGGAAGGTATCCAGAGCCTCGGATGCTTCCAGATCCAGGTCCAGCTCGACTTCGATAACGTCGACTCGCTCAAGGGTAATGATCTTCGAGACGAGCGTGCGTGGTTGCATGTGATGAGAGCAGAATATGCGGTGTGACGGATGAGTTTGCTTGTGATCGAATCGGATCGGGTCGGACCGGTGCGATGCATGGCAAAGCACGCTGCAGCATGACCCATGGTGCTCCAGGGCTGCTCTGATGAATGGCAACGGCGATGGTGGCAGCGGTACTTTGTCATGAACCAGCAGCTATGGTCCCGGTGGCGGCGGTAACAATAGCTCGCCGGCAGAAGCCTGTCGGTGGTCAGCACAGAGAGCCGCCGCAGGAACCAACCAAAGGCCAAATCAAAGGCCAAATCAAAGGCCAGGCCTAAGCCGGATGCCTCTGGGGAATTCAAAGAGGTGACCTTGGACCTGCCTCGGCTGGCTGCTGAATGACTCAATTACTGCAACCGAGGCCGTGCAGAGACAAAGTCCAGCGCAATCGCCGCAGAGCAAAGACAGACTCGGGCCATACCGTGGGCTCGGGATCGGCGGCAACGGCTGTGCTCATGTTGTCGGATGATGGGGTTCTTCGCTTGGGGAACGAAAATCGTTGAAAGAACTGGCGGCTTTTGGCTGTCACTTTGAAATCGGGCCGCAAACGGCAGAACGGAAATGAGGATCAGAGGTAGGAATAAATAGGATATGAGGCGGGTGCTCGGGGGCGTGCTCCTGGTGCAAGGGGGGGGGAGGACAGTATGAGGCGATGGCTCGGGCAGGCTCGGGCAGGCTCGGATGCAGATGGACGGCAAGCAACCTGAGGAAGAAGCAGAAGGTGTGCAGTCAGGGCCAGGCCGAGGCTTTTGAGTGCGTGAAGGCTTGGGCCGAGTGGCCAGGAGAGCACGCTTTGTTGGCCCGGGCCGCGACAGCCGCGCCGCGGATCCCTTGGTGCTCTTGATGCTGCTGGATGCCATCGGATACTGCTGGATGCCATCGGATGCTGCTGGATGCCATCGGTCGGCTGCCCGTCGATAGCGGGCTGTTGCGATGGCTGCAGCACAGGATCCCGCGGGTGCGATCGTCTTGGTTGGGCTCCCTCGGACCTTGGTTGGTCCCGTTCGGGTTTGCGGGGTCCGCCCGAGCCCAGAAAGCCAGACGCAGACACTGCCGACACCTGCCGCGAGTCCCCACTCGGCGGATGCATCGGAGCTGCATGCACCCGGCATCATCGCCTTTGCCGACAGGCGATAGTCTGCTGATGCGGGTGCTGGCGGTGGCTGGTGTGGCGTGGCATCATGCCTCGTCGGCCATGGGGCGATTGCCGGCTGTGACGGGGCGGTACACGGATCGCCATGACGGCCTCGACACCAGGAGGACGATGGTACATCCTCGATCACCGCCCATGTGCACTGTGGACGGAACTGCATGGACGGAACTGCATGCGGCTTGCTTTCTCTCGAGTGTAAAGTGTATGTACATGTCACCAGACAGGCCAAAGTCAGTCGGGTCAACGAACGCATCGGGCATGCTTGGCTCTTGTTGGATCAGTTCGCAGTTGGTGCCAGGCAACAGCAAGTTCCCCAGCCGTCGTCAGTGTCAGCCGCAAGTGTCCCACGATCGCTCCGCAAGCTACAGCTCGTCGATCCGACCAACGCCGCTTTCCAAAGTGGCGGCAACACACAACGGCTTGTGTTGGCGACGGTGCGCCTTCTGGCATTCTCGAGAGCAGTATATGGCCACTTTGCACCGAGAGCATCGCTTCAGGTGCTTCCGGGATCCGCAGTAGATGCATTCGGGCCCAGGCTGCCCTGGCGGTCGCACCCGAAGCCCCAGCGAGCTCTGCACAGGGCTGCTCAAGACACTGCCGTTGGATTCTGCGTCGTCCAGGCCGGATCGAGCAAACGAGGAGGGCCTGGCAGACTCGAAGACCTTTGGATCGTACGCCGCTTTCAGAGCGAGCCGGCGCACATCCAGATCAAACGCCATTGGATCGTAGGACTTGGTCTCGAGGTTGGGTGCATTCAGATGCACAGCTACTAGCTCGCTGCGGGCCGTGGCGTCGTCTCCAGCTTCGATCCATTTCTCCAGCAGCTTCTGGTGGGACGGGTTCCCTTTCGAGTCTTCGGGCGGGCATGCCAACGCCCCGTCCAGCAACTTGCACTGGCCGTCACAGGAGTCGAGGATGCGCTCCAGGCGAATATCGTGGCGGAAACGGTCGCCCAGATCGTACAGGAATCCCATCTCGCTGCCTTCGACGTCGAGAATGTGGCCGAGGGTGTACAACCGGTCGTCGATGAAGGCATGTCCGTTCATGTAAATGTGCATCATGTCGGCGCACTGGGACTTTTTGGGCCCAAAGAGCGCTCCATCCCTCCGATCCGTGAACAGGTATCCGTGATAGTTGCGGCACCAGCCCATGATCGGCGCAAGCACCAGGTCTTGCAGGTGGTGCAGCGGAATGTACGCGGGCACCTGGAATCGCCGCCAGAGCTCGGGCGAGATGCCCTCCATCGTGATCTTGAGGATGACGTCGTTGACAGGCGGGCGGACAGCGTCGAGCGACTTGACCTTGCGCGCCATGAGGCGATTGACAAACTGCAGCTCCGGGTAGGCGCCCGTGTAGAAGAATTGGGTGTTCATCCGACGCATCATCAGCGTCATGCCATCGACGTCGTTCTGCACGCCCCAGTACTCCATCTTGCCCGTGGATGGATCGGGTTCGGGAGAAAACTGGTCTGGGTCCTGCAAGAAGAGCGGATCGATCTTGGTCTTGTCCTCGGGGTGGATCCGGAGGTACGACTGCGGTTGCTGCTGCTCGCGCTGCTGCTGCTGCTGCTCCGGATCATGCTTGCGGCCCGCGAGCTGGCCACTGCCGACGTTCTTGAGCCCCGTGAGCTGGGATCGCAGATATTCATCCAGCTTCGAAGGGTGGTGAGGAAAGTCGAGCGAGTGAATCTCCTCGTCGTCGGTAAACTCCAGATCGTCCCACTTGGAGTAGTCCATGATGGAGCAGCAGCGAAGGGGCTTGAGCGGGCAAGGGGCAGCGGGAAAGTGAGAGAGAGGGGCGAGCGGGCGAAGGACGACGTCGAGGCGGAGAGCGATCTTGGCTGGCGCTTTTGGATGAAAAAAATGGAACTGCACAGAGACTGTGGTGAGTGCACGTGACGCGCTGTTCATGGGCTCACTAGCCACAGCGAGGAGGCAGTCCGCGAGACCGGCGTGGTTGGGGTGCTTTGCCAGCGACCATGCTGTGATCAATGCGATCAATGTGGCTAATGTGGCCGATGTGACCGATGTGGCCGATGTGGCTGATGGCCTGGGTGGAGGCTTCCCCTGGAATCCCGCTTGCCGCGGACACTCCATCGCAGATATGCACCTCCTGGTCGGCGGCATCCACTGCACTCCACCGATATCCGCTGCGATGTCGCCTGCGCTGCGGTCGATGAGGAGAGTGCTCGATTGGTTCCTCGAGCCAGTGCTATATGGCCGTTTGTCATAGAGATATACCATGTTTCCTGCACTAGAGATGCTGATAGCGCAGCCAAGACACGGCGGGCGCGGTGACAACGTTATTTTACATCGACACCGTTATATGTAGCATTAAAATGGATTGAAGAGTGGGTAAGGGTGATGGCAAGCGACAGATCGACATTGGATCCGTTGGCAGCAGATCATTCGCCGGGCAGTCCCGCCCACTGTGCGGCTGAGTGTTGGGCGGGGTTGATGGTGCGAGTGTTCAAAGAGGCACTGGGGCTGCCAGGGAATGGCCAAGGGCTGGCCGCGGAGACGGTGCCCGGATTGCGTTTAGACTTGGGGACTGCGATGCGGAGAGCATGTTCAGCGCGGGGCCGTCGTCATGACGGTCGGGCTGCATGGGCAACTGGTTTGGCTCTGCTGGTGCAGTTGATGTGGCCGTGTCGGTCGCACCAACCCATCGCATCACGTGGATCGCACATGCACATCCGTCCCGACACGCACCCGGCGACCACGTGATTCCATGTGCTGGATGACCAGGGTGTCTGTGCCCGCTCGTCTGTCTTTGCCATCAGTCCCGACACCAGCATCGGTTTGCAGGACAGCCCTGATCCAGCAGCAGCAGCACCAGCAGCAGCACTCGCACCCACCCCACACCATGTTCCGCAACCAGTACGACAACGACATCACCACATGGTCCCCGCAGGTTCGCATCCGGCGCACAGGGCTCGGTGCGGCGGCGTCCTCTCTGATCGCAGGCGCTGTATGCCAGCAAAGATACGAGCCGGTCGTCAAAATGCGCTGATCCCAGACTCGCTCTCCAGGGCCGCATCCATCAAGTTGAATATGCACTGGAGGCTGTCAAGCAGGGCTCTGCAGCCGTCGGCCTTCGCTCCAGCACACACGTTGCCCTCGTTGCCTTAAAAGCAAGTATCGGCCCCGTCTTCTTCGGGGCTGCGACAGAGGATCCAGCGCATTCGATCAAAGCCCATCGTCTGTCGTGCGCTTGATGATCCTGTGGAATCGGAGGCCTTCTAACGACCTGTTCCTCCCTCCCCCCCCCACTTCGTACCAACAGCGATCGGCTGGCGAGTTGTCTTCCTACCAGAAGAAGCTGATGCGAATCGACGATCACATTGGAATTGCCCTGGCGGGACTCACATCTGATGCTCGTGTGCTGAGGTGGGTCCTTCAACCCATCCACGAGATGCGCACTGGTCCAGCTCTTCCTCTGCTCGAACGATCGGTTGCCATGTGCCGATTGCTGGACCGCACCATCAAACTCCAGCCAATATGATGTTCATGCTCGTCTCTGCGGCAATGCCTCTCCCCTCGCCAACAGCAACTACATGCGAACCGAGGCTATGAGATCTCGCATGGTCTACGGCCGTCCCTTGCCCGTCTCCCGACTGGTCAACTCGATCGGCGAAAGTATGTGCGACGCGGCTCTTGGCTGCACGATTTGCATCCCGACCAGCTGCTGGAAGCGGTGCCGGTGCTTCTCCAAAGGCACAAATCTGTTTTTGGTTCGATCGTAACTGACTCGGCTGCGTGACGTGTCCAGAGGCTCAGGTCAACACTCATCGATACGGAGGACGGCCCTACGGCGTCGGAATGCTGGTTGCCGGCCACGATGTATGTCCTTCTTGGCAGGCACGGATGCCGAACTGCTCGGCTTCAACGACCGGCGGCTTTGGCTACGTTTGGCTGCGGGCGGTTCATCGCCCCCCCCCCGACTAATTCTGTGGTCTGTGCTTTATGTGTGCTTGCAGGAAACTGGCCCTCATCTGTATGAGTGCGCTCCCTCCGGCAACGTCTTTGACTACATCGCCATGTCGATCGGCGCCCGCTCCCAGTCAGCAAAGACCTATCTGGAGAAGCACTTCCCGAGCTTTGCGGATGGTAGGTTTGCGCGGTGTTGAGATAGCCACTCAAGCGGACTCGATCGATAGGCAGCGGATTGGGCAACAGCCACATAGGACTGAGATACGGCGGCCGCACCCTTTGGTCCCGCGTCGGTCGTCTTTGGTAGCCTAGCATTCTCGTTATGCCTTGGCAGCCGTGTCCATTTTCTCCCTCTGCCATTGGGCTTTCCTCTCCTCCGTGAGCTGCGTGGTTTTGCTTTGATTTTTGCCGAGCCGACTGCATATGAACAGCTGCAGGCGGCTTGCGGTTGCAAGTCGTCCGACAATTCAACTGATCCGCTGTATCGCCACAGCCTCTCTGGATGACCTGATCGTCCATGGCCTCCGTGCCCTTCGGGACTCGCTTCAGCAAGACAAGGAGCTCAATGTCAGCAACTGCTCCATCGGCATCGTCGGAAAGGGCCAGAGCTTCACGCTCATCGAGGGCGAAGAGCTTCAGAGGTGAGGCATTTGTATCCGCGTGGGGCTTTGCGAGTCTGGGCCCGTTTGCAGGTGCTCTTGCTGCTCTCTGCATTTGCTCACCTATGTTTATCAATCCCACCGCATTCCAACGCCCACTCCCTCCCGCACTCCCTCCCACACTCCCTCCCGCACTCCCTCCCGCAATTCCGCACGAACAGATACTTGGACTTGCTCGGCGACAGCAATCCCCGCGGTGGACAACCCGAGGCTCCCGCCGGCGACGCCTCTGCCATGGACACAGAATAAGCTGCAACATCGCTGATGATCCCAGCCATGCCATTCAATATACGCGCATGTCGGCAACATAGCTACTCGATACTGGCCCAGCTGCAGGGCTTGGCTTTGGGCGGCGAGCGATAATGGATGGAGTGGCCAGCAACAAATCTATTGAGCAATGCGCATCTTGATCTCCGCCGTACATTCATATATCTGCACCGGCACCCACCCTTCGATCCCACCCTACGATCCCGCCATCGCAGGCGCCTCCCCTCCCCCCCCCCTCGCTCTTTGATGGCACAGGATGCCATCAGGATTACCGCGCGCCGATGCCTCGCCTCGCCAGAATTCGGACGCTGTTGAGCAGGATATCGATATGATCGCGGTAGAGGTTGGGCTGCTGGGTCTCGTGCTTGTGCAGCTCCTTCTGCAGATCCTGCGGCTTTCGGATTTCCAGTTCAAGCTCGTGGGTGAGATCCGTTTCGTTGCCATTGCTCTGAATTGCGAGCGAAAGTGGAGCGTGAGCAGCGCCAGGCGTAGCTTCGGCACCGTAAACTCGGTCGACTCAATACCGCAACGAGCAAACGAGTAAACGAACAAACGAGCAAACGAGCAAGCGAATGCCGAGATGGGCCGAGGAGCCCCAACAAGAGGTCGGTACATTGTAACAACAGACGCCAAATTCGGGATCGTGTCTGATACTCACAGAAAGCTTCCGGACCTGCGTCAGATCCACCTGGACGATCTGATGGGCATACGACAGTCGATCTTTCTTGCGCCGAAAGACAAGCTCCTGGTTGGGTTGAGGCTTGGGCGCTGTGACGCAGCACGGGTCGAGAGGAGGAAGGGAACATGTGCGAGCATTAACGCAAGTAACCGAGGATCGCTCACAGACAGATATCAACTTGCTGGCGACTGCATTGTAAACAGCCATCGAAAGGCGGCTCGCAGTCGTTCTGCCGGCGATCGTACCTGGCAGTTCCTCGCTGACCGATATGCGATAGTCCAGAGGATATGCAGGGCAATACACGTCGATGGTTGCAACCTTCTTCTTGATGACTATTGCCTTGATCTGCGCTCCCGTCCACAAAACGATACAGTGCTTGGTGAGCAATCTGGGCAGTTGCAGCACAAGCGTATCCGCTTCAGCAGCCCCGACGACATGCGCCCCGTCGATCCCGGTCCAACCATGCTGCACATTTTGAAGGCTTCATCGAGCAGAGGCGATCGCCCGAAGGCGCTGGATGTGATCTGCGACGCACCTCGGAGCTGCCCTCGTTGGTTGTGACCCGGACGTTCTTGGACGGCGCATAATAAAAGCTGTCAACTTCCCGCAGATGCGTGTACCGGATGATCGATCCACGCTCAAGCGTCAGGTTGTTCAAAAGACGATTGTAGTGGGCATGCTGGTCCTATCGGCGTTGGTTTCGGTAATGATTTCGGTTGCCATTGAAGGCAGGGGCAATCATCCACAAAGAGTCAGTCTGATGTCGAGTGATATCGGCCCCACAGTTGTCTGGTGGTCACCGACGTTGCTTCTGGCGGCGACAGGCACAGGATATCAGCAGCTGTAGCAGAGATGCTCCATGTGTCGGCAAGCCGTACCATTGTCATGTCGCTTGCGAAACGGATGTTGCGGTCGTCCGCGAGCACTGCGAGGATCGTTGGCGTGAGCATCTCCGGTACGAACGCACCTTCTCGATCCAGCAATCAAGCATAGAGCGATGCCATGGCGACACGGCCTCACGCCGACAAACCTGTTTCAGTCCGAACGGGCAAGTATATCCGCTGGTTGGTGCGGTTGTCGATCATCAAGCCAATCTTGGCCTCGATCTGGTCTCGACAGCATCCGCCAGTTGATTTCACCGAGGCGGCACAGACAGGACCAACAGGATGATCATAGACAGTAGGCAGGGCGATACGTGGTCAGATCTCTATGAGGTGACATTGGACCTGCGGATCCTTCCTGAAGATGATCCCCTCTACAAATTGTGCAGCCTGGGATCATCGACGACAGTGAGGTCTACCAGGACAACGAGCCGTCGGATCTACCTCGACGTGAGGCCGCTTGATATACTTGGCCAGGAACTCGGAAACATATTTGAGAATGTCGTCGCTTGGCTTGGAATTGAAGATGCTCGGCTCCAGCCGCGACAGCGGAGCATGGTTCCGAGCAGCCCCGGCAGCAGAGCTAGAGAGTTGAGCATTGGTCGGCGCTTGAGGCTCCGGGTCGGCCGCGGCGTTGGGGTCAATCGCCCCGACTGCCGGTTGCGGATCTGCTTCTGTTGGCTGGTCCTGGTCGACCCTCCGGCGCTTTTGGCCCGGGACGTCGGCGTTGCTCATCGTGTCGTTGGCAGCGATGGGTGTATGAAGGTGCAGCCGAGCAGACGGGGTCTCTGGATCCGGAGCGGGCTCGTCGGATGGAGATGGTTGATGAGGGCAGAGCACGCGGCTTTCGTCCGCTCGTTGTGATGGCTGTTCTTGCAGGGCTGCTTTGCCCCTGGGTTGAGCGACAGCAACGACAAGAAGCGCCGGGGAACAGCAGCAGATCGAAGTGACAAATCACAGCCCGACCAGAGAGCGCTTCACCTGGCGCACCGAGTACGGAGGCTGCCGAGGTGGTTCTCTTTGAATGAAAGTTGCCTGGCTCCCAAAGCCTTTGTGAACACGATGGGATAGGATGGGTGCCGATTTGCTTTCTCTCGAGTGCAAAGTATGAATAGGGGACTCGAAATAGCTGTATTGAATGCGTCCCCGGATCCCAATTGCACCAAAATCCAATTCACGATAGGTAAAGAAAATAAGGCGGCACAATCGACGCAGTCTCGCACCAACCCATTGCATCGATGCCGGTTAGGGACAGCGACCAAGACCTTTCGATCGCATGCCCTTCGATTGCGCGTCTCTCACAAGTGCGGCTCAAAGGGCCTTGTGCTCGAGCATCATGTCGCTCTGGGGAGGGAGGCCGATGCAGGCGCGGAAGATGTTCTCAACCGCAGCGCGCTGCTTGGCCAGGGCGTTGACGACCGGGGTGCCAGGAGGGACCATGGGGGCCTTGAGCATGTACGAGAGGACCGAGAGGACCGAGTGGAAGGCGCCGTACTCCTCCATGTCGTCGGTGCGGTACTGGATGCGAGTCATGAGCTCGGTGATGATGGCCAGGTCGAGAATCAAGGGCGAGGCCAGGAGCGAATCCTCGCAGACATTGTAGAGCGAGATGGTGTTGCGGCCGCTGCAGCAGGGGCGGATCGAGGGCCGGATGATAAGCGAGCAAGATTGCACAGAATTAATGCCAGCGGCAGAGCCCACAGATCCTACGTGCTGGTCCGAACTGCGCTTGCCTTGAGCGGTGCAGATCAACATGCGCCCCCTTACCCCATAAAGATCTCGCTGACGTATTCGTCCAAGGCACGCTTGCTATCGCCGACAGAGGGGCAGTACTTGATGACAACAATGTGGTCGGGGTGCTCGCCGGGTGCATAAAGCACCTGGTTGGCAGCAACCATGTCGTCGACGACGTTGCTCTTGGAGATTTCCTTGGAGCGGAACTGGGCCGGGGCCGAAAGGTTCTTGCCGTCGTTGTTGCCAAGGTGGTTGTAGGACGTGATCGAGAGGGGCTTGATGCCGGCATTGACCAGGAAGTCCACCAGGACCGACTTGACCTTGGTCTGGCCCGACTTGAAGTCATCGCCTCCGATGTAGACCTTCTCGCGCTCGGCCAAGTCCACGACACCGGGAACAAAGGTGTTTTGGGGGCTTCCGTTGACGAAGGGAGTTTTCTCGAGGATACAGGCAAGGGCAAAGATGGTCGACGGGGCAATCTCTTCATGGCCCTGCTCAACGGCAGCCAAGAGGTTGTCGGCGCTGTCATTTACACCGGGAATGATCTGCATCGATTGGGTAAAGAGGGCCATCAGCATGCTATGCAGGACCAAGGGGTTCACAGCAAAGAAAGGAGGGAGGTAGTTGCGCCGAGGTGGAGCCAGGGCCGATGCGACATCGGGCACACCATCGCTGCGATTACATCCCGGGACGACCAGTACATACATCCGAAAACCTTTCGGTGTTGGCGGTCCAGACAACGATGACCTTATCGAGCTCATTGGCGGCCTTGAACTCGCTGGGAGAGGGTTGGCAGTGACGTTAGTCAAGATGCATGCGACTTCCATGAGTTGACATCGCATGAACTCGATCTTGTTGGCAGAAGGAACCAAAAGGGGGGGGGAATGCATCCGAGTACAATCGGCGAGACGGTTGCATTGATTCAGCAGATACGGAGTCACAAGGGCAAGCGGCGGCAACAGGTTTGCTGCGGATGGCGGGGTGGTTAAACGTACCGAATGTCCTTTCGGATCTGGTCCAGGTGCTCCTTCTTAGAACCAGGCAAAACATTGTTGGCACGGTCGCCCTGGTTGGCAGCAATGTAGTCCGGGTAGTAGATCGAAGGCAAGGGCTTCAGAGCCTCGAGCTCGGGGATGAGCTGTCTCTGCAAGTCCCAGTCCAGGACCTGAGCGCGCTGCATGGCTTCGGCGAGGTTGGCCGAATTGATATCCCATCCACCGAGCACCAGGTCGTTGGGGGCGACCATGGGCAGGATCTGGTTGAAAGGGATGTAGTAATCGCTTCCCTTCTCGTCAATGCCGAGCTTGAGGGTCGAGGCCTGGGTCAAGGAGCCGTAGTAGTTGGGGCTCTTGACGCCCTCCTTGGTGTGCCACTGGATGCCCTTGCGGTTGGCAACGATGGAGGCCGTGAGGGTGGATCCATTGTTTCCACCCCATCCAACCATCATCAAGCTGATTGCATGCGCGATTACACAACAGAGAGGGCATTCGTGAGACGGTGCGCAGGTACGATCAAATACGACAGTGACAGGCGACCAGCAGTTGTCAATGCCATCGAATGCCTGCGGATCAGGAAAGGGGTTGGAGACTACAGCCTGGAAGCGCGGCTGGTTACCAGTCCGGGAGCTACGTAGGCCATGACATGTTGCACTTACCCGACTTTGGGAACCGTGCGCTCCACCTTGAAGTGGAAGGTCTGCTCGGTCGGGAGAACCGAAACAGAGCCGTTGCCGTTCTTGACAACCTTGGAGTTGCGGTAGACGTACTCCGACAGGATGAATTCATCCGTGTAGCGGACCTGGGGCGATTCCACACGGAAGGCCTGGGCAGGGGTCGATTCGAGGGTCATCTGCGTACGCTGATCGGCGACGGTACTGGATTCTGGGAAGGTAACGGGGGCAATCACGGGGGACATAACTTTCACCGGGGCGGCAGCAGAGGATGCTACTTGGGCTTCGCAGAGTTTCTTCGAAAGCCGCGGTGATGGTTGTGAGAGGAGTATAGCTGATTGGAGAACGTCTTGACGGTTCTCCGGGGAGGCAAGCGGGGAGTGTGTGGGCTGGATCTGCAAGGGCGCTCGGTGGGGCTGTTGCAGGGGCGAGATGGAGCGATGCAGGACGGCAGAGCAACAGCGGGCGCGAAAAGCGAAAAAGAGCCAAGGGCGACTGGCTGGGCACGTGAGGCGGCCAGAGCGTGGCCGGACATGTGGCCGGGCAGCCAAAGTTTTGCCGTCGGTCTCCGATTCTGCCGCACCACCAGCGCACCACCATCACACCACCGGCGCACCACCAGCGCACTGCCGAGGACTGCTCCATCGCCGTGCAAGCCGCTCTGAATATCGCATGGGGAGATGTATTTCCTGCTGGAGGTACAAACGGCGGCATGAGGCAGCAGGGGCCCGAGGCATCTCACTTCCATTGCTCTCTGAGCTTCTTGCGCTCGACCTGGAGTAACACGCCAGCATGCATGGGTATTAGTTGTCAGCAGGCGTGTCGTTGCCCTTCTCTTCCCACGGATGCAACAGCGGCCCAGTGGCGCATTGCTGAGCTCTCCCGTATGCAGCAGCACTCGGTGCGAATGAGGCCATGTCACGTACCATGTACTTGGAGACGTAGATCGACACAAACAGAGCCACGATCGTGAGAATCAGCGCGGCATAGTTGAAGTCCTCGCTCAGCACGTCGAACATCTTGGACGGGTGGCGGCGCGTGAAGAAGACATCGAGTCCAAAGGCCACCACGAGCGAGGTCGACTCGAGGACCGCCGCGGAGGCCTGGATGTGCTCGATGCCGTTGACTTCGATGTGGTACGAGGCCACATCCTTGGGGTTGTAGTCGATTTGGGGCCGGTAGGGCACCAGCATTTCCTCCTTGTCGTTGGCAGTCGGGGCTGCAAGGGGCCGACGGGGATCGAGCAGTCGCTTGTTGACGCCATACAGCTGTCCGTTCTTGAGTCCGACTGCAACCGCAACCGGCGGACAGTGAGAAGCGAGCGACTTGGTCCACGGGTGACTTCCCAGATCACATCTCCCTTGGGGTGTACGCCCACATCCTTGCATCCTCGCCATCAGCATCATCCAAATCAATAGCTGATCGGTCCCGCAGCGACTGCCGCCACTTACACAAGATTTCACGCGTGGTGATGCCCATCTTGGTTGTGGTCACGCCGATCGAGGTGACCGTGTAGGGGAAGCTGTACGCTTGCGTCAAGACATGCGGGACTTGCAGCGAGTACGAGGTGTAGTTGCGACTAGAGACATGTGATTTGCATCCTCGATTAGCACTCAGTTGCGCGCCATGTGACGCAGGATTGCTTGGTCAGAACATGCTTCACGATCGTACCTTTCGTCGCGCTCATCGGGCTTGATGCTCTCAAACAGCTCCATCACAACAACCTCGAGGCCCTTGACATCGGGGACCAGGGTTCCGGTGTGAGCTCGCTGAGCCTTCTTCATCTTTCTTCGGCGGGTCTTCTCATCTGTTTCGTGATCGAAGCTCTCGGGAAGGGGATCGGCGACGTTGCTGGCACCTGGGCCGTGGTTCCAGTAGGTGTAGACAACAAAGTTCTCGCACATCAGCAGTTGGATCGACGGAGTCGTGGCGCTGACAATACCAGCAGCCTGGTGGGCGCGCGAGAAGTACAGACGGCCAGTGACAGAGTCGAGGAGGTAGAAGTACGCGGTGGTGTGATCCGGGAGAGCCGCCTTGACCGAGACGATTCCGACAGTGTTGGGGTTGAGGTACTTGTAGAGCACAGATCGATCGCCCAGGACACGGCCCATTGACGCCACATTTTCTGCAAAGACATGCTATTCAGTCGGTGCAGCTGGAGCTTGCATTTGCGCCGACACGCACTCACTGCCAAAAGGCGGGACGGATGCCATCTTACCACCGTTGCTTCGCTCCGAGATGGCCGCAAGGGTCTCCCCATCGGGAAGCTTGAACTCCCAGGTTTGCACGGTCGAGTAAGCCCCCTGGACCGATCGCAGGAACAATAATCAGTCAAGCCTGATCGGGATCAAGTTGGCCCGCCAACCGGCCAGCTCGCAGTTACATTCGCAGACGCGCGAATAAGCACGTCCTGGACAGCGTATCAGTGAGGGGGGGGGTTCACAGCTTTACCGCTTACCTGAACATGAGCATCCGAAGAAACGGCGTAGCCGCGGACGCTGCTGGAGCCCACACCACCAGAGAGGTAGAAGTGCATGGCCGAGCGGACGGTTTCGAAGGCTCGATGAGCCTCTTCGCTATCGGGGAACAGACGAATCTGAATCCCAGCATGCAAGGAGGTTAGACCATGGCCTCTGATCCGGCTGCGTATTCCCTCTCCATCAGGAAAGGAAGATACTGCGCTGTGTACCGCATCCCTCATGCGCATATGGGTAAAGACGCACCTTCAAATCCGAGCCGACAACCGCAAGCGGATGGATGCGGCTCTCAGGCTCGTCAACAGGCAACTTGATGATAATCTTGGGCAGCTGCGAGAAGGTCGCCTTGGCCGGTACATTCGCGGAGGGAGAGTATGGGCTGCCCTTGAGGGCATCCAGCAGCACGAGCGTGGACTCGTTCGAAAGGTTCGACTCGACGGAAATAGTCAAGACCGGTGGGAACTTGACAAGAGCGTCGCGAACCAGATCGACGTGGCGGATCTGGGAATTGGGCAGATAGTATGTCCAAACGACAACGCCCTTCAGAGTGTCCAGCGCAACAACCTTGCCAGTCTTGGTGGCAAAGACGATGAGTTTGTGGATTCCGTGGGTGTCCCGGAACAGCTGTTTCTGGTCAAGTGGGGCACGCTCTCCAAAGGACGGGAGCTTGCCCTTGGACAGGGCGTCAGCGGACTGGATGAGGAAGGACTAGTGGGGGAAGGCAAAGGTCAGCAGTTGGCAGCTGACTCTGGATGAACAGCGCCTCCGCACACACAGAGTCAAGAGTGCGTCAGGACGGCATACCAGGGCTTTGGATGCGTGGGAGCTGAGCCGGCGGAGGTACCGCTCAACAGGTGAAGAGATGTCGCGATGGGTCTGGCCTTCATCTGTATCAGCGCCGGCATGGACACGATGCCGTCGGCAGAGATATGACGATGGCCGTGTGTTAGATCCCAAAGAAATTATGGATGGCCCAAAGTGTGCAGATCAAGGCGACAAGGCATGTTTCGATCGCGAGTACTGGGCGCACTCACCGAGTTCGTTGTACTCTTCAGAAAGCAGCGACGACTCTGGCAGATCCACAAATTGGGCTTTGGTGGCATGGGCAAGGGACTCCTCGCGCGACCAGGTCGTCTTTTCGCCCTTGATCAGGACCAACGATCCACTGGTGCTGGAAAGCAGGAACTGAGGCTGGGAAGACTCGGTGCGCTTGGCTGAAATGTGGAATGCAGCCTGTCGCCGGATTGGAGCCAACAGATGGAGCGAAATACAGAGATACTCCAAGTCAGCGCTGCCCGTCCAGCTGGCGCGGATTTGTGACTCGCGGATGCGACAACGTAGCAGGATGCTCACCAGAGTAAGCGGGCCATCAAAGTGAGGGGCAAGAGGCGCTGAGCGCGAAGGCAGAGCAGTGCCAAGGTTCACATCAAAGATGTCCAGGGCAAAGGTATCCTGAGTAATCGTGCGTGGCGTTAGTATGGAGCTACGGTATGCATCTCTGTCACAACTGGGAGGCGACTGAGCCTAGTTACCATCAGCTTTGAGGCCAGGGCGATATAGGCGTGCTTGTCGGAAGCGTAGCTGGCAACCAGGTCATCGGACTGCAAGTGGAATAAGGATGAGGCTGTGAGGCTATGGACACATGTCTGGTACCAAAGGTAGATTCAGGCGAGCTTCGCCCTCAAAGGACGATGCCTATATCAGCCGACCTGCTGGGTCCACATGGTATCAGCCTTACCTGCTTGCGAGCAAACGAATGCACATTTTTGAGTGTTTGCAGCTCATCGTCGTAAGCCAGAACCACATGGGCATCAGAGCCAGAGACGACAACGGCATCCACTCCGGCGCTGAGCTGTCGGAGAGAAGCACTGCCTTGGACATACTCCTGATCATAAATCGAAAATAATGTCAATCAGCTCAGGCATGTTCAAGGAAGAGCACGGCAAGGCACTGCAATACGCGTAGTCGAGACAGCCTCGTGCGGTCCGTGGTCGACAAGCTCGTGCGGTTTGTGATCGACGATCAACTAACCTCAGCATCGAGGAGCTTGGCAGCCTTCGTGTCGTGGGCAAGATTGCGGAGAGCCAGATGGCCGTCCTTGGTAAGCCACGACAAGTGGATTCCCTTGGCCGATTTGAGCAAGGCGTATTCGCCCGTGATGGTCTCCTTCTCGGATACAGGGAGGGCCTGCAGCAGCTTGCCAGAGTCGACATCGGTCGTGTAGAGCACCACGTGGCCGTGGACATCTTTGCCGTAGACATAGAGCTTATCGCCAACCTGGGCCAGTCCAGAAAAGTCGCTGTCGGGCAGCAATATCAGCGACTGGATTGACGTGGACCAAGGGCCCGCTGTCGAGACAGCTGACTCTGCAACAGGCAAGGGGTTTTGAAGGCAGCCACGATCTGCAAGATGACAATGCACGACACGAGCCGGGGGATGATGGTGCATTCCTCGGTTACAGGATGCGATCAATTAAAACGATGATGGAGCAGATGGACCCACCCATGTTCGTCGAGCGATGTTCTCCAGATGACGGCACCATCTCGGCCGCTGATGCGGAACAATGTGTCTTGCACAAGTACGGCAACATCGTCACTGGCCTTGTCGGTCAAGTACAATGCTGCAGCCGAGTCAGCACCGCGAACGTCTTCGAGGGAATAGTCCCAGAGGGGCTGGCCCGACTTGGCACTCCACAGACGGGCGTGCAGAGAGTGCTTTCCACTGACAGAAAGGAGGGCTGCGTGCAGGGAGCGTGCACCACAGTGAGTTCCGGTCAATCGAAACGAAAGGTTATAGCGAGCCCATTCATGGCGATCGGCGCCGCACGACGCAGCGGCAGAGAGAGAAATCGATGCTTGGTGCGTGGGTCGGGCACGTCAGCTATGCACATCAATAGATACCGACTTTCTTTATCCGAGATCAAGGACAGAATGTTGTCATCCGGCTCGAGGACCTGTCGCCAAACTGCCAGCAAGCAAAGGTGTGAGCACGACCAGCGTGTCCGGAGCGATCCTGTGAGCGCATCGTACCATCGTTCCAAACCACCGGTGATCCCGAGTGTATCGTGTGGGAGCATTCGATGTCGAAGCTCTGGCATTCGGCAGCAGATGAGTGAACCGCTGGCTCAAGCAGCCCAGATGCTCACCAATTTCACCCGTTTTGGTCTCCAGCTGGGCCAGGACATTGCGGTCCGTTGCCACAAATAGCGAGTTGACTTTGTCGATGGTTTGGAAGAACGAGAATTTGGGAATGCCGACGGCGTGCCGGGTCCAGTCGTAGGTGCCGGCTTCATCGGCATAGATGGCCCCGACGAGTGTGGTTGGCACGAGCGAGCTCAGGAGGGCAATCGCGAGCAAAACAAGCGCAAGTGGACTCGCCATGGCGGGCAGAGTGCCTGGGAACAAGGATGCGATCGGGCCCGGGGTTAGATCGGGATGCATCCAGCCGGCGTCGGCGCTGGCCTGCAGGCATGCGGGTCGGCCGAGCGCCCCTTACCTGGGGGGTTGACGAGGGGAGAGGGCAGCAGCCGCAAGCAGACGAACGAGAGCGCGATCTTGCACCCACACGCAGCCACAGCGCGGCCGGCCAGCCAGCCGGGTCGAGTGCGGGTCGAGTGCGGGTCGAGTGCGGGTCGAGTGCGGGTCGGTGGCGCTGCCCTGGGCTGTGGCTTGCCTTGGCCTGGCCGGGGGGAAATCACCAGCCGCCACCGTCCTCATCCACCTGGATTCTGTCTTGCCAGCCATCGACTTTCGACAGCCGGGCGCCGTCTGCCAAGTGCCCATCTGCCAAGTGTCCGTTTGCCGTCTCTCCGCCAGCTACAGACTGCTACATCGCTGCTCCCACTCTCTCCGCCATGAGCAACTTCCCTACCCACGCCGTCGACTGGGTCATCATCTTCCGCGAATCCCTGCCCGGTGTCGACCCGGCGCAGGCCATCTCGGCCTGGAACAACCTCACTGCGAGGCTCCAAGCTGTTGGCCTGGTCTTCAAGACCCGCAAGCTCGACGCAGACCGTCTCTCGATTTGGATCCATTGCCCAGATGAGCTGCTTACCCGAGAGTGGCACAAGGAGTGGTATGTGGACCCTCTGTCACTCATGCCCAGCAATCTATTCTCCATGATGGGACGATCGCTGTCTCCTGCTGTGGGTCCAGCCAAGCTATTGATTGCATTTCCCCTGCTGAAATCATCCTCTGCATCGATTCGGCTGACACTGGGCCCCGTTTATATTGCAATCTCTTCGTCAGCGTGAACGACTGGCTCAACGATGTCGGCCTTCCGCGCGACTCTCCCATTGCCTCGCTCCCGGACGACCAGAAGCCTTCTTCGCGCTTGGTCTTGTCACCGGCCCAGCGTCTGCGTCTCATCCACGACTTGCTCGTCCAGCCCTACGCCGAGGGAGGTGTGGGCCTGCTCGTTGACATGCCCATTGCCCCAACCCCGGCTGGCGAGCGCACAGAATCCGTCGGCGGCAAGTATGTCGAGGCCTTGCTCACCCCTCACGATAAGGATTTCGACAAGGCAAGTGCAACAGGACGCCGGCGAGCAGAGCCGCCGAATGGGATAATCGGCTGTCGCTGATGCAATCCCTCCATTCCACAGCGCTGGATCAAGACCTGGAGCCAAAAGTGGATTCTGTCCCGCAGCGACTTGGACTCCATCAAGGACGTTTTCGGCGAGAATGTTGCCCTCTACTTCTCCTTCCTGCAGTTCTATTTCTTCTCGCTGGTCCTTCCTGCGGTCGTGGGCGTGATCGCCTGGCTGGCCAATGATGCATATTCGCCCGTGCTGGCTATCGTCATGGTGAGTACGCCGACTGCTTGACAGCACCGAGTGCACCGAGTGCACCGAGTGCACCGACTCCCGCTTCCGCCGACACGACAGACATGCTGCTTTCACATGCTCCCGGATGCATGCGTTTCTAACCGGTACCTCTGTGCTGCTCCGACTGCAACAGAGCATCTGGTCCGTCCTCACCATCGAGCTCTGGAAGCGCCACGCCTCCTATCTATCGGTTCGCTGGGCCACCCGAAATGCATCCAAGACACTGCGGTCGCGCCCTGGATTCAAGGCCGAAGCCGTGTTGGTGGACGAAGCCACAGGCGAGAAGATGCGCTACTACTCGCCCGTCCAGCGATGGCGCACCATCTGCTCCGTCACGTTCCCGGCGCTCGTGGGCTCGATCTTGGCTCTCTCGGTCATCATCTTTGCTGTCGTGAGCTTGGAAATCTTCTTCAACGAATACTACAACGGGCCCTTCAAGATGGTGCTGGTGAGTTTGCGTGAGAGCGGCTCGTGGCCGTGAGTGTGGCAAAATCGGCATTGGGAAGATATCTCGCCGTCGTCACGGATACGTTGGCACACCGAATGACTGAGCTCTTGCTGCGCCGATCCACTGATCCACTTGCGAACCCGCTCACCGACTTGCCCACTGACTTGCCCACCGACTTACCACCGACTCACCGGTTCGTTCGCGCAACAGGGACTCCTCCCCACAGTGGTTTACTGCGCGGCGCTTCCGCTTGTGACCGCTGAATACAACAAGATTGCCCGCAAGCTCACGGAGCTCGAAAACCGACCCACTGTCTCGGATCACCAGAACTCGCTCAGCGAGAAGATCTTCCTCTCTTCGTTCCTGCTGATCTTTTTGTCGCTTTTGATCATCAGCTTCGTCTTCATTCCGGCCGCCGACGTGCTCGGCCACTACCTCATCCAGCTCGGCTTTATCGGCCACTTCAACAGTTCCGCTGCGCTGGCTCCGACGGTGCTGCAGCTCCGTGTCTTCTTCTTCTTTGCCACCGGCCAGGTGGTCAACAACGCTGTTGAAGTTCTGCTGCCCATGGCTATGGACAAAGTGAACAAGGCCATCGAGCGACGAAAGGACAAGCAGGTCGTCGGCAACATGGATGCCGAGGAAATCGAGCTGATCGAGCAGATCCGTACCGAGCTTGCCAAGCCAGAACATGACGTCTTTGCCGAGTACTCGGAGATGTGCCTGCAGGTCAGTTGGCGAGAGGCTGGAAGGCTGCCGAGGCAGAGGGATGTGGTGTGTCCCGAGCGGCGATGTCTGAGTGTCCAGACAAGGACCAAGAATGCATCCCGATGCGATGGAAGACTCGGAGCCCAAGTGTAGATGAGACCCGGACAGCTCACCGATTCTTGCGAACAAATCAATGGCTGCGGCTCCTCCTCTGTGTGTAGTTTGGCATGCTCGCTGTCTTTTCTGTCGTCTGGCCACTCGGTCCGCTGATGTGCCTCATCAACAACTGGGTCGAGCTCCGCTCGGATGCCCTCAAGATCTGCCAAGCGACTCGCCGCCCGATCCCGGTGCGTGCCGAGAATATGGGGCCCTGGCTCAACAACATGGTATGTACTGCTTTCCTTGGCAGATCGCAGCGGGTGCATGCCCCGTCACTGAGACAGAACACTCCAGGGGAGCCCCTGAGACGGCCACTCACACATCCATCGTGCGTTGTCTTGATCCACTCTCCTTGACAGCAACTCCTGGCCTGGCTTGGATCGGTGGTCTCGCCTGCACTGGTGTTTTTGTACCGAAATTGGGACGTCGATGCCGTCGCCTCGACACAGTCCCTCGCCAGACTCCCGCAAGTAATTCTGGCCGTGTTCATCTGGGAGCATGGCTACTTTTTGTGCCAGCACGTTGTCCGTCTGATCCTCGCTTCGTTCGTGCCCGAGGGAGACATCATCATTCGCAGAGCACAGTATGTCGCCAAGCACGCGATCCTCTCCAACGCCGGCATCACCGCGAGCATATCCGACTCGCAGATTCTCTCCGAGGCGGCTGCCATCAAAGAAGCGAGCTTGGACCGCATCTCCGGCACCGTTCACGAGGCGGTATCGGCCAATCAGGAGTAGAGCGCAGATGCCTCATGGCTAGCTGCATGGACCGCGGCCCAGTGAGTTGTGGATGGATCGCAAGTAGATTGCGATGGTCTGTGCGTCAACGAGCCTGTGCGTCAACGAGCCTTCCGTCTCCGCTCTCACATCCACCCCCAATCGAGTGGAACAGCTTGCCTCCCTCCCCACTATCATCATCCATATCACACGCACGCAACCGACTTTCGTTTCTCGCTATGAATGTTCCCATGTTTGGTACGGAAGAAAAAAACAAATACAGATGAATCGCAATGACATGTGGGATGGCGCTTTCAGAGCAGATCGGATCAGGCAGGGTAGGATCGAGCTTTACAAGCCGTCTTCGTTAACCCACAGACATCGCGACGACAGACGCATCCGCTTCTTGGGCACATCGGGTCTGTAGGCAGCCAGATCCAACACCTCGTTCGAGTCAGGATGGCCGTCTGATCCGGCGCTCGGCTCGAGGACAAGGCGTCCAGAGCCTATCCCGCTCTTCATCACGGCCTTGAACTCGAGGTGGTTGCGGGGCTCCATCATGTGGCTCCACCCTTGGTTCCAGCGATCCATCGCCAGCTCCATCCCCGCCTCGAGGCCCCTGACCCACCGGTTGGTGTCAAACAGGGGCTGGATATCTCGGGTCAGGAAGAGCCGCCGACGCAGGCGAACCAGCAAGCCCGAAGGCGCTAGCATCGCAAGTGATGTCAGGCACTGCGACATAGGCCCCTTGCTCGCGGATGGCAGCGGAATCAGGTTCGAGACGTCGGTGCCGTGGTACCGGTCGTCTTGCATGATACCGAGACCCTTGGGCCCAGCGATGCGGCGCCACCTCCACTTGACGCTGCGAGCAAGCATGACGGCCTGATCGGCATACTCTTCGTACGAGTTGACGACCATCAGATGGCCGAGAAGGTGTGGGTCTTTGAGGCGCTTGAGGTCCAGCTTGATGCCCTCATTGCATCGCTTCTTGGTCGAGGTACGGTCTTGACCGAGCAGAGACTCGGCCTCGGCCATCTCTCGGTGAGGGACTCCATGTGGATCGCGCACATTCCAAGTGCCAGTGGCATAGGAGATCGAAGCCGCCACACGGCTGCACATCTTGAAATCGTACTTTGGATATGTAATCAACGGAGTACCGCTCCACAGGATATCGGCGGCGGTGGTGTGGGCGTTGCACTCGGGAGTGTCAAGGAATATGTCTGCGATTCGCCCACGATGGATATGGATATGCTTTGGGGCCACATCTACAGCAGCCAGCGAGAAGCAGTCAGCAGTCAGCAGTCAGCAGCCAGCGAGAAGCAACAGGCAAGTAACAGGCGCTGTCGTGCATAGAATCTCGTCGTACCTGTAAAGACCAGGCGCTGGGCTACTTCCTCGCCAACCAACTCCACAGCCTTGCGCTTCAGGTGGGGTTCACCCGCAGGTGGAAACCGAAGCAGCCAGAGAACAGAGTTGGGCACTCGCTTGAGGATCTGCATCCAGGTCTTGAAGATCTCCGGGTCGATCTGTCCAAATCCAATCACAGTCTCTGATGAGAAACACGGTCACGTCCCGAGGCACTCCGGCAAGCTCCCTCGACCACACCGGCTTCTCCTCACGGGGCTGTCCTTATCCCATCTTATTCCACAGGCCTCCCTCATGGGAACAATATCGGTAAGCTCGACGACGCATGACACTACCTTGTATAGCTGGTTAAAGTTGGCAAAGATCACAGTTTGCTCATCGAGCTGAGGGAAAAGCTCGCGGCGGCCCTTGAGTCGCAGAATCTGCTCAACGGTCCAGCGGTGGCGTTCTTCGGGTGTGAGCGACTCTTGGTCCGGGTCATCGAGCCGCTCTGCATGGATGGCTTCGAGGTGATCCATTTTCTCTCTGTGGACAACATCGGAGAGCTGCTGCTGGATCTGCTGCGACACCGACGCCGGTGGAGCCTCGACGGCCGCGACAATTGTTGAGGCCTCGACGCCGTACTGAAGCTGCTGCGAGGCCGAGATCAAATCTTGGGTTTGCTTTACCCGGCCTTCGATCTCGCTGGTAGCCGACTCGCCATTCTCCCGGACAAGTTGAAGGACCTCGGCGTCGATTTCCTCTCGGAATCCTTGGCGATGGTCGTTCACGAAATAGGTCTGCGGCAAATATACCAGGCCTTCGAGATAGATGCGGTTGGCGTCGTTGTGGGGTTGGACCGGCCCGCGCAGGTGATGCGTGCTGTTGTCGGCAGGGACGATGCATCCAGTGTCGTTGTCAATGTCTCGCTGTGGTAGAGGTTCCGCACAGACAAGCCTGCGAGGACAGGCAATCTCGTCCACGACCATATAGTCGATCCAACGCTCTGCGACGTTTTCAAAGAACTCGGCATGGTCCGATTTCTCGCCGCTAAGGTCGTCGAAAAAGGCAGGATCCGCGTTGCTGAAGATATCGTCGAGCTCGGTATGGGTCAGAGCCTGGCGCTGCCGTTGGTTCTCTGCGTCTCGAGCATCCTCCCGAATCCCATAGTCGTCGCCGGGGTTACTGAAGCCCTCGTGGTCCGAAACATATCCGCTTTCCACTGGCCCGCCGCCCATCGTTCCGGCAAAGCCCATGAACGCCATTTGGATGGGGGCAGGGCGGGCGGCAAAGACCTCGTTCTTGCCGCCTTTGGTGTACCCGTTGAGGTTGCAGAGGATGTGGATGCCATCGCTGACGATGCGCTCGACAATGTCCTTGACGGACCACATCGATACATCAACAAAGTAGTCCGATTCGGCCTCGATCTTGGCACGGTACGGCGAGCCATCGTGGGGCGAGAGGGAGTAGCAGTACACCCGGAAGCGGCCGCGGTTGTGCATCCCAAAGACGCTCTGCATCAAGTGCGCAAGCGGGTGGTTGTTGAAGTCCGAGCTGAGATAGCCAACCCTGATGTGGGGGAAGGGCGGCGGGGGCGTGGAGTAAGGGTACGGGTAGTGTAGCGACTGCAAGATGCCGTGCTCGGAAGTGGCTTGCGAGAGCGACTGAGGCAACAGGTATCGCCCTGGCCGCTGCGGGAAGCCCGGGAACCAGTCGCTCGAGGTGACGTTGTAGAGCGTCCGCTCGGCATTCCGGCGCGCAATCTCGCGAACCATCCACGAAGTCAGAGACGAGTATGTGAACGTGTGGAAGGGCAGCACAGTAGGTACGGTGCGCGGGTACGATGAGCGCGACTCGAGCAGCTGCTTCTGCACAATCGACTTGATCTTCATCAGATTCTCGGAGCGGTCCTGCCACTCGCAGATAAACAGCAGGCTGTTGACGTAGTTGCAGAAGGCCTCGACAAAGTCGGGCTTGACCGCCAGCGCGCGGCGATACAGCCCGATGGCATCGTCGACTTTGCCAAGGTCCTTGAAGACGTTGGCCAAGTTGGCGAGCGCAATGTAAAAGTCGGGCTGCAGAGCGATGGCCTGCTGGTAGCACGCAATGCCATTCTGGATCTGCCCAAAATCCTTGAGAGCCGAGCCGAGGTTGGTGTAGAGGTGCACATGCGAGGGATCGATGTTGAGCCCGACTTCGTACCACTGAATCGACTCCTGCAGCCGCTGTGGGGCCAAGATGATGCCAAGGTTGTTGCAGTTATTGGCCGTTGGAAGGATCGCCAGCGACATGTAGTAGCACAGCGCCGCCGAGGGGATCTGCTGGAAGTCCTGGTGGATCTTGGCAAGGGTCTGGAAGATCAGGGCTGTCGTGGGGTGGTACATGACGGGGTCCAAGCCCGATGCCGATGCCGACGTCGGAGCCTGTGCCTGCGGCTGTTGTGGCAGCGCCAGCACAGGCAGAGACGGCACAAACTGGTTGAGCGGCTGGGTCTGGCCTGGCACCTGGCCCTGCTTGGACTTTTGCAGCAGCGCGAGCGCGTGTCCTGGAGTGATGATGGGGGGAGGCAGGCCGCCATGTGTGCTCTCTAGCGGCTTGAGGATGCGGCCGACGTCGATGCCGACGGCTGACAGGCCCTTGTAGTACTCGACCTTGGCCCAAAAGATCTCCTTCATGGCATAGAGCAGGTTGCCGCGCGCATAGAACAGCTCGCGGCGACGCTCGTCCGTGTATCCGCTGGCCTCGCCCGGGGACCCGAGACCCTGGAGCCGCTGCTGCTTGATGTAGTCACGGCGCTTGGCTTCGATCTCGCTGATGCGGCGGCAGAGCTCTGCGTCGTTGACTTCTGATGAATTGATGATGCACGAGCGCTCCATTCGATACTCGGCGGGGAACTCTTGCTCCATCAGCGACTCGAGCGCGTCATACACCTCGACGGCCTCGCGGCAACGACCGTGTCCGCCAAGCAGCCCCGCAAGGTTGATACTCGCGTCCCAGTACTTTGGTCGGATCGAGATGGCGATTCGATAGAACTGCTCGGCAAGCTCCAAAGCCGTCTGGCCGGTGCCGCTGACCAGAGTCTGCGGGCCCTTGGCGATGGCGATGCCGCGGTACGTCGTTCCCAGGTTCGAATATGCCTCCGAGAATTGCGGGTCGATGTTGAGGATAAGGTTGTTGTAGAAGATGGACAGATCGTGCATGTTGAGCGAGTAGCACGTGCAGCCCAGTAGCAGCAGCGTGGGCAAGTGCTCAGGCTGGACGGTGTACAGCTCCTGGAGAAGCGCCAGAGCGGCTCGATAGTCTTGAGCACCGTACTTTTGATGGGCCATCTGCAGGAAGTAATCTGCAGCGTCGGCGGGAAACGAGACGGATGAGTCCAGGCATACAGCAGCCGTCTTGCGCGGTACACACCGATGCGCATTCAGTGCGGTCGTATTTCGTAGAGCCTACCAAAGTACTCCTTGCGGGTGATGACAGGCACGCCACTGACAACGCCGACCGACGGAGCCGAGATGCCCATGGGCAGCTGGTAGACATAGGGAATATAGTTTGCACCCTGTCCAGGCATCTGAGTAATGCCAGCGGTCAGTTGGTTGAAGGACGGCGTGCCGTTCATCAAATGGGCGTACATCAATGGCTGGGAGACGTAGGGCAGCCCATAGACACTCAGCATCTGCAGACTGGGGTCTGACTGTGCGAGGGGAGGGATGTGGAAGTAGTGCTGCATCTGGGCGTAGGCTTGGGACGACCCAACATGCTGCAGCGGCTGGGGAGGGAGTTGGAGCGGCTGTGGTTGCTGCTGTGGAAGCTGCGGTACCAATTGAGCAGCCGGATACTGTGTTTGCGGCAACGGCGGCAACGGTGGTAGCGGTGGCTGCGGCTGGGACTGGACAAGTGGCTGGGGCTGGTTTGACAACGGGAGCTGCGAGTGGGCCAGGGGCGGGATCTGGAGAGGCGGAACTTGCTGGGGATGTGAGTGCGGGTGCATGGGAGGCGTCTGCTGGATAGAGTGGCTCGCAGGGTCGTGCGGGCGATTGATATGCATAAGAGGCTGCTGGTACGGAGACGGAGATTGCGATGGCACGAGAGCAGGACGCAGGGCCACGGATTCAGACGACATGAATGCGACATCCCGGTGCTGCGGAGCTGAAGGAAGGGCCGAGGGTGAATGGAGCCGGGACATATTGTTCTGGGCTGGGTTGGCTGAGGGCAGTGGAAACGGGGGCTCGATCGAGACGGGGGAGATCTGCATGGCTTGGACCATCTGCTGTGAAGATGGGCCTACGCTCTGGGGAAGAGCCGGCATGATCGAGACGTTTTGATTTGGGATTCGGAGAGACGTTTGTATCGGTGGCTCAGAGATGCCGCGGCCGGTGGGAAAGGCGTGAACAAGCCGGTCGATCGAGGCAGGATCGGTGATGCCGATGCCATTTTGCTGCGGTTGCTGGTACATTCGGACTGGAGAAGCAGCACAGGAGGTTCCGTTGTGAGACAGACATTCACAGGGCGGCCCGACCAGAGCGGCGACACTGATCAATGACGACAGTGCCGAGACGAGATAACGAGTACACGAAACGAGCAGCCAACAAAGCCGGAGACGATGCGGCGAGTACGGAGGGGGCCTCAGACCATGCGGCTTGGCTCAATGAGCGACGACAGATTATCGGGCAAGCAACGTACCCGCTGACTGGGGGGCACCATGAACAGGATCTGGAGACATGCCATTGCCGACAGCGTGAACCTGGTTCGGGAAAGGGCTAGGCGCCCTTGGTTGCGAGATCTGAAGGTTGGCGAATTTGGGTGCGGAGCTGGCCGAGGAGTCCTGGAACAGGTTGGGCTCCGAGTGGCTCTTCTGGAATTGGAGGATGCTGGTTGTGCGTCGCTGGTACTGCCGATGTTGGTGGATGGCTGGAGCGGCGCCGGACGACGGATGGGGAGGCAACATATTAGGCTGGACCGAGGAGGTCGGGATCGGGGCAGCAGGGTCAGCTTCGGGTGGATAACGGCTCGGTTGACCGGTGGGCCAGCCGTTGGTGCTGAAGGGCTGCGGGGCGGCGGTGCTGAACGATGCAGCGCCTATCGAATGGCTTGGATGCATTGGAGTGAAGACGGACTGCTGGGGGGGAGTCACCGCGAAAGCGTTGAAAGACAAGCAGTTATGGAGCGGGATCAAGGGCAGAGCGAGATGCTGATCAGTTCCTGGTCTGGTGGCCGGCTGCAACCGAGCAACCAAACCGAGCAGCAACCGAGTAGCAACCAAGCAAAAGAAGGCGCCGAAGGAAAAGGACTGCAGCCAAGAGGACCGAGCCAAATACCCAGATGGGAACGCAAGCGATGAGTCGAAGCACGACCAAGTGACTCTCGGATGCAGCAGCGACTCTGTCCAGTGCACGCACGAGTGAGCCAAGGAAGGGATGGAGTGCAGATGAGGCTCGACCGCGATCGCTGCTCGGGGCCGGTCGATTCGAAGGCGCAAGAAAACCAAGCCCAGGGGCGGCTCTGGTGCTTGGGTGAAATGTTGTCGACCAAGGGCGAGAGAGGCGGCGTGAGCGGGCTGGAGGAGGAGGGAGGGCCGTCACCTACGCTGCTTCAGCCGAGCGATTTGGGGGACGAGAGGCGTATCGTGCGAGGAGATCCGGCCAGAAGGATTCGGGCCAGGCCGGCCAGCCGCCGGGAATCGGTCGTGATCGGGTCTGCGATGGAGCCGCCGCGGAATGCGTTCCGGAGCGACGGAGGGAGATCGATAGCACGAGCGACGGCAGCGGAAGAGAGAGCGCAGACCAAACGACGGCACGGGCAAAGAAGCGTGCGACTCGCCAAGACGGAAACAGGATGGCTGGCTCGGCCGAGCAAAGAAAGGGGAAGGTGCGACAGAGCAGCCAATCTGGTCGGGGGCCGCTGCAGAAACAAGCCGCGAGCGACAGAGGGGATGCAGCGGGATGGAGACGGCGACGGATGGGGACGCAGATCGCCATCGCGAGAAAGGATTGCAGCCGGCAGCGATCGGCCGAGATCCGCGGACGATTAACAACAGTAACAGCGACGACAGTAACAGCGACAACAATAACAATAGCAACGACAACGATGCGGAACACTGGGTGGCGCTGTTGCGCTCGTCTGGGAAAGCAAGGGCCCAAACCCAGACGGTGGCGAGCGCGCGGTGGGGCCGAGCCGGGTCTGGAAGAGGAGAAAGCGAGCACGAGGGCGGTGCGGATGGGCAAGACAGGGATGGTGCCGATGTGGATGTGGATGTGGATGTGGATGTGGATGTGGATGTGGATGTGGATGTGGATGTGGATGTGGATGTGGATGTGGATGTGGATGTGGATGATCAAGTGTCGAGGTGCGGCACAGAGAATATACACAGATGTGGTGCACACCTGTGGATGCCATAGATGCATCCCGCCCCCCTCCAAGCCGGATGCGCAGAGAACGTCTCCCATATCGCGAGTCGTAGTCGACAGATGCAGTACATACAAAAGCAATGTTCATGAGGCAATTCGTCTGTTGCGCCAGAGAACAGGCCGAGCCGCCGGAGAGCCAGCATGCGCGGCTGCTGCTGCTGGCGGGCGGCGGTGGTGGTGGGCGCATCTATCATTCAAGAAGAGTGCGGTAACACAGCCATAGTAGAGGGAAGGAGGGAGAAAGCAAAGCATGGAAGTGGCCAGCCCACGAGTATCAGAAACACAGAATGTGCTTGTGTGTGCGGAGGGAGGTGCGGGAGGGCCAGGTAGACGAGAGAAAGTGGGGACAAACAGAGTGAGGGAGAAACTAACGAGGGTGACTAACGATAAATACTCTTGCTGGAGACAGGCCAGAGCGGCGCAACAGCACTCGCCGGGGCCAAAAGACACAAGGGGCAGGCCATCCAGCCGACCCAGCAGCATCGAGCGACTTGTCCGTCCGAGTACCGAGCAGAGGGGGCGTTCACTTGCCGGCGCTCTTGACCTTCTTCACCAGCGGCACCAGGGCGCTGCGAGGGGCCGCTTGCTTGAAGAACGGGTGCTGTTGTCGGCAAAACACACGGCGGTCGTCGCCATGTTAGCAACGGTTGGACACATGAACGCCGACGATACCGACTGCCGGACAGAGGTCTTACCGAGAGGAGCTCCTCACTGTCTGCTCGTTTCGAGACATCGACCTCCAGACAGCGGCTGAGAAAGCTCTTGAACTGCGAGCCCATCTTCTCGGGGTGCTTGAGCTTGGGCGTGCCGTTGGTGGCGATGAGATACAGGGCCTTGATCGGGTCGACATCCAGATACGGCGGCTCGCCCTCGATCATTTCGATGGCCATGATGCCCGCCGACCACACGTCAACCTTGGCACCGTACTCTTTGTTTTTGACAACCTCGGGGGCCATCCAGTAGGCCGTACCGACCATGGTTGCTCGCTTCGATCGCTCCGCTGTGATGCGGGCACAGAAGCCAAAGTCGGCTGGAGAGATAGACATTGCGGGGGAGCATCAATACGCAGTACGCAGAGCGATACAGAACAGGAGGGACATGTGCATGAGGCAGCTGCAGCGGCGCTCTCATCAACGTACTGATCTTGACGTGGCCCTCGGCATTGAGCAGAACGTTGTCACTCTTGATGTCTCTGTGGATGATATTCTTGGAGTGCAGATGCCGCAGTCCTTTCATAGCCTGCATGGTATTGTTTGGATCAGTATCGCACAGGTCGTCTCCTCAGCAAGGGCGCCCCAAGTCTTCGGGTTTCTCTGAACTGTGGTGCATTCCACTTACTCCTGTCGCGCTGTCGTGCGTTTGCAAGGAGCCTCAGTGCAGCAGCCATGATCACATACCTCAAAGGAAATAGCCGCGATCTGGTTCTCATTCAGAGTGTTGTTTTCGATCACGTCCGTCAGGGCGCCACCTTCCATGAACTCCATGACGACCCAGAGCTCCTTGCCAACGAGATAGCTGTCCTGGTAGTTGACGATGTTGGGGTGCTGGCTGTCCCGCATGACCTTGATTTCGTTGATCACCAGATCCTTGCGTGGCTGCAGCGCCAGATCCATTTGCTTGATGGCCACCATAGACTTGGATCCATTCCGTCGGGCCATGAACACAGCGCCAGAGGCACTGTTTGAGCGAACGGAATGCCATTTGCCCGACAGGAGAAGTACGAGATGATCAGACGACAGATCAGGCGACCGATCAGATACTCTGCAAGCCCGCCTTCCCTGCGGTAAGCGTTCATGACAACGTTGTTGCCCATGCTCATCCGTCCCACAAACTCACACCACCAACCATCGACTTCACAAGTCCACTCATCGCCACGTGTTGTAGCATCCCCTCCCCCTCAGCATATTGCCACTGAGCGGCCGAACGCCATCGCGTACCCCTGTCCGATCTTCTTGATTTTGGCGTAGATTTGAGTCGGGTCGCCCTTGGACGACAGCTGCTCCAGCTGCTCCAGAACCTGGGCCTCCGAAAGCTCAGAGCTTCGGTTGGCCCGCTTGACCTTGCGAACGCTGGGCACATCGTCTTGGTCGGCCTGGTCGTCCTGATCAGCCTTATCCTTCTTATCCGACTTGTCACCCTTGTCATCTTCGCGCTTCTTGCGGCTGTCGGTTCGCGGCTTATACACAGACTTGTCGCGGGCATCGGCATAGTTCGCCCTGTCGCTTCGCTGCTGGTAGACGGACTTGTCGCGATTGACGTTCTCACGGCTGTGGGCAGGTGAGCGGTACATGGACTTGTCACGGTCGGCACGGGATCGCTCCGAACGACTTGATGATTCCTCCGATTCATCGTGGCGGATCGGGCGTCGCTCCGAGCGCCCTTGGGAGCGAGACTCCGAGCGAGGCTCGGAGCGGGACTCGGATTTTGATCGTTGCGGGATCTTGCGGGTCGAGTCGCCCCGGGTGGGGATGGCCGACGGAGCCAAGCTGGTCTCCCGGACAGAGCGGCTACGGGACATGCCCGGCGATGTACGGGAGGAGTCGGATTTCGGGTCTCCACGGGTATCGCTCCGAGATTCGCCCCGGGATTCGCCTCGGGACTCGCTTCGAAGCGAATCCTTCTCGCCACGCGAGTCGCTCCGGGACCGTGTGCTGACATGGTCACGATCGCCGCGATGCTCCCTCCGCGGCACAGGTTTGCCCGAGCCCGACACCTAGATCATAGCGGGCCGTCAGTGTAAGGCGGCGGCAATGCAGCACAGCGCGATACGGCGGTGGCCTGTCAGGTCGACACTGTCCCGGGCTTGAGCGTCGAAGCAGCTACTTACGCCTCGAGGTGGAATGCGAGGTGTTCCGTCCTGGCGATTCGAGAACAAAAACAGTTCTTAGCAGTCGGTATATCCAAGCCGTAGCCAAAGAGCAGCATGGCAACTAGCGGCTGGGACAGCGAAGGGAAGGCGTCTTCCGGTTATCACGAGGCAATTTCCGAGACGGTGCTTACAGAGCGTGAGCTTGGTGATCCATCCTCTCGACGGGACTGCTCTCGCTGATGACGACGGACGGACCCGTCTCGCCGGGGAATGTTGGCCAAACTCTGTGTGTCCGAGCGGCTGTCCCGATCCATGCCGGAGTAGAACTCAAGCACCTCCAGGACGGTTTCGGGATCGCGCTCGAGCTCTTCTTTGGAGATACTGGAGGAATCCAAGAGTGCTTTCCATTCTCGTGGGAGACCCTGGATGATACGCAAACTGTCGTCAGCATGAGCGAGCGAGGGAGACAGCGGGGAGACAGCGTGCACCATGAAGAATCGCCGAATGCGACGGTCGGCTGCTTGTCATAGATGGTCCAGACTGCTGAAGCCGCCGGTGATTGGTGCCGAAAAAGCTCCCGGCACAACACTCGCAACAAATGCGGCGGTGGGGGGGGGATTGATTACCGAGAAAGCTCCGCTCTTCGAGTCGATTCCGACATGAACGTTGTGGGCGAAATCGGTGGGGTATGAGTTGCTTTGGGGGGTCATCTGGGAAAGGCAGCGGGCGGACGAGTTGACGGTCAGCCGAGCACGCCGGTGCAGCAAGCCGACAAGAGCAGCCGAACCAACCCGACCAGCGACAGGTCAGCCAGCAGACACAGCACTGCTGGCTATGCTGGCGGGGCCAACGTTCATCAAGTCTGCGTCGAGCCGGAGAGGTCGGGAAGACATGCAAACCGAGAAAGAACGCACAGCCCAGCCTGGCGTGGCTCCCATTCTCCCAGGCACATTCTGCTGGTGTGATGAAGCCGCCTGCCTCGCCAGAGCAGCGAGTGTACAGCAATACAGACTTCATAGATGGCATCCATCCAGGAGTACAGTTCTTCGTCGCTGGTGAAGGCAATCATGCAGGATTTGTCCACGGAGTTGACCTCGAAGCAGTACGGCTTGGCGGTCGATCGCTCGACGGCCTGGATCTCCTTCAGGAACATGAAGCTGAGGGCCTGGTAGGTATTCTGGAATCAGAAAGAACAGGGCGATGTCAGCCCAGGTCGATCCGCAGTTGCTGGCAGGGCGGTGCGGCTGATGCGGCCATGGGCTCTCAATGTCGAGCGGGTTGGTTTGCCCAGTGCCGCCCCGTGAAGGTCGAAGCCCCCCCCCTTTTCCGCTCACTCGCTGTCCCAGGAACGAGAGCCATGGCGATTTGCGGCTGCAGGAGCGCCTCCGGTCCCTCGGAAAGCCGCAAGTCTCGGGCGGCGTCGGCCACTTGCCTCGTTGCGGTGGAAAGACAGCGTGCGATCGCGCAGGACGATCCATCGCTTGGACCACATGAAGCCTCGAAGGCCATCCTCCTTGACCTGGCCGTATCCCTGCTTCAGGACTTGCATCGACATGTTGAGCGGGGTAGCGTCGATGCTGAGCGGATGAGCGGGGCTGAGAGGACGGAGACGACAGGGAGATGCTGAATTGCGGGTGCGGGGAAGGGCGGTGACGAGCTCGCAAGGCCAGCAGGCGACGGAGGAGGAGAGGGCAGGGACGGCAGTGGTATCGAATCGGCCAGAGCTCGGATCTTGATGGGGGAGGGAGCAAGCGGGGCGAGCGCGGGGGAAGGGGCGTAAAAATAGCAGGGCTGTATCGGGCCCGGGTGACAAGGCGAGCGAACCACTTCGACCGAGGGCCGGCGCACAGAGGCGTCGACTGCGTGCCGGCGCTGGCGAGCACTCCACAGGACCGTGTCCGCTGTCTGGAGTCGTTAATCTGCTGTCTGCAGTCGTTAATCTGCTGGCTGGAGTCGTTAATCTGCTGGCTGGAGTCGTTAATCCGTTGTTTCGATTTCGCTCTTTTGCGTCCCAGCGGTCTCGCCTGTCCTGGTCTGCCTCTCCCTCTTTCCCACACACACTTGTGCCTCCTGCAGTCGCACCGCTCTGTGCCGCCCTTTCGCTGTGTCTTTGTCGGCTGCATCGCTTGCTGGGGGCCTCTTGTCTGCCTGGCTTGTGGCCCACTGCGTCGCACGCGCCCCGATATGGAACACTATGAAAAAATTACTTGTTAAAAAAATGAGCGAGAACGAAAAAACGCGCTCTCGGAGCCACCTCGGTCGGCGAGAAGAGCAGTCTCTGGCGAGAGACCCCCGAGGGAAGGCGAGAAGCCTCTCGCCGTCACACACACACACACACTTTGCACACACACACACACTTTGCACAAGGGAGTCAAACACCTCCCATCGACCATCCCAAGAGGGATGGCAACCCCGAAGTGGACTGCCCAGAATATGGGCGACCCGGCATCCACTGTCGAAATACTCAAGGAACAGTGCAAGATGCTTACAGTCTATCCAGAAAAAACGGGACACTTCCCCTTTCGGGCTTCAGATGTCTGAAACCCGCTAACTGACTTGTAGGCCCAGCGGGTAGGCCATGGCATTGCACTCCTGTCTTCGTTGGCAATCTCTTTGTTTTGGGTGGGTCCGGAAGCACAGTCTTGAATACACATGGCCGATCTCCTGTGGCGATGATCGACTGGCATACCGAGATCATGTTCCTGGCTGCATTGATGTCTCGATCCCACAGCGTATGGCAGCTTGCACAGCTCCGGACAAAGTGTGGTTTCTCGATATCAAGATACTCGACCTTCTCGAGTCGCTTGAATTCCCGGCAGTGTGAGCACACCTGGGATGTGTTGAACTCGTTCACCGAGCACACATGGATCTTGGAGACGGATTGGTCTGGTGGTCGTCTCTGGTGGTCGTCTCTGGTGGTGGTGGAACTGCTCAAAGTACTTGGCGAACCTGAGTCTCCTGGGACTAGATGCGTATCCCTTCCCCTGTTTCCAGGAGGCATTCCCAAAGGCAATCACCACTTCGGTCTCCCTTGGTGCCTGGTCGATGACTTGCTTGCACATCTCGTGGACAGTGCGCTGTCGCTTGCTGTAGAGATCGAGTCGTTTGAATCGCCGTCGCCGGGTCAGGCTGAAGCACAGCTGTTTGTCCAGCATGTCTCCATCGAACACATGGCGAATGTATTGCAGGAAGGGATCCAACCCAAGGATCTTGGGACTTGGTGTGGTGCTCATCCATTCCTGCAGACCAAGGGCCTTGTGGGTGCTCTGGATCCACTTGGTCGCCTGGCTGGTGTCTTTCTCTTGCGGGGAGCCATCTGGCGAGAAAATAGCGACGATGGCTGGTTCTGCCCTTGGGGAAGAAAGAATCTCCTCAAAACCAGCGCATTTTGGGCTGGCCGAGATACTGCACAGTGGCGTCCTTGATTCAGATCCAGAAACGCATCGCTCGCTCAATCAGTCGTGGGAAGACATCTTGTCAAGGTGAGTCTTGCCTGATAGCCAAACGATCATGTCATCTCGCTGACACACAGCCACGCTTGACTAGGTTTCCAACCAGAGAGATTCAGATGGTGGTGGTTCTTGTCCGCAATCGGAGTGGAGCTTCCAACAATGATACAATTGGTCATTCCTCCACACCAATCGCCCACCACCACCGTCAATCGGCTCAAGGTGATACCAAATGCCGTCAACCGACCATGGCCGGATTCCAACATTTGCTGCGCCACATCCAACGTGACTTTCAGGTGACCGAGATGAGCAGCCGCGAGGGGCCGGAAAAAATTGATAATGGAAGTCGCGCACGCCGGCGTCCCTCCCGGTTGGCGCAGCGCTTGCCTCGTGCGCTCTGGGCCCGCTCTTGGGCAGCAGGCCGTGCATACAACGGATCGTATACAGCGGGCCGGGTATGTGATGGCTCGTATGCGGCAGCCATCGAGGCATGTGTATGCATATTCGCAACGGGGCGGGCTCGGCTGGTGGGCTGTCTCCGGTGCACCAAGCCAGAATCGCTCTCGCCGTGCCGAGTCATGGCTTCGAGATTGCACAACCCTGGCATTGCATTTCGTTGCTGGAATGATGTGCCCGATCCGTGCTCTTCGCTCGGTCTGTGCTTTGGCTGGCTCACGCGCCAATCTCAAGCAGATAGCCCTTGTAGATACTCATGAACTTGGCAACAAACGCCTCCAGATGGAATATGGGCTTGTTGCCGAGTTGGATGCGGTGTTCCTGTGGTTCCAACGAAGCGTGCAAAGATGCTCGACTTGAGTTCAACCGACCGAGAATGACCCTCTCCAAGTACCTGCATGTCCATGCCATCCTATTCCCATGACAATCGCACGCGCCCACCCCCGTGGAACGGAACATTACATATTCTGCAGCAGCCTTGGCGATTCCGGGCTTCAGTTCTTCGCTCACGTTGTGTAGCAGCTGGAAGGCAAGATTCTGGCCGAGCAAAGACATGGTCGTGCGGTGAGGTCCCAGTCAACGAGCATTGCCGCAATGCGGCCCGATTCACCGCTGGACACCGCTTCCGAAAGTTCCCGGCTTACCTTGAGAACAATCTCGGCCGGGATGCAGTGTGCCAGCAGATCATAGAGCTTGCTCCGCACCGCCATGAGTCTATGAGATAGCACATTGATCCATGCAGTCGCCGTGGAATAACGATGAGTCGGATACATCGGTGGGTGCTGGGACTCGCCTCGCTCTTATCCCGCCATACACGGACCAGCAACCGTGGCCTGTGAAGAAGCACTATGTACCTGGCGGGCGACTGCTCCTGGAGAATCGAGTGAGCCAGCTCTTGGATAAACGACTCCCAGTCGGTCTTCAGCACCTCCGATCGCTCTGTGAATGGATAACTGCGACGGAAGCAGACAGCGACAAGGCAAGGCAAGGCAAGCAGCTATTCAGACACATTGCGCGAGTTGTAACAACAGCCCAATCACACTGTGCAGCCGACGTCGTCTCATGGCATGCCCAGGATATAAACCTACCTCGCAACCCGAGCCGTTTCCAGCATCAGAAGCGCTTTGCGAAGATTGCCGCCCGACTCCTCGGCTATCCTGTTGGCAAAGGAATGCGGCAGATCGACGCCTTCTTTGAGAGCGACCTGCTGCAGAATCGACATGACGGCATCGTTGCTCGGAGCCGCGACTCGGACAAGTAGACAGCGACTTCGGATCGGCGGAATGATCTTGGAGGTCGAGTTGCAGCACAAAATCACCCTGAGGTTGGCCATGTACTTTTCCATGGTGCGTCTCAGGCCGGCCTGGGCTTCTCGGGTCAGCGTGTCGGCCTCGTTGATGATGACCACTTTGGCGGCAAAGATATGAGCAGGGAACGGCGATACAGTCATATCAGACAGAAAGACGTGGACACTCGCGCGGCGCACCATTGCCGGCTTCTGGGAGAAGGGAGCCAGGCGAGGCGAGACGACACGAGACGACGATCGCCAAAGCGGAGCAGAGATGTGATCCGTGATGCAAGAGGAAAGACAGACCTTTGAACTTTCTCTTGGCGCTCGAGTCCACTTGCTGGGTCTGCGCTACCTCCTTGATCAGGTCCTGGATTACGATCCGATCGTACATGCCGACGTCGCTGGGGGTGATCTCGATGTGGTAGTTGCTCGCAATCAAGTTGATTTCCAGCTTGCGTCCAGAGGGAGTTGCAAAGTTGCGGACGTCGATCTTGAGCTGCCGCCACCATCGGGTGCGATAACAGGTAATTCAGCCTCATACAACTCGTCGGCTCCATGCCGCATTCACAGAGCAGACACCGTGCGGCCATTTCAGACGACCATCGGGCCAGGATCGACCAACTAACCAGCAAGCCAACTTGTCAACCAACCTTCTCAACACCGGGTCCGTAGAGCTCTCTCAGCACAGCCACGATGCGGGTCTTCTTGCCCGCTCCAGAAGGACCATATACCAACAGATGTGGAAAGTCTCCCGAAGCCGCCTGGCGACGAGAAGGAGAGAACATGGCGTGAGTCTGGGTTCCAGGACGATCAGGAAGCGGCGCTGGCAGCCTCATCCGCGGAGGGATAAGGTCGTCGATGGCCGGCTCACCAGACTTTTGAGCTGTGCCGTGAGGGCTTCGTGGTAGCTCAGCTTGTCCAGCGACACCGGTCTGTACTTGTCGACCCAAAGAGACATGCTGGTATGCAGGGCCTGATGATGGCGGTGGTCCGCTGGACGATCTGTCTGCGCGGATCAAGGATGGGCGACAGAGGCAGCCGACCGTTCTCATTTGGCCGAAAATGGGAGTGCGCAGTCCGTTTTTGAGCGGCTGCTGGATCGCAGAAGGTTCGGAAGCTGTATTCGCTCTGAACTGAAGAGGGTTGGGTTGGACAATGGGAAACACGAGGAAAGATGGCAAAGCAGAGAACGCAGGCTTGCTCCGCGCCAGGTCAAGGGATCGGGCGACCGGAGCAGGCTCAGAAAACAGAGCAAGTGCAAACGAGGAGCAAAGGCCGGTGAGGGGCCAAGAACAGTGCTGGTGCAGCGGCGGAAGAAGATCGGGAGAAGAATGGATGCGCCTTGGAGGCTGCTGCCGACTCACTGCGCGGGTGGAAGGGCAGGCGAGGGGCTGTGGACACGGACCGCCCTCTCGTCAGGGCGAGAAACGTACAGGGAAGGAGGAAAGTTCGTTCAGCGTGACGGGCGGACGAGGGTGGCATCGAGCAGCGACACAATGGGGAAGAAAAAATCGCATAAGAGGTGAAGAATAAGGGCGATGCGGAATAGCAGAGCACAAAGCCGACTACATGCAAAAGGAATTAGAGCCGATTAGGAGTAACAACAGCGGACCGCGGCCGAAAAATGCGGCAGATGCGACGCTGTAATTACACTAGGCATGTGTGCAGGGAGGAGGGGGTAATAGATGACAGTGGGCTCGGCAGCGATGGCATTCACAAGATAGTTGGAGCAACGAGGGAGGAACCAGAGACAAAACTACACAGCAGCATCGCTCCTATCGAAGCCGCATTACTTGCTGCCCTTGGTGCGCTTGACCAAGGGCGTCAAAGCGCTGGGAGGACACGCCATGCGCAGGAACGGGTGCTGTTGTCGGCAAAACACACGGCGGTCGTCGCCATGTTAGCAACGGTTGGACACATGAACGCCAACGATACCGACTGCCGGACAGAGGTCTTACCGAGAGGAGCTCCTCACTGGTGGCCCGCTTCGCGACGTCGACCTCCAGACAGCGGCCCAGGAAGTTCTTGAAGACGGCGCTGAGCTTCTCGGGGTTCTTGAGAGTAGGTGTGCCGTTGGTGGCGATGAGATACAGTGCCTTGAGAGGCTCTTCCTCAAGGTATGGCGGCTCGCCCTCGATCATCTCGATGGCCATGATGCCAAGAGACCACACGTCAACCTTGGCGCCGTACTCCTTTTGCTTGACAACCTCGGGGGCCATCCAGTAAGGGGTGCCGACCATGGTTGCTCGCTTTCCACGGTCCGAGGTCAGCTTGGCACAGAAGCCGAAATCAGCTGGAGAGATAGACATTGCGGGGGAGCATCAGTACGCAGTACGCAGAGCGATACAGAACAGGAGGGACATGTGCATGAGGCAGCTGCAGCGGCGCTCTCATCAACGTACTGATCTTGACGTGGCCCTCGGCATTGAGCAGAACGTTGTCACTCTTGATGTCTCTGTGGATGATGCTCTTGGAGTGCAGGTGTTCAAGACCCTTGATGGTCTGCAGGGCAACGGCAAGAGTCAGAGTTGATTGATGATATCGCAGTGCCAGCCAGACGCCGTCGCAAAGAAACTGACCTCGCCACAGATAGCAGCAATCTGGGGTTCGGTGATGGTGTTGTTGTCGATGATGTCGGTGAGCGGGCCGCCCTCCATGTACTCCATGACGACCCAGAGCTCGTTCTTGACAAGGAAACTGTCAAGGTAGTTGACGATGTTGGCGTGCTGGCTGTCCTTCATCACAAGGATCTCGTTGACAACGAGTTCCTTTCGCGGCTGCAGCGAGAGCTCCATCTGTTTGATAGCGACGGTGAGGCCAGTGCCGTTCTGTCGAGCCAAGAAAACAGAGCCGGACGCGCTGGAGGGAGAGGCCAAGCAGAGCACGGTTGAGAGGAGTGTGCGAGCAGTGTGCGCCAATGTCTCCCTGCCAGTCACTCAGCCAGCGTGGGCGGCGTTTCCGACAGCGGTGCCCGCTCTGCTGCAGATAAGGGCTCTCCGCTGTCGCGAGAGGGTGGGTAACCAACAACGACAGCGGATAGGGCTTACCCTTGGCCAATCTTCTTGACCTTGGCGTAGAGAGCCGTGGGATCTCCTTGGGAGACCACGGTGCCTGTATTCGGACGCATCAAGTGGGCCGGTCAGACTGGGTCCAGCTCGAGCAAACGGTCGCGGGATCGATCGAACCCGCGCCGCACAGAGCACTGTATCGGAATCCTCAGCGGCAGGGGGACACTCACGAAGCTTCTCCATAACCTGAGACTCGGTGAGCTGCGATAGCCGAGGCTCACGGGGGCGCCGCTTTCCGGGCTCGCTTGGGGACTGGGGCGAGGGTTCTGTCCGAATCGAGATCCCGAGTCAGCAAGTGGTCAGCCGGGTCCAAGCAAGCGAGGGGGGGGGGCGATGACAGTGGCTTACCTTGGGGCTTTCGCTCGGCCCTCGTCCGTTCGGCTCTCTCCTTCTCGGCCCGGTCCTTTTCGGCCTTATCACGGCGATCTCGCTCTTCGCGGTCCCGGCGATCTCGCTCCTCGCGGTCGGCCCGTTCGCGATCAGCTCGCTCGCGGTTGGCTCGCTCCTGGCGCTCTTGGCGGTCCCGTTCCTCACGCTCCCGTTCGCGATCGGCGCGTTCGCGCTCCCGGTCGCGCTCTCGCTCTCGGTCGCGGTAGTCGCGATCATCGTAGTTGACTTGGTTGATCGCCGGCTGGAACAGGAATCGTGGGTGAGCAAAAGAAGGCGCTCGCTCTGTATCGGATACAGTCCGGCAAAGTCCCGATCGAGGCGCTCTGGATGCATCCAAATAGCCTGCGGTGTGCTCACCTGAGGCTGACGAGGAACGACAGGAGGACGAGCGTGTGCCGGAGGCCGGGGAGCCTGGGGATACGAAAGGGCCGCTGAGAGTCAGACACGCTAGGGTGAAGGAGGCAAGGGGACCATGCCATCGCTCGATAGCCAGAGCTCTATCGTGACTCAGCCCGAGTCCTACCTGCTGTGAAGTGTACTCGGTGGGGCTGGGATGGGGAGGGGGACGCATTGAAGCCTCGCGGACAGGCACGCCGTTGGGGGGAATGTCGCGACCCATATCGAGGTCGTCGCGCCGCTTGCTGCCCATGTTCTCGGTGTAGAACTCCAGTACATCCAAAACAGCCTGCGGGTTTTTCGTCATCTCCTCCTTCGAGATGTTTGAGGCCTCCAGAAGCGTTTTCCAGTCGGTGGGAAGACCCTGTGTGGCAACAAGGGGGTTGTTGATGTATCAGCAGCCGAGATCGGGCATCGCTAGTCTGGTGTGGACCTCCTAAGGCAGAGACGACGAGCCGAGCACAGGGAATACCAGCCCGAGCCTGCAGATCCAGGACGTCGTACACAGTATTCACGCAGTGCATCGGCGGACGTCGTGTCGAGGGATACGGAAAATCCAGAGGCGACCGCCAAGACTGGACTTACCGTAAAGTTGCCGCTGATAGGATCGAAGCCGACATGGACCTCATGCACAAAGTTTGTTGGGTTGGAGATGCTGATGAGTGGCGACCGCTGCAGACAAAGCCAGGAGCGTGGTCAGTCACTCAGCAAGGTTTGATATCGGTACGAATGCGACGAGTCTGCAGGGGCGAGATCCCGGTGTGCTGGGGGCGTGCTGCGTGCGCTCACTTGATAGATCTCGTCGATCCACGAGTACAGCTCCTCGTCGTTGCGACAGGCAACATAGTATGACTTGTCCTTGGTTACGAGCTCGAAGCAGTAGGGCTTCAAATCCGTTCGGGTGACCGACTCGACTTCGTTCAAGAAAATCAGCACCAGGGCTTGATATGTGTTCTGCGGTCGGTCAATGCGAGACGGCCGATTGCGGCGGTGACCAAGGGAATCCAGATGCGGCAGCCGGGGTTCCAGAGCAAGCGAAGAAGCGAGGGTCAGCACAGCGCCGAACGAGTCAGCCGGCTGTTTGGCCACACTCTGCCGCAAATTGGATGTGTGCGAGCGACGTTTGCCGCAACCAGGCCACGGCCAGGCCGACGAGGGACAGAGCGACGAACGAAAGCAGGAGAGCCCAGAGGCAGATATGATTCACTCGGTGGACGAACAGGAAACCAACCTCGTTGCGATGGAACGAAAGGGTCTGCTCCCTCAGCAGCAGCCATCGCTTGGACCAGATGAAGCTTCGGAGACCGTCTTCCTTGACAGAGGTGTAGCCACGCTTCACCACATGCGAAGACATTGTGCACAGATGTAAACCGAGTTTCTGGAGGGGGAGCTAAGGAGCCGATCGCCAGCCGGGGGGGGGTAACAGGGGAGATTGCTGTCGGAGGGAAGTGGGGTTGGGAGGTCGGCTGGGCCAAGTGCGAATGGGAGAGATCCGGGTGATCTGGCAGCAGCAGGAAAGAAAGAAAGAAGGCGAGAAAAAACAAAATGTAAGGAAGGCTGGAAGAGGCAGAACGATGGACAGCAAGCCCCCGGGTTGGCAGAATGGATGGAGCGAAGGGTGGCCGGGGGGGGGAAGACCAAGCAGATGACAGGGAAAAGAGTAAAGGCAGAGTGAACAGGCCAATGAAGGACGGAGGGCGCTGGACGGGCACGAGGAGGCGACAAGGCGAGGGAGGGCGAGAGCCGGCGAGAACGGGCGAGAGCGGGCGAGAAGGCGACGAGAGCAGCCGACACACACGGCATTGTCTGGACGGGCAGCAGTTCTGTGCGTTCTGTGCGCGCAAATGCGTGTGTGGGTGGCGTCGGCTGGCTGGCGGGCTGTACACACAGCGCAGTACAGGACACTGACCGTCAGCACAATCAGCAGCCCATTCAGTGCTGCCGCCCTCCCCTGCTCAGCGCACTGCAGCCACACTGATAGCACTCCCGCACAGACAGACCCACAGACACAGCTGCGATCCCAGCACCGACGCGCCCACGGTGCCGGCGCGACCGAAAAGGAAACGCCATGTGCCACCAGCCCGCGATGTGCTGCCCAGCACTGTCTGTGTGTCGCGGGCACAGGACGGCGCCGGCTGCGCACCGCAACAAGCCCGTGGCGCCGCACCCGCCGTGGCCGGCCACCCTGCGGCTGCATGCCCTGCGCCACACCCCGTCCATACGACCGCGCCGTCTCGATCGCGGCAGATCCGCCCTGTGTTGGCGATCATCTCTCCAAGCCCATGAGCCTCTGCCCTGCGATCCACAGCTGTCGCTGGCAAGCCGCTGCGAGCGTCCGGCAGCTGCGATTCACCTGGTCCCAGACATGCTCGTCCCAGCCTCGACACTCTCCAAGCATCCCGCCAGTCCGAGCTCCATCCATCGCCTCGTCATGTCGACGCTCGTTTCATGATTCTGCCCAAGTCCCAGAGCCTTTGAGCGACACCGCCCGCGACGCCAGCACCTGTGACTTCACACACGATCTCGGCATGCAGTTATCTGCCCTGCTCTCGGCCGACCGGCTCCAAGATGCTGTCCGCATGCACCAGTCTCTGTCGCCAGCCTGGCTGGCTCGGGGCCTCTCCATCCACATTCCGCTGCCACAGACCTACGGCCTTCCGACCCTCGACCGCTACCGCCGATTCTTCCAAGCCGTGGCCCAATCCGTTCCTCTTCGCCTCGATGCCCTTGCTTCCCTCCAGGCCCACGAAAACGACATTGTTGCGGCTCTGGGCCGAGGCGAGCCTCTGCGGGCACACGAAATCTATGGCGTCCTCAAGTCTTCCGGGCTCGAGCCGACATTCTTCATCCTCAAGCGTCTTCTCAGCAGCACCTCCCCATGGGACTCCAGGATCCACGCCGAATTCGCTGCAGACTCGTGGCGCCATCTGTCCGCCGATTCGTTGCAGTCACTCATACAACTCTTGGTGAAAAACAAGAATGCCGAGGCGTTGTACTTCTTTGCCACTGCAAGCAATGCCGAATGGACCTGGGTCCGACCCAGCCTGCTCGCCGACGCTGCTGTCCTTCTTGCTTCGAACGGCTTCAACGATGCCTTCCAATCGCTTCTCGCGCCACAGACAGCCTGGTGTGTTTCTCGGGCATCCAAAGTCTCGCTGGTCCGGACAGTGTACTTTTCCATCTGGCAAGCGTTCCTGTCGGCCTCCAGCCCCACGGATCACTCTACCATCAGTGACTCAGCATTCATAGCCAATGTCGATTTCCTCGCCGACCAGCTCGCAACTCAGTATCCCGAGCTTACCACCGAGTTCTTTGAGCTTGCCATCAAATCCTGCCTCCAACATAAAAGTGTGCTCGCTGTCCAGGTGTATTCGCGAATGGACTCAAAGTACGGACTCCATTCGCTCGGTGCCCTGCATCGCATTGCGACCCGACTACATCCTTGGGCTCGGTCCAGCCATCTCCAGAACCCGCTTTCGCTCATCGACGGCTGCCTGTTCTTCCTGCGGGTAGCCAGCCAGAACTTGCATTCAGATATCTCGATTTCAAGCAAGAGCCTCGGCACCGAAGCAACCGCCAAGCAGGCTCTCCGAAAGCTCATCCTCTTGATACTTCAGCACGGTGATGTGGACATTATCCAGCAGGTCTTGGATCGTCTGCAGCACTACGAGCACGAATCGACGACACTGGCCGATGGCTCATCCAATATTCAGCCCTACTTTGCCAGCCTTCTCAAGTGGGCTCTCCATCTCCAGTTGCATGCACCCGAGACCTGGCAGCGGGTCGTTCAAGATCGCCTGCTCAGACACGTCGAGCCAGGCTCGCTGTGGGGTCAACAGAAACTCGAATCCCTGCTCAAGACCGTGCCCGCGCAGCCCCGCGAGCTCCTTTATCTGCTCCTAGGCTTTGCCGTCGCATCCCGTAATCTGCCGTCGGCACAGCGCGTGCTCGGTGAGGCCGTTTCTCGGAACTGCAGCATTCCTAGAGAGCTTTTTGTCCCATTGCTCGCTGCCCTCGCTCAAAGGGGTGACGTTGACGCTGTCACCAGCACGATGGCAGCACTGCACGATCACGGCGCTGCCCTTGACGGCTCCACTCACAGCCAGCTGGTCAAGGCATGCATCAACAACGGAGAGCTTGCTCGAGCTTTCAAAATCCTGACGGATCCCAAGGCGCCGTTCTCGGCGTTGGTTGATGTGCACGGCTTCAACGAGCTCCTCAACGCATACGCCTCTGAGGGCAACTTTGCTGCCTGTACCCATCTGCTCGAACACATGCGTGCCAGCCCTGAGCGAGCACCCAACGAAGCGACCTTTGCCAACCTCTTGCGAGCATGCAACACCCTGGACGACATCGAAACCGTGCAGGACATGGGCACGGTACTGTGGGCCTCGAATCAACGCCCGACAGTTGTTTTCTGGAACCACATCATGGACTCATATCGTCGCATCGGCCGCCCGGATCTCGCCGAGACGACCTTGCGCCAGATCATGGCACCAGCAATCCCCGATTTGGTCTCCTACAACACCTTGATGACGGCCTGGTGTGAAGAAAATGCCTACTACCGCGCGAAGAAGATCTTCCGCGAGATAACGCAGCCATCTCGGCACCCAAACCAGGGTCCGGATATGCAAACTTTCAACATACTCGTCGGCGGTGCCTTGAAATCGACCGAGGTGCTGGACCTTCACAAGGAACTCAAGTTCCTGGAAAGACAAATATCCAAGTGGGGCATCAGTCCGCGCCACCAAAACGACCTGCAGATCATGTACCGGCTCCGGGTTCTGGCCTGCAGCAACGCCCGCGAGGCCCTTGAGGTCGTTGCGGCGATGCGGGCCCAGCGGCATACTCCCTCGAGCCACGTCCACACCGCTGTCCTGACGGTGTGTCGCCTCGCCGGCGACACGGACACGGCCAAGGACTATATGCTGGCCTTGCGCGCAGGCCGGGACCGACACTACATGAACGCCTACATCTACCAAGCGTACATTGCGTGTCTCGCCCAAGTTGGCGATATGGATGCTATTGCCGAGTGCCTGTCGTGGATGGACGAGGCCGACATGGCCGCCCTGGTGTCGCTACAGGAGCTCATGACCATCGCCATGGTCATGAGTGGTGCACTGGACGAGGCCTGTAGCAATGCCGGCCGAAGCATTCGGTGCTGGGGCATCATTCTCAACCACCACATCAACACGGGCAACGACGTGGCCTTTCTCGGTGCTCTTGCGCGAATCCCGGCTTGGTTTGAGCCAAACCTCTGGGACGAATCCTGTCTCGTGGCCATACTGATGAAGTTTTGCCTGCGATTCCAGAGACTCGACGAAGCCCAGCGCTTGTGGGAATACGTGGTTGGGGGCCAAACGAGCGGCGACCATGCCTTGGCTGCGATCACGAGCGTATCCCCGGATAAGATCGGCTTTTCTAACCTCGGCCCGAACGAAAGTTTGATGTGTCTCTATATCGACCTGCATCGGTACCTCTCGAATGGTTGCCAGAGACTCGACGAACTATGGGCTCAAGTGACCACGTCCGGATTCCGGTTCATAGACTCCCACCACCGCCCTAAGGCACACAGTACCACAGGCATCGAGTGGCCGACAGACAACATGTACACCTCGAGGATCGAGTGCCTCTGCCACCTCGGCCGCCACCATGAAGCATTCGAGCTGTTTGTCCGCATGGTTCGTCACCAAGAAGCGAGACTCCCGAGTCAGAAAACCTTTCGGCGGTTGCTGGGGCTGTTGCGCAGTGCGGGGCAGTCGCAGTACGTCCGACGACTGCACGATCTGGTCGACAGCACCAACTTGCCTTTCAAGTTTACACTTTACATATAGCAAATGGGCACGTTCCCTATCACACTGGCGAATGGTCATGGCCTGCGCGCAATGGTATTGGGTAACAAACTATCAAGTTCATGGTCAAAAACACGGGTGTTCCGTTTGGATAGCCTGTATGCGGCCGTCGCCGAGCGGAGCCGGTTCTTCGCAATGGCGTGTTGTTGAATAGAGATCTATTGCTAGCGGGCTTCTGCGACGAGTCTCGCCATTCCCTGAAGGGGCTTCCCATGCTCACCCCGAAGATTGACGGGCTGATGATCGCCCACATGTTCTCCGGCAGAATGGCGGTTTGGCCAAACCTGCACCGCCCAGACTGCCTCCAGTGGCTCCCTCGCCAATCACACAGCCGATCTTTCATGCTGATTGGTGGCTGGTCGGTCCGCCAAATCGCATCCGCCATCCGTGTTCGCTGTGCGGGCGCATCTTCGTTTTGGTACGCCAGGAGCTCTGTGGGCTGGAATAGGTTTGCTCCTTTGGCTCGTATCCGCACGAGACTCAGCCTCCTTGTCGGGACATACGCACGATCGATCGACCGTTCGATCAAATAAAAGCTCGAGGCATGGACGAGCTGCACCACAGTCCCTCGAATCGGCGCCAGTCGATCTTCTCCGTCACCCAGCGGCGTGGGATCATCAGATCTGCGACCATCACGCAAGTATGTGGCTTCCCCAGACGGCGCTTGCCGTGACCGCGACGATGCTCGCGAACGATTGTTGGCATTCGCAGGGTAACTCTCGCATCATGCCCAACTGGCCTCCCTCTAAGCATTAACGTGTGTATGATGGTTCCAATTCAACAACCTATCCGAAAACACACCACATCCAGCTCCTGGATGCCAAAAACATCGGCATGGTAGGTTTTAGAGCCGCCTTACTAGCTGGATATGAGCGGTCAACGAAAGGACAGGATTTCGTTGCTCGGATACCCATGGTTTCCTTCCTATGGTAGCCCATATGCAGTATGGCCCGCAGCCATCCTCTCGCAGTCCCGCGAGCAGCAGTGGGCGCATCGGCGCTGATCTCGGCTGACCCGAAACTAATCAACTACGCGTTTCATCGTTTCTGCTGGGCTTCCCACGGCTAGTTTGCTGGTCTCGTGTTCTTATTCAACAACACCACAGGTCCGGCCATCCCCTTGATGCAGGCATACTTTCAGCAGGTTTGTCTGACCGTTTCCGAGCGAGGGTGCGCATTTTGGCGAGCTCCCCTGGTTTCATCCTGGCGTGGGCTAAATTCAAACAGAGTCCGTGCAGCGACCAGATCCATTGGCCAGTCGAGATTCGTGGCTGGTCCAGCCGCTCAAGTCTGGGACCAGATGCCCACAGCGGGTGCAATCCACTCATCTCGCTGCCTGTATTTCCAGAACGGATGGGTCCCACTGGTCGTCGTGATTTCCCTCTATGCTATTGTATCGACGCTGTGCTCGCTGTTCATCGTCGAGGCCATGCAGTGTATTCCTGGAAACAAGCATTTCCAGGTCAGTTGATCGATCGTGAGCCACTTGCTTGGACTTTGTCTGATGCTTTGTCGACGGTATTATGCTGTGTCTGTGCATGCGGACGATCCTGCTCATGCCTCGCTACAGATCAGGTTGGCACTCACTCATGCTCATGCTCATGCTCATGCTCATGCCTGCTGCGCCGACGCTGGATTCGCCATGACAGGGAACGGTCGAGTTTTCCACTCTGATCAACTTTTATCTCGGAGGATGGGCCCATTTGATCGGAGAGCTATTTCTGTTCCTGTCGCTCCAGGCAACCGCGATCTGTTCAATCATCCAGTCCGCGCAAGTCTGTGTCCGCGACGCTGCATATCGTCTGATTCTGGATGCATAGATGTGCGTCACTGAGCGCCATTCAATGTCGCTGACGTCGCTACAATATCTATGTGGGGGGGGGGGATCACCACGAACAGACATTCGATTACCTCGTCCTGGGATTCCACAACATCACCTGCGGAGTATCGTTCTCCAGCCCGTACTGGCTCTGTGTCGGCCAACCTCCCAACGGCTCGTCTCCGCCTTCGTCGCCCTTTGGGGATGCGTACATGCTCATGACTCCTGGATATCTGGTAAGTTCCAATGTCCCTACCCAAACCCTCACACAATCCTGCATTCACAGTCCCTTCCGGCAATGTGGTCGAATGCGAGATTGCATCCGATGCAGCCAAAAATCCTTTCGGAGGGGGCCTCACTATCGCTGCGATCCACAGATCATGTTGATATTTGTCGCTCCTCTGGGAATGCTCAAGTTCGCGGATAGCGTGACATTGCAGATCGGTGAGTGTCCGTGTTTGGCCGAGGCATGTGTGCACATCAAGCGCCGTATTCGGCCGAGGCCGAGTTTCGTCGATCTTGCCATGTTGCCACCGACGACTAACTGGCATCATTCTGTCGACTGTACTCTGCAGTTGCATTTGTCCTCACGATGGCCGTAATGGTATCGTGGATCGGCATATCCGTCTACCAAATCGTTACAACGCCAGGCGCCAATCTTCCTATCGTTCAGGCTACCAGCCCCGAGAGCTCCATCACCCTGAGCACTATGATGGGTGGAGTCATGATGAACTTTGCATTCATCATTACGGTTCCGTCGTGGGTGAATGCCAAGGTGGGCTAGCGCCTCTGGTCGCAGAGTGCTGACACGCCAGAACCGAGATCGTCCTCTGCTCTTCTGTTGACCCTGCCTCCGTTGTCGCCCACAGAAAATGACGGTCAATATCCAGACAACGCTCTGGAGCTCCACGATTCTCTCTGCTACGGTGTACATTCTTGTCGGATGGATTCGTAAGTGCGCTGCACCAGACTCTGCGACCCACCCCGAACCGAGCCATGCACTTTGGGGTTCTTCTGCATGGATGTGGGACTGAGCGCCGCGATCCTACCCTTGTCGATCCAGCGGCTCTGGCCTTCGCAATCCCAGCCAACGGAGCCAGTTTTCTCTCCGTTCTCGAAAATTCGGGCTCGATCCTGAACAGCATCGTGGCATACGCTTTCATCATCATGGTGCTGGTGTCCTCGATCCCGATCTTCTTCTACATATCGCGCGAGAACTTGGTTCAGAACGGCATTTGCAGCCCGAGTAAGTTGCCGCCCACGGTTGACTCCGCGGATGTCTATTACAATGCAACCCAAGGCAACGAGCCGGCGTCGTTGCACATGGTTTGTTTTACAGCACCAGCAGCTCGTACCAATCGTCGGGTAGCATCGCGGTGACTCTGTGCTGGCGACTAACGCTTGGTGCTGATGCATCGGCCGCTTTGCCTTTGTTCTGCTTTGCTCCTCGCCGTGGATGGTGTTGGGGCTCGGTCACAGAAAGGGCCAGCTACTTTACCCACGTCGCCCCATGGATCGTGGCGATTCCGATGCTGACGGGCTCGTGGATGCTGAATCTGACGACATGGTCGTCGCTGCTCTTCGTTTCGGTCGCCAACTTCATCATCCCGCTTGTGATCTACATGAAGGCTGTGTCGTTTCGGAGATTATACAACGAGACGAGAGGTACGGTCAGTCGCACACGAACCGGGGTGTAAGCAGCGTTGCTTCGCGGATTGCCTTTGTGGAGTAGCGATGCTGAGTCGAGAGCAGTCAAGACTCGGTGCACGGCGACTAACCATGTCCTTCCGATTGCTTACGCGGTCGATATATTCCATACTCGCTCCGTATTCTTCATCCATATCGCGGCGGTGCGCTGACTGGCTGGCTGCTGACTGGCTGGCTGTAGAGCTGACGCGAGATCAAAAGGAGCTCCTCAAGAAGATCCACTCGTGCTCCAGCACGATCCGCAACTTTATCGACGACAGCAACGACTCGACGTATGCGCGGGATCATGTCCTCGGCAGCGACGCCGACCGAGGCTCTAAAATCGACCTTCCGATGCGCCTCCAGGATCGTCGGGCCTCGCTCGACCCTGCGCTGGCCCAATACGGCAAGCAGTATCAGCCCGAAGGCGACGGCGCATCCAAGATCCTCAAGATATATCGCCCGGGGTCGATAGGGAGCCAGTCGTCGAAACGGATCGGCGGCTATCCGATACGCCAGCCCTCTCCGTTCCAACCACCCTTGCCTCTGCCACAGCCGTCCCCGTCGTTCCAGCAGCTGCCGTCGTCTGCAGTCGCAACACAGTCGCAGCCGCAACTTCAGTTGGCACCGCATCTGCAGTCAAGGGCAGCCAGCCGATCTCGATCAAAGCTGGGGAGGGAAGTCTCGGCATCGGAGCTCACACGGGGCACACCGCGGAGTGACGAATCGACCAAGGACCAGAGCTTCTCCACCTCGCCAAGGTCGCGCAACGAGACCAAGCTGGACTCGAACGGACTACTCTCGGTCAACAGCGGACTGATGGCCTGGAATCCAGAGCAGTCGTCGATAGACGGGAGCCAGCGACGCCCGTCCATCAGCTGGCAATCACCCGATACGCTCGATCGGCCAAGTGATCGCGAACCCGGCGACGATGTAGCGACGACAGCCATATGCCGACCCAACAGCCCAGCACCCCTTCCGTCGGACTCACAGAAGAGCCCCGACGGTGCCACCGACCAAACATCAAGCGTGCTTGAGGAGTCGAGCATCCGGCCCGAAGTCTTTTTGGAAGTGCCCGAGACCATCGACGAGCGCCCGGCAGCCCTTGAGATCAACCCTGTGCCAACGTCGATCCCGAAATTGTTCATCGACGGAGTGCACAAGAATTTGGACACGTCCAAGGACAACTCCATCATGGGCGAGCCCAACCCGGCGCGGCCGGCCAGCTTTACGAGCGAGCTCGCATCGGCCTTGAGGCGGATCCCGTATTCGCGATCGTGCTCGGCGCTGGGTGGATCGTCCGATAACATCATCAAGCCCTCGTGGTCAACGCCATTCCAGCTCCTTTCTCGCGACGGATACCAACCACTGCAGAACAGCGACTCGCTGCCGAATGAAGGGGGAATACTCGCCGAAGCCAGCCACACCTCTCTCGATATCCGCGAGAGCTCGCTGACGGGGCTGGAGGGCGTGCGAACCTCGTTTCAGGAAGGGCTCCAGCGCGATCAGCTTGCAGCCCAAAACACCACCTCGCAAGTCTTTATCATTCCGAACAGCGTCGACGCGGGCACGGCAGCGGCAGCGAACGCCTACGAGGTCGACCCGATCCACGAATACTATCTTCTGGAGGATGTGCCCGATCCCGAGGAGCCGCTCTTCAACGTGCGCCGCCGATTCAGCATCATGGCACACTCATCGGTGATCGACGACGTCGACATGCGCTCGATGGCGGGCCGTGGGAACATGGGCATCTCGCGCCGCACGACACACCAGCAGGAGTATCCGCTGGCAGAGAACACGCCCGAGCACCCAGACACAAGCCTGCTTGCACCGATGATGGAGGCCCGCGCCTTGGAACGATACCGCACCGGCGGGCCCTCGCCGCCGCAGATGGTGCCGGTGACGGATCTGGTCATCAACAGCCTCGGCGGGGGCACTGCCGGCATGAATCGCAAGGGCTCCAAGTACTTTGATGCCCGTCGGCCAAGCCTGCCAATCAACCCAAACTTTATCTCGCCCGTGTTTCGGTCCTTGCCGACCTGGTTTCCGATCAAGCCAAAAACGGTGGCGATTGTGTGCATTGTGTTTCTGTCGGTGTCGGTGGTGGGCAGCATCGTTCTCCAGATAATGCAACTCTCGTTGCCATCGTCGTGAGCGAGCATGGACGGGTGTTGGAATGATGCACCGGCAATAGAATCCCTGGACAGCACCAACGGCATGTCGCAGCTGGGTGATCGACCAGCAGGCACGTCGCAACTGGTGATATCATGCGCTCCCCTTCAGCCGGGTGATCGACCAACACCATTCTGGCGGCCGAACTATGGTGCAGAAATCGCACCATGGCCGAGATCGCAGCGCGGCACATGGCCGCCGCTCGCTGAGCGCAAGGCGAGCACGTTCAGGCGGCGCCTTGTCCAGGCTTTCCTTTTCGGGGCGCGCGTGCTCAGACAGCTCCGCCGCACCCACACGCACTGCACCCCCGCCGCGCCGTGTGACGCATGTGCGACGCCGTGGCGCGTGCGCGTCGCCGCGCGTCGTCGGCGTCCTGGGCTTCGGCCATCGCCATCGCCGTTGCTGTTGGGCACCCCCAAGGCCGTTGCCGTCCTTTGCACCGTCGCTGGCACCGCCCCGGACGTCCTGTGTGGTCCTGCTCGGTCTTGCCCCATCGGCGGTTGTTTGCGATCTGCTGCCGGCTGGCTATCGGTGTCTGGCTCTGCATCTGGCGCTGCATCTGGCGCTGCATTTGCCATCGGGCCATCCTGTCCGTCTTTGCGTGGCCCTCCTCGGTTGTATCCGCTCCCGACTCCTTTTCCTGATCCGCCCGGGCTGTGCTCCAAGTCGCCATGACCTCCGTAGAAACCCTCAGCGAGCTGCCGCTCGACACCAGCTCCAACCTGGCCATCTCCTCGCTGCCGTCCATCTCCGTCTCCTTTACAGACTCGTTAGCCGACTCGTTCGCCGATGAGCTCGACCTCGACCCCAACCTGTCGCCCGAGGACCAACGAGCCAAGCTGACCGACATCTTCATCCGAGCCTGCTCCAACGGTGACGTCTCCAAAGTCAAATACCTGCTCGAGACCAAGAAGGACTCGTTCGACATCAACGGCAAGGACGAAGACGGTAGCTCGGGACTCATCTTTGCTGCCTGCTTTGGTTGGACCGACATTGTGATTCTCCTCATCGAGCATAGCGCTCTTGTCGACGACAAGGACAAACGTAATGCTTCGTTTCGCCAGCGCTCGATGCCCTCTGCACCTGCACCTGCACCTGCACCGATGCCCTCTGAGCCAGAGAGCTGTCTATGACCATGCCATGGATGAACGTGCGTGCCGGAGGTGCCCGATGGAATCCTTCCTGCACACGCTGGATCCATGTTCAGCCATGGGTGCTCGCCACCCAGCGTACCCGCTCTCTTGGTCCTTTTTCTGCCTCGATACGGGCTGCCGCTCGACCTCCGTGGCTCACGCACCTGTCTCCTCCCATGTGCAACAGATGGATGGACTCCGCTACTGTGGGCCTGCTCCAACGGCCATGACGAGGCGGCCCGCGCTCTGATTGATGGAGGGGCAAGCAAGGACATCAAGTCCAACCGCGGCAGGTCGCTCAAGGACCTCGTTCAGCGCACCAGCTCCGGCAAGCAAATGTCCAAGATCCTCGAATACGAATACAAGGAACCCGTCACGCCGTCATCGCCAACCGCATCGCACTCGACCCTGTCGATGTCCGATGGCGACCGGGCCAGCGCCTCGTGGAGCGACACCTCCGACACCGAAAACTACCTACTGTCGCCCAACCCATCTCGGTCGTCGTACGTCTCCCGACGATCGTCCACAGATTCAAACTTCACGGCGCTGACAGTCGACGAGCTCGGTCTCTTTGAACAGGTACTGTTGGGCGTCCTCGGGTGCACTTCTTCATGCCAAGACATGGCTTACATGTTCCATGGACGCTGCACTGCTTGACCTTGTCCAATGCCGCCGTTCCGAGCCCGATGTGCTCCGGAAAGATGCGCACGTCCGGGCGGGCAGACCGACCAATGTCTTGGTATCCGCCGCCCAGACTTCCCGGTGCTGCTGAGGGCGCCAGCGTGCTCACATCAACTGCTCTGGTGCATCCCAAAGGATGAAGAAAGCGCCGAATTTCTATGGGATCGGTGTCTGCCCGACCAAATGTTTGTCTTTGGCGAAGATCACATCGACCACATCCTGGAGATCGCCATCGAGCGCATCAAGCCTTCAAGAACCGCGAACCAGCGTCCCATCGCCGCCAATATCCTGTTTCTGTGCGCGCGATACGCCCACTACTGGAATACCTCAGATATCCTCACCGACTTTTTCAAGAGAGCCATCACCCGAGTCATTGATGTTGTGGCGGTAAGTCGCATTCATGGCTGCTGCCCTTCGACTAGGCCGCAGCGCGGACTGCTCCGGCAAGAACGACTTTGCCCCTCACTTTGCAGGTGGCGGAAATGCCCTCTTGTGCACTCTCCTGGTCTCTGGCTGCTGTAGACCCATCCTCTGTCTGAGACTCGATTCCTTGCTGCTTCTACATGGCTATTTTCGTCTCGCTCCTGGTCTAACGCTTGCCATGCCTCCACTTGTCCCCTCCGCAGCATACTCCCGAGGACCTCAACATTATCTCGTACTGGATTGCCAACTGCACGCAAATCATCTACTACCTCAAGAAGGACCAGGGCCTGGTGGCCACGACCTTCCAGGCGCAGGCGACCTTGTCAGAGCTCATCAACGAGCTCGCGAATCTGCTCATCCAGGATCTGCAGCGCCGTCTTCTGGCCCTGATCGATGATGCCATTCTGGAGCACAACGGCGAGGACAGCCGGGTGCGCTTCGAAAACATTTTCTCGAGCTTTTCCCGGCGCCGCAGCCACTTGCGCCGTCCCAAGGCCCCGATGGCTGGTAGCCGCCCTATCAAGATCCGGTCGAGCTCCCTGCACTCCAAGCAGCCCTACCAGGTGTCGCCCTGGACCATCAAGAACCTGTTCCACTCGACGCTCCTGATTATGATCCACTGTTGCGTGCACCGGTCCATTATCCAGCAGGTCTTCCAGCAGGTCTTCCACTTTTTCAGCGCCCACATCTTCAACCGAATCCTGAGCCAGAAGCAGTACTGCTGCCGGTCTCGTGCCATCCAGATCCGCATCAACCTTACCCCGATCGAGGACTGGGTCCGCGAGTGCCCGCGATATTTCCGCACCGACGGCTCGTGCAATCTCCTGAAGCAGCTCCGGCCCGTCGTCCATCTCACCCAGCTCCTGCAGGTCATCACGTCGATACAAGACCTGGATGGCTTCACCGAAACCATGATGACGCTCCACAGCCTGCGCATACCACAGGTCAGCGCGGCCATGCAGAATTACAAGTACGAGGTCGGCGAGCCGTCGTTCTCGGAAGCGGTCGAAATTTATGTGCAAAAGGTGGTCGAAGATATTGAAAAGGCCGTCAAGACCGGGGAGGAGCCTGATATCCCTACCTTCCGGAGTGAGCTTTCGTCGACTTCGTCCTCGTCGTCGGCCTCTTCCGGCAGCCAGCTCGCCGAGCACGAGCATGACAACAGCTTGGATCCGTATATGGATCCTGACTACCTGCTGCCCTTTTCTGTGCCTGCGATGACAAACCCGGACGACGGTTGGCCCGGCAGCCTGACGCCGTACATCCCCAACGATATCTTTGAACTGCTGGACAAGAAAGACGAGAACTACAGCGACCCCGACTACATGAACGAGATGGCTGACCGGCAGTGCGACGAGGCTTGAAGGATCCGTGCCCCCTCGCCCTCCGTCATTCTATGCCTCTGTTTCTCTCGTGACGATCCCATAGACATTCTGCTTTATCCGATGTATTTTTTCCCCCCATGTATTTCCCTCCCGAGCGATTCTTGTGATGTGTCTCGATTCAGTTCTTGTCTTGGTGCCTCCGATCGGGCTCCTGCGTACGAGTTCACGCATTTTCCTTCGTTTGTTGATACAGCGTGCCCATGTTGAAACGGGAGGCCTGTCTTGTTCTCGCTTCTGAATACATGCATGTCCGTCCCAATTGCCTAGGAACATCGCATCTTCTCGAGTCCAACAAGCATGCCTGGCGTATCGCCATCCACACAACGCCAGCAGTGCAGCTGTTCCCGCTGATGAGTGCACCTCAATTATACGTGCTGTATTCAGAAGCTGACAGAGTGTCTTGGTTTCTCCGGATGTGAGCTGCGCGGTGTCCCTGGATGATGTGTCGGGCGCCAGACTTGCAGAGAGCGACGGCACTCTGTCCTGAGCCGGCTGGCTGGCTATGGGCTTCATCCGCTCGTTACCTCTACCAGAGTGTATCCTTCGCGACTTGCTGGTGATTTGTGGAGCTTATGGTTCAGGAAGCGGACACTCCGCAAGCTCACTCCGCCAACGACGACGGCGAGCAAGAGAGCAATGACCCACCAATACAGGTCCAGCCACACGCCGCCTGAGGATGAAGACGAGTCAGTGTCGTTGGAAAACCGAAGCGTCATGGACTTTTTGAGGAGCCCGAGAGCCATCGTCACGGCAAAGAGCCCAAAGGTGAAGATGCCAAAGGCGATGTGGATGATGCGGAACCGTCGGCCGGACTTGATCAGGTATGCAGGCAGGATTTGGAGCGTGGTCATGGCGACGATTGCGGCCAGGCCGAGCTTGGAGTGGAGGTCTTTGAAATGCGTCGGCTCGGGTTTGAGGGAGCGGGTGTAGTAGACAACGCCAAAGGACATGCATATCAGCGCCGCCGAGAGCAGCTGGAGACGCTTGTGCAGATCGATGGACATCTTGGTGGCCCCGAGGGCTTTGCCGGCAGAGCCGGTGTATCGTGGAAACCACAGCAGGGCTTGGACGGTGGCGAGCAGCGAGAGCACCGCAAGCAGAGGATGCAGGAGGAACAGCTTGTAGCCGGGCTGGAAGACGGTAAGGCGGAGGACCGAGAGCGCCGCAAACAGAATGACAGCGCCCTGGAAAATCCGGGTGAGGATCTCAGAGGGAAGCATCTCGGGGAGGTTCACGGATCGGTGCAGCCGACGCCCGAAGCCAGATGGAGGACAGAGGGGGCCCGTCTTGGACGCCGACATCCAGCCCGACATCAATAGTTCCCATGGACCGGCCGGCCCCCAGCACCCCCATCTCACCGGTAGATTCATCGGCTCGGTGCTGTCGCACGGATATCGAGCGCATGGTAGAGAGTCATTGCGGAGCAAAGGAATCTCTGTTCGAGCCAACAAACTAATGTTGCTGGACGGGTCCGCAAGCCGAGGCCCTTAGTGCGTGCTGTAGAATCGGTAGTAGCTCTCGCGCTGGCCTTCGCCGCCTTTCCGTGCATCCAACGAGAATTTGTATGCGCTGCCATCGGCACACAAGGCGAGCACGTAGATCTCTGCCCCGGGGGCCGTCGTGCTCCGTGGGGCCTCGAGATCGTCTACGATGAAGGTGCAGAGGCATTTTGACTCGGTGGGCAGCGAAAAGTGGCCAAAGCTCCATTCCGACGAAAAGTACTTTGGCAGGTACGGCGACAGAAACGACAGCGACGACTGGCGATTTCCCGTTGATGACGAACTTGCACCCCCAGATGCAGAGGAGGCGCTCGGACTTGAGGGCGGGGCAGCGCGAGGCGAGTTCTGCGAGGAAGACAGCGAGCGGTCACCGACAGACGGGTCTGCTGATGCCGCAGGCGATCCCGGGATGCTGCCTTGTGCCAGATTGAAAATATGCACCGTGCCTTTGTCGCTGGCAGTGCACAATCGGGTGCCTTCTGCGTTGAAGCTTATGCAGTAGATCTCGGCCTTGTCGGCACCACGGCGGAATTCGTGAAGCAGCCGGCCGCTGTGGGTATCAAAGACTCGCAGCAGCGTGCCGGTCTCCGAAGCCGTCGCCAACAGATGGCCTGTATGCGAGAGCGCGAGCTGCTGGATGTAGGTGTTGTGGGCCGGAATGATCGATAGTACCGGAGCAGAAAGCACTGCGCCTTCCCAGACCAGACCTTTGGGGAGCTTGATAATCTGGATCTGACCCTTGGATCGGCCGGGAAAGGCCACCAAGGCACCTCCGGCGCCTGACACTGCCGACACGGCAACCAGACCTCTCTCGTTGTCCGATGTTTCGAAGTTGTGGAGCATCTGGGGAGTGGCCGAGAGTGTGTAAATGAATACTCGATTCAGGAGCACCACAATGATCCTGGGCGGCGGCATTGGGACAGGCCGCGGTTGAGAAATGCCAAAGGCAGCCGGGCACAGACGATCGGGTTTCATCGGCATTGGCGACGATGGGATTTTGCCACAAGACGCAGCCGTAGCAAATGTTCAGCCGTGGTTGTCGAGGCAAGACCAAGTCGATTGTCCGCAGCGACCCCAGAGCCGACCCGATCCGCACACAGGAAGTTGCGCAGATAAATGGGCAGAAAGATTCGGTCAGCCACTCTCTCCTTCTGAAGCGGCAGTAGCGGCAGTAGCAGTAGCAGGAGCAGTGTCATGTACATGGGCAGGAGCAGGGTCATGTACATGGGCAGGCGCATTCTCCCCAGTCGCTCATCGACACTACCTGTCCTTTGTCAGCTTCACGGCCTTTATATCGCTCTTGAATTCGAGCTCAATAATGATTCGGGCCTTCAGATCGTCCCAGATCATCACTTTGTTGGGTGGGAACCGGGGATTCTTGCCGCCGCCAACCAAGGCCAGGTAGTTTGTGCGATGAAGCATCTCGACGATCCCCAGCCCTCCCGAGGATGAATCGAAGATGGACGGACCCGATTCCTCGGCGGTGACTCCGGTTCCAGAGCCACCATCGGCCTGCGAGGCGGCCGCTCGCACTTTGGCCGGACTGAACTCTCTCCGGGTCTTTTCCTTGAGCGGGTTGGTGTTGTAGACCCGGAAGCCGGCCTCTGTCGCGATGGCAAAGCAGCCTTCGTCCTGGTTGAAGGCGATGTACAGCAGTCCAGGGGCAAACAGCGCATTCGCCGAGGATTGCTTTGATAGATGCATGCTGCCGTTGGTGGTGAGGAAAGGGAGGAAGGGCGGCTGCAGGGCCGGTCGACTTGGTTGTGCTGCTCGAGTGCTCGCAAACCCGATCCTCTGCTGCGTTTGTTCAGGCCAGAGCGTCCCTGGCAGCATGGGCCAGGCCCTCGGACACGCCCTCGTCTGCCCTCGTCTGCTCTCGTTCGCCCTCGTCTGCTCTCGTCTGCTCTCGTCTGCTCTCGTCTGCTCTCGTCTGCTCTCGTCTGCTCTCGTCTGCTCTCGTCTGCTCTCGTCTGCTCTCGTCTGCTCTCGCCGAGACGCCCTCGCACGTGATGAGAACGAGCCGAGATCGGCGGCCACGTGACTGCATCTGGCAGATGGCGGCGAGCCGCCTCACGCCGAGCGATCCCGCACACTTTCCCACCCGCAAATCGCCGGTCCTCAAAGCCATGGTAGGCACTGGATGATACTCGCGAACAAAGGCACAGGGAGTGGGATGAGTGTGGCGATTTGCCCAGGCCCCGCCTGCAACTCCCGAGGCGCGTCGCATGGTCGCTTCGGGAGGCGAGCTCGTCGCTTCTGCGCGTCTGCATCGTTTCGGCGTGCCGGTGGCATATACGGGATGTGTGGTGGTGCGCGAGCGTGTGCGAGCGTGCGAATGCCCAAGCCGGTCTGGTCCATCTCGTATATCGGCCTCGGTGACGCCTATCCTGCACAAGCGAACGCCGTGGCGGCTGATATATCTCTGCTTCCAACATCTTGAACTCGATCATAACACACGGCTCACCCAATGAACCATTCTCATAGTCCAAGGGAACCTCGATCAAAGACGCAATCAAGGCCTGGGTGAGTATGATACATTTAATCATGGCATCAGCGATGGAGGGGAGCAGGCGGGATTCCTGCGATGCAATCGTACTGGCGAGTTCGACATATGGACGATGCGTTCTGTGACGGTTGCTTTTCGCTGCCTCGAAGCCTCATTCGACGGGTACAATCTTGTATCGCATGTGTGCAGGAAGAAAAAACGGGCCAGGTCGCTGCTGAAGCCAAAATCATCAAGTTCTGTATGACGCAGCCCTTCATCACTAAAATGGATGCCTCGCTGGCGGCCCTTGTAAACTGCGAGTGGGTTTCGATTGCTCATGATGCCGGGTGCTTTGTTGGGCAGGCCGAGTCTACAGGACTGCGAGATGCCCAGCAGGTCGCACGACAAGGGTACTTACTCATGCTAACGGCGTGGTCACTTTGGTTGGATTGAATCACAGACACCTGGCCCTCTCAACCAACCTGATCGAGAAGATGTCGAATCTGCAGGGCCTATGTGAGTCGCCCGTAGGCTCCACCTATGTGATACAGAGTGGTGGTGGTGGTGGTGGTGGTGGTGGTGGTGAACCCGCCATGGCGACGAGCCGCGGCCATCTTGCTGTGTCGCTGCTGCGGTGGTCCGGGTTTTGACGTCTCTGACTATATCGGATACATCGTTGCGTTCGGCTGCTGCATCACGCCAGCCCACCTCCGCATTCTCTCGCTCGGGCGGAATTGGCTGAAAAAGATTGAAGGACTCGATGCCGTGGCGGACACCTTGGAGGAGCTGTGGGTGTCCTACAACCAGATCGAAAAACTCAACGGCATCGAGTGTTGCAAAAAACTCAAGGTGGTTTATGCGAGCAACAACAAGATCAAGGCCTGGGACGGTATCATGTGTCTGGTGAGTATCCAGGTCGAGGGCATGGAGGCTCGCCTGCTGTCGCCTTCGAGAGTTGCATCGCACCGTGAGAGTTAGCTGGTGGTCCTGACCGACTCTGGCGGTTTTCAGAAAGATCTGCCTCAGCTGGAGGACGTGCTTTTGGTGGGAAACCCGGTCGAGGAGAAGGCCACGGCCGATGGGGTTTGGGTGAATGAGATGACCAAGAAGTTTCCCACGCTCAAGCGGCTGGATGGCAAGCCCATCATTCACGAAGAGGAGGGCGACGAAGAGAAAACAGACTGAGGACCATCAGTTGTCCCCCCCCCCCGACGGAGCTCAAGATGCGGAAGATCGAGTCGCTGGTTGGATGATCGATGCGGTCCGGCCCTGGTAAACGCGCTGCCCTCAAGATCGATCCTCAAAAGCACGTTGGATCACAGAGAGCTGCTGTCTGGTCACTATTGTCGTGAATCAATGGCCCTCGACAATAACACACGATCAGAGCGACAGCTCCACTATCGCCGCGTTGTTGCGAGCTCTGTAGACAACTCTGGTGTTCAAGCGCGGTGTGCTATCAACAAACGCAGAGGTGGGATGGAATGGCAGGGACTTTGCGACAGGTCACTTTCCAGGCCCCATCATCCCGTTTCGCACACGTTTCAAGGGCCCCAGCCACACGTTGTGGATGCACAATCTCGGCTGCATCGCGCAAGGACACGGGGACGATGTGGGAGACGGTAGGGATAGAGTGTAGGTTTAAGTGTCTGTATTCTACATTTCCATGAAAGCCAGCATTGGGCTTGGACATTGAAGTCGGAGTTGGCCAAGGCTGGAGACCAGCATAGTCATACAGGAGAAGAAGACACGCCAATCAGAAACAAAAAGAAAGAATATTGCGCTGGATTGGCGGAAAGCGATAGTAGGCGCACAGCAGAGGAGTATAGAGGAGGGAAGTCGTACACCAAAGATAGAAGTGAAGATCGAAAAAAAAAATAGTCTCAAAGAAGAACACATGTCAGCGGGCGGCATCTCGGGGCATCTCGGGGCAGGGCAGGGCAGGGCAGGGCAGGGCGGATCTGGCTGGCTGGCCTTGGTTGGCACGAAAGAGGACTTGGACACGCGCTGCCTGGACCTAGTGGCCAGGAAGCGAGTCTGTGGGAGTCAGAATCATAGACGATACCCGCGAAGAAACGTGGTTTGTGTCAGGGAGAGACGGGGTGTGGCCGGCAATGTCGGATCCGCTGATGGAGGGCGACGCAGCTTGCAGGGCTTGGACAATTTTGGGGTACTGCTCGGTCGAACAAACGCAGACGATGGGGAAGGCGCCCTGTCGGCCGGTCTCGATGATCTGGCCAAGGGCCCAGCCGTCGTCAAAGGAGCGGAGAACCTTGATGTTCTGGCCCTGAGTCAAAGGAAGCTCGTCACCAAGCTGCGACTCGTAAGGATGGATGGCCGTCACGAGCTGGCCGGCGATAACGCTGGTCAGGGGAGTGAAGAGCGAGTCCGAGTCCCGGTTGCTCGAGGGAAGGCTTGCGGGAGGAGGCGTATAGGGTGCGGTGGTGTTGATGTGAGGCGGTACATAGGACGGCTGCAGACCGGCAGGGCCAGCTTGTGCGGCTGGGATGGCCACCAGAGTTTGCGGAGTATACGATGGACCGGCCAAGTTCGAGCTCACGGCTGGCTGATAGGCTGCCGGCGACGTGTACAAACCGACGGCTGGTGAAGGCTGCTGCGAAAACGAAGGAGTGAGCTGTTGTGGGAAAGCCGGAGTTGGGACCTGGCTTGGAGCAGTGTAGTGGCTGGAGGCGGGAGTGGCCTTCTCCGAGGGACTGAAGGACATCTCGGAGGGAGGGGCGGCACTGTAGGGCGGAAGCTGCGATGGGATAAAGATGGTTTGGCTGGTGGTGGGGGAGGCAATGACGGCGCTGTTTGGCAGAGCCGGGGGTCGGTTTGCTGGGGGAGCGCTTCGGGGCGAAAGGGGAATTGGTTGCCCAGGGATATCGGCCACTTCGCGCGAAACATAGGCTGGGGAGGCATTAAAGCCCGTGTAAGGAGCCGCCGCAGGCACAGGAGGGTGCTGGGCCGGACCAGGCTGGCTGGGGTAGGCGTAGCCTTGGTTGTTGCTGTTGCTGGTGTTGGGGGATCGAAGGCCACCGGCGTACGCAACCGGGGGTGAGGTGGGACCCACTGACCGGGCGTTTGCAGGGCTGGCATGGCCCGACATTGGCATCAGCTGGGTTCCGCTGGGAGCCGGTCGATGTCCAGCGGCATTCAAGACCTTGTAGTTCCCGTCGCTGGTCGAAGAGTTGTGGCGGCGACGGACCAAAACTACAGCAACGATGGCACAGAGCACAAGAGCGCCACCGACAGAGCCGAGGATGACCGGGAGATTAATGGAGGATCCGCCACTGCTTGCCGGGGTAGGGCTGGCCGTTGGAGAGGCGGCACCTGTTGGGGAGATGGGTGTGGTGGTCGAAGAGGCTGTGGCAGTGGCAGTGGCAGTGGCAGTAGTGGTGCTCGACGAACTTGTTATATGGGAAGCACAGCAGGGGTCATTCGGTAGCGAGCTACATCCGTTGGCCATGTCCGTGGCATCGAGGAAGCCTGGAGAAACAACCGAGGTGGTCAGTTTGGCAAACTGGTCAAGACCACTGCCATCGTGCCTGGCCGTGCTCGGCCGTGCTCGCGCCGGAGGTGGTGGGATCACCAAGCGAGCGCACTCCAGCTCCACAATATGCAGATATGCATCGACGCACATGGACATGTGCATGGACACACAGCGGACATGTCCGCTGGCATTGCCCGCGCACACCTGCATCCTTGACGATCGAGCTGCTTGTGCAGCCAACTCACCACAGAACTGGACGTCTTGGTCCACGCCTGCATAGCACGGCCCGCCATTCGGCGTCGCCAGGTCCGCCGGGGCCGTCGTCGAGCAGTACGTCTGGAAGGTGCCCAGGGTCGTGGTCCGGCCCTGCGACTGCGTCGTGTTGGAGGTGGCAGGACAAGCGGTCGGGTCGTTGAGGAGCGACTGGACGCTCGCAGTGGCAATCTGGCACTGGGCCGTGCACAGGGCCGGGCCGTGGACGGGGCTGCCGGCCGGAGGCGGGCACGAGCAGCTGCTCTGCATGATGTTGTCGCGGATGATGACGCTGCACCAGAACGAGAGCTGGTAGCGGAAGTTTTGGGAGATGAAGGACGAGGCCGATGCCGAGCAGCCCTTGTTGGAGATGAAGTTGTCGGCGACGACGCTGATGGTTTCGTAGCGCTGGATCATGACCTGGTTGAAGGTGTCGGTGTTGACGCCCGTGGCCGGGAACTCGTCAAAGTAGAGACTGTTGATGCCATAGCCGACAAAGCTAGAGCCGCAGATGTTGTTGGCGGCGAGCGGGAAGCAGGCGCCCGGGGTCTGGCAGAAGGCATCGGCATGCTGCACGGTGGCGAGCAGGCAGGCAGCGACGCCGGCAGTCCAGAAGAGGCGCATGGAGGGCGACGGCCAAAGGAGACAGCAGCTGGAGAGGGCAGGGCGGCCTGCTGGGTGGCGGGGAGGAAGGCGACCGCAGGACGATCGGCCAGACGAAGATCGAGACCGAGTCCAAGACGAAGACGATGACCAAGTCCAAGACGACGGCCAAGACAGATTCAAGGCCGGCAAGCCCGCTGCAACGGCGCTTTGCCCTGGGGGCGAAGGCCAGCGGCGAACGGCAAAGGGGCAAGACAACTGAGCAAGGAGACGACGCGCACACGCGCAGCCCATGTCGCACGGCGCCCCTGTGCACACCTATCGACGCGTTCACTGGTGGAAGCAACGCGCCTGTCGAGTGGAACGACGCGCTTGTATCGTGTTCCACAGAGTGCGCACATGCATCAGACGCGCTGCGGTGCGCGCGAGTGCGTGGCTGCTCCCGTGCGACACAGGCGCCTGGAAAGGCAAGCGGGGCGTGACGCGGCCTGGACGGGCGAAACCAAAGAGGCGTGTCGGCTGGCACCAGAGGACCCTCTGTCGCCTGTGTTTGATTGAGTGTTGGGCCAGAGGTGGTCGCGGGAGTTGGCCGGATCCTGATCAGCAGCGTCCGCTATGCGGTGGTTGCGGTGGTGGATGTGGTGGGTGCGGTGGGCGACTGCCGGGCAACGAATCACCACCACCACCACCACCACCACAACCACATGCGCCAAACATGCAACGCGTGCGGTAACGTCGCCAAGGCCGGTCTGTTTCGGGCTTTGTGCAATGTCTATTCCCTGCCTTGCGCCCGCAGTCTCACCATCGGAGACCAAGGAGCAAGCAGGCAGAACAAGCAAGGAATCATGGTGGAGGAGGGGGGTGGGCCCACGAGCCCCAAAGAAATGCAGGAGGATACAGCGGGTGAAAATGCAAGTTCAAGGCGGATATGGTGCAAGATTGAGGCAGCCAGCGCGAGCGCCATCGCGCGGCTCCTGGATTTCTGGTGCAAAAGGTGTCTTTCGGCTGCGTGAAGGTTGATGGTCGTCGGAACAGCGTCGCAACGGCCTCGGCCTGCCACTTGTCGGCTGCGGCGAGCATGTCGTCGCTCCTGGTGCGCTGACTCGGCCGTGGGAGCCGTCGTCGTCGTCGTCGTCGTCGTCGGTGACGTTCAGCGGGGTCACTGCCTTGTCGCTCCAGTCCCACTCCCCTTCCTCGCAAGAGGCAAGGCCCCGCTCGAGCTCGAGCGGGCGGAATTGGTCCTCGGGACCGCGCGGGATTCAAATGCGGTGGGCGTTCCGACGAAGCAGAGTGGGAAGACACCCTTCTTGTTCGTCCCCGGCAGCAGCCCCAGGCCCCATCCGTCGTCGTATGCCGCCAGCACAATGACGTCCTGGCCGGCCTGCAGCGAGAGTTCGTCGGCCATTTGCGACTGGTAGGCCTGGTGTACCTTGTACAGCCTCGGCGAGTCGCGCGGCTTGGCTGGTATCCAGGCCCGCTCCATGGCCGCCGTCATGAATGGGCTTTGGCTGATGCTGAAGTTGTCGACCGACATGATCGGCGTCTCCACACCGGGGGTCGTGACCGATGGGATGCTGTATCCCGATGTTTCTGATGGAGCCTCCGACTGGGCTTCCGACTCGGTCTCGGATGGCGTTGCCGACCGGGGTGTCAGCTCGGCTTCTGCAACGGTCTCGAACGTGGGCTTTCTCAACAGAGCCATAGCCGAGGATACGCGCGAAAGCGACGAATGGTTGCTGGGGCCGATCGTGCTTGGGACAGTTGCTCTCATACTGTATCGAAGAGTTGGCCTGGCGCCGATCTTGGATCTCGGCCAGCTTGGCCGGCCTCGTCGACGCATGTGTACATAGAGTGCCACGCCGGCAACGACTGCTATTGCGACGGAGCTGCAGCCGAGTACAACCGCCAGATTTGCAGAGGAGGGGGTTGGACCCTGGCCGGGACCAGGGCCAGGGCCGACGGTCGCATTGGGTCCCTGGCCTGGGTTTGAACTTGAGTTTGGACCGGTACAGCAGCTGTCGCCGGGGTTGGAAGTGCACCACACACCTAGGGCCTGTGCATCTCGGAATCCTAAAGCGTCGTCGAGTCAGTCAATGGCGGAGATGCTGAGTCAACCAATGGCGGAGATGTCGAGCACGACAGCGACGGGCAGGTTTGCCCAAGCAACATGCAACATGCAACATGCAACATGCAACATGCAACATGCAACATGCAACATGCAACATGCAACATGCAACATGCAACATACATATCATAGAGCCTCTTCTGTCCATCGCTGCCGGTACCTACCGCAGAACTGAGCCTCCATCGGCACTGGCTGCTTGCACGAGGCCGGACTGGAGCTGTTGGCCGAGAGCAAGCAAAACGTTTGAAACTTGCTGATGCTGCTGCTTCGGGCCTGTACAATGGTTTCATTCGACGAGCTTGGACAGACGGAGGGGTCGCTGAGGACTTGTTGCAACGACGAGGCGGCCAGTGCGCACTGAGGGGCGCACAGGAATGGGTTGTTTTGTGGTATCGATGGCGGCGGGCATTGGAAGGCATCATTGGCAATGTTGTCATGCACAATCCAGCTGCACCAGAACGAGATCTGATAGCGCAGCTCGAACTGAATGGCAACCTGGACGCCGGGACCGCATCCTTTCTGCGAGTCAAACACCTCGGTTACGGCGCTGGTGTTCACAAAGGTCGTGTTGATGTAGCTGCTGAAGTTGGCGGTGGTATCGGGGATGTTGGTGACGCTGGGCAGCGGGTAGGCCCGGTTGATGTAGAATCCGGCGTACTCAGGGCCGCAAATGTTGTCGCTCGTGAGCGCAAAGCAGTCGCCTGCAAGTGCTCTGGCGACTGGGAGGAACTGCATCAGCAGGACCAGCACAAGAGAAAGCGCCTGCATCAGCGGCAGCATTGGCGAGCAAACAAGGTGCAAAGGACAGGGCCGGATGCTCTCGTTGAAATGGGGCTTGCAGGGGCGGGCTGGAGCTGGCAAAGACATGCGACGGTTGCCGAGCCGAATAGCGGCGGCAGCAGCAGCAGCAGACAGGCGAGATGAGCAGCAACGATGGGAGATGGCGACAGGAGATGGTGCTGGGATGAGGGGCGCAATGCGCAAGCGCGAAAAGTGTGGCTGGCAATGAGTGCAATGAGGGCAGCGACTGGTGCAACGGCGAGCGCGCCTTGTGCCGTCCGGATTCGGCTGTCCTGGTGAGAGGCCGCAAGGGTGAGGCGAAGCGCAACAGAGCCCAGCCGATGCAATCGTGATGCGGTCGATGCGGCTGCGATCGATCAGAGTGTTCGCCCGTGCATTCGATGGCTGTGTCGAACAGTCCAGCGGCAGCGGCGGCAGCAGCGGCCAAGCGCATTGGTGTCGGTCTTGTCTGTCTTGTATGAATATGAATGGCTGCGTGCTGAGCACCGCGAACGTGCTCGTCGCAGAGGTCCGGTGTCTGTCGATTGAGTTGGCTCGTCTTGGACCTTCCGGCCTTGGGCTTGTGCCCAATGGAGACACATGCAATTCAACAGATCACTTCCGAGTGAAGACCACTGGCCGCTCTCTGGTCTCCACCATCGACCTGCACACCGGTCTCGCAGTGCCAGCGGTGAATGGTGCTCTTGGACACACTGGCGAATGGCCATGGGCAACAAATTATTCGATCCATGGCCAAAACCAAGGTGTCCCCGTTTCTTTCTGGAACGCCTGTAATCATCCGCGCAGACATGTCCATCCAGAACCGAGCCCATCCAGAATCATGTCCATCCAGAGCCATGCGCATCGGAGCGATGCACGTCAACACAATGCATCGAATCGCCCGCACTCGCATCTCGACTGTTCCGGCCGCCAAACGCAAACACATCCGGCCTGGATCTATTTTTAGCACCGTGCGACCACGGCAACGAACTGCTTGCGTTCTCTCGGGCCTGATTTTCTCCCGGTGCTCTCGTTGTCCAGCAGCATGGCGCCGTCGTCTCCGTCGGAATCGATCATGAGAGCCCCCAGTCCCTCCTCGTCTGTAGACCAACGACAGACACCGTCACCGCCGTCCCCGCCGCCCCACAGGCCTTGGCTCGGGCTCAAGCGGGCCCGCGGTGTCTGGGACTTGACGACGATACCATTGGATACCGACTTTGAGGTCTCTGTCAAGCTCGTTTTCGTCTCGGAAGCAGCGCTCCATACCCCGCCCATCTGCGTCGACTACGTTCTCGAGTCGATGGAATATGTTCGGATCCTCAAGCGCCACATCAGCGTGCTCATGCCCTCGAGCACTTCCAGCGACGGACAGGAAGACGACGACCACTCCGGACCGCTCATCTCCCTGGTCCACAACGGAGTCGAACTGGAGGATACATCCCAGGTGAGGGATCGGCAGACTGAGATGCACTATCGAGTTGCCGGAGGAGATTGCTGTGGCAGAGCCATGATGCATGTCTAGTGCATGGGATTACTGTCTTTACTGCCGAGGCCACTTCTGCTCGCGCACAGCCTAACGGCAACTTTGCTCTCAGCTATTTGAATACAAGATCAAACAGGGGGACACGATCCAGGTCGTCTGGATAGGACCAACGCACGACCGCAAGATCGAAGAATAAACCCGGCAGTCACATCCGGAAGTCGGTTCTATCCATCGTTCGCAGCGAACGGCAAAGTGCCCAACAAGTCCCAATCGAGCTTCCCAGTCGAGCTTCCCAGTCGAGCTTCCCACGCAAATGCTCGCTGTCACTGGAATGGGCCCTTCAAGAGTAGACTGTCCCTTGATCGACGCCTTCCTCTTCCATCCGAATAGACATTTTCAGATATCAGTTTTATCGCGCCTGCCCTCGATTTTAGGTGTGTTTACAGTCTATCCAGAAAAACAGGACAGTTCCCTCCTGGCTTCAGATGTCTGAACCCGCTGACTGAGTGTAGGCCCAGCGGGTAGGCCATGGCATTGCACTCCTGTCTTCGTTGGCAATCTCTTTGTTTTGGTTGGTTTGGGAAGCATGGTCTTGAATACACTCGGTCGATCTCCTGTGGCGATGATCGACTGGCATACCGAGATCATGTTCCTGGCTGCATTGATGTCTCGATCCCACAGCGTATGGCAGCTTGCACAGCTCCGGACAAAGTGTGGTTTCTCGATATCAAGATGGTGCTGTGCTTGGCCATGAATGCGATGAGTGGGTGGGTGTATTCAGGTTCCAGAAAAAACACAGTCATAGCCCAAAACGGGGGTGTCCCCATTTCATTTAGGAAACGATGTAGTTGGGGTATCGGCCGAGATTCACAGGTGCTCGTGGCGTGGTGGCCAGTGTCAGCAGCCATATTCAGCATCCACATCACTGCACCGGGCGGCCCGCTAGTATTGATGCGTTATTAGTGTCGCCTGGTGCATGATATCGGCGTGCGAGTTAGGCGTGGTCCGCAGTTGTCCACAGGTGTCGGCTGTGCAGGCTCATGAGAATGCCTGCCTCGAGCTCACTGCACATGCAGACCAGCTGCAACCCAAGGTCGTGCAGCTTGCAACGTCGACGAATCTTCTTCAGTGGCAGGGTGCCCCGTTATTGTTTGGGGAACTGTGCCAGCCATGGCCTCCTAACTCTCATCTGCCTCTCAGCTGCCGGTCCCTCTGTGGCGCATCCGCCAAAAAGTCCTTCAGGGGCGCCGGCTCACCGGAACCGTTGCTTGGACACCATCGCCCCGACACCATCGTCCCGACATCATCGCCCCGACATCATCGCCTCGACGCCGGCGCTTGACGTTGTCTCCCCCCCCCCGGCGAATCGAGTCCGCACAGATATCCGTTGATGCCCACAGTGGCTCTCTTGGCATCCGCACCCCTGCGATGAGCAGCTCATCGTCATCCTTGCCCAGCGCCTTGCTTTCGCCGTCCGAGCGTTCCGCCCATATCCTCGACCCAACCAGCAATAGTTCCGACAGTGATGAAGTCTTGTGTCTATCCCAAAAGAACTTGACCGCTGTTCCCGCGTACGTGATGCGTATGGTCCATCTGAAGCGGCTCAAGCTCGACCACAACATTCTGACGTCGCTGCCGGCCGATTTCGTCGGGTTGGTCCATCTGCGTTATCTGAACCTGCGATCTAACGGGTTTACCATCTTCCCTTTGACGGTAATGGTGTTTCCCTTCGCCGATTGGCTTGCGAGCATTGTGAAGCCGCTTCTCTCTTATTGGTGTCTCGGATCGAGCATTGCCTTTCGATCTCCCAGGCCGGTCGCTGCTCTGCTGCTGTTGCCGGGTATCCGTGCGCTTTCCTTGGCTTCTGAGGCAGGACAATTGCATATTAACCCGCCTGGCATCTTTGTCTTGATCGGTAACGGGGTCTAATCTGACGATAGATTTTTGAGCTGCCGAGCCTCGAGGCTCTAGGTTCGTATGGGTGGCGGGCCGTACTTGGTGGGCTTGGCGCAAGCATTGCAGTGGCCTCGCTTTGGCAACAGCAGCCGCTCTCCTTTGTTCCAGAGCTCGCTCGTTTACCGGCCCCAATTGCGCTTCGGATGCAGATCTCAGCAAGAACAAAATCGAAGATATCCCTGATCGCCCCGATTGTTTGAAGAAGTTACGGGTATGCTGTTTAGTGCAACGCCTGCTTCTCCAGATGGCAGAGTAATGCGCTTTTGGTTGAGGGCCGGGAAACGCTGGTGCACTCTAATGGTATCCCGCTCGGCTACTGACTCATCATCGTACCTGGACTCTCAGATCCTCAGTCTCAGCGACAATGTACTAAGGAAGCTTCCCCGTTTCTTTGGAGGACTGGATCGCTTGGAGCGTCTGATGATCGGTATGTCTGGCCGCACTAATGAGCACAGTGGAGCCTCCAAAGCCGTCAATCGATGACTATTCTAGATGTCAAGGAGAGCGGTCGCCATGCACAGACATGCACAGACATGCACGGACATGCGAGTCAATTCTCATTTCCCCCTGTTTGTCCGTTTCCCGGCAACAGCACACAATCCAGTTGTCTGGCCGCCGCCCGAAGTATTGGAGGGCTCAAGCGACGACGCTGCGTGGCTAAACAGGGTCAAGCAGTTCCTGAACTCCTCGAAAGGTTTGTCATTTCTGGCGCAGGCGGAGCAGGTTCATGCAGGCTCATGCAATCTCATGCAGGCTCATGCAGGCTCATGCACGCTCATGCAAGCTCATGCAGGCTCATGCAGGCTCATGAAGCTGATGGGATTGGGACAAGGGCCAATCGTACATAGCCAGAGCCGCGGCCAACACTGCGATCTTGAGCCAGCAATGAGCGTTCCCTTTCTAGAATGCTAACAGTCTACCTTCTGTTTATTGCGTTTCTTTATACTGCGGTGCTGCTCATTCGTATCTCCTGAACGGCCTTCGAATCGCGGTCATGGTCGACAGACAATGCCGGCCAGGGCTCTGCGGCCTCCCACCCAGCACATACTTCGGTACCAGCAGTCGTACGAGCCCCAGAGAGCCCACGGACCTTCAACCGCGACTCGATCAACGTCCCTCCCTCGCCGAGCATATCCGCACCCCGAGGAGGTGGAGGGCCCTTGTCCATGGTGCGGGTTTCGTCAGCCGGGTCGAGTAGCATTCACTCTGTCAGTGTCCCCATGACCAAGACCCCATCATCCGGAGCCCTTTCACAGACATCGGTCCGACATGGGCGAAAGCCGAGCGAATCGATCAGCGGTGCTCGCGAGTGCGATGCACTTTGCGACATTTACTTCCGAACCTCTTCCGAAACACCGATCGATGCCCATGGGCTGGGCTCTGAATGGGATATTGGACTTTTAGAAATATCCCGGACGATGGCATTCGCCTCCGCCCAGCTGTACAGAACCATACGCAACCTTGTCGTTGGGACTGTCGATCGCGAGGCATCCATCAAAGACTTTGAAAAAGAGCTCAAAGATATGAATCGGAGAACGGTTCGACTTCTCTCCCTCCTGACGAGTATCACCACCCCTCCTGCCGACGACACCCAAAGGATCTCGACTCGGGACGTGTGGCGAACTCTTATGATCCGTGTCAAGGAGTTTACCCTGGAGGCTGCGCTGGGCTCCAAGCGCTTGGTCCTGGCTGTCCAGGATGCTCTTCCCACTCTTCTCTCCTCCGTCGACGGAAGGTTGGCTCGGGCTTTCATGCTTTCGTGGCAAGGAGTCATTACCGAAGTGATCGACGCCGTGGAGTCGACTGCTCGGCTGAGAGTCATAGCTCACGATGCCGGGCCGTCACCTCTGGCGGCCGCAGCAACCATATCCTCGACAATCAGCGACTCGACCTTGACAACCGAACGAGGCCCGAGATCCAGTCAGCTCCGTACGTCGCTCCAACGGACGTTCCCCACCGAGCTGTCGCTCGCAGAGGCCTCGACGCTGCCATCGGGCTGCGACGAAGAGCTGTTTGCCTTCACCGAGATCTCGATCAACGCCGTCATCAACGCACTCGACCTCCTTCGGGGATTGCCGGTGCAGCTCAAAGAGTCTTTGGAGCCGCAACGCGTCTCGGATGAGCCCGATTCAAAGCTGCTATTGGCATCTACCGAGAGTCCTCAGGTTGCTGGCCCTCCTGGGGGCTTTGTTCAGTCGTCTGTGCAGGCCCTGCAGCTTTCATCGCTGATGCAGCAGCTGGATACGGCAAACCACAGGCTTAGTTCGGCGTATGAAGCCCTGGCCAAGACGCCCTCGAGCGTTTCCTGCCAGGAGTTGTTTTTCGAGGAGGCTTTTGCTTTTCTTAAGGTGAGAGGTGTTTGCACAAAGAGGGAGACATCACCCACCCAACTCAAAGTTGCCCCGCGCTTCAATGCGAGCCGGCGATCCCGTAAGCGGACTGTGCTCGGCGACCGTTTCTGCTGGTCGCCTCCCAAAGCTGACGGTGGGATATCGCCGTCGTTGTGGGTTGGGTTGGAGTCGTGATTCCTGACCCTCCTCACTGTTACCGTTGATACTGCGATTGCTAGGTCATCGTGGGCCTCAGCTCGCTGGCACGCGATATATCACAGTGGTTCTCACTCAGCCGCCAGCTCACGGCAGTCTTGCAGCATCTCAGTCACTCAACCAAGGCGCTGGCCGTTCTTCTCCAAAACTACCGCCACAATCGACTTGGCGGTGCCACCAAATAGACAAAGCACTAGAGCCGTATCGCGAGTTCAGCTTGATTGGGATATGATATTGGGAGCAGCTGTGGGGCCATCGCCGTGGGGCCATCGTCGGGGGGCTTCAGCCGAGACTCGCTGCGAGAGTATTTTACGAATGTGCCCTGGTGAATCGTGCAGGATAAGCGATGGCGCTTCCGTGGTTGAGAATGCTCAACGAAGGAGTATTCCACCGCCGCAACAGACGCACATTCCCCTGTGCCCACACACCAGCTGTGCGGTTTGTGGAAGCGATTGTGCTGTAGACTTTGCAGGGCCACCGTGTTCATCAGCATATACGTTCGCGGCAGAGTGTATATGAGCTCCGTGGTGGTGCCAAAGCACAGTCTCTAGTACAGGCCGCTGTGCTTGCAGTAGCTGACGGATACTGTTCTTTGGGATTGCATGATCGCACTGTCACCAGAGACATGGCGCACGGACGCTTTTTCTGCGCTTTATTCGGCACGATTGAGCTTGTTCTTGAGGACAGCTGTCGTGCGCTGCGACCGCTGCAGAAGCTGATTGCTGAGAGTGGGAGGCAGTGGATCCATCATTGAGTCAGCGCCAAAGATACAATGAGACGGACCACCGAGACAACATGATCGACAAAGCGTTTATGCCAAGGCAGCTGCTTGCAAAACGCACCTATCGTCCATCAAGCGATGAAGGAGATTCCTTTGCTTCGTTCCCAGCTCAACAGCTGGCTCGGCGTCATCGTCTGTCTCTAAACTGAGGCGAGTCATAGCTTTCTCGATCTGGGGTGTCGCGCAAAGACAATGGCGCCATTTTAGAAACGCAACGATCAACCCCAGGTCCAAAGCAGCGTGGGGTTTGTGTGAAACGAGATAGAGAGTGAGAAGGCATGCCTACCTTGTCTGTGTCGTCTTTGAATCCCCTCAGGTTTCGACGAAGCTGCTTGAGCTGCTTGAACCACTTCTTCTCGTCCTCACTCAATTGTGGCTGCGTGTGATCGGTCAAGATCTGCAGCATGGCGTCTGCCTTTTCTCGCTGGGTCTTGTCAGTCTCGATGATCTGGTCGAATCGTTCGACATCTCGTTGACAGTCTCGCGCGACAAGCTGGGTCACGGTGGTTTCTAAATCTGCAAGGACGCTTCGTTGCCTGTTGTACTCTTCGATCTGAAGCAATCGACTGATATAGAAACAAAAGGACAGACACGTTATTGGCTTCGATTCGCGCAATCGAAGATACGAAACGCTGCCTGCTCGCCTTGTCTGGCCCGACATGATCCAACCGGCCCAGTCGAGGTGGTCCTCGTTTGGGATTGCCGCTCCATCTCGGGATCGCCGCTGCACGGCGCCACATACCGCTCCTCGAGATGGGCCGTTGACAGGAGAAGCTTTTCAATATGCTTGTACAGAATTTGGACACAACGCGCGACTGTGCTGAGGTTGTCTTCACTGAGCCCGTCTGGAAACCTGGCGTCTTTGACGAGCTTCAATAGGTTGGTGAGCTGATCTCGATTCAAGGCATCGAACTCTGACACGTTGAACTGGCCCTCGAGGAGAATGGATTGCTCTTGGTTCGAGGAGGGGTTTGCGGTTGGCTCACGGGGTGCCGGCGTGGAGGGTGTGTGTGGAAGCAGCAGCCCAGCGCCGGTGTCGTCCAGAACAAACACACAAGGATGGAGAATGCTTGAATTGCAGGGAGTAAATCCAACGATCGTGGATCTGTTGAACAACGGGTCGACGTGAGCAGCATTACAGAAACAAATCAACACGAGCTGCTTCGGATCACGGGCCTTCCTCGCTGCCCGCGAGCCCAGGCATAAACTCGGACTTGGCCGCCATACCGATCACTTTGGAGAGCCTCGGCGTCGAGCAGAAACTCCACGCGACTGGATTCAGCAGCCTCGAGGGTATCGGAGCCCGTTTGGCGTGCGAACACCTCGAGATGGTAGATGCCGCTGGAGTGAACGCAAAATGCCGAGGAGGGTGCCTGAGGATCGCGGTAGAGCTTGATGTTCACGGGCTCCATCCAGTCGCTTTTGACCTCGGTCCCGAGATAAAGCAAGTCCGAAACATAGAGAGTCCGGCAAGGCTGGGCGATTGCACAGGCGATGGTACTGGTTACTGCCAAAGCCTGCCGGCGCGAAGAGATCTGCATCGAGGATGTGTCCTTTAACTGCGCAGTGATGGACTGGTTGGTTTTCAGGATCTTACCCTGTGCTCCTTGACCGCTTCAATGTTCCAGAAGGGCTGCGAGCTCTCGAGCTCGCTGAAGACGCCAATCATTTTATCCATATATCCAACAACAAGCGTGGCGAACTGGTCAGAGCCGAGACAAAGGATGTCGCATGGGTCTTCGAAGGACTCTTGTGTCGAGGGCTTGAGGAGATACGGTCCTATGCACTTGGGCTTGAAGCTCTTCATAGATCGCGGGATAGTCAGAGTGGCCTGATCCAGAGGGAGCTCCTTGCTTATGATGCTCTCGAGCTGGGCATTTAGATCGGCGACAAACTTGTTTCGCCAAAAGTGGGTCTCGTTTTCAGGAGACTCTGTATGGGTCCGTTTGTCCTTTGCTGGATCGGGTGTGTCTGGTTTGAGGGCTTGTGATGAAAGTCGATAGTCCGCCTCGTTCAATTCCTCCAGCTGGAGCAGCGAAACAGCATCCGCTTTCCTGGAGCAGGCGGCGGAAGCAAAGCCAATCGATACGGGGGGGGGTGTGTGCTTTAGGCGGAATGGCACCAGCGAGGATACGCCCAAGCAGACACAACCATCGAGTCAAATCATACCAGATCGTTGGGGCAACAGGACACATCGAGAACAGGTCACCGTTCTTCATCAGTACGTAGACTGTCATGGGTCCCCATCCAAAGTTTGGGCCAAAAGTAAACGAGACGATGTCGTTCTCATCCCTCAGCAGCCCGAAGCCGTGGCTGCGTCGTGAGGATCGGCTTGCGAACGCAAACTGCTGGTCGATAACATCGGGATCTCTGGATATATCCACGAGCCTAGACCAGGTTGGAGCCGGTTGAATAGGCAGCATTGAATGGCGCAGACAGACAAGACAGAGCAATACCGGGGGAGGGTAGCGCATACCTCAAGACTCCATCTGAGGTCAGTATGCACAACACCGTCTCGGGCGCCAGGGGATGCCACAGAACCTTGACAATGTGAGCGCCATCGAGCGCCGACAGCGCCGACGAGGCGACCTGGAATGACTTGCAGTGTACGATGGGCTTGGATTTTCGGATAGCTAGCGGAGGTATTCGGATGACGTACACTCGGCGCTCGTCAAAAAGTGCAAGCAGGTTTCCTTGGCCGCCGCTCAATACGATGCGCTTGGGCTCAAACGGAATCGATGATGTGTCCAAGATCTAGCAAAATCAAAGCAAGGCGGGTCAGGGCTGGCAAATGAACCGAGACAACGGATACCCACACGGAAGAAATTCAGCAGTATTCATACTCCTCCTGATGCCAATGGAATGCCGCCAGCATGGAACAGCGGCTTTCCCGAGATCCAGATCGACGAGTGATCGAGAGCTTACATTCGACACCTGCTGATCAGGCGACTTGAGGGTTTTGACGTCGACGAGCCACAGATGAGGATGTCGATAGAATATGATTTCTGTTCCACGATACTCGCAGAGGCTGGGGCCAAGAGGCCCCTGATAGCTGCTGCTGCCGGGAGGCTGATCCGTTCCTTCGAGAGCAGCGCACCCGTCTAAGCCTGGAGCGCTCGAGTCCCTTTTCCAGACCAAGCTATCGGCCATTGCTGTCCGCAGGATCAAACAAACTCGGAAAGAAGGAGCGAGTCAAAGAGGGACCCGGATCGGCGTGCAGTGGACTGTGGATGGAACGACAGCCGGGTGTCGGCAGGGCGATGGCTGTGGTTGAAGCAAGTCGGGCCAAGATCAAGCGGAGCCGATCGGCTGCGTTTTGGCGGCGCAGATCCGGGCGTGCTGGTTCCAGCCGACCGACACATCCAATCAACGAACAATCGGTCATCAACAGGGGCCTGGCGACATTCTGAATGCAGGCGCCCGGTCTTGAGGTCGATGGGATGTTCCGGGCCACACCGCCGTATCTGCCTTCATAGAGCTGCAACATAGATGCAGCATGAACCTGATTTGGTGGCCGTTGATGCTGCCCTTTGAACATTGCCGCAGTCGCCCACAGCGACAATGACGGCAAATGGAGAGTGCTCTGATGGGCCCCGGCTCGCACGCGATGTTTTCTGGGACAAGCACGGTGACTTGATACAATTTGCGTGAGTTGTCGAGCAAAAATATATTGGGCGACTCGCGATTCCTATCGTGTACTCGCACACTCGAGAGCAAAGCCGGAGGGCAGCATGACAAGACAAGGCAGGACGGACAACAAAATTTTGAACGGGACTGGGCACATGAGCAAAACGTCGCATTGCGGGGCGAGAGAGGCGCAGTCGATTTCAATATACGAGAGTGCAAAAACAGCTTGACCGCGACCTATCCAGCCACGCTGGCAACCGCCGATCGAGGCTTCCACCCGCGAAGGGATGGCAGTGCCGCTGCCTGTATTCTCGGTCACGATGGATATCTAGTCACGGCAGTGCTTTGGCAGATCAAAGTTCTCGCGACCGAGGTTCTTGGCATTCACGCCCAGACCACGCTTGGCAAAGCCCTTCCAAATCTCGCACGAGTTCTCGCCGCTGTTGTCGACCTCGTCGGCTTGGAGAATGGCATCGCGGGCAGAGATGAAGTTCGGGAAGCAGGGCTGGAGCTTCATGCCATCGAGCACGATCTGGAGAGCAATCACGTTTCCACCATACTTGCCCTTGTGCTTTTTGAAGCTTCGCTTGGCCAGGGCTCCGGTGCGGAAGTCGCGGTAGAGCTCCGAGCCATCGTCATCGTCACCCTGGAAGCCATTGTTGTACCAGTCAGGGTCGTAGCCGTGCTTCTCGACCAGGTTCCAGAAGACCTCGTAGAGGATCTCGGCCCAGACTTCGCCCTTGGCGTGAACCCCAAAGTACGCGGGCTTCATCACAAAGGCGTATGTGGACGGGTTGGTTTTCTTGCTGGTGGAGTACGGGAACTTTCGGATTCCATTTCCGCCGTTGGCGTAAGAGCCCATGGTAAAGTCATCCTCGCGGGTAGACTTGCTGGTGGTGCGGAGGATTGTAGCAAAGTAATCGCCCCAGCCCTCGCCCATGCCGCCGGCCTCACCCCATCCGAGACAGCCCGAGTTGTCCGGGCCGCCGGTCAGACGGGTCGAGATGCCGTGAGCGTACTCATGCATGATGATTCCGCCCTCAAGATCGCCATCATGGTTGGGATCGGTCACGTCCCAAATATACATTCTCATGCGGCCGTTCTGTCCATCCGGAGGAGTGGCAAAGTTGGCTATGAAAGCAGCGAGGGTGGACGATCAACGTTAGTGATGGGCGATTTGATATTGATGGTGGTCACCCCAGCGACTGCACTATCGCAGACGACCACGCTGATGTGGAGCGAGAGCGAGGCACGCACGTTGGGATCATGGTCGCGTCGACCGACTCCCTTTGCCTCTTGCGGCGCTCGCCAGTCGACAACAACAGCAGAAAGACTTACCGTTGTTTGTGCCAGAGCCGTCTTGGGCGTTGGCGATAACAAAGTCGTTGCCCTTGCCCCCGCGACCAAAGTTGTCGAACTGAAAGTTGCCGGACTCCTCGTCAAAGCCATACGTGTAAAAGAGGTCGTGGATAGCATTGTTCCAGTAGAAGAGGTTGGTGATGGCGGCATCCTCATACTCGGTAGGCTGCTGACGCTTGAGATCCACGGGGAAGTCAAAGATCAGGTTGTCGCCACCGTTTGGACGATAGTTGGACTCCCACTCGTCCCCACCATCTTGTGCCGGTGAAGCCGAGGCGCGAGAAAACATGAGGAGTCGCGACGACGTGCCGTTAGTATGGATACGTGCCCGAGACGAGAGTGAGGTACAAACCAAGGGTGTGGCCTACCAGGGTTGTTTTGGGCGAACGCATTGTTTCCGGCCGTCACGGTGAAGTTCTTGCCCTTGGGTCCGTGCTGGGCATGCCAGCCAAGAGGAGAGGCGGTTTTGTGGGCGGGATCGTGAACCAGGACGCGCTCCCCATCGTTGGGGTCGTTCGTTCCGATAGGGTAGACGTTGTATGCAGCGTCTGCGACCCAGTCAACGAGCTGCAGAACCTTGCCGGTCTCGGTATCAACATGGGCATGATACCAGTTGCTGTTCAAGTCCATTTCAATGTCCCACACCAGCCGGAGCTCCACGGCGCCGGCGGCGTCGATCTGGATATATTTGAGCTTGGTTGGAATGTCCTTCTTTGAGAAAGAGGCGCCCTTGACGACGAATTGGGGGCCATGTGTGTTCAGGCTGTTGATGGGGACGGTTTGGAGGGAACTGGGGCGGAAGGACTGGAGGCCAACAAACTCGGCCAGACGCGCAACAGCCTCGGAGGGCGAGAGCTTAATGCGACTGTCGGCCAGATCGATGTGAGCAGAAACATCCTCATGGCCGGCAGCGGGAGCAGCAACGGAAAGAACTACATCGTCGCTGGCATCGTCTTGGAGCCGGAGAGCGGGTTCGACAGAAGGCGACGCGGATTGGAAGAGCGTCGATCCAAATGAAATGACGCGGCCGGCTCGGTCGACGTTGACATTGGCAACGCCGTTGGCGATTTCAAGGCCGCCGATGAGCTGGCGAAGATATACGTGGGTGACGCCGTTGTGCTTGGAGCGGTAGGAGCTGGAGACGACAAGGCCATCGGCCGAGACGCCAAGAGCCTTGGCCAGATGCTGTTTCGCAATCAGAGCAGGATCGAGATCCGAGGCCGAGAGCTGCGGGGAAGGATTGCTCAGGGGCGATTCATAGTGGTGGACGGTGGTCTTGTCCAAGGTCGGACCAAAGTTGCCGACGGTTCGCGAGGAATGGCTACGGGGAAGGGCGTGCCCGGCAGCGGATCGGAGGGCCGCGGCGACAGCAAGAGCCTGGACGAACAACGAGTGGGAATAGTACATATCGAAGGATGAGACCCGGAGATGCGAGAGGGCGGGGGAGCGATGTGGTTTATAAGTGGGCAGGAGGGCGAGGAGCGAGGCGATGGGGGGGAATGCGGATGAGGGCGATGGCGATGGCGAAGACGATGGCGACGACCAAGGGGCCGGTCGGACGGAACAGACGCGCAAGCGGGTGGCCGGACGAGGCCGAGAAGACAGCGAGAGGGGGCGAGAAGACGGCGAGATGCGGGGATGGCGAGAAGAGCAGCGGCACAGACAGCCGGCTGATTGGTCAGGCGGGGGCAACAACACACACAGGCGCCTTGTGCTGGGCAGGCGGCGATTGGTCGGGTCGGAGCTGCGCCAGCCAGGCCAAGAGCGCAGCGGCAGAGGCATGGCGCCCCGTGACGGGGCCATGGGCGGGCCGTGGGCGGGCTGGTGACCCTGGCCAAGGCGACAGCGAGGCGGCTGTTTCCCACGGCTGCTCTCGCGGCGCTTCCCACGGCGGCTCTCGCGCGCCTTCTGCGCAATGATACCGCCAAGCCACACACGCGACTTTGCACCGCCACACGCACTGCGCGTCTGGCCTCTGTGTCGCGCGCCGATTTTCGCCCAATCACCGTCCCGGAGCAGCCAGCCTCATCCCTATTTCTCCTGGCCACCACCCTCCTCCTTTGCTCGATTCCATCGCCTCGGGCTTCTCCTGAGAGTCCACTTCCGCACCTCCCCGCATGGCCCTCGAGATCGATGCTATCATCGCCGGCGTCGCCGGCATTGCTCGGGCTGTGCCGGGCGGCGTTCTCGAAGTCGCCGTCCAAGCCGCAATCGCGCTGTACACCGCCATCCAACAGGTCAAGGAGAATCAGCAGTCGTGGACGATCTTGGCCAACCAATCCCACGACATCCTCCAAACCCTGAGCCAGTGCCAGTCTGACGGCGAGACCTTCCGGCACCACGTTGACCGCATCGGCAGCTTTCACCGCGAGATCCATGTGTACTACACAGAGAAAATCATGGCCTGTTCCCAGGTCAACCGGATCTTCCGCGCCCACAAAACTCGGAAGCGAATCGAGCTGTTTTGCAAGCAGCTGGACATTCTCTGGCAAGGAACCATGCTTTCCCTCTCCGTCGAAGCCACCAACAAGCTCAACGAAGTCGAGCTTTTCCAGGCCCTCCAACGGGACGAGCAGCACGAGCAAATCTTTTTCGAAAAGGTCAATAAGCTTCTTCAAGAAAACAACGCCTCGGTCCTGACCGAACTGGATATTCGGCTCAATCAGATGCATGACTGGCAGATACGCAAGGTAACGGATGAGCTCCAGTCCATCGTCGAAGACCCCGCTATCGAGGGCACAAGGCACAACGTCGCCTCGCCGCTGCTCCAGGTCATCCAGTCCCAGTCTCGCGTCTCCATGTCGATTCAGAAAGAGACCTGGCGCATCAACGAAAGTGCCCTCATGGACTGGTCACCTCTGCCGATCGGGTCTGGCGGGTTCAGCGAGGTTTTCTCGGCAAAGTACTTTGGAACAAAGGTTGCTGTCAAGCCACTCCTGTGTCGATACGATGAAAGCCAAGTTGATCGCTTTCGCCAAGAAGTTCGTGTCTGGAAGCTCTTGGTTCATCCTCACGTCCTCCCGCTCCTCGGCGCCTGCGATACGGCCGAACGACCCTTCATGATCTCTCCCCTCATGGAGCGCGGCACCTTGCGGAGGCTCGTATCGGACTCGGATCACTCTGTGACTTTGAGCGACAAACTACGGCTGATGTACGAGGTGGCATCAGGCATGGCGTACATTCATGCCAACAATGTGATTCACAGAGACCTCAAGAGTGACAACATCCTCATTGATTCATCCTCGCATGCTGTCATTTCTGATTTTGGAATGGCCGAGACCAAGCAGGCGTCGACTCAATCGCGAAAGATCCTCCCCGGTCAGCTGCCCGGCGGTACAATTGAGTATATGGCGCCAGAGATGCTCAGTGCCGGAGAGCCCTCGCCGCCGACGAAAAAGACCGACGTTTATGCCTTCGGCATTACGCTGTACGAAGTCCTGAACAACGGACTTGTTTGGGTAACCTCGGACGGGCAGCCCATCCTCCAGCATTTGATCATTTCCCATGTCATGCTTGGTCACCGACCAAAGCAGATCGGCAATATCGACGACCCACTCTAGGACCTTGTCGTATTCTGCTGGCATCAGGACCCAGTCCAACGGCCCAAGTTTGCTGAAATCCTTGTTTGGCTCCAAGGACTGTCCCCCAAGCCCCTTCCGGCCTACGAAGATTCGGTCGTGTCTGACCCTGCATCGGAGAGAACTCTCGTCGACAGCGCCCGCTTTTTGGATTCCAGTCGCAGAGATGCGGCTCCGAGCAAGGCCGGCCCACAAACACCTCACCTGTCCAGTCGCTCGAGCGAGCGAGAGCAATTATCTGATGAACCAAAGGCCATCCCAGCTCACTCTCGACAAGGCTCGGCGTGGTGATCCACTGGCCTGCCTTCAAATCGCAAATACCATATCCCAAGACTTGGCTCCCTCCGATCCGCTTTGGAAGGCAGTTGCTCAGCTCTACCGTCAAAGCGCCACGTCCAACGCCGAGGCCTGTTACCACCTTGGTTGGCTCTACTTTATCGGTATCGGTATCAAGCAGACGGATATCGATGCAGTTACCTATTGGCGAGAGGCGCGGAATCTATCTACCCATCCGGGCCTGAGGTCCCTCGCCTCTTTCATGCTAGGATGGTGCAGCTTGCTTGGTCGCGGCGTCCAGAGAAACACCAAACAAGGCATCGATCTGCTCCAAGAAAGTCAAATGAGCATCATGGATCCTGCTGAGGGAGCGATAGGCTAGTGGATAGAAAACGCCGGATCAGCGGCCGCAAACCAGTTCTTCCGGATTAACTCGGTCGGATCTTCCAATGATGGGCTGTGTGGGCATCTGACAGCAATTTGCTATCTGCGCGGCTTTGGAACGGAGCTCGATCCCACGCTGGGTGTCAGCATACTGATCGACCTCTCCGAGAACAACTATGCCATCAGCCAGTATCAGCTTGGCCTCTGCTATCTCAAAGGCGAAGGCGTCGACATTGACTACGGAAAGGCCGTGGAGTGGCTCACCCCCGCCGCAGATCAAGGCAATACTTTTGCTCAGTACCACCTTGGTCGCTGCTACCAATGTGGAGAAGGCGTCAAAAAGAACAACACCCGGGCCTTTGGACTGTACGCTGCCGCGGCGGAAGACGGCCTCGTCGCTGCCCAAATGAGTCTAGGTCACTGCTACAGATACGGTATAGGCGTCGAGCCGGCCTACGACTTGATTGTCCAGTGGTATACCAAGGCGGCCGAATCCGGAAATGTGGATGCGCAACTCTGCCTTGCCAATTTCCACTGCTCGGAAAGTGGCTTCCACAACCACGGACTTGCTCTCCCATGGTATACTAGGCTCTCCGATCAAGGTCATCCCGAGAGTCAGTGCATCCTGGCCGGCATGTATCTTGATGGAACCGGAGTCGCAATGGACAAAGTCAGGGCTACAGCCCTCTACACCAAGTCTGCCAACCAGGGAAACATGTATGCACAGAACATGCTCGGTCGGTGCTACCAACTAGGATGGGGGGTTTCCAAGGATCTTCCTCTCGCGATACACTACTACCAGTTGGCTGCCGATCAAGGCCTCGATCTTGCCCAAAACAACCTCGGATGCTGTCATCTCGATGGTGTTGGCGTGACTAAGGACGCGCGAATGGCTGTGACTCTGTTCACAGCGGCAGCCGAGCAAGCCAACGCCGACGCCCAACTTCACCTGGCTCGGTGTTATGAGCGTGGAATCGGTGTCAAGAAGGAGTGTGCCAAGGCGTACGAGTGGTACTGCAAGGCGGCAGATCAAGGACAGGCGGAGGCTCGTGCAAGAGCAGAGTCTATGAAGGCGAAAGGGTGCTTGGTCATGTGAACGAAGGGGCATATCTCCGCAGAGTCAAGCCCATGAGGGTAGGAAGCAGCGGTTTTCGGTGTGCCGACAATGGCTCTGAGAGCGAGCAGCTCCCCGAGAAAGCACCAGTGATCCCGCTGTGATGGCCACTCCGAAATCAAGCAGAGCTGATTGCAAACTGTTTTCTTGATTTTCCATTGTGATGTACGGCGTGTTGAGGAAACAGCGGGACAACAGCACGCCGTATTCGAATCATATCACACGCTGGGCCAACATCGACGAAGCTGATCTTATCAATTCCCTGTGCGTCCCTGTGTGAGGCAGATGCAAGGAGTGAGCGAGCGCGACGGGGACCAGTGAATCGTTGCAGATGCGGTCACTGCAAGTCAGGGTCAGACGGTCGCGCTCCGGTCTCCACAATCGACCTACACACTGGTCTCGGAGTATCAGCGGTGAATGGTGCTTTTGGACACATTGAAGATGGTGGCGACCTTGCGCAAGCTGCAGTGCAGCGATGCGGAAAGCGAGGGTGCTGTGCTTGGCCATGATCGCAATGAGTGGGTGGGTGTATTCAGGTTCCAGAAAAAAACTACTGTCATGGCTCAACGGGGTGTCCCATTTCATTTTGGAAAGGCTGTAATGTCACCCATTTCGTTTTGGAAAGGCTGTAATGTCACTCAGTCCGATCGATCAACGCAATTCAACCCACACAAACCACACCAGCCACCCCTGTGCTGAGGTGCCCCGTTTCAACACAGACTCGCTATATATGCACTCCTGTGCGCCGTAATGTCCATCGACCACACAGCGTGCACTACCCCATGTAATGCACTCGGGAGCAGACAGGGCTCCGTCCCCATCGTCCATTTCCGATGATGTCAATCACGGGGCCTGCACGACAGCTTTCTCATCCGAATTCCACGCTTCTTTGCAGCGCGATGAGTTTCATTGTTCTATTCGGCGCTTTGCTGCATTCCAAACGAAGCAGAGATTTCGGAAAAGAAATAGTACCGACTTCCTCCATCCGTCGGTTTGGATGCTAATTGTGGCCTCGGCCCCTGCCCTTGCACCTGTCCACCCCCGTACCGCTCTCTTGACCGATTGAGTTGACCTGAAGTAGTAGCGACCGGTGACAGGCAGTCATGGCGCACTCGAATTCAGACACCATCGATATATCCGAACTCGAGCAAGCAAAGGAGTCACATCCGGTCCTGGCAAAGGTCGATCATCTGCAGGACGGCATGACTCTGCCGAGACTCCCAACTGCAAAACGAGGGGCGCATGGTCCGCAGCACTTTGCCAACTATGAGGTATGTCTTCCCAAGGAGTTTGATGTTGATGGAAGCATGACTCGTGAGGCAATTAATAGCAGAGCAGTTGTCTCACCTCTTTGCTTGCACCAGAGCATCGACTTTGAGGAACCGGATGGACATCTCCTGAGACAACACTATCAGGATCAGGCCGGAAAGCGATGGGTGAGCCCAGTAAACAGGATGTACATGCAGTATGCCCCACTTGACCATCGAGGTCCACGCTCCGGTAACATTGCGGTGCTTACTTCAATGCTCACGGACCCGATTGATGGCTAATCCTGGTGTGCCTATGGGAATAGACCATACTGGCTCAAAACATCTTCTCGTACTGTAAGTACCAAAGCCAATGTACAAGCCGATGCGAAGGTCGTCTTCGCTGGGTACTTGCTGACAATATTCATTATCCCGAACAACATGAAATGGCAGTTTTGGCACTGTTCATCTCTATTGTGGTATCCTTGACATTTGTCCTGCTTGTCTTCTCGACAGACAAGATAGGCGAGTGGAGGATCGAGCTCTTCGAGCATCTGTTTGAACACAACAATCAGTTGCTGGCCGTCCTCGTTGCCCTGGGAACCTGTGTTGGATTTGCAGTGTTTCCCTCTCTCTTCGTTCTGATGATAACGGTAAGAGGGCTTATTGAAGCTTACAGACAAAAGCTTGACTGCATAACTCCATCCATGGGATCGTCAATCCATGGCGATGCAGCCTATCATCGCATCCTCCCAGTCCAGCAGGTGCTTTGATCATAGACGTGGATATCTCACGGGCGTTGAAAGGGCTGTTGGTTAACTGACACTCTAGCGTACTATCGTCTATAGCCCGATGCCATAGGCTCGGGCATGACCCAGGTCATTGCCTTTCTGAACGGGGCTGCAGTTCTTTCGGGAGTCACTTGGCAAACGATCGTTGGCAAATGCGTGGGCGTCATAGGTCTTGTGGCATCCGGGCTCTATTCAGGTATCGACGGTCCCATGGCCAAGATCGGCTCTTCAATCGCCATTGTCGTAACAAGGGGAGTCCACAAGTTTCCTGTGCTGCGGAAGATTTTCTATGCCGAGGGAGGCACTTTGGCAAAAATGGATACAGACGACAGCGCCGAGGCCGTTGGGGCAATGAGCCTCTTCAACGTTTTGGAGCAGAAGAACCTTCGGCTTTTCGCCACTTTGGGAGCGGCCGCCTCCATTGCCGCAATCTTCCGAGCACCGGTCGGGGCAGCTGTCTTTGCTCTCGAAGAGACAACCAGCTTCTGGGAGCCGAGTCTCATGACCCGCACGATCTTTAGCACCACCACAGCGTACATCGTCGTTTGCGTCACCAATAAGCTAACTGGCGTCAGCGGCACGCTCCTTGACCGAATCTTCACCGGAGCCGCCACCCTGTTTCCGACGAACATATCATGCTTTGATCACTATAGCGGGTTCCATATTCTGTTTTTTATTTTCATTGCCGTGTGCTCAGCTCTAATTGGCCAGCTTCATAATTTGTTTCTGTCGTTTGTTCATCGCACTCGCAAGCGATATTTGATCGACAAAGACAAGAAGGGCTCGATGCGAACAAAACTGTGGCGTCTTCTTGAAGTTGTCGTCGTCTGCTTGATCACCGCGGGAGTCACAGCCATCCCCATGGCTGAGGATAGCGTCGATACATGCTCGCCGCTCTTCAATAGTGTACAGCATGCACTGGAAGCGGCTCCGTTGTGTGCCCAACTCAACTCCAGTAACATATGTCAAGGGAGTTCAATCAGCGATTGCTACCAAGAGCTCAACTACGTGTGCCTTCCACTGGAACTTGACGCGGCATTTGCCGAGGTAGGTTGTGTGTGCCGAGTGGAAATGAGGTTCAAGCGGATGCCACTGAATGTTGAATATGCGATCCGCTGCTATCAAGAGCGATAAGCTGAAGCATTCACCAAGCAATGATACATGGCGGCCGAGATAAAAACGATTTGGTCGCCATGATCTGTCGAATAGGATAGCATTGTTACATCTTAATCGGGTAACTCATCAAATCTAGTGTTGCTTTTCCCCCAGAACCTACTGCTGACCTATCAAAAGTTCCGAGACGCATACTGCCCAGATTCAGCCGGAGATGTTCTGTTTCCAGACTCTACCAATAACGCGACAACACCCCAGGACGACAAAAGATATAACTTTACATATGTGAGCGGCGAGGAATTCATCAAAGAGGCAATATCCGGGCCTTATATTGGAGTTTTCGAAAGGCTCCACCTCAAGTTCAATACTAAATTGACCGAATATGGAGGGAGTCTACACTCTCGATCCACAGAGCCCCCGGCATCGAGCAACACGACACCCACTTCATCCATGATCACCGAAGCTGCAACAACGAATTCGACGCCTTCGTCGGATTTGTGTTACTGGGAGCTTCGATCGCTATTATGGACGACTCCAGGTAGACGGCTTGGAGGGGCGCCGACTTTAAGGCTGATGCATAGAAAAAGATGTGACAGTGAAAATGACTAACCGACTGGTTTTCATACAGAAAAACAGCTCAAGTTGCTGCTGATTCGCGGTCTGAACGGGATATGGAAGATCAAGACTCTATTGATCTTTGCTGGAATATACTGGTCCCTCAGCACGCTCACCTATTACATTGCCCTTCCAACAGGTACGAATGATGATAAAATCGGCGTGGCAAGGGAAACAGGGGCGTTTGAAAACGCAGAATATCACGATAAGTCGGACGCAGTTGAAGCAGGAACACGAGAAGGGAATGCTTACAACTTTGTCGATAATCAATCGCAGATGTCGTCGTGCCTAACCTTATCATAGGCGCAGCTTTTGGACGAATGGCCGGGGTCGTTATCAATTATATTGGGGAGTCATTTGGAGTATATGTCCAGGATCCTGGATACTACGCGCTCATCACGATGGCTTCATTTTGGGCGTCGACTTCCCGTTTGGTTTTGACCGTAACGGTGATATCATTTGAGCTGACAGGCGATTATACGACCCTGCCTGTTTTGATCATCGTGACGTTCATTGGCGCATGGGTATCATCAAGTATTTCTCCCGAATCCATCTACCATACAGAGATGGAAAACAACAAGGTTCCATATTTGAGTCACGAACCCTATGCCGAGCTCAAGTTCATGTCGGTATCCCAAATCATGAATCAGCATGTGGTTTGCATCGAGGAGAATATGAAGCTCTCGAAATTGATCAAATACGCAAAGGAGGAAACCCACAGTGGCTTTCCTGTCGTTGAATATTACAACTTGGATAACGACGGGGATGGTCGAATCGATCACCACCACAAACCAAAGCCGATCGGATACGTCCGGCGAGATAGAATACAATCCGCCATCGACATATACATGAACGAAGATCCAGACACAAATCGAATCATATCGGTAAGTTTAAAAGCACAAAGATATGACGAGGTATCTACTCCTACTCATAAACTCATGCCAATGTTATCCGTCTAACAAATCGCAGCTGAGGAACATCATGAATGTGTCGCCATTCATTGTTCGGGAAAACACGACGGCAGCAAAGGCGTTCAGTATATTTCGTCAAATGGGGCTCCGACAAATATTGGTGGTAGATCGAAATGGGTTTATGGTGGGAATGATTTCGAGGATTGACCTTCTCAAGCCCAGAATCGAGCACGATAAACATCCCGTTGGAACACTGGATCAAACGATAGATATCGACAAGCCATGAGATGCTAAATAGTCATGGAGAACGAGAAATGACTTGTACCCAGTCATTAGAGAAAACTCTCATGAAGATATAGAGATACAAGTATGAGTAGTCAGGCACGAGATATGTATAGTTCCATATTCCTAACACCCGTATCAGATCTTGAAAACACGGAGGAATGTTGGTGTCATTGAATTGATACTCGAGATGATCTATGAGGGAGTTGATTCTGTTTTGAATGCAGATTGGTGCCATGCCATAACAACCACGCTGTGACAAAGATTTGTTGACTCAACCCTCCCAAAAACATTCGACTCTCGGGCCAATCGATCTCAAACTAGACCTGACTGACCCGAAGTTGTCAGCGTGTTATAGACCGACTCATTGTCCACCATATCCAACGACATAAAAACAAAATAATAAACAAGGATATCCCATGATTTGATGCAATTCTATCCACATGCCACGGGTTTCAAAAACGAAACGGGATACCTTGGTTAAACCCGGACTGGCAAAAATTCTGGGATCTGAATACACAGCCCATGTGCATCTTGATTCCATGGAGTAGTCGAGAATATCGCATTACTGCTAAACAGCATGCGCAAGGCTATTGTCATCTTCAGTGTGTCCAAGAGTGCAATTAATCGATTACATTCAGGTATCAGCGTAGCGACCTACGTTCGAATCATAACCGGTCGATGCGCAACTGGGCACCACAAGCTACAAAACTGATCCAGCCCATCATCGAGCACAGCTAATTCCAGTCCAGCTCGATGATTCGCTGCCTGTCAGGAACGGGGCGTGGGAAACAAGCGTCAGTAAACCGGGTGGGCTCTTGACGGTGCAGACAGGGCGTGGGAATCGGAACGAGGGCAAGAACGAGGAGCAGGGGCAGGGAGCAAGGGCAAGGTCCGAGAGAGTGATGATCTTATATTCAGAAAAGTGATAAGATAATTCACTGGGTGTGCTTTCCCTCTGGCCCCTGAGCTCCTCGAATTATACTTCGACCATCCAATCTATCATGTCATCGAGCTCAGCCACAGGATAAGCCACGATGTGATCAAATAAAGTAAATGAATGAACTAATCTAACGAATGATGCAAGAGGGGCTCGATCACTATCAACCACCATGTCCATGGGGGCCATGACCAACTACCGCGCCAAACCCCAAATCATGGCACGCGTCCATAACACTGCTCATTTGATTCCATGCTTTGAAAAAAAGTGCCATTATCGTTCTGACTGTGATGATCATGCACGTTGGGAACACGTGTGGACTGCTGCGCGTGATGCACCGTGAGTCATGTTTGTTGGTCTTGGCGTGTATTCCCTGATTGGCTGGCGCCGATGACTCTTACTTCGCCTCCGACTGCGCTGTGCTTCGCCCCTCTCTCTAGCAGCTCCGCCTTCCTCGCACCCCCATCTCGTCCCTCGTTTGTCGCTCCACCCTTCTCGCCCACTTTCGCCCTTCGGTTTCCCTCTTGGCTATAAAGCCCCTCCTTTCTTGCACCCATTTTGTCAGGGTTCAAACCGCACTTTCCCACGGCTGGAACCAGGTGTGACACGCTTCCCGATCCAGCATGCCTGCCCGCGTTTGGGGTACACGAGCGCGTCTGTCCAGTCCCGTTTATTGTTTCCACAGTCATGTACCATGAGAAACCAGATAAATAAACCACTTCCCTCGCCCGGCCCTTCCCAGGCGAGTGAACCTCTCCCAAGCTTCTTGCCCAGTCTCCACGACCCCGTTCCTCGCTCCACGACCCCGTCCTTCCCAGTCCCAGACCCTAACATGGTAGCATCGGACATTAAGAACTCCGACGACCTCATCCGTGCCTTCGGGCAGCTCTCCTTGGATGAGCAGGCCTCGGCCCTCACTGCCCTCCGAATCAGAATGAGCGCTGCCGCACCCAGCGCCATCGCCCCTGCCCCTGCCTGTAACGTCCACTACTGGGACGTTGGGGCAAGACGGGGAGGGAGGGGGTACAAGACAAGACAGGACGGGGCAGAACAGGGCGGTGCTAGGCTACTCTAGCGGACGGGTGAGCTCGGGGAGCACTTACGTTTATTCACGATAAAACCGAACTCCAGACAAACGGGGGGAACGGGGGCAACCCGCAGGTATACCCTGCGGTGGCCTGCCTGCGGTGCGTGAAAACGCAAAGCGCAGCACAGGTCACGACCCACTGCGCCGCGCAGTACGCGCAGTACGCGCAGCACAGCGTCGGAGATACCATCTCCTACACTCCCACACTTAAGAAGGCTTCCTGCGAGGAGCCCTGCGTGTGCTCTTTATTTGGGGCTCCTCGAGGTGTTTACCGTATTTACTCAGCTCCTCGGGTGCATGGGACAAGTCCTCCAGTGTTTGCCATGTGTTGCCCGAGTGTGGGTAACCAACCCACTTGACATAAAACCGAAGTGACCCATCAGCCACTTTCTTGTGCCTCACGATCCTTTCGACTTCATATTCTTGAGTATAGTATTGTCCGAGGTCGTCTTCCAGTGGTGCGTCGTCCGGGACACCTTCGTCGGCGTCGGGGAACTGTGCTGGACTGCGGGTCGTGTGGCGACGCAGCTTGGACACATGGAAGACAGGATGGAGCTTGCTTCCAGGTGGCAAGTCCAACAGGTAGTTGAGGGGACTGGGTCGGGCCGCTATCTTGAACGGTCCTCGGTACTTGGGCAACAACTTCTTTGACTGGGCTTCGGGGACCTTGATGTTGTCGGCGTCCAGGTAGACAAGGTCTCCAACTTCAAAGGAGACATCCTGGTGTCGGCGGTCGTAGTACTTCGCCATCACTTGTTGCGCATCCGTGAGCGCGTCGGCGATCATCTTGTGTCGGACTTGATGATCTTTGACAAAGGCACTTGGTTTGGGAGGCAATCCAGCCGTGGACTCGGTCAGTGTCAAGGAGGTGGGAACATCAGGCTGGAATCCGTAGAGCGCCTCAAAGGGGCTCAAGCCAGTTGTGCTCGACTTGGCGGTGTTGTATGCAAACTCTGCATGACTCAGCTGTATGTCCCAGTCGTCTTGGCTGGTCGAGGCGTATGTCCTCAGGTATTGCTCGAGGGTGCGGATCGTCCGCTCGGACTGTCCATCCGTTTGTTGGTGGTGCGAGGTTGACATGTTCAGCTTGGTGCCGAGATGGTCGAACAGACTTGTCCAAAACAAGGAGGTGAATCGGGGGTCTCGATCACTGACGATGGACTTTGGGAGGCCGTGGTGCTTGAACACATGCTTGAAGAACAGCAGTGCAAGGTCAGGCGCGGAGCATGTCGTCTGGCACGGCACAAAGTGTGCCATCTTGCTGAACCTGTCGACAAAGACAGCGATTGCATCGTGGTCCAACTTGGTCGTCGGTAGATGCGTGATGAGATCCATGGACATGCTGGTCCAGGGGCGGTCGGGAACAGGCAGGGGTTGCAGCAATCCTTGCTCTCGGGTCGTGCGTGACTTGACCATCTTGCAGGTATGGCAGGACTCGATGTACTTCTCGACGGTGCGCTTCATTCCAGGCCAGTATGCGACTTTGGCCAGTCGGTCGTATGTCTTCTCGACTCCAAAGTGTCCAGCGAGGGGCGAGTCGTGGACCTCTTGGAGCAACTTGGTCTTCAACGACGGAATGTCCGGCACACAGACACGGCTGTCCTTCTTCAGGAGGAGCAGGCCATCACGCACTGTGTACTCGGATGATTCGTCGTCCTTGGGGAGCTTAGACACCTTTCGGAACAGTTCTCCGAACTGTTTGTCGTTGGCGATGTTGTCTCGGACAACATCCAGCATCGTGTTGTCGACACTGACAGTCGACTCGTACAGTGACGCCAATTGGTAGTCGGGGCGTCGGGACAGTGCGTCAGGCACCACATTGAGTTTGCCTTTCTGGTATACAACCTCGTAGTTGTACTCGGCGAGGAACTCCATCCATCGCGCTTGGCGTCGGCTCAGGTTCTTCTTGGTGTCGAGGTAACGCAGTGACTGGTGGTCCGTCACAATCTTGAAGGGCTTGGCGGTACCGTGGAGGTACACTCGGAACTTCTGCAGCGCGTAGATGATCGCAAGCTGCTCCTTCTCGTGCACGGGATAGTTGATCTCGTGTTGGGACAGTTTGCGCGACTCGAAGGCAACGGGCCTTCCCTCCTGCATCAAAACAGCTCCCACCGCAAAGTCGGAGGCGTCGGTGTGCACGGAGACATCCGTGTTCGGGTCGAACACAGCGAGGACAGGAGCGTTCGTCAAGGCGTGCTTGAGGGTCTCGAACGCTTGGCGTTGTGGGTGGTCCCACACGAAGGGGCACTCTTTGCGGAGTAGGTCTGTGAGTGGACCGGCAGTGCGCGCCAGATCGGGGATGAATCGGCGGTAGTAGTTGACGAGACCGAGAAACGACTGCACGTCAGAGACGCATGCGAGCGGCGGCCACTCGACCACAGACTTGACCTTGGCGGGGTCGACTTCGATTCCTCTTCCTGAGACAACGTGTCCCAGGAACGGGACTTGATTCTTGAAGAACTCACACTTGGACAGTTTGGCATACAACTTGTGCTCGCGTAGCTTGGCCAGCACGCGGGCGACATGACCTTCATGGGTCGCTTCATCCTTGCTGTACACAAGGATATCATCCAGGTACACGATGACAGAGTTGTCGAGCTCTTGGCGGAACACATCGTTCATCAGCTGCATGAACGTGGCAGGTGCGTTCGTCAATCCGAACGGCAGCACTAGGAACTCGTACAGTCCGTAGCGAGTCCTGAAGGCGGTCTTGTGGACATCATCCTCGTGGATGCGGATCTGATGGTAGCCTGAGCGGAGGTCTATCTTGCTAAAGACCTTTGCTCCACTCAGACGATCCATCAACTCGTCGATCCTGGGCAACGGGTAGGTGTTCTTGATGGTCTGTTTGTTTAGTGCGCGATAGTCGACGCACATCCTGAGATCACCTTCTTTCTTCTTGACAAAGAGCACTGGTGCACCATACGGTGACTGGCTCGGGCGGATGAACCCATGGGCGAGGAGGTCATCCAACTGGCGCTTGAGTTCGTCCATCTCCGTCAGCGACAGTTGGTACGTCGGTCTTGACGGAGGCGACGAGCCTGGTTCGATGTCGATGCGATGATCGACGGTGCGTTGGGGTGGCAGGCATTGTGGCAACTGGTCGGGGAATACGTCCTTGTACTCGTCGAGCAGCTTGGTCACCACAGGCGGGGGACCGGGACCGGCTTGGTCGGTGTCGTCGACCTCACGCACGACACAGAGGAACGACGTGTCCTTCTTGATCAGCCTCTTGAATTGCATGGCTGAGAGGAGAGGTGGCATGTTGGGTGAGGCCATGCCCTGCAGGACAATGTCAGGGCCAACACGGACAGTGCGGCCTTTCCAGTCGACGACTGGAGTCGGCTCGGCACGAGCAAGCCAGCTCATGCCGAGGATGGCATCGAACTTGGTGTCGATCACTTGGAACAACAGGACAGGATGGTACTTGGGATGGAGGGCCACTCGCAGGACCACTTGGTGTGTGCACTGCTGCACACGATCGTCTGCAAGCGCCACACTCATCGGCGACTTCTTCTTGGTTGCATGTATGTTGAGCTCCTGGAGCAAGCGTCTGCTGACAAAGTTGCAGCTTGCTCCAGAGTCCACCATCATTCGGACGGTGTGACCTTGGACGGTGGCAGGGAGGTACAGCAGGGACTCTTCATGGTCCTCCTGCACAGCCTCCTGCACCATGACTTGACTTGGGGGAACGGGCGACACTTGGTCTTGGTTGGCTTCATCACGGCCACTCGGACATTTTGGATAGGGTTCGGCCATTGCGGGGGCCTGCGGCGTCAGCACGCCATTGCACACGACGTCCACGGCTTGCGGACACATGTCGGAAGCATCCGACACACACGACTTGACAGGGGTGAGGGCACAGGCGGTCCTGTCCCTCAAGGGTTCTTGATTTTCTTTTTTGTTTTGGTTTTCAATTTTGGTTTTCTCTTCACGTTCGTGGAGAGGCAGGCGGCTTGCGCCACCATGCACCTCTCGCACGACGCACAACACTTGGTTTGTTTCTCCTTCGGGGGAGGGGGCGAGGTGAACTTCCTCTGGAGACGCGTGGACTGCATTGAGCAATCCACGGCGTTGGTCTCCTACTAGGGCTCCAGAGCCACCTAGTAGGGTCGGCCGTTTCCCGACTTCATGGGGCACTCCTTGGCCTGGTGTCCCGGTCGGTGACAGAAGAAGCAGGAACCATGGCGGAGGTCCTCCTGCTTCTGTCTGTCCTTGGGGGAGACAGTGGCAGCTTGCTGGAACCGGGAGCGGGGAGGGCCACGAGCCTCCATGGCGTTGACGTCAACGTCCATGGGCTCAGGCATGGGTCTTGCGGGCGGGGCCGGGCGAGGCGGACGGGCTGGGACGTGATGAGACCGATGGCCGCCTGCCAGCTGCGGGTAGAACTGGCGGCCATGGTACTGGACGTTGTCGAGGTTCTCGGCAACGTCCATCATCACGTCCAGGGACTTGCGGGCATCAGGGTTGCTGGCGATGTACTCTCTGATCTTGGGCTTGAGGCCCTTCTGGAAGAGGTACATCGCATCAGCAGAGCCCAGCTCCTCAATCTGGGAGGAGAGGTCTTCAAACTCCTCGATGTAGCGGGTCACAGAACCACGCTGCACGAGAGAGTATAGCTTGTCACGGGCAATGAGTTCAGCATTGGGGCTGCCGAAGCGGCGACGGAGGCGGTCCTTGAAGTCGTCAAACACACCTTCGCTCTGCTCGTCGAACCCTTGGCGGCGGTACCAACGGTACGCCTGGTCCTTTAAGCAGAGCTTGGCGGCGACGATGTGGTGGGTGGGGGCGACTTGGGCAGCATCGAGGTAGTCCTCGAGTTGCTGCAGCCAGTCCTCCACCGAGGAGGAGCGGCTCTTCCCAGTAAACACTGGGGCACGGAAGGTCTTGAGGAAGGCTTCCGGAAGTGGGCGGGGGTTGCTCATGGCAGGGGCAGGCTCCAGGGACAGAGAGGAGAGTCGGTCGGCAAGAGAGGCGGGATCCAGCTTGAGGATCTAGAAAGAGGACAAACAGGACGAAAACAAGACGAGGATTTC